TTTTATTACTGCACATCTTCCTCCGAAGGTCTAGCTTCGACCGGGTCTCTAGAAGTGTGCCCAAGATGCTAATTCTTTAATCTTACCTTCTTCTTTTTTTTATGATATTCTCGACCGCCATGGTCAGCACTCATCTTTGTTTGTTGTAAAACGCTATCAACAGACACAAAGGATGAAGGAGACAGCTCCTTGGGTGACCCAAATTATGGCGTCATCATAAATAAAAGTTAATTAAAATTTTTTATTTTTATTAAATTTTTTTGCTAATATTAGTCATAATCATTGATTAAAAATTAAACGAATAAAATAATTATATTTTTTTTCTTAAAAAACCTCTATAAAATAAAAAATTTACCAAAATCGACTGATTTTTATTAATGATTATTTTTTTAATAGAAAAATTAAATTTTTGAGGATATTAATCTAATTACTCCAAATAATTTATTGAATTTTCATTTGTTTATAATTACTTTAATTCTAATTTGTATAGCAATAAATAGAATATCAAAAGATGGAATTAAATAAGAATCAGTTAATCAATTAGTAATAGCTTTCAATTTTGAAATAAATTCGCTCTTTTAGGAAATCAAATAAAAATCTAAAAAGAATACAAAATCAAATCATTAAGACTTTCGCAATTCAAATAGATATATCATTTATGCCCTTGGCTATAATAAAATTATTAAATTTTTTGTATTTGTTTAAATAATTATATTGTAAATTTAGTGATTTTGAATAAATTCAATTTAAAAATTAATTCTTTTACATATAGCATTTAAATTATTTTCTTATTGAGACTTATGTATTGATTTAAAAAAAAGAGATGTATTTAAATATATATATAGAATAATAAAAATTAAATCAATGTTCTGAATGCAAAGATTAAACTTAAATTTATTAAGAATTAATCTAATCTGATGGAAAATCATCTTCTGCCAAGCTTTCAACGATGTAGCCATCTATACTTCTATTAATTGTAGTTAGTGTAACTTTAGTATTTAAAGTAAAAAAATAAATATCTTCATAATCTTACTCAAGCAATTATTTAGTGACTTCGCTGACATGAACTTATCCTTTTTTGCCATTAGATTCCATTTTATTTGCAATTAATACATCTGGTCCATAAATATCATATCTAACTATATCGGTTCCCATCACCCCTCCAAATACACAACCTGTATGTATACCAATTCTCATATCAAGTCCATCAAAATTGATTTGCTTTCTAACAACTTCTATAATTCTTATCATTTCGAATGCAAGATCGACAATATTTTTTGCTTCTTCTGCAGGATTTCTTTCGTTATAATCTATCATTCCAAATGCCACATAACAATCTCCAATTGTATATAATTTATAAACATTCAATTCATAGCACTTTCTATCAAATTCAACAAATAGATTTTTAAGCATAAGCAAAACTTCTTCAGGTGTAACTTTACTTGAATATTCTGTAAACCCAGCAATATCTGCAAATAAGATAGTTACATTCTCTATTTTATCACTTAAACATCTTGTTCTATTATTATCATCAAGAAATGTTTGTAAAATCTATCAAATATAATTATAGATTTACATGTTTCGGAAGTAAGTACTATAGTAATTATGATTCTTTAGCTTATTAACTTTAAAAGATGTTTTTCTAGTTAAAACAAGCAACTTGTTGCTCCNTAAATAAAAGTTAATTAAAATTTTTTATTTTTATTAAATTTTTTTGCTAATATTAGTCATAATCATTGATTAAAAATTAAACGAATAAAATAATTATATTTTTTTTCTTAAAAAACCTCTATAAAATAAAAAATTTACCAAAATCGACTGATTTTTATTAATGATTATTTTTTTAATAGAAAAATTAAATTTTTGAGGATATTAATCTAATTACTCCAAATAATTTATTGAATTTTCATTTGTTTATAATTACTTTAATTCTAATTTGTATAGCAATAAATAGAATATCAAAAGATGGAATTAAATAAGAATCAGTTAATCAATTAGTAATAGCTTTCAATTTTGAAATAAATTCGCTCTTTTAGGAAATCAAATAAAAATCTAAAAAGAATACAAAATCAAATCATTAAGACTTTCGCAATTCAAATAGATATATCATTTATGCCCTTGGCTATAATAAAATTATTAAATTTTTTGTATTTGTTTAAATAATTATATTGTAAATTTAGTGATTTTGAATAAATTCAATTTAAAAATTAATTCTTTTACATATAGCATTTAAATTATTTTCTTATTGAGACTTATGTATTGATTTAAAAAAAAGAGATGTATTTAAATATATATATAGAATAATAAAAATTAAATCAATGTTCTGAATGCAAAGATTAAACTTAAATTTATTAAGAATTAATCTAATCTGATGGAAAATCATCTTCTGCCAAGCTTTCAACGATGTAGCCATCTATACTTCTATTAATTGTAGTTAGTGTAACTTTAGTATTTAAAGTAAAAAAATAAATATCTTCATAATCTTACTCAAGCAATTATTTAGTGACTTCGCTGACATGAACTTATCCTTTTTTGCCATTAGATTCCATTTTATTTGCAATTAATACATCTGGTCCATAAATATCATATCTAACTATATCGGTTCCCATCACCCCTCCAAATACACAACCTGTATGTATACCAATTCTCATATCAAGTCCATCAAAATTGATTTGCTTTCTAACAACTTCTATAATTCTTATCATTTCGAATGCAAGATCGACAATATTTTTTGCTTCTTCTGCAGGATTTCTTTCGTTATAATCTATCATTCCAAATGCCACATAACAATCTCCAATTGTATATAATTTATAAACATTCAATTCATAGCACTTTCTATCAAATTCAACAAATAGATTTTTAAGCATAAGCAAAACTTCTTCAGGTGTAACTTTACTTGAATATTCTGTAAACCCAGCAATATCTGCAAATAAGATAGTTACATTCTCTATTTTATCACTTAAACATCTTGTTCTATTATTATCATCAAGAAATGTTTGTAAAATCTATCAAATATAATTATAGATTTACATGTTTCGGAAGTAAGTACTATAGTAATTATGATTCTTTAGCTTATTAACTTTAAAAGATGTTTTTCTAGTTAAAACAAGCAACTTGTTGCTCCTCCAGAAAATAACAATAATTTATATTATAAACCATCACAATGAAGGCAAAAAAAAGTGATATACTATGCTCCTTCCAAAAGATCAAGACAAAGGCTTCAAAAATGAAGGAGCATATGCAGAATAAAATTTTGATCCAAAAATGCAATAGTTATATGTTGCTAAAAAATGATTGGATAAATATCATTTCTATGATGTGAGAATATTTTAAAAACAGAGTCATATCAACAATTACAAAAATGCCTGCAATGATAAGCTAAAAACTTAATCCTATATAAATCAATTATATCCAATAGCTTATCATTCTTTTCTTGTACATCATTAATGATATAATATTTAGTGCGCATCCAATCCATTAGAGTATTATTAAAGGTAATGAAATCAAATTATATTCTCCAATCAAGCAAAATTATTTAATAAGGTAATACAATGAATAAATTTAAATTATTTTATTAGTCACTTACTCAGATTACTTATAAATATATTCATGATATTCTATATAATTATTTTTATTTGAATTATAAGATCTTTTTAGCAATGATAAAAAAGAGTTCTAAAGTATTAGGGTTTCTTCTAAGCCATTCTCATTTTTAAGTAATATCACATTCTAAATTTATATTATTTATAATTACTAATAATTAATCGTAATCAATATAATGGTCTACTTCAGGTTAATACTCTTCTAAATGAAATTTTTGATGAAATGCACTTGCTAATTATTAAATAAGTTCTGGTTTTTTGATATTCCGATATAATTTATCTTCATGATCAGGGTCTTAAGATAAGTGATTAAGATTATTGCTAGATTAGGAATTCTATAATCCTTTTTTTATACTATTTTCTTCAGACAAAGATGAAGAATTTTATTAACCATGTTATTATTGGTAATTCCAAGATAATTAAAATTGTAATAATTATTTTGAGCGTTGAGTTAAAGGATCTTGAATTGCAATAGATCTCTTTTTTAATCCTCCTTTTTGAGATGATTAAGTTCTTACTCTATTTGCTATATTCATGGTATTTGATCTACTGTTACTATTACTATTATTCATTGAATTTTTTGCAATGTAATTTTTTGTATTTCCTTTTTAGACATAAACATATGTAGGTTTTTATCCTAATCCTTTCATCTCAACATATCTGACTTCAAATTCTATTTTATCATTTTTTAATTATTCAAAGGCTCTTTCTGATAGAGTAATTTTATCTTCTTAGCCTGTCGAACATACTCTACTGGTAGTGTTGACTGTATCGCCAATTAATGAAAATTAAGGTTTATGAAATCCAATAACACCAGAAATTGCTCTGCCATAATGAATACCAATTTTACCAATTAAAGCCTAACTTTAATGACCCCATCTAATATAATAAATTGATGATACAATTTTGATCTAATATATATGATCATCATCTCTGCTAAATTTAAGGCTCTTTAAACTGGTTCTATCTCTGATAGATAAGCTAATTCTTATTCACAGGCTTTAAGTCCAGCTGATGCCATATATGTTTTTCCAACAGTTTCAATTTTCTAAACACCGCATATTTCACAATACTTATCAAAAGTTCGAAATAAGTCATCCAAAAATGGTATGATATTTTCTTACTCTTCCATAATAATTTAATCAAAATTGCAGATATCACAAAAAACTATGGCTACATGTCCCTAATTTTAATGGATATTATATTAGTCAGCTAAATACACTTTCATATCAGTTTACTTTCATTTAGACGATGTCGTACAAATTTAGGCAATAAAATTCCCAAAATGTCATTAATTTTATTGTTTTCTTCAATAAAATTAATTTAGTTTGTAGCTTAATCCTCTTCAAGTAAAATAAACTATATATATTTATAAATTACATAGCTTTTGATTATATATTATTGAACAGAAAAGAATAGGATCATGGAAATTTTAATGATCACAAAGTAAGGAGTGATATCAACATTTAATGAAAAACTTTCTATAATAATTATGATCTTACATAACAAAATAAGCAATTAATACAACTACAATAGGTATTAGATATAATCTATTATCATAAATTGGATGCAATTTACTAGATATTTGAAATGTCACAATGATTTCAGAAAATGAATGATAATATAATGACATTTCAGTTACTGACAATCCCAAAACTGCTATTAATGTTACTATTCCTGACATCATGTATTTGATTAATTCAAGATATTGTGTTTATCTTGAATTCAGATGGTATAGTAATTAAAAAACAAATATCACTATTAGAAATATTTAGTAAATAATGTAAGTGATAAGAAAATAGTAACTAGTATCTGACTAAGAATAAATAATAATAAGCATCTAACAATGAAAAAAGATTAACTATAATCCTTAGATTCTTGATTTCTTTTTCCATTTCATTATTGATTGAGCCTTTTAAAATATTTAGGATTACCATTAGCCTAAGTTCTAAAACAATTATTTTTAACTTAATAAAACTTAATGATATCATTATAAATTACGCTTTTATAGATTAAAATCCACCTATTCTATATTTTCAAAGATTTTATTTATTTCTCTTTACAAATTTAAAATTGATGTTTATTTATTGTTAATAAATTCTTTATGACGATTTACTGAATTTGCTATTTGTTGAAATAATCCACTCATTTAAGGTACTTATAATACAAAATGATGTTAAAAAAATTATTCACTTACTTAAAATATAAATATTACTAGTAATATTTCAAATAAGTTGGAAATTTCAAATTTAAACTCTAAATTTGGAGCCATAATGTTAAAATGAAGCAATAAATAAAAAAAATAAGATAGACTATAAATTATGAAGACAGCAACCTTTAATTATTAGCCAATCTAAAGTAGTAAACTTATTAAATCATTTAATGTTATTGAAAGAAAACAATAAACAATAGCAACATCGACTGATTAAATTTAACTTTGATGTGTAAATATCAATTAAGTGACCATGCCTTATATAATGGCTAGAAAATAAAATTACTAATTTACATTTAATTGCGATTTAAAAATAATTGGATTTATTCTTTGATTAATTAATAATTGCTTCTATGACTTTCTATTAATTTTAATCTTTTTTAGTATTTAAATTTTATTAATTAATAAATTCTATTGTTGTAGCAATATATATAATTAAAGAATAAAGATAAGAATAAAATACAAATTCTACTATTAAATTTTTTTAATTGTTAAAAAACCAAATACTTGTTGTGTAAATTGTAATCGCAAATGATGAAAAATAAATAGTTCTCTGAAAAGCAATCAAAAACTAATATTTTGTTAAGATGTTTAATAAAGGGACATAATAAAATAGGAGTTCATTTAGTTCGTTAAATCCTTATAGTATTGCATCAGTATTATGATAGATTAATAATTCATTAAAGAGACCTAAATTCATAATTCAAATGTATTACATCTTTCATAAACTAATCTAACTTTAAGGGATTATATCATATTTTTAAAAAAGGTTTGTTTATTTACATTTTCATACTTTGCTTTTTGAAAGTAGCTAAATTCTTGTAATAATGCAATTTACAAATGTTAACCTTAATGACATTTTAATAATGTTTGATTTTCAAATATTAAATTTAATGTTAAATTAGGTTCATCGAATAATTTTTAAACAAAATTCAAAGATTAATTACTTGCATCATATAGAAGAGTTATTTTAGCCAAAGAAAAGAGTAATTTCATATGATTTGTCATATAAATGTTATTTTCCATAATTTTACAAGCCTAACTGCTTAACATTATTGTTATTGGAGGTGCTGAATGAAATTCTTCTTAAACTTTTTTATTAGAAAGTTAAGATGATATTGGATTAATTAGTTTATTTAAGGATTGTACTTAAGAATTTGATACACAATTAGAGTCAGAAAATAATTAAGTGAATTACTATAAAGATTTCTTAAAATAAGCTCTTAAATCATCATCATTATCTTGATCAAATATTAATTTAAAATGATTCTATATATCTATTTAATGAATAATAGAATAAGCATAAGAAAATCGTTATTCTGTATAAAAAACAAGAGATTAATCTGTTTTTTCAAAATTTCTTATAAATTCTAAAGCTTTTGGTTTTAAGTTATATTTAAAGCCTAGAGTAATATTAAATTACAAAAAGGGTTCTAAATAATTATATATAAATTCTTCACTCTCAAAAGTGTTCTAGTATTAAAGTGATTATTAATTAACATAATATGCAGCATCTTCATGATTAAGGAGACAAGAGTAATAATGAATTTAATGAAGTTATTCCAAATCCATCTAATGAAGAAAATGAATTGATGACTTTTGATTTAATTTATTTTCATCTAAAATATCTGATTTTTTATAATTTGCTTCTCTTACTAATAAAATATATTCTGCATTTAATGGTTTTTCAAAATCAGGATCTAATTCAAATAACATATAAAGTCTTTGAGTATGATGATGGATTTAAAAATCAATTAATTTAAATGAACATAGCTTCTAATTTATTTATACAACATATGCTGAAATATTTCTAAATTAATTTTATATATATACTAAACATTATTAACACATATGAATTCGAATCCAAATGCTTTAGCTATTTATATTTGTTTTTCATCCAACAAATTAACTTAAGTATTTTTGACTTTTTCTTCCCCTGTTTAAGTATATCTTAGTTTGGAATATGAAATATGATTCAATGATAATTAAAGCAAAATAATATTATTGAATTCATCTTCATTTGTAATTATTTTGATTAAATCATTTAAATAAATAGATTTTCTATCTACTCTACTATCTTTGAGAGATACTTGTTTTGCACTTTTACTATTCATTGAAAGTTGAATTTTATTAATGCTTGATTTTTGTAAATATTCACTTTTATCTGGATTAATGCTTTAATTTTATACAAGTCCATTTAATTCTTATTGAGTATTATCATTATTTGTAAAATTACTAATTAGTCTAAAACCAACAGATTAAGGTATATTAAGAACCATATCTTCTTAAGCTTCATAACTAAAAATTTCATCTTCTAAATATCTTCCAGAATTTTATGTATTATTTTATTATTTTACATTTTATGTTTAATGTATATTAGATGCTTAAATTTCAACAATTTTAGAATCATCTTTAGAATCAACAGTCTTAAAAATATTTTAGCTTGAGATTGAACTTGCATAGACTTAAGCTTATTGCAATAATTCTTATTCTCTGCAATGACAAATACGTTAGTTACATATGATTGCTCTTAATTCAAATGTACCTTCTAATACTGAATCTAGATTCATTGTCAAACATTTATATTATTGATAGTATTCTGGATGAAAAGCTTTAATCTATTTCATATCCAATTAACTAATCTTATATATTATGCGTTATTAGAATAATTATATTAAATCAAAATAGAATCTGAAACTATGAGGTAACAAAAATAACAAATAAAGTAAATCTTCAACTAATAAAGATATAATATCTAAATATTCATTAACATATTTATTCTGATAAGTTATAATGTACATTAACTCTAATAGATTATTAATAATTTACAATTAAAAAAGCAAAATAAAGAAAAATCATTGATGTTAACAATCTTTATGAATAATTAGGAACTTAAGGACGAATTTTAAATTGTTTATAACTACGACAATTTAATCCAACTTAGATCACAATACCAATTACCCAAGGAGTATTTAATAGTTTTTCTTGAGCAAATATAAAGTTTTAATCTTCAATAACTTTTGATTATGGATCTTTTTTGAGTTAAAAATATCCAGAAATATTATTTGCATTTTCATTTAATTAAATATTGCCAGTAAAAGACTTTTTGAATAGGACTAGATTATGAGAATCAACTAAATAATAAATAATATGATTTTTATACATTTATTTTAAACTAAGGGTTTTCTAATAGTTGTGTTTGAATATTCACATAATTAATGTGAAATAGCAAAATTTTCATCATTACAATACAAAACTAGAATATCACAAGATGCAATTTGATTTCTTTCTACAATAATAACATCTCCTATTTTAATTTCTTCTGAAGTAATAGATTTAATAAGATCCATTTTATCAGTACTATTAATAATTTTAGAATCTATAATCTTTTTTGATCTTGAAGTATTTTTTTCAAAAATGCAAGGTACTTATTGCATAAACTTTCTAATTGCTGGATCCTATACTAATTTGTTTTTTAATTCATTTTTAATAATCATGTCTTCATGTATAAGTGGACTCATCATCAATGATGCTCTTGATCCCATTCTATCAAATCTATCTTATCTTGGAGATCCTGCAGGTCGACCTTAATTTATTGATTATCTAGAAAATTGAGATTAAACTATTAACACTAAATTTGAAATTAATACATCCAGAAGATCTGCTTTTCTAACTTAACTGACGTTATAATTAATCATTTTTTATAGGATGATCATTCTTTATTGGTATAATACGATCTTTTTCTTTAATTTCTTCATTCTTAGGTTTTTAAGATGCTTTTTCTTTAATTCGCTTTAATATCTCTTTATTGCTAATACATTCATCCCATTATTTCAATATTTTATTTTCTTGATTGTTTAATTTAATATCTAGACCATTAATTCTGTATTTATTATATAATTCAACACTTATATGTGCAAACAGTTAAAAAGAGAAGATGAAATAAAATTCATATTGCTGTGAATCTCTAAAATAGTTAAAAAATTACATGGACCAAATAGAAGCAAGTAAAATCAAACATATTATAGACAAAGTTAAATAAATGATATTGTTCCTTGCAATTCTAAAAGGAGCGAATAAAACAATAGACAAAATGGAGGATGTTCTATTAATACGATTGGAATAAGTAGAATATCCGTCAAGCTTGATGACCTCGCCATTCCTGAAATGCAGCTGAAATTAAGGATGAATATTGCACTTAATAGGTTTTTCTTTTGAATTCATCGTAATGCTGTAAGAGTTTTTACATTTAATTTAAAAATAATTTTAATAATTCTTATTAAACCTATCAAATTCCTGTGATTAGATAAAATGTTCTTGGAATAACATATTGAATAATTCCCCATCTCTGTTCTATTAATTGATCATTAATTAGAATTCTAGCATAATATTCAGTCAAATATAAAGTGATCATAACAGAAGTTCCTATATACATCAAAACCCAAAATAAAATATTAAACCAGCCCTTTTATAAATCAAATTTAATACCGATTTAAAGACTTCCTTTGCTTATATAAATAAAATTCCTGGCCCTGTAAATAAAAGAAAACATATTGGATAAAAGAAACCCAAAGCAAATGTAAGAATAATCTCATGAATGACGGCTGAACATCCAAAAGTAATTAATTATCTAAACAATCTACTTCTTTTGCCTTAACTTAATTTCTCACTATCTAAATAAACATAATAATAAAGAAATTCGTGAACTACAACATTCCATTTTCTATAATATTATCCAAATTCTGAGGCTGTCCACCAATCATGATAGAATGTTCTGTCTGGGAATCTCAATAGTTCTGCCCATCCATTAAACCAACTGTGAAGTAAACCAAAGAAAACAAGGACCAATGAAAAAGTAGATGGCATCATCAACTTAAACAGAGTTACAATGAAATTCATCAAAGTTAAGTTCTCTCTAAAGTATAAATATAGAAAATAACCTCAATTAAAGTATAGGTTCTTTACAGAAAGATCTAAATAGAATGAATCCATAATAAATGCACAAAAAGAAATTGGCAAATTCAATTATAACCTTTTTCTTTGAGTAATTTGGAGCCTTTACATAATAATCTCTATATAATAATGTTGGAGCCAAAAAGAAGTAAGTGTATCTCTTTAATTCTTGAGAAAGTGATTGAATATTGATATCTGGAAGCAAAGCATTTTGTTTAGTAATTCCTTTCTTTTCAAATTATTGAAGAATATAATATTTGTATTTATTTTCTGTACCATAAAGCATCTTATTACGAGCATAAGAATAGTTTTTCATCATCATTCTTACTGCTTCACACATTACAATCATTCTTGAACCAAATCCATTCTATATAATTTTAATTTCATTACCACCCAAGCACTTGTCATATAACAAGCTGCCAAAATACTTATTATCTAATGAAGACTGAATACAAGAATAGCTGTGAATGACTTTATCTTATTTTAGTAACAGTAGTTCACCCAATAAACAGTCAAATAACTGGATAAGACTAAAGCAAACCAAAGTTCTGCTACTAATACTGGAGTTTAAAAGCACCAGAAGAATGTTTCCATATCAAATATGATACCTCTCTCCAAATAGTCTTATATCCATAAGTTTCCCATCAAAATAAACATGCTAGCCATCATCATATGATAAAGAGTTTTATAATCAGACTATTTCAACATCTCAGACAAAAGAGAAGGCTTATATCTATATAATAATAATCATTTCATTTCTACCTGAATACTTTCTCCATTTATCTTTCTTAATGTTATATTGAACTTACTTTGTGGTCAAAACGATCATCTCTTAATTCATTGATAATTTTTGAAATCTGTTATTCAAAATGTTCCATCTCTTCTCTTATAGAGTCTTCTAATTTCTTTTATGAATGCAATATTCTATTCTCTATATGATTAATCATCTTGGCTTTATACTCTAATAGATCATTCTCCAAATCCTTATTTACAAACTCTTTCAAAATATGAACTAATATCCTTACTTTTTTAAGAGGCGATAGCTGTGGTAGGTTAAGAAGAATTATTCTCTTATTCAACTTTTTTCAATTGTTACTTCTTTTTCATAAAAATATAATTTATGATGACCAATAAACTTGAATCCTTAAGATAGAATCAAAATGAAACGGCTAACACATTCATATTATTAATACAAACAATCAATTTTGCTTTAATGGAACACTTTTAGAATCATCATAAATTCCAAAATATGCCCTATCAAAAAAATCACTTAAAATATTTCAAGATTGGTTGAAATAATGAATATAATACAAAAAATTATTATATTTTCTTAATTTTCAATAACAACATTAACTTAAAGAGTATACAAAGTTACATTTATATAATTTATTTGCATTACAGATTTTATTTTAATACAATAAAATAAATTAAAAATTTATTAGATTATTAATAATATATTTAAAGACAATTATGATTGTTAAATACAAAACACTCATTTTGCTAACCACTTTTCTAATTCCTTAATGTTCAATTAAACTTCTTTGCATATACTGTGATTTGGACCTAAAACTTTTTAATAATGTTCCAATGACATTTAAAAGTATTTTTTTGCTTAAACAAATTTATCCTAAGTTCCATACAACACTCCGAAATTGTTGTAGATATCCCCTAATGTAATCAGATCCGACGCCGATTTACTAGTAGCAATTAAACTTGCTGCAGTTTAATAATATTACTCAGCAGATTTAAAATCTTTTATCTTTCTATATACTAATCCCATATTATAATATATTTTTGCCATTCTTGTACTTTCATTATCATTTCTCTTCATAAGAAACTCTATTCCTTCTTTATAATGTTCCAAAGCTTTATCATATTTCTGAATTCCCATATAAGAGGCACCTAAATTCTTTAGTATATCTGCCATACTATCAAATCTCTCATCAACTGTACATTTCACCAAATTATCAATATAAAATTATTTTAATTAATTGTAGTGTTACAATGCTTCTTCATACCTACCTTCTTCAAGAAAGCTTTGAGATAATAATTCCTAGCTTTTCACAGTCTATTTAGCATATTATCCATATATTTATTTTCTCAAATTATATGATTCTTAGGCTGCTTTAATGGTTTCAGCTGATCTACCTATTTTTTAGAAACATAAAGCAATTTCAAATAGAGTATCAGATAATCTCTATTAATTAGATTATTGATGTTTTCTATAGATTTCTGCAGTAATTGAATAAAATGAGATTGCCATATCAAATTATTATTTTTCATAATAAACTCTTGCCAAATTGTCATAAGTTGAACAAAGTATTGGACTACGATCTCCACACAATAATTTTTTGATTTGTAAAGCACTTTTAAAATATTTTATTGCTTGATCATAATTCTTCAATTTTTTGTGTGCCATAGCTATATTTTATAAAATGACAGCTCCTCCTAAATTATTTTCTCCAAATATCTACTCTTTGATTTAATAAGCTTATTCATAATGCTTAATTGCCTTTTCAAATTCTCCTTTTTTTCTTTTAACAATCCCTAAATTATTATAACCATCTGCTACAGAAGAATGTTTATCTCCATTCAGCTTTTTGTATAAAGCAACTGATTCACAAAAATTCTTTTCAGCCTCATCATACTGTTCTAAATCACAATTGACAGTTCCTAAACTATTCATAATATCTGCCTTAGCACTATCTTTTGATAATTTGATAGCATATTTTAATGCTAATTCATAATGAGATTTAGCATGTTCAGGTAAGTTTAACTTTTCATATGCTTCAGCTAATTTGACTTCTCTCATCATTAAATCTTAAGCACTCAAATTCTAATAAATATTAATATTTTTTTAATTACTTTTTTATCTTATTATGTTTTCAAACAGTTTACAAATACATCTTCATTAGGTTTTTTAAATAAATCTTTGTAAGATGAAAGGAGTTATAATAAATCATCAAAAGAAATACGTTTTTGATCATCATATTCTAACATTTTAATTAGAATCTATTCAAAAATAGATGGTTATTTTAATTTTCTTAACATTTCAACTTCAATTTTTAGTGATTCTCTATCCAATCTTGGAATTAATTTACGCATTAATAAAAAAGTGATTCCAACTGAATAAACATCAGATGTATATGGATCATAATTCAAATGTTATTTACCAACAAAGAAACGACCTTCTTTGTCTTTTTACAAATCACAAAAAAAGTATATTTCAGCTAAATGAAATAATATATTATTGAATACGAGCCCAATAAGCAGGAGATCCACGAACTGTATTTAATTAGGCTTATTTTGGTTTTAGGAATTTAGCACCACCTAAATCAGCTATCTTGTAAGATTTATCTGCTTAACAATATAGGATATTTTATGGTTTAATATCACGATGAGTAACATTGTGTTTTTTCATAATTACAAAACCTTCAATCAATTAATATAGAATGTATAGCAATTCTTCATCAGTCCATTTAGTTTTATTTTCTTCTATTCTTACCTTGAATTACTTATTAAAATGTACCTTTAAAAGCTCCATTAAATTACAATCACATAATTCCATTACAATCACTAAAAATTTGTTATCATCCTTTATGCATGGATAGATATCATATATTTTAAGTAACCCTTGACAATTAGTTTGTGATAATGTCTACATAATAACTATTTCTCTGACAGCTGCTTTGAATTCTGGATCTTAATCACTTTCATCATCATATCCAATAAATTTTAGAGCATATTTCTTTCCTGTTTTTTAATCTAAAGATGCAAATACTTAACCAAAGGTACCTGCTCCGATTTCCTTAGTTATGTTATACATCTTACCTATTTAATATCAAATATTTCCCAATTATAATTTTTGTTAGCAGCCTTATCCTTAATTTATTCGATCTATAATTTCATTGCTGATTATAAATCTGATGGTTCAAGTACTACAACTATTTGATTCTAATTCATTCTAATTGTCATTTTCTCATCTTTCCCTCTATGTTTTAGAGATTTAGTTTCAAAGTTGTTTGATTCCATTAAAAATTATATATAATGTAATATTAATAGCAACGCATTTCAACTATTTAAGAGTATAAATATGCTTCACAAACTAAAAGTGCAAGATCAAATACTCCTAAAACTCGTGATAGTCGTTATGAATTCTCTTAAGATTCAATAAGAACTTCTAATGAATATAGATCATCTAAATTAACTCCTGAAATTAATCAATTTTTAATGGCTTGTGAAATTGAAAGACTTTCTGCTGAAAATGATAAACTAAAATTTAGAATCAAAGAAATGTAAGACAATACATAAGATAAGCATAATTTAGTACAATAAATCATGGATTTAACTAATAGATTAAATGACATGTCTAATATTATAGAAATCTATAAACATGAGAAATCTGAATTAATAATACAAACTACAACTTTATAAAAGGAAATTTAGAATTAAAAATAATAACAAACAGATTTTTATGAAAGTAGAATTTCTAATCTCTTAAATGAAGTTGACAATCTCACATCCTAATTAAGAGAATTTGAAACTTTTAAGATTAATGAAATGCAAATATTAAGAAATGAATTAGAATTTGCTATGAAAACTGAAATTGTAAATAATAATCAATAGTATATATTAGGAAAGAACAACAAAGAAACAAGAACTAAATTCTTAATTTTAGAGAGAATTTCTAGAAGGAGAATTAAAAAAGTGGAAAGAATTGTGTAATTAAAAATAAAAAGAAAATGATGATCTTAAAAATGTAATATTGTAGAAAGAATTAAATAAATAAAAAGAATTAGAAAATTAATTATTATCATATAAAAATGAAACAGAAAGATTAAATAAATTATAGATCACAAAATAAGAGGAAGTAGAAATTTGGAAATAAAAGTATTTAAAAATTTAATTCATTAATAATGATTACTAAAAATTGTAAATTGAAAATCAATAATATATTGATAAATTTTCAGCTCAAGAAGATAGGATTACTCTTCTTACTAGTTAATTAAATTAATACCGATAATAAATTGATAATGCAAATGCTCGTAATCTGTTGACTTTTATTCTTAGTCACTTAAGCTGAAAAAAATAAAACGAGTTAAATATTTGCTTAATTAACCGAGATGGACAAAAAGAAATCTGAATTTGAAAACAGATACAAAAATCTTTTGTTTGAAGTTGATAAATTAAATGAAATTAATAAATCTAAGGAATAATTATTTATAAGTTAAAATATCAAGTAATTATATCAATTATTTATACTAGGATAGAAGAATTTCAACATTCTCTTATTTAGTATCGTTCATTAAATGAAGAAAAAACATAAGAAGTAGAAAATCTACGTAAATTTATAATTTAATTATAATAATAAATAGTAAAATTAGAAGAATAAATTGATTAACTTAAAAGATTCTAAGAAAATGTAAATAATTCTTATGAATTTTAGTGTCGAGTCTTGTCTATTGAAATTGATAGACTAAATGAAGAAAATAAAGAATAAGATTTAGAATTGAGATAATGGAGAATGTAGTATGCTGATCAAGGATTTTTCATAAAGTAGCTTTAGGATTAACTTTGTATGATTGTAGTGCTTATAAGTGAAATTGAGAGTTTGAGATCAAGATTATTAGAAAAAGATTTGGAAGTAGAAGAAGCTAGGAGATCTAGTCTTGCTCCTTATAAAATATGAATTTTTAAGTGTTTTCAAATTATAAACTAAATTTAAGTTATAATGAATAAAATTAATAGAAATGCCTAAACTTATATTTAGCATAAAAATATATAGTATTTTTAGCATCAGGATTTGCTAATTTAAACTATAATATTATTTTTTATCATCTATATGTTTAACATTTTAATTAATTTTTACTTTTATACTATAATTAATTAAATATATTTCGATTATCCTATTTGCAAATTAAAAATATTGAATATTTAACTTATACATATACAATATCTTTAATGAAATATAATAATAATTACATATTTAATTAATTATTTCAATATGAAAGTTGTTTAAGCACTCAAATCCACAAAGTTTCCTTTTGCTTCATTTACTAATAGAGATGTTAAGTCTGATTTTCATCTTCTCAAACCTCACTTTGAAAATTTAGTTCCAGATGAGTATTTATAGAAAAGATTAAAATTAACATCTAATAAAATAATGAGAAAGAGAAGAATGATGAATTATCATATAGAATTTGATAAAAATGGAAACATGATTAGATTTCATGAAGAATACCGTCTTGATAATTATGATGAAACTAAATGCTTATAACATGCAAATGTTTATGAAGAATTAACTAAAGAAATGAAACAAGATTAAATTTATAAAGATTTTCTCTATAATACTCTTCAAATAACTTGGCAACTTAAATAATTTTAAAAAGCACAAATATCTGTTCATGCTGTGAGAACTGTATCTTAATATTCTAAAATATTAGATATCCTATGTTGATTAACCTGCTTCACCTACACCAGAAGGTCCAAATAGAGATGGAAATGATTTAGAAATTATAGGTGTAATCAATAAAGTCAATTGTTAAGGAGCAGAAAGTTAAATTTACAGTTCTGATAAATCAAAGTTATTATTTGAAATGAGTCTAGAACCAGGAGAAGGTTATATAATAGATGATAAATCATTATGGAATTATGCCACATCTCATAAACCTATTGATGAATCTTAACTTGGTATAAGAGACATTTTAGGATTTGTGTTGAAAATTGATAATTGATTTAACATTAAATTAACATAATTTATAATTTGATTAGAACTATAATATTTAATAAAAATTTAAGAAACTTAAATCAATGTTCATCATTTGCAATTTAAATGCTTTAATATAATTTTCCATTAGCAAACAATTTTGTTAAATTTTATTTCTCACTATCATCAATATCCTCAAAAATAGTATCCTTGTAATCAAATAGATTTGCACTTTAAATTATAATCTATTTAAGTTCCTCAATTTTAATATCATCCTTTATAAAATGTATTTTCTTTTTATCATTAATTAAAAGGCTAAATTCCTTTAATAAATTTTCTTTGTCTTTAATTTCGTCTTCACTTAACTAGAAGTTAGTTACGATTATATCAATAATATTTGAAAATTATTTAAAGTATTTGATGTTTTCATAAAAGTTTTCATTCATTTAATTTGTTCTTACAAAATTAACTACTAAATATAATCTTTGTATTTCATTGATATATTATTTAATATATAAAGTCAATTATTATATTATTTCTTCTTTTTTTTCTTATGAATCATCTTTTTCAATAGAAAAAGGGGAATCCACTAAATTTAAATTATTTTCAATTGTAAATTCATAAAATTAACCTATTTCTTATTTAATTGATTTTCTCTTAATTTTATTTTCAGTTAAAATATTAAATATCTTATTTTTTTCCTCAACTGATGTTCCAATCAAAAGTATTTTTTTTTGATTAATCTTATTTTATTTTGAATAACAAAAGGGAAATAGAAAAGGAATAGTTACTAGTATTACTAAAAAGAAAAAGACTAAATAGAATAATTTCTATTAGCAATCATCCATTTCTGTAAAGATATTCTATTAAAGCATTAATGCATATTACATTTTATTAATAATAATTATATTTATAAATTTAATTTCTAAAGAAATATTTAATTTCATCTGTTAGATCCACTTATTGTTAAATGTAATTATTACATTATCCTACTTGATTCTTCTTAATCTATAGTTTCAAAGATTGTATTTTTTGGAATAAATTATCCATTTCTACTTGCATATTGAGCAGCATTTAAAAATTATTTATTCAAATTATTTGAATCAGAATTCTTACTTACTAAGATTAATCTTTATTTATCGTTTTATAAATATATTGACAACGCTTTTTAAAGTTCTTCCTTACTTTATATTTGATCATCTGCTTTCTCAAATGAAGTAACAACAATAATGATCAAATCTCTGTATTAATTAAACCATTTAATACAATTTAATAAATTAGCTTTCATTAAATCATTCCTTTCATATTCAATAGCTATATATAAACACTTAATTTAGCTTCTTAATAGATCTTCTCTTTTAAAAAATTCTTAATATTCTTTAATACATTTTTCTCTTTAATCAATAGATTCTGATAATGTTAAGAAAGGACATTAAACAACATAAAAATGTTATTTATTAAATAATTAATCCCTTAGTTTATGAGATTAAAATTTATTCTGTTTTACATTTTATCTTGAATTTTGTAGTTATTAAAATAATGTATTTGAATAATTAGTTCCTAAAATCAGTGCTAATTAATGTTGTGTTCCAGACATTTACCTCCATTTTCCTATCACATTATAGAATTATTAAAAGGCTATGTTTAATAAAAATTTGAAAGAGATAAAAAATAGAGACAATCCAAAGCAAAATAATCTTCTTATATCTAACATTAAATAAAATAATTCATACACATCCTTTTAATTAAAAGAAAACAGAATATGGATTAATTCTATTAAGACTTTAAAATTATATATATAAATATAATTTTATAATTAAAAAAATTTCAAAATAAAATTATCATTTTCCACATATGCAGGATAAAAACAAATTTAAACAATATAAAAAATGATTAAAACATAATAAATTCAAATTTTTTTGCCATCTTACCATTCTCCTGTTTATTTATTACCACTTGGATCAATGACTTCACCTTTACCATGTTATTTTCCATCTTTCCAAAAACCTTTATATATTTTTCCATCTTGCCAATAAAATTCTCCATATCCACATTTTTTATCTTCTTTATAATCTCCTAAAAAATTTTTATAAAATCTATATACCTATATATTTCTTACCATCAGGCCAAATAAAGATTCCCTTTCCATCCATTTTATTTTCCTTCCACTCTCCTTAATATTTTCTTTTATCAGCCCAAGTATATTCTCCTTATCCATGAATTTAATTATCAACAAATTATCCATGATATTTAGCACCATCACTCCATGTAAATGTACCAATACCATTTTTTTTACCTTATTTATATTATCCTTCAAAATATGAATTGTCTGGCCAAAATTCTTTACCTTCTCCTTCTTGTTAATTACCTATCCATTATCCTTCATATCTAGCTCCATCATAATGATAATATATTCCAAATCCCTTAGCATTTCCATTTAACCAATATCCTTCATAAGCATCTCCATCTACATAAATTATTCTACCATGTCCAGAAATCATGTCATTTTACCATTAACCTTCATAAAATGATCCATCCTACCAAAATTATTTACCATAACCTTCTCTCTTTAAACCTTCCCATGTTCCTATGTAAATAACTTCTCCCTTTATTTAATAAGGAGGCTGGACTTATCCATTAATTTAAATCTATTAATTTGGAACATATTTTCCAATTCTTTCTAAAGTTCTCTTAATATTATTATTAGTTATTTCAATCGGTTATTCATAAAGTTTTAAATCAGGATGTTGAAGTTACTATAATACTTCAGTTACTTATTAAATGTCTTATTTTTATGATTGTTATTATAGAGATTTGAAAATATTAGGATCTTCTTCACTTTTTCTTTGTTCCAACTCCTATTTCTTTTCATCTGTTATTTCAGCAGAAACTTCTTAAGGTAGTATTTTTTAATTGTCTTAAGGTATATATTGTAACTATTCAATAAATGCAGCATTTTGAATATTACTAATAACTTGATTATTTAGTATTGGTTGTTGAGCACAACATTTTGCTCCCATATTTATATTAATTTTAATTTATAAAATAGATGAGTTAAAGGAAATTGTTTAGATACTATATTGATCAAAGCATTCAATAGTAATAAGAATAGAAATTATTCCTTACAAGAGTCAATAGATGGAGATTCAACACTTTAGATAAATCAAATTGTATAAAATATTATGAATTAAATTAGTCTTGAAATCTACTAGACCCATTAAACCCATATTATTTGGTTTAGCTTGTTTGGCAGTTTATGGTACTGTAAATGTTTATAAGTAGATTGGACATATGGATTTTATCGTATTGATGAGCATCATTGATTTATTATTAACAATAAATATATATATAAATAACAACATGTCTACTCATATCAATCAAACATAACAGAATTTAACCAATTCATAATAAGAAAACAAGTAATTCCTTTATTATAAATAGTCTTAGAAATAGAATCAGATCTCAAAAATTGTTCATATCAACAATAATTAAATTCTTCTTTGCCGTATTACTATTTCTACTGCTCAGTTTCTAGATTTAATATCACCTAGATATACTTTCTATTTTTGTGCTTTTTCTAATATATCATCTAATAGACTTTTTGAATGTCTTTTACTATCATTTTTAGATGAAAAAATTGTAAATACGATTGTAAACATTCCTAATTATACAGCAAGAAGAAAAAGTTATTGGGCTATCTTGGAACTACAATATTTGATTTCTTTTATATAATATGCTTATTATTGTTAACAAAAGTGGGATACCAATATTTTGTTTATAGTAATATTTTTTTGGTAATTGCAATTTTAATGAATTTTTATTCCTTCTATTAAGATAGAGCTTTATTAGAATCACTTAAAATGTTGAATTAAATATCTTTATTGAGTAGAATTTATATAACAATATGTTCATTATTTATAACTTTAAAAATTGATAATATAATAATTTGGAATTGGACTCCTACTTTATGGAGTGTTTGGGTAGGTTTAATTTGTTTTATTGGTATCAGTACAGGTTCCCTTATAGTTACATTTAGCAAGATTATTTAATATATGTTTGATAAATAAAATATATAGAAATCAGAATGTATTTATTTTTTATAATAATATTTAGTGATTTCATACATTTGGATAACTTAAATTTTAATATTTGGAAGTGTATCTATAACATTAAGTTCTTTGGGATATTTATAATATTTAGAAAATGAATAAAATTATTCTTATAATTTTGAAGTTTAAAAATATTTCATTATTGCTGAATTCTTTATCATTTTAATATATTCCATATATTTTCGTATAGATATTTGTGAATAAATATTCATAACACTCTAAGATGATGAACCAATCAATTAATAATAATTTTCTGTTAATATGTAAGGAAATAATTAAACTTTATAATAAATCAATCCAATTTCATCAAGAACTTAAATTCCTTAAGTTGTGTAAAAAATATCTAAAGCATATTTTGGAATTCCTTCTAGAATAAAAAAGGAAGGTGATCAAGATTCAATTAGTGGATCACCTGTACTTAAGAAATCATCAAAAGGTCATAAAAGAGCATTTTCTAGTTAAGGAATTGCTTCATAAATGTTTTAAGAATTTGATTAAATAGTAATTGATAAATAAACATTAAACACTTTAAATAAGACTACTTCTAATGAGTAAAGATTTTAAGTTGATAAAAAGAGATGTAATTCTCATTTAGTAACAGTAAATTATTATATTAATATAATAGATTGTCCATGATGAAAGTATTTAAAATAAAAACCATGAGATGAGTATGAGTTAAACTAGTAATATTTGTATAGTATGTTATGAAAGAGGACCAAATGCAGTTTTTATGAATTGTGGTCATGGAGGAACATGTTATCAATGTGCAATTGATATTTGGAAATAGAAAATGGTTTGTTATTTATGTAGAAATGTAATAATAAATATTAATTAATAATTAGAAAATTGAATATATTTTGAAAGTTGATTTAGAAGATAGATATGGAGATTTATTTAAAGTTATTTCTACAGTTTAAATGATAGATTAATTTAATAAATGAAAATTGTATTAATTATATTAATTAATCATTTTAAATTTTAAACACTTACTTTCATTTTATAATTGTAATACTTTTATCTTTGGTTTATAATTTCTAATAAGATAAATTATTTAGTTTTTGGTTTCATCTAAAATTTAATTATTTTTTCTTTTAAAGTTATTGTGTCATTATATAAAATTTTTAGATTATTCAATGTTAAATCGCATTCTACATCTATAGAATTACTTTCTATATTCTAAAAAAGAAATAAAACTCCTAATAATATAAAAATAAATATGATACCTTATCCATGTTGTTAAATGAAAATTTCAGGATTTTTTATTTCCTTATATTAAAGATTTTTTTATGAATATATATAATCAAATAATGAAGGTCTTTCAACTATTTCTGATTGTATTTTATTATAAAAGCTTATTTAATATTCAAATGAAATTGAATTAGAATCAAGTAAAACCTTAGGGTCAAATTTGTAAAGATATAACATATATTGTTTAGGAGGTATAGATACCTTTATTTTAGTATCCATTTCTTAAGTTTCATGTCTGATTAAATTTCGATGTGTAATAAACTCTAAATATTCTTCAAAATTAGAATCACCATGATTCTCATAATAAATATATAGAAATCCTTTAGTTCTCTCCAAAGTTCTTTATACTTATGGAAATTCTTCATCTTTGTATATATAAAGATTTTAAGTTGTTGTTTTTTATCTAATCATTGTTATAATTAATTCTCTTAATTTTTATTCATTTTGATTTGTTTAATCAAATTTTTATGTTATTTGAATACCTTAAATTTATAATTTCAATGTTGATTATTAATTTTACAATTCTTCAGGTATTGATTCAAAATCAAAATATTCTGCTTAACAAACTAATGTGTATGTACCTGATGATAATTCAGTTTCAAGAAAAAGATTTTAATTACAATCAATAGATTCAGAAAGAAATTAATATGTTTTATTATTATTTTTAAATAATAAAAGTCTTATTAATCCATATTTTATTTCTTTCTTTTATTATGATGAATTCATATTTTAATCTCTTTAACAAATTGATATCCAATAAGTTGCTTCATTTTTTTGTTTGTTATTAATTTTAAAAGTATAAATATATGTATGTTCAATAAATTACTAAATTCTTTTCATTGGCTATTACATTGTAAAAGTATATGTTTGATAACCATAATTCAAATGAACTTAAAATATAGTTTATAGTTAGAATTGACTCCATTTTAAAAGAAATTTGGAATCTTATAATATAACACCTTCATTATAAATTAAATCTTAGTTTATGGCTTATAATACAACATTATTTTCTTTTACTGAAGTTATTACATAGGCATTATGTCTCTATTTATAATAAACCTCAATATAAAAAATAGAATTTTTTTACTCTAATTGAGATTACAATTCCTATATTGTTTTCATTTATATTTTTGAAATTGGTTATCCTATCAAAAGCTTAAATATTTAATATCACATTACATATATAAAAGATGATATCGATGTAGTTACTAAATCATTCAATAAATTATAACTATCACCTAGTAATTTGACAATTGCTTTTTCAATTATGATTGGCCATTATAAATTACATTTGAAGGTAGTTTCAATTTTATTATTCACATTTTTAACACAAGGCACTTTATCATTTACTATGATTATTTTCCATTCACCTTGGTCACAAAGCCAAACAGCAAAAGGATCTTCTGTTCTCTCAAAAATACTCTTCATTAGATAAATCTATGATTGTAACACATTAAAAGCATTTATAAGAGCAAAATTATTATAGAGTTATGAAATCCCAAACTATTTGCAAGGGATTAATGAATTGGGTATTTCTATATCATATATCGAATAGAATTAAATTTTCTAATAATCTTTGTCATATAAACATTATGTAGTTTCATTAGAATTATCTTCATATTATTCAATAATTTAGAGTCCTTTATTGTAAGCATCCTATAGTTTTTCTTACATTTAATATTAATATATATATTCTATTATATAATCAAAATTCAAAATCTCATATATTAAAGATCGTTTAGAAACAATTAATTGCCTTTTGTATTTACAACTCTTAGTTTGATCCACTTCCTAAACTTCAAAATTGTATTTATATTTTTAAGATTGTGCACTTTACACAATGTTTTTTAAAAGTAATAATAATAAAATAAAACAAAGTAAAAGAAATTCACTTTATAAATCTTTTAAATATTTTGCTAAAATAAGCAAAAAGTTATTCGATTTTTAATTGTATTTATCTTTATATTCTAATCAAATATTTTCTTGAGAGATTTTGTTTTTAAATCAACTACTTTACAATTTAACCAAAGCATTATTAAATTTTTTTTTTTAAAACATTTTAATTTTTTCATGGATGACTCTTTCGAATTAGATATATTGTGTAAACAAAATCCTACCAACTAATTTCTTTTAAAAGAAATAGAAATTGTTAACTATCTTAAATCTCTTGGAATTAAAATGAAAACTGATCCTACAACCAAATAGGAATTTTTCCACTCTAAACGAAAACAATAATTCATTAAGTCAAATACAACCTAATTTGATGTTTCTATTAATAAGCAATTAGAAATCTCTTCTAATTCAATTAAATCTCGTAGAACGCCTTCACATACTCCTCAAGGTTCCCCTTTAATGTTAAATTAAGAAAATGTGGGACAAGCTAGAAAATCCATCTTCTCTATAAGAATAGATGGTTTTGCAGATGAAAATTTTGAAGAAGATGAAGTTAGAGACTATTTTACTAATATGTGATTAATCAATATCATTATTTATATACATCATAAACACTTTTATTTAACATGTGTTAAGGCAATGGATCATTTTTAAATAGTTTTTATATTATTGATATCATCTTTTGTTAATTGCTGTATTTCTAATCTTAATAATAAATAAAAATACATTTTTAATCATTTTTAATTCTTCATAAATTGAAGAATTTAAAGCATTTGTACATGATGGATCATCACATTTTACATTATAAGAATTCATTCCAAAACCTTCATTGTCTTCTTCCAACATTTTTTATGTTTTTTAATACTTCTATATCATTAATTTAATGCAGTAACAAAGTGCATATACATATTTTATATTCTCAGAATTTTTAGCCAGTTAAATAAGTATTTTAACAAATGAACCTGTAACTTCTTAAGAAAAATGTCTTTTCTTAATGAATGCACTATCCAATATTCTTAATATCAAACTCTCTTCTTCTTCTGTAATTTTTATTTTTTAATTTGTCCAAATGTCCAATAAACAAACATAAAATCTTTACATTGTTTCTTTGTCATCTATCCCAAAAACAGAAGCTGGTCCATCCATTATAGATTATAGAGCAAATATAGTTTTTAATCTTAAGTTAATATATTTCAACTAATTATCCTTTTTCTACCTAAGTATATTAGTTGATTATAATAAACATTCAAATATTCCTTATATCAATTCAATATTAATCAAATGACAAAATTATAATATACCATTTAAAGCAGATTCATAATATTTTGATACTCGAGGTAATTTGAGTACTTTAAAATAAATATAAAATATTTTTGAAAGTATCTCTCCATTCTTAAAAATTATTATAAATAAATTACATTTTTAGCCAAAGTCTTTTTATCTAAATCTCCTTATGCTTCTTATAATTCATCCTAGACCTCTTTTAGTAATTTCTTTTATTTAGCCATTTCTTCTTTAGTCAATTTCTATTTCTTTTTATCCTTCTCTTTCTAACTAAAGTATTCTCTCTTCTTTTGCTTTACTGCTCTCTTCTTATCTTTTTCTTACTTCTCTAACTCTTAAGGTAGAAATTTAGTGTCTATCTATATTTAATTAACTAAATCAACAAGATTATCTGGTAATTGATCTTCATGTTTAGTCTAATAGAGCTTTTATATTTAAGTTAAGATTTATAATTTTGCTTCATGTATCGAATGCTTTTTATTACTTAATATTTTTGATAGAGAATTATAACATATATCATTACAAGTCAATAAACCATATGTTACATATTAAGCTAATTCTCTATTGTAATTAAAATGAAATAATGAATTCAATAATTTACATAAACTATATAATAGATATATATTATATATTACCTCTAATAACAGGTTTCTACAAGAGAACCTTAAGATATTAATTTAACAAATGTAAATTGAGCTTTAATAAATTGATAATAATTTTTTATTAAATTCAATTCAAAGTTAAGTACTTATTTTTCTTCTTTTTTGATAAATTTTGTAATTTTAAATTCATGAGCTTATTAATCAATTTTATATAATGGAGCAATATCAATAAATAAATCTGTTAATGCCATAATTGTCATTTGAACAATGAACATATTTTCATGTTTTAGTAATTCAATTAATTAAGATAACTCTGATATCTTTGATTCTGGATTGGCCTAAATTTCAGTTACCTTTTCTTCAATCATTTGAATAATCTATGTTAGAGTCATTGTCCTTTGATTTTCAGACATTGATTAAATTATTAAATTAATTTATAATATTATTGTCATTGTTCTTGAATAAAGTAATACTATTATTATTTTATATTATGAAATCAAAGATGTTTAATAAAATGACACGAATATAGTATTTTCTAGATTGAATTCAAAATAAAAAAACTATTTTTTATTAAATTAATAATGTCTAAATATTCTGTAATTTTACCTACCTATAATGAAAGAGAGAATTTACCAATCATTACTTACTTGATATTTGAAATGGCTAAAAAGAAGTATTCTTGTATATATATATTAAAAAGTAATTTGGATTTTGAGATCATCATAATAGAAGACAATTCTCCTGATGGTACTTTACAGGTAGCATAAGAATTAAAGAAAGTATATGGTGATAAGTTGATCATCCATTTTAGAGAGAAAAAACTTGGTTTAGGATCTGCTTATATGGATGGGATCAAACTTTGTCATGGCAATTTTGTTGTTATTATGGATGCAGATTTATCACATCATCCAAAATATTTAGTTGACTTTATCCAAAAATAAAAATAAACTAATTGTGATATTGTGACAGGATCAAGATATATCAATAAAGGAGGTGTTATGAATTGGGGTTTTGATAGAAAACTTACATCTAGAGGTGCCAATTTTCTAGCTTCAACAATGTTAGGAGTGAGATGTTCTGATTTAACAGGAAGTTTCAGACTCTACAAAAGAGAAGTCTTAGAAAAAGTAATTAAAGATGTTGTCTCAAGAGGATATGCTTTTTAAATGGAAATCATCATTAGAGCAAAATAATATGGATATACAGTAGAGGAAGTATATATATTAGATAATTTAAGGTGCCTATTGTTTTTGTTGAAAGAATATTTGGAGAATCTAAATTGGGAGCATCTGAATTTTAAATATACTTAAAAGGATTATGGAAGTTAATGTGGACATTCTGATATATGAATATATAAATATTTACATAGATATATATTTAAAATAACTCATTACTTCTTAGATTTTGCTATTAACCAATCGACTACTTATGTTATATTGTTGCCAGTTAAAGCACTGCACATAGCAACTGCCCATGCATTATTTGTTATGTAATCTAAATTTAGACCTTAAAATCTAATCAATAACTATACCTTCTATTAATTGTTTTTCATTCAAATGTGGATTTACATCTATTTTATTTCCAATCACTAAAATTGGAATATTACGCAAAGATTAATTATCTAATAAATTATGTAATTCTTTCTTTGATGTTCCAAGAGTGGCTTGCTTTATCTGTATTTTATTATGTTTACATTTGAAGTATCAACAAGAAATATAATTGCATCACAACCTTAAGCATAATTACCCCATTCTGGTCTATATTAAACTTATCCTCCTATATCCCAAATCTTTTAATTGTTGTTTATTCATACTTTCATTGTTACTCCTCCCTTTTTCACAGTCCTCACATTCAATCCAACTGTAGGCACTGTGAATGAAGGATCTCCCATAGATAATTAATTAAGCATAGTTGTTTTTCCTACATTTTCCAATCCAACCATACATACTTCAAGTTTAGAAGTTGAAAAAAATGATTTTAGTTTCTCAAATAAATTTCCCATAAGAAATAATATAAAAATCAAACTAATATTTCTTCTTAAAAAAAATTCCTAGTTATTTAGAAATTGCTTATGAAAATAATTAAATACAAGAAATACCTTTAAATATATTAAATTTCATAAATATTTCTAAAAATTAAAAAATAGTGTACAAAATTTAATTAGCTATTTTCATAGTCACATTATTTTATATAATATATTATTATCTATCTGTTTTGTTATAGAATTAATCAACTACAGATAATTTAATTAAGAAAATTTATGATTTTTTAAATTATATTTACTTGTAAATTATTTATATCCATTTTAAGCGCAATTTTTAAAAAGATATATATTAGATAATTTTTAAATTTATAATTGATTTTTTTTACGAGAATTTAAATCCATTTTAATTGATTTATATTAATGAATGTGTTTTATTAATTAAATTCTAGTCCTCCATGAAAAATAGCATTTTATATAATTCTGATACCTATTCTAATTTCAGAAAGAGACAATCTTAACCATCAACAACTGCAAGAACAAATTTATCCCAAACACATTTAATTTAAACAGTATTTAAAACTCCAGAAAAATCAAGAATATTTAGATAAAAGACACCATCAACCAAAGTAAAAGTTAAGACTTAGAATATTGAAAATAAAGAGAATGAAACTAAGACAATCAATAAAAATAATTACTCAAAAATATCTAATAGATAAACATAGGAAAAACAAACAAGTAATTTAATGAAGTAGATTAATGAAAAGTTAAACTAAAAATCTGTTTCAGTTCCTGATATTTTATAAGAGACCAAAGAAAATAATGAAATTAAACTGTTTGGATAAACTAACTAGTAAGGAGTATTTACTTAGAATAGAGTCATCAAGATATAAGATTTATTTACTTAAAATTAAATAACAATAAAAGAATTGGAAAGAAATTGGTAAGCATAATTAAATCAAGAATCTGAATTAATTAAATCATTACAAAATCAAGAAAGCATATAATAAAGTAGAAATGATTCTAAAGAGAATCTATTGAATTCTTTAATCCATTAAGAAAATTCAACTGGCCATAAACCTTTAATATATGTTATTGATTTAGCATTATTATGAAAAAATGTTTAATTTAGTAATATAATAAATGTTATTAATGTCAATATTATTTTTTTTATTTTTTCTCTTTCTTAACAGCTTTTTACATTGCTTTTTAAATTATAAGTTTGTATTTAAAATTTGTTACTTCTAATTAATGCAATTAAGCTTAATATAATTGAGATTATTTATAATTTGGTAATAATTTATCATTTAAATGAGTCATATTTTCTACAATTTTTTCCATATTTTATATCTCTTTTTTAATTATTTCCATATAATCTTATAAATATAATGCTTTTTCTTCAATTATATTTCTTTAAAAATGTAATGATTCAATAAGTTCAATTAAATTAGCAAAATCTTTATTTTGTTCTTTTTCATGTACACTTACTACTTTTTCTAAACAATCTGTAAGGAATGTCTTATATGTTTTATTAAAAAACATAATTAATTAGTCATAGTTGTGTTTCGCAAGATACTCTGTAAAAATACTAAATAATCTAGAATTTCTGGTTTTATTACTTGATAAAAATTGATGAAATTTCACTTTATATGTTTTGTGTGGTCAAGAATGTTTAATCAAATATTTTACTATAATATACATCTTTCAAATAGTCTGTAATTTTTTTGGATTAAAAACACTCAATAATTTCTTTATTAAATAAAAGGTATTCATTTTCATATTAATCAATTTTATTTAAAAATTACTAATATTTTAATTTGAAATAAGATAATTCTTTAAACATATGCATTTCTTCAAAAACATTTTCCTATATTTTCATTCTTTCTTAAAATAATAATTGATAAATTTCAATTGATGGTAATATAGGTATAATTTATTTTTAAATATTTTCTTCATATTATATTTAAAATTCACTAAGTTAATCATCAATTATATGTTCAAATACTTTATTGTAAATTACATCCTTAATAATATCATTAATTTTTTCATAATTTGAAACAAATTATGCTAAAACTTCTGCTAATTTAAAAAAACATCTACAATTTAGATTAAATCCTCTCCATTTTTTTAAAGGAATAAGACGAGAACTAAATAAAATAATATGTTATTTACTTGTTTTATTTGTAATCATAATATTACCATTATAAATCAATTAAATTTGATGGAAACTTTTTAGAGTATGATACAAAATCACAATATTATTTTAATTCATTAATTTATCTAATATCTAATTCATCTTATTCTATTTCTACTATATTTAGAGATTAAAGTTTTTAACCAACTTATTTCAATAATGTAATGAACGTATTAAATTGTTAAATACTTTAACATGTAATGAACAATTCATCAGCTAATAATATGGAATAATTAATTAGTTTAATATTTTATTAATTGATATCTCCAGTTATATAACATTCAAGTAATAGTACATCAGAATTATAAGTTTAGGCAATATCTTTAGATATCCATACTCCTAATAAATCTTCTGATTAATCTAACTTAATATTTAAGAAAATTGAAATTTAACTTTGATTGTTAATTTCGTTTGCCTAAAAATATTATTCATATGTATTACTAAAATGGTTTAGTTTTTCATTTCAAAATGTTCATTACATAATTAAATATAATCTCCATTCATACATCTATATTAAATCTGTTGGGAAATAATTGTATTATGACTAAAAGGAGCATTTTGATTATCGATTTCCTAGAAATACTTTGGTCTATCCTTCTAATTGATTTAAGATGTATTTGTAGTTTAACCTGTATAGGATGAGAAATCAGATTCGATTGAATCTTTCCTACGTGATCTGGTAGGGGTTAATTAATAAAAATATCTATTCCTCATTTATAATATTAATCACATTTAAGCATTAGGATGATGAACCCATGGTAACAGAGTTCCAAAAACAGCTTATAATAATCCATGATTTGCATTAAGAGGATTGAAATTACCAGGTAATTATTGTTAAGGCTACTATTATTAGGCACCAATATTCTCTGCAAAAAGATTATTGAAATCAAGTCTATATAGATTAATTATAAAATTTACCTTTCTGGATTCTCTAAAAAATGACTTTTTGATAATTCCTTATATCTTCTATATTAGAAAGGGATTTCATTATAAATAGGTACTCCTTCTTTAACAACAGTCATATCTTCATAAAAAGATCCAAGATCTAATTTTTGGCTTTTAATATTATTCACAATCAATCCCAAAGCACTAATTATTTATTTATAATAGAATACCCTTTTATCCATTTAAGAATTTCATTAGATTTCCATTAAGATTTACTTTTTTCAATAAAAATACTAATAGTTTTAATAAATCCATCATTATCATCTTCAGTATCTAATTATAAGAACCAATGTAAATAAGTTTCTCTTTGTAAAAATTCTTCATTTAATAATTCTTTAAATGGTTTCCTTTAATAATCTACAAAGCTATCTAGATTTCCAACATTTTATTTAGTATATTCATTAGCTTCTGCTAATTATTTAAGAACAATTGGATATAAAAGAATAGCTTAAATAATTAGAACTTAATGGGATGCTTACAAAGGATTAGGACCAAAATTATTAATAGCTTCAGTTATATTTTAATCATTAAAAGAGTAATGATGATTTTCTCCCTTTTCTAAGAATTTAGCTAATGCACAATTATAAATAAGATTAGGCATAAAAACAATAGAAGATCTATTAGTTTTATAGACACTTCTAACAAAATTGGAACTAAAATTAATCAAGTATTCATATTGTTCAGCTTTAAGTGCATTACAATCTATTAGAAATAGTGCACCACATGGATCTCTTGTTGGACAAAATTTCAATAATATTTTTGAAAATCTTTATATATAATATATATAATTACTCTAAAGCTGCTTTATAACATCCTTTTCTTGTTAAAACATCTGTAAATTTAAATAAGGACATTAAAAATACTTTACTATGTGCATTTTCTTCAATCTCGAGATTGATTGAAGCATCCTCAAAGAATTTATTAAATCCATAACCTAAACTACTTTCATAAATAAAAAGTAATCTCTCTAGAAGTTCATTGGCTTATTTATAATCTCCTTTTAATCTAAAATATTCACTAACATCAAATTATGCTTCACAATGTGATGGATTCATTTATAAGAAATTGAAAATAGCTTGTGGATCATAATAACCCTTAACAATTGTATAATCTTATTATAATCTTTCATATTATTAAGAAGCAACCAAAGTAAATAATTACAATCCTTATTCATTTAAATTTCCAAATTTTACATTAAATTTATCAGGTAATGGAATATTAATTTCTGGATTATAGGTTAGGTAAGATTATTTAGTATTTTTATGTCCTTTCTTTTATTAACCACCTGCAATTTTAGCATTTTTGAAATGTTATTATAATTCTTTATTATAATTTAATCTTTTGATATTAATAGCTAATGGTCCATTTTCTTATGATTCTTAAAATTATACAATTTATTATTTTTATTATTATGTTTATTCTGCTTAAATTTTATCTAGAAATTCGAAATCATCATCTTAATTTTATTATGGTTATTAACTTGTTTCTTATTATTATTTTTTATCTTTCTTTTTTTTATTTTTATTCTTCTTTTTCTTATTAGTTTAATCATTTTATGTTTATGTAGTTTGGTTTGATTATTAAGTTTAACTTTCTTCATTTTTTAATTCTGGTTATTATTCATCTTCTGAATCTGACATTTCCACCATTTAAAATACTTATTTTTATTTTTTCTATTGTTCTACTTGATGTACTTATTTTACTAATTATTCATCAACGACTTCTTTAGGTTCATTTTGTTCCATAAGTTTTTTCATCTATCTTCTCATTTTTATTCTTTTATAAATATGTTTTTAAATATTAAATATAATTCAATCATCTACAGCATAAATTAATCTGAAAAAGTAAAATTTGAAAGATAGAATTAAAGCTACATTAAATGATATAATAGGAATAGCTATTAAAGCAGTTTACTTGTTCTTTTTCATAAAACTATTAATATTATTATATTAAATTACTCCCATAAATTAACCAACAAAAATATAGTACTGTTTGCAAGTCCACACATTAAAAAGAACCATTAAGCTTCATTGTATGGAATTATACATAAAATTAAAACAAACATATAAACACTCAATGAATATCCATACATACAAACAATATCAAATACTCCTAATTCACTTTTTAATATATATTTCATAATAATTCCTAATATTATAGGTATTATAAATGCCATTGCATAAACTATAAAAACAGCTACATACATATAATTATATTCGTATTTAAAATGTTTTTTATTCTCTTCCAATAAAAATCGAGATAGATTTCCTCCTGCAAATAAAATGAAGATAATTGTTGTTGATATCCATAAAGGTCCCCATAAATCAGGGTTTTTACCAACACATTAATAAAATTCTGGTTTCCAAGATAAAAGTGAACAACGTATTCTCATATAAACATCTCTTTATTCAATATCAAAGAATTGTTAATAGTATTCAACTGTACAAATGGGACATGAAGATTATTTTGGTTTGGGTTCAAATTTCACTTTAATTTTAGGTTACTCAGTCATTACATTTCCTTTCTCATCCAAGTCATTCTAGTTTAGATAAGTAATACATTAGATCCAAAGTTTTGCATTAATAATTTAAAATATATATTATATGCTTTTCTTGATTTCATTAATTGGAATTGTATATTCGACATAATTAACACTTGTGGAACCTTCTTTAACAGTACCATCTACAAAAAAAGATTCAATGCCAGTCAATGTGGCTGATTTTGGTTATGTTCCATATGGTAAAACAGTTAGTGGAAATTTAACTTATATTGAAAATACTTGTAATCCACTCAACATTACTTTGAATACAACTGTTGTATTAACAATGGGATCATCTTGTAAATTTTTAGCATAAGCCATGAATGTCTAATCAGCAGGAGCTAAAATGCTTATAATTATATACAATCATGAAGAAGACATTAGTAACTTTTTATTAATTGCTGAATATGGATCAGATTAATCTTTTATACCAACTATGATGATTAATAAAGTAGATGGAGAATTTTTAATTGAAGAATTAAAATCAATACCTATTTATGTTTCTGTAACCTTTGAATTGAAATAATAAGAGATTGTAGATCTTTAATATTTTTTATCATCTTTTGATTTATTTTCATATTTATTTTTAGATGAATTTCATCCATTTGCTAAATAGATGATTGGTCAAATAACATTTGATCCAATATATATCTAATTTTATTGTAAAGAATGTGAAAAGACTGGTTATAAAGCTACAAATCAAAATTGTATAAGTGGTGGAAGATATTGTGCTTAAGATCCAGATTCTGATGGTCCTTTGACTGGAAGAGATGTTATATTAGAAGATCTTAGATAATTATGTATTCTATAAAAAAATGATTTGCTTATATGGTGGAATTACATGATACTATTTAATAAAATGTGCTTCAATAATTAATAAGATTGTCAATCTAAAATAATGAATTCTATTTCTATTAATGAAACTATAATAAATGAATGTATGACATCTTCTTTTATTGGAAATAATACTTTATTAGATGATAATACTATATTAAAAGAATAAAGATATAAAATTATGAAAAATCATTAAGTATATTGGCCATCCTTATATATTAATGGAGAATTTTATAAAGGAGATTTGTATCTAAATAATGCTGATGAAAATACTGTTTTTAATGTTGAGGATTTTGCAGTTCTAGAAGCTATTTGTGATGGTTTCTTAGATGATTCAAGACCTGATCTTTGTAATACAACTGGATTCTTTTCCATAAAAGATGGTGAACTTAAAGATTGTATAATATATCTAATTTATTATTAGAAACAAGTTCATTGATAATTATTCTAATATGGGTAGGAATTTCTATGCTTATATTATTTTTTATGTTAATCTCTTTCCTTTTTATACGTAGAATGATGTTAAAAAAAGTTAGGGATGATGTTGGTTCTTAAGTTGATAATTATCTAAAAAACTATTATAAGATGCCAGAAGCTTAATGAATTTATTCTATTAATAAATATCATTATTAAATAATCCTTTATAAACACCATCTTATTATAAGATTTAACATTGTTAATAATTTCTTAAAATTTTTAACTAAAGATTAGGTCACACTTATTTTTATTGATAAAAATTTACTATTTATTAAATATCTATAAGTTAAATCATTTATGTTAAGCAAAAGACAAATTCCTAAATAGATATATGTAAAAATCATATATTATTTCTAATCTGTAAAAATCGTTATTTTACTTTATTAAAGTAAATTATTTAATTATAAAATAACATAAACATTAAGTATCAAAATTTGATATCAACAATTGACTTTGGTGTTTAAGTATTGAAAGTCTTAACCAAATCAGATATCAATACTATTGAGGTTTCTGTGTCAGATAAATCTTCCTCATTTAATAATTAATCTTGTTTCTAAAGGTGTTAGAACAACTAAATCATCTAATCAGAAATTTAAATTTTATTTGATTCTTTATATGAGTTACTCTATGTTAATATTGATGCTGTATGTTGCTATGCAGGAGAATATTTTTCTTATGATAACATTTATCTAAATAATGATTTTAAGTAATCATAATTAGGCATCTCTGCCTTAGCTAATCCATCAATATAAGTTTTAAATGCTGTAAATTATTATGGAAATCTTTGTGTTAAATCCATAGTATTAAATACAGCATCCTTAACTTCTCCTATTTTTCTTATTTCCATCTGCTAGGATTAATATTTTTATGTGGTTTGCCAAGGAAGATTCTCTATATATTCAAAATAATAACTTACTATTTCTTAGATACACTAATACATATAGAAGACTTTCTAAATCATCTTTATAATAGAGCTAATTTCCTTTATGGGCCTATCTGCTAGCATATCTTATTGAACCTACAAAAACTTTGTTCTAAGAATTGATTTATCCAACTTTTTATGATAATCCAAAATCTATTAATTGAACAAATCCAGGTTATGCAATTTCTTCTAATGAAACTTTTATATGAGATGACGAAATCATGATATTTTCTGGTTTTATATCAAGGTGTAGAATGTGTTTTTTATGAACTTATTCCAAAATCTTTAAAATACTTAATCCAATTGTAAGAATCTAATTTATTGACATTGTATTGTCTTTTAGTATTTCTTAAAGGTTCCTCTTTAAAATAGGTGTGATCAAATAGCATCTAATTTAAATTAGTTGTTTATATACCTAAAATCTTTCGTTTTGCCATAATCAAGCAATTATGGGACACCATCTATACTTTTTAGTTGCTTAAGTATTGAGACTTCAGACTCTAGTTGACCTAACTAAGGGCTTTTTTCAATTTTCATAGCTAAAATTTGAGCAGTTGAGTTATGTTAAACTTTCATGACTTAATGACCAGAGCCTGACCCTAGATTGGAAAGCACACGATATTCAAGGACTTAAGAATTCATTTAAATAATTAAATAATCAAAACAAGAATACGGTTGAGTTTATCAATTTATCAGAACCTATTAATCATTTAGATTAACATATATAACAGTTTAAATAAATTAAAACACAGAATGCACCAAACTGCCATTTATGATGGCAAATTAGATATTAAAATTTAGAGTCAATATATAGCAGATTTTAAAAAGATACAATTTCAATAAAAAAAATCATTAAAATGAAATGAGACTCCTTCCCACTTAAACTTCCATTCCTCTCTATATTTATAATCTTTCAGATCTTATTAAATGCAAAGTTCCAAATTTTGAATGATTATCAAATAGATACACTTTCTTTTCTTATATCATTAATCTAGCATGATTTCGACTGACAGAGATGTCATTTATTCTTATTTCAGTATCATTTGATCTTCCAAGTCTTAATTCAGATATATTAGAAAACTTTAAAATATAAATACCAGAACTATTATTCCACTCTAATTATTATCCCTATAATAAGTTATAGGAAAAAATACTTATTTATTAGTGAACTCCATCATTATATAAGGATAATCATTTGGTTTACTTAATTCTACTAAATCATAATATGCATCATCACTCTTAAACTTTGGAGGATAATTATATTTACACAATTCACATTCTAAATTCTTCCATAAATAAACTATGCAATTCTCACTTTATCTATTTTCTAATTTCATTCTTAACCATGTTTTTAAACATTCTAAATGTATATACTTAATTGATCCACTACATTTACAAGGATTCAAAAGTGGATTTTTAATACTCTTTTGAGAAGAACAACAAATTCTACACATTATTTATTCTGATGAATTAGATTGTGATGATTCATATTCAGATTTCTACTCTTATTATTTAATTTCTAATGCTATCTAACGTATAGTAAATTTCACTCTTCCCAATTTTATAACATCTCCTTCTTGTAAAAGTATTCCATTTTCATGAATCACTTTCCAAATCTTATTCCCAATCTTATCAGAAACAGTTCTTATAATATATATTATTATAACTTGTTTACTATATTAGGAGATTCCTCATTTTCTTATATTGCCTATTTTTTTTCATCATTTTGAAAATTTGGATTTACAATAAAATAGTTTTCATTTTTTTTCTTTATTTTACAAAGCTAATCCTTAATTATTGATTCATTTTCTATCCATTCTATTTAATTACGACCAACTAAATAGCCTTCGTTATTTATCTAAAAGTATAATTTAAAGACTTTTTACTATAAATTTTTATTCTTGCACATTTGCTGCATTCTCATAATCAAATAATGAAAACGCATCCTTTTGCCATGTTTTTACTAGAATTATTAATTTTGTGCAATCAACATTATTTGCTTAACTTAGACTCTTCTAATAACATTACCCTTTACAATTTCCCATATTAATTTTATTAAATTTTATGATATGTTAACAAACTTAATTTAGTTCTCATTCTAAAACTTCTAAAAGAATTAACAAAATTCTAAATTGAAATTAATTTAAGAAGACTTTATACTTAAGAATAATAAAAAATTAATTCTTATTTTTAAGGTCATACAGATAAATTGGCTACTCTAATTTTTATTTATTTATTATTCTTCTATTTATCATTTACATTTCTATAAATAATTATAAAATCAATAAATATTTATTTTTTATTTTACAAGATTGATTAAAAAGAACTTTTAAAAATATTCATTATTTAATTAACTTCTCTAAAAGAATAAAAGTTTAAGAGATACTTAAATTCATATAGTACTTTGAATCAAAATGTGATTTTATCAAATTGTTAAGTTTGAATGGAAATTTAAGAATTAAATGTTTATATTTAATTAATGAAAAAAAATTAAATTCCTCATCAGTAGTAATCTGATTAGTTCTATTTAATTAAAAGATAAAAATAAAATTATAAATTATAAGACTATATTGAAGCATATTTGGAAAATCTATTCTAATCTATTTATAAATGTGATATAGTTTATTTAATATATGAAAATTAAAAAATTCAATTAATTTTCAATTCTAATCCTTAAATTTATTCAAATTTATATATTAATAATGAGAGTATTTAATGCTGTATTATTTATATATTACTTATAGTTATTAATTCTTATTTCATAAATAGGAAAACACATTAATATAAAAATCATTTGTTTTCTAAAGCTTTTTTGAATTTATCTTCAATAATATCACAAATTTGTGATAAACATTTTAATCCATCATTCATAACTTTTTCTTTTGTTTCATTTACAGTTTATAATCTCAAATTCATTTTATTTTCACTTGGATGAGGTAAACTATAACCACAAAATTCAACATTTGGTTAATTTGCCAAAATATAACGTAATGAGTTTCCTAATGTATGATCTTCATCAAAAAACACAAAAGTGCCATTGAATGGATCAGAATTTTCCTGTTTTTTATAATTATATTTATAAATACTTAAATTTCCATTCCTTTAACATTTTATGCAATTATAATTGGCTTACTTAATTCTTCTTCTTCAATATTGACATCTTGATCTTCTGACTCACTAGAATTCATTAATTAATTTTTATTATTAGATTAATTTATTTTTCCATTAACTCAATATATTTATAATGTCAGACGGAATATTTGTCTCTATTATGTTGCCTGCTTTTATAGTGAAACATGAGAATTAAATAGTAAATTTACCTTATTTTAATTAAGGATCAACTTTTAAAACAAACACTTTGTATCTCCTCTTAATCATATGAAATATTTGAAATTCCATCAAAGTTTGGTAAAGAGTTTGGAGTTAAATTAACACAAAATTGTAACAGTTATTAAAAAATTAATTAGCATTAAATCTTCGAGATATAGAAGAATTGATAGAGGAAAATAGATAGCTCCATGCATCATATTAAAAATGTAAAGAATCCTTATAAACTCTAAATTGTGAATTTGAAAAAATTGTAAATGATCCTCTTATTCAATCTGAATCAGATAAAATGAAATATCAAACAAAAAAGTTGAAAAAAGTAAAAGAAGAAAATAAAAGACTTCGATAACTTTTAAAGTGCAAAATTTATGATTATTTTTAGATCCTATCTTGATAATAGTGATAATAGAAGAATGGAAACACATGCCAAAGTAGAGTTACTTAAAGATGAACTTAATTCATTAGTAAAAGTAAAATTTACTATCGATATCATAAGGAATTTGCATAGCAAGAACAACAAAAGAAATAAAATGATATTTTAATATCAAATTGATTTACAATTGAATCTTTTCTTTTTGATTCATATGAATATTATTGTCATATATTTCTCAATTATTGTCTATATAATATTTAAAAATAACAGAAATGGAGAATGATAAATAATCTTAATTTGAGGATCATATATTATAAAGATTTACACTTCTAGAATTTAAGGGCAAAGGTGCATATGGAGTAGTATGGAAAGCACATGATAAATAAACTAAATAAATTGTTGCTTTAAAAAAAGTGTTTAAATAATAATATCACTTAGGTATTTGATGCATTTCACAATAAAACTGATTCATAAAGAACATTTAGAGAAGTAATCTTTTTGGAACAAGTATCAAAAAATGCAAATATCATTAAATTACTTTAAGTGATAAATGCATAAAATGATAGGGACTTATATATGGTCTTTGAATATATGGAAACAGATTTACATAAAGTATATAAATTCAATTAAATTAGGTTATAAGAGCAAATATATTAGAACCAATCCACAAAAAATATGTTGTCTATTAATTATTAAAGGCAATTAAATTTTTACATTCTGGAGACATTATTCATAGAGATTTAAAACCAGCAAATCTATTAATTAATTCTGATTGTATAGCTAAATTAGCTGATTTTGGATTAGCTAGAACAGTGAATACTTCAAGTGATGATGATGGTAAATATAAAATTAGAATTTAATAAGTTCCCATATTAACAGAATATGTGGCTACTAGATGGTATAGAGCACCAGAAATACTTTTAGGTTCATAAAAATACTCTAAAGCAGTAGACATGTGGAGTATAGGATGTATATTGGGAGAGATGATAATAGGAAAGGCAATATTTCCAGGAACTTCAACAATGAATCAAGTTGAAATGATATTAGAAATTTTGGGTACACCAACAGAAGAAGATATCAAATCGATTGCAGCTCCTTTAGCAAAACATATCTTAGATAATATTTAATATGTGAAACCAAAAAACTTTAAGACTGTTTTTAGTAAAGAAAGTGATGATACTTTAAGTTTCCTTAAAAATTTGTTAGTCTTTAATCCTTAAAAAAGGATGACTGTTGAATAGGCATTAGCACATCCATATATGACTGAATTTGCAGGTTCAGAGGAAGAAACAGTAATAGGTAAATAATTTTATGAATATATAAATAGATTTTCCTGTCCAAACATTTATGGATGACAATGTATAATATAGTATAGAAGAATATATGACAACACTTTATTAACATATAAATCAGAAGACACAATAAATTTAACATTAAAATTTGTTTAGTTCTCATTAATCTCCAACAAATTCCACTAAACCTTCAAATTCTATTTAATAATCAACTACTACTCCTACTAGTGTTTAAGACAAAAGAAAGAAGAAAGGAGATTCAATGGAAGGTTCAAATAACAATTCAGAAAATAAACAGATAATAAAGTAAGAAGTTAAGAAAAAAGTTAGTGAAGATAATTAAAATTAAAAGATGGGTGTTTTTGAAAAATTTAAATTAATTGAAAATATGATTAAAATGTAGAAGGCAAAATTAGGAACAAGTAATGGTTAAATAACAGTATAAAATAGTTCAAAATTATAATATGGCAATAAATCTGTCAATATAACAAGAGCTGATAGTTAAAAAAAGAAGGAAGCTTCTTGTGTATTTTATTTTGATTGATTTTATAGGAAATTTTAATTCCAAGTCCAGCTGCAAAATCAAAAATTTAAAAAATTGTTAGTTAAAATACTTTTAAGGATCCTTAAAAAATTTAAACTATAAAGTCTCAATCAAAATTATCTAAAAATGAAAGTCATCATGATAAATTCTTAAATAAGAAAACTTATTTATAATATATTCTTAGTGGGAAAGCTAAACTATAAAAATGATTTTATAATTTGCATTTTATTATAAAGGTTATATATTTTGTAAATATTTTTGGAGTTTATTTATTTAGATTTAAGTTAAATAAATTTAATAAATGATAGCTTCAAATTCTTCAAGGTTATAAATAATTATATAATTTAGGCTAATAAGTCCCCGTTAAAACTTTTAGTTAAAATACACAAAGAGTATTTCTAAAGAAACAAAATATCGTCTAAGAACTGCTAGATATAATTAATTAGAAAGATTTACTTTATAAAAACATCATCCAGATGAAATTAAAAAATGTAACACTAGTTGTCATTGTGATTATTGTGGAAAAATGAGTGCGTTTTAAATCAAGGTTTGGAGATAAATACCTTAATATGAATCTGTGTAAAATCAAAAATTCAATTGATTGATTATAGTTTTTCTAGACGAAAAAGAGTTTTCAAACGTTTTAGAATAGCAGGCTATGCTGCATAGTTCTTAGTTTTCTATAAGGCTGAATAGATAAAAAAATAAAAAAGATAAAGACAAATGCAATAATTTCTTAAAAATCCTTTGATTTCTACTAAAAGGGGAACAATGGTAATTTAATCAGCTAAATAAAACAGATCTCCAAAATCTCCTACACCTTCAGAAAATTAAATAAGGTTATAATTAATATTTATTTGGTAGAAGAAATGCAACAGATTATTTTGAAATTGATTCTATCAAAGAAAAAATGTCATTCAATGATCATTGTAGTACTTTAATAGTTTGTTAAAATCAAAGTATAAAAAAGAGATAGGTCTCTTTGTATATGGAAGAGATGTTAAAAAATATTACAACAAAATAGAGTATTGGTATGAGTCTTACTCCTCTCTCAATAATTGTACAAAGTTTTAATATGTATTTCATAGGATAAAAAATTAAAGAAGAATAAATCAATACCTTGTATTACAGAATAAATCTCTCCAAAAAATAGTCTTGACAATCTATAACTTGAAAAATTATTGACTCCTTTGAATCTTCTACAAAGGAGTAAAAGAAATCAATCTAATATACATATTTTTCATAATGAATATTCAAACAACAACAAAGAAGTTATAAAAATGATTGATAATCTTAAGATAAAACATAGAAAATTAAAAAGAAAAAATTGATTTTATACTCTTTCTTGTTAATCATTTTAATTTTCTAATTTCAGACACAAGATCATATTCACCATTCAATAATTTACTTCTAAATTCTGCATTTCTATCAATCAATTTTACAACTGATTTTACTTTATCCATATAATTCTAAACTTATTATTTGTAAAGATCATAAATTGTTTATTCTATTTTTTTTGACCATTCCACTTCTTCATTTTATGTCTATTGATAAAAATATTTCTTTAATCCTTCAACAGCCTTTTTTCTTTTTTCATCATCTACAAATTCACCACTCCCATTTTAACTATCATTATTTTATAATTTTGTATTAAGTGAATTTCCATTTTTATGCTAAATTGGTTTAATATCTTTTTTCTCTTATTCTTATTTCACTTTCTTTTAGATTATAGGTTCATCAACTTTCACTTATTTTTATTTTTATACATTTCTTTATAAATCTTTCTTAGACTCATCTTTTTTAATATGATCTGTAATAGCTTAATCATTTGTTATAATTAATTATTTCCATTATTTCACTAATTTTCTACATATTTTTATAGCTTTTGCATATTTCTCTTCATCATCTTCTGTATATTTTTTATGTCCTATACGTACAATACTTTTTGTTATCTCGCTATCAATTAATGCTTAAGTTTCAATATCACTCTTATAAATTTAAGCAATTAATGAATAAGATTTTGAAATTGGGATTGAAGAGAATTTCTTGAGTTCTTATTTAATTTCAGATAACTATTATGCATTTAACTCCATTTAATTAAATATTTATTTGATTTCGTTGTAATAAAATAAGTATAAATATACGTGTTATAATATTAATTTTTATGAGCAAAAAAAATAACAATATTCTCTAAAAGAATTTAGAAGAAGAAAACATCTTAAAATAAGATGAATTGTTAGATAAAGTCGAAAAATTGAAACATGTATCCTTAAACATACAAACCTATCTTAAAAATGAAAAGCCTTCTCTAGATAAATTAAATAATGATTATGATAAATCTATTGATATGGTAAAAAAGTCAATAAATGGGATTGGCAGTATTAATAATAATTAATATTCTAGAATTATTAAAATCATCATTTGGTTAGAATACTTGCTTTCTGATTTGTGTTGTTTTTATGGTGATTTTTATACTTTATTTATTGTGAATTAATAAGTTTTGATATTCTGTAATTAATTTATGAATAATTTATGGAAATTAATAAACCTATTTCCATTTACATATAATAAATTATTATTAAGATTGTAAGAATATTATAACTCAAAAGAGATTAATTTTAGAGAATTTGATATCCATATAAAAATATAAAATTTATGAATCCTTAATATAAAAATCATAATTAAATAATGTTTAAAGTAATTCAAAGAGCTTGCTTCAGATATGCAGTTGCTAGTAGCAAGGCTGAAGCTGAAATAACATCAGTACCAGGTATAGAGTATTGAAAGGTCTAGGACATAAGCCACCCTCTTTTGAAGATACTGTATAAGGTAAATATGCTGGCGTACTTTTCTCTACTGCATCTTAAAGAGAAGCACTTCATTTAGTGCTTTAAGATATGAAATATTTCAAAGAATTGGCTGAAAAGAGTCCAGTATTTGCAGGCTTCTTATTAAATTCTGCATATAAAAGAAATCAATAAAGAAATGTATTATAAACATTAACAAAAGTAAAGAGATTTTGATATAAGTGTAGGAAGGATTTCATGAAGTCACAATAAATTTATTAAATACTATGATTGACAGTCAAAGAATTTCATATTTAACTAAAACAGCTGAGAAATATATTGAATATTATAGAATCTTTAACAAAGAAGAAAATATTACAATAATATCAGCAGAAACATTATCTGAAGAATAAAGGTATACAAATATAGAAATGATTTAGATCTCAAGTTGTTGGAGCCTTAAAGGAATCTAACCCTAATGTTTAATTCTCTGTATAATATAAAGTTGACCCATCAATTTTGGGAGGTCTATAAATGTATTCTGGTAACAAATTCTTAGATTGCTCATTGTTATCAAGAGTTAATAGATTGAGATCAGAGTTATTGAAGTTGAGCATTTGATTAACAATAAACAATAAAATAATAAATATATTATTAACATAAAAAGATGGATTGCTTAAAGGATCCTGCAAATGACAGATATGTAAAAACACTCAAACCACCTCCTCATCGTCCATTAGCTAAAAATTTGATGTTTCCAGATAAATTAAAAAGTATGACAATAATATAATAAATAATTAGATAAACCTGATTGGAAATTGTTAAAGGATCATCTTTAAAAAGAGGGAAGAGTTGCAAAAGAGGAATTATTTAAATTAGTAGCAGATTGCAATAAATTATTGAGTAAATTGATAAAATGATTATTAGAAAATGAAGGAAATGTACTTTATTTATAAGATCCACTTACTGTTGTAGGTGATATTCATGGGTATTTGTATTTATTAAATGAAGACAATATTATGATTTGTTAAAATTACTTGAACCAAAGGTTGGAGGAAACCCTGAAACAACGAAGTATAAGAATGTAATCAATAATTTTAAGATATTTATTTCTCGGAGATTTCGTTGATAGAGGTTCATATTCAATCGAAGTGGTTATTTTACTTTATGCAATAAAAATAAATTATCCAAATACTGTATACTTTTTACGTGGAAATCATGAATGCAGATAATTGACAGCGTTTTTCAATTTCAAAGATGAATGTATATATTTTAATGTAAATTGTAGGTTTGTATAAATATGATTAAGAAACTTATGAGATGCTTATGGATTCTTTTGATTTATTTCCATTAGCATGCATAATCAATTCAAAATTCATAGCTGTTCATGGTGGTATATCACCTGATTTAAAATCTGTAACTCATTTTACTAACATAAAAGTTAGAAGACTTAAAAAAATTAGACAGATATCATGAACCACCTAGAAGTGGATTATTTTGTGATATTCTATGGAGTGATCCTGTAGATTAAGATTAAGGAAATTTGGATGGATAATGGAAAGGTAATGAAGTAAGAGGTTGCAGTTGGTTTTTTGGAAATGAAGCTAGTAATAAATTTCTATAAAGAAATAATTTAATAAGTATAATAAGAGCTCATGAGGTTCAATATAATATAAAAATAATAGGCTCAACTTGATGGTTACAAGATGCACAGATGGAATGGAGGACAAGATTTTCCAGTTGTTATTACAATATTTAGTGCTCCAAATTATTGTGATGTTTATAATAATAGAGGTGCTGTTATTAAATTTGAAGTATATTTATTTTAATCATAAATTTAGAATAATACTTTAAACATACAACAATTTTAATATACTCCTCATCCATATTTACTACCAAATTTTATGGATATTTTTACATGGTCTATTCCATTTGTAGCAGAAAAAATCACAGAAATGTTATATAATTTAATTTAAGCAGGAGATTAAGGTGATGATGATGATGATGTTAATTAAGAAGATATTGAACAATTTAAATTATTAACTAAACAAAATAAATAATTAAATAAATAATAATCAACTGGAAGTACTGGAAGCACAGGCAAAAGTATGTTTATTTTTAATACAAGGCACTGAGAAATTAAAAAATAAATTAAAGTTTGTAGCAACAATGATGAAAATGTAAAAAACACTTAGAGAATAAAGTGAAAGTATTATGAAATTAAAAGGTGCATGTCCTGATAAAAGATTACCTAAAGGAATATTATCAGCTGGTAAAACAGCAATTACTGATGGTATCAATATTGTTTTATATTTCTTTTTTAAGCTCTTGCTGATTTTAATATAGCAAAAACAGCTGACATAGTTAATGAGAAAATGCCATCATAAGCTTAAATACCTCAATAATCTGTATCAATAAAGAAACCGAGTAATACTGTATAGAATAAAAAGAAATGAGATATTTTTCTAGTAAATATATATAAAATATACAAATATTTATTTATTATACCAAATATTTTTAATAAATAAAATTATAATGTAAGACAAATAAATTATTCAGCTTTTTGAAAAATACTCTAAACTTAATGATCCAAAATTAGTGTTCTAGACAAGTGAATAAATTTTAGAAAGAGTAAATGAAGGGGATATAACATATGTATTATCAAAAATTATGAATTGTTTACAATCAACAGATTTTGACACTACAATCAATTATGCCTTATTATTAAAGTAACTAATATAGAAGTATTCATCTAAACATCAAACTTTATAACCTAAAGCTATTTTCGATCAATTATAAAAAACATTAAGCAAAAAGAATTCATATGGTAAAAGTGAATTTAAACATTTTATGCTAACAAAATATTTGGTCTATTCCTATTTAGATTTTTAGAACTTATTAAATATTATACTTGAAGATCGTAAAACTGAAGATTCAGAATATTTAACCTATGTTTTATTGAAACATCTGTATTAATTATTAAATAATCTAGTAAACCTGAAAATGTTAAATAAGTTAGTAATTCAATAAAAAATGATCTTTAAAATTTAACACCAAGAGTTTTTTGCATTTTAGTTAAACTCCAATAATTGAGTCAAAAAGGATAATTTTAATGGGATAAATATCTCTAAGAGTAAGTCTTTGATAGATAAAAATTCCATAAACTCTTAGAATAAGCTAATGAACAATTTCCAAAGAAACAACTTTTCTATTAATATTTAGCTATATATATGGGAAAAGTATAATATCTAATTAATATTAATAGTTTAGTCAATCATAAGAAAATTAAAAAATATATGCTGAATTTTGGGAATACTTATTCTAACAAGAAGACTTAAGAAAATTAAACTACATAATATTATCGATATTTAAATATTTTCTAAAATCAACTACAACCCCATTATCTTTAATGAGAAATTAATAATTGATTGAATTATGGTACAGATAATTTGGAAATTCAAATTCTGTTATGAAAAGATTAGCAAATAAGATTGAATAATACTTAACTTAAAGAGATGTCTCTTTTGATGATATTGTTTATTTGAGAAATATTTATGGTTATAGAATTCATCCTAAAAATGGAATAGCATAAAAAATATTGGCAAAGTTTACAGAAGATGAAATAGATTAATATTTTGAGAATATGAAATAATAAGAATAATCATCTACTGATCCAATTAATAAACTCTATTATTTAAATGAAATCTATGTTCTTGCTACTGTAGGTAATACAAATATAAAAGCTTTAACATCAATGATAAAATATATTTTTGAGATTGGTTGTATAAATTTTGAATAGATTTATGAACAATTAGATGAGGAATCTAAAGAAGCATACCAATTTGAAGAAATAAAGAAAAAATTTTTAGATTAATGTTAGAGTTTCTTTTATTCACTTGTTGGAAAAGTAGCAAATGTAAATATTTTATATTATAAGTAGAATGTTTAAGAATTTGATTAATTAACTAAGTCTCTTTTGAAATAACTCAAAAAATCAGATTTAATGAAATAATATAAATTGATTACAGCCAAATAACCTAAAGATTGTATTAAGCATTTAGTAAATACAATTCTTATGTTTTCATTTCTTAATGAAGAAGAAGGATTATAAATCTTGGAAGAATTTTAACATATTGCAGGTGATATTTAAGATGAGGAACCATAAATTAAAAAAAAAGTAAAGACTAATCCAGAGAAGGCAAAAGTTGTCTTAACTGAAGTCTTTATTTAATTATTAACTAAATCTCCATGTAAGATTATAATCTATATTTAAGAATTCTTGAGAGATGCTGTAAATTAGTGTTGTAAATCACTCGAGTTTACAACAGAATGTTTAGAGATACTACTTGATGTATTATTGAAAGAAGATCATGAGTATATTGCTGAAATGTAACAATAAGAATTAGATGATGAGGAAGGTGGAGATGAAAGCTTAGAAGAAGAAGAGGAAAATTAATGATGTTCATATATTAGTAGTTGTACAATAATTATATTATTAACAATAAATATTATTGATTAAATAAATTGAGTTAATTAGAATACTCAAATATAAATTAATATTTTGGAGAATTCAAATATAATAAGCTGAAGATTTAGAAGAATATTACTTAAATTAAATATAGAAACTTTCTTTAAAATAGGAGTAATCTATTTGAAAACACAATGTTAATTTTTGTAATGGATTCTTAGGATTCGAAGAAAGATATATTATTAAAATAATATAAATATAATATAGTACCTCTCTCCTATTATTTGTAAATAAATATATAGAATGAATCATAAAAAGAGTTTATGATAAATGAAATAAAAACTTTATCATATAATAATTTTCAATTGGTTTATTAGTACTTTGCTTATAAATCTCTTTTCAATAGAATAGTTTTAAATAAATCACTCCATAATTTAATTAATTCTTTTTTTTTATTAATTTTGTTCTTTTCAGCTATTTCAATTTTGAATTATTCATAAAGTGCCATAATTTTATCATAATCTTCATTTAATATCAAATAACCACATTTTTAAGCAAACATTCTTCCATTTTAAGAATCAAAACCATCAACTGCTTCAGTAAATTTAATATTATTTTTGGCCAACAAATGTTTGATACCTTGTAATCTGACAAGTCTAGTACCTTTTGGAGGTGGAAAAGAGAAAGTCTAATCAATTATTTAAATTATTTTACTTCATAATTTCCATAAGCATTAACAGGTAAATTTCCATCATTATCTTCTAAACTTACCTTAATATCATTAGTCTACCAAATAGCATATAAAGCAGTAGTTTTAGTTTTATCAAATTTTTAACTTACTTCTTTAATTGATTATTAATCAGGTTTAACTTCTCTTAAATATTCTCTCCATTTATCTCTGGAATGAAGAATTAAAACATCACTTTATAAATAAATATCTTCATTTTTGAATTTAAAACCAGTTGGTTTTGCATCTGGATGTATCATTTAATATTATGAAAGTTATGATGTCAGAGCATAAAATTAACTATATTTAAATTCTTTCTCATTTGTATAATTTTATGGAGATGGTACTATTATATTTGCACTAATAGGTTCATTAACTAATTATTAAAGTCCTTTGTAGATTAATTCTAAAATATTTATTCATATTACTTGCATTATAAGCTAATTGATTAAACCATCTTTCTAGAGATAATTAACATCTTTGAATTTAATAATTATAAGAATATTTTTATGTAACATCTACAAAATGAGTATTCTCAAATAATCTATTTATACGAAAATTTGGATCTTTAAATGTTAAATCTTAAGCAGCAATAATAAAATGACTAAAGCTATTTTAAAGTTTTGTTTTTAAAATATTTATATCCATTAACACAAGTTTATCTGATATAGGATCAAATGGAATCCATTAATTCTAATTAGAATCATAAAATTCAAGCCAAATATTATGATTATATGTTTAAATATCTTAATTAATTTATCTTTCATTTGGGTATTTTTTATTATCCTTTTTTTTTGGTTTTTTTAATTCCTATTAAAGATCCATTAAATTTTTACTTTCATTTTATTATTATTTTTATTATAATTATAATGATAATTTTAATCCTTTATCTTTTAAATTAGATTTTTAATATATAAACTAATTTAAAGACTCAATATTTTCTGATTATGTCATAAATTATGAATTTAAATCAAAAATAGTTTTAGTATTTTATTCTACCTCCTCATTCTCTTATTCATTTTTTTTTATTGTTCTAATTTTAAATTTTAATTCTAAACCCAAAAACCCTATATCAAATGCTCTTACTAATCTTACATTCAATCCATAATATTTACATAATTACCCAAAACTTATAATATACTCTAATGGACTTAAATTAGTAATTTTTAATTCTTTGAAAAATTAATTTTTTAATGAAAAAGTTATGGCAAAACCTTAAAAAAGTGAAAACACTTTTTCTTATAAATTTTTAGCTTAATTTAGTTTTGTTTCTATCATTTCTATAGTATCAAATTAAAAATTTGACAATTTAAATGCAAAATCATTTTAATTATTCATAGTTTTATGATCTTAAAATAACTTAAACAATTGTATAATCATTGTTGTTCGTATTTAATTAACAGGTACATAACTTTTCTTTTTAGGTTTTTACTCAATCTTTTTTTATTCTTTTCTTTAAATTTTTTCTTATAATTCAACTAAATCATCAGGTAATCCTTCTTCAATTATTTCATAGTCTTCTTATTTATTTGGTACAATTTTCTTTAATTAATTTACCCTTTCAACAAAATCATCTTGATCTTGTATTGATTCCTATGACATTTCTTCTGATTCTTGATTTACTTCAAAAGAATCGTCCATTTATTAAGTAATTTGTAAATTAATTATAATAAAATTTTGGCTCTTTTTTTAAAAATGACAGACATCAATCAAGAATATTTAATCTATAACATAAATAAAATAATATAATCAAAAACAACTTTCAATTTTACTCAAAGAATCAAGAAAAGTTTTAACGAAATATTATTTCCATAACTTAATTAATAACATGGGAAATAAACCCTCAGTAAATTAAAGTAAATTTCAAAAACAATTGACAATTAATGACAAACAATTTAAAAAAGACTAAAGCTAATCGAATGTTATTGCTCCTTATAGAGAAGGAACGACTTTAGCTGTAGATAGTAAATTGAAAGCATATTTAAAAAATGCTAATGATGGTGAAGATCTTGATGATGATAATCAAGGAGGAAGGAATAAATTATAATAATTTAAAGAAGACTAACATAATGTAGAAAATATTTAAAAAGAAATTATTCATTTAGAAGAAACAGTGTTTTCAAAAGAAAAATTATAAAGAGTTCGAGAAGACTTTGAATCCTATTCTAAAGAAAATAAAATGAGTAGAAAGAAGTTACTTGAATATTTTGGTATGGCAGAACTTGATAATAAAAGATTAGGAAACAGGATTTTCTAATGTGTTAAATCAACATTCTCTTAAAAAAAAACAGGGTATATATTATTATATAGTATTTTTTAGACCATTCTTAGATTATGCTAAGTTTTTAAAAGCTATATCTATGTTATCTTAATAAAATGATGAAGGAAGATTAAGGTTTTTATATTCCATGTTTGATATGAATTTAGAAGGTAGTATAGAAAAAGATGAGATGTATAATTTAATGATGATGTTTTTAGAGGTAATTCATAAATTTATCTTTTAGGGCATGATGTCAATAAATTATGAGAATTAAGATTTGAATGATTTAAAATAAAGAATAAGTGAATCACATGACAGATAGATTGAACTTGCATTAGAAGAAATAGTTAATGAAATTTATTAAAATCATGCATCAAAACAAAATGTTTTAAGTTATGATGATTGGAGAAATTGGTTGATGGAATAGGAAGGTATTTAAGAAATTTTACAATTTAATCCTCATACTGATTTTTAAGATTGAGAAGATTCTTTATTTGTTTGTATATCTTAATTGTTATAATATGATTAATATCATATTAAAATGATTCCATTAAAAAATTATTCATTTATTTGATTTAAGCTAGAATATCCATTATTAATTCTAAGTATATTATAAATTAAATTAATCATTTTTATTTATATATAAATTTATATAATATCATTAAATATATAATTAGTAATTATTAGAGTATATAATTTACAAACATGTATTCATTTTAATTCATTATATTTATTCAAAAATATATTATATGTATTATACTAATAGAATTAAGATTTATTTATTTTTAGATTGAATTTTTATAAGATTCAATGATTGAAATTGATATTTCAAATCATTATTTTATAATAATATCTATATAACAAATTTAAAATCTGTTCATTTAAACTTTGATTTAGTTGCGTTGAATTGTTTTGCTGTTGAATTTGATTTAATCACAAAAGATTCAGTCTTTTTCCTGGATAATCGCATTTAACTCTAAAAGGATGCTTTTAAGCTACTTTCATCTTAATATGAATCATCATCAGGAGGCTAAGTTTAGAATTTTTCAAATTTATTTATATTTTTAGAACTATAAGAAGGTCCAATTAATTTTTCAGTATGATATTAAGGAATTTTTAAAGGAAAATGTTAATTTTATTGTAAATTATGATTTTTAGGACTTTAAATGGAAACATGACTTCTAGGAGAGGAAGGGCTAAAAGTCAAGGTTTTAGATTGTTTTATTCTTCTATTGATATGTCGGTTTTACAAAATAGTTGGTTTTTTCATTTACATCTATTTTAATTTAGCTAATTGTTCTTGTATAAACCATTAATGATTTAGACACTAATGTGATGTCAATCTTTCTTCAGGATTGGATTATAATGTACCAATAATAAAATCAAGACCAAGGGGACTAAGATTAACTGAATTAAGATCAACTTCACCCTCAATATTTTATTACAATCTAGAATCAGTATTACCATCAAAAGGTAGTGTTCCAGTTGTTAAAATATATAGTATAACTCCAATGCTAAATACATCAACTTTTAAATCATAATTCTGATGAAGTAAGATTTCTGGTGCAATAAAACCAGGTGTACCACAACATACATAATGATAATTCAATTCTGGATCATAAAAATCAGCCAATTAAAATTTTCTTATACAAAGTGTTTCAATATTATCTTCTATTCTAAAAACTATATTATCAGGTTTTAAGTCTCTATAAATAATATTCTTTGAATGTAAATAATTTATTGTTTTGACTAATCTAAAAATAATTTTGGCAGCTCTATCTTCTTGAAAACAAATCTCTCTGGCCATATAATCCATGAGATTACCACAAGTTATTAATTCAAGAATGATAAATACTTATTCACTATTTTCAAAGATCTCATAAAATTTAATAGCAAATTCAGATTAAACTCTTCTGTGAATAGAAGTTCTTTTTAATAAGGCAATTCTATGAGCCTCGTCTATTAAAGATTGTTTTTTATAAATTTTTACTGCATATTCATTTCCATCATATTTGTTAAAGCCTTTATAAACCTATATTAGAATAAATAAATTTATACTTATGATAAAGAACCTTTCCCGATTTTCTTTTTAATAATATATGTAGCATCAAAATCACATTGTATAGTATAACTTTTAAGGTAGCCTAGCCATGATTTAGAATCACAAAATATTTCAATAACATCAAAACATTTTATGAGTCTTAAGGCTGAACCAAATTTAGGATGATAAAAAAGTTCTATTATAGCATTTTCAATATCAATCCATTTAGTTTTACCCTAAATAAAAGTAAGATGAATATGCTACTTTTTTTGTTTTATAAAATAAATAGTTTTCTATATTGGTAAGTGTTGTAGACTTTACTACTCCTGACTTATTTACAAATTTAACTTCGTCAGATATTGTTTGGTTATTAATTGATATAGGTAATGGAGACTTGGACCATTGCATTGTTGAATAGGAGATTTAGAAGAATGACTTACTATGTTTATATTCGCTACTAAGAAATGTTTGATAATTAAATTTACCTTGGATTAAGATCCTTTATCATTTCAAAATGCTTTTTTACTAAATTAATTAACTAAATTTATGGTATTTAAATTGAGATTTGATAATTTTACATACTGTAAAATGATTAATAAATAAATTATAACTAATTGATTATTAATACTATTAAAGAACAACAAAATAATATTGAGTTTAAAATGTTTTGCAAATAAATTAATAAATCAATTTTATTAGAATTATCCAATTTGATAATTGATTAATTATATATAATTTGTATATCAAATTGAATGTTACAATATAAAGAGACAAGAGTAATACACTATTCTTTTAATGAGTCTTTTGTATAATATATGTTTTAAAATAAATTAATTAAAATATAGAATAAGGATGGACGTATTTTTGATAATAATCAGCTGTATAATAGCTGTTCTGCTATTGGGAATCAACATTTATATACTAGCCTTATATTGTCATCGTATATCAATAATCTGAATTGTATTTAGCTTCTGATTCTGGATTTGGAGCATCTTTATTTTGTAAAATATTAGTTGTGCTTGGTTTCACTTTAGCATGGGGTCAAATTCTATTAGTATCAGCAGATATATCAGCATCTAAGTATTATGATAATTCATTTAGGGGTGTTTTTACTACTGAAGGGGATTCCATGATGATTGTGTGGTATGTTATATATTGCACTATCCTGGCAATGGTTGCATTTTTAATCCCATGTGCTCAATTTTATTATGAAAGTGATGAAGATAAACCAATAATGAAAAGATTATTAGAAGTAATGTGCTATGAATTCATATTATTGGGTGTATTATTAACTTTATTATTGGTTGGATTTACATATCTTGGAACTGCTAGGATACCTGTTCATACAATCACATAAACTTTTAATAGTTAGGTCTCAGCTACATATCCTATTGTATTAAGTAATTATGCTTTCAATTAAGTATTAAATATATTTCAATTAGATTGAAAGTGATACAAATGTAGAAATTTCAGTGTCATTTCCTGTATTTTTAATGGGATTCTTAGCATTTATTGGATGGTTTTTATTGGTATTGTTTGGTGGAGTTGGTCTATCTGCATTGCCAATTGATTTAATTTAAGAATACATTAACAGACCTAAAGTAATTAAATCATCTGAGGCCATGTAAAAAAAGATGAGATTAAAGAATTAAGCAGTAGAATTGATTTAATTTGGTTAATAAATTAAGGAGGAAGAAAAAGAATTAGCTTTAGTAAACGGATTTATGGCAGAACGAAAAGTCAAAAATTAAATTAAATAAAAAGCTAAAAAGTTTTAGGCTGCAACTGAAGCACTTTAAAATGAATACGAAATATTTAAATTAGAATTATAATATTAGAATGTCAATCCTATTGTTTGGATTTTCAAACTCATTTTAGGAATTATATTCATAATTTTGTCCTTATTATGGATTTTATAAATGTATTCTTTTATATTATTTTTATTAGATTATTATACATGCTCATCAAAATAAATGGATTTCCTGCTTATAGTTTTTTGAATAAGATGTTTATTTATTTAGAGGGAACAGTGATGTCATTTATTGGTACCATTTTATTAGCTCTTTTTACTTTATATTTATTGGGCTGTACTTATAAGGGTAACTTGAAGTTTGGACTTAGAATTCCTTTTCTCTTTACAATTTATCCAATGAAAGTTAATGAGACTTTTATGAACAGTTTCCTTTTCAATGCAAATCTATTATTAATTACTTCAGTAGCTGTTACTTAATTTAGTATATAAGCTTTTTCTGAATACACTTAAAATTCACAAATTGCTTTAATGTTCTTGGGCTAAATTTAATATTTATATTTCTTTACTTGGTTTTTTGATTATAATGTATTTGTAATAGCACTACTTTCCTGGACTGGAATAGTTTTAATCTATTTGCTTGTAAGGAAACCACCAAAACCTTATGAATTATTATAAATTGAAAAAAGGAAGACATAAGATTTTGAATTATAAACAAAATGAATAATATTAACACTGCTAAGATATTAGCTGTCATATTTACTCTATTTATAATTTTTTTAATTGATATATTATTTTTAATTTTCAATATTTTTCTAAATCCTAAATTCTTGAATTATATTTAGTTATATGATTATTATATACAATAAGTTTTGAACATGGATTCGTATGAAATTAAGGATACAAATTTATTTATAAAATTTAATACCTCAACTGAATTAATATATATCACATTTGAAATATTATATAATAGAGAAATAATAATTTTAGTTGTGATTTATATAAAAAATTCATAAAAAATTCTAGCAATAGATGATGAGTATCTAATATAAAAATTCTGATATTAAAAAAATGAAAAATTAGAATAAATTAGAAATTCTTTCTATATATCCCAATGATAGTGATTCTTAAGAGATATATCCCCTATATGACATAGAGTTAGCAAGAATTTTTGATACAGAAGACTTTTTATAATAAACATTGTACACTATTACTAGACAATGTTATGGCTATAAGAATTTAACAAGGATGTGGCCTAAATTATCATAATAATAGTTAACTAAAGGTAAGTATGAAAACTATTATCAAAAAATAATCAATAATCGAATTTCGAGATTTCCTTAATTGAATTTACAAGGTATTCAATAAATAGAAGGGAAACGTTATAAGATAGTATTATATTCAGAATTGATGTTCAAATTGCATCCATAAAAAATGGTTTGTTGTATTTGTGAAAAAGAAATATTACTTAGTATTGTAGAAGAGCATTCATAATTATGTCTTAAAAAGCATATGCTTAATAAGGATATTTACACTTTATAGGATAAGATTCAGGAGTTATCGGAGGAAATTAACAATAAAGAGATAGAACTTATTACTAAAATAAATTTGTATACTAAATAAAGGATGTCTGAAAAAAATTTAAGTCATTAAAACAGTCCAGTAATGAGCAGAAGCAAATAATAAATTACTCTTTCTAAGTTTGCTCAATAAAGTGATTAGAGATAAAGAGGAATATAAAGAGCAAAAACAATAAATATCTCAGAAGATAATAGCATAAGTGAATTTCCTACATTTCATTAAAGAAAACCAGGAAGGAATTTTACTCGTTTAGAGTCATCTATGAGTATGAGTCCAGATAGTTAAAAATAAATAAAATGTGCTATATCTTTACTGAAAGTTACTCAACAATATTGTTAAAAAATATTAAAATAGGATAATTCATTTGGTTTAGATATTGATGCTAAATTTTAATCATTGATCAAATTAGGATTACCTGAAATTAATCATTTAAATGATGTAAGTGAATTAATGAAAAGATCATTAAGTTTAATAACATAAAGATTAGAATTAAATAAGCAAGTAAATAAAATAGAAGCAGCATAATTATAATTATAATGTGGTTCTATAGAAAAATTAAAGAAAATATTCTAAAAAGGATTATCAAATTCTTATAAATAAGCAGGAACTTCATTAAATAGTCGTAATAAAAAAGGAGTCAATACTGGAGGTAAAGTAAGAATTATGGATTTAGTCAAACCAAATAAATCTAAATTTAATCAAAGATAATTTAAGGAAGATTAAGAAGAATGTTAATATTAAAATTAATAAACTCCTATTTAAGAATAAAAAATTGATTCTTTAGAATTTATTACATTCTCTCCTTCTGAAGAAAATGCTAATTAAAATACTAAAAAATAATAATAATTAAATATTCATATTTATTCTTAATAAGAAGATGATGATAGTGATGATGTTTAATAAAATCTATTCATTAGAGGATATTATTCTGATTCTGGAATAACATTGAGAATACCATAATCTACTTAAAAAATGTAATTTATTTTATAATATCATTAATTCTAGAATGACAGTAGGATTAAAAGATTTTGAATTTTAAGAAGTATTGGGTGTTGGAGCATATGGAGCAGTTTGGAAGGTTAGAAAATTAAAAACTAATGATGTTTATGCAATGAAAGTCATTGACACTTAATAATAATCAAGTTAAAACTTTTTTGAAACTCTTAAAGCTGAAAGTACTATATTTTCAGTTCTTGAAGGAGATTTTGTTGCAAAAGCATATTATTCATTTAGTCATTCAGATTGTTTATTTTATGTTCTTGAATATGTAAAAGGAGGTGATTTTGATAAAATTTTAAGAAAATATGGTGCTTTAGATGAACCAATAGCTAAATTTTATATTGGTGAATTACTCTTGGCTATTGAAGCTTTACATAAAAAGTAAATTATTCACAGAGATTTGAAACCATAAAATATCTTAGTAGATGGTAAAGGTCATTTAAAATTAACTGATTTTGGATTATCAGAAATAGGAATGAAATTATATATGAAATAATCAGAACCTAGTTAAGCTCTTAAATTACAATAATAATTAGATAATAATATTAAAGATTTAGTAAGCAGTGAACCTAAGTCTCCAAGATTTGATCATTGTATTTCAATAAAAGCTAGCAATCATAATAAACATAGAGTTGTTGGTACACCAGATTATATTGCTCCTGAAGTAATTAGAGGAGAATCTATAAGCAATGAATCCCTTGATCAATGGAGTTTAGGTGTAATAACTTATGAATTCTTGGTTGGTATTCCTCCTTTTAATGATGATACTCCAGAAAAAATCTTTGAAAATATATTATAAAGAAATATTTGCTGGCCAGAAATTGGAGATGGAGAAAATCAATTGAGTCTAAATGCAAAAGATTTTATTGAGAGATTATTGGATCCTAATTATAAAACAAGGATGACAGTTGAAGAAGCAAAAAAACATCCTTTTTTTAAGGGTTGTAAATTTATTTATTAATTTAGATATCAATTTCGATACTCTTCGTAAATAACATGCTCCAATCATACCTGATAATGCACCTGATGATCAACCTTTATTGTTGATTAAGAAATAGAGAGAAAAAGAAAAATTAACAAAATTACTTCGTGATACTTCTAGTGAAAACTCTACCATTTCAAAATTAGGTGTTGATAATTTATTAAGACTTGATTTACTTGTAGAAATGAACTAATAAAAGGCTCATTAGTTAAGAAAAAAATATCATTGAAGTGTTGACATATTTCTACAGAATTGTTTTAAAGTGTTTTATTTGGTGTATCTAAATCAATTATATTTTAACTTATAATGTAATAAAAATATATGCGACCTTTAATTTCTGGTTAATCTAATGAGCATCATCTTACAAGTCTTACAAGTGTAGATCGTGATAAAAAAAGAGGATAAACATTCATTTTTAATAAACTAAAGCAGATGATATTTAATCAACTAAAAATCAAAATAATTTAAATATTTCTTAATAAAATGAAATCTAAACATTTAGAAAATAAGTAATGTAAATAGATTACAGATTGAATCATTAAAATGAAATTATTAATCAGATTAAAATTGAATTAGAACATATTAAAGATGTAAATTAAGAATTAATGGAAAAATTACAAATAATAACCTCTCCAACATACCTTAGTGTCAATAACCATGATAAAAGAGGAGCTGAAGATCACAAAAAAATTAAATAAGAAATTATCTATTTGGGAAACAAGTTTTCTGAGATGGTAATTAAAATATAGATAATTTCAAGAAAGTTCATTATGAGACAAAATAAATGTCTTTGGAAGAAAAATTACGCTCTATTCATACTTTTTTTGAAAATAAAAAGAAGATATTTTATGAATCTAAATTGAAATTTGAAGATATTTAAAATATAATTAATTAATTATGTAATATTTATAAATATAAATATAAAGAAAATTAATTGAGTCTCTTGAAAGAAAACAGTGGCCTGAAATATACCATGTGGATAATAAAGGATATTTGATGGATTCATAAAATAACTATTTACTTGAAAGAGGACAAATGATTAAATTGAGTGAAAAATAGATATAATATTTAAAGCAACATTATAAATTATAATGAACTTGTATCTTTTATATTCTTGCAACTATTAGCTTTAGATAAATGAATAAAATTAGTGTATTTTATAGATAGACAATCTCTCTTATTTTCTTTCCTTTCATATTAAAAAAATTAATTGTCGTTTTTTTTATTTATTTATTTTATTTAATAAATTTTAATAACTAAATTAAAACTCACAAAACATAAAGAGCAGAGCTGACAAGTTTTGAATAATATAAATTTATAATTTTATTTTAATATATTTTTAGATTTTTGAATATATATGTTATAATATTGCTAGTACATAAATAATCATAATTGTATATAATTTTAATAAAATTCAATTAATTTAATTTTGATAAGGATTATAAAAAATTTTTTATTCCTTAATGAGTGATATATTGATTATTTAAACTCTAATATTCATTTACATATTGCTATTAGTCTGATAATAAAATTACCAAGAGATTTTATTAATTGATCATATATTTAAAGGATACTAATTAATTTCGTGTGATTCTAAATTAGAAACTAATTATTTGACTCAATAAAATATATATATATATATTATAACAATATTATATCTATATTTTTATTATTTAGTTAATCATATATAAATTCAATTCAATTCTATTTGCATTGTATCTAAAAATTAAAAACAATCTAATTACTCTAAACCTTGTTGATATAAAAGTATCTTTTTAGTATTTTCCAACATTTCTTAATATGTAATATTTCTTATTTAATTAATCATATTGATTTATATTAATTTCTCTATAATTTTTGTAAATGTTGATCCTAAAATAATATCTGGTTTTAAAAGTGTATAACTGGGTTTTATATTACTTAAATAATTCTTATAATTTTCCAAATATAATTTGTTTTATTATCTATGCTAAGAAGCGCATATAACCTGAGCATCTGAGTTTTCCTTATCAATCAATATTAATGTTGGAACCATATCATATATCTTTAAAAGGATTGCATATTTGTATTACATCAAGACTTCTTCGCTAATATTTTTTTTATCTTCATAGTAAATAATGACTGAACAATTTTAATGAGATTCTAAAGAAATAAATTAATAATTAATAATACTTAGATAACTTATTGATTAGCCAAGCATTTATACAAAATGGCATAACAATTATGTATCTGATAGTGTTATTTATTCCTACAACTTGTTGTTAACTTATAAATAGTATTCCAAGTAATCTTCTTCTTATTCCAATATTTGAAATCTTTTATCAATTTTTTTCAAGTCATTTAATTCATTTTTGAATGTAGAATAATCTTTCAATTTTTTAATAAGGGAAGCATATTCCTGATATATTTAAAAAATAATACTTAAAGACGATTTTAAGCATCTTATCTAGGTAAATCATTTTAACTAAATTCTTTAACATTTTGTTTCATTTCTTTATACTTTTCTAATGACTATTTATATTCTTCAATTATTTCTATAAAGTTTTATTTGCATTAGAAATAAGATTGAAGTTCTTCTTCTATGTCTCTCAATTTTTGCTAAAGTTTTTGACTTTATTCAAATTTCTTTTATAATACTTCTGAATAATTCAAAATATTCTATAATTAATCAGTCACGTCAATGAGCTAATCTCCTTCATTGACAATATTCCTATATTTGAATTGAAGAAGGGATTATATATTCTATTGAATACTTTCTTTTGTTTAAGAAGTCCTATTTTGAAATTGATTAATAAGTAGGAAATTTTGATTAGAATGTTGGAATAGATCTGATAAATCCATTTAATAGAATGCCATTTAATTGATTAATATAAAAAAAATAATGAAAAAAAAAGTGTATTGAGTTCAATCCTGGTTTAGTGTATGTTTTTAATACAAAATAATTTTTTAATTTATATTTGTTAAAGCATAATAAAATTAATAATACAAGATATTATGACAGGATATTGAATATTATTATAAATTTATGTTAAAATAATTATTCTAAATCTATAAATAAATTAAAAATGCTTAGATTTATAGCAAGAAATCTCAATAATGTTTATAAATTTTCCGAATTGTAAAAATTCGGAGCCTCTTTTCTTGGTTCTGGAAATGCCGAGTATTTGGAAAATCTATTTGATTAATGGTATTTGGATAATAAATCAGTACCTGCCACTTGGGATTCATATTTTAGATAAGTTTTAGAATCAAATAATTTTGATTTCGCTCCTGAACCTTAGAAAGGTTAAGCAGTTTCAGTTAGATTAGATGTATAATAATCTATATGAAATTAGGGGTAATCAGGAGTTAGGAAATTATTGAGTGATCATTTTAGAGTGTTGTTACTAATTAACAAATATAGACATAGAGGACATGAGAAGTCATAGGTGGATCCATTAGATTTAGAACATATTTCATAAATTGGCAAAGTAAAAGGATATACAAAATTGGATTATCGTGAATATTTTGCAGAAGAGGATTTAGACAGAGAATTTTATATACATGCTATAGGAAGTACAGGAATAACAAAGGATAAATAAAGTAAAGACAATAGTAATAATTAGTGATGAAATTGAGAGACCTAATAAATTATTTAGAAAAAGCTTATTGTGGAAAAATATCATATGAATATATGCATATTTAATCAAATGAAGAAAGAGATTGGTTTAGAGATCAAATAGAAAAATATGATGAATTTATGCCAAGTAAAGAGCAGAAATTAAAAACATTTGAAAGGTATGAATTAATATTTATGATTATAATAGATTGGGATAAGAACATGCATTTAGTACATTTTTGTAAAAGAAATTTAACACATCTAAAAGATTTGGAATAGAAGGATGTGATTCAATGATTTCTGGATTATAATCTTTAATAGATGCAGCAGCAAATGCAGGTGCTGAACATGTTGTATTTGGAATGGCACATAGAGGAAGACTTAATACACTTTATAATGTATTCTAGAAGTCAGCTGAAGAAATAATGGTTGAATTCTAGGATTTGAAGAGTACTTTTAATGAAGATATTTGGGGTAATTCTGGAGATGTGAAATATCATTTGGGTTCAGTTCATAATGTATTTTTTGGAGATAAGAAATTAAGATTAGAAATGTTACCTAATCCATCTCATTTAGAAACAGTGGATCCTTGTGTTTATGGAAAAGTTAGAGCTATTTAAGATTATTTCCAAGATTCAAAGAGAGAAAAAGCTTTTGGAGTATTGATTCATGGAGATGCTGCAGTTTCTGGTTAAGGAATAGTTTATGAATCTTTACAAATGGCAGATTTAGAAGGTTATAAATCAGGTGGAATTATTCATGTTGTTTCAAATAATTAAATAGGATTTACTACTGTTCCTAAAGATAGCAGATCTGGATTGTATTGTACAGATATTGCACATGCTATATCAGCACCTGTTATTCATGTTAATGCTGATGAACCTGAATTAGTTGATAAAGTTTTTAAGATTGCTACTGAATATAGATATAAATTTAAGAGAGATATATTTATTGATTTAGTAGGATATAGAAGATATGGACATAATGAATAAGATTAACCTAAATTCACTTAACCTATTATGTATGAAAAAATTGATAAGGCTCCACCTGTCTTTATAAAATATAGTGATAAGTTGATTGCTCAAGGTATTGTAACCAAAGAACAAGTGGATAATTTGATGAAAACTCATGAAGACAATCTTGAACTAGCTTATTAGAAATCTAGAAAAATGGATTACAATCTTAAAGATTGGTAACCTGTGCCATGGGAAATGATTAAAGTCCCAGTTCTTTGGGGAAGAATTAAAGATACTGGTGTTCCTTTGAATGTTTTAAAAACATTAGGGGAAAAAATTAATAAGATACCAAATGAATTCAATGCTCATCCTTAAATAAGAAAATTCTATGAAGAGAGATTGTCATGGATTCAAAAAGATCAACCTATTGATTTTGCTACTGCAGAAGCTTTGGCATTTGGTACTCTTCTTCATGAGGGATTCAATGTCAGATTATCTGGAGAAGATGTTTAAAGGGCTACTTTTTCTCATAGACATGCTGTTTTACATGATTAAAAAGATCCTAATGGTTAAGATTATGTTCCTTTACATAATGTAATTCCAAAAGGATAAGAACATAGACTCAGTATTTACAATTCTCATTTATCTGAATACGGAGTTTTGGGTTTCGATTATGGTTATTCAATTACTAATCCCAATACTTTAGTATTATGGGAGGGATAATTTGGAGATTTTGCAAATGGAGCATAAATTATTATTGATAATTATATAGCTAGTGCAGAATCTAAATGGGATGTTGATAGTGGATTAGTTATGTTATTACCAAATGGTATGGACGGATAAGGTCCAGAACATAGTTCAGGAAGAGTTGAGAGATTTTTATAGTTGAGTGATGATGATCCTGCCGTTTTTGAGAAAAATCTAGGAGGTAATCTAATTATTTAAATATTCTAGTCAGATTAACTAGATAGATGAGAAATTCAAATATGTAAATTGTTTAATGTACTACTCCTGCTAATTATTTCCATGCTCTTAGAAGATAATTAAGAAGAGATTTCAGAAAACCTTTAATTGCTATGACATCTAAAAGACTTTTAAGATTACAAGCAGCTAAATCTAATCTTAATGAGCTTACTACATAATTCAATTAAGTTTATGATGAAGCCCTTCCTGAATTCCTTGTCTAATCTAATTAAATTAAAAGAGTTATTTTATGTTCAGGATAGATTTATTATGATTTACTTAAAAAAAGAGAGGACCTTAAATAAAATGTAATTCTATTTAATTTAATTTTTTTAGAATATTGCTATACTAAGAATTGAATAATTGGCACCATTTCCTTATGAGTTTTTATAAAAAATTATTGGCAAGTACAATAATGCAGAATTTGTTTGGGTCTAAGAAGAGCATATGAATTATGGTCCTTGGGCATATGTTAGACCAAGAATACAAAGTGTTTTAGCCAAAACTACAAACATTTCTAATTCACCTATTTAGTATATTGGCAGAAGACCAAGTGGATCACCAGCTACTGGTTTTCATTAATTACATGAAAAGGAAATCTAGACTCTATTATAAAAGGCCTTTGAAATTTGATATATTATGTTATTATTCAATTCTTGTATATTATATTTTTTTGATATTATCAATCCACTAAATCTCATAAATGAAATATCAAAGACAAAAAAGCATTCCATAATTTTATTATTTTTAATGCTAACAGAAGATGTTGTATTCTATTCTATTGCTACTACCATCCTTTTCATCTATGTCGTGTACTTGATATGGGAATACTCTGCAAAGGATGTCCCTTTATACATCAAGATTTTAACCTTTATTTCTTGGATATTGACTTTTTCAATTGTTTTAGTCTTACCAATTGATATTGCTAATGTTATTATAAGATTCATAATTTTAGTCAACCAAATAACACAATGAAGCATAATAATTAGAGACCATGGGGAATATCAAAATATTATGGAGAATAATGTATTGGGGAAATTTCTTCTTAGCTTGGTAAAAATTCTAATTATACAGGTTGGTCTTACCATTTTTTTAAGATTATGAAGGATCTGGAGATTTTGATATAAGAGGAAAAATTCGATATTCTTTGAAAAAAAATTTAACAATATATGGATTAGGAACTGTAATAATTGTTGGACTAACCATCTATTTATTGATCAAAGACAATTTTGATTCAACTCATGTTGAAGGGGTTCTAATTGGAGTGAGCAACTTTTTGTAATCAATATTAATTATCATATAGTGGATTACTCTTAGTTGTCATACTATTGGGATAAGGTTTGGTAGCAATTCCAAAATTATACTATAGAGAGCATAAAGAAGAAGAAGTTTTGGAATAATGCTATTAATAGGCTGTCCTATTGGATGAATAAAGAACAGAGAAAACTTATGAACTTGAAGACATTTGTAGGGTTGTAATATATTTAAATTAAAAAGACTCTTCAACTATTGTAGAATGAATATTCTGATAGTGAATTCAGTAGATATTTGATGATCATTTTACAAAAGATTCCTTAGGAATTTCAAAAGAGTATAAGACAAACTTTGTAAAAATATAATGCTTCCAACATACCAGATAAATATAAACCATTAAATTTATAAGTATTGGCTTCTATACATAAATATGTAAAATGTCTGATGTTTGATTTACAAAGAATTCAAACAAAACTTAATATAGTTAATTAAAAAGCATTAAAATTTGAAAGGAAAGACTTAGCTGACGATGAGACTTAATTTGAAACTAAATGGTCTAAAATGATATATAAGATTTCTATTATTTGGAATTTAAAACTCAGAAAATATTATTGTGTAGTGTTGGCTATAACATATGCTCTTCTTAGTTTATTTATACTATTTTGTGAATTAATTACTTTTGTGGCAAAAACAAACAAAGAGTTGAATCCTTATTATTTATTATTGTCATCAATTAATAGGTATTATTTAACAGAACTTGTTTTACTGTTACCTTTATTATATATGATGTTTTGTACATATTATGGTTTATTTGCAATGAAAATCTCAGGTTTAATTTCATTTAATAAACATCATCATACAGATGCACCAAGTTTAATGTTTGGATCTATGTATTTAAATTTTATATTTTTTTAGTAATTTTGCAAGAGTTAGTTTTCCTTTGTGTTTCAATTTCATTTAAATTACTGACATATTAGAAGATTAAGCTACTTCTTTTAGTGAGACTGTTGGTAATCTGGCAGAATCTCTTTTTGTATAAAGTTACAAGACAATATTGCCATTAATGTTATTGATTATGTGCTTTTTCAATTTATTCAATATTGGTGATAAGTTAATGAGAACCATAGGTTTAGGATAATATGCTTAATAAGAGAGAATATCAGGAATGAGCTTAGAAGGCAAAAAAATTATAGAAAAAGGTATAATATATAAGAATATTAAAAGAAAGAGAATTAAAGAAAAAAAACAATCTTAATGATAGCAATTCTCAGATTGTATTTTAAGAATTATAAATTATGCCAAAAAGTAAAATTTAGGATGAAGAAGAGACATCAAGAAAAAATTCATCAAATTAAGGAATTAGAAATTTTGATTAAATTCTAAGTATTTGAATTATAATTATTTTTACTTATTGATTAATTTGGATTTAAACAATTTCATTTAGTTTGATTGCTAATAGAAATGATAATTTGAAAATATCATACAAAAAGTATAATAATAAAATGATTAATGGTTATGTTTCAAACAAAGTTATAATATATGAATACAGATTCATAATGTTTTTAATGAGAATATTAATTTAAGAAAGTCTATTAAAATAATCAATTAAAACTTACAAATAGATAGATATTCAATATTAATTATAAATAGTATTCCTTAAATATATAGTATTTTCAATAATCAATTTATTCCGAAGTTAAATGATTTTTTTATCTTTTTCTTATATATATATATATATAAATACATATTTATGTATGTGTAATATCATGTTTAGATAATATTAGAAGTTATCTATAAAGAATAATAATTGAATTGATGTATAAAAATTCTTATATATTTGAAAAATCATGATTATGGCAATGAGTTTCTTTTGAGGATTGCTTACTGCAAAGATGATTAATGATCTTGGTAATTAATGGGAAAGACTAAAAAATAATATATTTTTTACATTATCCATTGGTTAAATTGATTCTCAATAATTGTACTACAACTTTATTGCTTTTTTCTACCTCATATTAATGGATTATATAAAAATTTCCAAAACTTACAGCTCCTTCCATATCTTGAACTGGTGTGAACATTTCAAAACTATTTTCCTTTTTAGTAGGGATTAAAAATTATTCTGGTGGTTCTAAAGAAAAGATTTCATTCTTTTTTAATTCTCCATTTGCCCAATCAAAAGTATAAATTTCCCTTTTCATAACATATTAGAATTTAAGAAATTCACCAGATAATATTAATTAATTACATCCATAATAAGGTGCAGAAAAGACTGGGGAACTCAAAACTTATTTTTGATATTCATCTTCAGGTTTAACTGAAAAAAGAAGATCAAAATCAAGTCTTTGATTTCCTATAAATTTTTCATCTTTGCATATAAAGATTTAACCTCTATTTTATTATGTACATCTAAATGCAACTAAACCATCAGGATCATGTTGAATTCCTCCAAAAATAATTATTAATTTTGAAAATTATTTATGATCTGTAACAAAGAAACTACCACCAAATCTTGGGATTAAATTTTACATCAATACTTACCAATTTTATTATTTTCTCAAAACATATCCTTTATTAAGTAATTCATCCTAAATTTATTGATCTTTTGTTTTTTTCTATCTTTAACCATAAAATACATAAATATTGCTAAAACAATTTTCTTTATTAATTACTTATTATAATGAGTTCCCATAAAATTGTATCCTTCTTCAGGTAGATTTGGTAATTCCTCCATAACAGCTGAGGTTCCATTTTAAAAAGGATCATTTGGAAATTTAATTTTAATAACCTAATTACTTTGAATAAATCTATCCTCAGTTTTTCCTCCAATGATATAAATAAAATTTTCATTATCTGTCTCTCCTTTAATATACAAAGCTTATTCTTTCTATAAATAAGGTCTTCCTTTTAAAAAAAGAGAAAATTCATGCCAAACACCAAAATCAACAAAATAAACAATAAGCTATTATAATTATAAGAATAATTACAATAGATTCTTTAATTCCCTATTTTAATCTTTTCTTAAGAGCAAAGATAAATTTATTAGTCAATTTATTTTTTGTCAAATTAACTAATTACATGGCATTTTTAAAAACTTTCTATAAATCTTTAGCTATATTCTTTATTTTTTATTATAAGACTTCAACTTTCTAATTATTTTCTTTGGCTTATTTATATATTTTATTATTAGTATATTATTATAATTTTACACTTGTATATGACATTTCATCTGAGATATTCTTTTAAGTTGGATTTAAGGAATTATTTTCTTCAAGTTTTCTTTAAATTCCAAAAATGGGTGTAATACCTGGTAATTAATATTTAATAGCATTTTGAATTTAATTCTTAGGCACTTTAGTTTATGCAAAAAAACCTGGATTAGTTGGTTAAGTAGATTAAAATAATTTATCTTTATCAAACTTTATTGTTGAATACTTTTTTTGTAATAGTTAAAATGATTCTAATGCATGATAGAGTTTAAAATCTATTCCATAATCATCGTAAATATGAAACTTTTTGCAACCTGGACATGAAAATCCACTTAATAATAATTATAATATTGATACTGTCCATCTCTATTATTAGTATCATAATATTCTATCCAACAATCCAAATCAAAGATACATGCTATATATTCGATAGAATTATGTCTTATAGGATTGGTCACAGGCATACTACACAATTAACATTTCAATAAGATTTCCACATGATTACTCTAGATATTTTTCTCAATTAATTCTGCCATATATGAACTCACATTATGACTAAAGAGGTGCTCTTTGTAAACTTTGCTAGTTTTCATTTTAGATATTAATAAATATTATTGTTTAATTTTTATATCCTCCCTAAAATAATCAATATTTATAATAAAGACTAAAATATAATAAATTATTAATGAAGAAAAGTAGTTTATGTGATAATAGTAAATGTAATAAAACAACAATCTTTCAAAAATAAATGGCTCCTGTTAAATGTTCAAAATGCAATAGTGGTACTTATTGTTGTCAAGCATGTTTAAAAGAAGATGAGTAACAATAAATATATTTTAAGAGATCATATATGCAATTCAGATCATTTAGATCTTGATAATACAACCTAAATTAATTCATCTGTTAATGAAACACTATTATAAATTCAATAAAAGAAGAGAACTCTTGATGATTATGAATTCATTAATGGAGATAAAGGAATGTTAGGAAGAGGAGCATTTGGAGAAGTTAGATTAGCTATTGATATTGATCTATAATAGGAAATGGCTATTAAAATTTTAAATAAGAAAAAAATGTTAAGGAATTGTAATCTATAACAATTAAAAAATGAAATTAAATTATAAAGAAGTCTAAATCATCCAAATATAATTTAATTATATCATGCATTTGAAGATAGAGAAAATATATATTTTGCCTTAGAATATGCTTCAAATGGTTCACTCTATAAATATTTAAGAAAACTTAAAGTTATGCCTGAACCTGAAGCATTTGTGTACTTTTTTTAGACTTGTCTTGCAGTTGATTATTTACATAAAAAAAATGTAATTCATAGAGATTTAAAACCAGAGAATATTTTATTGGATGATTAAGGAAATGTAAAATTGTGTGACTTTGGATGGAGTGCTGAAAGTGTTGAAATGAGAAGCACATTTTGTGGAACATTTGATTACATGGCACCTGAAATGTTACACAATAAACCACATGATTATAGAGTAGATATATGGGCATTAGGAATTTTGCTTTATGAACTTTTACATGGAAATGCACCTTTTACTAAAGCTCATTTTGCTAAAGAAAATATTTAAAATTTAAATATTAAATTTTCATAATCTGTAAGTTCTTAAGCTAAAGATTTAATTACTTAAATATTATAACATGATCCAAAAAAGAGAATGAGTATGAATTAAATATTTGCACATTAATGGTTATAATCTAATGCTGAAGAATTTGGAATGGATATTAGTGAATATATATATGTTCCAAAATCATAAAGAATTAATGATTCATCTATTAATCAAACATTTGAATAATCTAAATAATTAAATGAATCTAAAATAAAATAAAATAATAATACAAATACAAGTTAAATAAAAAAACCAGATTTCTTAAACACTTCTTAATAATAATAATCATATTAGAAATAAGAAGTCTAAAAAATATAATAAAATTCTTAAGAAAATAAAAAGATAACTAATAATAATTCATTTCATTAAACTAATAATTAATCATTACATTAAACTAATAATTAATCACATATATCAAAAATCTCTGAAAATTTACAAGATTCAGTTAGATCTTCTTCAGATTGTTCAGATATATAGAGTAGAGCATCTAATATTAGATAATCTTTTGCTAAAGATTTATCAATGAAAGGATTGAGTTAAAATAATAATAGTTTTCATACTTAAGAAAATAAACATTTATTTACTAATGATGCAAACATTCTAAATTAAGAGTAAATTGAAAGATTACTTAGATAATAATTAAAATCAGCTGAAACAAAATCAGATGATATCAAACTATCATTAAATTCATTCTAAAATATATAATCAAATTAATTGTAAAATAAATCTCAATCATCTATATTAGTTGATGACAATAAAAACTTTAGTTAATAATTATATTCAAATTAATCAAATACTGTAAAATAGAGACATGTTTAATTTTTATCACCTAAAGAAAGCATGAATGAAACATCTTAAAAAATTCAATAATAAGTTGAAGAATCTCCATATTTTAATCCTGCTTAAATTAGGGAATCAATAGCTGATGATGAAGTTAAAGAAAAATTTAGTTTTGGTAGTCTTTCAAATTCTAAACATGATTAAAATTAACAAGAAATATAACAACCTGAAGAGTAATAAGGATTTAATAAAAAGGATAAAATATTAAAAGAAACTAGATTATCTAAATTATCTGTAATAGAATCAGATGAAAGTGAATGCAAAAGTGATGGAGAAGATTAAAGAAATTATCAACTTTAATAAATTACTTAAGCTGTTCGTTCTTACTCTGCTAATACAATTTAACCTAAAGATACTAAAAATTCAAGAAATCCTTAAGAAATTGAATTATAATCTCAATTTTTATACTAAAATAATGTACTTTAGGATACTAAATCATAGACCTCTAAAACTTCAAAAAAATCAAAATTATCTAAATAATCAAAACAATCGACTAATACAAAAGTTAATTCAGAATAAAGTAGAGCCTAATAATAATTAATTATGTAAAAGAAGAAATATTCATAAAATATGGTTGATTATAGAAATTTTAATATGAAGGAGATTTCTAAAGAAGATAGAAATAGATATTAAGATTATAAGGATTCTACTAAGTAATTAGAAATAAGATCTAGAGAACTTCAAGCTTATCTTTATTCTTAAGATAATTAATTTTCTTCAAGAAGAAGCATTAAATAAAATAATGCAAGTAAAGAAGAATTGGGTTTTTTTGGAAAAATTCAATTAGCATTTGGTTGTTTAGGACAGAGATGAAATAACTATTTTTGAATATATTAATTATTTTTATAAAATGGATGAATACTAAATATTTTTTAAAGCAAAATTTATTGAATATCAAAAAAACAAAATTGATATCTCAAGAGAGGAAATGATGATAGAAATATCAGAAATGTGGGAATAATATAAAAAAGAAAATGATTCTAAATAAATAAATGGAAATGAACAATTATATTTTCAAATTTTTGATTTTCTTTTAACAAGATAATAAAAAGAATATGAAAGATAATAATTAGATTCAATTAATTATCCAGCATCTCAACCATACTATTAAAAAAAAAAAAAAATTTAAGCTCCAACTATTCAAATATCATATTGTACAAGTGAGCCTAAATTTGTTATAGAAGCTAGAAACCTTGCTATGGAAATACTCAGAGAATTTAAAGTTAATATAATTAAAAGCCAAATACATCATTCATCTAAAAATATTTCAGTAGTATTGTATTAAGAAATAAAAAATATTGAATTATGGTCATATTTAAGAGATGGACCTTTAGATTATTCAAAAATATTTAATTTAATTGCAAAATATGTTTAAAGATAATGAACTATTATATTTTCTCATTCATAAATCTATTTTTACTTATATTATTTCAAAAGGTATTTTAAGTTTTATAAATTCCCTTTTAAAATATTTATTATTTTCCTTATATTTTATCATTCAAAAATTTCTTCGATCTTTCAAACTAAAAGGTCTTAACAATTTTAGAAATATTTATAATTCATATTAGTAAATTCAAATGTTTAGGTTAGAATATTATATATATTATTAAAAATAGATTAATTTATTATTTTAGTTGAAATTAATTATTTATTATTAATTATTTTCTAGAATTCTACTTTCCCTGCAGTTAGGATATCGTTTGTAAATATCATGGCCATAATTTGTTCCTGCAATAACATCTAATTATGAATAAATATTTATTTCCTTATCTTAATGCTTTTAATTGTATAACATTATATTGGAGATTGATAGGACATTTCATTTTTAGGATTATTATCAAAAAGATATACAATTTTCTTAGGAAGATTTATTTCAACATGATAAATTTATCCTTTTTTTAGTTCTAACAAGAATTTATAATTTTTTATTGAAAATGCTTGGTTTAATTTTTATTTGTATTTATTTTTGATGATATAAATGAATTTTGAAAATATATATCCGACAATAAATAAATTAAAAATGAATCATTTATCAGAAGCTAGTACTGGTACTCCAGCGACAGGAAATATTGATTCCACATGGGTGTTGATTACATCTTTTAGTGCTTTATTAACAATTTTGGGATTCGCTTTCATCAGTTCAGGAGCTGTGAGATACAAATCTGTTTAATCAGCAGTTATCACAATCTTATTAGGAGCAGTAATTACCATATTATTTTTCTGGCTTGTAAGAATATATAAAAATAAAATTTGATTAGTTAGGATATGGATTTGCATTTGGAGATGATAAAGGAAATAAATTCATTGGTTTAAATAGATTTGCTGGAGCTGGATTTGGAGCTGATTAAACAAAAGATGATTATACAAATTTAAGTAAACTAATAATCTCTAATTATTAATTAGTTTTCTAGAGTGTTGGAGCAATAATAGTGTCTTCTTTATTTGGATTGGGAACATTGGAAAGATCTAGATTTTTCTCTATCAGCGTTTGTCTTGCTGTTATTTCAGGTTTCTTATATCCAACTGTATTACATTGGGTTCAACCAACAGGTTGGTTAAATAAATTTGGATTTATTGATTTTGCTGGATCCAGCTACATCCACTTATTTGGTGGAATAACAGCATTAGTTGTTTCTATTTTCTTAAAAGAAAGAAGAGATTAAGCAGGAAATGTTCATCCAGGTATCTTTCCTCATCATTCTCCAATAAATATTGGTTATGGATCAATAATTTTATGTATTGCAACACTCATTTTTATTAATGGTGCAAATTAAGAAGGAAAAACAGATAAATATGAATAAGGATTAATAGCAGTTAATACATTAATAGCTGCTACATTCTCAGCTTTAACTAGTTTTTTAGCTTAATATTTAAAAACACACAAAACTAGTTTGATTGCTATTTCAAGAGGTAGTGTTGCTGGAATTGTTGCTATTTCAGCAATTGCTAATGATGTTAGAATTTGGGAATCAGCATTAACTGGAATTCTAGCTGGATTAGTTTATATAGTACTTATTCTTGTCATTAAAAGATCTCATGTTGATGATCCTGCTTATACTTTAGCTACACATTTAGTAATTAATATTTAATTTATAATTTTAGGGACCAGGATTATTAGGTACACTTTTAGTCGGAGTTTTGTCAATTAGCCATGGATTTGTAACTGGAAATGGATTTAAATAATTTGGATTATAACTTGTAGGTGCTTTGGCATTGATTGGTTGGGGATTGTTGATTGCTTTGTTTGTTGTCCCATTGAAAGGAACAGGAGTTTTTAAGATTAACCCCTTATAAGAATCCAAAGGAATTGATACCAGTTATGGTATATAATTATTCTAATTTAATTTTAGCTGAAGGAGAAGCTATTTAATTTGTTGATGAATAACCAGAACCAGCTCTTTTAAGTAGTACTCCAAAAAAGGGAATCTTCCAATGATTAATAATCATTAAATTTTTATGCATTAAAATAACAACAATTTGCTTATTTATTTTATATGCAAATATATATATTCTTCAATTTAATAAATGAACTGTTTGATTTACAAAATTATAAAAAATGCATTGTATAATCATTTACTAACATCCCAAATACTATAATCACTTTTGCCTTCGATTGCTATCATTAAATCATGAATCTGAATCTCTAAAAATTTCAAATATCTAGTTTCTGATGGAGTTATTCTATATTTATTTTCAAGCTTAAAGGATATATAAATTATTTTACTTCAAATTATTCATTTAAAATCAAATAATGATCAAATTAAGAACTATGAAGAAGACAAAGAAATTTCTTCCTCACTTAAATTACATCTATTAATTCTAATTCCTTATCTTCTTTTTCAAATAATATCTAACGTAAATATTTTTTGACATTCTAAATTAAATATATATATATATATATATTACAATTTTTTGTGGTTCATATGGTTTATTATCTTTTGAATTAGTTAAATGAGGTGGTAATTATATCTTTTTTAAATCAATAATAGTAAGTACACCTTACTATGTCATAATCAAAAGTCTATGATTCGAAATTAATTTTGATCTAAGAACTTGATCTTTTCCTGTTGCATTCTTTATTTATTTAAATAACTAAGAATCATGAAATAGATATGTTGTAGATTTCTCTGATGCAATTGTTAATCCATCAGAAAAGTCAACACTTTTAATTATAGATGGTTTCAATTCTATTTTATATTATTCTAACATTTCTCCTTCATATATTTTTGAACTATCAAAACAAAACTTCCAAACTTTAATGAAATCTGCACATATTGTTGCAAATTCCAATTCATTACTATATTTAGAATATTCAACAGTTTATCTTAAATATTTTTCATTTATAAATTTTAATTGTTCAATTGGTTATTAATGTAAATCTCTGAATTCTGTTAATTATTCTATTTATTTCAAATCCTAATACAAAAATAATTTGACTGTAAATCCTAAATCAATATATTTATCATTTAATATCTTAATATTTCTACCTGTTGTTAAAAACATCCCTGGAGTCTAACATAATTCTACATCTTTCAATTCTTAATGAGGCTTTAATTAATGTTAATTAACAATAGATATATCACTCTATTCAATTTCTATCGTAATTACATTTATAGTTCCTTCTTTTCCTGCTGTTAAACATACATTCTTTTATATATTTATAATTTTCAACAAATAAGTATGTTATGTATTAACTTAGATAATCCTTTTAAATTCTGTTCCTGTTGAATCATATGGGGCAGTAATTGGAACTTACTATTTCACAATAGATTAAGATTGCTCTGTTTTCATTGTATGATGTGTATAATCTAAACTTTTTAATAATTCTAGTTTTCTAGATTTGGTTAATTTGTTTATTTTCCATCTTGATAATTATTCTAAATCATCTTAATCATAATCAGTAGCTAATGTATAAATTTATTATTAAGTATTTTGTGTAGTTTAATATTTTGTAAATGATGTTGGAGGTACTTTTAATTATAAATTAGGATTGCTTGTAATATCTTTAATTTTAAATGTCTTTGGTAACATATTTATCTTATTGATTTGAAAATGTTCTTCTTTAATTTAATTTCGAATTCTTTCCATTTCTGAATGAAATTGCTTTAAATATTTATGAACTTAATTAGCCATAGGTTCTAATAATAACTTAACATTTTAATGAAACAACTCAACTAATGCTTATATCTATTTTGATTTTATAATATATATATTAATTACTTTCTTTTCGTAATGTTCTCTTTCTAAATCACCTGTATGTAAACGGTATAATAGAATGTTTGCTTCTTTTGTTGATATTTTAGCATTCAAAGCACTCATTACTGTTTAAACTATCATATGACCAGTTTCTCGATTGCTATTTGTAATTAATGAAACTTACTTTAAAACTTATGCTGAAAAACAGTCTTCAATTGATTAATTTATAAAATCAACAATCATTTTTTTAGATGATTATAAACCATCAATCATTTAATGTAAATATTTTTCAATTGAATCTTCTAATTTTCTTAAATAATTCATTCTTATTTCATGTCTAATATTTCCATTATTAGAAAGAAAGATTTTAGTTTTATTTCCAAGATCACTTCCATAAAGTGCAAAGTCAGGACTTATATATCATTATACTATTTACTTTCCTCCTTTAAGAAATGTTTCAGCCTATTACAAAAATGCAGCAGCATCTACTATTTTATGATTACTATGTTCATTAGATGTTCTAGAGCAATCTTCACAAAGTAATTTGTTGTTACAAGTATTATCAACACAAATGAATTTAATATATCTCAAATGGAAATCACAAATCTATTGCATAATTTTAATAATATAAATGTTTATCAATATATTGTTTTAATTAAAAAAAATATCAATTTTATAAAAATAAAAAATGATCTTACCTGGAATCGAACCAAGATTTTGAGGGTCAAAACCTCATGTATTAACCATTATACGATAAAATCATTAATGAAAGAAAATAGCTGTCATTTTAGAAATTTGAATTTAAAAATAGTTATTAATATAAAATTAATCCACTTATTTTAAAATATGAACATCATTTTTCAAAGGTATTAATTGGGTTTATCAAGTAATTTTTATAAATTCTATTTTGCAAACTCTCTTGAAGCATTAGATTCTTAATATGGAATTGTGAAAACTATAATAATAATAAATGACTACATAATCCATTTGTCAAATTTATTTTTAGCAATTAAGTCATAACTTTTGGTTGTTTATCATTTTAATTTTATTCAACTTCATATTAATGAATAACAAAAAAATATCCATAAGCTATTCCACCTTAAGGATCTTAGACAGGAGAAAATATTTCATAACCAACAGTTTTTCTTCTATATGAAGTAAAGATTTATTCAGGAGGTTCTAATGAGAATAATTCATTTAACTTTATTACTGCGCTTGCCCAATCAAATGTATAAATTTCTCTTTATTAATTATTCATATATTTTAAGCATTCACCTGATAAAATTAATTGATTATTTCCATAATAAGGACAACTGAAAATTGGAGAACCCAATATATTTTTCTGATATGCATCCTCTCCTGTAAATGATATTGAGAATTCTTATTTAGTAGCTCCCAAAAACTTTTCATCTTTGCATATATAGATTTATCCTGAATTTTATTATACACATCTATAATTAGCTAGACCATCAGGATCTTTTGTTATGCCTCCTAAAAAAACAATCAATTTATCGAATTATTAATGATTTATTGTAAAGTAACTACCATCTAATCTTTCAACTAAATTGTTTCTCATTTATTCCCATTTTTATCCATTCTTTCTTAGAATATATTAAGAATTTAATAGTTGATATTTAATTTAATTGTCACTATTTTTATATTGTCTTTATCCATAAAATACATATAGATTTCTAAATATAAATATAGATAATTACCCTTTGTAACTTGTTCCCATAAAATGATATCCCTCTACTGGATAATTAGGTAATGATTTTATTTAAACTTATTCTTCAATTGATTAAAATGGATTTTTTGGAAATGTGAGTTATAAACATTAATTAGATTGACAGAATCTATCTTCTTTTTAACCACCTATTATATAAATAATATTCTTTTAATCATCACCTTCTCCCTTTATATATAAAGCTTGCTCTAATTAAACATAAGGCTGACCATTTAATATGAGTTGATATTCATACCAAATACCATATTGAATAAAATAAACAATTAACTAATAAAATAATGATAAATTTAATACAATAGAATAAATTGAACTATTAGAATAAATCTTTTTTAAAGCAAAAACATAATCATCTTTTAATGATTTACTTCCTAATTAAATTATTTTCAAAGATTTTGCAAATTCTTATTTAATATTTTGTTTTTATGTAGCAACTTTATCTTATAAAATCTTAAAAGAGATATTTTAATTCTTTTTGAACACCTTATAAAGTTTACTCTATAAAAGTTGTTATAATTTGACAATTGTTTAACTCATATCATCAAGTATTCTTTTTTAATTTTCACTTGTATGCTAATTATTAATATATTCCTATCTTCTTGATACACCAAAGATTGGAACACAACCTGGTAGTGGATATCTCTCAGGCAGCCTTTTTATTTTAGTACTTGACTTATTATTTACTTTTGTTTCAACATAATAGATATTCTTGCTGGGATGATAGATTAATTATTAATCATTTAATTGAAGTAACTTATTCCTTTCTTTAAAGAGTTTCAGTTCTTCTAAGATGTGAAAAAAATTAAAATCTACTCCATAATCCTTAAAATTAGTATATCTTTTGCATCCTGGGCAAGTAAATCCTCTATTAATACAATAAATATTATACGTTGGATCAACTTTAGCTTGATTTTGTTTGTAATGCTCTAACCAACATTCTATGTCAAATAAGCAATGAAGATAATTCATAGGAGAATGTCTTATTGGTATATCTACAGCAACCTTGGAAAATTAACATTTTGTTGTAATCACTATTTCTTCTCCACCTATTTTCTCTTGGAGAAGTCTTTAAAAGGTAAGACTTACATTATTAGACATCAATTATTCTCTGTATTATTTTTAATCCATTTCAATAAAATAATTAATATGATAATTTATATTTTAATACAAAATTTTAAATATAGACTATTAATAACTTAAGAAGGCAGTATAAAATTATAATATATGAGAATATGATATTATTAGAAATTATTTCAATATATTTTTATTAACATTAATAAAAATCAATTAATTTATATTTCTAGATCTGTATCAAATAACTTATGAGATTTACTAACTTATTAAAATGGAAATATAAGAAAAAGAGATTTTATATATGGAAATAGGATAAATAAATAATAAAATTGATATCTTTCTAATTATTGATTATGAAATTTAAGTTAGTATGGATAGTTGATTATCAGAATTAAAATTGAATAAAATTATTATATATATAAATATTTAATGTCTAAATAACCACCTTTATAATCTGATCCAGATTCATTAGTGTACTTAGTTATTGTAATTTATTTTAGTGAGGCATATGAGTAATTGCTTAACAAGATGTCACATAAAAATCATGATGTAGTTGATTAAATTGGATAAATTTGTTAAAGTATTATGTGGGGAGATAAGAACAATGATACATTTTTTGAGTAAAGAATATATCTAATTTAGTTATTTTTGTGATCAAAAGACTATGTCATTATATTTAGATTTAGTACATACTGGATAAAGGGAAGTTGTAGTGGCAGTAATTAAAGCAATTACAATGCTATTGTAAAATATATAAAGACCAGTTTGCATAAATTACATATTAAGTCATAGTGCATTAAATGGAATAATAACAGCAGATTATAATTTTAGAGATGATGAAATCATAGCTTATTACATAAATTTATTAAAATGTGTTTCAATTAGGATTGATGAACAGAGTTTATAATTGTTTTATAATTTGGTATGTAATTCTAATCTCCATAGAAATTTAGCACATTTCCAATGTTAATGAAAGCAATCTCTTTTTACAAACATAAAGAAAATCTAATAAGAACAAGTGTGAGAAATATAGTTTTAGGAATTACTAAAATAAATCTACCATAATTGAGAAGATATGTGAGTTCTTTTACATTTACATTATTTTATGTTCAATTTAGTTGTTACATGAGAGATGCTCTATTTTATATTGGAGGTTTAATTTAAGAAGGGAGATAAGAATCACATAAAATAATAAAATTATTATTGGATGACTAATTAGATATTTTATACTTTTTGGAAGATCTTCTAAAAACAAATGTAGATGCTTTGCCAATAATTGTTAATTCAATAATGGTTTATGGATTTATTCCAACTATAATAATGGGAGTTATTAAAAGTGGATAGTAATCTATAAAATAAAATTAATAAACATAGAGATAATCAATGAATTATTAATAATCTCAAAAATATTAACATAATCGTGGATAATCATTAGGTAATTTTACATTTACTAATATATTTTCATCATCTTCATAAACAAATAATTAATAATAATAATAATAGATAATTGATATTAAGTTTTGTCTTTTCATTTTAATTCAAATTTATAAAAGTTTTAGTTTCACTTAATTTTTGGATTTAATAACATTATTTATATTAGGAAAGGATCCTGAGATTGTTGATTTCATAACTGAATTAAGTAATTTTTTAATTAATATTTAGATTCTAATTCAAAATTAAATTCATATGAAAAAGATGTTAGTATGAGTGAGACATGGATAATAAAAGAGAAAACATTCATTTAAGCATATTCTTAATTCATATATAAAGATTGTGAAATAAGTGAAGATATCAATATAAATGATAAAGATGAATTATTAAAAGGTGTTTCATCATATGAGACATAATCATTAAAGAGAGAATGTATTGTTATATGATTATATTAAAAAGTGAATTGCGAACACTTTAAACCATTAATAAATGATTCTAAAAGATATGAAGATTTACTTAGTATTACTAATATGTGTGATATAACAATGGTAAAATCATAAAATAAAAGTAAAACATCAGCTTTGAGTTTTTTGGAGAGAAATGATAAAAATAAAGTAAATGGAAATACAAATAATAATAAAACACCATTTTATGCTTTAATGAAACATTTAGAAAGTAATGATGATACTGTTGTATTTATGGTCTTATTATTCATTAAAACATTGAGACATTCAAAGAATATATCTCATTCTATTTTAGAATAGGTTGGTATGATAACTCCAGATAAAAATATAGAATTGTATAAAAATTGTTAAGAAACTTCTTTTTTTATGCAAGATAAATTATTAGGTATTTTAGAAACAGGATTACCACCTTATAGATTAGGAACATATATATTATCAATTTAGATGTTAATTGATTTTTGTAGAACAGATCTTGAGAGTTATGATTTACGTTATAAAGATAGATTTAGAAATATTGTGTTAACTCATATTCATAAGATTAATGAATATATTAGAAATCCATTAGAAGCTCATTATGTTATTGAATTCTTTTATACAGAATATAAAGTTTTAAAGTAATAAAAAGTTGATATCATTATAGTAAGACATCTATATCAATATGGCCATAAACACATATACAATTATTGTATGAAATGACTCCAAAAGGTGTTTGTTAAATAGATATTAAACATAATGAAAGTATTTATTTTATGGAACCTGCAAATCAATAAGATAAAGTTAGAAGAGATATGATGATATTATTGATATTGAAATATACAGCATCAGTTTTAAATGGATTTGAAGAATAAGAATAAAAAATACTTGATAATCCAAAACCATTTGGAGATGGTCCTACTTTGAAATATGTATAAGGAAATGTATATAATTTATAAGAAGAACCATATTGTTAATTAATTTAACATTTATGCAAATATCAAAATAATGATTGTTGTATTTTAGAAGATTCTCAAAATTTAGTAGTAATGGACTTAACATAAGGTTAGAATATAGCTAAATGCATTATATCACATAGTTTAAAATATACAGATGAAATGGTAGAGAGACTTAATTTGAAAATGTTACATGTGACATATAGATATGAAAATTAGAATAATGTTTTTGATTTGGAATTCTAAAACAAATAGTGTTGTTAAACAGCAAAGAAAATGACAGAATAAAAGAAAGCAACTTTGAGAAAAGAGGAGTTGGATACTGTCATAATATATTTATAGGCACTCACAAATACATTGAATTATAATAAATGATAATTGTTAAATAAAATGATGATCTCACTATTATCTCTTAAGAAAATGTTATACTTCTCAAATCAGCTGATGAATTGACTTTTGAAGCTAAATTCAAATTTCTAAATGGTAGTATTCATAGGATCAATTAATAATGTTTTCTTTTTAATCATAGATATTTGATGGAGCTTAATGATAAAATTATTGAATATTAATAAGAAGTTCAAAATATCTCTATTCATAATGATAAATCAATTATCATTACTAATAATAATACAATATAATTCTACAAGATGAAGAAAATATAATGGGAATGCAAATTTACAGATCTCATTCCTATTGATTATATTGACACTTGTGCTTTATCTAAATCTATTATTTTGCATATTCATAGTAGTATCATATTCTTATCAGAAGATAAATAGATTTAAGAAATCATCTAATTAGAATAAGAAGTTCATTCCATTTATACTTTAAATGATTATAATGTTATTGGATTATTTTCAATTGTAAATGATTAGTTTTCAATATTCAATACAAAACTAGTATAAAATTATGAATTCTTTTCATAATAATGTATTTAATTTGATATTAGTATCAGTTTTTAACCTTATCGTTTAAGTTGCTTTTAAGATTAAAGAGGACTTCATTTGCTTTTAATTAGAAATTTAGAACATGTTAAACATTATTATAAATAAATATAATGTATGGATATTGTGAGCATTAATAAATGTAGAAATAGATTGCTCATTTTAACAAAATAGTAAATATTGTCAATATTTATATCAGAAATTGAAAATACTACATCAGAAGAACAATATCTTAATGCATTATAATTAAGATTGATGAATTATTGTAGTTCAATATTTGAGGGTTAATATTATTTTAGTAATGATTCATATTTATTCAGTTTTAAGAATGATGAAGTTAAATATTATAAATTAATTGAGAATCAAAAGAATTAAATAAGTAAGATTAAATTCTAAGAGAAAATAATATATTATGAATATGTGAATAATTAATTAGTTATTTATTCTTAATAATAACAAAAATGTTATTTAACAATATACAATTAACAATTTGAAATAATAAATAAATATGAATTTAATAAATTATATGAGGGAATTAAATATTGTCCTTATTATACAGGGATAGCAATTTATGAATAAAAAGTATAATATTAAGATAAGGAACCAAATAATAATTATATTTTGTAAACTGAAATGTTACAGAAGACATTTCTTTAATTGATCGATTTTCGAACTTAGATATACTAAAATAATAATTAAAATAATAATGAATAGCCAATTATATAAAGTTATTTATTATATGGTAAAAGTAAAAATAAGATTAGTTGTGGATTTATGTTAGATTATTCAATAGTGAATATATAAAATATTTGGAATAATCGTTTTATAATAACAAGTACTTATAAATTAAAAATAATTGAAATATATAATAGTACATATGAGATGTAACATATATTTGAATTTAGTATTTTAAATTAATAATTAATAACATTTAGAAATAGTTTACCTTTGGAAGATTTAGAAAGAATCAATTTTCTTAAATAAACTGATTAAAGAATTCTATTCACTCATTTTGGATAATAAATAAAAGGTGAATCTAAAATGAATGGTATAATTCATAGTTTTTATGGAATTAAATGGATAAGTATAAATAAGGACAATGTTAATATAATATAGTTGTAGTAGAAATAAGAAATAAATAAAATATAACGTGTATTATAAGAGGGTAGTAATTATTTTTATATATTATCTAATGATGAAGAAATATATAAAATAACACCTGATGAAGTTAAATTAATATATGTTTCTGGATCAAAATTATTATCATATGTAAGTAATAATAATAATGAATCTATTATATTAAAATTTAATAATGAATTATTAGTAACAGAGTTAGAAAATGCATAAAAGATTAAATATAATTTGATTTTATGATTAATTCTAAATTATTATATAATAATATCAAATATAAAGGAATAAAATTATTGATGTAATAGTTATTAATGATGAATATTAGCTAGTTTCTATTTCAATAACATCTGATAGAGTATTAATAGAAATTTCAGTTTCTATTCCTTCTTAACACATTAAAGTATTAGAATTCCAATGACAATCTGTGTTTCTTTATTTACATTATACAATTTGTAATTTAGTACATAATTATTTGCATTAGTTATCAACATATATACATCTATCATTTGATAATTCACATAGACTTTAATCCATATATTAACATAAATTTGATTGACATCCACTCTATTGATTATAAAAACAATAATTTCCCATATTCATACAAGTACAAGCATCTGTGATTTCATTACATGATGTACATTGATTATTAGGTAATAAAACACATAATTATTATTAAATTTCAGCTCCATTACAATTATTGGCACTTGAACCAAATTATTAACATAATTATGAAATACAAGAATATTTATTACTGAAAGATTGAATCTATAACCAATAACATTATTTTCCACCAATTTATTATTAATTACAAATACTCTCTTATGAATCTTAATTAGTATATTAAATGAATTCTTCACATGAATTTACACCAATACATTAATTATCATACCATATACATTATTCATTATTAAAATAACCTGTACATTCTTCTTTTTTCATATATTTACATAATTTAAGTTGACATTCATAATAAGACCACATACAATTACCACTACATTAATCTTAAGTGTAATGAATACAATTTTATTCAATACAATGATTTTAATTATAAATATCAACATTACATTTCTTATTATTAATTTTAAATTTAGTACAATCACTTACATTAAATAAATCAGAACATTTACTTGCAGATTGACATTATGATTTATTCTTAAAACATTAATATTTATTAATTTTTGTAGAATCACATACATCTAAAGATATATCATTACAAACTTTGTTTCTACATATACTTAATTACATATCATATATGCATTAAGAAGCAGTACATTTATCCATACTATAGATTGTACAATCTATTATTTCATATACTGAAACTAATCCTGAACATATACATTCAGTATTAATATACTTACAATTTTACAATTACATACATCCTATTTAATTAATACCTGGAGAATCACATGTATCATTCGAATATACATCAACACAACCTCTAGAAAGATAACTAAATTTACATCCTTATGTATTTAAAGCCTTACATACATTTAAATTCACATTTACTAAATTGTTACAAACAGAAATGTTTCCATCATAATATTAACATTTGTAATCTACAAATTAACATTTTTCATTCTCTATTAATATACATCCTAATTTATTCAGACCTGTAGTTTTACATGTATCAACTTTAGAATCAAAAATTGTTGTGCATTAACCATCAGATAAATATTTACATATAACATCATCAACATCAATTAATGAACAAGAAACTGGATTAACATTCTTTAATTGATAACATTAAGTAACTCCATTAATTATAGTATTATATTAACATTCTTCATTTAACCATATTGTAGGTTATTGAGTAATACTTAAACAAGCTAATCTATTCAAACCATTTAATGTACTAACAAAATCTTTAAATACTAATGTTGTTTCAACAAAGGTTTTACAAGATAGAGTTATACTATCATGATAACATTTAAGATTCTTTGAAGTAATTGAAGAACATACTCGTGGTGATACTGTTTGATATTCTTCACAAGTTGAGTATTCAATAGTATTACTATAATTAACACATTTATTATTAACCCAATCACATCTATCTGCTTTTGTTTTCAAACAACCAAAATAATTCAATCCTTTAGTATCACATAAATCAATTTCATTATCTGCATATATACAAATATAATTAATATTATCATATTTTACAGAAATATTTTCTAAATTTTATATTAAACTATCTTTTATTGTATATGCTCTTCTACAAACATGTTGATTAATTAAAATATGATAATCTATTTCAAATTAATAATCAGAATCATCCAATTAACTACATTATTAACCTAACCATTTACAAAATTACCCTTCTTAAGTTACATTTACACAACCATATATATTTAGATGATCTGAACAAATAATACTTAAATTATCAATATATTAGCATTTATCATCTTTGTATATACATTTCTCATTTTCTTTAGCTACTGCTAAACATCCATATAAGGATAATTCAGAAGTACAACTAACTTCATAAGTGTCAGCACTTCTGCATTAATTATTGGTCCAATGACAAATTTATCCTTCATTAATTGGAGCAACACAAAATCTTTTTTAAGAATATTTAAATAATGGACAAGTCATATCTTTAGCCAAAGTTTCATCTGCCAATTATAGACATATTCCTTATTGTATATTCCAATAACAATTATTTGCTTTATTATTTTAACATCCTAAAGGACTAAATGATAAATTGCAAATTGATTATTCATTTTCTAAATAACATGAAGATCCATTATGTGCACAATAATCAGTTGAAAAGAAATAACATATTCCTGGAGATATGAGAGTATCTACATAATTAGAACAAGGTTTCATTTCACCAGAATAAGTTATACATAAATGATTTGTTGAATCCCATTTACAAGCAGTAGATAAATTATGTAGACAAGTATATCTTGATGTTATTTCTGGACAATTTCTAAATATTGTATTTGAAGGTACATCGACACATGAACCATTATTCCATATACAATTTGATTCAATATATTTACATCCAATAGAATTAACAATGTCATTACAAACACTTCCAGTAATTGTAGTACTACATCTTAATTCAGTTGATTTAAATTGACATGGATCTGTAAGTGTTGATTTTTAACAAAACATACTATTTTTGACACTAATGGAATTCATTAAATCACATTAAGTATTATTATCAATAGGTACACATTAATTATTAGTATCTAATCTACATCCTGTAAAATTAGAACAATATCCTCTACTAACTTCACTTTATCCTATTCCTGGACAATTAGGAGGTTAATTCTTAGTATCCATATTTTTACATGATTTTTCATCTGAATCCCATTAACAACTATTTATATTATTAATACATCCAATTTTATTCATTTTAATTTAACATTATGCATTGATCCCTGTTAATAAACATCCATAATGATTAGTATTTTCAGTACAACCTACATCTGTTACTTCAAGACATTTGAGTTCAGATAAAGATGAATATTTTAAAGCATTACAAGATGTAATCTACCCTAAAATACATTATTTAGTATTTTCATCATACATACAAAAATCTTCTTAAGTGACACAACCTGCAGCATTTAAATTATCAACACATCCTTAAGATCTAGATACTGGAGAACATAATAAATTAGTATCATCCCATATACATGGTTATAATAACCATAAACATGCTGTTTTATTTATAGCTTCTTAACATCTAGAATTTTAAGATGCTAATGTTGTACAAGTAGTTGTATAAGTACAATAACCTCCAATTTATTATTGACAACAATATTTTGAATAATTAGACATACTATTACAAGTAATTTAATAATTTGAAGATACACATTGATTAGATATCCATTAACAACATTATAATGTATGTGCTTTACATGCATTTTCATTTAAATTGCTACTACAATCTAAATTAGTATAATCATTAACTTGCATACACATACCATTCTTGTAATAACAATATGCAGATGTATAACCAACACATGCTAATTTATTCATTCCTTTATCACAATTTATTGATGCAACAGTCACTGCTTAACAAGAATTAGCATTCCAAATACAAGGAATATCTGTAGTCTATGAACAAACACCAGGATTTACTTGAGAATAAGATAAACAATTATTATTTACAGTAATTGATGAACAAGTATTATTAATCCATTAACAAGATTATCCATTATATAATTTAAGACATCCATTTTAATTTGATGGATCACTACATTTAGATGATGTAACATCATTTATTAAAACATCAAGACAGAGATTATTAGTAAATATACAATTACCTGAGAGTGCCCCAGCACAAGCTTTTTGATTAGCTCCTATTGAATTACAATTTGGTGCATTAGCTGTGACACATCCATTATTCCAATAACAAGGTTCAGTTTAAATTGAAGCACATACTTATGGAGAATATACATTTGAAGAATATGTATTGCATGAATCTGTTGATTAAGTAGTAATAGCAATACAAGATCCATTATTCCATTAACACAATTATTTTGGAGTTTGGATTCTAATACATGCAGATTAAGTAAATGAAAAATCACTAGTACATTCAGCTTCATATGGAGTTGTAGTTATATCAATACAAATTTAATAATAATAACATGAATTTAATGTGTTATTAATACAAGCAATTTTATTTAAGCCATCACATGATTAAAGTGTATTAGATGGTATAATACATTATGATGATAATCCATTATCTTAAAATTAACAAGATTAATTTTAATAATTATTTTACATACAAGCATATGAATTAATATTAGTTAATGTTGTACAATCATTATTTGGTGTAATATATACACATTCATTATTTTCCCATTTACAAGCAAATACTCTACTATTAATACATTATTTAAAAGATACTGCACTTGGACATGGGAATTCTGTTGATGTTATTACACTACAAGTATATGATGAAAATTCACATGTTTATTATGAAACATAATTTAAACAATAAACTGAATTAATACTAGAATTTGAAGTACAAAGTGATAAAGGAATAGTTTCTACTTTACATATATGATTTACAGAATCATAAATACATGATTAATTAGAATTAGCATATTTACATGTTTTACTATTAACTAATTTTGAATTTGAATCTGAATAACTTGAACAATTAAAATTCATTAAAGTACTCTCTGATATTTCACTACATAATTTAGTTTATTTATCAAATTAACATGCTACTTTTTATACATCTACACATGCATCTTCATTTAAATTCTCAAAATTTCCATTTATCATTGTTATATCATTTATAACTTAACATTTATTCTACCAAAATCCACAATAAGATCCTTTTGTATTTTATATACAACCTATAATATTTAAACCAGATGTATCACAAGGATTATTAGTACTTGTAATACTAATACATACTTTATTTATAGAATCATAACCACAACTTGATGATTAAATTTAAGAACAAATCATAGAATTAAATTTACCTCCTGATGAAATGTTAAATTAATTACATTATGAATTTTAATCTATTTTTATACTTACACAAGTATTATTAAACCAACCACAAGAAGATGTTGTTACTCCTATACAATCATTATCTGTATTCTTATTATTACAATCACTTTATGGAGGTGATGGTTTTGATTAACACATATAATCATGAGAATTAAATGTATCACAACTAGAATTCAATTCACAAGCTGCTTCATTCTATCCAATTTTACAACTAGAATTCATTTAAATTGAATCACAATGATATGTACCTTAATTGTATTCACACATTTCATTTTATGTATTAACCATAGCACAAACTATTGCATTATATAATTGATTATTCAAAGATGCACATGTTACTGTATCATAATCTATATCAGATACATTCTAACATTTATTATTACCTTCATCCCAATAACAAGCCTCTTTTTATGAAGCTAAACATCCTAATTTATTAACTGAATCTCTACAACTTATTCTTCTTGCTGAATCATTTGTTACTTCTGAACATCTAAAGTCTTTCTTATCAAAATAACATGGTCCAGTTGTATTAGTAATACAAGCTTATTCATTCAAACCACTTGTATCACAAGATAAATTATTAACAGAATTGTCAATTATTACACATGCCTTAGTTGAAGGATTGAATCTACAACTAGAAACAGATTTAGTACTAGCACAAGTATTGGAATTAACTTCTTCATTCAAATAACTACTGCATTCAGATCCAGTAGTAAGTAATTTACATTTAATATCTTATGCAGATGAAACCCATAAACAATATTATCCAGATGTAGTTATACTTGAACATAACTTTTAATTACATTATTTACATAATAATGAATTTAATAATGGATCATTATGTAGAGTTATTTCTAAACATTTTAATGATGTAGTATTGAAATAACAATTAAGTGATTTATTTGAAAATTTAATACAAGCATGTAAATTTATATCTAAATTACTTCCACAATCAGCCCAATCAGTTGCACTAGTATAAAGTTAACATTATTATGTTGTACCATTATAAGTACAATAATTTTTATCACCTACCCATTTTGATTAACTGATTTCATAAGCTAAACAAAATAATTTATTAACATTTTTATATTGTGAACATTCATTAGATACTGGAAATTCTTATAATTAACAGATTGAATCAATTGAATTCCAAATACAATATTATCCTTATAATGAAATAGCTAAACATGTTGATTTAGATGGGAAGTTTTTATCACATTTAATATTTGTAAAATCTGTTGCTGTTATACATTATTAATTTATTGTATCAAAATAACATGATTATTTTAAATAAGCACATGCATATGGATTTAAACCAGATGCAGTACATATTGTATTTGGATCAACAGAAGCAGAACAACTTTAAATATTTGAATCATATCTACATTTTTCAACAACCTATTAAACCATTGCACATGTTTTAGATGTAACACTTTATAATGAAGAACATGTAACAGCACCACCTAAACTCTCTACTGTGGAACATTAATTAGATAACCATCTACAACTTAAAGATGAATTAGTGACACTAGAACAACCTTTTTAATTCATACCAATTGTATCACAACGTATACTGTTATTCATTATAAAAGTTTCACAATTATTAGTTTCTGAATTATATTTACATAATTAAGCTTAGAAATTTATAATATAATTAACCATTCTACAAGCAACAGCATTAACTAATTTCAATGTAGAACATTCATCTGTTCTCTTAATTGATATTGACATACACATTCCAGAAAATTCATTCCATTTACAAGATGACATTGTACTATTCAAACAACCTAATCTATTTAATCCTTCTTATTCACAAGTCAAAGAACCATCAGTTGTTTTACATTTTCCATCACTCCAATAACATGCTTCAGTTGTTACTTTACGACAAGCATTAGGATTATGAGATGTAAGATCTCCACACATTGTTTCAGGGGTCACTTAAAAAATTTTACATTATAAACCATTATAATAACAAACTTAACTTGGATTCTTTAAATTTAAACAACTTATTTTATTTAAACCACTTGTACATTTTAATTAATCTAATGACATAATTTTTAAACATTATCCATCAATAAATTAACAATTTTATATAGCTTCATTACATGATAATTAATTTTATCCTAATTTACCACATTCTTCATTATCATCAAATAGACATCCATTAACATCATTCCATATACAACCAGATGAACTTTATCTACAACTAGTCTCTGTTTTCATATTACTTTATGATTTACACATTGAGTTACATCTCTTACTTTAAGAATCATAAAAACATGAAATACTAGATACATTTGCACAAACACTTGGAGAAACTTATATATCAAATGAACATTCATCACTGGCTTTTACAGATTTATATTAACAATATCCTTCAGACCAATAACAAGTTTCTGAAAAATTAGTAACAGATAGACATGCCAATTAATTTAAAGCATCTGAACATTTAAGTTTTTCAGTAAATTCAACTTATTAACATTTACCATCTACAAATATGCAACTTTCAGTTTATATTTTTATACATCCTAATTTATTTAAACCTGCTGATGAACATCTTAAATACAAATAAACTTAATCAGGAGGCTTTACACAACCAGGAATCAACATTAATTCTTTATATGTATTGGCTTGATTACTCAAAAGGGATGACTTATAAAAGGCATTTAAAACTACATGGGCTCCGGATTAATGAAGAACTTAACTCTTTATTCTTACTTATTACCTGCTGATGCCGTTATTAAGCGACAAACTTTCACACTCACCAATTCAATTGAATCTGATGCACTCCAGGCTATATTGTTAGCTTCGGCTTCAGAAATTGTTTAACAACTATCATTCCAAAAACAATAATCATCTTATACTGCTAAACATGCTGCTCGGGATAAATTCTTAGAACAATTGCTTAATAAGGTGGTCACCTTACGACAATATCCACTAAATATGCCTATGATATTCATCAATATTCAATTACATTCTGCCATTGTACCATCTGGATAATAGGTTTAGACAATACATGATTGAGAACTGAGCAAATTAGAACATCCAAAATTTACTCCATCTGTATATAAACATTAACTTGTTATTTCATTCCATCTGCATTTTTAATTGTTATTTTAGATACAATCTATTTCCGATTAGTAATAATCACATGACAAATTTGCTCTAGATATTAAAATCAATAAGAGTATTATAAAATATTTCATTTATATTATTAAGTAAAATTATTAATTGTATAGAAATCAATTATTAAATATATTTTACATAAGATTCCATCTTACTACTACTTATTCCCAATATGGAATCTATTTATCTGCCATTATCTTATTCAAATGTGTTAAAAATTACTTATCTGATATCATATTCTTTTTTTCCTATTTGTTCTATTCCTATTATTATAAATCTAAATCTATATATATATCACTAAATGTTCCATTAGTCTATGCATCATTATTCACAACTACTATTTATTGTTATTCTTCATCTGATAGATCATTTATTTGATCCCAAAATAAACATTTTATCTCAAAAAATAAACATTCAAATTTAGATTATTTTTATAAATCTCTCAAATTTTTTTCCAAATCATCTTATTACAATGCACATTAAATCATGTTTAATAATAAGTTAAGATTCTTTACACTAGTATAATAAGAATTATTTCTAGAAGCCAATTATATTACAGAAACTACATTTTCTACTTTCAATTTCTATATTATTGCTTCATTCTTGCTTTATCCCAAATGATCATTAACTATTAGTAAACATTCAACAAATATCTCCAATATATCTTACTCTATTATCTCTTAAGGTTTTCCCATTCTCTATGCCACCAAACTCACATTCCCTCTATTTTCAAGGATTGTATGCCAAAGTTCTCTCTTTTCATATAAGGTTTATTAAGGTCTATAAGGTTCTTCTCTCTCTCTTTTACACATATACATAAATATTTTAATTACAAAATAACATCATGATTCCTAGAAATACTTTAATAAAAAATCATTTTTATTTTTAATCGTTATAAATTTGAAATTTCAATGGCTTCATCAGTTCTTCGTTCTTAAATTCCCTTAGGAGGAATATGTGATGTAGAGTCTGCAAAACATGTTGCAAGACGTCTCTTTGAATCTTATGATCGAGATAGAAATGGAATCTTAGATTAAGGAGAAGTAGCACCAATGATGGTAGATGCATATAAAGGAATGTCTAAAGGATTCAATCCAAGCAAATCAGATATTGATACCTATTTGAGAATCCTTGATAGAAATGGAGATGGCAAAATTACAATCTAAGACATTGAAGCTTTAGCTATAAAATACTTAGTTGGAATAACTGGTGAGTCTCCTAAAAGACCCAAAAGATAGTATTCTAAATTCGTTGAAGATCGTTTAGATGTTGCTAGAAGACTCTTTCGTAAATTTGATTAAGATAATTCTGGATTCATCACTGAAAATGAAGTATGTTTATTCTAAATATCTATTAGGTTCCTTAATTATTAATTGAGACATATAAATCTATGGGTATTCAATATAATCCCACTTAAGAAGATGTAAAATCATGGATGAGAATGACTGACCTTAATGATGATGGTTAAGTTTCACTTGAAGAATATGAAGACTTAGTTATTAGATCACTTTAACATGCAGGAATCCAACTTGAATGATATTATTATATAAAGACAATTATATTTTTTAATTCAAAAATTCCCTTTCTCAAAATATTTTGATATAATTTATTTTGTTTCATCTTCATCATATACTTTAAAGGGCTAAAATGCTCTCTTCATATATGTATTTGTTTTCTCAAAATTAGTATTATTAAAATCATCATTTTATGGATATTCTCTAATAGGAGATGGTTATCCATTTTAAGTCTTTGGAAATTCATCAATATCTTCTTTAGGAGTCTTAAATTTTATCTCTTTTAATTCTCCTCCTAATTAAACACTTGATTTCAAATATTGTTTCTCCAAATTAGGAAATAAATTCTTTATTGATTATATATTATTGCTATGATTATATGGCATTATATGATCCATTGATTTTGTCGAAATTAATGCATTCTTATAATTTTTAAGTTGAGAATTCTAAGAGAAAACTGTCTTATTTTCTATTCCAAATGCTTAATCCTGCTTGAATGTTCTTATACTTGTTGAATATTGAGTATATGGATTCTTCTTTATAACAGGATTAAATGGAAGTTTACCAATCTTTTCTAATCCTTCTGATCTCATTCTCTTAAATTCAATCAGAGAATTCTCTTATTCCAAATATATATAATTATCATCAGGATTGCGAAACGGCATTGCTTTCCAAGCTGTTTTTTCTTTAAATTTACCTCCAGCTTATTTAAAATCACTCTCACTTACCCATTTCTCTCTTTATGTAGGTTTCCAATTAGGTCTCTAAGCCATTGTTAGATCTCTTGATGTATGATCAATATAATTTGAATTTTCCAATTATTCTTGTAATCTTTAATTCTCTGTCCTAGGATTCTTACCAAATCTCAGAGGCATTTTTTCTTTTGCCAAAATCTCATTTCTCATATTTAAAGGTAGTTTCATATATGGACCTGCCTTTAAATGTCCTCTCAAGAACTCATCTTAAGCTTCTTGTGCTTTTTCTCTTTCTTATTTATATTGTTTTGGAGATCTCTCATGAGTCCTTACAACAAATTCATGTAAATCAGGATTGAGTAAAGGTATGCTTCCACTTTTTATACCTGTTATTTAATATTCATTATTATACTCTTTAAAAAGCTTGAGTTATGATTCGAATTGATATACTTTTAGATTCTCTCAGAGCTTTATGCAGCCAATTAAAATACATTGCTTTAATGACTTTTATTAACTTTCATAATTAATATAATTAAATCAAATTCCAACAAAATTTTGATGATATTTAAGACTTTTTGAATAAAATAAAAATGAATAAACGAATAATCAACATAGATATTAAGATTTATTGATTAAAATTCTTAATTTGGAAATAGTAATACAAAAAATATTATAATTTAATATTATTTGCATAAATTATTTTTAGATTTCATAGTTGATGATAAATAAATAAAATAAACTTAAGTTCTTATTCTAGTAGTTAATCTTATAATAAATTAGGATTGAATCTTCATTATATTAAACATTTAAATAATATCACTAATATATAAATATAAATATCTTAATTGATGAACTTCTGGTCTAAATTAAATTAGGATCCTTAAAAAAAATTAGAAGAATAAATAAGGGAATTCTCACTTAAATATTAATAAAATATAAATGAAATTCAGATATTTAAAATGTTCATAAGTGATTAAGATGATGAATTCGCAATTTGGAAAAATGCAGAAAGTCAAGTAAAATCAGTTTGTGGAGCTAATGTTGAAAATGGATAACTTACTTTCTAATGTTTTACTTGTGCCCCTGATCCTCATCATATGTACTGCTATAAGTGTTTTAATCCTGACATACATCTGAGTATATTTTTTTAAATTGAATAGATCACAAATGTATTATAAAGCATAATATTGGTGGAGCATGCGATTGTGGAGATGAATAAACAATTATACCATCTGGATTTTGTTCAAAACATCAAGGAGTCTCAAAGTTTGATTACAACTAAGAATTAAATAAAATATCAGATTCTTTAAAAAAGAAAATAGAAAATTTTATAAAAGCTTTATGTACAATTTATTTAAATCTCATGAAAAGAATAAAATAGGATCATAATATGTTTAATGTTATATTACTAAAATTTTATCACATTAGTGAAAAGTGGTTAATCACTCCTTTCAAGGAAGTTATAGATTCTGAATATGATATTGAAGAATACTATAGAATTTTTTAGTAAGCATTATTTTTAAATACAATACTTTTTAAAATGTGTTATTGGTTTACAGAATCAAGATTATGTTTCATAATTTTACTATCATAAATTTTTTAATAAAAATTAACTTAAGAGTCTAAACAGACAATATTTGAAGATGTATTTGAAGTTCAAGTATTACTAGAAAGTTAAGGACCATAACCAGCTTTAAAAATAGAAAGTTTATTATTTAGGTTTTATGCAGATTATTCATTTAAATAATTTATTTAGGTATGTTACTTAAAATAATATGCATCAATGTGGTTACAGACAAAGAAAAAAGTAACCAAATATGATAAATTGATGGAGGATTATTTAATTAAACTCTAAACTATAAAAAGTTTATAATTTGCATAAGCATAACATGAAGCATTATTGAAAATGGCTTAGGTAGTGAAAAACTATATTTAAAAATATAAAGAATCAACTGAAATTACTATAGGATTAAATCTCTCTGAAATTCATGAATAACACACTTAATACGTAGCAGAAAGATTACAAGAAGTATTTCTTAGTCATCAATATATATAAAATATTTATAATTAGATTAGAGATTTATCAATATTAATTCACTCTTAAACACCAATATCATCATTATCATAATTATAGTATTCAGTAATCTTCAAGTTAAGATATGAATATAATTTTTTTTATAAAGTTGGTTTTAAATAACTTCAAGAAGCTCTTGGAGATTATTATCAACAATTTATACATGGATAAATTACAAAAGAAATTATTCAAAATTTTAAATATGATTAATTTACAATAACCTCTTATTTAAATTGTTATAATTAAATTAAACCTTAACATTTGGATATTTTAGAGGAACATTTAACAATATGGCAATAAGATTTGTAAGATGCAGTATACTTTTTAATTTGTTAAGGGTAGGCAATTTAAGTGATTTTAGTAGGAATTTAAAGACTATTTAGTTCTTAATTTAGTACCCTATAATTTTAAGAAAATATTTCTAAATTATTGTTAACATAATCCTATCAGATTTTGAAAAAGAAATATAAAGGTATATCAGTAGATTCTTAATTGAATGAGGCATATAAAAAATATATCGAAAATAAAAATTTAACTCCAGCAGAAATATTTGATAGATTATCAAAAATTTTTTTGGTTTTAATGAAAAGTATAACTGTAGTTGAAAGAGTATTTACTTTTATCTTGTCATATTTATATTGTTTGAAGAATTTTGAATCTGGAACAGAATTTGAATCTTATTTACTTGATATATTATAAGAAGATAAAAAAGAACTTAAAAATAACTTTTATGAAGTCTTATCAAAATGTTTATAGATGTATGTTTCAGTATAATTTTGTTAAAATCAATTTATTGAATAAATATATTTGGGTTTGAATGATTAATAAGATTAAGTGATACTTGAATCTTTTGATAGTTCATTTTTGAGGATTTATTTATTTTTATATGAAAATGAAGGCTTTTAGGATTTGAATAAAATTATGGACAATAGAAGGATTATAAAATCTGGAAGTGATAGAATATTATGGTATATTTATTTATTTAATCAAATAGTTGTTTATTATTAAGAATTCTAAGTTCTGATCTTGATTTGTATAATGTTTGTTGTTCAACCTTAAAAGAATTACCAAGAGATTTAAAATTATCATTAGCCAAAGCAATTTAAAATTTTTACAATCTTTCAACATTTCTCTCATTTACTGATATTGAGTCTAAATTAAGACGTATGGGTATTTAGGCTTGTTCTAATCTTCCAGATCATGTTTTATAAATTTGTGAAGTTGATTAGGCATTAAAATAATTGAAATTAAGATCAGAATATAGAGTTATTTATGATCCAGCAATTTTTAATATTAATACTGCAATTAATAGTTAAATTGTTGAAAAATTAGTAGAATAAAATAAATCAGAAAATGAGATTCATTTAGGAAATGGTATATGTTGGGATGTAGAATTATTTAAGAATAACAATTATAGAATAATCCTTTACAATATTTTAAAAAGATATTGTTAGAAAGAATATATTAATAAAAATCTTGATTTATTAAAAACAGAAGGATTTGCTTTGATTTAGGCATATTAGTTACTTTATATTTAATTGGTAGCAGCAAATTATTTTATGGAATAAGAATTTAAAACTTATGCTCCTTTTATAATTATTTAACTTGAATAAATATTAGGAGTAACTTAACGTAAAGATGATATACAAAGAATTTAAGTATTGATATCAGAAATCAATAAATTAATTACTGTTGTTAAACCTGTTGTTATATAGAAATAACCATAAGTAAAAGATACGAAAATTAATTTATAAAATAAAAAGAATCAATTCAAAGAGAAATATAATAAATTGTAAAAATCAGAATTTATATAAAATATGCTTGAGAGTAATGATATTAAGGATAATAATGATGAAAAAGATGTAAATGTATGTTCATCATGTAAATTACCTTTAAGTTAATAATCAAGTGTAGCATTAATGTTATTGATTAAGAAACCATAAACTTCAAATTTTTCTATAATTTCAAAGGAAAGTTTAGAATGTTTCAAAAATAATTAATTTAATTTAATTGATGTTGGAGTAGCATGTTGTAAACACTATTTTCATTATACTTGTTTAATAGAGAGATTTGAAAGTGATTAATAATATAGAAGATAAAATGCACCTGATTGGGTTAAGATTGGATGTCCTGTATGTAAATTACCTTGTACAATTACTTTACCAATATAAAGGTAATTGACTAATTTAGATGTAGAATCCTTTAATTAGGATCTTTAATTGTTTGTCACAAAAAATGCAATTGAAAATTTATTTGAAGATCAAATTACTGCATAAAAAACTCTTGCTGAAACATATTATAATATTTTCTTTGATTTGCTAATTTCCTTATTTCATAATCCATCAGAGTATATAAGAGATTAAAAAAATATAGTATTTCATTAATTACTATTAATATTGAATGCTACAAATATGGAAGCAGCAAAAGCTAAAATTATAGAATAATTCCAATTTTAAACAGAAAACAATTTTATTTTAAATATATTATCCTTAATTTAAAAATATGTTGTTATTGAAAAAGATTTGTAGAAATTTAAAGTAGAAGTCCTTTCTAGTTGCAATCAATATAATATAAGAAATGAAATTTATATATAATTAGCTTTATCATTAGAAATATAGGATGAATTACTATAGTAAGCTATATAATTCGAAAAATAAATAGTGAAATAAGAAAATTTCAATTAATATGCTTTAATAAATTAATTGTAATTAGAAGATCAATTAAAAAGTATAATTGGGTTAACATTTAAAGAGTTTTATAATAAATACTTTACTAAAAAATGTTTTGCTTGTGGATTTTATAATAAGGATTAGAGACATGGAGGATTTTCAATGTGTTTATTTTGTTCAAAAACTTTCTGCATATATTCATGCAATAAAGATATAAAAACGGGAAATTTGAATTTACATGCAAATAAAGAACATAATGGAATATCTATTTATGTAAATCTAGAAAATGGATATGTAACTTTATTATGTTCTCCAATATCCATATAATATTATAAATGTTTATTTTATAATCAATTAGGATAAAGAATCGATATAGAAAATTCAAATTCAGATTGGAATTCATTTAATTTAGATATTTAGAAGTTAAGAGAAATATCACAAATTATCATGAACAGTTCATATTAAGCAATTATTAGAAACTTAGAAGTTAGGTAAAACTAATTAGATATGGATGGATATCTTTGAATTAGTATGATTATTGAGTATCAATTAATTTGGTTAATTATTATGAATATTTCTAATTTTTTTCAGGAATGTGTTAATGCTGTGAGGGATCCACGTCCAATTTAATATCAACCATCAATGCAAATAAGTGAAGGAGAGATTTTAGTCAAAGGAAAAACGTTAGGTAGATGGGAATCTAAGAAATTTATTATTGATGAGGAAAAAAGAGTTTTTGCACTTAGAAGTTCTAATGGAAAAACAAGACTAAAACCATATTTCTTATAAGAGTATTAAGTATATAGTTATTTATTAAAAATCTAAGGTTGAGAATAAAGAAAAGAAAAAAGATAAAATAACATTTGATTTAACATCTAAAACTGGAGGAAAATGTTTAACTCTTGGAATTGAAAATGAACAAAAGGCAAATGAATTAATAAATACTCTTTAGGATTTATGTAATAAAATAGAAGTAAAACAGAATAAAAATGAAACTATATAACAGAATATATAAGATCATATCTACAATAATTAACATTGTACCAATATTATAAGTAATAGTTAGAAATGAAAATTAATGAAATTGATTATGAAATTCCAAGCTTTTTTGATATAAGTGAAATAAGGGATAGGTATATTTTGTTTTAAAAGTAGTATCTCTCATATAAGGAAGGGTTAACACAATTTGGATAATTTTAAATTAGTATTAGACAATAAATTATTAATATATAGAAATGAACACAACCATCATTAATTTAAAGTTTTCATGGAATTTGACGGGGATTGTAATATTTATATAATTATTACAATTACATAGGTTAGAATTTAATTATTCAGAATTTAACAGATTATAATAAAATTAATTAGTGGAATGCTTTTATAAGTGTATAAGAAAGTAGAATGATTAAAGAATTACATGAAGATAAATCATTTTTGATATGTGAGATTCGAGAATTGTCAAATCTATTTATATTTAAAAGAGAATTCCAATATTTGTAACATCATTTCAAAATTGATAATATCGATTTTATTGTATAAAAATAAATTGATCAAAAATCATATACTAAAAATTATTAAGGTAGCCTTAAATATGGTGTATGGGGTATTTTAACAAGGTATAATGTGTATCTCTAAATATTAGTGAGAAAACAACAAAGGTCTATTACTTTTCTGAATAATCTATGTAAGGATTATCTTATCCAGATGAAGATGGATATCTTATATAATTATATTTAAAGCAAATAATCAATTTATATTAATATAGTAGTAAATTTTAATAAGATTTATCACAAATTAAGTAGAATGAACTAAATTTATATGTTTAATAATAATATTAATAGGAATTAAAATAAAATGATATATAAGAAAATAAAGAGGAATTCTTTGATTGTGAAGAAATAGATGCTATGAATGATAAATTATTTATGGCTGGAAATGATTCTAATAAAAATAATGATATAAATGATGAAGTTGTAAGAGATGTTTATGAACAGAATGTTAGAAGATTAACATCTCTTCCTTAATAAATAGACTCATTAGATAATATTCAAGATTGGATAGATAAAAAGATGAAACTATTTTTATCTGGGAATTATAATTCATACTCTATTAATGTTAAACATTAATTATAACCTAAAGAATATGATCCATTATAGCGTTAATTATTAACTTAATAGGAAGGTGGTCATTATATTTTTAAGAAGGATTTTATAAGAGAAGAAAAGAATGGAGGATTAAAAGTAATTAATGAAGAAAAGTTGGCTGCTTAAAAAGCTGTCATTAAATTCCTTTTAACTAGAATTGGTGCATCTCTTATGATGGGTAAATCAATTACTAGTATATCAATGCCAGTTACTATCTTTGAGGCTAGATCAAATACTGAAAGAGTGTGTAATAGCATGGGATTTGCACCTATTTATTTAGAAGATGCTGCTTAATCTTAAGATATTTATTATAGAATAAAATAATGTGCTGCATTTTAATTTGGATTTATTTTTATGTATCTTTCTTGTGAAAAAGTATTTAATTTTTATATGGAAGCCCTTTAATCCTATATTAGGAGAAACCTTTTAAGGGTTTTATGATAATTGTCCAATATATTGTGAATAAATTAGTCATCATCCTCCTATTTGTGCTATTTAAATGTATGGTAGAAAATATAGGTAAAATTGAATAAATAATCTTTATTAGAATAGATGCTTAATTGGAATTGATTGCTAACTTTAATTCAAATTCAGTAGTTGGTAGAAATGTTGGTACATTAAAAATTACATTTGAGAATCCACATTAAGTTGTATTGATAACTTTAGCTCCAGGTAGTTTGAATGGAACAACTTATGGAGATAAAGTTATGAATTATCTTGAAAAGTAATTTATAATAGATATCAAAAATAAAATAATTGCTGAATTTACTTTTAATCCAGATAAAAAATATTGTTAATTTTTTGATATTGAATATTTAAATTAATTAGACTATTTATGTGGTGCTATTTGTGATGTTACTGATGCAGCTATTTAGAAATATCATAAAGAAGGTTATCGTAAATATAAAGGATTGGATCTAAAATAAGATATAAAGTAGATAAGACATAAAATTAAAGGAATATGGGTTAATGAAATAAAAGTATATATTCACATTATATATAATAGATAGATAATTAAAAATTAATTTCTATTCATAATGATTTTCCTGTTAAAATGTAATTGGCTTAATATCCAATTCCATCAGATGCAAATTTCAGAATGGATTTATTATTCTGGAAATTGAGAGATTTTGATTAATCTTAATAATGGAAAGAGAAACTGGAAATCTTGTAAAGATAAGATAGAAAGTTGAGAGAATAAAAAGGTAAAAAAAAGAAATGAAATATTAATTTAAAATAATGTATTATTATTTAATTCTAATCTAATTATTAATAAATATTATTGTTGAGTTTTTATGATTATATTTATTAATAATTATTATATAATATGTATTGGCTTTTATATTTTTAATGCTTAATAATTAATTATTAATTGATTGTGTTTTTACATTTTTTTGGATTAGATTAGTGTATATTTTAATGATATTTTAAGAGATTGTAAAGGAATAAAACAATTATATTTATTATTTATTTGATATTGGATTCAAAATTTAACTAAATTATATTTTATCATCCTTTAATCTTATATAATCTACAGAAATCACTTTAATATTACATACATCTCCAATTCATTCTCAAATAGATGATGATTATTATTGTCTTATAAATCATATTTATTTGTAAAAGGGTTTATTTTAATCAAAATATAGGACTTATATTAATTTAAGTAAAAAATTCATGATTTTTATAATATTATAATTATGTGTTATTCTTTATAAATTAGCTTTATTAATATTAATTTATATTATTATAATTAATATTCATTACTATTATATAAAATGAATTATATTAATCATTCCATATCAACTTATATATCTATGCTCTCACATAATTGAATTACTTTATCAACTTCATCCATTAATTATCCTTTATTTTTACTGTACAATTAGAGTAAACAAGAAGTTTGTTAATTGTCAGATTGGCCAGCTTGAATATCTACAATGTTGAATTTACAACCACTAAAAAAATAAGTAAAATTATTACGATTAAACAACTGATAAGATTTTATTAATAGCACCAGTGTCGAATAAATGTCCTGTTAATCTGATAGCCAAATAGGAAGGAACCTTCTTTAAAGCTTTTTTTGGTTAGAAACTTTCAGCTTCCTTCAATTAATCATTAATATTTCTTAAATGAGTAATATATTAAAATTTATGAGTTAGTTATCCATGTAATGTTATTGTAGCATTTTATAAAAATACTGGTAATCCACTTTCTTCTAATGATTTAGTAGGATCTGAATAAGCAAGATGAGGTACAATATCCCTTAAAGCAATTCCAAAATCAATACTAGCATCATAAGGTAATTGAGATGGTAAAAAGTCTATCGACATATACATAATATCCTTTGGTGATTTTGCATCAAATTCATCATGAATAGATTCAGAAATGGGTTCATAGAAATAAACAGGGTTATCAGGTGTTGTATATTTCTTTAAGAATTAGATTGATCCTTCCATATCACAAGTTACATCACATACAGCTTATAATCTACTCTTTCCTGATTAAACTAAATCCTAAAATTATAAAATATATTAATTACCTTCATTTATGAATTTGTTATATATCTAGGGAATTTATGATCCCAATATATATCATTAATAATAATAGTTAAATAAGGTAAATATTTCGTATGGAAAACAGGTGTGTATTAATTTGGATGATTATAATAATCTTATGAAGTAAATTCTTTATCATAGTCTTCTTAATGTCTAACTAAATCAGTTGTTTTGAATGGACACACATAAACTGTTCTTCTGTGTTTAGGATCATTTGGAGTATTCACTAATTCTTTCAATTCTGATGGTTTTACTAGTGTGACATGAAGATTAGATAAGGCTTCCATTGAACCTTTACCACACAATCCTGATGAACCCAAAACACCAATAATAATTGGTAATCCAGCCTCTTTTGGTAGTCCTCTATCCTTGATAGCTTGTCCTGCCACATTTAATGCTTAATAAGCATCTTTTTTATTAAAATATTAATAAGTTGGGCCTATTTGAAGGAATGGAGTGGCAATGTCTCTTTTGAGTAAATATTTTCCATATTCATTCAAGAATGTAATTACTCCTGCTATACCTGCATATGGAAATGCAGTAGTATTAACACCCTATTGAATATATTATTTATTGATTACTTTTTCATCGTATATTCTTTCATAATCTAAATGCCTGATATTTTTCTTTAACATTATATCCAAAGCAGGCATATTGTGTGGTTAAGCTTTTATTGTATGAGACCAATGTAGGTAAGTCATTCCTTCGATGTATTTATCAAGTGGAATTTCTTTAATACAAACAATGGCTTTGCATTAAGTTAAGTCTTCTTAAACTAAGCATCCAACTTCTAAATATTGTTCATCTGTAAAAATTCTTTTTGTTGATGGCTGTACCACAATTTAAATTTATGGATGCTTAGATTATATATAATATTATTACTTTTTCCATAATGTATTTACAATCATGAGGAGGAATTGGAGTCCTTCTTTCCCAATAAGATTTATCTTCAGCTCTAATACCTATATACAATTTGTTCATTTCTTTTTTAAAATAATTTAAATATTAAAGATATGAAAATGCGTCACCCAGCTTTATAATGTCAATTAATTAAATTACTTATATAAAATATATTTTAATTTTAATAATGCATATAATGACGTTTTACTCAAAGACTTTCTAATTTTTTTATGATTTAAATATTTTTTTCCGCATTTATGATACTATAATAAAAAATATTTAATAACAATTCAGTACACTCTAATATGTTAATTTGTATAGGAATATTGTAATGAAAAATTAAATCTAAAAGATGAATACCTTTTAATGAATTCTAGAAATATCTACTCTTTTAATTTTTCTTATCTGGTAAATTACATTTTGAATCTTAGTTTATTTTTTTCAATTGATGGAATAGAAAATATTATTTGTTTTGGAACATTGTTTGTTCCATATAAGTATGATTTATTTCATTTTATTAAAAAATAACCGAAATATTAATTCTTCATATTTATTACGTTGGAATTAAAATGGTTCGTATTTTTCATAATTTTATAAGTTAAATGGAATAGCATTCAAAATATATTAATTAAATTATCTAATTTTCATGTACAGATACGTCTCAAGTGAGCTTGGCTTCAGAACACCTGCTTTGATTAATTCAATTAAAATTTTCGTCAGAGATTTCTCAGATGTCCCTTCACTTTCTGTTTCGAGATTAAATACAGAAGAAATAAGCTAAGCTATGCAAATTCATTAATTATCATGGCAATAAAGCACAGATTCTACAAAACTTATAAAAGAATTTAAATTCACTAATTTCAAATAAACCTTTGTATTTATGGGAACAGTCTCTTAAGTTGCTGATTAAATGCAACGTAATTCTTAATTCAATATTTAGATTTTCCAAAATGGGTTTAAAAAGGAAACAAAGTGACTGTTGAAATGACAACCTAGGATTGTAGAGGAATCTCAGTCAAGGATATTTTGTTAGCTTATACAATGGATAATATTGCAAATGATGTTGAAAATTAAACAATTGAAAATGTCTGTGATACTGTTAAAGTATCTACAAATTAATTGTTGACCAATTGGAACTCAAATTATACTAAATCCGAAGAATTATTCTAAGGTTTCCAAAAGAATATAGTTTAACTATGATAACATATATATATTATATTACATTATAACTTTCGTTAAATTTAATATTTTCTTAATCAGAATTGTTTACTATAATAATTATTTCAGATTTTAACAGTTAAATTCTATTGATATTAAATCATATCAGAATTTATAAGAATTTAATAAGAGTTTTTAAGTTTCTCGAAACATATTAAATTTCAATAATTAAATTAAAAAAAATATTAACATGTATAGATATATTTCATTTACATAAAATCATTTAATCATGGATTAAATAAAAGTGTTTATAAAAGACTTTAAAGATGTTCCTAAGTTAGCAACCTCCAAATTGAACTTAGAACATATAAATTCACTCAAAGATATCTAATAGCTGTCAGATTAATGGCAATTCAATCCATCAATGACAATCATAAAGAGAGAATTTGAGTTTCCTACCTTTAAAGAAAGCTTTGCCTTTATGAGCTCTGTTTCTGATATATCTGAAAAGATGGAACGTAAGATATTTAAATTAATCATTTAGATTATCCAAAATGGTATAATAAAGGTAATAAAGTGATCGTTGAAATTACTACTCCTGATGTAGGACTGACTATCAAAGACATATTGTTAGCCTACACTATGGATAACATTTTAGATGATATCCTTAATGAAGACATCCAATATATAAGTTAATAAAGTAAATTGACATCTCAATCTACTACATTACTGAATTGTTGGAATCAAAACTACTCTAAATTTGATGAAGAGATATCTTCATAATTATAGAGAAATGTCAACCAATTTTGACGAAGATCAATCTGATTTTGTCAATTATATGTTATTCAAATTTTATATAAATTTTATTATCAAAACTATTCTCACTTACCATATTTCAAGTATATTGATATCAATCTAATTGTGTTTGATTTGTATGATTAATATAAGTTATTTAGGTTAGATTGATTATTCTATATAATTTACATAAATTAAGTTTAATAATCATTAATGACAACCGATTAATTAAGTTCTAATAAGAAAACGTGGGCTGAATTAGCAGAAGAAGAGGATGATGAAATTGAAAATGGTTAATTCACAACTAATTCCGAAACTCTAGACAAAAATGATATCCCTTATTAACCTAGTTTGACAAAATCTATATCAGAATTTCAAACAAAGCCAAGAAATGAAAAATAAAAAAATTCTAAATAGAAAGACAATGGTAGTAATGGTCTAAAAGATTATAAACATAATAATTCAAATTAAGTTAAAGGAAACAATAAACAAAATAGATAATCAAAAAGTATTAAATTCTAATAATGTAAGGTAATTATGATGAAGTTTATAATGCTTTGTTTGAAACAACAAATTAAGAAATCATATTAAAAGTTAAATCTTAAAACAAAAATGAAAACTTGGAGGCTGTTAAAGAATATTTTGAAAAACAATATTAGAATATTAAGGCATTTCCAAGAAACGATATTAATTAGGTTGATCTATTGACATCCCCCAAAATTGGGTTGTATATATTGGAGGATCTTAGATTTAAAGTATGATTCATTATAAATTAAGATCCAAATTGGTGATTCTAATTTTAAAATTTACTATCCTTAAATTCCAAATGAATAAATTTCAGAGTATTATACAAAGAAAAGGTATTTAGAAAAGGAAAAGAAAAATTTATAATCTGCTCCTCTTTTTTAAAGAAGTACTATTAATTCTAAAGTAAATGATTAATAAGATAACTATGAATAATCTGATGGAAGTAGTAGATAAGATAATAGCAATTTTGAAAAATCTTAAAATGATTAACCTTAAATTTACAAAGAGAAAGACTACTTATAAGATTAAGAATAAGAATAAAATGAATCTTAATATAGATCAAAATATGATAAGAAAGATTTTAATAAATAAACAAATTATAAATCTAGAAAATATAATAATAAATATAATGAATAATATGATTATGAATAAGGTTTTAAAGAATATAAAGATGAAAAATAATCTAATTATAAATCTCATAAATTTAGAAATGAATAACATCAGCCTAAAGAAAGTTATTAAAATTAAGATTATGAATACACTGAAAAGGTTACTTTTGATAAAAATTAATCTCCTTTTGAAGAAAAAGATTAAAATAAGGATTATAGAAATAATTAATATGATTATAAAAACAATAATAATAACAATAATCACTTTAATTCAAAAAGATCTTATTAAACAAATAATAAATAAAAGAATGATTAATATGTAATTTATGAGGAGAAATCAAAATAAAATTATTATGAAACACCTAATAATTCCATAAGAATTTAAGATAATTTATAAAATGTAGTTTAAAATACTGAAAACAAAAATTAAATTACTTAATAAATAACTTTGAATGAAGAAAAGAATGACGATATGTAAATAGATAGTGAAAATGAATAAGATCAAGAATAAATTGAAGAAAATAAATCTCCAAGCAAAAATAAAAAGAAGAAAAAAAATAAAAAAAATTTAAAAGTAATATTTGTTATATATATTAGACCTCAAAACCAAATGACACTAATTTTTTTGGAATATTATAGAGTGGAACAAAATGACAGATTAGAATCAATATTATAAATTTATTCTCAGACACAATTATCTAATATTTTTAATAACGGATTTTTGTTATTTATTATTCTTCTTTACATTTTGACCTTTTTAGTCTTCAAAATTGATTTCTTGTTTTACAATAGAGCTTTTAATTAAGTATTAAACCGAATGGGGGACAAAAATTAGATTTATTATTGTTTTAATATTAAATTAAAACAAGCATAACAATTTATCACATATTATGTCTTTTGTATAATTAATCTATAGATACTTTTTAGATTTCTAAAATATATTTTATATTTATTAAATTGCATGGGTTGCACTATTTAAAAGAAAAAATCGTTAATTAATCCTTAAGATGAGGCCTTATAATTTTGTTAAACATAAATATTATAATCTAAGGAATAATCAAGATTATAAACAACTAAATCACCATTGTCTGGTAGTATAAGAACTTCTTTTAATAAAAACTCTAAACCCATTTCAAAGGAATAATAGATTTAAATTGAAAAACTTTTATTTGAAAAAAGAAGAAATAAAAATACAAAAAGCTTTTAATTTCCTGAAGAAGAATATATATATTAAAGAATAATAATTGGATTAATAACAAATTGAATAGTGAAAAAGTGAATGTACACTATGTATTAGAATAAATATAAATTTAATATTTAAAGATTTAAAATATCTTGATTATCTATCCTCATTATAACAAGTTTTTGCTTTAATAATTAATTAATATTAAAATAAATTCTAACATCATTTTTTAATTAAAATTAATTTAAAAACATGAATATTTATAAAAATGAATTAGGTTAAAGTGTTATTCATAAAAATAAAATATATATTCAAGAAAGTTAATGTTTAGACATTTTTGTATGAACTAGACTATTCTAATTTGTCGGCAATTGCAAAAATTTTTTGAATTGCTTATTTAATTTATATAAATCTTTTTTTTTTTAGTCTATTTCTAGTTTATATAAGTTTAATCAATCGATCTTCTATATTCACCAATTATCTGCTTAGATTTATTAAAAATGAACCAATTAGAGGGTATTGAAAATCATTAATTCCAAAATTTTCTTTTGTGATTACATAATGGATTATAGTATGGATATTTTTTTATTTTTTAATTTCCAATACTAAATTCAATTGTCTATCATAAAGCATTTTCTCTTTAATTTTATGACATTTAATTAATAAAATTTATATGTTAACATTTTACTATTATAACTTATTTAGCATGACTTTATCTTTAAATTTAATACGCACATAGATTCTTGATATCTTGATGATAGTTTGGTGAATGTTTATATCATTTCTTGCATATATTTCTAACCATCAACATTTATTTGTGAATAATTAAATCCAGGACTATCTACTACATAAACATTAATTGTTTGAATGTGATGAAATTATAATCTTTATTTGATCATATTTTAATTATTCTATTAGAAATCCTTTTAATTTTGAAGGAATATTTCATATTGATTATGCAATTAGGATGTAACTATCTTTAAACCTTTTAGCAAATTTCCATAATCAAATGATACTTAGACAATCAATAATTATGAATATCTAGTGGTGGGTATTTAATTGAATAGAATTTAAGATCAACTTTAATTATATTCATATTATTTGATAAAATATTATTAATTATTTTGCATTACATATAATCATGTGAACAAATTCATAAAATTATTTTCAAATATTGTAAAGAATTGTTCAATTTACATAAACAAACTTTTATTTTTTGTCTTTTTACTCACAGATTCTAAAGTCTTACATATAGATGATTTTAATAATAATTATAAAAATTCTGCTGGTATATCTGCACCTTCTGAAATGATAGTTTCAAGAACAATAATTATTTGAATTTATATCTGAACATCAACATCCATTTAAATTAAATCCATAAGTCTTTCCAGTAATCCTAAATTAATGAGTTCCATTTTAAAATTTGTGCTTGCTCTTTATAAGATAATATCAATAGAATCCAATATAATTTATATATGATTTTATTCTTAATTCTTGATACAATCAATTAACCATTAAATTATTGTTAATTATTATTATTCAAATTAACATTTTAGATTTATTAAATTCATTAATTCATCAATTTCTATTATAGAATCAAGTATATCTTTTAAAATTAACAATCCTTAAGTTTTTATACAAGAACTCTCATTAATTAATCTCATTAATACTTCAATTAATCCCATATTAATTAAAATATCTATTGGATTATGAAGTTATTGGAATGATCTAAATAGATGTCCAAATATTTTGACAATATAATATTTTGAACATTCCTCATCTTTTACATTTTTTAAATAACTTAGTTTTATAAGATTTGCTAAATAGGATGGTAATTATTCTATTTTTGAAATATCAAAATTTTCCATTTCTAGTAATTTCAATAACATTTTTCCTGATTTAAGATATAAAAATAATTAATTTGTATATTCATTGTGATTCTTATGATATAAAGCTGAAAAATAAAAATTATTTAAAATAATTAGTTCATTTTCTGAAACATTTTCATTTCGATAAAATCTAATTACGTGATAATAGAACTCTATTAAATTAGTACGCAAAACTTAAAACTCATCATATTCAACTATTTTTTAAAATTGTACTAAAAAGTCATATCCTTCTTTAGTTAAATAATATTTAACTGTAGACATATCATCAATTATTAATGATTATAGAATATTAATAATCAATTCAAGTATTAATATGTTTTAATAATTCTTATTAGTTAAAATTGAAGAAATTGTCAACATAAACTATTTTTCATGTTGCTTAATATATAAATATGCTACTTCATCAAATAGTAATTAACAATCAAAATATCTTAAATAATTTATTAATGTCTATATATATAAATATTAATTTTGTTTACATGTTCATTAAATTATCTTTAGCAAAATTAGTTAATTATGATATCCTTCATAAATGATGTTTTTTTAAGAATATCCTTAGTATTTTGATGTTTTAAAATTAAACATATGCATTATTATACAGATTCTAAATCTGTTGATCTATCTGATATTTCTATAATTTAATCTAAAATTTGATCATTTTTTGAATTAATATTATTGTTTTCAGTTTTAGTTGGTTCAATAATTCTTTTTTTTTCAAATTCTTTACATAAGTTCTATTTTCTTATTTAAAATCGAAACGATTCTCTTTTTTATTTTAAATTTTCTTCCACTCCTAACATTATTATATTAAAAAATTTATATTTTTGTATTTATTGAAATTATTATATATATCATTATTATTCAAAGTTTAAAAGTTTGCAAAATGTTGAATTTTATTCATTGGATTATTAACTATTTTGAGTTTAATTATGTTATAACATAGCACTGTTGTTTGTTCTGCTACTATTCATAATTTTAGGAGTTCCCTATTATAAAATTGAAAAACTAGTTTTGCTATTAATCTATTTACTTTTATTATTTTTTAATTATTCAACTAGAAATATTAAATAATAAATACATTTTTTCATTATGAAATCCTAAGTCTCTTAACTATAATCAATTTTAGTATTTATATTTGAATTATTGTAAACATTTTCTTTTGAAAATGGTAATTATTATGGTTTGACTTATTATTTCAGGAGAGGAGATTCCTAATAAGCATATAATAATTAAGTTGCTGGAGTCATTAAACCAGCATGTTAGGATTATAAATTTGTAAATTAAGTCTATTATCTAGGTATAATATCTCTTAAAGGTGAATCTAAAATTTTATTGTTCAAGGCAGGATTCTTATTGTTCATTGGAGATTGAGGAACATTATTTGATTTAATTTCAGTTGACATTTACAGCATGAATGATTTAATTTAAGGAATAAAACTTTAGTTATAATAGGAAACAATGTCACCTAAAAATCTTAATAATATACATACCCATACTGTCATTTGAGATATATGTATTGCAAACAATCTTTTTTATAAATTATTTTGAATACCATGTATTAGTTATTTCATATGCATTAATAATTTATTAAAATTTTAATTAATTTCCAGTTAATTTTGTTATAGCATAAATACTAGCCAAAACAACTTAATCTAATGAATGATGTCTTAAATGGTCTGTTTTTTCACTAATAATATATTTAATAGTAATCCAAATATATTCTTATAATTATTCTTATAATTTAATATGACTGCAAATAATTTAAATTTAAAAGGCACAATAATGTAAGACTCTTTTGAATAATCGATTCATTTAATTATTATTTTATTAGTATCTACTAAGATGAATTTCATTAAGAAATTTAATCAATTCAGATTAACTATCATAAGACCAAATGGAATATGATACAAATTTAACTTCAAGATCTAATATATGTTCTTTAAGTTAATGTGGTATTTTTGTATCAAATTAATTTAAAAAGTAATCTAACCATTTCCAAAGTTGATAATGTTGAATTTCACATTTTTACATCAATTGATCTAATAGTTGTGATTATTTATTTAAAACAAAATAAACACATTCAATACTAAAACATATTAAACTCTTAAGCATTTATTCATCAATTTAGAAATTGGATTTGTCTAATAATAAAATATACAAAGTCCAATATTAATTAGTTTTTGATTTATTTTCATCAATTAGATTACTTTCTTAATAATACTAAATACATTCATTAAATGTATTATCTATTAAATCAAAATATTTTGTTTAATGCTATAGATTTTATAATATTTGAGGAGTTTAAGTTAAAATAGAGTTAACATTTAAAATTCCATTTTTAAATAATTTTTTAAATGGTTATTATTTTTCATGTATCCAATTATACATTTCCATAGCCTCTGTCATTGGAGTGGCAACAATTGATTATTATGCATAAGGAGACATTAAAACAGTTTATGGTAATTTAATTTCTCTTAAATTAGTTGTAAGAGTAATTTTAGTATCTAATTCATAATTCAAAAGTTTTTAAAATCTATTTTATTATTATTATTATTATGATTATAATTCTCTACTTTAATCATATTTAGATTACATAGCCAATTATTTAATATTATTAGATTTTAGAGTATTAAGATTTGGAGTTAATTTTTTGGGTGTTAAATTTTTTTATCTATCAGGAATTAATAATCTTTCATCAAATTCATCAGATTTAAGGAGTTATTTATATTATTAATCTAATTTGTATTAATTTGAATTGATAATACTAGCCATGAAAATAGAGAATCCAGTGTTGTTCTTTAATTACTTAATAATATTCTGTTTAATTAATTCATTATATTATTATTTGACTTAAAGATTAATAGAAGAGAATAAATCTAAATCTTAAATTTTGAATTAATTGATTAGAAATTATTAAATTTGTTATTATTGTTCATCTTCTCCAGGATTCTATTTTTTAATGTCTTAGAGTATTTTATTAGTAGTTGTGAATACATTTAATAATTAACTAATGATTGTAGTTAGAATTGATATCAAAATACATGTAGATTGGACAACGTCTTATAAATTTAAAGATTCTAATGGAATATTGCTGATATTTACTTTTTGTAATCAAAAATAGAAGCCATGTAATATTTTTAATGAGTATGTTTTAATCGTTCATTTTGAAATGAAGTAAAAGTGCCTCCATTTTCTAATAAAACATATTTAGTATTTAATTGTTATGTTTCAGAAGAGTTAATGTCTTTTAACATGTTTAATCAACTTTTAAGTCTGTAACCATATTAATAGCTACATCAATTAATTAATCGATATTAGTGATTCCTTTATTTTAACAATCATTTATTATTGAATTTAATGATATCCCTGAACCATAGACAATAGAACCGTCTATTGCAACTATTTACTATTATTTTGAAGCCAACCATAAAGCTAATCTTGGAATGACTACATAATCATTCGTTTTATTATTTAAAATATAGTTATTTGTCATTTCCTACATTAATTTGAATGTTGATTAATCAAGACTAAATGTTTAGTATATGAGTTATAGTTATTGATGGAGAGAATCTGAGTCCATAATATTTGAATTTGAATAAATTAATATTTATTATGACTGAATTAGGAAATTATCTGATAGGTATTTATTATAAAGTGAATTATCATTCAAGGCAAAACTATAGGAGAAGGTACATTTGGAAAGGTGTGTCATGCCAAACATCAAGTGTTAGGTCATGATGTGGCTGTAAAGATTTTAGAAAAGAAGAGAATCAATGATGAATTAGATATTGAAAGAGTAAAGAGAGAAATTACTATATTACAAATGTTGCATCACCCAAATGTGGTGTAACTCTATGAGGTTACTTATGTAATTATAATTAGATGATTGAAACTGATACACATATTTATTTATTTATGGAATATGCAGACGGTGGAGAATTATTTGATTATATCGATTTAAAGAAGAGGTATTCTTATAATAATCTGATTAGAATCAATGAGGTTGAAGCATGTAAATTCCTACATGAAATTATATCAGCAATTTAATATATTCATTAATTGAGAATAGTACATAGAGACTTGAAGCCAGAAAATCTACTTTTAACTGCTCAAAAGAATATCCTGGTAGTTGATTTTGGATTAAGTAACACCTATGAAGATACTCTAAAGACAGCCTGTGGAAGTCCATGTTATGCTGCTCCTGAAATGATATAAGGCAAACCTTATTATGGATTATAAACTGATCTCTGGAGTTGTGGTGTTATCCTATATGCCATGTTATGTGGGTATCTCCCTTTTGAAGACAATAATACCTAAGTTCTTTATAAGAAGATTTTGACTGCTGATTTCCATATACCTAGATATGTTTCATTGGATGGCAAAGATCTTATTAAAAATATACTTGCTGTTGATCCTACTAAACGGTTTACTATTGAATAAATCAAATAGCATAAGTGGTGGCAACTCTGGAAATCAGATGTATCAATTTTTATTTATATAGAATACATAAATGACACCTTTTAAAGCATCTTTTAATAAAATTTCTTGTACACTCTTGCCTAATAGTATTTATAAATCATGCGTTAAAAAAAATATTGAAAGAAATATTTCTGAAGATGTGAAAACTTGTTGTGATACTGCTCAACAATCTATAGATATTCAATTTATAGACAGAGATGACTTTATTAATAAGTTGAACATTAAAGACGAAATCAAACAAAATCCTCCACTTCAAGATTAAACCGAAGAAGATTTAAATTAAAAATTTGTTAATGTTGAAGATTAATATGAATTTTAATAATCCATGAGATCATTAACTAGATAGAAATCAAGTCAATCAATTTAGTCCATAACCCATCTTCACACATAAATTGATTCTCCTATTAAAAAATCAAATTTGCCTATCACAACTAAACCCACTTTTAAATAATAAAATTCTCAAATTAATAAGGTTATTCCAAAAAAACCTGTTTTAGCTTAATAGCAATAATAATCATTATAGTAAAAAAAACCAGTCACCAAAACTGGACCCTCTAAATCCTTACATGAACCTCCAAATTTTGAAAGTAAAATAACTAAATAACCAAACACACCAAGCACTAAATAATAATAAAACAATGCATCTAATTCATAAAATCCGTCTAATAATTTTTCAATACTAAATCATCAATTGAAAACTGATATCCCAAAAAAGAATTCTATACCACCAGTAAAATTAACTGTCATTTAAGAATAAATTAAGGAAAATAAAGAAAAGTCTCATTCTCTAAAAACTTAGCCTACTCAAACTAAATAATAATAAATTTAGCAACAATCATAATAATAATAATAATAATAATAATAATAATAATAATAATAATAATAATAATAATAATAATAAATAAAATAATAATTGAATTTAAACAAACCTTAAAATTTATATAAAACACCTATCAAACAAAATACTCCATAAGTCAGTTAAACTAAAAGATCACTTCATTAAAAATAAGCAGCAAGTCTACAAATGGAAAGACAATCTTTTCATACTCAATAATCCGCAGTAGAAGAAAATGTTACATTTTAATTTAATGATAATCCAAAACCTTCTATTGAAAATACGAAGCTTATGGTTGAAAAATTCACTTCGAGACTCAATAATGTCACTATTCCGTCTTCATTAAAATAACCTTAAAAATAAGTAGTCTAAGATGTTAAAGGAATTGAAAATTATTATGGTCCATTTAATCTTTCTTTCATTACAACTAAGCATCCTTAATTATTTTTGAATGGAATTAAAAAGTATCTAGAGGAGAAATATTAATTTATATAAATACAAGTAATATTTTTCAATTTTAAATTAGAATTACTAAAATGGATTCACATTTAATCTTAATGAATAAAATGGTGATTTAAAATTATATAGAATAGAAAATTTAGAAATATATTACTGTTAGATTAATTGTTTGAACTCTAAAAATATTGCTAATTATTCAGAATTCAACACTATTATCTATGATCTACAAAATAATTTTAAATTTTGAGTTTGATAAACTATCTTATAACCATTTTTGAATTTATTATTTTCATTTTAGTCATAATTTCAATTTTATAATTTATTAATAAAAATTAATATATATTTAAAAAGAAAATAATACTATCTTTAGTAATTAAATGGATTGTATAAATTTTATAGATGAATCAAAGTACAATCTTACGCTATTTAATTTTTCCAAAAATCTTTTATTCATGTTTTAAATAATTATATTTTTCTTAACTTCCAGGTTAAAATTTCTCATCAATTTTATTGAAATTTTTTTAATTTTAACAAATTGAATTTCTAATTCTTCTTTGATGAGTAGTTATTTCATCTTTTTCATTATTTAATTATTGTATTAATGTTCCAAGCCTTCTATTAGATTCATATTATTTAGGACTACAATCAAATGAATCTGATAACATAGAAAAACTAGTATGGTGCTCAAATAATGGAGAAGGGTCTTATGATAATACTCTTTTTTTTGTTTTTAAATAACGTTGAGATGCTGTAACCATACTAAATTTTTGGGATAGTTAATTAGCAGATTCTTTATCTTAATTTTTGGTTAAAATAATAGGTAAAACAATTTTAAGAGGTTTTGGATTAGTGTCAGTGCTTTTTCTATCTCTCTCTTATTTAATAATTTTATCTATTTGTTATTATTTTATTTAGTTTATTGTTGGCTTTTCTAATCCTTTGTTTTTGACCATTTGTCCTACTAGAATTGTGGATGATAATCTTTTGATTCTATTTTTAGGAACACTCTTTCCAATTTATGAAAAAGATGATCTTTAACTACCTCTGAATATTGGGGATGCGTCAGTTTCATTAGACACTGGTTTATTAAATTTTAATATATCTCTAACACAATCGTCAATCAATTTTTGATGATTTATATCATCATTATCCATAGATGTTACATATTTTTTATTATTTAATTCATCATTGACATGTTTGTCTAATTATTATGAATCAATAACACATTCCCTTTTTGTCTTAAATGTTGCTGACTTATATTATAAATGTTATTTAACTCTTTGTAAGAGATTCATGCTTTATTATTTTTGATTTTCAAATCTATAAGTAGTTCCTGTTCTATCTGTTGATTAATGAAGAGAAATGGGTATTGTAGTAATCATTAAATTTTTATTTAATAAATATAATCGAAATTGAGTATCAACATTTATAATAAATACAAACACTTCAGCAATGCAAACTTTTAATTCTTTCACTAGTTAAAAATTGTTTATAGTATTGATAACCAATATTATTTGATGGAAAATCAAATGAGAATTATTTATTATCCTATTTATTAGTACTCTTATGATATCTTTGTGATAATAATTTATGAAATTATGAAGCCTTTCTTTAGATTGATATCTTTGGGGAATTATATTAATTTGATAATGCATCAATAGAATTTAATCTTATTTAAAATTTAGTTTTGACAATTTTTGATGACTTAGATTTCTCTTATTATTATTCAAAATATTTCTAAAAATAAGTATTAGTAAATATAGGTTCTAAAGTAATTTTTTTTTATGTTTAAGTAGAATTATTTCTAAATTTTCTACCATTTTCAAAATCAGTAAAATTTTCATTGACTTCTTAGTTATTCTATAATGAATTGACTCGTTTCAATCTAAAATTTTTTAATTTGATTAAAAGAGATAAAAATTATAATTTAGTTATTTCATCCCAACATCTCTCTACTATGTCTTTTCTTGATATTCTAAATAAAGATCCACTTATACTCATACACTTTACAGTTGAATATCTTTATATATAAATATAATTATTTAAAGGTGATTAAATTTTTGGATCTTCTTCTAATGATCTCATTAATGATTCTTCACCAAATATTTAACCTTCATTTAATACACAACTTAGCTATTATCTATAATTAATCATACATTCTTTTTGTTCTTTTTCTTAGTAANTCCTTTGTTTTTGACCATTTGTCCTACTAGAATTGTGGATGATAATCTTTTGATTCTATTTTTAGGAACACTCTTTCCAATTTATGAAAAAGATGATCTTTAACTACCTCTGAATATTGGGGATGCGTCAGTTTCATTAGACACTGGTTTATTAAATTTTAATATATCTCTAACACAATCGTCAATCAATTTTTGATGATTTATATCATCATTATCCATAGATGTTACATATTTTTTATTATTTAATTCATCATTGACATGTTTGTCTAATTATTATGAATCAATAACACATTCCCTTTTTGTCTTAAATGTTGCTGACTTATATTATAAATGTTATTTAACTCTTTGTAAGAGATTCATGCTTTATTATTTTTGATTTTCAAATCTATAAGTAGTTCCTGTTCTATCTGTTGATTAATGAAGAGAAATGGGTATTGTAGTAATCATTAAATTTTTATTTAATAAATATAATCGAAATTGAGTATCAACATTTATAATAAATACAAACACTTCAGCAATGCAAACTTTTAATTCTTTCACTAGTTAAAAATTGTTTATAGTATTGATAACCAATATTATTTGATGGAAAATCAAATGAGAATTATTTATTATCCTATTTATTAGTACTCTTATGATATCTTTGTGATAATAATTTATGAAATTATGAAGCCTTTCTTTAGATTGATATCTTTGGGGAATTATATTAATTTGATAATGCATCAATAGAATTTAATCTTATTTAAAATTTAGTTTTGACAATTTTTGATGACTTAGATTTCTCTTATTATTATTCAAAATATTTCTAAAAATAAGTATTAGTAAATATAGGTTCTAAAGTAATTTTTTTTTATGTTTAAGTAGAATTATTTCTAAATTTTCTACCATTTTCAAAATCAGTAAAATTTTCATTGACTTCTTAGTTATTCTATAATGAATTGACTCGTTTCAATCTAAAATTTTTTAATTTGATTAAAAGAGATAAAAATTATAATTTAGTTATTTCATCCCAACATCTCTCTACTATGTCTTTTCTTGATATTCTAAATAAAGATCCACTTATACTCATACACTTTACAGTTGAATATCTTTATATATAAATATAATTATTTAAAGGTGATTAAATTTTTGGATCTTCTTCTAATGATCTCATTAATGATTCTTCACCAAATATTTAACCTTCATTTAATACACAACTTAGCTATTATCTATAATTAATCATACATTCTTTTTGTTCTTTTTCTTAGTAATTTTTTTTCATCCTATATAGTCTTAATCATTTCAAATTGCCCATCTTAAACAATATATAAAAATTGTGAATCATCATTTTCTTTATATACCATTTAATTTAAACAAAAATTTTATAAAAACATATAACAACTAAAACTTTTAAACTAACCTATAGTCCATGTTTAAAAGCAATCTAACTTATTTAATAGCTATAACTTGATATCCAAATTGTCTGACTTATATTTACCAATAATTAATTAATAATCTTATCTGGTTAGATAAGCAATAGTACTTTATTCCAAAGCAATAATGGTTTGATTTCTTTTACAATTCTAATTATGTAAAGCATTTTCTCCGAATTGATCATATGGTCTAAAGATAAGTGAATTAATACAAAATATCGTTAATTTTCTTCAATTCAAATTAACATTCCTCTAATTCCATATAAACTCCTAACCGACCTGATAACAAAATATATAATTTATTTCCAACATCACCAATCTTAAATAAAACCTCGTGTTCGTATAAAGACAATAGTTTAAATTTTTCATACATTTTTTCTAATAAATATTACCCATGATCTCTCTTGATATCTTTCATTATTTATGTTTGCAGTATGTTATTCATATTATTTTTTATTATAATAAATTTTTGGAAAATTAATAAAAGAATATCATATTTAACATAATTTATGGCTGAGAATAAAAGAACCTATATTTTGTATAGGAAATTAAAGTGAAAAATGTGTATAAATATAAATATATCACTTTCTTAATAAATAATAAAAATGGAAGAGAATATTAATTAAAATTAAATTATCTTAGATTAATAAATTTAGATCTATTGTAATCAATAGCTTTCTGGTATAATAAGTTGATAAAATATATATAATGTAATAATTAAAAAATTGAATATCAAATAGATCCTCTGAATTTATTAAAATCATTTAATATTATTTAGAATATCCATTTTTTTTGATTCAAATGAATAGTTTAAGATTTTGGAATTGAGTTAATTATATTTTTATATTCCAATATTTAAAATTTCTATGCAAATTACTTAAACCCAATTATTGGAATGGGTTAAGGATGGAGATATAAATACACTAAAAAAACATTTTGAAGAAGAATTAAAGTTTGCACATAAAAAATTATTGGAATTTTTTAGCATGGTTGATGATTAGAGTAGAAGTGTTGTACATTGGGCAGCTTATTTGGGATAATATAAATTGATTAAATGGTGGTGTAAAGTATATAATCAAATGATTGATTTGAATAAGGGAGATATGCATTCATATACTCCATTAGAACTAGCTAGCATCAAAGGGTATTTTGATCAGATTTATTTTATTTAGATATTCTGGAGAATACAATCCAGAAAAATAAGAGAAGACTATAAGATTGTTAGTTGAAAATGGGGCATCAATACCTTGTAAATGTAGTTATAAACCCAATCCATTACATTGGGCTTTTTATTATGGTAATAAAGAACTTGTGGATTATTTGATCTCATAAAATTTCAACTTGTAATTGGAAGTAGAGTAGTAAGGAAATTTTCCTATTGATTATTTGTTTTTAGAGAATAGAAATGAATAATATAAGTAATTTAAAATATAGTATGAAATAGGAAAGACGTTTGGGATATCTTCTAAAATGTTGTAATATAATATGCTAAAGTGACTGCTTAATAAGAATTGAAGAGGAAAGTTAAAAAAAGAAAATAAAGGAAGGCAACAACAATCACATCTTAAATTCCATTGATGCAAGCTTTATAACAGGATGATGAGGAATCATCACCAGAATCAGAACCATCTAAATATGGAATACCATGTTTAAATATCTCAAATATCAATAGAAGTTATGCTTCAAATTCCTTTATCTCAAAAAATACAAATGTAAAAAGTACTTAAAAAACACCTCATAGTTAATAAGTTTTAAAATATTAACAAAAGAATGGATGTTAAAGAATTTAATAAAAGATTTTAGATGAAAATGCTGACATTCCATTATATGATGACTCTCGTATAGAAATGAAGGAACCAGAAGAAGAAAAGATACCTGAAATCAAAGTATTTAATTCTAGGAATACAAATAATAGTAAAATAATTACAGAAACAAATTAAGATGAACTACTTTAAATACAATAATATAATTCTAATAATAATAATTTACCTACTTTAGTAGAACCTAATCTTAAGGTATCTTTATCAAAACGAGAAAACCATAAAGGTCATAGAGCTAAAACTACATTAATATTTAATAATGATGATTTAGAAAAGGGATCTAAAGAAAAATTTATTATTTCCAATAGTAAAGCTGAACTAACTACTCATTAAAAATATGAATGTAGACTTTAATATTGGTCTGCCAGATAAGGTAATTAAGATTTCTTCATATATTTTCTCAAAAGAAAATGCAATCCATTTCTCAATGTTTATTAAGGATTTAACTGTTTACATATTGCAGCTTATAAAGGGAAACTGAAAATATTAAAAGTAATTCTAGAAAATGATTATGAATATTATGATAATTCAGAACTGTTGAATAAAAATACTAAAAAACCTATCAATACTGTTTTATTTAATAAAGTAATGAATTTGATTTATTAGCCTAAAGAAAGAATGTATTAACATTCTCACAGATTAAAATCCATCTAATGCACTTCATTTAGCTATTGAATAAGAAAAATATCGTTGTATGAAAATATTAATATCACATGGGATATCAGTAGATGCAGTTAATAGTAGATGCTTGAAACCATTTGAATTAACTTATAATTCTAAATTTATGGAATTCTATGAAGAAAATATTTAAGTAAAATAAGAGATCAAAAGTTTAACAGAATTAGGATATTAATATGTAATTTAGACTAAAGGAACATTAAGTGTAGAATAAGATATTGTTTATTTATAATTATAAAATATTAGATAAACATTTATAGATAGAGGTTGGAGTTTTGAATTTTTGATTTTTCATTCTCCAAATCTAGATTAATTAGAATTATACAATGAAAATTAGCAAAATAAAAAAGTTAAACCTTTATATCATTATTATGTCTTGAAAATACCTCCAGATTCTATTTATAGATTAGCTGATCTCTATTAAATATCATGTTATAATTTTTAAACAAAAGTAAAAATTAATAATATTAATATTTAGTATATTTGTTAATTCAATTATTAGAAGAGTAGATTTTTTGAATTTCCTAAAGATTTATAAGTATAAATGTTGATTTTGAAAACTTTGAATGATGAATTTGATGTTGAGAAATTCGTTTTAGAATAATTAATTATATCTCATTTTCCTTTAGAAGATAAAAAAAAATGTTAAAAAATTACTTAATTTTGGGATTAGCAATAAAACAATTGTATTCGTGATTCTTTAAGATATGAAACTCAATAAATAGCTTTAAGACCATTGCATGCGATCTCATCTTACTTTGGTCCAGTAGTTGCTTGGTATATAGCTTTGAATGTTCAAATCATAGGTTGGTTGATGATCCCATCACTTTTTGGAGCAGCTTTAGGAATTTATATAATTATAATTCAATAAGTAAAGTAATAAATAAAAATATATAAGTTCATCAATTGTCCCATTCTATGCATTGTTAATGACTCTCTGGTCGACTTTATTTATGGAGAAGTGGAAGAATAGAGAATCAGAATTAAAATTTTGTTGGGATATGCATAAATTTAAACAGACTCAACCATAAAGAGTTATGTATACTGGATAATACATTATAAATGAAGCTACTCATACAATTCAAATATATGATTATTTTACAACGTTTAAAAGAAGATTAATAGCAGAAGGTCCAGTTATTTTAATAGGAATTGCTATAATTGTATTAAGTTTTTATGCTTTTAATCTTTGGTTGTAATTATACTCAAATGATCCATTTATGTCAATAGTTATTAATTCATTAAATGGAGTTTCTATGACTCTTTTTTGTGATTTATATAAAAGACTATGTAAATCATTAGTAACTTGGGAAAATCATATGTATGAATCAGAATAAGAATATTCATATATTTTAAAGGTGTTTCTATTTGAATTTCTTATCTCTTATGTTTCAGTTGTTTATGTAGCTATTTTTGAAAGTGATGCTAGTTCATTGAGTGTATCAGTTGCTAGCATTATCATAACAAGAGGAGTTATTTCAAATGTAAAAAGTAATTTATTACCTTATGCAATATTTCAATTTGAAAAGCGTTCTCTTACTAGATTATTTTCTGAATTCAAATAATTTTTTGCAAATAAAATACAAGAAAAAAAGAATATACCTAAAATCTGTAATTAAATGTTTTCATCTGAGAGACTATCTCATGATTAATAATTACTTTTTTTATAAGAACTAGAGATAAGTAGAATCAAAGGTCCATAAAAAATATTATATGATGAATATACAAGTATTGCTATATAATTTGGATATACAACAATGTTTGCTCCAACTTTCCCGGCAGCTCCTTTATTTTTTATGATCAATTGCTATATAAATTTAAGATCATCAATATACAATTACTAACATATTTTAAAAAGAGAAAGAGCTTAGGCTGCTGATTCTATTGGTATTTGGTTGTAAATTTTTCAAATCTTAAATTATTGCGCAACTTTTATGAATTGTATTGTTATTGGAACTGTTAATAAAGATTAATTCAGAGGGATTATAGGAAATTAGGATGCCCTTGTTAGTGCCTTTTTTTTGGCTGCCATAGAACACATATTACTATTAATTAAATACATTTTAGATGTCTCAATTCCTGATTGTCCTTATTGGGTTGAAAAGGAATTGCGACGTTATGCATATCTAGAAGAAAAATATTAGAAAATTAGTATATGATTTTTAATTATAATTTTGATTTTAAAATTCTTTTTCTATAAAAATCCAACATTAGCAATATGAATATGTTCAAAATGAAAATACAATAATCTATTCAATTAGATTTTCATTCATTTTTATTTAAATTTATATTAAACTCTATCAATTTTTTTTAAATATATATAAAATAAATTGTATATGAAATATTTCATTTTTAGGTCTGATTTTAAATCAATACTCCTTACTCAATTTATAAAGACTAATAGTTTATATTATGAAAATAAAATTAAATTTATAATTATTTGTATTAATTATAATTTATCTAACATAAAATAATTAGATGTGAAATAATAAGTTTATTGTTTTTAACATTTTATCTAGTTTTAATTGGAAGAAAAAAAACAAGGGTTTTTTAATAGAAATTCTTATTTATTTTTTAAGTCAAATTTTGAATTAATTTTATAAACAAATTCAAAATGTACCCTTAATCTTATAATAATCATGATGATTTGATGAGATAGTAATTCATTAGCGAAAATAATGAATTAATAGAATAGTTTAAAGCTTAGTTGATAGATCCAAAAACTGGAAAAAAAAGAAATGAAGTTAAAGTTTAAAATTTTGCTGATGGCGGAAGATATGAGGGAGAGATTGATGGTGAATTGAGAAAGGGATATGGAATTTACTTTTTTGCTAGTGGGTATCAACAAAATTTATATCTATAGGGATGTTTATTTTGGACAATGGAATGATTCATTTTAAGGACAAGGCACATACATTTATCGAAGTGGAGAGAGATATTAGGGATAGTTTAATAAAGGAAAGAAGGATGGCCAAGGAATATATTGGTATATAAATGGGGCAGAGTATGATGGTAGATGGGTTAATGATTAGAAGGATGGATTTGGTAAATTCAGATATCCAAATGGAGATATTTATGAGGGTAATTGGGTAAGAGGAGTTAAATCAGGATAAGGAACATTAGTTTTGGCAAATGGAGATCATTATTAAGGGGAATGGAACAATAATATGAAAAATGGATAAGGAACTTATATATTTGCATCTGGATCAAGATATGAAGGATCTTGGCTTAATGACCAATTTCATTAATAAGGTGTTTTTAGTTATTCAAATGGAGATAAATATGAAGGTATATATGAGAATGGATAGAAAACAAGTAAAGGTGTATATAAACATGCAATTGATGGATCAGAATATTAAGGAGAATGGTTTAGAGATTAGAGAAGTGGAAATGGAAGAATGAAATATGCAAATGGAGATATCTATTAAGGATTTTGGTAAGAAGGAGAAAGATATGGAAAAGGATCTTATAAATATAATAATGGGGATTAATATGAAGGTGAATTTGTGAATGATTAGAAACATGGATATGGTGTATTGAAAATGGTTTCAGGTGATATTTATGAAGGAGAGTGGAAATAAGGTAGAAAGAATGGAAAGGGATTATATAGATTTGCAAATCATGATATTTATGATGGTCATTTTGCTGATGGTTTAAGATAAGGTTATGGAAGATATTAATGGAATGACAATTCCTATTATGAAGGTAATTGTAACCATTAAAATATTAGGTAATTGGGATAAGGATAGAATGAATGGAAAAGGACTATATGTGTCTCCTGATGGAGTGCAAGCAGATGGAATATTTGATAATGATAATTATGTAGGACCAGCTGACTGATAATATTGAATTTATGTATTTATCAGAATATATTGCATCCATCGTCTTTTTTAGTACCTTTCTTTGGATCGGGTTTTCCTTTTGACATCATTGCAGGTGTTCTATCTTGGGATGAACTTCTTGGTTTTTATGCATTCATTTATTATTATTGCAATTTAGCCTTCATTTGTTATTGTTCTGAAGTATGATCTTCAAATTCTTTAAAGGATTATTTGTTAGTAGATTATGGCATAGGCTAATTGGGAGTGAATTCTAAATGAGTTGAAATGAATTAATTTACTTTCGATAGGTTATTTAATCTGATTGTTTTGAGATGGCAATTTATTTATTTATTACGATTATTATTATTATTATTGTTAAAGATTTTTTGATTAATTAATTGTTTTAGTCAAAATATCAATGTGCTCTTCTTGTTTTTTGACTTAATCAACTTATTAAGTTGGTTAATCTAATAATTATTATTAATTTTATTATTAATTAGATTATTAGGAAGTCTATTATTGAGGAATAAGATTTTCAACTGGTATTTCTCTTTTTTTCATATCTTTATTTTTATTTTCATCATATCCATATACTTTGAAACATATCTGAAATATATATAAATAATATTATTACTGTTCCATTAATCAAATAATTTAATTAAACCTCAGATAATTAATCAAATGTGTGCTACTAATCATAATTATAAATTGGATTTGGATGAGCTCCAGCTAACTTAAATGAATATTAAATAATACATACTGTTTTTGTTTTAAATGATTCTTTCTTTTTCTCTTCTACTTATATAGAATACTCTACATAAGTATCTTTACATAAATTTTCAGGTAATCGCGCACTTTCTATTGAAACTCTAAAATCAAATCGTCTACCAATCAATTCTGAAGGATCTTCAACAGGAGGTTCTATGCCATCTTCAATATCTTCAGATAAATTTCTCTATCCTGTTTCATCTGTAGGAATTAAATTAACTTTTAAAGTTCCACATTAGAAATGTTCTCCAACAAGTGTTAAATCACAAGGATTATCCATTAAATAAGCCAAAGCTTGTAATTTAAGGAAACCAGAACCAATAACTCTTGCTTCAGGTGGATCCCAAAAAGGATCTTAATCTTTTGGTAATGATAATAATTAATTGGATTCAAAGTATCTTTCTAATAAATCTTTTATTATATAATATCTATTTGAAAACTTATGTAAATCCCAATAATATATTTATCCTTCCTCTTTATTATTTACTTATATTTATATTTATCCTTTTTAAGCATTTTCTTCTGTAAATTAAGAATATTCTTAATCATCAGCATATACATATTTTAATCTTGCTTCTAAAGTAACATTGCGTTTAAGTTCTTTAGCAATTAAATTAACTTCTAAAACTTTAGGCAAATATTTTTATAATTTATTTTCAATAAAATTCTTTTCTTTAATTCTATATTTTTTCATAGTTTCTTCATCTTCATATTATTTTCTGGCCTTTTCTCTTTATAATTATTTTTATAATGTTTCTTCTTCTAATTTCTTCCTCTCTTCTATTAATTTCCTTTCTTCCTCAGCCATCAAAGCTCTATTCAACATATCTTTATTTTGTTCTTCTAAAGCCTTCATCTTTTTATCAAAATCTTCTTATTATTTCTTCATTTACTCTTCATATAATTTTTATTCTTCTTTTCTCTATTCTTCTAACTCTTATTTCTTTCTTTGCATTTCTTCATGAACTTATTTTTCTGCTAATTTCTATTATTCCTGTCTTTTTTCTTCCTCCTTCTTTTACATTTCTTATTATGCTAATTCCCAATCAATTTCAGGTCCCTATTCTACTTATTCAGATCCTGGAATTTAAACTAAAAATGTAGTAGTAGTTCCAAAAATAATTCTATCATTATGATGAAGTAAAGTTGGACCAGTGATTGGGGAACCATTAACAAATATGAAATCCCCACATTCTTTAGTGAATGGACTGATTTCAATAACTCCATCTTTATTTCTGATAACAGCATGATTAGGTTATACACACATTGCATTTACAACAATCTGAGGAGTTGGATTTCCATTTGGTCTTCCTACATGAGTTTCTTCTTAATTTAATGATTTTAAAATCTTTCTATTGAGCAAAGGATCTTCATTCAAATTTAGTAAATGAGGATGATCTTTAATTCCTTCATTTTATATATCCTCATCATCTTCTTCTTCATCCTTTTATTTTTATTTCTACAATTTGGATTCAAATGATTCCTAATTCTCTTACATAATAGTCTCATTGGTTTCAATATCATCTTGGATTTATGATAATTATTTCAACATTTCAGGATTAATTACACCTCCTTTTAATTATTATTGTAACATCATCAATTATTATTTCAACGAATGAATTTCTTCTTATTATTCTCTTAATTTCTTATCAACATCACTTTCATTAACAACAGCACAATTCTTAATCTTTTTAGCTTAATCTGCATATCTCAAAGTACTCAAAGTTTCTTCATAATTGTCAGTGGCAGGACTCACAGCACAAATCATCAGAGTCTTTGAGTTACCTCCCAATGCATTTTATAAAATTCTAGTTAATTATGAATCTCTATATGGAACAACTGCATTTTTTCCTTTTCCCATAGCCTTATCTGCTAATGCTGCAATAACTTGCCCCAAAACGGATAATGATTTATTAATATTACCAGCTAAATAACCAATATAATCAAATCTTACCTTCTTTTAAACGATCACCCTATGCTCCTGTTTTCCCTACTTTTTCTGAACCTGCAAGATCAACCAAATTGATAACTGATAGCTTCTCTGATTTTCTTCCATCAACATTCTTAATCTCCTTAAACTCAATCTATATGATTGTATGTGCTCTTGAAGATCTATTGGATAATATGGAATATTATACGATGCATTCATTTATGTTGCAGCAACAGTTCTATGTTTGCTTCCCTCATCCATTTTAGCTTCAATGGCTTCATAAGAATCAACAGGATATTTTGTAAGTCCTTCTACATAAACTCCATAAACTTTATGTTCTCTAACTTTTAGACCTCCAGTTGGTCTTTTAGGAACAGGTACAAGTAGATCCTAAACCTTTTCATTGTAAATTTCAAGCATACTGACTTATACTTCATAAGCTAATGATTAGATGATCAAATCATAATACTTAAATGAGAATCAGAATTTTTTTTAATACGCTTAAAGATCTCTTCGCATGAAATAGGTACTATACCTTTATTTGCTCCATAACCAACCATAGAATAGGATTTACCAGCCTTAATTATTAAAATAATTCTTACTCCTGTTTAACCATATGCGAATAGACAACAATGATAACCTTACCAAGCATTATTTAAAATTTCTTAACCAACTGTGTCAAACACCATTTGTTAGTCTGCATATTTAGTTCCTGGAATAGCTCTGCTGTACCCATTTTCATCATTCTCAAAGGAATCATGAGACCAGAATGAATAATCAAAAGCAAAATCTCTATTTTTCTTAGGATCCTCGATATCTTTGGTTATATTAAAATACTTTACCTAACAATATGGTAGTTGGTCCATTCATTGCCACACATAATTAGCAATTCAACTCCAGTTCACGAGCATTATAGGGCCTTACTCTGACTGCCACTTTGACGGACATTATAATATAAAGATTTAATAACTTAAAAAAAGTAATATAGGATCATTATTTTCAACGCAAATCGATCGTCTCTGCTCTAGTTATACCATGATCATTTTTAGAAGCAGATTAAGGAAATACATTCCAAAATCTAAGAGTTTCATCACCAGCTCCTGTTACTATGTTCTAACCACAAGGTGACCCGCTCAAATAAAGAACTCTTTAAGTGTGGCCTGTTAAAGTAGCTACTTTAGACATATTATTATAATTCCAAACAATTATTTAATTTAAAGAATATCCATGAGTTGAAACTAATTCATTAGAATTTTTAGAGAACATTAAATTACACACTTAAGATCCAGTGTCAATACAATCAACTTACTCTATAGTTTAAGTATTAAAGAATCTAATGCATCTATCAGCAGTACCACCTCCTGAAGCCACAATATTATGTTGATGAGGTGACCATCCAATGGCTTTTACTGCAGCTTAATGTTATGAGAAATGAGTGAGTTCTCCTTGATTTTTTAATGACCAAATAAACAATTTATTGTCATTTCCACCAGATGCCAATAGTTATTCATCAAATGACCATTTTAAACCACATATTTCTTATTTATGACCAACATATTTTTAAATTGATTCATTTGGACTTCTGACATCTCTAACCAAAATATTACGATCTCTACTTCCAGTAGCCAATAAATAATTATTCCATGCTAATGATCCAATTCTTCCTTAATGTCCATTCCATTTTCTGATGACTTTCTATTTTGTAACATCCCATACTTCAACTTCTCCCATACTATTTCCTACTGAAAGATGTTGATTACGTTATGACCAAGCTACACTACAAACCATGTCTGGATCTTCAAGAGTGCATAAACGAGATACTTTAGAAGTATGACCAGACCAAATCAATACTGAATTTTCAAGTCCTACTGCCAAAGCATTAAAAGGTGACCAATCTAAAAGATTGAGATAAAAATCATCTTATAGATTTTCAGCCTCTAAGATTTTATAAGGACGTTTATTAATTTTTCTTGGTGGTTTTTCAGGTTCAACTTTAGTTGGAGTTGCTGAATACTTTAATCCATTATTAATAATTTTATTCATTTCGTTTTATTTATTTTCAGTTTTATAATTGAAAAGTTTTTAATTTACTGCAGGTGATTTGCCTAGAATGGAGGACTGAAGTAAATTGTTATAAAGAGTGCCTTAACTATTTTCTTCACTCATGAATAATTGATAAAGATTCGATTACACATTACGAGGAATAAACTATATAGAAAACAAATATATACGCGATCACTCTTATCTTTTGGACTGGTCCATGACTATTTGTTAAGATCGACTTCCTTAATTGGTGTCTAATCATTCATTGAAAAACAAGTAAATTTGTTATTAAAATTTATCTGTTATTTAATTTATATCAATAAAATATATTGTCTAATCTAACCACCCCCTCATCTTTCTTCAATATTCTTAATATTCTTAATATTAAATAATCACACTTCAAAATGATCAATGAAATCAACATAGTCTTTCTAAGTCAACTTCTGAATAATATTCATTTATCTTAATCCCATGTTGATGAAGCAGCTCGCTTCTATATTAGACACAGTCATGATCAAAAATCTTAATAATCTTTATGTGAAGAATGGTGCAACTATTTTCATTTTGCTAAAGGAAATGTAGATGGAGATAAAGCCATCATTTCTCTACTTTATATGGCATAGAGAGTAATTGAGTCTGTTATCAAATTTGAAGGAGCATGTAAATTTATAATTAATATTTTTAGACTCTTTAATGAGTGAAGTATTCAAAAAATAAATTTACAAAGCTTTTGTTATACTTAAAGATTATAGTTGGACTTAAGATCTAAAGTAACAAATCAAGGACTTAATTAAATAATGGGAAGAAAAACAATTATTCACTAAATTAGAAGTTTAAAATATTTTAGAAACAATTGAACCTTCAAAAATGAACAAAGAAAAATTCAAAAATTAGTTTGCTCCACCTTTTTTTCTTATAGAATTTGCCAAAAACTATAGAGTAAGTAAATTTAGAACTATTTATTTTTAAGGAATTATAAATTAGATAATAAAAAGTCAATGAATATTAAATGAGACTTGATGAACTTATCAATTGTGGAGCTTAAGATAAATTAAACTTATATGATTCATTATTAGATTAATATTCCAAATCAGTTGAAAGTGTACAAAAATATAGACAACTTGTAATAAAAGACGTTCTAGATAAATTGAAGGAATTAGATAAAATTCATTCAAAAAGTATTATTGATTTAAAATATCTTGCAATAAGAGTTTAAGAATTGAAAAATAGAAAGGAAAAGAGAATATAAAATGAATACTACCATGAATGAATCAATAAATTTATAATTTAACTACAATACAATCAAAATCTTCCCTCCACTTATTTCTTATACATTACAAAACTAATGTTCTTCATCTATTATTATCTTGGCGTTTGGATATGTTATCTAAAACTATTAATTTATTCGAAATCATCCTCTAATTTTAATTGTTTTGTGTGATCCTTAGAAATTCATAATTATAATACTTACTCTTGGATTATCATCTTCATTTTTAATCTTTTTAAATGATTTAAGCACATTATCATTGAAATAAGAATCATTTTCGAATTCTTGCACTTAATAATTGTTTATTGAATTATCAGACTATTTTTTCACAGAATCTATCTATACAATATTCTCATCTGTTGATGACTATATACTAATAGTTAAGATTTAATCTATTGGTAATAAATACGAATTATCTATTGAATTCTTCTTTTCTTTTCGAGGACTCATTAATTTTTAACACTTTTTCATTTACTAGTTTAAAACAACATTTTATCGATTTATTAAATTTTCCTTATCCTCAATCTTATTCCTCCATTTTACTTTGTTATTTAATGTTAACCTTTAAATTTAAGGTTCATTATCTTATTCAATGTCATTCATATTGTATCTAGATCGATGAGGACTAAATTGTGGACTGAAAGACCATTCTTTTTTTATTTCTTTAGCTTTAGGAGATCTCTAATTAAATGGGAGGTCTCTATGAGTGTAATATTCTAAGTAATTGGCAAATTAGTTCATTTAAGTTAACGGTAATATAAATTAAATAATATAATTAAATAATGAACACTTAATTATTATATTGAATATCTGATATTAGTAATGATCATATACTTCTTTTAATGATAAACTTTTTAGTAATCATCTTTCAATTTATATAAATAAAGTCTTAAAATGAGATAATATATAAGATTTGTAATAAATCAACTATTTATTCTGTAATTTAACTTATTATTTATAAGATTTTATATGCTTTCCTTTATTTAAATATAAAAATAAGAATTTAAGAATTAATAATATAATATTAATAATTTTATAAAAATTTCCGAAGATATATATTGATCATTGTTTCTTTTTTGATTAATGATATTGCTAATGAGAAAAATCAATAAAATTTAATGGACTTTCAGAGTGATTAAAAAATTCATTTTTAAAGCTATTTTGATGGCTAAATTAAATATTCCTTACACTAGAACAATTATCTGATGTAGAGATAATAGATTATATCATAGATTATTCATTAGATTCAGATTTTCTAACTTTGAATTGTTATAATTATCTTTCTGTTTTTGGTTTATGAGAAATTTGAAATTCAATTTAATCTGGTTGAGGTTCATATTAATTTTCATTTAATTAAGTTACCATTTTTTAGAATTGTTGAAGAACTTTTGGAGTATTAATTTATTCATCTTTATATTATTCAAATAGATTTTCATCATCAAATCTAATAATATCAAACTTAATTGGACTAGGTTGCCTTTTCTATTCTTTAAAATGTAACTCAATTTATCTATTAATATTTTATTCTACTGTAAATAATATCAATTAAGGAAAGGATTGGATTGAAACAACTTCATTACACAATTTCAACATTTATGTTACACTTCTTCCTAATCTAAGAGTTTCAGTGTAAACTTAATATAATTTAAGTGATTGTTCACTTTCCATTTAAAGCATTTAATTAATATGAGATTGTAAGTAAATTTGGACTTTAGGATAGAAAAAATAAAGATCATTTAGGAGTTGCACACAGATATGTTTAGTGACTTCTATATTATTAAATTTTGTCAATGAAATATCTAAATCTTTGTGGATTTTTACTAAGACCTATATGGTAGATACTATTTTGTGTATGATGAAGGTTTTCTGATATTGTTCTTTTTCTTCAAAATCGGAAAGAGCATTTAGGAAAAACAGATAATTCTCATATCTAATTTAAAGGTATGAAAAGAGGTTTTGAACGATATTAATATGCAATTAAGCAATCGGATCTTCTGGCTTCCTTTATTATTTATTTTTGATTTTATCATAGAGATGATTATTGCAGACAGCATCAACAAAGATGTTGCATTATTTCTTTGATAATATACATAAAAAATTGAATATACTTCTAAGCAGTAATGCAAGACATAGCCAATTTTTAAGGCACTTATCCATTTGTTGTATTGTATTTAACATAAGATATCGTAGAATTTATTAAATGCATCTAAAGGTAAAATTTTTTGATCTTAACCTTTCAAACATTCGATAATTGGCTAGATAAGAATTGATAGTACTTTCATGTATTTTGAAGTTGGAACATCACCATTTTCACTAGAAGTACATTAGTAAAGAGAATAATCAAATTCATCCTTTGATATGAGTGAAAGGTTTCTGAATATTTTTAACATATTTTAATAATATAATAAGTTATATAATTCATGTTCCTCTTGATTGAATTCACCTTAAATATTTAAGCTATCTTAAAGGTCTTTAAAACCTTGGTTATTTATTGGTTTTTGTATTTATTTTCTTAAGAAATTGTTTATAATATGTACCAATATGTATATTTACGTTATAAAAAAGTGAACTATGTTATAGATATCAATTCTTAAATTATTGAGAGATGAGACTTAAATAATTTATAATGGAATTACTATAATACTCTGTTAATTTCATTTTGATTGGTTACTATAATAATATATTGAGATTGAATTATTAATATAAGTATTTCTAAGTTTAAATAATCTTATTGTGTACAATTTTCATCATTCATATGTTAAATCAAAACAAAAACTAATTAATTAAATTGCTATTAGATAGAAATTATGAGCTTAGAAGAAATCAAAAAATAAGTTGAGTATTATTTATCAGATAAAAACTTATCTTAAGATGAATTCTTCCATAAATAGATCATTTAAAATTAGGATGGCTATCTCTAGCTCTAATTTATACTTAAATGCAATAAGGTTAAGTAAATGAAAGTTACTCAAGAATAACTTGTAGAAGCAATCAAATTATCAACTGAGGTTGAATTAAGCCCAGATTAAACAAGTATTTGATTATATTTAGCATAATAGGTGTTAGAAGATTAAACAATAAGCCTTTACCAGAATTAATTATTACTCATACAAATAAAAAAGTAAAAACTAACAGTGGTGAAGGAGTTGCTGCACAATAATAATAGGAAGAAAAACCTTAAGAGGAACCTATTGACAATCCCTATCATAATTTTGAACCACTCATTTTTACAGTCAAGGCTCCAGCTGGTGTTGCAGTCAGTTGGTCTCAAATCACCGAGGCACTTATGAAATAACATAATATCAGTTCTCCTTATGTTAGATATGGTAAGACTGAAGGCAACTTTGCTCTCTCTAAACCAAGAACACCAGAAGATAATATAGTTCGTTTAACTTCAGAGGGAATTAAGATTGGAGAACATCAATTGTAAATTCAAGTTACAAATGGAGAAGATTTGACATAATTCTGGGCACATCATGGAAAACATTATGAAACTATTATTAAAAGAGCCAAAGAAACATTTGCTCATGGTGGTGCTGGCAAAGGAGCTTTTAAGAAATATGAATAAAAGAAATAAAAAAAGGATATTGTCTTTCATAATTAAAAAGTAATAAATTTATTCATTGAATTAGTATAGAGATATTTCTTAATTAAAGAATATATTCAAAACAATTTTAGCTAGATCTGAAAATAATACTCCTTTGAAAGAACCATATCATTCAATGCTTGTTTCCTTATTGTAATATCATGATAAGAAGGATTAAAAACTTAATGGATTGAAACATTTCACAGTTGGTTAGCATCCAGATCATGCTGAAACCAGATGTTTCTTTGCAGTCAAAGAAGATGGATCATCTGAGGATTTCAGCAGTCTAAAATGCATCAAAAATTTAGAAACATCTCTAGGTTTATGAGTAGCATAATAGCATTAAACATAATATAAATTATATCAAAAACTTAATTTCTCTATCTTCCAAATTGAACTAATGAATGCTATTGCAGATAGAAACATCATCATCTTATAATAAGAATTTGATTTCTTATTGAATTATTCTTAAATCACTTCCATAGTAGCTATATAAACAAATGTTCCTGCAGAAATAGACTAAAATATTCCAGTTATTATATATCCTTAATTTGATAAAAGCCATCCTATAAGAATTCCTAGAGGATTGATGATACCCTATATGAAGATCATAATGGTAGCACTCTGAATTTTAGTGTCTATTTCAATCAAAGTTTGATTATACTTGCTTTTTTGAATGATAAACCCAAAGTCAAACCTTCAGCCCACTTATGACAAATTACTGCTAAAGAAATACCTAAACATTGAGGTACTTGTTATTCTATGCCAATTGCTAAACCTTCAAAAAATGCATGAATTCCTGATTACATAAATCTTTTACCTATAGCAAACTAAAGTATATAAGGAGTCAATGAATTGATTTGCATTTCATTCTATTCTTTAAGTGATATTTATGGAATTTATTGTTTGGTTGTTTCAGGACATTCCAATTCACCAAATATTTCTTGTTGGTTTATTACTGTTACTTAATGAGAATGATTTTCATCAATAGTATGATCATGAATAAATGCTATTTTTTCAATGTACAAAATCAAAGCAAAACTTAAGACTGTTATTAAACAAGCATAAGGAAATTCTTCGAATGATTCTATTTCCTAAGACTTATAATTCAAATGAAACTATTTCATAGACTCTGGAAGCAAATGTATAATTCCTACTGATAAAAATAATCCTCCTGAAAATGCTCCTGTCAATTCTAATAATAATTAATTTCCCTTGAAAGCTGTAGATCTTAAAGGAATATTTCCTACTACAATAATCATCAAAAACATCAATATCATACTAACTACTTTTATGGCAAACAAATAATCAATTTCCATTATTAAATTATTAATAATAGTAAAATAAATGTTTCGATACTTTTTTTGAATTATCAATCCATAGATTTTTAAAATAATTCACTAAAATTATAATTCATTTCCATATTTATTTATTTACTAAATTAATGGGATTTCTGAATTATTTTTTTAGCAATAAACACAAAGGTTAAATAAACAATTGAAATGAAGATGAANGCTGAAACCAGATGTTTCTTTGCAGTCAAAGAAGATGGATCATCTGAGGATTTCAGCAGTCTAAAATGCATCAAAAATTTAGAAACATCTCTAGGTTTATGAGTAGCATAATAGCATTAAACATAATATAAATTATATCAAAAACTTAATTTCTCTATCTTCCAAATTGAACTAATGAATGCTATTGCAGATAGAAACATCATCATCTTATAATAAGAATTTGATTTCTTATTGAATTATTCTTAAATCACTTCCATAGTAGCTATATAAACAAATGTTCCTGCAGAAATAGACTAAAATATTCCAGTTATTATATATCCTTAATTTGATAAAAGCCATCCTATAAGAATTCCTAGAGGATTGATGATACCCTATATGAAGATCATAATGGTAGCACTCTGAATTTTAGTGTCTATTTCAATCAAAGTTTGATTATACTTGCTTTTTTGAATGATAAACCCAAAGTCAAACCTTCAGCCCACTTATGACAAATTACTGCTAAAGAAATACCTAAACATTGAGGTACTTGTTATTCTATGCCAATTGCTAAACCTTCAAAAAATGCATGAATTCCTGATTACATAAATCTTTTACCTATAGCAAACTAAAGTATATAAGGAGTCAATGAATTGATTTGCATTTCATTCTATTCTTTAAGTGATATTTATGGAATTTATTGTTTGGTTGTTTCAGGACATTCCAATTCACCAAATATTTCTTGTTGGTTTATTACTGTTACTTAATGAGAATGATTTTCATCAATAGTATGATCATGAATAAATGCTATTTTTTCAATGTACAAAATCAAAGCAAAACTTAAGACTGTTATTAAACAAGCATAAGGAAATTCTTCGAATGATTCTATTTCCTAAGACTTATAATTCAAATGAAACTATTTCATAGACTCTGGAAGCAAATGTATAATTCCTACTGATAAAAATAATCCTCCTGAAAATGCTCCTGTCAATTCTAATAATAATTAATTTCCCTTGAAAGCTGTAGATCTTAAAGGAATATTTCCTACTACAATAATCATCAAAAACATCAATATCATACTAACTACTTTTATGGCAAACAAATAATCAATTTCCATTATTAAATTATTAATAATAGTAAAATAAATGTTTCGATACTTTTTTTGAATTATCAATCCATAGATTTTTAAAATAATTCACTAAAATTATAATTCATTTCCATATTTATTTATTTACTAAATTAATGGGATTTCTGAATTATTTTTTTAGCAATAAACACAAAGGTTAAATAAACAATTGAAATGAAGATGAAGTAAAAATATACATTAAATACTTTAGTATAATACTTATTTCGAGTGTATCCAAAAAAATAAAATTAAATATGGATTTATGATTAACATCTAACATCCCCAATCTGGAAAATTGCAATTTCAGAGTTTTGGGTTGAGAATTGCATTATATTTGATGATGAAGATCAATATAAGAGAAATATAATTAATTTAAAGAATTGATATCTTCTCAATTTGATAATATGTTATAAGAATATGGATTAACATAAGAATAATTGACTAAATAAATTATTATTGGATTGGCACATCCATAACATATACAATTTTTCTAATAGATAATTACAATAAATGAGTATAAGATATTCGGAAAATAAATGTAATAGGTATTTCTATTTTAATATTAATTATACACTTTAATATTGTATTTCTAATTAATCAATATAATATAAAATAGAAAAATATAATAGTTTATAAAATAATAATAATAAAACATAAATAATTAGTAATAAATCATAATATATTTAAGATAACTAGCTCCATAATTTGATTAACAATTTGAATTGAATTTTTTTAAAATAGAAAAAGAAAAGGCTGAAATAGAATTGGCTATTCAAAAAAAGTAGAAGATGAATAGAAACATCTTAAGGAAACATAAAATGCGGATATATGTTCAAAAAAATAATAGAATAAAGTTTAAATGAATATAAGTATCTTTTATTCTTTATTTATTAAAAGTGAATTATAAAAAGTCTGGACATTGTTTAACAGAGAGAATTTGAACTCAGATGATAACCTAATAGAAGCTATCAGAAATCTTTAAGTCTATTAGAAATGAAAAGTATCCATCATTTACAAGCTATATTCAAAAGTAAGTAGAGAATTAAAATTAATTCCAATATAAATTAGAGCCAAAAAAAAAAAATAATTAAATTCTTTATAAATAGGACTTGGAAGATTAAATTCCATAACCTTAGTTAGTAAGAGATTATTTTTTTGAACCACCAGTAATTGAAAGGGTTACTTCAAAAATAATTGAAGATAGTGTTATACATTAAAGTGAGATAATGCAGGATCAAAAATTAAAAATGCAATAATAAAAGGAATTAATAATAAAAAAGAAATATGAAATGAATAAATCTGAATAATTGAAATTTGAAGAGGATAAAAAGCAAGGTCCTTTAAATTAGGTTGTATATTTTTTAAAAAATTTCTTAGACACAATATTAGGTGAAGTGATTAATACTATGTGATATTATTTAATAATTAAAAATTACAAATTAAGTAATCATATTGAATTTTTAAATTTACTATTGATGACTTAATTGTTTAGAAATATAAATACATTAAAATTTATTGAATCTAATGGGTTGTATAGCATCTAAATAATCCTAAAATGCTTCTAGAGATAATCCTCATAGTTAACTTAATTGTTCAAATGATCTACCAAGACAAAAACTATTAACTTTAGAGACTAAACCAGAGGAAAGGAAAAGCAAATAACCGAAGTCTTTAGATAAAAACAAGATTGTTGAATTATTTTAAGCTGAGCATCAATAAATCTATAGGAATAAGAAGTTCCAACATGATTATTTTATTACTGAAGAAAAAGTCTTATTAAATGGATTTTAAGGAAAGATATTTGTGGTTGAAAATAAAGTCACAGGACTTAAAAGAATAGCTAAGATCACTAGAAATACATTAAATAATGAATAGATTACTAAATATGTTGATGACTTGCAATCACTTAAAAAATTAGTAAGTTTCATAAAAATATTTAGGATCATCCTAATATTATTAAATTATTTGATTTTTATTATGATGATAAACACATATATTTGGTAGAAGAATACTATGATGGAGGAGATTTATATCAAAGATTAAGCACAGAAATGCATAGTTAAGAGAAAATTCATGTGGCATTTGTTTTTTAATAGGTTTTATCAGCAATTTATTATTTACATTCATAAGATGTTATACATAAAAATATATAAACAAGTGGTGTAGTAGTAGCATAAAAATCTAATTTATTAATTAAGTTAACTGGAATTGATGACTTATTTAATATTTTTTAAGAATCTGATTCTGATATTAGTTATAGAGCACCGGAAACATTTAATGATAAATATAAATGGAATAAGGCAGCAGATATATGGTCAGCTGGTATTATATTATTTGAATTAATGTATGGAAAACATCCATTTAAAGATTAAAATAAATAATTGACAATTTAAAATATTAAGAGAAATAATATTAAAGAAAATATTGATTTGAATACAATTAATGATGATGCATTTAAATTAATTAGTGATATGATTAATCCAGATTTTAAAATGAGACCTAGTGCTAAAGAATGTTTAAAATTTAAATTTTTTAAGACTATTAGAAGATCATCTATGAAAATTACTAGTGCTTTATTAAGAGTTAAAGAATTTTAAAGAAAAAATGAATTAAAATTAATATTATTGAGTTTAATGATAGAATATTTAATGCCTAAAGAAGAACGTGATAAAATAGCTTAAACTTTTTATAAAATTGATCTTAATAATGATGGTAAAATATCGAAAACTGAATTGTATTAATAATATTTACAAAGATCTGGTAAAGAAGATTAGGCAAGAGAAGAAGTAGATAAGATATTTTCATAATTAGATATAAATGGAAATTAATTTTTAGAATTCAATGAATTTTTAATTGCATCTTGTAATAAAACAGATCTTTTGAATGAAGAAAATCTTAAGAATTTCTTTAATAAATTAGATAGAGATCGTAGTAAACAAATATCTGCAAATGAACTTAAAGTCTTTTTCTATAACACTAATTTATCTTAATCAGATTGGCAATAAGTAATTTAGTTGGGTTAAAATAAAGAAGAAACAAATCATAAAATGTCTTATTAAGAATTTGTTTCTTTGTTGACTGAAAATTGAATGATTTTAATATAAATACTTGATATTAATTGTATCAATTATTTCTTCTAACTATTCTAACTTGATTTGCAACTGGTATTTTAATAAGTATTTATTATTATTATTTCAAATTGTCAATTTTTAAATCAAATCGACAGAAAGGACAAAATTGATTTTTCTAAAGCCATTTTTCTATACATTTAGCATGAAATATATGTCTATTAATATAGCCTAATAATACTTGCATGGAGTATTTTTAATAGGTTGTTAATTTGAAAGAGGATCTAAACAAATTGCACAATCTTAAAGATCATTAGATTATATTTAATTATTCACAGTAAAAATTTAATCATCCTCTTTCTTACTCAAAGAACGTCCATATGTAAATTATTTTTCTCTCATTTCATAATCTTCTGGTGTTTATTTATCCATTTATCTATTTTACCTTGCTCTTCTTATTAAAAAGATACAAAAACATAGTAACAAAGAACCAGCTACACTGCTAACAATTATTATTATTAATTTCATCTATTCATTTTTGCTCTCATCTTTTATGAGATCCAATCTAATACTAAATTAAACACCTTAAAGTAATATAATCAACCTATCAGGAATTTAAGAATTCTAATCATTTTAATTACTCTACTTTCTTTGATCTATATATCTAACATATGGAGTTTATATTGTAATTCTAGCTGCATCATTAAAGAAATTAGTTGTTGGTAAATAAACTAGATCAGGTATAATTAAATAAACTTATGTTTCATTTTCATCATCTTTAGTCTTAGATAAATATTAAAATTACTGAGATTTCAAGTCTTAAATCAGAAGTTCCATTGTATTCATAATAAAAATAAAAGTTCGGATCATGAGAACCATTAATCTTGATGGATTAGTCTTACTCCAATTTTAAGGCTTTCAATGAACAATCCCTAGCAATAAAACCTTATTCACATCTACATTTTCCTTCTATGCATATTCCATTTCCTTTGCAATCACCTGGACATAACATGGTTTATGATCCTCTTAAATAAATATCAAAGGAAACTGGAATATTTGTCAATACAGTAAAGTATACTTTATCTTTTGAGCTGGGTATCAAGATAAAATGGTTTCTTTTTTATTGCACATAACTATAGTTTCAGATAAACCAATACCTATCATAGTCCATTCCATCATAAATAAAATCCTACTTATTATTTAAAAATGGTGCTTATCCTTCAAGAAATAGTAGAGCTATTTCAGCTGCTGTATTTGATGTTTAATTTAGTTCAATTGAACAATATTGCGCAAATAAATTATAGCAATTAACAATAAAAGTTGTATTTGCTGAAATTGTATTTACAATTCGTTTTTGGGAATATAAGGAATCTTTTGAAATAGCGATTTCAAAATCTACAGTCAATACTTTGAGAAAATTGAGAAGCAAAAATCCAATTGTGATAGTATTAATCATAGTAAATTAATTAAATAAGAATATATTGGATGTAAAACTAATAATGTGCATTTAAAATTCAATATATTTTATAATATCTTATAGAATACTCCATAATTAAGATTAATAAGTCAACAAGTTCATTTTCATTACATTAAATATTAATTTAATTATGTACTATTTTTGAAATTAAATTAAGCTTTATTTAATAGCTATTTTTACAATTCACTAATTGATATTATTTTCATTTTTAAATTATAAGTTATGGTGTTTAAATGTTTTAAGAGCGAGAAGAAATAAAAATAATAAAAGATCTATAATGGATTAATTATATATATAATATATATGAAATATAAATTTGAGAATTAGGATATAATACATATTAAAAAGGATATATTAAAATCAAATTAATTGTAATAATTATTGTAATTATAGAAGATTTTACTATAAATTATTTTAATTATAGAAGATAAACTTAATTATTCTATCATGAAACAAAGATCATAAATAGTTTATGACAATCAAAAATTAATAATTATGAATTGGATAATTTTTGAATATTGTTTAGAATAGTATAGAAGTAAAATTGTTTTATTTTATTATTGTTAAGATCAAAGAGCTAAGAAATGAATATTCAAGTATTATAAATAATAATACAAACTCATATTCTATAATATTATAATAGATTTATCAAAAGATTTCAATTAAGAAGTTTGAAATTGAAATTAATATAAGTGTAAGAATTAAATAATTTAATTCATACTAATTATAAATATAGTGTAGAATTATCAATAACAATTAATAAACAAAATTATAAAAATATATATTCAAGAAATAATGATGATAAAAGAAAAATAAAAAAATTGGAATCAATTTCAATGCTATACTAAAGATTACTCAATTACTTTATTCTTTCTCTTCTAAATAATTATTAATATACTAGCAATTACTTATGATGCAAAAAGACAACTATATTCAGTAGTCATTTGTTCAATTAATGGATTTCTTGCTTTGTAATAATTAATCTTACCAAAAGAAAAGGCTATCCTTTATTAATAAATTTGTATATTACTAAGTAAAATAGCAACAATTTTACTAATAATTATTATTGGTTCTGATTTATCAATTTTGATAATAGCATTATTTGAGCGTTTAGATTTAATAACATGTGAGAAGGGTACATTTAAATAATTTGATCATATACTCTTACGATTTATTACTCTAATTATAATGATATTTAATTTTAATCTATTTTTAACAATAACACTTGCATATACCATTTTGATTGAAATAAATAAACTCATATTAGAAAGATCAAATGATAATAAATAAATATAATATAACATTACCAGTAGTTATCAAAATACAATTAGAGCATCAGATTAAGAATGGAATTATCGTTTAAATTTAATTCCATAATGTTTCATGGTTATAAATTTACCTAGTCTTAAAGTTACTTATAAAAATAATTATCTTTACACTTATTTTAAATAATGTTATGAAAATGATGATTAATTGGATGAATTGATATTGCACAAATTATAATTCAATATAATATAAGATAAGATTGATAAAATTAAGTAATTTTTTGAAAAACCTAAAATTAATTAAAGATAAGCTAAGAAATAATAAATGTGGTAATATAAAAGTGATTCTATTTCTCTTTAATAATCACCATAATAGAAATAAGAATAATCTAAAGGTGGTGATTCTTTAGAATTCTTATCTACATCATAATGTTCAATCTTTGATATTTTAACAAATCTAAAATAAAATACATTATCTGGTTAATAAAAAAATAATAGTCATGTTGAAATCTATTCAGATTAAAGTTGGTAATCAATTACTATAAATTATAATTATTCTTTTTCACCAAAAAAATTATAATTATCAGGTTAAATCATATTTTCTGAATAAGAAGGGGAAGTATTATTAACTCTGACGGATATTTCAAAATAAAATGAATTATAGGAATTAATTTCCAATTCTGAATTTAAATCTAAAGTATTTATAATTTAAAATATGATATCTAGATTATAGAGTCATTTTCTCATGAATTACGAACTCCATTGAATAGTGCTCTAAATTTTCTAGTTTCTTGCCATTATGACAAAGATGTTTAAGAGTTTATAAAAGAAGATTATTTGTAACCAGCAATAAATTCTTTAAAATTGCAATCCTATATAATAAGTGACATAATCGATTTATCATAAATTTCAACAAATAATTTTATACTCTCTGTTAGTGAATTTTCTATTAGAGAATTAATTAATGAGATTATCTTTTTATTTAAAACCTAATTTGAAATGAAGAGAATAGAATTAAAGATTAATTTACTTGATTGCACCAATTCCAAATTTACATCTGACTATTAAAGGCTTATTTAAATTATTGTTAATCTTCTTTAGAATTCTTTAAAATTTTCATCTGAAGGAATAGTTGTATTGCAAATAACATCTACTTAAAATTAAGGATTAAAAATCTGTGTATCTGATTAAGGAATAGGAATAGAAAATGATCATCTTAATTAATTGCAATTACTTTTATAAAATATTGAGCAGTACAAAGATATTTAATTAAATAAAACTTGGTAAGGATTTGGTTTACTAATTTCGGCAATACTAGTTAACTAATTAGCACCTAAAGAGAATAAATTTTTATAGATTCATTCATCTGGTTAATATTAAGGCTCATAAGTATCTTTTTACGTTGAAAATTAACATAGAATTGAGAGACCTAGATAAAATACTTTGAGACAAAGTTCTTCTAGATTTTAGAGTTCTCATGATGAGTAGATTTTTAATTTAGAAATTAATTGTGCTATATTTTAAGCAACAGATTTCAGCAACATAGGTTTTACAAAATAATCTAATTAAAATGCTAAAAAAAAAGATTTTATAAAAAATGATTTCAATTGCACTGACAGTTAATCGTTTGAATCTTTATAATTTAAATATGGACAACTATCACCTCTCTCACCTTCATTGATTACAGACAAATTATTTAAATATTCAAAGGAAAGTGATTTATAAAACAATCATTAAATCATAAATCTAAAAACAATATTTGAAGCAGAAATAAAAGAAGATTAATAATTTTTAAAAGCTTTTCAAAAAAAGAAAAGATGTCCTTGTTAAAATATATTGTCTGTTGATGATGAAATATTTAATTAAAAATCAATTTAAATTTTGTTAGCAAAATTGGGATTTGATGTAATACTTGTATATATATTTTTATTATATCACATTAGGCATTTAATGGAGCTGAGGCAATTAAAATTGTAGAGGAAACTATTCCATGCAATCCAAAATGCCAATTATTCACTATAATATTGATGGATTATCAAATGCCTATAATGGATGGATGCACTGCTACTACTAAGTTAATAGAGATGATGAATAAAAGATTAATTCCAAAAATACATATCATTGGATTAACTGCTTTTACTAATGCCACTGACATTTCAAATTGTATTAAAGCTGGTATGAGTGATGTTTTATCAAAACCTTTAAATTTGAAAGAGCTTAAGGAAATTTTGACTTTGATTTGAATTGTTATAGATAATAAATTTTTTAATAGTAAAATGTATAATATTATGACACCTGTAAATAAAAAAGTTTAGTCATTGTCTTTTAGAATAATTTTGACCTAACAAGATTGAAAAATTCATTCTTCATATTAGCTTCAATGTTAATTTCTTCAAGGTTCGAATAATTAATAAAAATAGATAAAATAACTATAATGTTACAAAATTCTTTGGATTCTCCCTGTAAAAAGGGTTAAGAAAGTCTGCTAATTAATACAAGAGGAATTGTATCAAAATAAAATGTCATATAAATTTTGGTATTTTATATTTTGCATTCGCTTATTGACCTTGCTTTATTGATTCAGTATCCTCATTATTTACAATACATTATACCTAAACTCTCTATAAGTATCTTAATGACTATCATAATAACATTATTTTAGAAAAAACTAACTCATATGATAATCAATATTTTTTTGGTTGTGGTAAAATTAAATTCAATTCTTTTTCTTTTATTGATTGGATAAGATTATATATTAATAGTAGTATTAATTTGTGATCACAATTATTACCCATCAAATTTAGAAAACTTCGAATATTCTGTTCAAAAAATCATCGTAAAAATCGTGTGTTTAGTAATAATGATAATTGAGTTTAAAATAATGGATATTTTTATATTAGCAAGTGTTTTATTATAGGAAATATACAAATTAGGTTTATTTTTAAAATAATCAAAAAATTAAAATATTGGAGAATTATTTAGCTCTTTTTAAAATAAAATTAATAGAGAAACATTAACAATATTTTCTAAAGAAAACACATGGATGAGTAGAATATCTACTCTTCCTATATGTTTCATTATGATTTCAAAAAAAGATTTGAAATTAACATATAAAAACCAAAATGTTTATACACATTTTTCAACAATCTGTAAAACTGAGGAAGAATATGATAAATTAATTCTAAATTAATTGGAATTTTCTATTATTTCAGGTATATTTTAATTTAACAATATAGAATATTTTGAAGATCAAAATAACATAGCTACAGATTAACATATAAAAAAGAACAGATTGAGGAATCATTTAACCACAAAAAAACTTAATTAAAAATTAAATGATTTCTCTGAATAAGAAAGCTTAAATCCATAATTTAAGGAAACCAATAAATTACTTGAAATTTTAGAAAATTATAAAGAAGGTAAATTATGGGATACTATGAATTCTATCAACAATTCTTTAGAACTATTTTGTTAACATTTTTGGGAAGATAATAGATGCTCAACTTATAGTGGGTAAATGATTATCAATCAAGATGATGATGAAATTATTTTAACATTGATTGACATATCTAAACAAAATAAGTATTATGATGAGATGATCAAAGATTAATTTAAGACTTCAGTAAAATATTTATTTATTATAAAAGATAGCTCAATCCTTCTCACATGAATTAAGAACTCCTTTAAATAGTTCCTGTAACTTCTTATAATATTGTTTGAATCATAAAGGTATAGAAGAAGATTTAAAAAACAATTTCATCTAACCTGCTATTAATGCATTAAGATTGTAATCCTATTTGATTAATGATATTATTGATTTTAGTTCATTATGTGCAGATAATTTGGAATTGAATATTAAAGATTTTCTAATTAAGGATTTAGTAGATGAAATAAATAAATTATTTAAATCTGTAATAGAAATGAAAAATTTAATATTGTATGTTGATTTATTGGAGAATCAATTAAATAGTTTATGTACAGACTTTTCTAGATTAGTCTAAATTATTGTTAATATCTTATAGAATTCTATTAAATACTCAAATTCTGGATATATTCTTTTGAAATTAACCTCTTTTTCATAAAATTACTTAAAGATTACTATTAAAGATGAAGGATTTGGAATAGAAGAAGATAGATTAATAAAAATACATTAAATGTTATTGGATGTTGAATAAAAATAAAACTTTTCTTAATATTAATCTTGGCATGGATTTGGTTTGTTGATTTCATCCATGTTATTATCAAAACTATGTCCTGCCGATTATAAATCACTATTAATAAGATCTGGAGGAAGTGGATAAGGAACTAAAGTTACTTTCTATATTTAGAATCATAAATTAAGTCATTCATCATCAAGTGTTCATTATAAGGATAAGCCAATAAGATTTAATAGTAAACTTAGATAAAGTAATCTTTCAGGATCAAATCATCATATGTCACTTAATGGAACACTTATCTAAATTAGTGATTTATTCGTTTCTAATAGAAAAGTTAATATTAATACTCAATTTGTAAAAAAAGTAACTTTGAAATCTGTAAAATCTAATGAAAATTCAATTTTCTCAGATAGTATAATTAACTTAGATTAAGATTTATAAATATCTGAATTGCATCACTTATAACCTTTTTTATTTACAGAAAATGCTCATTAAAAATCTAAATTAAGTAAATAGGATTAATCTCCAAAAAGTAATCATCAATAAACAAAAATTGTAAGTTATAAATAATTAAAGCTTTAAGAAGATTAAGATAGTGAATAATATTTAAAAACAATTATGAGAAAGAAGAAATGTACATGTAAGAAAATATTATCAGTAGATGATGAAATTTTTAATTAAAAATCTATATAATTCTTATTAACTTAATAAGGATTTGAAGTCTTTCTGGTATTATTATTAATTATATAAAAGGCATTCAATGGTTAAGAAGCAATTGAAATAGTTTAAAAAACATAAAAATGTAATAATAATTGTAGTTTATTTTTATTAATTTTGATGGATTATTAAATGCCTATAATGAATGGATTATAAGCCACTAAGTAATTGAGATTAATGATGGATTAACATTAAATACCATACATACATATTATAGGATTAACAGCATTTAATAGTAAGAATGATATTCTTATGTGTTTAAATTCTGGTATGAGTGATGTATTAACAAAACCATTGATAATAAAAGATCTTTTTGAAATATTGCAACTAATTTGATATTAATTGAATATTATATACATATTATTATACTAAACCATATTAGTAAATTCAAAATATACAATTTATTTATTATTTCTAAATATGAATTCAAACTTAGAATTGGTTCAAATGTTAAAAGATCTTCAAATTTATAATTCCATTGATAATAACTTTAGCCCTGATCATAGCTAATTAGTAATGATATATGAAAAAGTAATTGGATTTATTTTTATGTTAGTTTTGTGATTTAATAAATTTTGATGATAATTTTACTTTAGAAAATTCAACATTGTAATTATTTTATAGATGTAAATTAATGTGTAAAACAGTTGGAGTAGCTGATTTTTAGATGATGGATTTAACAGATCCAGATTAAAAAAGAATGAAACACATTCTTACACAATTATGTAAATATTGTATATGGAAAAAAGATTAAAGTTAAAAATGGGAAAAAAGAGACAAAGAAATAGTAATTCATTTATTTTTATATAATTTTAGGTATAATTAGAAGATATTGATTTATAATAAACTAGAAAATAAAAAAATGAATTAGAAGATTTAATATAAATGAAATATAAAGATATGGATTTGAAAAAGAAGAAATTTGAATAATATAAATAAATGAAACATAAATGTGAAACAGATTTATTAGCTAAAAGAAATTAAAATTTAAAATTATAAAATTCTATTTCATAAAATTAAAATGAATTAAAAGATGCAGAAAAAAAGTTTAAGAATTTAATTGAGAAATTGTAAGTAGCTCAAAATGAATTATCAATATTAGAAAGGTAATATTATATATTTATTTTTTAAGTATGATAGTAAAAGATCCAAAAAATTTAGAAAAGAAAGTAAATGATAGTTAAAGAAGAGTTGAAAGTCTATAAATTGAAGTAGATAAGTGTTAAAAGGAATTATAAATTGAAACATTTAAAATTGGAAAGATTTATAAATAATTATATTAAGATTATGATATATTTTTGAGATTACTTGAATAAATAAAAGAATCAGAAAGTGCTTTAATTTAAGAAGATAAAAATTTTGAAAAATCTAATGATTAAATATTTACAGCAACTAATAAAATACTCTAAGAAAACATGGCCTTATAAAAATTACAATAAAATAAAGAATAATTATAATAATAGAAAGTTGTTGAATCTGAAAAAAATAATTCATCAAATTAATATAGTTTATAATCTTTAATAGATTTATAAAATAAATTACAAGAATTACAAGTTGAAGTGAAAAAAGAATAATAAGAATATCTATCTATATAACTTATGAAATAAGAATAATAAAAGATTATGTCTGAAAATGATGAAATAAAAGCAGCTATTGAAGCAAATCTCAAATAAGTAGTGACTCAATAAAATAAAGAAATTGAATAATATACAAAAAATATTGAAATCTTACTTAATAAAATAGAATTTGAATGAAAATGTATATATAAATATGTGATAATAATTAATTAATATAATAATTAAAGTGGAAAAAATATATGAATTTTCAAATAATTTGTTATGTAGTAAATGCTATCATTCTTAATTGAAACCCATATAAGGAATAATTTTATACCAAATCAGTAAATCCCAATAGTTCTTATTAACTGTGATCCAATCTCCCATTAAACCAACAGTTTGAATTGGATAACATTACTCCTAAATGTCTCTTACATTTCTTCTTTGAAGATATTTCACTATGTTGAATTTAAGCAATAGCATATACTCTAAATTCTTCCATATTTAAATTAAGATTCAATGTATATGAATTAGAACTTATAGACTAGATTTTAGTATTGTATCCAAAAGCAACATTACTTATAAGATTTCCAGTGAAAATATCAGCAAGAGACAGCTGTTCTTGCTTCTACTACATCAGGTATAATAGAATCTCCATATACAGTTAAATAAGGGTTACCAATATAAGTATCAGTAAATCCAGCTATAGAAGAAGTCTTAGTGATATTCTATTTAACAATAAATCCATAACTAAATTCAGCACCAACATTTACAACAAACCCTTAATTAAAGAAGTTTAGAACAATTTAAAATTTTGAATTCCATTTATATTAAGATTTTTTCATGGTTGACCAGTATGAATAAATGAATTATCAACTAAATCAAAAATACATAAACCTTCAAGAGCCAAACAGAATTTTAATTGTACTTATACATTTCCATTACCTGCTGTACCTTTAAAAGAAATATAATGATAAATTAGTTCTTTTAACTGTAAATTTAAAAATAGTTGATAAAAAATCTATGAATCCATTAGAAGGACAATAATTTGATCCATTCTGAATTATTATTAGGATAACAACCTATTATTATATGCCTTTCCCTTTAATTCTAAATATTTATATAATTATTCTAATTTTACTTAATAAATCTATCTTATATTGAAATAACAGTCTTAGACATTAAATCTAAATTTTGATTAATTTATTTAAGTAGATTAGTATAATAAACATTTTAATAACTTTCACTTCTTTTAAGTGTTGAATTATCTATAATAGAAAATTTGATTAAGTATTATTTTTCTAAATTACTTGGTTGTACTGAATAATCAATTTCTATATTTACAGAAATTTAAGATTAAAATTTAAGTATTTCTGTTTAATTTTGTTGTCTATTGTTATTAGCAATGATGCTATCTTATTCTGTAACCTCTTTAGTAATTGTTGAATATACAAACCAACTCAAATCAAATTATCTTTCTGACATTAATTAATATTTTCCGATTAAAATTGGATTCTTTATTCAGTGCTTTCTGTAGATTCAACATTTGGACCTAAGTGTTAGATATTTCAAAACAAGTCTTAAAGCAAAAGACCATCTAAACCATTTAGAAATTAAATTTTTTATATTTATCCATTAGTTTTATCTAATTTGAATTTCATTGTAAGTTCCACAATCTTGATTATTGCAAGATTCATTTACACTTTCTAAGATTCTGAATGCTAAATAAGTTTTTCAGTTATCTTTACACTTGTTGAATATAAATTTGAAAAAATAATAGTACCATTTGAATAGTTATTATATTTGAAACATATAATTCATCAAGTATCAGGATATGTGTTGAATTGTTATCATTTACATCAATTGTAACTTAAGTAATATTGGCTTAAATCTGTGTACAATTTGTAGGTTATGTAGAAAATTAATATATACATAATTAATCTTAAGAATCATAAGAATTTCTTTGATTTAAGATGTAATTTGGAACATAATTGCGCTATGGTGTAAAGATAATTATGAGACTTAAGCAACTTGCTAGAACAATTCCAAAAATCAGTTAATTCTTCGATTGAATTTCCTTTTACAGAAGAGTATTAGGATTGTCTATATTAAATGAACTTTAAGTTTACATTTAAAAATCAATCTTTTTTCATTTTTCAAATAACTTAAATATCAAAAAGGAAGGGGTGTATCTTATTAATTTAATCTAATAAATAATTGTTAAAACTTTATGAGCATATAATAAAGAATAATTGAAATCACAGAAATTCTTTTTAGATTGAATAACCTTTACTTTGAATTATCTAATTTATGAATATATGTTATCCAATATATGATGATGTCATTTAATGTAAATTAATTTTATAATTCTAAATTTCTCACATCTATTCATCCCTTACAAAACTATCTACAACTTATTAAAATTAATTTAAGTACTCATAATTGTGAGTCTATTTATTATATGAAGTTGAGAATTCATATTCACTAACTTCGCTAATGATAATATATAATTCTAAATAATCAGAATTACTCAGAACTCTAATTGACCAATATTAATCTCAATTTTCCTCTATGAATTTATATTTTATTAATTGTTATACAGGAATGATAGTTCTAAGAGTTTTTTAGAAATTTAATATATTTAAGATAAGAATATTATTATGATATATTTTAAATAGTCAATAAATGATAATAATATGGATTATAAATATGATTGTATATATATCATATCTGTGTATTAAAATGTATAACAATTCGAAAAATTGCAATTTAATAAAAATAAATTTTATAATATAATTAATAAAATTAAAAAATATAAAGAAATTCTATTGTTAATGAAGATTGATGATATTAAATTATTATAAAATATTTGAGGTTTATTTTATTACTACTTAGTATTATCATATTTATATTAGAATTTAGAGAGATAGAATATAAAAATAGAGAGAAAGAGAGAGAGAGATTTCTTAAATAATAAAATTTCTAGTTTAAGTATATAAAATATAATCAGTTTAATTAAACTAAGTAAAAATATGAATATTATTGAAATTATAAACAAATATTATTTATAACTTCTCAATGGGGAATTGTTTTTTATAAGAGGAAGAAAAGAATTAGAAATCTTCAATAAAAAAAGTTGATAGCTTTCTTGCAAAATAAATTGAAAAAAGGAATGAAAAACAAAAGGTGACTTTGAAGGATTTCTTAAGTTAAGGTGAAATAGGAAGAGTAATTATTAAGATTGATCAAAATGTTAGGGTAAATTTGGGAAGGTCTTAAGAGTAAAAATGAAAGGGAAAGATAATAGGGAATATGCAATGAAAGTTATTAAAAAAGCTGATATTTTATAATATGGACTTGTAGAGCACACAATGTTAGAGAAGAATGTTTTAGGCGCAAGCAGAAATCCATTTGTTGTTAAATTGAAATACTCATTTTAAACAGAACAAAAACTTTATTTAGTTATGGAGTAAAATATATTTTAATGAAGTTAAGATTTATTAAGGGTGGTTAATTAGCTAAAGTATTAAGAAAAAGATAGTCAGGTAGATTCACGGAATTATAAACTAGATTTTGTGCAGCTGAAATAATATTAGGTTTGGAATATATGCATAATACTCTAAGAGTAATATATAGAGATTTGAAACCAGAAAATGTTATGGTCACAGAAGAAGGACATTTGAAGTTAGCTGATTTTGGTCTATCTAAATAATATGAAAATGAAGAAGCAAAATTCTTTACTGTATTAAATATAATACTTAAAAATTAGCTTGCAGGTACACCAGAATATTTAGCTCCAGAAATTTTATTTAATTAAGGTCATAATCATATGGTTGATTTTTGGTGTTTAGGAATTCTTATTTATGAAATGTTAGTAGGTTAGACTCCATTTTTTGATGGTTAAGGTAATCATAATACTATAGAAAATAATATAAAGAATGGATAAATTACTTATCCTAATTTTTTAAGTGAGTAATCAAAGAGTATTGTGGATAGATTATTGAATAAAGATCCAAAATACAGACTTGGTGCAAAATCTATTTAAGAAATAAAGGATCATAATTTCTTTAGTGATATTAATTGGGAATAACTATATAATTTGGATATCCCATCTCCAATTGTAGAAAACACTCAAGTTTATGTAAGTATTTAATAATGATAATTTTAAAGCCTTAAGTTAAGAAGGACTAGTTTGGTAAAAGAATTTATGAAACACCATCATCACATTTTATCGAAACAAATGGGGATTTTAAGGGTTTCTCTGCAGCTTAAGAATGATTATATATAGACGAAAAATGATATTTTCAATATCAATTTAAGTATAATTTATTATATATATTTTTTTATTAACAATATAATAATAATTTTCATGTTTCTTTTCTCTTTTTAAGTTTTAAAATAATTCTAGCATCTGAATTAATTTTATTAATTTTAAGCATTTCATCTAAATCTTTTTTCAAAATAGGATCATTTGATATTAATTCTGGTATATTTAAGGTTCTTCTTAGATGTTAATATGTTAGATGAAACATGTCAAATTAATTATGCTTTGTAATATTACATTAAAATGCTTCCATTGTAATTTTTGAATCTTCTAATTCATCATTAAAAGCAAACATATCTTCACTGTCATTATTATCATCTTTATCCTTTTTTTAATCATGATTATATTATCTTTTTAAAACTGTTACAAAATTTGTAAGCAATGCTACATTTAAATATTTAGGATTCTTTAGTAAAAGTTAACAAAATCCTACTATATAGAGTTAACTATCATAATCAGGTTAACAATGTTTGCTTGAATCTATAATATGATCATAAATAAATCCTTATTATTATTCTATCCATGCTAATGTTTAAGAACAATTTTAAATAAAACCTGATATATATATACCCATCAATCTAGCTCTCAGAAAATCATTTTTTACCTCTAATTAAGATCTTTATAAAATTTTTGTATATATATATGTTAAAACATCTTTATTTAATGTATATTCTTAAAGAAGTAAATGTAATAATATAATTGCTTCTCCTTAAGAGGCTTCACCATTCTATGGATTATTAAATACAACTTCCAACATTTAAATCAACTAATTTATTATATATATGATAAATACAAATTCTTAAGCATTGATATTTGAAAATAATGTTTTCCCATAATAAATATAATAATTAAAAAGTTCAAATAATTATCCAAGAGTAAATCTTTATTTTTCTATTACTTTGTTACATTAAAAAAACATTTCCGCTTAATAGTCACTGATAAATTTAGTTTTACTTATAAGTTATGCAATAAAATATACAATGTCCTCATCAAAATCAATAATATTTGGATCTAATTATTTTTATATCTTTAATTACTTATGATATATTTATATAGAATAGCAACTCTTTTTTCTAAAAGATTAAAATGTATAGGTATAATCTTATCTATTTCAGGTAGAGATTTAAGTATATTCCATGTCTAATTGATACAAATTTGTCTCTCAGTCTATCCTTATTCCACTAATTACTATTCTTATTAGATTTTCAAAACTATTAGACCTAATGCTTAATCTAATATTGATGGTTCTATTGTAAATGTTCTATTATTTAATAATATCAATATATACTTGAATATTTATTTAATAGTATCAAAATGATCTTCAAAATCACTTTATAATAAAGATTCACATAGTGCAATTAGAATCTATCCAATATTTGGTTCTAAAAGTTTTTCTAAATTTGGTTCTTCAATAATATTTTTAATGGCTTCTATTGCACAATAAGAATTAGCATATAATTCATTTTTAGCAGATTTGATTTAATTGATCAAAAAATTAAGTAGCTATTAAGATAGTTCTTCTTACTCATGTAGAATTGACTTACAATATGCACCAATATATGTACATAGTCTGGCCTTAACAAGTGCTAAAATTAAATAAAATTGTTATACGTATTGAATAATTTAATAAGTAATCACCATATGAAGAAATAAAGGATTTAAATATTTGTCCCACTTCATTTCTATAAACAAGATAATTACTCAAAATTGATAAGATTAATAATGAAGTTTCTAACAAAACATTTTCATTCATGGACTTTAAAAAATAATGTTCTTTGAACTCCATTATTAATCCCATTTATTCTTTTATTTCTGCGTTTGATAATTTTTAAATGCAATATGTAGCAGCTAGAGTTGAAAATGATGTAAAGAAGGATACAGATCCATCTATATGTTAACAATAAGCTATAATCAATTAAGCTACAGATGACTTAATTATATCAGATTTTTACTCATCCAATAAATCTTATGTTAATTAAACAAATTCATTAGGATCTTCAATAAGATCATTCATTTCTTTTTAAGTTGATGAAAAGAATGGTAAAATTATATCTAGAAAAATAGCCATTCTATATTCGGCAAATATATGATAGACTGAAATACTCTTACATGTTATGGCCAATAATTTTATTATTTCATTAATTAAGTTTTATTGATTCTGATTAAGTTTATCATAAGAGAAATTCGATGACATTACATATGCCACAAGACTTTAAATATAAGAATCACACAGAATGCTTAAGATATCTAAAAATGGACACTTTTTAGCTATAATGGCTTCCTTATAAAATTTAATAATAGATCCATATATTAATCTTTATGATGCAACTATCAAATGACAATATTCTAAATCATCACCTACAAAAGTTAATTGTTGTGTTTTGAGAATAAGTACTTAACACAATTCTTCATTATATATAAAATATTATTGAATAGGTTCTGGTACACCAGTCATTTAATGAGTTGTGAGATGCTGATCTAATTAATGAAATAGAACTTTAGCCCATAATATTTTGGTAGATTGAGAAAAAGTACTTATTAGTTTACCTGCTTTGATGATAGATTAAAACCATTCATATTGATTATCTAATTACAATGTTTCTGTTATATAAAATGCAGATGCTATCATATTTTCTAATCTTGTTTCAATTGATTAGATTACATGTTATTTAAGACGAGTCTTGAAGTGATTCTCTTAAAATTAATAATAATAATTTATTTACATTTATCATAATAAACTAATTACTATAGAGCTTATTGAATGCTGACTTTTATTTTATCAGATATTTATTTTGTTAGCATTTGAACAAAGAGATCAACATGATGTAATCTCATTTCAAGAGCATATGGTTCTATATATAAATTCAATATAGTATTACTTGTATTGGCAATGAATTTTTTCACAGCAGTTATTATTGTAATAGCGGCTGATTCAGCTAAAAGTAAATCATTTTATTAAGATGATAATTCACATAAAATGTCAATAGATCTAGCATCATTTTGACAGTTTTGAATCAATTAATCTTCTGCCTTTTTTCTAGCCTAAGTCTCTTTGCCTTAGAAAGCCAATACAATTAAGTTTGTATACTCTTATTGATTCATCATAAATTTATATAGTGATAAATTATAAACTTTATTAATCAATATATATATACACATAGTCATTTTAAAGTCAAACTAATTTTATTTCCTTTGTAATCATACTCAGAAAAGACTGAAATCACTTTCAATGCTTCATAAATATCTACCATAGTTATTTAAATATATTAAGTATCAAGTTTGATTTCTGGATATAAAAATAAAATTACCTTGAATCTTTCCTACTAATTTAACCATATCTTAGATTTCTAATAATTAAGATATACCAGAAAATTAGAGTACTCTAGATAAAGGAACAATTTTAAATTTAGTTTGACTTCCTTGGTAATATTCTTCATATGCATTGTTGGGTTATAAGAGTGCATTATAAGCATTCTAGAATATGATTCTCAACTAAAATAATAAAATAATATAGTAACCTCATTTCCAAAAAAGATAACATTATTGAGTAATTCTTTTGCTATGATTGCATTCTCTTTATTTACAAATTATAGAATTGATTAACGAATATTTTTTTTTAACAATAAAGCTTCCAAATGTCCAAATCTATTAAATAGATTGTAAAGCATTCTAGGAGTGACTCTTTCATCTAAATTGGAAACCTTTAAAAATTTAGATGGTTATTAATTTAATAATTCTTAAATAGCCATTTCATTGGAATCCAATTAAGTTAATTAAATTTTAGCTACTTCTTATTCATAGTCATCATCTAATATTCTCTCCAATTGTCTTAATTAAGTTTCCATTCTAGAAAATATACTCAAAATTTTTACATTGCTTTTGTAGGGGATTCTTCGGTAATATTTTGTATGCCATTGAATTGATTTCCATTATTCGGCTTTTATTCAATAGATTGAGGCTTGATTAAAGGAGGGGAAACTGGAATTGAATTAGGTAGCGTCATCGATTTCAATGCAGACTTCTATTCTGGTAATGTTTCTTCATCATCAGAATGATACTCAGAACCTCTTGTGTGATCAACCACTTCTAAGTCTAGCTATTTCAAACGAGAATAATGAATCAATAATCTTGTAAAAATATAACTGAAAGTGTTACCTGCCTCCTTAAGGAGTGAGCGATTTTCCTATCATATTACGTCTTGCTAAAATAGCTTGTTTAACTTCATGGTATTCTACAAATGCTTTGTTAGTCTTTCCTCTTTCGAAAATTAAAATTTTTTTGACTTCTCCATACTACTTAAAAGTCTCAAATAAAAAATCATTTGTTAGTGGGAATGATTAAGGTAAGTAAGTTATGATCAATAACAATATTTTACTAGGAGGGTCTCTAGAATTCATTTATAAAATTTAATCAATTTAATTTAAAATCCTGCAGAAATGAGGATTTTTAAATTAGATTATTAACAGTTAATATTAATAAAAGCTCCTTCTAAAGCATTAATATTGCATAAACCCCAATCCTGAATCATAAATAACATCAAACTTTTGTATATAGTTTTTAAGTAAGTAGTTGCATATCATATGTAATATCACTCTATTCACTCATAGAAGTCTTGTGAATATGGAAATCTTTGTAACTTGTCTTTTTTCTAAAAAGAAATTCCCGTATCTTCTATCTCTTGATTAGTAAAAAGATTAAATGATTTAATGAATAATAAAAATAATCTAAAAATTATATAATGATGAATCGATGTCATAATTTCCAAGCCATTTTCATTATTAAAACAAAATGTTCATCATTATCAACTGAAGCTGAAACTGCAGCATAATAATCACACCACTCTTAATATGTCAATTAACCATTTTTATCCACATCTCCAAAATTAACTAGGAATTCATCAAATACTTAATTCTCTGTCATTTATCCATTCTTAACCTTTGGATGTAATTTAGTATTATAAACACCTCTATTAAAAATATTAAAAATCTTACTTCAAATCATCTGCTGTAATGTATCCATCTCCTGTTTTATCAAATTTTTTAAAAGCCTGATCTACAATAGCTTTTCTAGTTGGATTCAATTAACCCTAAAATATTAAAAATCATTACTCTTATCGATACTAAGAATTCATCAAAATCAATAGTTCCACTCCTATCTCTATCCATTACTGCAAATAAAATCTATAAATTAATGAATATGATTACTTCAACTTCATTCCATGATAATTAAACCCCATTTTCAGCCAGACCCACTTTTAATTCATTTTTGTCTAATTTTCTATTTCCATCATATGAATCAAGACATCTAAAGCAAACACCCAATTATCTAATTGTTTTTGATCCTCTTGCTTATAAAGCATCACGAACTCTTTTAAGCACTAAATTCTCAATTATACAATCATACAAATTTGAGCAGCTTCCTATTATTGTCTATTCATTTAATATAAAATTAATTAAAATAATTAACAGTTTCATGAAATAAATTATCCAAATTAATATCATAATTTATTGCAAACTTATGGATAAATCTCTTTTGAATTTTCTGCTCTTTCAAATTTATTTGGATTCTCTGAATATTTCCAAAATTAACCACAAGATTTTTAAGAAATATCTCCAATTCCTCCATCTACACATAAAACTAACCAAGTTAAATTCGGTTCTTTTTTTAGATTACTTATTTAAGGTAATGTATATCTAATTATTGGTCTCTCTTATTCATAACCATATAAAGTAACAACAGGTTTAATTTCTTTGAAAATAGGATCATTATCAATTATAGATGAATCAATCTTCAATCCTTCAGATTTTTTATTATTAAGTTCTTTCAATTTGCCATCAATTGGATCAAATTATACAAAAAAAGTATACTTCCTGTTTGCCAATTAATTAATTTAAATTGATTAAGCAGTTTTGCTTCCATAAAATTGCATACCTCCACAATTTTCATTAAAAAAACCAACAACACATTCTGGATATGCTGCACCTAATAATACATTAAATTTATTCTATTTAGGAACTTCTAATGTAACTGTTAATTGGCCTTTCTTAGTATTTCTAGGAATCATTGTGACCTCTAAAATTTTAGTATTTTCTTAATTTGTAAATTTATTGCAATAAAGATAATAACCTTTCTTCTCAGCTCCAAAATAATAATCTCTAACAACCATATTGTATAACACACTATTTTAATTTACAGTGACTATTCAAAAATTATCTAATATGATTACTTATTCTTTAAGGTATTGGCTTAATTTTACCACAATCGTCCTCATTCTTATAAAAATACAAAATAACATCATCCAATTCTAATCCAGATTAAATATCAATAATATTGATTTATAAATTAGTAAACTTCAAATTCTTACTAATGTATTATTTTGCTTCTTAATTAAATGATTTATCTTCTGCTGCATGTACTTTATGCTTTTACCATAATAATCTACTGCTTTATAATGCAAAAGTATCAATTGTCAATTACTTTTTATCACCTTCACTACATATTTGAATGTGATTTGATAATATTTTTTTTATTTCACCTTTATCACCTTCTACTCCAAATATTCCATCATTTTTTCCAGCCTAATTGTAAAACACATTTTTTATCATTTCTTTAGGAATATAAGAAACTTTAGGTGAATTCACATATTCTGTAACCACTAATTACATCTATGGTGCCAAGATAGTTAATCTTGAATCTTCATTTAGTACTAATTCTTTATTATTATTCTATTTCTTATACACTTCCATGAAAGATTCACATCCAGTGACATTCTCAATACCTGTTGGATATACCAATGGATTTTTATTGGCTTAGATTACTTATTGATTTGCAACAATTATAATATCTTTTTAATTAGGCTAAGTTACAGATCCAAAAATTAGCAGCAAAGAGAATACTAACACCACTAATCCAATTAAGACAAAAGTCCAATCTTCCTTTCTATTTGGTATCTACATTCCTTTTAAAGTTGTATCAACTTATAATAAAGCAGTAGATAAGGCGAATCCACTTATTACTAATAATAATGAAAAAAAGCCTGTATAAAATATATTCTTAGACATTGAATCTGAGAATGCTTTACAACATGAAACATTTAAACACTATTAACTACTATCTTTCTCCCAGAATATTGATTAATATTATGGATCACAAGTGTTTTATTCTTAATATTTGTTACAGCTTGCATTTTCCTTTATCCAATCTTAATGAGTATTACGCATTTCCTATCCACATTAATTTATATAGGCTGATCTCATCTATTCACTTTATCTTATTATATAAAATGAACAGGCAGTTATTAAAAATATCAAAATTAGATTAGCATATCCAATTGTTTCAAAAAGACTATTCCTATAAATAAATGTAATTATAAAAGCAAATAAAGCTGTAATCAATGAAATAATTGATAAAGTTTTAAAAAGTGAAAATGCACTTGAAATTAATATGGGTGAATAGGGTGTTGATAAATCAGCAGATGCTTGGTTTGCTTGATTTAAAGCTAAAGATGCAATTAGAATAGTTGATAATGCAAATACATATATGCAGACTCTTAATTATGATTTCTGAGGTACTGTAATGTAACTAGTGAATGCCACATACATCAATATTAAACTTATCAAAATCAAAATTGGAAATCCTAAAATTACTCCAATTTTATAATCATTCATGTATGTAATACTAGTATCAACTGAATGATTAGCCTAATAATAGTCTTATCCTATCCTATACCAAAACACTAAAAACACTAGCAAAATTATATTATATAATATATTGATGAATGAACCCAGAAATACAATTGCTGAAATTCTTGAATCTACTTCAAATTTTCTTTTTTGTAACTCAACCTCTGATTCTTAAGTAATCTGACTTATGTTAAACCAATACATAATAACACCCTAAATTCAAATTTTATATAAGAAATTACACTTAAGACAATTGAAACGATTCCTGAAAATAAAAGTAACATCATTATAGTAAGCGAATATTTGTTAAAAAAAGTAATTGCTACTATTATTAATGTGATAGCTAAAATTAATGCTATCAATGTAATCTTTGTCGAAAATTCTATAAATACAAAAAGAGATTACTTTATTTATCTTCTAATTCTCTAGGAGACCATCCCTCGTTATATATATCTCTCTTTTATTAAATTTCCTGCATATTAACTGTAAAATTTAATAAAATAATATCTATCGATTTGATATTCAATTTATATTAAAATAAAATTTATGATATAAATTATTGTAATATTATTTTTGTTCATTTTTATGGTAATGTATAAAATAAATTGCAATCAGTAATTAATCTTAATTATATATAATTGGAATTTGTAAATAAAATTTTTTTGCAGACATCTAATTAGTATAAAAATGAAATCTAAATCAGTATATTGTCATGATAATTAAGAATCATAAGATTCATTTGAAATATCTTCATCAATATCATCATCAATTTTCAATAAATTTTAATAATCCATCATTAACTATTCAAAATTTTCTCTACATTCTGAAAGTTCTCCAGATTCTAAACCTTCTCCTACAAACCAAAATGTAAAAGCTCTTTTGCTATATAAGATATCAAAATCATATCCTATTTTCTCTAATTTTCTTTTTATCATTAAATCATTAGAAAATAAAGTTTAAGTTTAATTAATTTCTGTCAATTATTCTAAAACTGAATAGTTTTTTTAATTTGATACAAAATAATTAGTTTTCTATTCATAATAATTATGATAATAAATTTAATTTTAATGTTCTTTTTGAATTTAATCTGCATTCAATCCTCGTGAAATTAATGAAGTAGCTAAATTAAAAGGTGTAATTTCGCTTTAATATAATTTAGACCTTCTATTAAAAATATATTCTAACAATTATTTTTAAGATAAATAATTCCTTTTATAATCATTAATATCAATTAATGGACCATATGAAGGTGTTATAAATTAGATTCTTGGATATGGAACTATTGTACTCAAAATTTATTCGTTGTTTTTATTACAAAATCTATTAATACTTGTGTAAGAACTTATTGTTTAAGCTATTAGATTATTTAAATGAGAATAGTCAAAATGATCCAATTCTATAGTATTTTATAACATCTAATACATAGTTTCATTATCAAAAAGGACTTAAGCATCATAATATTCAACCAGTTAATGTATACTAAGCATAGCATTATAAGGATAAACAGTATTATTATTCATTTTAGCTGATGGATAAATAGAAAAGCCAGTTTGAAAAGTTTTGTTATAATTTTTAGAAATTTCATGTATTAGTAATGATTGATAACCTGATCCTGTGCCTCCACAAATGCTTTAAGTAAAAATGAATTATTGCACTCTATCACAAGCTTCACATAATTTTCTTAATTGTTCTTCGACTTTAGGATGTAAATCCTTTCCTAGGGTATAATACCCTTTACTGTAATTATTTGATCCATCTTCTTTTGAATTTATTAAATAAGAAGGATGATAATGAAAATTACGATTTTTCTTTATCTAAGTTATCATTCTATCATCCAAATCAACAAATAATGCTCTTGGTACATATCCATTTTTGACTTCCTCAAAGATTGAATGTTTATAAGACATATCTGGTTCTTCTTTATGGTATAGTTTCCAAAGTATATCTCCTATCATCACTCCTGCCCCGCCTATATGAATGTGGATCATTGTTTTAGTTTTTAATTTATTATAATTATAAAATAAGAAATTCTTTAAACTTCTTTTAAACATCTTCTTTTTGGATTAAATAAAGCATGAATTGAAAGGGTACCCAAGATTTAATTAAAAATTATAGGTATTGATTAGGATGGAGAAATTATTCAATCTATTGATAAAATGTATATAGTAAATTATTTTTATAAGATGTTTCACATGTAAATTGATAGATTATTAAATATTAAAAAAAAAATGGATTTAAAATCTAAATCTTCAAATATAGCTTCTATTCAAGAGGATGGTGAATAATCTTATAAAGCAAATGAATTTAGTGATTCTCAATCATAAGATTAATATTAATTAAAGAATATTATGCATAAGAAAATCAAAAAGTACTAATAAAAAAGGAAATCTTGCAATTGGGGCTCAGGAAGACCATCTAAATAAAATAATACTGTTTCAAATAATCAATAGAATTAATTATAATTAACAGATGACCTTTCTAAATTTTGGTTTGGAACAGATATCTCTATGCAATTAATCATATATTTATGTAAAGTCGGAAATATGATACCTAAAGTTGTTACTGGTATCCCAGCAGCAAAAAAAAAGAAAGATTTTATAAAATATGATAAAGATAAAGAAACTCTTTAGAATCATTCGATTGAAACTCATTTGAATATAAAAAAATATTCTAATTAACTTAAAAAAGAGCTAAAAGTAGTTAATTATCATATAATTTTAGATTAAACATTCTAAGTTACTTGAGTACCTTTAGTATTCTGAAGACACAACTTATATGTTTTTAGAAGAAAATAATATTTGCCAAGATTAGTTACATCTTTACAAATATATATCATAAGAGAATAAAATTGGTTTAGAAGTTGTTTTGAAATACCTTTCACCAAAATTTATTCTTACTTATAAGTTTATTATTCAAGAATACTATTAAAAAAATGTTAATATTGATATTTTAATAGATACTATTCTTAAGAAACTAATTGATGATCAATAAAATCATAAAATGATATTTGATAGGCAATTAATTTATGAATTAACTAAAGATGATATTAATTTAATCAATGAAATTGTAATAATGTCAATTTATCATTTTAAAGGAATCTAATCCTCATAAAGCTGAGTTTCATTTGTATTAAAATTCTAGGATAAGAAATCTAAACTTCTTTTCTAATACATTTAATGATGAAGTAGAAGAAATTACAAGAAAATCATTATGGATAAGATAATTTGTATAAGGTTTTATTGAAATTCTGTAAAATTGTGATATAAATACTTAAATTGAATAAAAAAATATTAAATGAAATGATTTTGAATAATAATTTATTTAAATTAATAAACAATATTGCATTCTTTATTAATGAATCTCAAGATAGAAACTTTTAACTTTTACTATAAGAATTATTTCAAAGATATAAGCAATATTGAATATATTGAACATGTTCCTGATTAAATCTTAATTAATTCAAATGAAGAGGATGATCAAAATAAATTAATAAAAATTGAATAATCTACTTTAGGAATATCAGTTTCTGCAATATCTCTATTGTATCCAATTTGTCTTGAATTAATCAAAAATGAACAGTATGAAGATTAAGCATCTTGGATGATTTTATTTTTGAATGGTGAAAATTATACTGCATGGGGTATTAGACAAAGATTAAAAAAAGAAGAGGATTTAAAATTAACTGAATTAATTTGTATTAGATTTCCAGGATCATCATGTTCTTTTAACTATAGATAATAATTTTAAACAACTTATGAAAATGAAACTAGATTCTTTTTAAAAGCATTTTAAAAGAAAAATAGAAGTTATCATTTATGGACTTATAGAATGAAATATATAAAAAGAATTTCATAAGAAGATAATACTATTTATGAAAAGGAATGTAATTTAATGAAAAACTTAGCATAAAAAGATGTTCATAATTTTAGTATTTTTCATCATTTGATGATATGTTCAAAGTAATGTGGAATGGAATTAAAAAATTGGGCTTTGGAATTAAGAGATTTTTTCTCTTTTTTATATTAAGAATAAGTAAAAGATTGTGAAATCGATTTTAAGGCACTTTAAAGTTTGAATTAGTTTATTAAACATTTGGAATGACTTAAAATTACTGATTTATTGTTTGGTAAATATTATGTATATGATGATATATATATAGTTTTTAATTATATATATATATATTTATAATATATAATGAGACTCATTGTATAACAATATTATGGTTTTGGTTAGAAGAAAACATTTAAGATAGAAATTAATGATAATGAAACCTCAGATTAACTGATTTCAGTAATTGCTTCTAAAGTGGGACGTTAAGTATAGGATTTAGTAATAAAGTGTAAAAGAGATTAATATTCTGTAAAAATTGCATAATATTTTAGATTAAAATAATAGAGGGTTGGCCTATAGAATTTTATGAATTGCAAGAAAATTAAAATATTTTAGTTGAAGTAAGGGAAAATGAATTGGATACAAAATAAAAAGAATAGAAGAGACAAACTGAAAAATACTTGAATAAATTATTCATAAACTAAAGAGAAAAACCTTAAAAACTATCAGCAGTTTCTGAAACAAGTGAAAACTCAGATGATGAAGTTAATACTTCTAAATAGAAATTATCAAATACAAATGTTGAACCAATATAATCTGATTACGATGATAAAATATTTTAAACAGTAAAAAGTGGAAATTTAGAAATGCTGTAATAACTTTGTTATAAAATAACTCCTTAATTATTAAATCAAGCATCCTTTGGAGGATGGAATCCAATTCATTTTGCAACTTTTCTGGAGTATAAATTAACTGTTGAATTTTTAATTTCTAAAGATATTGATATAAATAAAGTGACAGATGAAGGATGGACTCCATTATAAATAGCAGTTCATCGTCATAATATTGAGATTACGAAGGTTATATTGAATCATCCTTAAACTGATGTGAATTTAATAACAGATAAAGGAACTGCATTAAATTTAGCTTGCAAATCAAATTAACTTAAAATAATAGAATTATTACTATTAAAAAATGCTGATCTTAAATTATAAGACAAAACTGAAAGAACAGCTTATGATTATTGCAATTAAGAAACTAAAATAGAAATTGAAAAAATGAAGAAAAATAATCAGATTAAAGATTAATTAAGAAATGTGGATAATTTTATACCTCCTAGACCACCTATTGCTAGAGGTTTCATATATAAAACAGGTTAAATGTTAGTAACCTTAAATGAAAGGTTTTTTGTATTAAATCCAGATGAAGGAACTTTCATAAGATTTAAGAATTTTTAAGATTATCCTCTAAAACCATTGTAACTATAATGAAATTAATAGATTAAAGAGAAATCATTCCTCTTAGAAGTGTAAGGAGTGTATTGATGACTCAGAAAGGTTTTATGTCTAAATCAGGATATCATTATTTTGAGTTACTATATTCTACTAGAAGTATACTAGCTTGTAAAAATGAACACATAGCAAAAAAATGGGTAGAATATATCTATAAAGCAACTGTTTATTATCAATATATAGAAGAAAAAATAAAAGAGTAAATAATTATAATTATTAAAGGGGAACTTTAGATCCCAATTTAATAGATAAAAATACTGAAGTTTTAATTGAAGATACAAATACAAAAGGTCCTTCTTCTGATCCTCCTCCAAAATAATTATCACCAGAATAATCTATATCCTTACCAAGAGATGAAGCAACTCTAATATAAAAAAGATTATCAAATCCAGAACCTGCTAACAGATATAGCTAAAGTCCTCCTAGGAATTCAGAAATTGAATAACCAAAACAAATATCTCAATCTTAATAATAGTTATAATCATCAATTATGGAGAGTCAAAATGAATTACTTAAAGATAGCAAAGTGACTTTTGATTCATTTGAAGTATTAAAAGAATTAGGATCAGGAGCATTTGGAAAAGTATTCTTAGTTAAACATAAAGAAGATGGTGGTACATTTGCAATGAAAGCACTTAAAAAAAAGACTCTAATTTTGAAAAAATAAATTAAATATGCTATAACTGAAGCTAATGTTTTAAAGATGTGTAAACATCCATTTATTCTTGGATTACATTTTGCATTCTAAGTATTATTTTATTTGTAATTTAAAAAAACAGACTCCAAATTATTTATACCTAGTTTTAGATTATTGTTAAGGAGGTGACCTATCATATCATATAGCAAATTAAGGTAAATTCTCTGAAGAAGCTGCCAGATTCTATGCTGCAGAAATAATCTTGGCAATTGAATATCTACACACAAAAGATATCATATATAGAGATATGAAACCAGAAAATATACTGTTGGATATTTAAGGACATGTCAAATTAGCAGATTTTGGATTATCAAAAGAAGGTGTTACTGATTAAGATAAAGCAAAGAGTTTTTGTGGATCTCCTGCATATTTATCACCAGATATACTAAGTCAAAAAGGAGCAGGAAAGCCTAGTGATATTTATGGCATTGGATGTGTAATGTATGAAATGATGACTGGTGAATCTCCATATTATAATGATGATATACAACAAATGTATAAAAATATACAAAGTGGAACATTGAAATGGCCAAAAAAAATGTCTGTAGAAGCTAAAAACTTACTTACAGTAATAGCATCTGATCTATTAATAGAGAATGCTTGAAAGAGATCCAAATAAAAGAATAGGAACTAAATCAAAAGATGAGATAAAATAGGATCCCTTTTTCAAAGGGATTGACTGGGATAAAGTTTATAAAAAATAATATAAACCTCCAATAACTGACTTCTCTGAAATGCATGATGATGACGATCAATAAGATTTTGAAGGTGATGAATTAGGATATAATGGAAAAGTTTAACTATTATTGATTATCATTTTAGGCTATCTTTTAGGATTAGGATTACGAGTAGGATAATAACAGAATCAATAGAGTCAAAAACTTTAGTTTTGCCACTAACTCATCATGATATTTTATATAATGAATGATTATTATTATAAGTATAATATTAATTTATTAATTGAACACGACATTAAATAATGCAAACACCAGAATAAATCAAAGTGGAATCAAAGACTTGGAAAACTATATACCCTCCTTATATTGATTCAACATTAACTACAGCATAAGGTAGAGATGTATAATCTACAATATAGGCAGAAGATTAGGAAAAACTAATTGTGTTCCTTATCCATAATTGATGGAGATATCTTAATGTTTAAGTTCACTTGGACTGAGACATGTGATTGATGTACTCAATTAATTTTAATTAAGTAACATGCAGGATTTCCTAGAGATATTTTCTAATAAGGTAGAATTAAAGTTCGTCTTTATGCTGAAGATAAAAAACCATATAATCCATAAATTAAATGCAGTATTTATTTTATTAAATAAAAGAGCATTCTCTATTGTAAACAATAGCAAAATTGATTAAATCTATTCCAAATAGAAAGGTTGAAGTACCTCCCTATATTACTTAAATGGAAGTTGAAAAGTAGAATAAACCTATTTAAAAAAAATAAACATCAAATAAAAAAAAGCATAAAAATCAATGAGATTGTGTTCAAATTTATTATATTTTTAAGAATTTAATTAAATTTATTTTATCGTTATACTTGAACAATAATTTAAAAATAATGAAGAATCAAAATCCAAAACAAAGTAATAAACCAAATCTATGTAAAATTAAACATTATAAAAGCATAGATTATTACTGATCTTTAACATTTGGAAGATATGGATAGACAGGATATTGAGTAATAAAAAATTTTGAAATTATAATTATCCAGAATAGAAAGTTTGAAAAAGGAGTATTCTAAAAAGGATTAAGAAATTTGTAGATTAGAATAACAAGTTGAGTAATTCAGAATATATTATGATAAATATGAAAATGTTAAGAAATTACTTGAATCAGCTTTGGAATAACTAGAGAAAATTGAAAATTAAAATAAAATGCTTTAAAAAAAATTGAGTGAATTTTAAGATTCATATGCCAAATTAGAATTAAAACATTAATCACTTTTAGTTGATTTTAATAATGCAATAATGGAAAAAGAAGTTAATCAGATATCTCAAAATAGTAATTTAAGATTAGAACTTAATGAACTTAAATCATAATATAATTAAAAAATATAACATATGGAAACAGAGTTATAAAAGTATAAATAAACAATTTAAGAAAAAGATGCACATAATAACAATTTGACATTGTAATTAAATACATATTAAAAATAAATTGTTTAATATAAATAGTAGGCTAAAAGTGTTGATCTTATTTTGAAAAATCATATTGCTTCTACTAAATAATAAAATAATTCATATCCATAATCAATGTGTGAAACTGAAATTTATAAAGAAGATTAAAATCTAAAAATATTATGCTCTTAATTAACTTAGGATTATGATGATGCTGTTAAAAGAATATAATAATTTGAAAGATAATTAACTGAATATAGAACAGAAAATCTAGAATTAAAGAAATATATTCAATACTTAACTGATAAATGAATATATACATTAATTAGGCTTTAATCTTAATAAATATATAAAATTATTTCATATATGTATTAATTCAAATTCTTGATTTCTGACCACCTTTCTTTCTTTATATATATATATATATAAAACTTATTGATATAATATTAATACAAATTAATATATAATAATCTTTATTTTGTTAAGTATTCATTTGAATTTCTATATTATGATTAATTGTATAAGATATCATTATAATATTAGTTATTAATTTATTAAATCATCTATAAATATTTCTAATGTTTCAGAAATAACTGAAATATCTAATAATTTAATTTTTTCATTTTGTCTCATTCTAGATAAATCTAAAAAACTATGTATAAAGAATAAAATAAAGAATTGAATTTTAATAAAAAAGATTATTGATGTCCTATTTGGATAATATTTTTAGTTATAAATTCGTGATAAATGAAAATGTATCAAAATTTAAGATTTATTCTGCTCAAAAGATTATCTAATTGAATTTGATTTCGTAAGTAGGGTTAAATCTTTCATCCTCGAAATGAACTGATTTACAAAAATGAGAAAATGATGTTCTTTTTATTTGATGATGTTCCAAAAGAATAGATTTTGGATAGCTATCTTCAGAAAAAGATCTTCTTTTTGTTGAGGTAGATTTAAATTAAGTACTTTTTGTATATTTGTATTATGAACAATGTTAATAAATATTTTTGCATTGATTTTTCTTTTATTTATTATGTTTTGTAGTATTAGTATATTTATCCAAATAAAATTTTCGATTATGTTTTGTATGTATTTGAGCTTCCTCTAAAATTTAATAATTTTTGATTATTTAATTAAAGCATTAATCATCCTCATCTTTCAATATCGGCTTTATATAATTCATAACTACGTTTTAATCTCTATTATCACAATTATGCTATGAACATTTTGGAATATCACTCTTAATTTATTAGAGTGTGACATCTTAAAGACTCTCAGTTTGGCTGGTAGATATACAATTAAATGAGGAACCCATTTTTATGTAAATTATTGATAAATTTAGAATTATTATGAATTTTCTTAGTTGATTAATGTATTGATTGAAAATCTTAAATAAAGATATAATATTCTTATAAATATATATAAAATTTGTTAAATTAAATTGTTTTTGAAATCCAAACGCTAATAAAAATGAAGAATATATTATATCAAAATACTGTATAAAAAACATGCCATAATTATTTAATTAATGTCTATTATTTCTTCCAAGAAATTATTTATTACCATATTGGATAATCTTAATAATCATATAATTTAGCTTAAAATAAATATGAATTATAAACATGTTTGATTAAATTATTGGTAAAATATAAATATTTACTAACAGATTATTTTTATCTATAATTAATTTATTAAATGATTATCACAATTTATAGTCCTCTTTATTATTATGAGCTGTTATTCTTTCATATATAAAGATTTGAATTAATTAATAATATTTGATTAGATTAATTCAAATCCTAACTTTCTATTATTCTTTTTGTTTTTAAAACTCGTATGATCTATATTCATACTATTTGAGTTTATTTTAATTAGTTTAAGTGTTTGAATGATGTTATAATTCAAGTTTTTGTTATATATTAATTATTATATTAATTATTTATATGTTGACTAAATTGCTCTTAAAAGCAAGACAAGCTTCCTTTTGTGGTAATTATTAATAACTGAAATCATAGTTTACATCAAGAATTCTGTCAACTATCATGTAGCCAATAGCTAAGATCCTAATAGCAAATTTGCTACTCCTTAGTTCAATTCAAGTATTCTTGATTTCGATAAGGATTAAGAGAATAATGTCTAAATGCATTATTACTAAGGTATTATCTATTATTTTAATAATTAGGCAAATTTATGCCTGATGAATTGGATTGGACTGATGTTTGGGAAACTGCATATTAAAATTTTACATAACCAGAATATTTATATCACTTTTGGTTTTGCGGTGTATTGTATTGTTTTGAACCAGAATGGACAATTAATTATCCTTATGAAAAAGGACCACTTTCACCTCTTTTTAGAGGAGAGCATGCTTTAAGAAGATATCCAACAGGTGAAGAAAGGTATTTTATTTATCAATTAAATAGATGTATTGCTTGTAAATTGTGTTAAAGTGCTTGTCCAGCAAGAGCTATTACTATAGAAACAGAACCAAGACCAGATAATTCCAGGTATATTAATAATTTTTATTTATTAAGACGTACAGTGCGTTATGATATTGATATGACTAAATGTATTTATTGTGGATTTTGTTAGGAAGCTTGTCCTGTTGATGCAATTGTTGAAGTATAATTATTTCTTATTAATATTAAGGGACCTAATTATGAATATACAACTTATCAACATGAAGATCTATTTTATGATAAGTTTAAGCTTCTTGAAAATGGTGATAAGTGGGAACCTTAAATTGCTAGAAACATTGAATATTTAATAACAAGAAAATATTGATTTATTATTTTCAAATAAATATTATAAAGGATTATATTTTAATATTTATATAATCATATAATTAGGTCTTTTAATAAATCTTGTGTTTCTATTTATTGTCATATATAATTATCTATGAATAGAATAAATCTAAATTATTATAATTTGATTAATAATTATATTAGAGATATAAGAAATATCTAAAAAAATAAAAATATTATTCAAAATATTTATATTATTTAAAATAACAAAAAAAGATTTAGTTATAATTTAAGATTAGAGATAATAAAAAAGTATGATTAAGATTTAGACATACTTAGATGAATATCTTTTAAATAGGAAATCACAGAAAACATTTACATAGGTATACTTTAACTAGTACTTAATAGTTTATTAAATTACGATTAAATTTTAATTATTAAAATGAAGTCATATGACATATTATGAAATTATAATAAAAAATAGTTTACATGATCTCATTTAATTTATAATCAATGTAGAAAGACTCCTTATTAGAAAGAAAGGAAACCTTATAATCATTGAATAATGCTAAATTTGGATGGTTCCACATTAAAGCTTGTTTGGTATCTGGAATAGGATTTTTCACAGATGCATATGATTTGTTCATAATTTAATTAGCAATTATTATGATTGGAATGGTTTATTATCATGATGAAGTTCGTGATGGAGATACTGTAATAAAGAAGGCAGATAAACTCTATCCAATTTCTGAAACATTACTTAAATAATCTGCATTATTTGGTACTTTAATAGGTTAATTATTATTTGGATACTTGGCAGATTTATTGGGTAGAAAGAAAATGTATGGAACTGAACTCTTAATTATAGTATTTACAACAATTACATCTGCTTTAGCAGCAAATACTGCAGCTCCAAATGGATTAACAATAGTTGGAATGTTAATTATTTGGAGATTCCTTTTAGGAGTTGGTATTGGAGGTGATTATCCATTATCTGCTATAATAACATCAGAATTTGCAAATACAAAAAATAGAGGTGCTATGATAGCAGCTGTATTTGCAATGCAAGGTTTTGGTATTTTGACAGGAAGTATAGTATCATTATTGGTTCTGTTGTCTTTTAGTAATACTTTAAATAATGATGATCCTCTAAATTATTTATAGATAGATCATATTTGGAGAATCATTGTTATTTTTGGAGCTGTACCTGGATTAGTAGCAATATATTTCAGAATGACAATACCAGAAACACCAAGATTTACAATGGATATAAAAGGAGATGCTGGAAAGGCAAAGAAAAATGTTTAATAAATTTTGAAAAATAACAGCAATGATATTTCAGAAGATAATACTAGTTTAGATGATAATAAATAGAAGATACAAAAACCAACATTTTATGAATTAAAAAGATATTTATCAAAATGGAGAAATGGTAAAATTTTATTAGGAACAGCCATGACTTGGTTTGCATTAGATATTGGATTTTATGGAATTAACCTTAATTAAACTACAATTTTAAAATAAATGGGATTTGGAAGTGGATAAGATCTTAGTTAATATGAAATTCTTAAATAAGCTATTTATGGAAATCTTATTACATCAGCATTAGGTACTGTTCCAGGATATTGGTTGACTGTTCTTTTTGTAGATAGATGGGGTAGAAAAACAATATAAATAATGGGATTTGTTGCTCTCACTATTCTATTTTCAATAATGGGATTATGTAAAGATATATTAGGTCATTATTTATTCATAACACTTTATACATTAGCCAATCTATTTAATAATTTTGGACCAAATGCTACAACATTCATTATTCCTGGAGAAGTCTTTCCAACTAGATATAGATCAACATGTCATGGAATATCAGCTGCTTCAGGAAAATTAGGAGCTATAATTTCATAAGTTTGGTTTTTAGGTTTAGGAGCTGATAATTTCTAAGCAATAATGTTAGTATTTGCAGTTTTTATGGGTATTGGATTAGCATTTACTTTTTTGATACCAGAAACAAAAGGAAAGACTTTGGAAGAAATTTGTGAAATTTAATTGAAAAGTAGTTAAATTCAATGTATTTGATGATTTTATAAGTTTTTTTATAATTTATTTATTTATTCATATTAAAAATTAAAGATTATTTATTTCTATCTTGTATTATTAATCTAGATTGAGATAATCAATATATTAATACTTATAAGATTACTAAAACTCTATTTCAGTATTTTATAAAAAAATAAAATATATAACTTATAAATTGTATGTTATTATATTTTATTTTGAAATATATGTAAATTCAAAAGTCCAGTTTCTCAACACATTTTCATTAAATATCTCCTCCATTCTTAATAACAAAACGAATAAAATCAGAAGGCTAAGATTTTTTAACTGAATTAGATTTGAATGCTCAAAATTCCATTAAAAAAAGGATGCAGAATAGTGAACTTTAAATGACTGAGGCAAATCACAAATTGATTCCAAGTAATATCATTTTAGAACATAGAATAAAAAATGAACATTCAAGTAAGGAAGAAGGTTATCAGAACTAAATAACCCTCTTTGCCTTATCTCAAGCTTGATAATAAATAATATTATGATAAATGGTACATCCCTTATGATCAAAGATATATTGCAAAAGTTAATTTAGCTTAAGAATAATATCAAGGTAATTACTATGATATCATAGATCCATATCATTTTTATAAAAATATGCATATAGGAGCTGCATAATTCAATCCATTTGAAAAATAATTACCAAAAGATCTTGAAAGAAATATTGAATACAAGCATAGATCAGACATATTAAAGGAAATGTTGAAAGGCTAGAAAATGATTTATGAATTCAGAAAGTATATCACTTGCTTTATATGAAGATCTTTGGAGTCAAATCAATAACGTATTCCATAATTTATAAAGAAAATAATGGAAGATAAGAAAAATCCACTTTAAAAGTAGTAATGATTATTCAACTAATCAAAATTTTACATTTTATGGGACTCCAGTTGGTTTCCATAGTCTTTATTATAATTTTTATTTATTGGATTACTATTGTTGCATTTTCGGAAATCTTCCCTAATTTACTTATTGTAACAATTTTGAATTTGTAATTATTCCAATTCTTTTTGGAACTGATATATTCATGAATCTTTATTCAATAGGATTATTATTTCTATATGTTTATGTAAATGAATTAACTTTTGTACTATATTCAGTAGAATCTTTTCTTTATTAAGTTTATGAAAAACTGCCATTCTAACGATAATCATCAGTTCCATATGATGATTACCTTGAATTAGTTTCAACTGAATGAGCTTTATTTCTGGTTTAATTTATGTTATATTAAGTATTTTCAACCATTTGAATTAGTTTGGTTCCATAAAATGTACCTTTGATAAGTTCTTAATTAATTTATAAGATTCCTTATCCATCTTGAATTCCTTATTTCCATAATCCTTTATAAAATGATCCATCATGCCAATACATTGTTCCTTAACCATCTCTTAAATCATTAAGAAATGATCCTTCATAACGATTTCCATCTGCCCATATATAAATACCTTATCCTGATTTCTAATCATTTAAATATTCCCCATTATAAGAATCTGATAATCCATTTCCTCTCTTCCAAATTCCTTTACCATGTCTAACTCCATCTTTAAATTCTCCCTTATAAACTGCTCCATTATTCCAAAAATATTCTCCAATTCCACTAGGCTTTCCTTTCTAATATTATCCTATATAAGTATCACCATTAGTAAATTTTTCAGTTCCTTAACCATCCTTTAAACAATTTTTAAATTCTCCTTCGTAACGATCACCATTAATCCATTAATGTACACCATAACCATCTGGAATCCCTATTTTCCATTCTCCAATATAAGAATCTCCTTTAGATCCCTTCCAAATTCCAGAACCATGTTTTTTTCCTTATAACCATTATCCTTCATAAGTCTCATCATTTTACCATTAAAATTTACCAGTTCCTTCAGGTTTTCCATTTTAATACTATCCAATATAGAAAGAGCCATTAAAAAATAACTCAATACCTCTTCCGTTCTTTTAGTTATCTGACCAAATTCCTTCAAAAATGCTTTTCTAGTTTTTATAATGAATTCCAATTCCATTCTTCTAACCATTGATAATAATACCAAAAAAGAATTATTATTTTTCAAGTATGATTGTAAAATTGGGATTTTCTATCATATCCTCGTAACTCTCAATAATATGAGGCTGGCTGAATATTGTAGCTATTCTACCTTATAATTTTGAATGAATTATTGGGCTTCATCTTCTGTTGTAGGGAATCGACAATTATGTAAGTGTTCAAGAACTGAGGTAACAGACAAATGGATTTATTAACAAAATGAGAGTCTAGTTGATGTAAACTAATCTGTTTAATTATTCATTCTTAATTTATAAATTATTAAATGTAATAGCTCATTTGAAGATGAATTTAGACATTTCTCTATAATCAATTGATATGATAATTATGAATTGTTATGATAATATGAGATGTAATTAAATTCATTATTAAAATTATCATAAAATCTTGAGAAATGTCAGCTAAAGGTAAAAATAAAGCCAAAGCATTTGCAACATTACCTAATGCAGTGCCAACCTCATCTACAAAAATACATGAAGGAGCACTTGACAATTCAAATTATGTACTTGCTTAAATGAAAAATGGTAAGTGGGAAAAGGCAAAGATTATTGAATGTAGATTATCAAAAGGTATTTGGGATTTATTTAAGTTTAGATTATGATCCAAAATAAAAGAAAGATGATTCATCTTATGAATATTATGTACATTACGAGTTTTATAATCGAAGAATGGATGAATGGATAGGAAGAGAACGTATTTAATTAACAGAGGAACCAATAATTGAGGACACATAACCAAAGAAGAGACCAAGACCTAGTGATAAAAGAGAAGTGACAGCAGAAAATGATGAACATGAAGGAATGGATCATCAAAGTCTTATTACTCATGAAATGCATACTAAATTTAAAACTATTGAGAAAATTGAATTTGGATAATATCGTTGTGATACATGGTATTATTCTCCATTTCCTTCTGGATACCATAATATAGATTGTCTTTTCATTTGTGAATTTTGTTTGTCTTTTTATATAAGGAAATCTGAATTATAAAGACATCAATTGAAATGCGTTTTATGTAAATTAGGTCATCCTCCTGGAGATGAAATGTATAGAGATACAGAAAGGAGACTCTCAATGTTTGAAATAGATGGTCATAAAAATCCAACTTATTGTGAAAATCTCTGTTATATTGCTAAATTGTTTTTAGATCATAAAAATCTTTATTATGATGTAGAACCTTTCTTATTTTTCGTACTCACTGAATATAATGAAACTGGATTTCATATAGTTGGATATTTTAGTAAGGAAAAGGAATCATCTTAAGGATGGAATTTAAGTTGCATATTAACTTTCCCATTTCATTAAAGAAAAGGTTATGGTAAATTTCTCATATCAATGAGTTATCAATTATCATTAATTGAAGGAAAATATGGAACTCCTGAAAGACCATTATCTGATTTAGGTAGAGAAAGTTATTTATCATGGTGGACTTAATCCATTATTGATTATTTGAAAAAAAATAAAGATGGAGAAATTACTATAGCAGGATTGACCAAAGAGACTGGTATAAAAGATACAGATGCTTGGTGGACTTTAGAATAAAAGCATTTGATCAAATATTAATAATCATAACCACTCATTTGTATGGACATGGCATATTTAGATCTGATCTATTCTAAAGCAGGTAGACCAGGTCTTCCTGTTAAAAAAGATTGTATTCATTGGGTTCCATATAAAAGACCTAAAGGTTAAGATAAGAGTTGAATTTTAATTATAACTTACAATAATTTATTTATTATTAACATTATCTTATTTTGAGATTGTCTTTATTATGAATTTTACTTAGGTTATTTGTTATTTTTTATAAATATTTTGAAATGGCATCAACTAATTAAACATAAAAGGATGTATACAAATTATACATATAATGTAGAAATATAAAGGTGAATATAAGCCTCTTAATAAAGTGAGACATGGATTTGGAACTTATATTTATGAAAATTCTTTTTTTACTTATGAAGGTCAATGGGATAATGGTATTAAGTAAGGATAAGGAATTTTGAAGATGAAAGATGGTAGTTATTATTAAGGAAATTTTGAAAGAGGAGAAATTGAAGGTCATGGAGAATTTCATTATGCAAATGGATCAATTTATGTTGGGGAGTTTCATTAAGGAGAGAAACATGGATAAGGTGTATTTTCATCAGCAAATATGACATATGAAGGATAATGGTATTTAAACTGTATGTAAGGAAATGGAATTTTGTAAACACCTACTTACAGAATTGAAGGAACTTTTCTATAACACAAGCCTCATGGATAATGCAATTATTATTCAGAAGAATATAATTATATAGGAGAATTTAATCTAGGTAAAAGATCAGGAAAAGGAAAGTATGAAAGTAAATTAGAAGATTATGAGGGAGAATTCTTAGATGATAAAAAACATGGTTAAGGAATTCTAGTGAAGAAAGGAGAATATCCATTTTATTATGCTGGTGAATTCTAATAAGATAATCCTATATGTATGAAATTGTAATTTGATATTATTAGTGCAAACAAATAAACTTAATTTTAAATTAGATCCTTAACCAGAAGAACCTATTGATCCAAAAGCTAAAAAGGGAGAACCTGTTATTGATTTGACTTAAGTTTTGGTTCATGAATTAAAATCAGGAAAAACTATTAATTTTGAACTTTATTTAGTTTATTAAGGACCTGATATTGAAGATCCAATATAACCAACTTAATAAGAAATAGATGAAATGATTAAAAATTGGTAAAAAGAAGCTAAAAAACAAAAAAATCCACCTCCTATGCCTGATTTTGGAGCAAAAAGAATGATCCCTGCTCCTCCTATTCAAATTAAATAAGAATCAGGAAGAATATTAGAATTAAAGATGAGTAATTAATAAATGTTATTGAAGTCTAAAAAACTGAATAAGGTGATAAACAATTCAGAATAGATTATAGAGAAAAATTAGCTGTTAGGAGAGAAGAAGTAACACGTTTAAAAGCAGAAATTGAAGCATAAAAACAATTAGAAGAATAATAAGCTTAATAACCAATTAAAAAGAAAGATGCTAAAAAATAAGCTAAAAAACAACCTGAACCAGATCAAATAGATTTATCTGTTAAATTATATGTTGAAGGAGATAATGAACCTTTAATAGTAGAAACAAAAGAAGGAATGGTGAGAATTGAAAATTTAGAATATCCTGAAGATTTCCCTCCTGGTAAATATTATTATGGTATTTTCTTTTTATTTAATTTTAGTTATTTCTAATAAATCTAATAATTCAATAGGTGATTTTATGCCAATAGAAATTGAAGTAAATATTAATCCAGAAGGAGGTCTTAAATAATAACCAAAAAAAAAATGATTATGTTCAAAATTATTATAAAAATATACTTATTACAAACAAAAATCAATCTATTTTAATATTTAAACATTTCTATAATAAATAATTTTTTTTAATTATTAAATCAAGATAAAGAGAATAATGAAAACTATAAGTAATAATATTAAATATGCATAAAAACACCAAAAAATGTGAAAAATTATATCATTACTTTTGTCGCTTAAAAAATAACAGACGGATTTACTTGAATTAATTAATGAATTCTGGATAATTCGCTTTATGGTACAATTACTGGCTTTAATTTTTTATCCTAAAAAAATATGATTAGGATTTACTTTTTGATTCATCACACTTGAAAATTAAAAGTGTTATACTAAGGCTTATCTACCTTGGATTCTGGCATATCTCAATTCACATATCTATATTATATTAAAAATTTTGATTACTTTTTCACTATTAAAGTGTGGCCAGCCATTATCATGAAAGTCTTTGTAAAATTATACAATGTAAAGTGGATGGATAAAATTTATGAATGCATAACCCATATTACATTTATTCTAAAATTATTAATTTTATTAACTATACCTTAAAATCTATAGGAAGATATAAGAAATCATATAAATCATGATGTTTAAGGTCAATTAAATCTTATAACATTTATACTGTGTATTTGTTGGGTATGTTTTTAATCATTATTGTAGTTCTTTCATCTAAATAATTAATGATATCCTCAAGTCTGACAACAAAATAATGAGATTCTTCCTCAGAAATTGTCTTTCTTTTTCTTCTTTCTGTTTCTGAACCACTAGTCAATAGAGATTAACGAGATGAGCCTAATTATAAACAAGGCTCATTAGAAATCTCAGTAGAAAGATTTGAACCCACTTTCTAATCAAATGATTTATTGTTAAAGACTTGGGAGATCTATTCCATTATTTGATCAGATGCTAAACTATTTTCTTTCTTATAGAGAATAACTTTAGGTTCTAGAGAATTTAACTTAAATATTTAATTTACCTGCAAACATTTTAATAGCTCTATCTATTGTATCGCTATTTGATTTGCTTTCTTAACTCTCCTTGCTTTCATTTGACATATTGTTAGTAACTCTCTCTATTTCATCAAATAATTCTTATGAACTATGATCTTTTTATTTTGATAAGATTTCATTTAAATCTCTATGATTTCTAATACATTACAAGATCTGTTCCTAATTTAAACGTATCTGCTTGTCCATTAAAATATTAAATTTTATTTTTTTTAGTGTATTTCTAATAACAGTTCTCAAATGGTAATACAATAATAAGATTTTTGAGTTATCCACCAAACAAAGTGTAGGTACATCCAATAATCAATCTAAAAGATAAAAAATGACAAAAAGTTATTTTAAAGGAGATCTTTCATAATCTGATATGATAGTGTTAACAGAGTCTGAATTATAAAGAATAAAGGTAAATTGAAGAAATTAAAAATAGAATCTATCAGTTATAACAACAAAAGAGGAGTAATTGTAACACAAAAAGTTAATGGAAGAATAAAAAGAGAAACAGTTGGCAGCTGCTTAAGCCAAAAAATAAAGAATGTTATAGATTGAAGAAGAGAAGAAGAAATCTATTCCTTTGAGTTAATAAGAGCAGGAAGATAAATTTGCCAAAGATTCTTTAATATCAAGAGTTAAATAAAATATATATATATTATTAGGCATAGGAAATAATTAATGAATAAATTGATGATGTAAAGGAGATGAATAAAATGGTGATGTATGCTAAATGTGTTACAATCAGAGATAAATAATTATAAGAAAAAAAAGAATTACATGATCAATATAAAATGTAAGAAAAACGCAAGGATTTGATGATGGAAATAGAGAGACTTAGAGCAATTAAATATCATGAAGAAAAAGATTAAAAGTAAAAACAATAATTAAAAAATGGACATGAAATTATAATTGAATAAATTAAAGAAAGAGAATTGATAAGATTAAAAGAAAAGGAAGAATAAGAAAGAGAAGGATAGATTATGCTTAAATAAATAAAATAATTGTAATAGGAAGAAGCAAACAAAGCTCATTAAAGAAAGACTCATTAAGCTAAAGTACAAGATGAGATTTTGGAGGCCAATCATAAAGCTATTTTGATTAAAGAGAAAAGAATACAAGAAGAAAGAGATGAAGAAGAAAAAATATTATAATATAATTTATAAAAGATGTAAAAGGAAGCAGAACTATTAGAAGAGTAAAAGAGAATTAAAGAAGAGAAAGAAAGAGAAGTTTAGAGATTAAGAGAAATGTAGGAGAAAGCTTAAGATAGAGCAGCTGAATTAGATTTATTAAGAGCTAAAAGAGCTATGGAATAAAATGAAAGATAGGCTAGAGAGAAAGAAAGAAAAGAATAAGAATGGAAGATGAAATTAAATTATGAAGTTATGGAAGCTAGAAAATTATAATAAAAGGAGAAATAAGAGAGATTTTAAGAATAAGTAAATTCTTTTATAATTATTTATAATAGGCTAAATTAGAAAGGGATGAATTTTAAAAAGTTATTTAAAAATAAAAATAAGAGAGAGAAAATGAAATTAAAATCTTATAAGATAAAGAAGCATTAAGAAAGAAACATGCAGAAGAACTAAGAAAATAAATTATTTAGAATGAAGAAAGAAAGAAGTAGGAGGAAAGAGATAAGTATTTTTTTTTATATTTTATTAAAGACTTGAGGAAGGTAAAAAAATAAAGGATAAATTAAATTAAGAAAAAAGATTGTTAGAAAGCATTAAAGATACTAAATTAAATGATCTTAATGAAAAAGCCATTCCAGATAAATATAAAACAGAATTAGCTAAAAAGAAAATAGCTATAAATATTTGATCCTTTATATTTTCTAATTTATATATAGATTTTATTATAATTAAAATAAGCTATTTAAATAATAAATATAATTTAACATTTGATTAATAATTTAATAATTATTATTTATAGTTTCATATTTCATATACTAATAAATGTGACTACAAGTATTATTAATATTGGATTATTTATAAAAAATAAAATATTTGAAAAATTAATGTGTAAAATCACTTAGGATTCTAAGTAACTAAAACAATCAAGTCAAATAATTCTTAAAACTAAAATTGGAATTGAATTCTATTGTTATTTATGTATATATTTTATAATATTAAAGGAATATTTATAAAATTATTACAGATTTTGTCCAAGACTTTAAAAAAATAAATGATTTAAATTAAATTTATTTGAATATTATCAAAAAAAAAGTAGTATTTCAGCAAAAGAAATCTTTTGGAAATTATTTGATGCTTAATCTTGCCACTCTAGCTTTTATTGGCATAATTTATCTAGCAGTTTTAGTTTGTTCAAAATGATGTTTCAATTCATTTGTAGAAAGCAATAATAAATCTAAGAGATTCTAGTTTTCAAATTTTTAATTTTTATTTTATCTTTAAACTGTTCCTCTAATAGAATTCAAATGATCCTCTCTATCGCATTCTTCTGTTTTAACTCTTCTAACCGCTGCATTTTTTTGTAATTTTAACATAATTTCTTAGGATTCCTATAGGACATTTATTTTTGGGCTTTATATTTAATTATCTAAGGCTGCCTCTGTTTTTTGTTTTCTCGAGATTATTTAAGAATCATTAACCATTTCTTAAAGTTTTCTTTTTTGTCTGATTTATTGAGAATGGAACGAATTGTATTTAAGTTAAGGTTTATCTCTACTTGGACTTGAGGATGATGTTTGTCTTTATATATTAATTTTAGGATTGCTTTTAATTCTGTATGATGGAGATTCTTTTTATTTTGGAATGTTTTTTTCAGGAGTTCTAACTTTCTATAAATATTAAGCAACAGAAGGTAACACATTAGCTTTTTGTGATTATCTTTAAAATCTTGATGTGTGTATATAGAAAGGTTATTTATTGAACATGTTAATTAGAAATTAAATATATATAGATATCCAACGCTAGATTGGAAACAATGTCAATAAAATCATTTCATTGATCTAAATCTAAGTTTATGCAAATTCCATTTAAACTCAATAAATTTTTCTAATATTTATAGATTATTCATACTGTTTCCTATTCAAACTGAATTATTACAAGTTATTCAATATATTTTTATACTGGTATTATCACTAAATTATACAATATCTGATCACACTTATTCATATTATCAAGATATTCAGAACCCAAATAAATAGTATCTAATATTCTATTTCAATTTACCTGCAAATGAATTGTAAATAATATCTATAATAAGACATATTTTATTGATCACACTTTTAAAACTTAGATTTTAAGGAAAGATCATTCCATTATTTATGAGTTACATATCATTTATTAGTTTTAAAGGAACATTTGGTAGTCCTTTTTAAATCAAAGCATTAATTTCTTCACTTTGATTTAATTTCATTAAATTTGCATCTCTCAACAAAATACAATAATTCCCAATTGCAATTAATTTTTCTTAATTATTTCTAATTTCAAGTGATTAAGCTCTAATTTTCATGAAGTTATACTAATAAGGAATCCAAAAATTATTATTTTCTTTAAAAATACATCCACATCTACTTTTCCTCTGGATATTAATAAATCAACATTCTTTGAGATGGAAACTGCATCATCAAAAAATTTATCATTAATCAAAATTTCTCTTATTTAACTTAATGATTATTTTCTTGATTTAATTCTTTGACTTATTTCATCAAATTTATTTTATTTTAACATTATATGAAAATCATATTAATTCTAAAAAATCAAAAAATTGCATTATTGAATTTTCTATATTTCTAATTTAGAAGTAGATAAATATCAAAAATTCTACTTCTTTTTATTTAACTGTCTAAATATTTAATTCTTTAGATAAATTCTTTATATCCACTAAATCGAGAATATTTATAAGAAAAGAAGAAATTGTATACTAAATTTAAAGATTTATGTATAATTGAATTGAATGATACATTAATTTTATAATATAATATTTTTTACAATATTTATTGAATAATAAATAAAGTATGAAAGAACACTTTGGATAGAAACGAAATACTCATAATCATAATAAATTATGGAATAGATCCACACACATTTATTGATATAACTTATATTAAGATTATTTAAATAGAATATTCTTAGAATATGGCGATTAATTATAGTATAAAAATTAAATTCTTAGATTTGTAATACTATTTTCTTACTTTAATAAATCTAAATTTAGTAATTTAAACAGATTTATTTTTATTCTTAAAACAATCGAAAAAAAAAAGTAAACGAAAAGTTTATATTCAATCCATGCTTCCATTTCTAGTTTAAATTATATTTTTGAACAAGGGGATTACTATATTTGGAGTTTCATGAATTATTTAACGAATGGCTGTATTTTTTATTTTATCAGCATATATTTTTTCAGCTAAATATCTAAAGAGTATAATATATAGTTTGATTTTACATATGTAAACAACTTGTTCTTTGTTACAATTTAGATGGCATTTTTTTGTGATATTAAATTAAATTCAAATAAACTTATTTTTAAATATTTCTTAAGATCTATAATTTCAATTAGATATCTCTTGATTTATTAAAAAATGATTTTACCTAAGTATTTAATGAACTTTGCAAATAATAGGTTAGATTTCTGAATTTTCTAAATTTTTACTTTAATTTCTCATTGATTTAACTAATTTTTATGCTAAGTTTTTATTGAAGGAGACTATTTCTGATACATTTTCATCAACACTCAATGGCATTTTGAAATTTATCTCTGCAACTTCTATCAATAAATAGTTTAAAATTAATTACTTCTTCGCGCTTTAGCATTTTTAATGAATTTTGCAGTTCTATTCTTCTATGCTTTACTATGGCAATCTTTAATATGATTAATAAAGAATACAATTATTAATAGCTTAAATGAGATGAAAAAAGCTTGAGACAAACTCTAAATGTTCAGAATCACTTTCATAATCAGATCTCATATTATATAAATTAATTTATTTAAATAGTTAGCAAATTTATATATTATTACTAACGATAATTTCTATCTCTGCTTATTTTTTTTACTTTGATTTATTTGTATTGAGTCAAATTTGATATCTACTATTTTTAATCACAGAATTATTTGTGAATAAAATAAATTGTTTTAGAAATTAATTAATACAATAAACCGTAGTTCAATTATCTAATTAATAATATTTTATTTATTATCTTTTCATACAATATGTAATAAATTATATGAATCAATGATTTTTTTAATTTGACGAAGTGAGAAAAGGATGCACTTATCATTTCATTTAAATTAGAATATTATTTATATTAATCAATTCTCTATTTACTAAATTGTATTTTCGATGGTATTTATATTAGATAATAAATATGTCTGGGTTGGATAGAGATGTTGAAAATAATAGAGATTAATCAGTTTATTTAATATTTAAAAAATATTAAAAAGAACAATATTAGATTTATTGCAACACTTCTATTTTATAATAGCATTTTAAATTTTATGGTTAATTTCTTTGGATTATTCTTGATTATAAGAAGACTTACAATATTTTTTATGTATTAGACACACATGGTTGTAAGTCCAAAAAAGACATATATAAATTAAATTATTATTTTTAAATATCAAATGAAAAAAAGGCGAGTTGATTAATCAATTATGTTTAAAATCATTTTAAAAATTAAATAAATTTATGAAATTAGCTGAATCTATACTTCTTTATTTATGCAATTAATAAAGTTTTGATTGACTTTAAATAAAGTTGTTCTTTATAATTAAGAATTTCCTTGCAGTTGATTTTGTAAAGATTTTCAATGTATATAATATCCTAAAATATAATTTAAGATGATCCTACTTTTTATTATAATAAAATTTTGATTTAAAATCTCCTTTAATTATAATGAAAATATATAAATAAGAAAATCCTGAAAAGTTCATTTATTATTTCTACATTATTAAAATTTAATAAAATAAAACAGATTCAAAAGATTAATTATTATTTTATAAAAAATGAATTAGCATAACTATTATAATTGATGTGAAAAAGAGGATTTATGTTATTATAATAAGAATTTATTGTTGATTATATGTGTAAATAATTATTTCATTAAATTCATCAAATATTATTAATTCAATTTTGAAGGAGAATTTAATTCTATTTTGGGTTAAATTAATTATTGGAATAAAGCCTTACTTATAAGATTCATCAAAAATATTAAATATTAAAAAATATATTATTTTTGTGCTTTTTTTTCATAATCGCTAACCAAGTAATTCATTATAAAATGAACTTTTTAATTTATTTGAGAAATCAATCATCTAATAATTGAATTATTGATTCTAATAAAAGAGAATATTGTACTTTTATATTTCTAACTAATTATTAATCTAACTTTATATATAAATTCAAATTCATATGTCCAATTATCAAAATTTGGTTGGTGAACTCATTGGGACATTAGAAGACTTAAGAGAGAAAAAGGAAGATCTTAAAAGTGAAATTTATGAAGAAGAGGAAGAAAGACGTAGGATTGAAAAAGAATTAGAAATTCTCTCTGAAAGACTAGATCGCGTTAATGGTATTTTAAATAATTAAATAATTTCAATCAAGAAACCATCATGAGAACAGCGACTGAAAAGAGAGAATTAGAAAAGACTATCTCTGAAACTGAACATACAAAAAATAAGATTGTAGAGAGTCTCAAAACTCTATTGCATGTCTTATAAAAAGAATCATAATATCATATTAAAGAACAATGATCAAATATCATACAACATAATTAATCTAAACTCTCCATTTTTTATTTCAGCAATCAAATCTTTAAATTATTTTAGTATTTCTACATCTTTTAAGTAAATAAATGTTGATTTCAATACTCTTATATTTTATTATGATTTTATAGAGTAAATATTCATAATTTACATTTTAATGAAAATTAAATCATCCTTTGTAGTATAAGTAATTCCTTAATTATTTAATATATTAATTAAAATTCTATATACTTTTCTTTTTGTTAAATTTAGTAATAAAATTTATAAATGAGTTCACCTGATAAATCACCTTTGTTCAAGTTTATAATCATTGGAGATGCAGGTATTTATAGAAATTCAAAGATTCTAAGGAGTTGGAAAGTCATGTTTATTAATGAGATATATGAAGGATGATTTTACAACTGAATACAATGTGACAATTGGAGTGGAATTCCTATCAAAAATTGTTAATATAGATGAAAATACAAAAGTAAAATTATAAATCTGGGATACTGCTGGTCAAGAGTCGTTTCGTTCTGTAGTAAGATCATTTTATCGAAAAGTTGCTGCAGTATTTTTAGTTTACAGTATCACAAAGTATTAAGTTCATATTAAAATTTATTAGTAAGCAATCCCTCGAACGACTAGATTCATGGTTAAAAGAGGCTAAAGATCATTCTTCCCCATCTATTATTACAGTTTTAGTAGGAGCTTAAAATGATAGAGAATCTGAGTATTTTGAATTTTTATTAACAATAGACGAGAAGTATCTTATGAAGAAGGTAAATATTGGATGGAAACAAATGGGCTTAATCTATTTTTTGAAACATCCTCAAAAACAAGAGAAAATGTTGATGAAGTAAATATGACATATCTATGATGAGGCATTTGCTGAAACAGCTAAATTAGTATTCTTAAATCATATAAATGGGGGTGCAAATAATGAAGCTAAATTACCTGCTCTTAATTAAACAGATTTAAGTGTGAAAAAGCTTCATCAACCTTTAGAAAAATCTAATTAAAAAAATGATGAAAACAAAAGTTGTTGTTGATGTATATAATAATATTATTCTATATACAATTTTAGCAATTAATTTTATATAATTTATATATATTAATATATTTTATAATAGATATAAAATATGTTAAGAAGAAATAACAAATTTTTTAAACATTTTAATAAATTAGATATAAAATACAATCTTTTAGAAACTTATTATATATTAAACTATTTAATAATCATAATATAAATTCTATTATTATAAATAAGATTATAAATTAATCTTAAAATAATTATATAGAAATTTTTTATAATCACATTTGAAATACTTATAATATATTTAATGAATCTTTTTGATAAATAAATATATATATCAATTCACATTTTAGAAGAAGAACGACCAACAACTAAATTTTAGTATAGTATGCAAGGTTAATCGTCAGAATCTGCCTCATAATTATCTTCATCATTATATTAAAAGTTTTCACATGACTTAACTCTCAAATCACTAAATTATTTTTATGTGTTAAAGTTAATGTGACTACCACCATAATGATTAACCTTAGAAGTGTTAAATGATTTAATAGTTCCAGCAGGACTTTATGCATCATTTAAAACGATACTGTTCTTTGGAACTTCTAAATACATGATATGATTTCGACTATTATTTAATCTTCCATTTATAAATTTAGTTTCTTATTAAGCAATTTTATTCATAGAATTAAAAACTTCTTATTATTTATCATCTTGTAAATCATCAAATTAATTATCATTTTCAATCATATCAATTGAAACACTCATTTTATCATTATTTGTTTCTAATAAAGATTCCCAATCCATTTTTGCATCAGTTATTAACTCATCTTATAAAAGTTTAGTCAAACCCATATAATCAGGTGTTTGATTAAATTCATAAGACTTAGCAATTTAGAGCATTTTCATCAAACACTATAAATTAATTGAGAATGTACTTTAGGAATTTTATCAGAATATTTATCCAATTCATTATTTTACTTCAGTATTAATATTTGTTTGTATTTTTCTTCTTTAGAAGCAACTTGAATATTCTACCAAGGTAATTCACCAAGATGAAAATAGATTAGTACATATGCAATAGCTTCAATATCATCTCTTCTACTTTACTCATTGCCTTTTCAAATAAAAAAACAAACCTAATAAAGCATTAATGCTAGCATATCTGGCTGTTCCAATCAAACCTTTGTTATTTACAAATGGAATATGTTTGCCTGCTGTGTCTCTGTAATATTTAGCTAAACCAAAATCAATAGCCATTATTTAAGATGCATCTTGTCTGCTAATAGTAAAATTTTCTGGTTTGATATCACGATGGATGAGATTCTTTTCATGAAAAGCTTACCTAACTATACCAATCAAGATACATACAATCTTTCAATGATCTAAATACCTATTCTTAATGTAGTATGAATAGAGAATCTATTGCCACATTTCCTTAACAACTATTCTAAATTTAACCCTAAGTAGGTTTCCATAAAGAAATTATAATTTTCATCTCTTCCATAAAACTTGATCTGTGGAAAACCTTTTATAGTTTAATACTAAATCTAACCTTTCAATCCATTAACTTCTGACAGAACCTTAATTTCTCTGATTAGTAGACTGACTCCTTTTTGGGAATCGTCTCGTTTTTCAAATTTTGCTGCTACTAAATCTCCATTTTTTAAATACTAAGACTTAAACACCATTCCGAATGAACCTGCACCTATCTTCTCTAATAATTTATATTTGCCTGCAATAACCATTCCTGCAGTCAATTTCTTCTATTTCCACACTACTGCTTCATCCATTTATTAAAAATTATATTATTATCATATTCATCAATCAAAGTCATCAATATCCTACTTTTGAATTTCTATTTTCTTGGCTGTTGGTCTTTGTTTCTTCTTCTTTCTAGTATCCTTTGAAACCCTATCTATATAAGATCCAGCTTTAAAAACATCAAAAATCTTCATATGCATGATCTTATTAATATTATTTGTATAGGCAAACAGTCTCAACAATACATATTCCTTTTAAATATCTGTCAGATCTAAAAATAATTAATCTAAACAATAAAACAAATCTTTAGGTTTCATAAATCCATGTTATTGTTTATTTAATTAATCGAATTAACTTCTCAATGCAGTTTCATACTTATTAACAATAACACTTACCTCTTCCCATAATTGTTTATCTTATTCTTAAGTTAATAAATCATAGCAATTAAGAAGATGTCTAAAAACAGACTTTACAACTGGTAATTTAACAGAAGCTTATGGATCCAAACTAACAATTTCATCATTCATATCTTCTACAATATATCTGGCTATCAATTTTGCTTCATTAGGATCAGCCATTGTAAATGGTTCTTAAAGTAATTATTCTTATAATTATTCTACACTGATTGCATTATTAGTTGCAGTTTAAATTAAGATAGCACAAGCTTCACTAACTGTTATTTATTTAAGTTGTAATCGTAAACTTAATTCTTTTCCCATATCTTAAACCTATTCATATCTAACTCTTGGAGCTTTTGGAAATTTCTTTTCTTGTTTATTATAAACATCATGTAAAATAGTAAATGTGTGATCTCTATTACCTTATATTATAGGTAATGATTCAGTTTCTAAAGGTTGAATTTCTGCTAAATAATACTCATTTAATTCTTTTAATTCTTCTCTCATTTATTAAACTTATTGATTTAATCCTTAGAGTTCATCAATCAATGCATTTTTACTTCTTAATTCATAATTTGTTCTTTCCTATAATTTTTCTTTCAATTAATTAATTATCTACTCTTGTTAACTTATTTGCTAATCTTTTTCAATTATTTCTGCTTTTTTATCATCAATATCAATAACTTCTTTTTTCTTAATTGTTACTTTTTAATTTTATTATGTTTCTTTTTATTTTTCTTCAAATTTAATCATTTCCTTTTTTAAGTATCGAAGATCTCTTTCCTTCTCTTTTAATTCATTTTTTGTTTAATCTAATTCTAAATATTATTATGAAATCTTTTTCTCTAATAAGCTTTTCTGAATTGAAAGATTTTCGCTTTACTCTTCCAATAATTTCTTGGTTATTTCTAATTCTTATATTTCTACTTTGAGATCTTCGACTTCATTAGGCATCAAATTTTATTCTTATTTTAATGATGATGAACAATAAGTCAAATATTCTATAAGAATATTTTACTCTTAAGCTCGTGTAAAATTAGGATTCTTTTATAATTATTTGATTTGACTTTGTTTCTCTTCAATTTATGAATTAAGTTAATTTATTTAGATTTTCAGTTTTATTCCCAACCAACTTTAATTTCCTTATTTTTCATCTTATGTAATTTTAGATTTCTATTTTTCTTACTAAATTATAAATATATTAATTTACTTCTATGAAATTCATCTATTATTATAGATTTCTTTATTCTAATTGTAATTTTGATAATGTTTTAGATAGTTAGAATTATTTCTATTGTAGATTCTCTTCTGATAATTTTGAATTTAACTTGAAGGCCCTTGGAGATTGACTATGCTTTGGCACTCCAGCTGTAGATGGTCTTTTCATTAAATATTTATTTATTTCAATTATATACTATCATAAATATCAATTTTATCATCTAGCCAATTAGATTTAATATATAAATAATATAATTTGTTTAATGTTTTAACCTAACCAAAGCCAAATCAAATATCATAACCCATTTGGCACAACATCTGCTATATACTTCTCCTAATAATAAACATCCAGAGATAAAGTATAAATATTCTCTCATATAGCAAATATAATCTAGGGATGTTTCAGAAAATAAACAATTTCTGTAATATCCAGCTTCTCAAATAGTCTATGGTCCCACAATGAAAATAGTTCCATCTGCTTAAACCAATATAGCTTTTCGTAAAATATCCAAAGAACTTAATATTACAATTGAAGACCCAGGAAATTAACAATAACATTTACGTTAGCCATCTCCTAATGTAAAGAATTAACGTGAATAAATGGAAAAGGATTGGAATAAGTTAATTGATAAATCAAAGACACTCCAAGAAAATCTAGTGTTACTCAAAAATAGCATTAGTATGAATCTAACAAAAAAACTACCAGATTAGCGTTTGTCTAAAGAATCTACATCAACTGCAGCTGGTCTTTCTTCCAGATTGAAGTTGTAAAAAGTGAATATTAATTGCAAACTCAATTCACCATTCAAAGTTTAACCAAAATAAGAATTAAGTAAGAGTTTAAGTCAAAACACGTTTACAAATTTAAAATATGCAGCTAATCCTGTTAAAAATGCAGTCATCAATAATACTAGCATTATGACTCTTACCAATAATTCAAGTATTAGAAAATCATAAGATTCATGTACTCTATAACCAAAAATTACATCTTAATTTCCATCATAAAAATAGACTTAAAGTTTATATTCATCTATAGAATATAAATTAAATCTTAAAATTAGTTCATTTTTAGGAAGAGGCAAATTTAGTGATGTTCATATGGCTATTGATTAGAGATCTGGTTTAATATTTGCTCTTAAAATCATAAAAAAGTAAACAGTAATTGAACATGCAATGTAAGAGCAATTGGTTAGAGAAATTCTAATCTAATCCAAATTATCACATCCAAATATTGTAAAAATGTATGGATAGACTTATGATGAATCAAATATTTATATGATGTTAGAATTTTGCAATAATGGAGAATTATTCTAACATCAATATAAATAGACTAATAAGAGATTTAATGAGAAGGATTCTAGTACTTTCATTATGCAAATATTATCAGCCATTCAATATATGCATAAATAAGGTTACATGCATAGAGATTTGAAGACTGAAAATATTTTATTATCTCTCGTATTATTTTACTTATATTTCAGAATTATGTTAAACTTTGTGATCTAGGATGTGTTAGAGAAATTCCATCAAAAGAAGATAGGAGAAATACATTTTGTGGAACTGTTGATTATATTGCCCCTGAAGTAATAAAAGATTAAGGATATGATGAAAGATGTGATGCTTGGTAAGTGGCTATTCTAGCATATGAACTTGTTGCTGGTAATACTCCTTTCTCAGAATATCCAAGAGATGATGAATCAATTATGGAAAATATATTAAAAGTAAATTACATCTTATTTTATAATAGAATAAATTTGATTTACCTCAATCATTCTCTCCTTCACTTAAAGATTTTGTTAAAAGAGGATTGTAGTAAAGACCTGAAAATAGAATTACTATTGATTAAATGTTATAACATAAATGGATTATGGAGAATAATAAAGGAAATGATAAAGAATATATATTTTGATAACTATTTTTTATACTTTTAAAAATATTATCATGTGTCTCAGAAGATTTAATTTTTAGATAACTTGCCATTTTTATAGAGAATTTCACTTAGAAATTATATAGATGTATATATATATTCTCAAATTCATTATTTACTTCAATTGACAAAATCAAATAACGTTGTATAGGTTATTATAGGTTATTAGATTGGCTCTGTAAATCTTATCAATTAACACCTGATTATTGTTCAGTTATACTTCCATTTTCTTTCGTTTAACTCTAATTTAATTTGATAATAATACATGATTTTAGAAGGATATTCTTGGTTTGTAAAAAGTATTTTAGGTTCAACAAGTGTTGGCTAATCAAATTCTCTTTTCTAATAAAGATCCTTGATTTCATCATATAATCGAAAGATGTCATCCTCACATGTTTTATTTCTATAGTGTAATGAATACATTTCTTTAGATGTATCCATCTTAGAAGGTGTAATAGTAGAACGATACTTTGTATCAGGTGTGTTCATTTCAATAGCAGATATGCTAGAGAACTTGCGAAGTTCTTAAGCAGTAACTTCTTATTCTGTTTCTTTGAATTAAGGAGATAATAATTATTCTCTGATTCTCTCTTACATTAATTTAATTTAAATTAGAATTAATGGGATTCTTCACTTGTTTATGAAAAATATGTTCAAAGTGAAAAAAAATAAAAATAATTCAATTCATTTTAGTAATCAACTAATTTGACAACATTTTTAGTTATTTTTGTATTGAAATTCATTGATATTATGATGCTTCCAACTATCAACAATATGAATTTTATGAATATTAGATCCAGATAATACATTATCTATAAAAGTTACTGAATGTAATTTGTATCCTTTTAGTATTGGATGGCCTTATCTATCTACTCTCATTCTTTGACTGAGTTTTTTAGAGCTTAAACGAGTTTGTGAGATACTAGGAATTTCCATTTACATTAGGTTTAGTTTTGATTTAAAATGAAAATAAATATAAAAAAATAAAAATTACATTTAATGATTTAGGCAAAGATTCTATGCGTTAATCTAATTAATTTTGATATACTTTATTAAATATCTTACTTCTATTTAATTCAATAGAACTACTTAAATGAAAAATTTTCACATCTTAATTAAATGATAATAAAATATTTATATGAGCAAAAAATAAGCCCGCCCCTTATTCATTCCCAAACCAGAAAATGGTGAATTTCCATTTGACATAAAAAATGTTAATACTAATGATATCAAGCCTATTGACTTTTATAGGATGTATAATTCCTTATAAATGATGGTTCAAAAATTGATTCAAGATTAAGTATGAATTGATGTGATTTCAGATTGTACAATAAAAGGTCTAAACTAATATTGATGCAATATTCAGAGTGTTTATTGAAAAAGATTTAAATCCTCCTCCTTAGTAGAAACTAGTTGGAAGAAGAAGTTCTCCATATACCTATCAAAAATAAGAATTTTGGTAGTTAGTTGAACACCTTAATTCCTTGGGTTTCACATATAGATAAATATCTGAGAGACTGCAAGTACACTATGTTTAGATTTCAACTCATCATCTAAATACTGTTGATTATGATGATGATTCTGAATAGGAATCATCATAAGTGAAGAGATAAGCAAAAAAGAAACCTAAATAAGAATAAAAGATAGAGAAATAACCATATCAAGTTTGTGATGTATTTTAGTCAGATGATGAATAAGGATCAAAATGAGAGTTTAATATAAATCAAATTTTCTTGCTATATATAAATAAATAAGCTATAAAATAAAAATCAAATCATTTTTTCTATGATCCATAAACATGCTTAAGTTTGGTTCTTAACATAGATACATTCTCTCTGTATTCCAATTTTGCTCTCTGCTTTTGATGAACTTTAAGCCAAGAAATAATTATTAAATTTTATAGTAAATGGTTTGTTCATTTCTAAAATAAAATCATCAAATGCTAATATAAAACTCTAAATTTACGTTAAGTATTTAATAATAGAAAATTATCAGAGCAAAACACAAGCTTACCTAATTTAGAATAGGAATCTTATTCTGAACCATTTAAATATTTGCCAGTTGTTAAATGCTATAGAAAAATTTGATCATCATAATTAATGAATTTAGAAGTATTCTTTGAATGTTATTTAACAATAGACCAATAATCATTTTCTATTATATACAAAAAATTATTTACCATCTCTAGGATGACTATAGCAGGTGACTTCTTGAGTTCTTCCCTATTATGATTAAGAATTGTGCGAATGTAGAGTAAACCCTGTCCACCAATTTCGTATAATTACTTTCCTTCCACTCTCAATAAAGATTGGTGCACTAATTACTCTATCAAAAATTTATATATTATTGTTTTTAGATAAGCTATTAACAAAATTCCAAACTCCTTCTAGTTGATTTTTACATTCTAACTTTTATCTACCTTTCAACTAAAAATTATTATCATTTTTTTAATGAGTGAGTAAATAATTTCTATTATCAGAAGATTGTAATCGAAAAGGATATGTGATTTATTGATTTATATACTTTAATAATGAGGAATTCTCCTTTTCTGGAGGTTATATCACAAAGTACTCAGGTTCATCATTTAAAAAAACTTCCTTTTATTCCTCATGTTTTTAATCGCGTGATATATTAACATATAATTGGCTCTTAAAGTGTTTAATTGCTATTAAATCTCCATAATAAAGGAATTAATTTTCTGTATCATCTTAAAGTTCAACAATAAAATTAGTGCTATCCTCATTTACATTTATTTCTAAGGTTAATGAATTTATTTCCTTATTCTTACCAATTACTTTTTATTGTAAATGAATGTTTCCACTCAAATATTTTTTACTTATTTAACATTGAAGTTGAAGCAATTAAAATGTTTTGAAAGGAATTTATTCATTTTAATTCATTTAATGTATTATTTATAATTATTCATATAAATTGTTTTAAGATGTTCTAAATATATTTTCGATATAGAATAATCATTAAATCTATATAAACAGATTGATATAGTAAGATAAATTGTAATTAACAAGTATATGTTTTTTTGGTTTATTTAATTATAATAAACATAATAATAGCTTAAATAAATGTGTAATAAGTTTAAAGCGATCAATATGGATGACACTTCTTTAGGATCTATTGATTCTAAAAGTGTTATGTTTCTTACAGCTAGCCCTTCATAATTCAAAACAATATCTTAGGTAAGTCTTTCAAGGAAGATTTCTAAATTGGAACCATTAATAGTAGAAAAAGATAAACGAAACGATTCAAGAAGTTAAGAAAGGGGATTATTAAAGGATCTAGGAGTTAGTTAAGTTTTAGATTGGAAATCATTTATGGAAAAAGACGCTGAATAAATCAAAGAATTTAATGAAACGACTTAGAAGTTTAGAAGAAGTTCAATATAATCTTAAAATTCTTAAATTTTCCTATCTCCCTAGAAAACAGACAAATAAAATCCATCATAATTTGAAGGTCGTAGATCCTCAATTAATTTAAAGACTTTTGACAGTGATGACTTTCTCGAAAAAATGAAATTAGGCAAGTAATACAAATTTTAAATTCTAGTAAACAGTTACCAAATTTGACAACTACAGAGTTTATGAAGTGTGTTAGATAAAAAGAAAAATTAACAGAATATGCTAAAGTTTATTAATAATCTCCAGAAAACTTATATCTTAAACTTAATAATTGTATTATTTATTTTTTTTTTATTGATTAGCATAGAATTTTGTACCAAAAATTTTTGGATTAGTGTCTCCTTTAGGTAGTCCCTTGACTCAAGTAAATGCATCTAGATATCTCAGAAATATTGATGATTGTAGAGTTTATGCTGAAGCTATGGCAACAACTTAATCATAGGGTATTTAGAAGATGTAATTGAACAGTAACATTTATGAACCAAGATAATTTAAAGAATTATTGATTAGCTTTCCTAATACAGTAAGGGAATTAGAATTAAAAGATTGTAAATTAAATTTTAAGCATGTTGATACTTTAATGGCTTATATTAACAAGAATTTGATTTTAAAATTAAATTTAGAATAGAATTTACTTAGAGATTAAGGTTGTAATATGTTGATTAAACATCTAATGAATAATAATACATTGTAATGTTTAAATTTATGCAATAATAAAATAACAGAATCTTCAAGTGCTGCTTTGAGTAATTTCTTAAAATAATCCTAAAGACTTTTAGAATTATATTTGGGATTTAATAATCTTTAAATTAATGGAAGTATATAAATTTGGAAGGCTATGTATAAGAATACAAGTATAAAGATATTAGACATGTCTCATAATGCAATAGCATCTTTGGAATGTGCATAGGCTATAGCCAAAGCATTGTCTCGTCCTTATAATGAATTAGTTCATATAGATTTAAGATACAATAAATTTAATCAATAATAAAGTGAAATTATTGCTGAGGGATTGATAAAAAATGAAACAATCTATGGTTTTCATTTTGAAGGTAATTATTAGGATATAATTGTGAATCCAAATGGATTTTTAATTAATAGAAGAGAAGAAATTAAATAAAAATAAAAGAAAATAGATTTATTAAATAAACAACAATAATATTTTAAATTGTTAGATGAAGAAAAAATAGAAAGTTCAAATAATTTAAAAACTGATGATGATTTGTGTCTAGCTTATCATAGAAGTAGAAGAATGAAATCAACTGAATTAAACAAATAAAAAATAAATATGATAAATAAATTGGATGTTTGTTGGATATGTGAAGGTTGGTAAGAAATTAAATTCACATGGAATCCAAAATCTGGTTCATTAAAAACTGAACCAATTTTCATTCATTTTGATTTTGATGACTATAAACCATATTTAATGACCTTTTTAAATGGGGAATTCTTTTTTGTAAAGATGTGCCCCCCTAATAGATCAATTAAATACTTCTTTACAAATCCTATTCTAGGAATTTAATGTATTGCAGAAGACTAAAGTGTATTATCCCTTAATCAACCACTCCCTTCAATACCTTTTCTATACAATAATGAGATATTAGTAGATGGAAATACTATGCAAATCATTAATGAATTAATATCACCTAATAATCAAAATTTATTCGATAGATATGTTCCTTTGGTTTAATGTAAACCAAGAGAAAAGATGGCCTTATTCGATTTTTCTCCATATTTGAATATTGCTTCCACTAAATGGTCAGTAGAAACATCAATATTCAGATACTTTCCACCAGATACTAATAAATTAATTGAGGAATGTTTTGAATTCGATTACTAAAACTCAAAAATCAATAGATTGGTAAAAGAAACAGAATTATAGGAAGTCAAAGAAATATTAAAGTAATTTTATTTTTAGCTATTTAATTGTTACAAGTATTTTGCATCAGGAAATCCAACTGCTCCTGTATTATATTAATAATATACTAGATCCCTTGTTTAGGACCAACTGATTATGTTGAATTTTTAATTTCCAATGAAATTATGGAAGGAGTGAAACCAAATGATATTGATATTGGTTTTACTTCAACTGCAGGAGCTAAAGATGTTTCCTTCCCTTAAGCATATGAAAAAGGAATTGTGAGATGTCAGTTAATGGAAGTATTAGTTCGATTTTGTAATGATAAATATATTAGAAGTGGACTGTGTCAAACTATGACTGAAGGATTATCATCATTACAGTAATAATGCAATGAATTTTTATCAAAATTTGATTCATCCTAATCTTGGAGGAAGATGAGATTGTGGAATGAAAAATGTGACATTCTTATTCATGATAGAATGCCCATGATTAAATGTCTTTATAAATATACTTGTAAATTAAGTAAGAAACCCTAGCAATATAAATATGATTATGTTTCTTCTTAAGATTTCAAAGACTTATTGAAATAATCAAATGTTATTTGTGATGAATTAACAGACAGAGAATGTTACCTTGCTTATTTATAAAGTATGATAACTTAAAAAGATGAGTTATTCTAACCAAAACATTATTAAATGACTCTTTATGAATTTATAGAAGCCTTAGCAAGAATAGCTGAAAAAGTGTCAATTATAAGAGGTGAGAAAGTACTTGAGATTGAAAATAGAAGAGCTTAAGATTTGCAAGATAAAATATCAGGATTACTTCTTTTGATGTATCTGACACTTATAGATGAAATTAAAAAAGCTTTACCAAATGAACCAGATGTAAAACATCTTGAAAAGTGTATGAACAATGATTTTAGATCCAAAAAATAAAAACTTGAAGATTCTTTTACTGATGGAGATGAACCTCCTTATGATGTTAAGGTTGAATTACCTATATTAATCGCCTAAGTTCCAAATCTATAAGGTAATTTAAATGGGCCTGCTAAGAGAATGACTATTCGTAACATCAAATTGCTTAAGCCTTCTACTACCAAATACTCTCTCACAAATTTTGTACAATTCTTTATTAGCTTAAATGAAAGAAGCTGATTTTTATTATAAATCCTCATAATTTATATGTATTGTTATTTTTTATTTTTTGGTTTTATGATAAATTATATATTTAAATGAATTACAATTCCAAGAATAGAGTTTGTTTTATAATATAAATAAAGAGCTAGATAAATAAATCTTCTTTCTTTCTTATTTTTGAATTTGTTTGTTTTCTTAATATCATCTAAATATCTAAGTCATGTTCATTGAAATCTAGATAACAAATATAATTTATTCATTATAAAATATAAATACTCAACGATTAAAATTTCTTTTATAATATTTATAATTATATTTATAAGAATTATAATATAAGTTCTAAATTTTATTAATAAATTTTGATTTTAACAATATCTCTTTGATTAAGAAGATAGTATTCTATTTAACATTTTATTTTTTTAAATCTCTAACAAAGAGCTAGCATTATTAATTATAATGGATAAAAAGAATAAATATTTAGCATTAATAGCTGAATTTGTAAATTAGCTTTTTCTGAACTTCAAAAAAGCCTTTAATTCAAATAAGACAACCATATGATCTAAGGCTTAAATGTTTGTTTCTTAAAAAAATTATAGGTTGTTTTTAAGAAATCTGTAGAATATGTGGATTCGAACTCAAAAAGAAATTGGTTAAAACAATTACCTATTTTGAATTAAAGTATGTAATAGAATAAAATTCTTAGGGAATAAAAGATACTAATTGATTAAATTCTTGAATGAAAGATATTAATATTAAAAAAGTTTGATATTATTAAATGATCTGTAAAGAATTTGAATAATGAAGTTTTATTTATATAAACGAATTATTATATAATTTTACTCACTTATTATCTTTGCTAAGTAACTTGGATTATTTTTAAGAATAATCTATAGTAAAGTATAACTTAAAAAGTAAATATTAGTGAATTTTCATTAGAATTAGTAAGTATAATTCCTAATTAATATTAAATATGGATGGAAAATGGTTATTGTATACTCTGAATTTGAATATAAGTTCTATAAGTTCATAGTTACTTATATATATAATGTCTATGTTTATCAAATTTAATATCAATGATTTTATTTTATCTTTTACAAGAACTTTACTCATGTCAATCCAGAATATTTCATTAAACTATTAGTGATGCTGTTTTAATTATGATAAATGATATTTATATAAAAATTAATAAAAGTTTGATTAAAGTCAAAATTAATATGGGAGCTTCAATCTGTCAATAACCTTGTGCCATTAATGATCAGGAATTGATTAAGGAATAGTTAGAGTTATAACCAAAAAGTTTTGATTCAAAGCGTGATCGTATTTAAATCTAAGGTTAACCAATTGCAAATTAACTTCAAATAAAAATTTAAAATGCTTCAAAACTTTGTTATATTCATCCAGATGAACCACCAAGTAATTAATTATTTTTTAATTAGGTTAAGAATACTCTAGTATGGATGCTCCTGAAGCAACTACTCCTTGTTTACCTTGTAGGTATAAATTAACATTATATTAAAAGAGATCAATTTAATTTGAAAGGAGAATAATAGTATATTCAATTGTTTAATACAGAAATAATATAGTCTATAAAATTACAATCATAATTAGTGAGCTCTCAAAATGAGGATATATTGCAACGTAAAATTGTCATAATTTACATTCAGATTAGAATTCTAACAATAATAATCTAACTCATCTTATCCTAGATTTTGTAATGATGAAAAAGGGAATAAATTTTTGAGCATGTAAATTATTGATGATAATGTACACTGTCCTCTTCTATCAATTAGCTTGATGATTATATCAATTATGATTGGAAAAACTCTAAATTTTAATTAATTAGTATTAATGATTAAAATCTATTAAAGAAAGCCAGTTCAACAAGACCAAAAACAAAATCACAAAAAAAATAATTTTGATATAAATTATAAAATATTCGTCATTATTTAAAAACACTTTATGTTTCATATTTTATTAATCATTATTATTTAACTATATTATTAAATGATGTTAATCTTTTATTTTTATGAATCTTCTTTATATTATATTCATTCTAATTAAAAATAAATAATAAATTAAATATTTCTATATGAATTAAGCAGTGTTTATACTAAATTAAATAAAATTTAATTTATTCTTATAAATAAAATATTTCCAATCATATGATTATAGATAAATAAAAATAATTATATATAAGTTTGTTGAAATGAGAGATATTTGAGAAAAATAGAAAAAATATGTAATTCTATAATTTTATTTGTTTTGATATATATATATTAATTGTGGATAGTTTAAAATTTCTAAATTTTTATTCCTCCAGTATAGCGTTTCCATAGAGTTAATTGAGAAATTAACTATTTTGGATTAATTTAACATTAATATTGTGGATTTTATATAATCATAAATAAATGAACAAATATACTTTAAGATTTAAAGATTAAGAGATTGAAAAAAAATATTAAAATCATAAAGTTAAGGACATTTAATTTCCAACATTAACATACTTAACTTTAGGTGGTACTCCATTATTACTTATATATGCAATTACAAATTTAATAAACATAGACTACACAAATGCCTTAATTAACGGAATATTCTTTGTCTACATGCTTATGTAATATCTTGTACTTCGTAAAAATGAGTACATAAGAGTTAATTATTGTGATTTAGCTTTAATGTTAACGAATTTTGGTTCTTTATACTATGAAATATCGCCAAAATAATACGACTATTATAATGGTTACATCATGGGATCTAACTAAATGTTAATTCATACATTGTTAATGTTTGCTTGTAATTTAGAGATTGGAGTTTTCAGTAATTTAGTTCTTACTGTTGTAAGAGTGATTTTAGCAGTAGAAAACTCTGAAAATATGTCACTTTTGCAATATTTGCAAACTGTTATTATGGCATGTAGCTTTATTATTGTACAATATTAAATTGAAAAATAATTTAGAGATTCATATTTATTATCATTAAAAGATAATACTTGGGGTATTTTTAATATTATATTAAAGAAATATTAATACCTTAATTATTAAATAAGCCATTTTTTATTTTTGCTTTTAATTAAGAAGTAAATATGTACTAAGCTATCATGAGTAATTAAAATTAGTTTTTTAATTCTGATTCTCCTTTAACTACTTTCTTATTTTAATCAAAAGTTAAGAAAAAATCATTGGAAGCTTATTTAGTAAAGAAATCAAATCAGAAAGGAAATTTTAGTAAGTTACCTTGTTTATTTAATTAATAAGTGAATTTAGAATATCAATTAAAAAAATTATAGGTATCTGTAATAGGATGTAAATTTGAAAAAATAATATATGCTGTTATTATAGATTCAGAAGATCCACTTTTAAGAGAATCAAAAATAAAATTTAATCAATCTTTATAATAATGTAAAGATATTTTAAATGCTTAAATATTATAAATAAATAAAGTATTAACTCTTTATTTATCAGAAACATATAGTTCTTTAATTAGAAATTTAAGAATATCTCTCTATGAAATCTATTATAAGTAGGTTGATCATAAAAAAGTTTAATTAGTGAAAATGAAGAAATTATTGATAAAATGTTAAAGGATATTTGAAACTCCTACAAATAAAATTAAGATTGATTGTTAAGAATAAATAAAATTTGCAACTATAAAATCTACATTAATAATATTTATATTTGAAATTTTAAAGTTGATTGAAGGTAATTAATAAGTATTTCTATTGGTGAATCAAAATATAACAACTAAATTATTTGTATATGGATTAAAAGATTTACCAAGATCAGCACTTTTTGAAGAGAGCAAAAAGGTTTTAGTTGAATAAACTATGTATACTGCATAATGTAATATAATTTAATATATCTAGATTATTCTTTTGAATTTATGAGATCTCCATAATCTACTTTTAATTATGAAAATTAAATTAAATAAGAATCAATAGCTTGATAATATTTCATTTTTATTTAATTTTAATTATGATATATTCAATTTTTATGTTTAAAATCTAAAATTATATTTAGTAATTTTTAATTAATATCACTTTGACTCTCAATTATAGCTAAGTAAAGTAATTATTTTCTAAAACTATAAATATCTTATTAATTATATGAATGTGTTTAGATAAATTTACCTGTTTTATAAAGTTAATATAAGGCCATCAAACAGAATATTCCACAATCATAACTAATATAATAAGATATAAATATTATACCTGTTTTCTTATTTAGGACTATTATATATGATTTACCATTTTGTTTATTCTCCTTTATAATTTAGCATTTTTTCTAAACCTTCAACAACATTATTTGATATTGCAAAATTAGAATCTAAATATTAAATCTTATTTTCCTTAAATTCAACAATAGCACAAAGCCAATGATTATTTTATAAATTAATAGGAATATAAGTATATTTAAATAGACTGAAAAAGTTAGATTAATTAAGAGTTGAAAATTTGTATCTGTTTTTTAAATTTTCTAATTATATATTCAATTTTTTAAATTGATATTTTCCTTTCTCATTTTCAAGAAATATTACATTATTAATTTTCATTTCACTTTTTGCAATTATTTAAGAAGATTTTTATGGATCTTTTTTTAAATAAGTAATGTTCTTCACTTAAAAATTGAATTTTTATAATATTTATTAATTTTATTAAGTATCTATATTCTATTAATTTGTAATGAATGAATTTGAATAATTCTCTTAAAAATCAATTTCTTCTTATTTAGGTAATTATTTTCCAAAGAACTTTAATGGATTTAAGGATTTAATGAGATTTAAAGTCTTATAGAATATTGAACTATTTTGATTTTAAGTCTATTGATTTTATTATTCTTCTTATTACTAACATTATTCAAAGTTTGAAAATGAATTTTAAGATTATAGAGTAGATTTCTAATTAAATTAAGTAGCTATCATATTTGGAAGTATAAAATTTGTAATATCTGGAATAAATTCTGGAAACACATGACAATCTAATGAAAGTACCTATTATAGTCAATAAAATATATACTAAAAATTCTCCATAATAAAATGAAAACATTTTTTAGAAATAAATAAGATGTTGAGCTGTCAAAAATTCATTATTTGCTAAGGCACTCAAAAAATCATTATTAATAGTAACTCCATGTTTACGAAAATTGAAATTCTTGAATTTATGTCTTTCTTTATAATAATCTGCCCAAAATATTTTCTGCTTAATTTTCATTAGAGTTAATTCTTCGCTCATAATTTTATTAATATATTAAATGGATGCCCTTACAAAAATTGTAGCAACAGGAGAGAGAGCAATATCTGAATTGAATAAATAATCATTAACATAATGGAATGCGACTACTACTAGTACAATTAAATATGTATGGAATTGAATATTTAGTAAAGATAATAGAACGGTTGAGTTTGTGTTTTGATGAGATCAATTTTCATTTATAGAAGAAAGGCTTAAATGAAGAGGCCAATGTAATCTCAAAGTTATACAATCATTTTAATGTATTGTTCCAAAAAGTTGAAGAGATTAATCAACGAAAACATTAAAATCCTCCAGAATTACCTTTGGAGTATTGTTAAAGATCATTCTCAACAAATGCTAGTACAAAAACTATATTTGGTGGAGCAGAGATCTAAAGTTTTAGTATATTTTCTGCTTAGAAATCTAAATTCGTATCTGCAGAATAAGAATTCAGAAGTAATAAGCCAAAATTTAAGAAGAATGTATTATCTAAGGGAACAGACACTGGGGAAGATGCAATGCGTTATTTAAATATAGAATATTTGGGTGAAAAAGAGAGGGAATTGTAAAGAGCTAAAGAGGAAAATGAAATGAATCTTAGAGAAATAGAAAAGTTTCTTAAACTTAAAGGATTATGGAGTGAAATACATGCTAGCAATGCTCCTTATAAATTATAAGATCTTGGTAAAACTTTAGAAAGAGAACTTTAACGAAATGAAATGTTTATTAATGAATAAATAAGAATTGCTAATTAAGAACCTGACTTTCCATCTAGAGATATGAAATAAGAAATAAAAGATAGAGTTGTTGTTGGAGTTCAAAAATCAACTGCAGATAGGATATTAAAGTATGCTGAAAGAAAAATGAAAGAAGAATTTGAGAAATTTTAATTGAAGAAGAATGGAGGATTATAAATGCATAAGAGAAAATCATAAAATATGTAAAGAATTGATGAATTAGAACATTTAATTAATACTAAAAATGAAGAAATTTTGGAAAAAGAATCAAAAATGTCTGCTTTGTATTCTAAATTTGAAGATTAGGAGAGAAAATTAATAAATTTAATGATATAAATGGAATAAATAAAAGCTAATGAAAAAAATAATAATACATTTACTAGTAGTTAAGCAAATGAGAAGTAGAGTCATATTGAAATTTAAGTAAGTTTGAGTGATCCTAAGATATTTAAATTAGAATTATAATTGAAAGAAATTGTTGAAGAGAATTAGAATATGAAAGGAGAATTATAAACACTATATGAATAAGCTAAAAATGATAAATAGAAAGTTTTATTAAAACCTTAATTAATTGAAGAAGTTTTAATGATGATTATTTAAAGTGAATTATAAGCAGAAGGTAAAATAGAATTATTATAAACTTTTTTGTAATATTTGATTGAAAATTCAGAGAATGATATTGCAAAAATGCCACCAAATGAATTATATAAAACAGTTAGATAAAAAATGCAATATAATAATAATTCTAATAGAAATTTAGAGGAAGTTTTAGAAAAATTTGAAGAAATGTAAAGTGATGATGAAGATTTTTCTCCAAGTTCAATAAAAAAGACTAAAAAGAATAAAAATAAATAATAAAAATCTAAAAAAATAATATTAGAAAGAGCTGATTCTTAAATAGATTAATAATCATTTTCACCAGAAAAATCAGAAAAATTTATTGGAATTAAAAAATCAAAAAATAAATTTGAAGATTAATCAAATGAAAATTCTGAATCTTAGATTATTCTAAATAATAATAATAATACTAATAATAATATTAATAATAATAATGATAGTAATTATTCTATTAGTATGTTTAAGAAAAAACCTTTAAATAAAATTAGTGAAGAAAATAGTATCATATAAAAGAATTCACCAAGAAAATAAGATGTAAATAGTCCATCATCTGGAAATAGAAATATCTTAAATAATACTTCTACATTTAAATAAAATTAATCTGATTCAAAATTCAATAAAAATATTATTAATTCTTCTTTTAATTAAAATTCATTATAATCTTAATAATAATAAAATAATCAATAATAATAACAATAATAAATTCAATTATAATAACCTAAAGAGTCAAGTAGATTCAGAACAGAATAATAAAAATAATTATCATCAGGTAGATAATAAGCTAATAAAAGTAGAGGATAAATTGATTCAAGTAATCAAAAATCTGTTATTTAATCTAATCAAACACCTTAATTTATTAATAAGACATTAAGATAAATAAAGTAGAGACATTCTATTAAAGATGAACATGGAGAAGTAGATTATGATGAAATTGATGATGAAGTAGCAAATAGAGGAGTATAAGTTAATTTTGGAAGTCTATATTTAAAAGCTTCAATAATAAATTCATAAGAAGATAATTCTAATATGATGGGTTCTTAAATTGGACTCTAAACACCTTAGATGAGATAAAGTTATAGATAATTAGAAGAAAAGGTTACTGCCAAATTTACTCAAACTGATGATTTTTTTATGTGGAATCTATTTTAAAAAATGTAAGTTGATCTTGGATTAACAGAAGAATAAATAAAAAAATTGGAATAAATATTTTTGAATGAATAATAATTTATACACTATTATGAAAAGACTCCATCTTAAAGATAAAAATCAAGAGCATCTACTGTTTTAGCTGATTAAACAACAAAAGTAAAATAAGAGAAATTTATTGATAATACTATTAATGATAGTAAGATGACAACTATGGTTTAATAAAAAAATGAAACAACAGATTCAGAATAATAAATAAGAAGACCTACAATATCTATAATGAAAACAACTTAACCTCCAAAAGGATTAGAATCTCCTATGAATTTAGTTGGAAGATAAAAAAGTTAAGTATTGCTATCTTATACAAATGAAAGTAGCATCATATAACCTAATTAAGGTAGAAGTATAAGTTAAACATCAGATGTTCATATTGTAAATTATGGAAGTGTTAGTACAGATACAATTGCTAAAAAATAAAGATAAACAACTAGTCAAAAGATTTTAGAAGATATGCTCAAAAATAAAACTGGTTTAACATCACCATTTGATATTGAAACAAAAGAATAAAAAGAATAAAAAATGTATTTTCATGTATTTGGAGATGAAATGTAAACAGATGCTGATTTTGAATTAGAAGCAGTAAGAGCAAATTTAGGAAAACCTTTAGAAGTAATACAAGATCATTTAAAGGAAGATGCAATGAAAAAAATATATTAATAATTCGTAAATCGTCCAAAGAATCCTTGGTAAGATTAATTATATATGATTATATCTCAATTTGCAAATAAACCACCATAATCTATTAATTATATAGATTTCAAAAAATATTATGAAAATTACATGAGAGTATTATAAATATAATATAATTTTTAGGTACATAAAAGATGTGGTGATGGATGTATTCACATATAAAGATTTTTGGCTAGAATTGGATTTGGAATAAATTCAAAGAGAAAAGCATTAAATATGAGCAAATAAAGTGTTTCTCCATTTGAATTGCCTAAACTAAAATGAATGTTTTGATATGAACTCGTTATTATATTTAATTTAAATCTTAAGTAATGTAATAATACACAAACAATTACGAGTCAGTTGTCAGAACTTAAGTAGTTAGTGGATAAGATTAAAAACCACTCAATTTGGGTTTAACCGATGTTGAAGGAGCTAAGGTTTTTTTATTATTTGAAACTAGGCTGTTGCTAGAAGACTCTTTGATACTTATGATAGAGACAGAAATGGATAGATTGATAATGTAGAGGTCGTACCAATGATTGTTGATGTTTATAAATCATTCAATAGAATCTTTTCACCAGCCAGAGGAGACATTGATTCATTTTATAAGTTCAAAATTGATATATTACAATTAGGGTTTTGGATAGAAATTAAGATGGCAAAATCACATATCAAGACCTAGAAGATTTATGCATTAGATATTTGACCAATTAAACTCCAACAAATTTAAGAGCTTCAGAAGCCCCTCGTTAAAGTGGAATCTAATAAACATCATAAACAGTCACATCATCATACAGAAGAACTCAGTATTGATTGTGATTCTTTATAAAACATAAATTATATATAATCTATATACCTCTTTTTATGAAATCCATAATATTTTTTATATAAATGAAAAGGATACTAAATTATGTTTCTTAGTTTATAAATAGGATTTGTTATAAATATTTTGATTCTTATTAATAAATGTACTCAAACACACTCTTATTCTGATAATATGAAAATTAAATCAGTATTTTCATTTAAAAATTACTATGTTTATGTTAATCATAAATCAAAGAACAATTAAATAATAACTATTTACAATTTTTTAATATAAGATTTTGAATTTCATATATATCTAATTACTATCTATATTTTACAGATTATTTATTAATTTCCTAAATAAATTATAATATTTATAGGATTATTACTAAAATAAGGTTTGTGTTTTGAGAAGGTAGAAACATTTTGGAAATATTAATATTAAACTATTGTTAAAATATATACATATATTATTGAATATAAGATAATTAAATATTAATTAGATATTGCATTTTTAATATATATTATGAATTATTAAAAAATAGAAGGAGCTGAGGAAATAGAGGAATTCAATTTTGTTTAAGTGAAGAAAAAAATAGTCAAACCAAAAAAAGTAATTACTTAGCCTAAAGTGATATAACCTATATAAACTTCTGAGACTGTAGGTCCTGATGCTGTAAAGCCATAATAAACAATATTGGATATTATTTTGGACAATTTACCTCAGAGTGAATTATATGAAAGATCATTAATGCATAGAGAGAATATTAACATTGTATTATCTGCATTTAAGTCTCATATAATTATAACAGTGTCTACAGATGGACATATTAAAATGTGGAGGAAAGTGTTTAGATTGATTGAATTCATTAAGCATTTTAGAGCACATACAGGAATTGTCACTTGTGCAACATTAACTGATGGACATGATAAAATGGCAAGTGTTTCTCCGGCTGATCGAACAATCAAGATTTTTGATATTTTGAATTAAGATTTATTAGATATGATAAAGCTTCCATTTTAACCATATGGATGTGAGTTTGTTGATACAGCGGATGTACAATAATAATTATTATTAATCAGCGATGGTAATAGTGGAGATATTTATGTTACTGAAAGTGGTAAAATATTAAGAATGGTAAAATTACATAGTCAACCTGTTAAACAAATGAAATATTTAAGTAATTTTCAATTTATGTTAACAATTGATACAAGTGGTAGAATAGAAATATGGGATCCTATTTCTTAGGATTTTCCAAAATAAGCATATGCAAAACCTTAATTTAAAATTAATTACTCTAGCAAATTGGGTACTGATTTATATGAATTAATGCAACATAAATTATAATGTTTTGGATTGTGTTTGAGTAATACTTAGAAATTAGTTGTATTGTATGTTTCAGACAAGAAATTAAGAGTATTTAATATTCAAACAGGAAAGATTATACTTATATTGGATGAATCAATTGAAGCTATTACAAATAGATAAAATGATTAAGCAACTTATCCACTATTACATATAGAATAATAAGATTTTGAAAGAAGATTATTAATTGAAAAAGATATAGATAAATAACCTGAATAATTAAAATAAATTACAATGTGTTTTGATGAGACAGATTAAATATTGATATATCCTACATTTATTGGAATTAAATTTATTTATATAAAGACAGGAGAACTTGTAAAACTATTAGGGAAGATGGAAAGTAGTTAAAGATTTATGAGAGTTGCATTATATTAAGGACCTTCAATGAAAAATACTTAAAATGAATAATCTCATAGTTCTTTAAATAGAAAAGAAACTGATCCAAGTTTATATATAAGTGCTCATAAATCAAACAAATTTTATGTATTCTCTCGTAGAATTCCTGAAGATTTAGCAGATAAACCATGGGCTGTAGCTAGAGATGTATTAAATGAACCATTAAATCTTATTTAATAAAGTATTAGTGTGATGTCTGATAATAAAAATAAAGTATATTTATTTATAATAATTAGACTTTATCTGGTTGTTAAGCTATAATTTAAACAACATATGGTGAAATCTATATTAATTTATTTCCAAATGAAGCACCAAAAACAGTTGAAAATTTTATATAACATTCTAAAAATGGTTATTATGATGGATTAATATTTCATCGAGTTTAATAAGGATTTATGATATAGACTGGTTGTCCAAAAGGAAATGGAACAGGAGGAGAATCTATTTGGGGAGGAGAATTTTAAGATGAATTTCATCCAGAATTAAGACATGACAAACCATTTACTGTTAGTATGGCTAATGCAGGTCCAAATACAAATGCAAGTTAATTTTTTATAACTGTTTGTCCTACTCCTTGGTTAGATGATAAAGTATGAAATTATTTTAATTATTTTAGCATACAATTTTAGGAAGAGTTTATAAAGGAATGAATATTGTTGTTTAAATAAGTGAAGTAGAAACAGATGATTTCGATAAACCACTTAATGATATCAAAATTATAGCTATAAAGATTTTATGAATATGATTTAATAATATACAATAATATTTGATTTATTTATATATTTATAAATTCTATCTACTTATAATTGATAATCCTATTTAAATCTAGAATTTAAAGTAAATAAAATTAATTAATTAATTAAAATGAATTATAATTATCCAAATATTCGCATACTTATGGTTGGTGTAGGTGGTATTGGATGTGAAATATTGAAAATTGTCAGCAAATTCACTTTCCAAGAATTTCATATCATAGATATGGATACCATTGAAGTTAGCAATCTTAATCGATAATTCCTATTTAGATTAGAACATAGAGGTCAATCAAAATCTCTTGTTGCAGCTTAGACAATGAAAAAGATGGCACCATAATTAAATATTATTGCTCATTTTGCTGCAATAAACACTCCTGGTTATACTATGGATTTCTTTAGATAATTTGATGCTGTAATTATGGCATTAGATAATGCTGAAACTAGATCTTATGTTAATAAAGTTTGTTAGGCATTAGGAATATTTATAGTAGATGCTGGATCAATGGGATTTAAAGGCTAAGCAAATGCCTATTATGAAGGAGCAATATGTTATGATTGTTATCCTATTGCTACAACTCAAAAATAATATCCAGCCTGCACTATTCGTTCATAACCTAGTACTTGTACTCATTGTGTTATTTGGTCAAAATATCTATTTACTTAATTATTTTCAGGTGAGGTTGGTATTTTGGAGGTTGAGGGATTTGATAAGAGTTAACCAAATTCAGTCTTTAATAAATTTTTTAAAGGAGAGGAGATGCCTAATTCTATTGACATAGTTGAACATGAACTTATTAAGAAGTATCATTTTGCAGAAAGGAAAGAATCTCTTGAAGAATTATAAGGTATGTGGTTTTATGCATATGATGAATTAAATCATTTGGGATAATTATAATATGATAAAGATGATGATCTTCATGTGTTATTCATTTATGCTAGTACTGCTTTGAGATGTAGAAATTTTAATATTGAATAATATGATTACTAATAAATTAAATCTATTAGTGGTAATATTATTCATGCAATTGCATCAACAAACTCTATTGTAGCTGCATTAGAAATATAGAGATTAATAAGTTTCATTGAAAATTATGATAAAGTCAAATATTTTTAAGATCTTAATGCTGCTTCATATGTTTCAACAGGTAAAAAGGAAAGAATTTTAACTGTTAAAGCTACTAAATCTAATCCATTATGCAATTCTTGTTTTAAGAATTAAATATATTCAAAAGTTGATTTTACTATAATAAAAGTAGAAGATTTAGTAAATTCTCTTAAGAATTATCTTAATTCTGAAATAAATATTGTTTCTTTATCTCGTATTATATGGGATGATGAAGATGAGAACGATAACATAGCAATTAGAGAGAAAAAATTAAATGAATTGTTTAAATTAGATTTAGACAATAGACTAATCATTAAATCAATTGAAGAAAAATTCTTAGCTGTACTTTGGTTACAACATCAGGCTGATTAAGTACAAATATAATTTGGTTCTACAAAAATGGAAGATAAAATATTTAGATTTAAGAATCCTTTGTAGCATAAAAAAAAAGAGAGAGTAAGAACATAGTAGGAAATAAAAGAATTAAAAGAAACAGAAATTTTGCCAACAAAAAATTAAGAAAAATTTAAAATAACAACTTAGAAATAAACAGAAATCCTTATTGATGAAGAACCAAATGAGTAAACAGGATTAAACAAAAAGGTTGAATTTGTTATTGATTGATTTGTGATCTAAAATATTTGAAATTTAAATATTAAAAAATAAAATTATTATTGAGATGAATAAAAGATTAATTAATTATGTTTAAGAATGAAATTAATCATAGCAATCTTACATGATACTAATAATCAATAGTATCATAAATTTAAATAATTTATTATTAAAAATACAAATGATAATGATGACTTTTATTTTATTAATCTAGAGATTCTTCTTAATCTCTGCATATTACATCTTTAGTTTGAATGAAGAATCTTAAATATAAACATACTAATTAGAATTAAACCTTAACAATTATGGAACAGATTCCTATTTTGCCTATGGATTATGGAGCAGATATACTCCACTAGGAACAATAGGTCAAGTAGGAATAATAGGAATATTAGATAGTAATTGTTTTCATCTACATAATGCTGCATAACAATAGACAAATGATTTAAATCTAATTGTTTACGATTGTCTTAACTATGAAACTTAAACAATTATAAGAAGGATTTAATTCATTACTGCAGATGAAAATTGGCATTTATTTGAAGTATAATTTGATAATTTAAAATATGAAAATGTTTGGAATTATTTTGAAATTACTTAGTGGCCATTAAGAAAAAGGTTTGAATTATTAGTTATTCAATATCCTGAAATAAAATTATATCATATTCAAGAAGATTTTTATTTTCCTTACAAAGACTATAAATTAGTTCTAACTTTTGGAGGAGGATTATAAATATTATAATCAAATACTAATTAGATTTTAAAAGAAATATCTAAATTATCATATTTCCCAGGGAAATTTTATTTATATCCATTATCAAGTGGAACTATGTCAATCTTAAGAAATGCTGCTGCTACTGCAATAAGTGGAATTTAGTTTAGAGTAGATTGCTAATGCAATTATAATTGGCAAATAGGTGTACCTGATCAAGAGTTATCTTGGCTAGATAATTTTATATTTCCTTCTTAAAATACTAATTGTGATTCATATTTGTTATCAACTTGGATTAGAATTCAGAATATATATTAATCTTCACAACAATTTGTATACTAAATACTTAAATTATCTGCTAATTTTGAAAATCCAAAATTAGTTCATAAGAATTTAGCTACCTTTTAATTATTTTATAAATTTACACCATAAAAAAATTAATTGATTGTAAATAGTTATAGTTATACTTTTCCTATTATTTCAATTAATTTTGATGATGATCCATTTTTAATTACAAAAGAATTTGATCTTTAAAATAATATCAAACTTTGGTAATATGTCTTAGTGATATTAAACAATAATGAATTGAAGATATCAATTATTTTTTATGAAGGTTTGAATCAATATGAATATAAATATGAATAGATAGTACATTAATTTAATATGGTCAAATTTAAATTATAATATGGAAATGTACAATAGTCAGCTTATGATTATCTATCAGTTAAATTTTTAAATTCCTACTTTTTCAACTGTCTTGAATTTTTTTTCTTACCTCAAATGGAATGTCATTAAAGTTGTTTACAATGTGATGGTCCTACTAGTACAGATTGTTTATCTTGCCCTGAAGATTCAAATCGTATTTATATAGCAGAATAAAAATCTTGCATTTGTCCATATAATAGAGTTGATGATGTAATTTGCAAAGATTATTAAAATTATAATCTTGTCCTTGTTAAAGAGGATCCAAAAGATTAGAAATGTCTTCAAGGATACTTTTAATATGATGGAAATTGTATCAAATGGTAATTTATATATTAAAATTAGTCCTTCATTAATAACTAGTACAACAATCACTTGTCTAGAATGCGTTTATTAGCCATAAACTTGGGCAACTAATTCTATTTGTTTAACAACTCTATATAATAATATCGAAGGAAGTGTTTCATAGTTTTAGAAAACTTCTTAATATAACTATATCTTTGATGGTAGTGATCTATAATTAAGATATTATTCAACTTCAGCAATAATTGATGAAGAAATTAAAGATGATTTTGAAATGGCATCAATTAATTTTAAAGGTCTTTGTTTTTAAACTTAATCTGTAGAATCTGATTGGAGAAGTGAGAAAGAATGTTATTATTGCTCTTTAGCCAATTGTATATCTTGTTTGATTACAGCTACAAAACAAGTATGCTTAATTTGTGATTTTTCTTCAGAACTAAGAGATGGTGTTTGTGTCTATACATCTATGTTGGGAAAAGTTACTTATAATAATTGCTTAGCTCCTTATTATTATACTTCTACTAAATAATGCAAATTATGTAATATTAAAAATTGTCAATATTGTTTTGAGTATTTAAGTAATGATTTAACAAAATGTACATTATATAGAAGCTTCACACCTTTTAATATAGATGAATATCATTAAGTAGGTTGTGCTTTATGCAAAGATAATTTTATTTATGATTTTACTTTAGGTATATGTAAATATGAAAAACCGAAAATAGATAATTGTATTAGATCTTATATTAATTTATAAGGATAAGAAATTTGTACTTTATCTAAAATAGAAGATTTTACTGTTGCACCTGAAATTATTAATTGTTAAAAATATATTCCAAATTGTAAATAATGTTTATAAACTCCATAAAAAGTTATTAAATGTATTTTATGTGAAGATGGTTATTCATCTTCTTTAACATCAGGATAATGTTATAAATGTACTATTGAAAATGCTAAAATATGTATTGAAGGTGATTATATATTAAAAGATGAATGGGTGTAATTAATTTAAAGCTTTTTAATTCAATTTTTACCTAATCAATATATGTATCCAAAATCAAATATAGAAAGAAATATAATTGACTTGCCATTTGAATGTTAATAAGGTTTTAAGCCTGATCCTTTTAGTAATTGTATTAAATATTGTGACTCTAATTGTTTATCATGTAAAATAACAGATGATTAACCATATAAATATTATTGTACTGAATGTCCTTTAGATTATTCTAAATTACCAGTAAGATCCAGTGAATAAGGTAAATGTCTAAAATGTCCTTAATTATGTTCAGTTTGTAAAACCAGAACTGAAGAAGAAATAAAAGTATCAATATAAATAATTTTAGATGATTAATCCATAATTTATTTTGACAGATGAAACAGCTTATTATACTTTTAAATGTTTATAAAGAGCTCCAGATGATAATATAGTGATTGATCCTTAAAATGGTATTGCTAAGTATTGTTATGAATCAGTTTGTACTGACACTATTTAATATCAAGTATTTATTATTAAATAAATTAGTTTGATGCTAATTGTAATAATATATAACCTCTATTAAGATAATAAGATTATTAATTTTATCAAAATAATATCAATATTAATTATTGTAATAAGTTAGGAGTTTAAAAAATAATTGTTTGGATGAGAATTAATATCAAATCTGGAACTCCTTGTACTTTACCAAATGAAGTTTAAATTTATAATAATCTTAAAAATAAGATTTATACACTTTAAGAAGTTTATCTTAAATTAGAAGGTTTATAAAGAAGTGGTTTTTATAAACCAATTTCTACTATTAATTTTAATACTGTTGAAATTATAAAAATGTCATTAGAAATAAGATAAGTTTCTTATTTGAAATTAGAAAATAATTAAAGTTAAGTTAATTTAATATTGAATAATTCAATAATATTTGGATCTTTAAATGAAATTTAAATATATTCAATAAATTAAACCAAATGGGGAAATTTGATAATAGAAAATCTTTAGATTATAAGTTTAAATCTTTTAAATTCCTCTCTTTTTGATTACATTTCTATTAGTCCAGAAAGCATTATTTCTATTTACAATTTATCAATTTTAAATTCAGTTTTTAACAACAGTGTTTTATTTGCATTTTCAAATTTATAATAGAAAATTAAGATTTCTAAAGTTTACATATAAGATTGTAAATTTTATAATTCTACATTATTTTCAATTAAATAAAATTCTCTAAATCAATTATCATAATTAGACATTACAAATCTAAGTTTAGCCTATAATGTATTTATAAGTTCAACTTTAATTGGACCCTCAAATAAGATTTAAATAAATCTTAAGAGAATATCAGTTTATAGAAATAATATTACTAATTCAACTTTATTAGACTTAAGCTACAATCTTTTTTTTTAAGATATATGGTTAGATGAAAACATATTTATTAAATCATTATTTGCTTATATTTCTGAAATTGAAGGTTTATCTAATACAATTATCATTGAAAATGTAAATGTTTACTCAAATGGTTTTTAAACTTCATCACTAATATATACAAAATTATTTACTAATAATGGATTTAGTAAATTTTAATTTACTAATCTTTATTTATAAAATAATTATAAATTAATTGAATCAGGAGTATATCTCTTTAATTTAAATTGTTATTAAATACTAATTAAAAATTGCTTAATTATTAATTCAAACAATCTAAATCATTTTAAATTATTTGAGATATCATCTATTATAATTGAAGATATTAGTTACTTAAATGATTTATAAAAATATAAAGTTCCTTTATCTTATGAATGTTTTGAATAAAAAGAATAAAATCCATAATTATTTTATATTTCAGGATTTTCTAAACTTTTAATTCAAAAAATTAGAATTAAAAATTAATTAAGCATAGATAATAGTTTGGTACATATTCTTTCAAATATTTTGTATTCACCTAATATTAAAGAAGTAATTGAAATTAAAGATGCTATATTTGAAGGAAATATATTGCTTAAACAAAATTTAGGTATCATAATTTCATAAATATCCATATATTCTGAGAAATTTTAAGAAATCTTTTTAGAAAATATTCATTTTTAAGAAGATTTCTTTAATGAATAAAATGATGATCCATCTTAAACTTCAGCTGGACTTTTATTTATTAATTCATAATAAAGCTCTGTATTTATCAATAATCTAACATGTTAATCAAATGCAGTAACTAATTCTTCAAATTCCTTTATTTACATTAACTCAAATTCTGTTTAAATAAAAAATATTTCAATAAATAATCATAACTCTTTAAATTCAACAATTTGGAATAAATATTATGATCTTCCTTTATAAAATTAATAAACATAAGCTGAAACAACTTTAATTATGTAATCTATATTTAAATTTTTAAATAAAGGAGGAATGATTTCAATAACATCTTCAAATATAATTATTACTTTAGGTCTATTTAACTAGATATTATCTTAAAGCAGTTCAATTTTTGATATTAAAACATAAGGTCAAGGAGTTGTTTAATTTGATTCACTCTCTATAAACCAAGCGGAAATTGATCTTTTATCATAAACTGAAACATAAGGCTCTATTAGTATTTTTTCAAAGAATAGCTTATTAAATTTGAAAATTCGTAATGTTATATTTAAAAATGTCTTTAATAGATTAAGTTCTTCAATAATGTTCATCATTCCATCCCAAAAATATAATAATATTGATATTCAAAATGTGATATTAGAAAATTGCTTATCATTAATTAATTAATTTATGAAAATTGAATTCTCTTAATAGAAGTTGGATTAAAATTTAGTATCAATCTAAAATTTATCTATTTATTAATCTTAAATTGATTGGTTAAAATATTTCAATAAAATTGATCCAATTAGTTTAAGTGAAATAAATAAAGTTCTTATAGACAATGCAATCATAAATTTAAATGAATGCTAGTTAATTATTAAAGGACTCCTTTGTGAAGGAGCATTTATATCACCTATCTTAAAAATTTAAGATTCATAAAAAATACAAATTTAAAATTGCAAAATAAATTCAGCTTAAACTTTTTATTCATTTAATATATTTTAGTTTATTTAAACTAAAATCTAAAAATCTACTATTTTTCTAGAAGCAATTTCAATTAGTAATACGACATTATTGAAAAAAAATAATGATTAGATAATTGCTGAAAAAGAATTTGAGAACAAATATACTGCTGATAAATGTACTATATAGAAAAGTACTACAATAACTTAAATTATATAAACTTTTTCCTTTTAATCAGTTTTGGAATATTTAAATGAAAATTCAATATCAACTGGATCTTTAATATCTATATCAAGTGTTTCAAATGAAAATGTTATTCATCTTAGAAACTTTTTTATCAATTATAACAATTATTCAGAAAAACTTAATGGATTAATTTATTTTGATTTATAAGAATTTTAAGAATTAAGACTTACAGAATTTAATTTTATTTCAAATAACATAAATCAATTTGGTTGTATCAAATTCGTTGCAAAAAAAAACTTAGAAAAAAAAATTAGATTAATAAATTCTAAATTTTTATTTAATAATGGCACATTTGGTTCAGCAATATATGGTAAAAATGTGATAATAGACATTTAAAATAGTTAATTTATTGAAAACATTGCATAATAATAAGGTGGTGCCATATATATGGAGAATTGCAGTAACAATTTTAGAATTATTAATTCATATATATTAAGGAATAAAGCTTAACAAGGAGGTGGAATATATTTTAATGGAAATAATTAAATTAATAAAAATAATGTTATAAATTCATTAATTTTATTAAATTCTGCTGAAAAATTAACAGATAATATTGTAGAAATGCCACATCATTTAGCCTTATCAATAAATTAATATGAGATGGTTTCTACTTAAGAAATATTTGAAAACTTGACTACAAATAATTTAACATTGCATAATTATAAAGTAATAGAGTAAGGTTTATTAATAAATACAAATTATCTTTATTTACCTAGTAATCAAGTGATTTCTAACTTTAAATTGTTTAATCCAAAAAGTTAAGGATTTTTGTAATATATTTTTGATTTCTCTTTGTTCTTCCAAAATAGTATTAATGAAAAAGTTTCTAATTTTATTAATTTTACTTGTAATTTATAATTATTTACTCAAATACAAAGTAATCAATCAATTGAAAATATTCAACCTATTTAGATTTTATCATATAATTAAGAAAAAAATATATTTAATTTGGAATAACTTACTTTCACATTTGACCCATATTAAAATAAAGATAATTATCTATTAGTATAAATAAATTGTTCAACATAATTAAATTAGAAATAATTTAGATATATATTTACAGCAAAAACTCTTAAATGTTAATTAGGAGAATTTTATGTTAATAATGGCTGTTAAATGTGTTAACAAAATCAAGGTTTTTATTCTGTTACTTATAATGCAACTAAATGTTCTATATTTGATAAGACAAAGTTTTTAAACATAACTTCAAATAAAATTTAATTACTAGAAGGATTTTGGAGACCAGATGATTTGTCTGATTATACTGAACTATGTTTTAAATAATAAACATATTGCAAAGGAGGATGGGAAGTAGGAAATAATTTATGTCTTAAAGGACATATTGGTGGATTGTGCGAAGAGTGTGATAATTATAACATTAGAGGGGAAGGGTAATTCTTTAAAGACTTTGAAAATCAAACTTGCCAACTATGTTAAAAAAGTTCAAAAAGCATACTTTTATTTATACTTGCTTCATTTTGGTAATAGTCTTATAAATAGTTAGGTCTATCATTTAAATTCTTTTAACATTAAAAAGTATTGATAAATCAAATCAATTATTTTATTCATTAAAATTAGGGAGAAAAGTTAGCAAAATTCTCTTTAAGTTGAATTAAGGTATTTATTTTATTTCATAATAGACCATTAAAGTATTTAAATAAAAATGTTTTTAAATTTTCTTTGGATATTTTCTTTGATTTTTTCTTTTAATATTTAATTTTCATTTTCTTTTGGATTTGTTGATCAAATTAGCAATCCAACTAATTTTATGGCTACAAGTTTAGACTGTTATCTATTAGATATATAATAAATTTAACTAAATTATTCTAGAATTATAGCAACACTATTACTAATTCTATTACAAATGATTACCATTTTTATTGGGTCTCAAATTCTAGCTCTAGCAACTAAGACTAAAAATTTTAATAGTGTTTTATCAAATACTGGGCTTTATCTTTATGTATCGAATTTTGCAGCGCTGATAAAACAGTAAAATAAATAAAATATTTAGATTTTCTTCATTGTTGGCAAGAAGATAAATATCAAATATTGATTATATTCAAGGTAATGTATCCCTTTTGTTTGATACTTAATCACATTATTCATGGATATATAGATTTATACTACCAGGATTAGGATTTGTTGGATGTTTTATACCTACATTTTTATTTGCTCTAATGTTTGTTATGAGAAAAAAACTTGATGTGATTAAATTTAGAAAACATATATGTTATATGTTTAATGAATATGCTGAACACTGTTATTATTGGGAATTTATAAAAATATGGAAAAAGACTATACTAATCATAATTCTAACCTATTTTGAAACTAATATACTATTAAAAGCATCTTTGCTTGGACTAAGTTTGTTGGTTTATCAATTATTTACTGTTAAAATCAAGCCATTTATAAATTAAAACCTAAATTCTCTTGACTTAGAAACTGGATAATTTTGCTCTATTGCAATATTTTTGGCAGCCACAATATATGTTTGTGAATAAACAGCAAATTAAATTTATTCATATTTTCTGTAATCTATTATAATCCTGTTGTTTATAAAACTTTGTTATCCATTTATTAATTAGATTATAAGCTTAAACTATAAAATGTAGAAAATTAATTTTCTTACTCTTTTATTAAAAATTAGTAAAATACTAAAAAGTGATTCCAAATTTGTTTAAAATTTAAATTAAAAACTGATTGATATAAATTAGAAATAATAAAAGTTGAAATTGAACATTCAAAAATTGAAATAACATCTATTCTCTGTTTCAAAAAATATTAATGAAAATTAAAAGTATTTATATTCTAATTTTTTAGATTATTATAGTCCAATTAATAAAATAAATCAACATTTAGGATCCTAACTTCTAGAGAAACTGAAGTAATAAAATTCATGAAAACAGATTAAGAATGACTCTTTCTGTTTAAACTTTAATTTGATATGTTAAATTCATAAATGATTATTTTATTTATGAATTTAAGAAACATAAAAAATATCATATTATTTAGTAATTAAAAAATTAAGTTCAAATTCTTATTTAATTATGTTTTAAAATTAAGTTAAAGATTAGAATACACAATTTAAAATAATAGATTATTTTCCTTATAGTATTAATTATTGCTTATGGAACTTATTTTTCCATAAACAAAAATTATAATAAGCTATAATTATACATTAAATAATCTAGAGATATTTTTAAGTAATAATATCTATTATTAATATAAATGAACTTAAGATATAATATTATGTGGAAATTTATAAATTAAATAATTCATCTATTACCAAATCTCACATTTCTAGTAAAGAGATTATCTTCAAGTTTATGTTATTGATGAAATAAGGATTAATAAACTAAATTAATTAATAAATTTTACTCTCATTTTTATTTAGATCTTAACTTTAATTTTGGAGAATCTATAGTTTATTGTTCTCTATTGCTTGTTTCATTTATTTGCGCTCTTCTGTACATACTTTTTTTTTTTATTGTGATTCTAGAACCTCAACAGTTTGAGAAACTTTACATTATTATTTTTGTTCTACTTTTGATTTTTCTTTTTATTCAATTTCTTAATACAATTATGCTTTTTTTATTTCTGCTTCTTCATTAGTTGGGCATAATCTAAAATAATTATTATTAAATTACTAAACTATATCTTTCTCTGTGTATGGCTTATTACAAATAGGACATTTTAACTCTTTTATTTTTAAATCCTTAATTAATTTCTCATTAAAAACACAACCACATGTCCATAATGCTTAGAATCTATTTAAAAATTATTAAATACTTTTCTTTTCCATTTAATGCTTTTTAACTAATTGGACAAACAAAAGGAAACTCATTATTTTAATCTGGATTTTCTGTAATATTCAATTTTTTTATTTTTTTAATCTAATATAGATTTGAAAATATACATTTTATAAATGCTTTAATTCTTGAGGAATTTTCTTTTCCATGAATGCCTTTAATAAGGAATCGTAATTGTATAGGTATCCAACTCTACAACAAGCAATTGGTTTTCTTAATCTTTCTTTGGTTATTGAACAAAATTAAGCTCTTTACTATCATCACTATGATATCATACTTTTGCAACTAAAAGGCTCTCTACTCTTTTCTCTGGCTTCTTTAATTTAACTAATTCTGCTCTTCCAGCAATACTTCCTCCATCATTACCCATAATTAATAAATATATATATATATATAAATAATATTATAAGATGTATAAAGAAATTAAAGCAAATAATATAAATTTAATACATATCTAAGAGTATCAGTATAATTTTTTATGACTTGAAAATTAATTGCATTAAATTTTTATTGCCTTTAATAGAGTGAGAGTATTTTCTATTTTCTTATCAGATGTTTATAATTTATTTGTTGAAATACTATTTTAAGTATGATTGCATTTACTAGGATTTGGAGATGTAGTGACACTAGACCAAAAATTGGATGATGATCTATAGTATTTTTATTTCTTGATAATGTTTTATTCATTTTATTTTGTATCTTTTTATTTAGTATTCAAAAATAATAAGGCTTTATCCCTCATAATTTTGTCATTTGAAATATTTTATGTATCTTCAGTGAGAATCTTTTGAAAATAAGCTCTAGAAGATGTATAGGAATGATTATTATTATATGTCTTCTTTCCTCTTGGTTATGAAGAGGGTCGAACAGATAGACATTCCATAGAGGATTGAAGAGTATCTTATTTTAGATCTGTGAGATTTAACTTTTAAGAAAGAGAACTAGAAAATAGATAATAATTACTTAATTACAAATTTAAGTTCCAATATTTAGTTTGATTATAATTTGTTTATTTTTATTTGGTTTTCTAATTGTGATTAAAGTTATTCACATAATCGAATACTTTCTTGTAATTACAATTCTTTGGAATCTATTTATTCTTATAAATCTTAAATCAATTTTGTTTATTAGAACAACTTATTTTCTAATAACTATGTAAGTTGTGCAAAAATACTTAATTTTTTTATAATTCAATTATAAGTCTTTCTGATGCATGAATTACTTTCATATAAGTTATATTTGAATTGTCTTCAGATATTTTATCCAATTATGATACTCTTGACATAGTCATAGATGGTTCTACTATGTTTTAACTATTCTTAAATTTGCTATAATAATCATTCAAAAAGATATCAGTTAAATTGTTTGAGATAAGCATATTGGTTAAATGATCAGATTATGAGATTTCCAATAATGAGTCTTAATCTTGTTAATTCATTTAATAATGTAAAATAAATTAAGTTGATTGTTTTAACAATTCTTACTAATAAAGAAAATATTATTATTAAGCTATATTCAAATACAATCCTCTTCTACTTTCTTATCACCCCAAGTATTAATAATGTCAATCTAATATTATTTCAAATTTTTACTCTTCTGACTAAAGTGAGAAGTCTTTAGACTTTTCTATTATCTTGAACCACTTCAGCTAAATCTGTATAATAAGTAGACCAAGGATATGCTTTGTTTTTCAATAAAGTCTAATAAATTCATAATATAAAAAGTCTTACTTCTACAATTACTAGATGATTTCCCTATATTGCGAGATAAAGGGGAGTTCTATGTAAAATATCAACTGCATCTACATCTGCATGATTCTTTATTAGTAATTCAACCATCTCCACTAAACCTTTTTTACATGCCCAATGTAATGCAGTCATGTTATAGAAATCGAAATCAAATACAAGATATCTATTATATTCTAATAATTCATTAACTCTATCCATTTGATTTAACTTTACTGCATGTATAAATTCATTTGACATTTTTCTTTAATAAGGTTTTTTAGAGAAGACTTTATTTTCAATCATATATTATGGATCAATATTCATTGCCTTCAGTTTATTAATTGCTCTTAATAATATCATTCTTAATTATTTTTTTGATCTTTTGGGTGGTTCAATCTTTGCTTTCACAAATTAATGATCAAAATCAAAGTGTTACATAATACGAGGAGATTGAAATTCTGATATTACTGTTTCTTTTGGAGACTACAAAGCAGGAGGTTTTTAGATTGAAGAGAATTCCAATTATGGAGTTTCTTCAATGGTCTTTTAAAATTATTAAGTCTAAGGTAAAGTATTAAACTTTCCTTGTTTTGTTTAAGTAAGATAAGCTCTTACGGTTCGATGAGTAGTAGGTCTTGAAGTTCTTGTAGTATTTGTAGGAGAGAGATTCTTGATAATACGGAACCTTGGTGAATTGTTTTTGTTATAAGTGTATTCTATTTTAAGTTTGGGTACTTTTGGATAATGTTCACTCAACATTTTACGATGATTTGTAGGTTTGCCTAATAATTCTTTTATTTAATTAGTTTGTTGACTATCCTTTTTTAAATTGGTAACTCTTGGAGGCAATTTGAGCTCCCTATATATTACATTTCAAATACCTAAATTCACTGAGTATTCGCAAATAACATTTATTTTAATATAATTCATTCATTATTATAATTAATGTATAAATTTAACAAGAGTTAGACAGTTCCACTTAGAGTTAAGGAAAAAAGTAGCATTCTTGCTCTTTGTGTTAATTGTGAAGAATTCATTCCTATAGATAGAATAGATCTTCATGCTTAAATTTGCACTTAAGTTTCTAATAAAGTACTCAAATTTGCGTTTTCTTCCATATGCTTTGAAGAAAATGATTTTAAATTGAAAAAATTGAAAACAAATTTATAAAATAAGAATTATGAACATACATAAAGATTATGTCGTATTTGTGAATTAGTTTCTTAAATCAATTCTATAGGATATGTAGAAGAAGCTTCATTAATAGAATTTGAATAAGAACTAATTATATTAAGTAAAGAACCAATTCAATCTTTGAATTTATCACTATATATAGAAAGATTACACTCTCTTGTAATATAAAGAATATAAATCATTCAAAATTAATTGAATTCTAAAGTTATTAGACCATCTTAATCTTAATAAAACTTTTATCCATAAACTAGTACTGTTTTTAATTCAAAATAATCTAAAATCTCAATTGGTTCAACTCAAACTATGAGTAATAATAATTTATAAAATTTAATATCTAATAAATTTGAAAAATCAGAAATTATTATTTCAGGACATAGAATTACTTAAAGTCAAATTCCAGAAAATCGAATGACAACTTTATCTAGATTTTCATAAGATAGTGGCAATTACTAATAAGGATTGACATCTCAATAAAAAAGAGGAGAAATCTTATTAACCAATATAAGTGAATAATCAGTAGAAACAATTAAAGAATATGTAAATCCAAAAACTTTTGCTTAACGTTGTTTTTATTCTAAGGTTTTAAATTTAAAATTAGGATATCCATAATCAAGTCCTGCTTAAAAAATTCCTGTATCATTACTTTGGAAATTGGCAGAGTAAAAATAGATAAAATCTGAAAACTGGGATTTATTTATTCAATAATGTCTTGATAATCCTTTTGAATATGTGGATCCTAAGAAATTCAATAATTTTAATAATTCAACTTAAAATTAGTAAAAATATTGAGTTAATGAATTTAGTTTTCATTTTCAAATATTTATCCAAAACATAATAAGTTTTACTCTGATAAATTAATATTTTATATTTTAATTCTTATATGTTATCTATAAATTTCAATAAAGAATCTGATTTATATATTTGGAATAATGATTTATATGATTTCTTATACTTTAATTTATAATGATTACATATAATATTTTACGACATTTAATCATACCATTAATGAAGTAAAAATAATTTACATAATTAATGAGATAATTCCATCAATAATTTAAATCATTTATAATATAAAAATGTTAAAATATTCATAGTAATACTTATTTATAAGAGAACAAATAAATTAATATACTGGCTCAATCAAAATTAAGATTCAATATGGTAATAATTAGACTTAAAAAGCTAAATATATTAACAAAATGGCTACATATTTCAACTAAAGAATCTTCAAAATTCAAGATTAGATTCAGAGTGAAGATTAATTAAACTTAATATCATAATTAGATGATGAAAAGCTAAATAAGATCTTATAAATACAAAAAGGATATTGTTTAAGTATATAGATAAATGGTAGAAAAGTTAATGATATAATGGTGATTACTTTAATGAAATTTGATGATAAAAAGTAGATTCATTCTTAGAATCCTTTTATTTAGTTATAAGATAATAAAACACTTAAAGGGTTCAGTAAAAATCAAACATAGTCTTATGAAATGATAATGATAAAATAAATATTTAAAATTACATTTAAATATGATTTATACTTAGTAGATTTTTAATAAATTATTCTATTTAGTATCTCTTATTTCCTTTACTTAAAATATTAAAGGAATAAAAATTAAATTTATTAATTTTTAAATTATTTCATGATAGTAGTAATGGATTCAATTAAGTAAGAAATTTTTAGGCAGTCAAGAATTTCTAACATAAGAAAAATACCGATAAGATACTACAATTCCTTATTTATTTAAATTTCACAATAAATGCTTTTTGATAATTCAAATGTAAAGTATTAACGATTAATAATATTTTCTCCAAATTTAAAGCTCGTGAGATCACTGAATTAGTAAATTTAATAACATTTAAAATAAAAGGAAATATGAATTTTCAATAATTCTCCAAAAATACAATAATCTATTTGTGACCGATAATGTGAATATTCTTATTAAATCAGAAGTTATTCATAAAAACATTAAAATCCTCTAATAAATTCTACCCAGCAGACTTCTTTCAGACATATTATCAATATATTATGTATATATTATTATTTATATTATAATAAAACAATATGGCAATTATTCAATTTTATATATCTATCTTAATTATTTATTTGACCTTATATTTGTTTTTAGATTGTATAGCAACTGAATTATTATTTAATAATAAAATTCAATTATCATTATCTCTAGAAGAACATAGATATTATATCTCAATCTTTATTTTTACTTTAAAAAAAGTGGAATAAAGTGATTTTAAATTATCTTTATAAAATTCCATAGACATATCTAAAAAAAAATATCGCATACTTTCAAAGGAAGAGAAATAAGCTGCTATAAATCAAATGTCAAACAATTGTACTTCTTAAACATTAGAAATGGTTGCACAGAATTTCTAGACATCAGTGAAGAATTTAAGAAGGTGGTATCGAGAAGGGGTATCTAGAAAACCAGGATGTGGAAGAAAAAAATTAAATGAAACTGCAGAAAAAGAACTGGCTTTATGGATAATAAATGAATCAATTAATTAAGGTAAAAGAATTAGAAGGAATGTATTAAAGGAGAAGGCAATTGAATTATTTAAAGATTCTTAATTTAAGGCATCAAAAGCTTGGTAGGATGAGTTCATAAAAACTCATGATATTAAATTTCTAGTTAATAAAGAATTACATAATAGAGGAATGCTTAATAATTAATAAGCATAGAAATTAGAGGAATAGTTCAATATAAGGGAATAAGGAGGATAATTTATTAAAAAACAAAAATAATAATAAGAAGACATACCTACTGAATGTAAATTTGAGGAGAAAAGAGTTAAAATAATAACTAGTCCCTTTGATTAAAAGGAAGAAGAAGGAATTTTTAATTTGATTAGAGATGAAGAAGTAGAAAATGTAGTAGATTATTTAGATGAATGGGAGATTAATTATGGCTATATGAATTTAAAGTATGAAGAAGAAGATTTAAGGATTGAGATTTAAGATGAATCTGAGGTGTATTTCCCAAAACTAAAGAGAGTAATTGATTAATTTATACCAATATATAAATATATTATATAATTATAAGAATGATTAGAAAAGGAAAGAAATTAGTTAAAATTTGGAAAAATAGAAAGAAATTCAGATTTTTTTTTATTAATTTTTAACTCAATACAAAAATACTTATAATATTGATAATAAAAATGAATGCTGTTTCTATTTTAATTGATGAATTGAATGATTAATTACTAGCAGATTAATTTATATATATAGATTTGATAGGAGGAGGAGCTTAAGGCAAAGTTGTTATGGCTTAGAGCAAGGGGTTAAATTAAACTGTTGCAATCAAAGTAAATAAGTTAGTTTAAATGGTTAGATTATTGAAAGGAATAAGAATAAAGCATAAGATTAGGAAGCATCTCTTTTGGAGAAGTGTAATCATCATAATATTGTACATTTTCATAAAGTTGTATTTTTATAAAATTTTAGTTGCTCTATACTCATAATCATTTGTATATAATAATGGAATACTTACAAGGGATAACCCTATAAGAAGTAATGTAAAAGCAACTTTTAGAAAACAAAGTGAGAAATCTTATTAAACAAATTTTAGAAGGCTTGAGTTATTTACATAATCAAGGGATTATTCATCGTGATTTGAAGCCATGTAAGAAAAATTTAGGATTTAAGCAAACATATATTTGGTTCGAGAAAACAATAAATCCATTGTTAAACTGATTGACCTTGGACTTAGCTATTAAATAAGTTCGCACAAAATAGCTAATAAGTAATGCGGTACATTACTATATATGGCACCAGAATTATCATAAGATGTGCCTTATAATTAGACTGTAGACATTTTTGCTCTTGGAATCATTTTATATTAATTATTTCATGATGGTAAACATCCATTCTATGTATCTGGCATGAGAAGTTCTGATTATTTTAAAAGATTAGCAAAATTGGAATTTAATTTGCATTTTAGAGAGAATATTCCATTTATGGCTAAAGATTTTATATAAAAAACAATGGCTTTATCACCTGATGATAGAATGTCAGCATATTAATGTTTGGATCATCCATGGATTAAAAATGTTGAATAATAATAATTTCCAATAACCACAAATGAAATTATCTAAACATTTAATGTGAAATAGAAATTTATAAAGATCATCAAAGCCTTAATGGTCTAAACAAAATTACTACAATTATCAATAAAGAGGGATCCAAATGAAAGTGAGAGTAGAAATTATACTAAATCTAATATGACAGAAATTAATTCATAATAAGAATAAGAATTTGTTCATTTTAGATTGCCAATGAGTTAGAGAGACAAAATTCCTAAATCTAAATCAAAAATGCTTAAAACTGTATAAGGTACATTCAATACACCATAAATGTCTAAAAGGCAAGTTTCTAGATAATGTTTAGCATTTAGTTTTTTAAGTTCACCAAAAATGTTAACACCCTAAACTCATACTAAAAGAAATAATAAAACACCTTCCCCTCCTTTATTAAGATTGCCATCCATAAAATCACCAAAACAAGCTCAAATTCCTAGCATATCTAATATTATAAATAAATCTAGATTTTTTTAATAATGATATAGATAAAATTTTATTTATTAATTTATGGTATAAAATAATTTCTTCATTTTTTTTTTTCATCATCTTACTTATTGCTATAATCAAATATCATTTAAAATTTTGATTTAAATTAATCTAAATTTATCATAAGATGATGTCTCATCTTAAGTTTGTATTTAATTTTACATCATTTTAATAAACTTATGTTAATATTTTCATATTAATTATACAATTTACTTTAGACAAAATATAAAAAATATAATTATGTGTCAAAATTATCTAATTAAAATGTGAATCTATTATTTACTTATTTACTTATTTAATGTATTTGTACTATTACTTGCATATTATGAAGTTTAAAGAATTCTAATTTTAGTCTTTTGAACTATATTTATATAATTATTATTGAGAAAAACAAAAGAAGGTATAATTTTTAACAATTCCAATGACATAGATGAATTAAAAAGTAATGGCAAATAAATTCAAATAAAATCATCACTTTTAGTCTTACTAAATTGACTCTTTTTCATTTGTTCTTCTTTTTAAATGTTATTAAATTTGATCTATTTAAGAGACTATGACTTTGGTGACTATAGGTCTTCGGTTCTTGGAGATGTAATTTTGACTTCCTTAATCTCATTTACAAATGATAATCCATTATTACAATCCAATTTAGGTGAAAATTACATGTAAGAATTAGATTTCTTATGTTTTGGAGTTTCAGATCCTTAGGAAGATGGAGAGGATTATCGAGATTTTAATCCTAGTTGAATAGTTAATTATTTTCTATGCAACATTTCAATATTAGTAATAATTTTATTTTTATTTGGTTAGATCAAAATTTAGACCATTTAAATCATAAAAAATAATGTATAAATTTTGGTTGTTTTTAATTTTAAATTATTCAATATGAATAAATAAAATAAATATGTATTAATGTATAAAAGTTGGAGTATTGCTTGAGTTATTCAATAGACTATCAAAAACTATATTCTTTTTAGATCTCATGAATCTTATATATCTTTTAATTGATTTAATAAGAATTATATTATTATTATTTTTTAATAAATAAATGGCAACTAAATAAAAATCAACTGAAGATTATAGAAATGCTGTGAAGTTATTAAAATTAAAAGTTTTAAAATTACAAAAACAGAATGAAGAGTTAATAGATAAACTCAGAGAATAAGGAATTCCACTTGATTAATAGCATGATTAAGTTGATTTAAGTAATCAAGCAGTTATGGGAATCTTTTCAAGAAGTTGTAAAAGGGTTGGATTAACTCCAGAAATGATTTTTAGAGCATCTGATAGAGATGGATAAGGATAGATAAGTACTGAAGATATGAGACTTTTTTTATCGAAAGTTAGATTAGGTCTAAATAATACTTAATTAACTATGTTGGTAAGAATTTTTGATGAAGATTGTTCAGGAGTCATAAAAAGAGAAGGTAAAATACATTAAGTAATATAGAGTATTATGATTGTTTGTAAGCGTATGGAATTAATGAAGAGAGAGTATAAGGTTAAGCAAGAACTTATGGTTAAGAGAGTCTATTAAAATATGCTCGTTTACTATTGATGAATAGAATGTCTGTTGAAGATTCTCTTAAAAAAATGGGAGATAATATAATCCCATCCCATTTTGTGTAATTCAATTATCAATTATAAGATCTTTCATTCATGGAATTGATGGATAAAATTTACTGAATGAAAAAGAAATAATAGCTGTATTTAATCACATAGATGTAAATAAGAGTGGAGTTCTTTAAGCTACATTTTATGATTAAGAAGTACGTAAGGCAATGAGGGTAGCATAATCTGATATAGGTTTGGGTGTTTAAATAAATCCAAGTAGTGGAGGAGGAGGAGGTAATTCAATTCCTAAAGCTTAACCTGTTGGAATTCTGAAACCAAGTCAAATCTCATAATAATTGGATCCCTTTAGAATGACTCAAACATAGATGGGATAATCTAAATCAGGAATGAATATGTCATCTTCACATGCATTTTTGAATGAAACAATAATTATGTTGACAGAAGAGGATAGGAAAAATATACAAACGATTATTACAAAATTAAAGGCATAAGGAGTTGATGCTATTGATTTTATTAGAAATGTGATATAATAATTGGAAGTTCCTGGAGCAGGAATTATGTTATATGACTTTTATAAGAGATTTGATAAAAAGATTCCAAAAAGTGATTAATTATCATTTTTTACAGCTATTGATTTAAATAAAAATGGATCAATAGATTATGATGAATTAATGGTTTTTTTTTAAGAATTTAAGGCTCCAAAAGATAATTTTGATTTATTGTTTGAAATTTTAACAAGAAAATTATAAGCTTTAGAAATAGGGATAGTATAACATTTAGCTTCAGAATAAATTTATGAAGATACATAATTGACTCAAGATTAATTTTATTAATTGGCCTAGATTTTATTCTCATGTCCATCTAAAAAGCATTCTGATACTCTATTTTCTTATTTTGATATTGATGGATCTGGAGTTTTGTCAGCATAAGAAATAATAGATTAGGTTTAAAAGATTTTATTAATTTATGTTCCTTAGAAAACAATGAATTTAGATAATACACTTAATAAATCAATGAGAGCTTCTCTTAAATCAGTAGGAGAATATGCAACAACATTATCAAAATTAAAACCTGTAATAATGGAGGAAGATTATTTTGGTAAGTACAGAATGGAAGGAAGTGGAAAAACTTTACATAGAGAAGAAACTAAATGGACAACTATATTTAATTCAGATTTAGCATGTTTAAGATATGTTTATGAAGAAATATCAAAATTAGAATAGAATCCAGGTACAAAATGGGAAGATCCTGATTTTGGACCTATTAAAGAAGATCCTTATGGTAGTAAGAGTATGTATTTTGCTGATAATGATGTACCAGAGGGTGCTCCATAGCCTAAGGAATGTAAATGGTTGAGACCTGAGGAATTTTTGGCTGCTATAGTAGAGAATGGAGATGAACAATATAAAAATAGCCATGTTGATGTATTTGATGAAGATGGGGCTGCTTCAAATGATGTTTGCCAATCAAAATATTTAGGTAATTGTTGGTTTGTCTCTGCATTATCTATTATATCAGGATATGAGTAATATTTATAAGGTGATTTTGTAATCACTCATGAATCCATATAAGAGTTGACAGATGAAGAAGTAAATGGAATGCTTATTGGAGTTTATCCACCATGTTTTAAATTTTTAAGGAAATATGGTATTTATGTGATGAGATTCTTCAAGAACTTTGGATGGAAATATGTTGTCATAGATGATAAATTATGTGTAAAGGATAATGAATATGTATTTGGTAAATGTAGAAAGCCTACAGAATGTTGGGTTAATTTGATTGAGAAAGCTTATGCAAAACTTCATCAAAATTATTTTGCTTTGACAGCTGGGGATATTGCATAAGGATTAGCAGATATGACTGGTAAAGTACCTGACAAGATAAAATTGAGTGAAGAATGTACTAAAGCTGAAAAAGAAGACCTATGGAATCTTTTATTAAAATGTAAGAAGGATGGAACAATGTTGGGATGTAGTGCTGAAGGAGGAACTGAATTATATATAAAAATAAATGATGAAGACACAGGTGTTATGAGTGGACATGCTTATGGTATTTTAGATATGTTTGAAATACCTGATTAGAGTTGCAATAACTATCATAAATCACATAGATTATTAAAAATTAGAAATCCTTGGGGATATGGAGAGTGGAAATTAAAATGGTCAGAAAATCCTGATTATTCTGCTAAATTAGATAAATGGATTGATTGGATTAATGATTATTATTAAAAGGAGATTGAAAAAGCCAAATTAGAAGGCAAGGAACCTCCAGAACCATATGTTTATGGATAAGATGATGGTACTTTCTTTATGTGTTTCAAAAGTTGGAGAACTGTATTTTCTAATTTATTTTAATGCATGTATTAACTTTTAAATAAATTAATAGTGACTTTCCAAAAGATTGGAGTGGATTGAGAGCATTCGATTAATTTGGACTATAAAGTTCAGGTGCTCCAATGAAGACTGAGGCTTCATTAATTCAATATGCACAAAAAAATCCATAATATATTCTTGAATTAAAAAGAAAGAAAGGAGACAAAACAAATATGTATATTTAAATGTAATAGACTGATGGTATGAACAATTTATTATATTAATAATAGGAAGATTGTTTTTGGGAGAAAGATATCCTTTCCCAAATGTTATGAAACCTATTTTGCTTTGTGTATTTTCTTTAGGACCTACTGAAAAATGTTTAACAAAGTTTGATGATAAAAAGATCGTTGCTTCTTCTGGTAAGTTAAATTTAAGAAGAGAAATCGACACAAATGACATCTCTTTAAGTAATGGTCGATATGCAGTAATACCATGTACTAAAGAAGGAGCTTAATAAATTGATTTTACTTTAAGTTTTTACTTTGATTGTGATAAGAGTGAAATAAATATCACAAAATATGGTGATCCTCGGTTTAAACTTTATCCAATTACAGAAGAGGAGGAAGAAGTTAATAAAGCACCAGAGGAATTAAAGAAATTGTTAAAAAAACAAGCTTAAGAAGTATTAAGTTCATAATGATAATGATATTAGGATAAAAATATCTATATTTATTGATAATAATAAATCAATTCATTTTCTCTAAATGATAACATACTGATTCTATCATATTATTTAAAGAATTCTCTCCAGAGACTTTATAAATGATTGATGCATATTTAGGAGTACCATCTATAACCTATTTTAAATCATCCCATCTCTTCAATCTATTATATAATCAATATTTAAATATACCTTGATTACACAACTTCTCTTTTTTCATTTGGTGCTATAATCAATCTGGATCTAACTTCTTTATCTGCTTCATCAACTGAATTATACATAATTCCTGTTATTGGATCAGTTCTTCTTTAAACAAGTCTTTTTATGATGATATCATCAGCAGTATCAATAATCACCATAAGAGTTGGTTAAACATTTAATTCATTCAAAGATTCCAATTACTTTTCTGTTTTTGGATAACCATCTAGCACATAACCTTACAATTAACAATCAGTCTAATTAAGCCTCTCTTTTATTAAAGCATTAACAATTCTATCATCTACAAAATCACCTTTATTGACTTTCTCAAATGCTTCTTTTCCAGTTGTTCCTTTTTAATTTACTAAATTTGAAATCAATTCTCTTGTTGAAATATATACAAATCCATATTTGCTTGATAATTTTTTAGCTAAAGTAGATCTTCCTGATCCAGGTGGTCCTATTACAACTATTCTAAGAGCTCTTTTAGGTGAATTATCATAAAGTTTGTATTTCAATAATTACTATATTAATTAATTTTAATAATATACTGCCATATCTTCTAATTCATAATTCTTTTCTCCATCAACTGAAAAGTATTAATTCTTGTATATGTCTTTAACTTACTTTAAATTCAATTAATATTCTAAAGAATGATTTTTTACTAAGTCTTCTTTGTTATTTAATTTATTAAATGGTTCTGTTTCTAACTTTTTAAAACAACATTGATATATTTTTTCTTATGACATTTCCAAAATTAAGAATGCATCAGGTATTATACCTTCTTTTTAAAGTGCCAATCCTTAAACTCTAGTTTTAGGGAATCCTTCAAAAATATAACTTTTCTTTTCATTCTCTAAATGATTAATCTAATTAAGTGCTATATTAATCACAATTTCATCACTCACATATTAAAATTTATCCAAAGATTCTTAAATTTATTAACTCTAAATTAAAAATAGTAAGAGATGTATACCAATTCAGATTTTTTGCTTAACTCCTTTTCAATTAAATCTCCTATAGAAACAATATGAAAATTCAAATAATCAGCCAATGTAAGTGATAATTCTCTTAATTTTGATCCAGGAGGACCAACTACAAAGATTTTTTTGCCTTTATTGATGTATCATATATACTTTCTGGTTCTTATAATTTATTGATTAGAAACTATATTGGATCATCAGGTTTTTTAATAATTAAAGATTTAAGTAGATCTTCAAAGATGTGATATACTTTATTTGTTTCAAGATAATTTTCAACTTGTTGTTAATATTACAATTTATTGGCTTAGTCCATAAGTTATCTTTTTTTATTTAAATTATTGAATATAATAATAATTATAATTAAAAATTGAATCAAGCCTTTTTCATTTGTTCTAATAAGTCTTTTTATTACTAAATCATTTCTTTCATTAATCTATTTTAAAGTTTTAAACGATGAATGATTTCTTTTTTTTGTTTTTGATTTTCTAATTAAAAAGGTGCTTATTATGGTGTTTAAATAATTCGAGGGACTTATTTGGTCTTAAATTCTTATTGTTTTTGACAAGCCCTATTGATAGTAGCTGAACTGCTTATTTGAGGCATAGAAGAATTTAATTTGCTTTTCTTTTCAGGTTGAGGATCCAATGAAAAAGCCCATTCTCTTATTTCTTCATTAGTCATCAATTCTGAGAGTGGACAATCAATCTANAATTTTTTAGCTAAAGTAGATCTTCCTGATCCAGGTGGTCCTATTACAACTATTCTAAGAGCTCTTTTAGGTGAATTATCATAAAGTTTGTATTTCAATAATTACTATATTAATTAATTTTAATAATATACTGCCATATCTTCTAATTCATAATTCTTTTCTCCATCAACTGAAAAGTATTAATTCTTGTATATGTCTTTAACTTACTTTAAATTCAATTAATATTCTAAAGAATGATTTTTTACTAAGTCTTCTTTGTTATTTAATTTATTAAATGGTTCTGTTTCTAACTTTTTAAAACAACATTGATATATTTTTTCTTATGACATTTCCAAAATTAAGAATGCATCAGGTATTATACCTTCTTTTTAAAGTGCCAATCCTTAAACTCTAGTTTTAGGGAATCCTTCAAAAATATAACTTTTCTTTTCATTCTCTAAATGATTAATCTAATTAAGTGCTATATTAATCACAATTTCATCACTCACATATTAAAATTTATCCAAAGATTCTTAAATTTATTAACTCTAAATTAAAAATAGTAAGAGATGTATACCAATTCAGATTTTTTGCTTAACTCCTTTTCAATTAAATCTCCTATAGAAACAATATGAAAATTCAAATAATCAGCCAATGTAAGTGATAATTCTCTTAATTTTGATCCAGGAGGACCAACTACAAAGATTTTTTTGCCTTTATTGATGTATCATATATACTTTCTGGTTCTTATAATTTATTGATTAGAAACTATATTGGATCATCAGGTTTTTTAATAATTAAAGATTTAAGTAGATCTTCAAAGATGTGATATACTTTATTTGTTTCAAGATAATTTTCAACTTGTTGTTAATATTACAATTTATTGGCTTAGTCCATAAGTTATCTTTTTTTATTTAAATTATTGAATATAATAATAATTATAATTAAAAATTGAATCAAGCCTTTTTCATTTGTTCTAATAAGTCTTTTTATTACTAAATCATTTCTTTCATTAATCTATTTTAAAGTTTTAAACGATGAATGATTTCTTTTTTTTGTTTTTGATTTTCTAATTAAAAAGGTGCTTATTATGGTGTTTAAATAATTCGAGGGACTTATTTGGTCTTAAATTCTTATTGTTTTTGACAAGCCCTATTGATAGTAGCTGAACTGCTTATTTGAGGCATAGAAGAATTTAATTTGCTTTTCTTTTCAGGTTGAGGATCCAATGAAAAAGCCCATTCTCTTATTTCTTCATTAGTCATCAATTCTGAGAGTGGACAATCAATCTATTGTGAATCCATAAATATTATTGAAATCCATAAAAAAAATAAGTTCCATCTGTATAAAAATCAAAATCCTTGTTAAATTGTTCATAAGAGACATCAATTATATATATATATATAAATAGATAAATGTAATTAATTGAATATTGAATAAAAATCAATTTTCTGAATCAGAATCTATACCACTAATAATAACTTCTTCTTAAGGATGGATCTAATTTTCTCTTTTTTCGATAGCTTAGACATTCCTTAATAATTTTTGTCTTAATTATTCATCTGCTTCATTATAACTATTTTCCTCATTTCTACAATCGTCATCATCATCATAGGGTGTGATCTATTTGGTAGATAGTTCATGTTTAGAAGGATAGTTATCTTAGAAGTGGAACTTTTCAATATGATTTTTGAGGGGCAATCTACTAGTGTATTATTTTCCACAAAATTAACAATAGACCTTTTCTTTGTTGGAACTATAACTGTAATCTGAATTGGAAGATCTTTTCTTAAGATTTAATATAGAATTAGAATTCCTACCATAATAGGAATCAGCTTGTTTAATTTGATTGAAAAGTCTAGTATACTTATCTGTAAGATGTTTCTATTCGTTAAGATAGTTGCTAATTAAATCAGCAAGTTTATTGTTCATTATTTTAATGCCAAAAAAAAATTAGGATTTTAAGAGAGGATTAGGCCAAAAAATTTATATGATTATAACAAATAATTAATATGAATTATAAAAAAAGTAATTAATTAATCATCTCAATTTATTTAAGTACTTCAATCGTTCAAACAATGAAGGATGACTGTTATAGTACCATTGATAGATTGGATCTATCATCAAATTTGTGGAATTCTATTTAAAGAGCTTAATTAATCCACTCATTAAATAGGAACCAAAACCATGATGATTGGCAAAGATATCTGCTTAATACTCAAAGAAACGGGATAAATGAAGTTCAAATATTTGAAACAATGTATTCATGGGTTCAAAAAGTGAAAAGAATAATGCAGAACCTATGAAGATGGATTTCTCTTTGAAACCAAAACTTAAGAACACAACATCAGAATCTCTATAAAAGCCAAAAATATAGAAAGTAATCAGAACTATTATTAAATATATTTTGAATATATACTTTTGATGCAAAAGAAGAATAATTTGATATAAGGATGCTTATATTTCCAATGTCCTAATTCATGTGCTACAACAGCTACTATCTCTTCATTTGTCAAATTATTGATTAGAGTGTCATAAAGCACTATACGTTTACTATACATTCCAAAGAAGTAAGCATTTGAATGATCTGATCTCTTGGACCCATCCATAACTAAGATCTTTTCTAAAGGGAAATTCATTCTTAAAGCTAATTGACTTATAGCTTATTTAAGTTGAGTTTCTTTGAGTTCTTCAAATTCGTTGAATAGAGGTTGAATATAATTAGGATAGACTAGACTGGATACTATTGCCATTATCAGTACAAAGAATTGCATCTATATGTTGTGTAGTGGAATATACCGCTATGAAAAAGTAATCTCCTCCAAGTTCAGCCACATATAAATAGGAATAGAGAAGTATTGGTACAAATACTACCCACAATGCTGATTCAATTACTAGATCACTGAATTGAAGAGCAAATGATATTTGACTTAGATCATATCTCTTCTCTATTACATGAGTGTTATAAAAATTATTAGGAACATCAATTAATTTGAGGCGTAAAAATTCCACAAAAATATATGCTAATCCTCTTTAAAACTATAATCAAATTAGAATTACTTCTGAATTCGAATCCATCTTAAAGAAAGTCACAGTCCTTTCCCAAATAAATGGCATCACACCACATAATATTACAATGATCTCAATAGCTGTTTTTATTGATTTCGTATACATTTCAAAAGACCTATGCAACATCATATCATTTTTACAGTTTATCATAATAAAATCGTTAACTTCTCTTAAATTATTTCTGTGTAATCCCTAAAGTCTATTCAATATGAATAGGCATCTGTTTGACTGACAATTAATCTAATTGTCTGAGATTGATGAATTGTTCCAAAAGATATTTGATCACTATGTATGACACTACAATGTAGAGATAAGAATATGACACTTCTTATTCTCTTATTCTTAATATTGCCATTAAAATTAAAATTGATATATTTTTATCAAAACTCAACTTACTTCAGCAAATACATCTCCCCATTTACACTTTTAACCCTCTTCTATATTCCATTTCACATTCTCTGCTTCAAACATCATAACAACTGTTGACCCCAATTTAAACATTCCCAATTCATCACCTTTCTTAAGTTATATAATTGGATCATAATGTTTATAAACAAATAATTCCTCTGCTTTCTAATTTGTTTAAAATTCCTTATCATAATTTAAAGTCATTGATCCCACATTAGTTGCACCAACTAAAACTATATTCATTAATCCAAAATTATAAGTTCCAAACAATGCTACCCTCTCATTTGTCTCATATACTTTAGGTGTACTTGAAATGTAACTGATCTTTACAGGTGCTAAATGTCCAACTATATGACTTCTACTTTTCAATTAGAAATCACTAGGTAAATGATATCTATGATAGTCTCCAGGAGCCAAATAAAATATTACTGAATAAAGCTTTGTATTTTATCTCTTCTTTACATCCTCCAATATTTAAGGAGTCATCTCAAAAGTCTCTTGTCCTGTTAAAAAATATCCCAATTTATAATGCACATTCTTAACTAATATTGGACTATCATCCTTCACTTCACAAAATGACAAAACCTTAGAATCTGCTGGCACTATAAGCTTATTTGTATTTTTATCAAATTCTCTACTTTTTATCTTTCGAGTAAAAAATTGTTAAAAATTTTCATAATTTTCTAGTGGCTCCAACATATCATCATAATTCACATTATAAATGTAACCAAACATTGAAAATAATGGACTTCTTAACCATTTTGGAATGTATGTTTCTGCCATTTTACCTGATTAATAAGAAACATATCTAGTCACTGATTATTGATAGGCTTCCAAATCATATTTATTTCGATTCTCTCTATAATATGAATACACAGCCATTCCATTTGCAACACCAAATATCAATCCCCACTTCAAATAACCCAAACCTACAGCCTTTTTCAATGCCTATTCTAATATTGACATTAAATTTAAGCTGTTACTTTTATTATTAATCATCTAATTGTCTAACTTATTCAGAAGTAATTAAGACATGATAACCTAATAAATTACATCTATTAACTCATTTTCTATCTAAAATTTTTGGAATTTAGAAAATCAATATTTTCTTAATAAATGTAAGCCTGAAAGACATTTGTCATTAAAAAGGACTAATAAAGGTATTGGTTTCGACATTCTTGAAAATCTTATTCATAAATAATCATATAAAGTTATTATAACTTAGAGATTTCTTGAAATATCACAAATGTCTAGAACCAAAAATACAATGTATTCATTACCTTAAACTTTTATAAGCGTTCACAATATAAAATAGACACAATTGAATTATAAATGAGTAGTAGAGATAATATTGATAAATTCATCCAGCAATTAAAAAATAGATTCATTAAGGCAGATATCTTGATTAATAATATTTCTTTAGTTATCAAGTCAGATGGTTTGAATTCTATTTAAAATTGTATAATACACCTTTAAACTTATCTTTTATGGCACAAGTATATCTACTAAAATTATATACTCTCGTAGAATTGACTCCAAAATTCATTCTTTTATTCACTAAATATGAAAAGATAATTAAAATTGGATTATTAGATAGTAAAGTAAGATTTTTTGAAATTTAATGATCTTGTCTAAAGATTCAAGAATCAGAATATAACTAGTTAAGATGTCTTCAAATTGGCAGAAGAATTTTAAGAATAATATTATGATTTTGTAATTTTTAAGATACATATGAACAAAATATTTTGGCAAAGTTGGGGATTGGAATTAGCAAATATTTAATTAATGCTTATGTCTAGATTTTTGCTTAAAATGCTGGAGTTAAGTATAATATTTTATAAATTTATAACATAACTACAAGTATTATAATTATACACATGTCCTGGATGGGTAAATATAGAGATGGCTGTGGATGATGCTGAATTGACAATTTATCAAGGAGTCTTAATGCATATAATATATATTTTTAAAGGTTTAAATATAATTATACACTATTGTTTTACTTTATGGATTAATTTTAATTGTTTTTATATGAAAAATTATTTTGATATGTCATTTAATTTTTATATAACAATAATGTGACAAATTATTAGAAATTAAATTAAAAGATATGTAAATTAATTGAAATTCAATTGTAGAACAAATGTATTTGAGTATTTTTTTATTAAAATTCATTTATATCATAATGATAAAAATAAATTATTATAATAATTAAATTTATAAAAAATAAAAAGAGAAAACTTTGCGTATCTTTTTAATTAGGCTATTATTATATAAATAATACGTGTTTAAGTGGCAAAATATCTTTTATCAAGACAATAAAATTAATATCTCATCATGCATTCAAAACAAATAAGTGTTGCTCAATTATTCTATAGAAGCTTGTACAATAGCTCCCATGGCCTCTTAAAACAAAGAATGAGGGAGCTAGTGCCAGTTAAACAAGCTTTACTCCGTGATGTGAGAAAGCGATATGGATCGAAGGAAATATGTAAGGTGACAGTGGATCAGGCCATAGGAGGAATGAGAAATGTGTTTGCTCTCTTTTATGATGCATCATTATTAGATGCTAAAACTGTAAAGATTTTTTTATCATGTTCTTAGGGTATCACTATGAGAGATTACAATATCCCAGAATTATAAGAGTATCTCTAAAAGGCAGAGAATGGCCATGAACCACTTCCTGAAGCTTTATTCTGGTTACTATGTACAGGTGATTTCCCTTGTAAAAATATTGATTTATATTTTTAGCTGAGCAAGAGTTTGCTGATGTATAATAGGAATGGAAATAGAGAGGATAATTGGATTCATAAACACAAAACTTTATTTTGAGTTTACCAAAATCAGCTCATCCAATGACTATGTTATCTCAAACTTTATTGTATCTATAAAAAGATTCCCTTTTCTAATAAGCCTATGATTAAGGAAAAGTCTCAAAGCCTCAATATTGGGAATACTTCTATGAAGATGCAATGGATTTGTTAGCCAAGATTCCAAGAGTGGCTGCTCTCATTTACAGACATAAATATAAGGTATATGGATTTTTATAATGTAGAATGGAGAAATTATATCAGCTAATGAGAGTTTGGATTGGGCTGGTAATTATGCACACATGCTTGGATACAATAAATTTGAAGTTCGAGAATGTTTAAGAGGATATTTAAGCATCCATGCTGATCATGAAGGTGGTAATGTGAGTGCTCATACAACACATTTGGTTGGTTCAGCATTGGCAGATCCATATTTGTCATATTCTGCTGGTGTTAATGGTTTGGCTGGTCCATTACATGGTCTAGCTAATTAAGAAGTACTTAAATGGCTTTTAGAAATGAGAGTATATCAATAGATTAAATATATAATAGGAAGAATTAGGTGAAAATATCTCAAATGAGAAAATCTAAGATTATGTTCTTACTACAATAAGAGAAGGAAAAGTTATTCCAGGATATGGACATGCTGTTTTAAGATACACAGACCCACGTTTTATTCATCAAAAAGATTTTGCAGCTAGACATATTAAAGATGATCCATTAGTTGATTTAGTAAGACAATGTTATCATGTGATTCCACCTGTATTGAAAACTATTGGAAAGATTTAGAATCCATGGCCGTAATTATTTTAATTATCATAGAAATGTTGATGCACACTCTGGAGTCTTACTATATCATTATGGAATGAGAGAATTCTAATACTACACAGTTGTCTTTGCAGTCTCAAGAGCATTAGGATGCATGGCTAATCTTATTTGGTCCAGAGCATTTGGATTACCAATAGAAAGGCCAGGATCCATAACTATGAGATGGATTGAAGAAAAGTTTGGTGAAAACTAAAACTTAAAATGAGACCAATTCATTTCATCATTAAATATCATATTAAAATTTATTATCTTATATCTTAGTAAGACAATTAACATATATCATAATTAAGAATCCAAAATTCTCTTAACTTTCTTTATTTTTGAGGATATAAAACATTTTATAGTGTAATGAATAGGCTTGATTTTTTTTGCTCTTTAGAATTTATTTATTCTACAAATTGATTATAAATTGTACCTTATGATTACGTTATCATAATTATTATGTGGATTATAATACTTAAATAAATGCATCTTTTCAAATCTATTAAATAAAATATCATGATATTAATAGTGATGATTCTTTAATAAATCAAATTATATACCTCTGGAGTATTAATAATTTAGAACTATGACATCTAATTGAGAATACTCACTTTTGTACCAGTTTTAGTACTTTTCTTTCTATTTGTATGTCTCTACTATTCTGAAAGTGATTAATCACTATGAGATCCTCCTCTTTCCTCCTTCTTTTTTTAAGGTGGAGGCTATTAAAATTATGTTGGAGAAACTTTAGCAGATTTAGTATTAACTTTAGAATTACTTGAAGGATTATTAGATAAGTTGTTAGATAGAGGATTTGAATAAGTATTAGAACGATTTGATGTTTGCCTAATTGAATTCTATTATTATTATTAAAATTATATTTAATCCTCTGTTTATCCTGATTATTATTGTTAATAACGAAAAGTTAATTTAGTATGCATTGAACGAGCAGCAGTATAGAGATGATTTTTTTTAGTAAAAGCTTAAGAACCACTGCTTTACTTACTCAATTAGTTTGTATCTTCTTGTTTTGAATTCAGAGAGTCAAGCTACTTACTTTGAGATTACTCGGTAATAACTTGCAGTTTCTCTTTATGTAAATTCTCTATAATATATATATTTATTAATTTTTGTACCTAAAGTTTCAGACATGAAAGGAAATCCTGCTGTTCTTAAGGTAGTTTTATTTTATTATTTTCTTAATTGATTATTAAATATTGGATCATTGGCTAAGTCTTCATAGAGTTAATCTCCATCACTATCTTGATTGTCACTTAATTTTTCAGGACTTTATTTATGAACTGATTATGTTTTACTCATATAACTGGCGGAGTGTTATGTCTAATCTAAGTAGATTAAATATATATTTATGTAAAGATATATATACTTTCACTGTAAGGTAGTTATGATGACATAGGAAAGTCTTCAGATGTCATAACTTCCTATGATAATTTCTATTAATATTATTTTGCTCGTTCCCCTACAACAAACAACATCATTAAAGCCTTAGGTTCTTTATTTTTTCTTTCAATTTTAAAACGTTTTTGTGGATGAGGGTAGATATGCTTTTCAATTATGTTTAGTTTTTTTGGATAATATTATAAGTATTGGCATTCAAATAATAGATGACCTTTTGTTTTACAATAATGACATTCGAACATATTATGATTCTAATTGCAATTATCCTTAAAAAAACAAAATATCTCATTATCTTAAGGGAAAGTCTTAATGATTTCCAAAAAATCAGATCTTCTTAATTTGAATACTGTAGTCAAACTCTAACTATTGATTGATATATAAGGAGGGATTCCACTTATAAAAGAGAATTCCCCAAAGGTTTAACCTTCTGATAAAGTATGAAAAGTTCTTTTAGGTTTCCCTTAAAAATATCCCTAAAATTGAATCTTCACTTTTCCTTTTAAAATAAAATAAAGACAGAAATCTTCAACCTAATGTTCCTATATAATTTTATAAAATCAAAATTTTACTTAAACAATATTCTCTTCTGGATTATATTGTGCCATATCAAACCAGTAAATCAATTATTATTTCAAACTAGAGGAAAATTTATTGAACAATTTAATTTTATCAACCATCTTAGAACGTATAGATATCTATAATTCTTCCTAAAGACCTGGTGATAATTTCTTAATTAAAAGATCTCTATTTTTTATTATGTCTTCCTAATCTTAGATAGAAGATAGATATTACATCAATAACATATTCTAAATAGGAGTAACAACGACATTGTAATCCATAATCAATGCTTTTGTCTTTAATTCCTTTTAAAAAAGAAGCAAGATGTTTTTGTTTTTCTTCTTCTAATTTCATTGTTGGTTTGATCCAAATAAATATTACTGAAGCTGTATAAATCATATTAAACGAACTAATGATCATAAAAATTTATAAGAGTGTAGCATTTGTAGGAGTTATATCAATTGATATAGCACCATTATGTGTTAATATAGAAATAGCTAATGAAAGTGAATAATGAATGCCTTCATCTGATTCTAATAGGCAGACAAATGTCATAATCAATGCCATCCAAAGAATTAGAATATAAACTATTAATTAAGTGGATGTATAGATATTTTCAAATCGTTCTGCTTATCTAATCAATTGCATAATGATAAAAGGTATAATGAAGTATTTGATTTTATATTAATATGAAAAGATTAAGATTATAATGGAAGCTAGTCTACTTAAATCTAAGACTATTTTAGAATGATCCAAATATTCATTATTGAATTTACCTTCTTTCATATGAAAAGGTCCTCTCTTAAAATGAATATCAGCAGCTATTTGTATTATTACAAATCCATGTATAATATATGCTGCAATTTCAAAACCTTGTTCTTCAGCTATTTGAAGTGGAATAATTATGATAGATGCTAATATAATGGCTGAAGTCAAAGCAAAATAGGAGACAGTAAACCATTTATACATATGTGGTTATACTATTGATTACTAAATATATCTACTTTAAGTTGTATCATCAATCAAAGTGATGTCTTTCAATTCATTCCAATTTATCTTTCTTTTCATCTATTGAATAAATTTGTTGACTATGTTCTTTACATGTAATGAATTAATAGTAGCTGATTTGTTTTTATCCATCAATTATAACTGAAGCTATATTTAATCTTTAATTTTATACTGATTCAGATTGAAATGAATCATGAGGATCTAATCCTGAAACATCAATCAATCTACTAGCACTATTATTATCAACACATTTTATTTTTGATTCTTATTGAAAAGGATTCTTTTCAAAACTTTTATTTGATTGAATATTAGTATAAATTGTTGGTACTTTCATATCACTTCCACAAAAATCACATGGCTATTAGATTGGTGAATTCATAAATTGAAATTTTCGCTTTGCCAATTACATACTTGAAGAAGACTGTTCTTCATCTTCCTCTTAAATTGATTCACTATTCTAGTATCCCATAGTTCTAGATATTTTCCTTTTAGAAATATTTTCAATTGGATCGAGGTCTTAAAATTCTTCAATTTTTTTAGATAACTACATTATATATTTAAATTCATTCTTTATAATGTAATAATATTCAATTCATAATAATTTAAAGAAAATTAAAATAAATTACTAAGATTACCAAAGAAATTAATCTAATTTTTGAAAAACTTAAACAAATATAAGCAATATATAACTATAATGTTCTTTAAAGAATATTAAAATTATATGGAATTTTATATGATATCTCATTCAATTATGATACTCTCTTAAAATAATACCATAAGTCCAGGATTATCAGCCAAAAAGGATCTTAATGATGATGATTCTAAGATAATAATTTCAGTGTCTTCCACTGCCTCAACTATTGTAGTTGTTCTTCTGTTTTATACAATTGAATCAATTTCTCCAAAGAACATACCACTAGTCAAAGGATAAGTCTAAATTTATGAATAATAATTATTTACTTTTATTTCACTTAATGATGACTTCTCTGAAACATCTGGAGTTTAGATATTTGGTCTTTATTATTCAAGCATTGCTAAATTAATTGGTAAAGAGAGTCTCTTCTTTTTTTAATCAATAATTTATTATTATTATTATTTAGTCTGATCACTAATTGTTGATTCTTATCTATTGACTTTTACAGATTATCCTTCAAATTGTTATACAACATAATCAGATGGTAAAATCACTTATGCTTTACCAGAAACTACAAAAAATGCCACTGTAGACATAACACCATATTATTGAATCATAGAATGTTTTTAGTAAAACCGTTTCTAATTTAGTAACATTTCCAATTAAATTTTTTGATAAGATGTTAATTAAGAAAAGAATTTATTTTTTTCCATAATTTAGGTTTAAGATCGTACTACTTATAGATTTTCTAATTTTTGCATAACATCATCATTTTAAAATATCCTCAAAAAGTCTGCTTTACTCAATGTTATCAACTCACATTAATTCATGGCAGTAGCATTGGCTCTTCTCTTATTTTAATTAAAGAAACATCCTTCACCAAAATAATCACCATAATGTAAATATTTCACAAATACAGGATTTTCAGAATGTATTTTAATATTACCTTTACGAATAATATAAAACTCAGATCCAATCTCATCTTAAATACAAATATTTTAATTTTGTTCATAAGTCTTAAGAATTGAACTTTCAAAAATCTATCTTACTTAATGAATATTGGCATGTTTAAACAAATCTATATTTTCAATTAAACTTAATTCTTAAATAGTATTTAATCTAGAATCTTCAGTTTAATTAATTAAAACTATAGTATTTTCTAATCCTACTCCTGGAACTCTCAATCCAGAATCAGGAGGGATATCTTTGGCTGCAGTATGAATTAATCTTAATTTATCCTTAACTTCTTATGGAAGTTATGCCAATAATTTTGCAGGAGTATGAATAGGAGGCACACCAGCTTCATGTAAGATAAGTGAATTCTTCCATTTATCTTCACTCATCAAATGATTATATCTTTATTCTGAAATAACACCTTTCTCAAAAATTGTTTTTAATCCATTTGGTTCATAAAATGTATCACCACTAAAATATATTGATTAACCACCTAATCTTACTGTAAAAGATAGACAAGGAATACTATGTAAAGAATAATGAAATTCAAAAGAAGCTCCATTTATCTTTAATGGATTTCCTACAACAACTCTTTCAAAGTTAAATAGTGATTCAATATAATTTGCTGTAAAACCAGTCATAGCTGCATATTTTCTAACAAAACTTTCTTTAATTGTTGCAGTACTAATTAAAATAGTTTTTTCAGATTCTAATAATTTTTAAAAGGTTCCAGCATCATGATCAGCATGATTATGTGATATAATTACCCATTTTACTAATCTACTAGGTATTCCATTCTTTCTCAAAAGTAATGTTGTAAATGGTGGTGGATCTAGCATCACACCTAAACCATTTATCCAAAAGATATAACCTGATACTGAACCTTTTGGATCAAATCCATGTGAACAACCTAAAACTGTTACTCCAAATATAGGAGGTGTAAATGTCTATTCAAAATAATGTTCAACATATTATTAATCATTAGGATTACTAAATAATCCATATTTTATATATGCATTTGATTTAGCATCATCTATCATAATTTCTACTTTATTTTTCATCTTAGCTACCTATTTCCCATTTTCAAATATTAAAAATTTCTAATCTTCCTTTTTTACTATTACATCCTAACCTAAATTAACTTGATTTTATTCATCAAAAATTAAAAAATTGATCAATAAATCAACCGTTAATGGTTCACTAGGATTAAAAGGATTCTTTGCAAAATGTCCTAATTCTTTCACTATATCTGGTTTACAATTGTAATCACTACTAAAATCTTAATCAAATTTTGATAAATCTTTAGGTCCAAGCAAAGTTTCCTAAAAAATTGATCTTATTGCTTCTTCTCCTTCCTTATCTGTTATAAGAGTTACTCGTCTTCTTTTTACAAAAAAACTGAAATAAGCTGGAAATTCAAATTCTGCTACAGACAAACAAAATCTTTTATCAAATCTATGTGAAGGTACAATAAATATTCCAGGAACATCCAAACCTAAGTTTATACTATCTTTTAATGTCTCAGGAACCATACTGAACTGAATTGCACCAACTTTTGTCATTACTATACTTCCACCTCTAGGCAATTTAATTTTATTGGATAAGTCACTTTCTGAAAATTATGATTCAGATTTTAAAAGTATAGGGTTTTTAATTTGATTAGATTATCTTTCATTCTCACTACGACTATCATTATCAGAACCATCATCATGATGAGAACTAGTCATTGAAGCATATTCAAGAACTTCTTATTCACTAACAAAATGACAAGCCATTTTAATCTGATATAAATATTATTTATTTGAGATGCGATAAAAATTAAATTAAATATCCAAACATTGTTTTTTTTTGTTTCCTTATTCTAATATAAAATGGAAATTTTATATCTTAGATCATAAAATTGATTAAATTATATATAATAGTTAAATAGAGATTCTAAATTTATAAAGAATGAATCCATTCTATTCATTTTAATAAAAATTATTTCTCTATATTAATTTTTAATACGAAAGAACTTATTGTCCTGTTACTAATCTTTTTAACTTAAAATATAATAAAAAGTAAAAATTCTAAAATCTCAATAATGAATAAGTAATTCTTATCATAATGATATATTATTACATAGGATTAACTTAAAAATGAGAATAATATTCCTTAGTTTACAAAATATAAGAACTCAGGAATTCTTTACAGTAAATATTTGGTTATTTAAAGTTAATAATGAACTATTAAATATGAATAGAAATTTAGTTATGAATAAAGATTTGAGATATCTTTATTTAATTTGATTTATGAGTGGAAATAAGAGCAAAATAAATTCTAACTTCTTTTAATTTTCTATTGATTTTTATCAAGATAGGATATACATATATTTTATTAAATGGGGTTCTGTTTATCTGATATGAATTAGTATTAGTATAAAATGAAGAAGAAATAGAAAGTGATCACAAAAATTAATCAACATTAAAAAGTGATTATTATTGAATTACTAGTTAAGAATATATAATATATATATATATATTACAAATATGGAGTTCCCAGTATTAAGTGGTATATGCGGTTCAATTGCAAGTTATGCTGGTAGGATAATTATTATGTATTTAGGTAAAATTGCTTTTTAAGATGAATCATAATTAATGTTTAGAGCAGTTGGATTAATTTGTATGTTATTATTCAATAAATGGATGTTTTAATTCAGTTTTAAATCAATGCAAATTAATGGCTCTTCAGTGACTGTGCTACTATAATTTATAGTAGGTAATCTCATAAATGTAAGAATTATTTATATGAAATAGGGACTTAATGGGTATTTTTTATTGAATGAGTCACTGTCGTTGTAATGGTTAATTGGAATAATATTAATGTGTTTAGGAGTTTATATGATATCAAATGATAATCATGAACGCTAAAAATAGTAATGAGATAATGATGATTAACTAAATAATAAATGCGTCATTTTAATATAAGTTTAAAAGATAATACGCATGATAATAGGCACTAATTAAGGAAATTTTTCGATTTATGATCTAATTTATAAATATCCAGACAAATGCACTCTATTCACGTAAAGCTTAGTGATGAACTAGAACTCTCTTCAGTATGTTCAGCCCTTCTTCTTGCATTCATTGAAAACTCTAGAGTTTTGAGATACTGTTCTGGAGGTGGAGATTATACAAACACTTAAAATGATTTTGGAGATCATCAATTAGAAATGGATGTATAATGCGAATTGAATGTAAATACAGAATTGAAGAAAACAGGATTTGTTAGTCATACAGCAAGTGAAGAAACTCCAGAAGTAAATAGATAATCATAATTATTCTTAGATGAAGCTTCTTTCTGAAGGTGGAAAGTATATAGTAACATTTGATCCATTGGATGGAAGTTCAATTATTGGAACCAATTTTGCAGTGGGCACAATAGTTGCTATATGGAAATCAGATGAAAATTTATTAATTGGAAAAAGAGGTAGAGACATGGTATCTGCTTGTTGTTGTTTATATGGAAGTAGAACAAATGTTGTATTCTGGAATGAGAAGGAATAAAAGGTCTAAGAATATACATTATTTGGTATGGCATTAATTTTGATTATGTTTAGATGGTGATAAATAAGGACACTGGGAATTAACAAAAGACAACATTAAAATTAAACCAAAAGGCAAATTATTCAGTCCTGGTAATACAAGATGTATAGCTGAACATATTCCTTACAGAGAAGTTGTTGATTATTGGATTCATAATGGCTATACATTGAGATATTCAGGTGGAATGGCACCAGATATATGTTAGATCTTTTTGAAAGAAGTAGGAGTATTCTCTTGTTTTGGTGATGCCAAAAATCCATCAAAATTGAGATATCTTTATGAATGTGCTCCACTCTCCTTCTTAATCGAGAAGGCTGAAGGAAAATCTTTCAATGGTAAAAGCTCTGTACTTGATACTGAAATTACAGGATATCAATAAAAGAGTGAAATTATAGTAGGAAGTGCAGATGAAATTGAATTTTTCAAGAGTATTTGGAAAAAGCATGGACTTTTAAAAGAATGATGTGTTTATTGAATATTTAAATTATCAATAATAAATTCTAATCAATTCATTCAATTCTTATATAAGTTAAGGATCTTTTACTTTTAAAAAGTTAACTATATTTATCTCATCAAATAATTATTTACGAGAATATAGTGCAGATTGATTACTAATTCCACTATTAACTATTTATTATTATTCAAATCTTTATTGACTAGGAGTTTTCTTTAATTATTATAATTTATTAATAGGCATTTCATTATGTAATTTTTCACTACTTTAACTTCTATTAACTAATTAATCTCCTGATTTATCATTCTTACTTCCTCCTGCACTTACTTATCTTAAAATTCTTGAAGAACTTTTTGAATCTTTAGAAACAGAATATGATCTCTATTATTATGGTTATCTCTTATCTAATTCATATTAAATAAATTGATGCAATGGTGATTTGATATATTTCATTAAAAACTCAGTATTCATTAAAGATAAGTTAAGTTAATTGATACATCTTTCATAATCATTAGGATTTAATTAAGGTACTAAAATTATAATTTTAATAATATACCAAATTCTAATAGTAATTGAAATGACTTTTCTTATGCTTATTAAATTTGAGGAGTAGCTGCTAATAGAATCAAACTATCATCCAAATCCAATTTACTTAAATTATATGTGGGATTCAAATTGTAATACAAATGATTTAAACACAAAGTTAATACTTGATCAGTATTAAGATAAACTGTGAATTCCAATTTTTATTAATCAAATTTATTTAGATCTATATTATATAGTAATTAATAATATACCATTAAATTCACATAATAGTATTTTATTTCCTTTGCTTGCAACTAAATTGACTAATTTTAATTATTCTAGACCAAATTAGGAAAGTTACAATTAAAAATATAAGGCAATAATTCTTAAATTTAATTCAGGATCTATATCTTCTAATTTTAAATAAATTTTCAAAATTTTATCTTCCATTTTAGCTACCAATTTCCATGTAAAATCAGAAAATTTAAATTATTATGTTTCTTTATTTATTATGGATGATAGATTTGATAATTTCCAATTAATACTAGGATGTGTTTGATAATTAATCTTTTTAGCTAAAACAGTTTATTTTTATTAAGTAATTATTTAAACTATGTCTTAACAATTTCTTATCTTTTACACTATTTATAAGAGTTCAGGATTATTCTTTTTTCGATAATGTTTTAATGCTCTTTCTAATATCTCTTCAATGACTTTCTAATTGATTTTATTTAGATCCATAGGATTAGATTAATATATTAGTAATAAATTCCTAGCTGTGAAATTCATACACACATTTAACATCTAATACCATACTTCTGGAGAATCCTGAATGAAAATAGATAACTACTTCACATGCTTTCAGCTTTTTAAATGCTTCATTTAAGAAGATAATGCAATTTTAAACAGTTACTCTATCTAAAATGAGATCTCGAATTACAGTCTCTTAAAAGAATTCCATTTACAAATGATCTCCTAACCATAATAGTCTTTATAGAGTTTAATCAGTGTATTTTTTCTGAATATCCAATTAATTGTTAAGGAACTACTAGAAAACTGAGAATGCTTCCATCGTTAGCCATTTTGGCATAGTGGCAGTATATACCTTGTAATAAGATTAAATTGCTTACAAGACCTTTTTTCTCAGTTTGAAGTGTCATACTTAAACATTTGTTAGCTTCAATGTAATGAGTTTATCCTTCTACTACAAAGCAAACGAATTCAGACATATATATTCGTTTATTAATTATATATAAAATAATTCAAAAATTGATTTAATTTTTTTTACAATGAATCAGAGAAATAATTCTTAAAAATGCATCATTGAATCTTATTAAAAGATTTCATAATTCCAATATTACTTATTGATTGAATTGGTACATTGTTAACTGTCTTCAAAGGAAGGTTAGCTTAAGAAATCATAGTTTTATAGGATTTCATTTCTAAATGATTGAATATCTTTTCCACTTTTGGAAATTAATTATTGAAATGTTTTAATTTATGAGTAATTTAAGCATCCTTTTTCTTATAATAAAAGTAATTATTTAATTTTTATATTCTTACTTCTTACAAATTCATCTTACCAAGCTTTAGATGCTTTAAAATTAGAATCTTTAAAGAATTTGATTGCTTGGATTTTTATTTATTATCTTGAAACTCTTTTCTTTTATTTGATACATTATTTTTTAACCCATAATTCTAATTATTCTTCTGCTTTTTCATTAAGTTTTTTTCTTCCACATCCTTTTTTTCTCTTATAACCAGATCTAATCCATCTCCTAATATTTTTGATAGATGTTTAGTATTTATCTTTCAAATGCAATAAGGAATTCTAAATAGGATGTTTAGAATAATAATCTATAATCTCTTATTTAACATCTTCTGTTAGTATGGTATACTTCTTTTATTTTTTCTTTTAAGTTCTTCGAGTTTTCATAAACAAATTAATAAAAATGAATTTGATTATATGTTGTACCTCTTTGACCTAAAATATTTTTCTAGTTGGATGTTATTAATTTGCAGATAATAATTTAATTTATGATTTTGCTCATAATTTTTGGCACAGTATTTGGATTAGAGTACTAAAAAATATTCAGCTATAATGGTCAATATGCTCATGGTATATAATTAATATAATACAAGTTAGTAATATCTTCAGAATGTAATGCTAAATCAGTTGAAGATGCTCCTCGATTATATAACATCATTGAATAACAATATCAATTTTAATGGTTAATGACATGTTCTGATGATAGTGAATGTTGGGCCAAAGTCACATTTAGTGATGAAGGGACAAACATATGTTGTTGTCATAGCTATAAATTAGTGATATTAATTATATTTTATTATCTAATATATTGATGTAAGATAAACCAAACCAATAATAAGACAATGTTTAAAACACAATCAAATCATTATAGGATAAGATCTAAAATATTGAAAATTTGATAGAAAGAGGAACTGATTGTATAATCATTTAGTATGGATCACATAGTATAAAAATGAATAAAGCAAGCGGTAAATAGAATTATATATCATATTTAGAAATGCTTCCAAAGAAATTTAGAACTTTAATTGGTTATAAAGTACAATCATAACTTAAATAAGTTTAATCTACAGATCTCACTGTAATTGATGAAAGTCTTTTATTATTGGAACAAAAATTAATCTCTAAAGGTGCACTCAAAGCCTAACCTAAAAGCATGCGTGGAAAGCCAAGAGCAAAAATTGAAGTAGATTTACGTAACATAAGAGGATTTTTGGGTAAGAAAGAATAAAAATAACCATAATGTACTCTTACATAAATGATGGAAGATAAATCTATTGTATTTGAGGATGACATTTTTACAGGTGATTATTTAGTAAGATAACCAATTAAACATGGATTTTTCAATTTAACAGAGAATTATACTATATAAGATGTAATTGAGGATTTATACAAATTAACATTATATGGATTGAATTGTAAATTGGGATTGAAGAATATATCTGATTATTATTGTATTTTAGTTATTCCTGATATCTTTTAAAGAATTTAAATTAAAATGTTAGTAGATATGTTAATAAGATAATTAGGATTTAAAGGAATTTATTTACATTTAGAATCAGTCTTATCTAGTTTTGGAGCTAATCTTTAATAATGTTGTGTTGTTGATATTGGTTATGAAAAAATCAACATTACTTGTGTAGATGATGGAGTCATTTTGCCTGGAACATATGTGAGAAAGAATTTCGGTAGTAAAGATATTGATTTAGTACTTATGAGATAAGTTACTAAAAGAAATGCTTGTGATCAAACAGTATAATTATAAAGTAATAATTATGGAGATCTACTTTAAATGGAAAAACTTAAAGAAAAAGCTTGTCAATTAATACAAAAAGAAGATAAACTCAATTACAATTATGAACTTCATTGTTTAAGAAATCAAAAAGAAAAGAGATTCTTTGTTCAACACAATGATGGATTATACATATCTGCCAATACACTTTTTGAATCAGAACCTTTTAATGAAATCAGAAAATAAGATATGCATGAATGTTTTGATTTTACAGGACGTCTTTTTGAAATGTAATATGATCCAGAAGACAATTTTGAAGAACTTAGTGGAGGAATTCAATTATCTTGGTATTGGGGATCTAAAGAAAAAGAACAATAATATTTCATAGAAGGAAATCAAATGTTAAATCCTAATTATATGATACCCTTAGATCATATGATTTCTTATTCTATTGCTTAAGTCTAGGATCCAGAAATTAGATAAAAATTAGCCAATAATATTCTATTTACAGGTGGAGGAGCTCATCTAATCGATCTTGTAGATGAAGTAGAAGCTTTATTGATTGAAAAATTCTAAGTTATGGAAGTTAATGAAATTGAAAGAGTAGAAGTTAAAACTATAATTAGAGATATTAGACCTATTAATATGGCATGGGTTGGTGCTACTGTCTTACCTAAAACAGAAAGTGTTAGTGAATTATGGATTACAGCTCCTAGATGGTTAGGTAATTTGGAACCTCAAAAAGATGAATTGGAAGATATGATCAATTAATTTGATGGAGATGTTTAATAATTGGAAAAAAAACTTATTGCTTTTGCTAAAAAGGATAAAGAAAAAGATCGAAGTTGTGAATATGGAATTAAACATTTGAAAGAAAAGATTCCCTTTATTTGGTGATTTTGTATAATAATTATATATATATATTAATATTATGTATGTCAATCAGAATCTTCAAATAATGCTCTTTGCATTCTTTAATTCCTTTATTGAGCAGGTGTTGGTTTTGGAGCTTCAGGTTTCTTTACTGGTTCAGAAGGTTTGATTTGTTACTATTAAACTTGAGGTCTTGGAGGCGGTTTCAAATCTTCTTCTGATTCATCATCAAACACATTTTTCTTTATTTATGGTTTCTATGAAGGAGGAACAATTTATTATTATTGTTAAATAACTGGTTTAGGAGGTCAACTATAATAATTTAATTTTACTCAACTCTTTGACCTGGCATTGGTAATTTAGTGACTTACTCTTCTTCATCATCACTAAACATATTCTTTCTTTATGGTTTAGATATTGTTGGAGTTACTGTTACTTAAACATTAGTAGTCTAAGTATTTGATTTACCTATTATCTATATTCAATACTTACCTCCAAAACCTGGTAAATTTCCTATCTATACTGGCTATTATTGTTTCTTTCCTCCTCCTCCTAGTGGATCACTAAAGAAATTTGGTAAACCTCTATAAATTATGTAATAATTGATTACTTCTATTCGAATTCTTTACCTATAACTTTTAAAGGATCTTATTATTAACTTGGCTTATTGGATGTTAAACTAGGTAATTATTATGTTGGTGGAGCTATTGTAACTTATATATCTTTCTTTTCTGTTTTCACTTCCAATGTTATTGGAACCTCAAAATCATTTAATTTATTTAATTTAATTGATTCTCTATAAGATGTTCTATCGATTACTGCTTCAGCTTTCTAAGTTTATTATGTTTTCTCCTTTATAACAAAAGTAGGTTTAGTAGATTTCTTTTTAGAATCGTCATCATCAAAATCAATTGCTTATTTTCCTCTTGCTTTCTTCTTTTACACAACTGGTCTTTCTGCTTGTTATTCTACAAATTCTGATTCATTTTCTCTTTCATTTTTTTTTATGTCTTTCATAGTTACTTATTCTCCAGGAGGTTTCATAAACATATTCAAGTTTAATTTATTTTATAGTTATTAAATTGAAGGTCTAACAGGTGGTTCTTCAGTAGCAGGAACAGTTAATTATTAAGTTGGTTTAGCAGTAACTTAAGGTTATTATTTTTTTTCATCATCTGAATCTTAGAAAACATTTCTTTTAGGAGGAATTACTTATTATTATTATTATTATTGTTATTATTATTATTATTATTATTATTATTATTATTATTATTATTATTATTATTATTATTATTATTATTATTATTATTATTATTATTATTATTACTGCTGCTTTTGTTATTATTATGTATACATTGCAGCTATTTTATCTGCATTTGCCTTTTAAAGATTTTCTTCTTCTGTTTCATCAAAAAGTTGTTTTTTTGGAGGTGGCTTAATACTTTGTACTCTAGGCTAAGGGATTAAATCTGTATCTTCTTCTTCTTTAACAACAATTGCTACTGGTTTTTTAATTTCATCTTGTTTTGCAACTCCATCAGTAAGTAAGTTATTGAATTTTTATTTATTTGTTGATGTTGATTTAAATAATCCACCATCATTATCATCATCATCATCATCCTCTTCAAATAAGCCTACTATTTTATCCTTTTTTTACGCATAAGAGGGTGCTCCAATAACAGAGGGTGGTTAAAATACTTTTTATGGTTATTGGGAGTTTCTCTATTAAGGATTTTCCAAATATTATTATTATTATGGTTATTATTAGAGATTAGTTTAAGGGATTGGAATCTATTATTATTGTTAATTTGGTTATTATTATGGCTGATTTTGTTCTCTTTTTTGTAAAATTAACTAATTTAATTATTCTTAAAGAGTTTAAGGAGGTTGAATTTACTATTATGGAGGTGGTTATTATATTACTGGCTATTATAGTTATGGTTATTAATAATAAGGTTATTAGGTAGGGGGAGGAGGTGGAGGGGGAGGTGGATCAACTACTGTTGGTCTTTGTGTTTGTGAAGCAGTTTGAAGAGGAGGTTATGGTTAGAGTCCTTATTATTGTTGTTATTGATATGGTGGTGCAAATGCTAGGTTAAATGCTTCCTTCTATTGAGGGTCTGTAAATCCGAATTGTTAATCCATCATTGAATTGCCTAGAGCAGAATTTGTTCGTGTAATGAATTAATTGTTGTCACCTGTATATGAGATTTAAGATTGATCTTATCTAATTGATTATCTAATTTGTTATTAATTCTATGGTGGAACCAATTGAGATTACTAATTTGCAATAGGCATTTATTAAGATTGAGCCTCAGATTATCTGTAAGCGGGAGCAGGAGCAGATTGACGAACTGGTTCTTAGATGGGAGCTTCATCAAAGTCATCAAAAAGACCTAAGAATAGTATGGAATGCTTAACCAATAAATTTGTTGTTGTTGAATTAGGGTGTTCCAAACATAGCAGGTAACTTAACAGACTTGCTTACAGTGCCACTAGTTGTAGCTGCAGAGAAGACAGAGATTGATTTATCATCTCTATCATCAAATATATCATCTAAGAGATATGGAGAATCGAATACCATCTTATGCCATTTATTGTAAATCAAGAGATTGTAATGCTACACCTAAGGCTTTAGTGTATTTTTGAGCTGTTGTTAATCCATCATCTTTGGTTTATGGAGGTGTAGCTTTTGGAGGAGCTTCTTATGGAGGAGCCATTCTCTTGAATAATCTATAAAAGAATATACTTATTCAGTAAAGCGACTATCACTCAGAGTTAAAAATTTATTGAAGGCTTGATTGATTTGTGCATGGATAGAGTTAGCTGAATGTTGAACTGATCGGATATCTGATGACACAGCTCCAAATTTTGTAAGTAGATTGGTACTCATTTGATCCAATTTAATGAAGGTCTAAAGAAAGATAATGTATTATCATTATTGATACTTTATTATCTTAATCTAGTGTCCATTGATTGATTTGACTACGCAAAGTTGTCAAGTCAGACATGTTAATTAAAAATTATATAACAAAATATTGAGTATTCAAAGTCTAGATCCACATTATCATTATATAGTATCTTCATTAATTAAATAATGAATTCAAGCAATACATATCAATCTTGGAATTAATAGAGTTAAGTTGGTACATTTCAATCAATGTACAATAATGAAACACAATAAATCCGTTTCAAGGAAGAGAGTTTCTCAACTTTTCAACCTGTTATACAATAGTAAACTTCTTGGACTTAGAGTCAGTTGTTAGGGAGAGTAGATGAAAAAGATTTTCTAGTTGTACAAAAGACAAAAACTTTTGAGAAATCAGAAGCTGAAAGATAACAACATTATGAAGAATTGATATAAGACAATTAGAGAATGAGGTATATTATAGATTATTAATTGATAGAGAAGTTATTGAAGAACTAAAAAGAGAAGTAGCCACCTATAAGGCTTCATCTAGTTCTGATGCAGAAATGTTAAGGAAAGAGTTGTAAATCACTTAATAAGAATTAGAAGCAGCTAATAAGGAGATAAAGATGTTAAAAAGTGGAATTGAATCAAAATAAAAGATAGAAATGAATAATATATAGATGGAATTGGAGAAATGGAAAAAAAGATGTGCAGAATTAGAGTAAAAAGAAAAAGAAAATACAGAACAATTAAAATAATTAGCTTATTATTAAAATAGATTAAAGTTGTATGAATTGGATGCAAAGAAAAAGTTTGAGAAATATTAAACTGTCGATTTACTTTAATAATAATTAAGTGATTAAGAAGCTTTGATTGAAGAATTAAAAAGAGAAATTCATAGATGGGAAGAGAGATATGATGCTCTTGCTTTAGAAAGTCAAGAAATTAGAATTAAATTATCTTCTAATAATAGAGTAAGTTAATTGGAAGATGATATAAAAGCATATATTCATGAAATAGGGTAATGGAAAAAAAGATGTTTAGCCATGGAAGCAAAATTTGAAGCTTCTGATGAGGCTAAATTATTAGCTAGAATTGATTAACTTAATCGTTTATTGGCTGAAAGAGATTAAGATATTTAAAAGAGTAGAGCTTAATTAAATTTATAAATATCTTAATAATAATAAAGTAAATATTTAAATTCAGCTATGTAAAATTCAGAATATGAAAATTAATTGGAATAATTGAGAAGATAATTATAGGATACATAAAATAAATTAGAATAATAAAATAAAGATATGGAAGGATTTAAAATGTAAGCTAATGTTTTTAATGCTGAAAAATTTGAAGAATTAGAATAAGAAAAGTGGAAACTTGAATCATAAATTGAAGAATTAGAAAGAGATTGTGATACTTTTATGTTGAGAATCAAAGAATTAGAATAATAGTTTTAAGAATTAACTATAAAATATAATGAACAAAATGCTAATTATATAAAATATAAAGAGATTATTGATGCTAATTCATCTAAATATAAAAATGTAGAAAATCTTACTAAAGAAATTTAAAATTATCAAAAAGAACTTGAAGTTTGGAAAAGTCGTTATTTCTAAACTGAAATTAGATTAAAGGAATATGATTCTTTGAGAATGGAATATGAAAAATTACTTAGGTAATAAACTAATATATAAACTACATTTGTTAATATAGAGACTGATGCTTAATACATTTAAATCAAAAAAGAAAGAGATATGTTTTAGAGATAAATTTCAGATTTAGAAACTAAATTAAGAGAATAAAGTAGTAATTTAAGAGAATAAAGTAGTACTTTAAGAGAATAATAAAATACAGGATTTAAAGTATAATAAGATGATTCAATTAAAATAGAAAGAGATAATTATTATAATAAAATTTAAGAATTAGAACTCAGAATTAAAGAATTGTAATCTTAATAATCATAATCAGTTAAATATTAAAATGATGATTCTAAAGTTAGAGAATTAGAAGCTAAAATAAGGGAATATCTATTTTAAATTAACTCTTATGAGAGTCGTATAACTAATTATGAGAGTCGTATTGCTACTTATGAAACAAAAATAAGAGAATTTGAAACTAGATCTAAAGAATATGAAACTAGAAATACTTAGTCTTTAATTGAAAAAACTGTTGTATTAACAGATGAACCTAAAATAAAAGAATTGACAGAGATAATTTAATAGAAAAATAAAAGAATATTAGAATTAGAACAAAATGGAAATTATTCTATGAACAATTAGAGTTCAGTTATTGTAATTAAAGAATAGGTAAGAATAAAAGATCAAAGAATTAGGGAATTAGAGGTATAAGTTGAAAATTTATAATTGGAACTAGGAAGACTATAAAACTTAAAAAGAGATCAAGAATCTCGTATTAATGTTATGTTATAAAAAGTATTCATTATTTAATTTATTAGATCACTGAATATGAATCTTAATTAAATATTCTATAAGAAGTGAAACTTAGATAATCCAAAAGATCCCCTTCATAATAATAATAGAAAATAACATCTACAACCTATATATAATAATAACCTATCATCTAAACAAACAGTTATATCAAATAGAATAATAATACTCAATCTGCAATCTATTAATCATCATAATAAATAGTACCCTCCACTAATCCTATTTCATAGAATATTGGATTTCAATAGATGAATAACAGTATTACAACAACTAGATAGGTAGTTATTACTGGGGAATCTCAAAAGTAATAAATTACATATATACTAGAAATTTATATCCTAAAGAAGAAAACATTTAATCATAGATAATAGATCGTATAAATCCTAATAGAATTATTCAAGATTTGAATGGTCAATAATCACCCTAAATCATTGTTTCACAATACAAACCAATAAATTGAGTAATCTCAGATTTAAAATGATTATTTTTAAGTTATTTCATAATGCAAACAATGAATTTATTGAAATTCTATAATTTATTTAAGCATTCAAATGAAAACTAATCATTTCATTTTACCTCTTCAATATGAAAAAGGGATTTATTACAGAGATATTATTTATTATTTAAAATCAATATATTTAAGATAATTTAAAATTGTTAAGCAATCCATATATTTGTATCACAAATTATAATTGATATTTATAAATTACATTAGACATCTTGATAAAATATTATATTTTAATATATCTTAATTATTTATAACATTATTTATTAATTTAATCAATATAATCCTTGATTAAGATAGTAAATAAATAATTGATCATATATAAATATTAAAGTGATATCATATGATTAATTTAAATAATGGAAAAGATATTTTATAAAAACAATATGAATATAAATCAGATTATATATATATTTATATATTAAAAATCAAAGATTCAATATTTGTTAAAGAGATAAATGGAAATTTGATTTATTATAATAATTAATTATAAAAATTTACATTATTAGTTTTTAAATGAATAAAAACATAGAAGACATTTCAAATTTGAAAAAATGAATGCCTAAAAAGAAGAATAAAATTATTTAAATAAAAAAAATAATTATCTCTGATATATATATTTCATTATGTTTTGTAAAATAGGTATGCTGTTTTATCAATGTAAAAGTAGATAAATCTTCTTTTTTCATGAATAGAATGACATCCAAAATTCTTACCAAAAAATACATGCCAAAATGGTTCAAAATTAGTATCCAAATACTTCTTTAAGTGTTCTGCCATCTATAAATAAGTTATGAAACTGTTACCTTTTATCCATCTTTTGCTTCAAATGTTTTTAAACAACTTTGTGTTTCATTTATAGCTCCTTCTAGAATATCATCAGGACAATCAGGTGGCCACAACACTCTAGCACCCAAGTACATTCTATATTAGGCTGTTGTTTGAGATGACATTTTTATTAATTAATTAAAATATATTCATATAAGTTTAGAAAACTTATTGGTTTACCATAATTGAAAATTTATTATTTGAAAATATATACTTAGCATATGATTTCTATTAAATCAAAATGTATCAATTTCTGAAACTCTTTTATAATATTATTAGAAGGGTAATTCAGGAATTCTCTAAAGCCATGCTTTTTTACTCCAATAATTATTATGTCCTTCAATAAAATGAAGTGTATAAGCATGTCTAGATTAAGTTGAATGATTATGTCCAGAAAAATGTACAAGATCTCCATGAAGCAAGATAACTGAGCCTTTAGTTACTTCTAAGCATTCAGCTTTTGCAGGATCATAATTTTTATGATATTCTGGATTTTATCCAATCATTGTTGTGTTTCTTCTAGTTTCATCTAAGATATTGAAATAGGTTGTTGGAGTTAGATGGGATTTAGGAAATGCATACATACATCCATTATTTTTTGTTGCATCTTCAAGTGCTATCCATAATCCTATACATGATAGTTTAGGTTCACTAATAATATATGTATTATCTGTATGCATATCTACAGCAGTTCCAAATTTTTGATTTTTAAATATTACCATTGTTTAGGCAAGTATTGGGTCAATGTATCCAACTCCTTAAAGTATAGCTTTGAAAATGTTATTATAAGAGAACCTTTCAAAAACTGGATCAAGATCGTGCATAGCATGTCCAATTTTATTTAGAGCAAGCTTTTTATCTTTTACCTTTAACTTTCCTTATTCATCAATCATGCCAACTTCTAATAAATACCCTATTTTAGATGCAGTATCTAAAAAGCTCATGCCTCTTGGAGCATTCTTAGTATCAAAAAACATCTAGGATAGTTATTTAACTATACTTGATTATTTACTAGATCAGCATTTTCAACTAATTCATGTGTTCTTTAAAGTAATTTATCAATTTCTTAATGACTAATAATATTTGGAAGTACTAGATATCCATTGGCATGATAGAAATCAGCTTAAGATTTAGCCATTTATCTGAAGTTGAATTTGCATAAAAAACGAAACATTAATATTAATCATTATTTTTTAAAGAAAAAGCTTATTAGATCATTCATCAAGTCTTTTTGAATAATTCTGATTATTTATGTTCTAAATCTTTGTTTATTAGAATACAAGATGATTATAACTCAAAGATCGTTAAAAATACTTAGATTTATTATAAATACAATAAAGNCTTCTAGAATATCATCAGGACAATCAGGTGGCCACAACACTCTAGCACCCAAGTACATTCTATATTAGGCTGTTGTTTGAGATGACATTTTTATTAATTAATTAAAATATATTCATATAAGTTTAGAAAACTTATTGGTTTACCATAATTGAAAATTTATTATTTGAAAATATATACTTAGCATATGATTTCTATTAAATCAAAATGTATCAATTTCTGAAACTCTTTTATAATATTATTAGAAGGGTAATTCAGGAATTCTCTAAAGCCATGCTTTTTTACTCCAATAATTATTATGTCCTTCAATAAAATGAAGTGTATAAGCATGTCTAGATTAAGTTGAATGATTATGTCCAGAAAAATGTACAAGATCTCCATGAAGCAAGATAACTGAGCCTTTAGTTACTTCTAAGCATTCAGCTTTTGCAGGATCATAATTTTTATGATATTCTGGATTTTATCCAATCATTGTTGTGTTTCTTCTAGTTTCATCTAAGATATTGAAATAGGTTGTTGGAGTTAGATGGGATTTAGGAAATGCATACATACATCCATTATTTTTTGTTGCATCTTCAAGTGCTATCCATAATCCTATACATGATAGTTTAGGTTCACTAATAATATATGTATTATCTGTATGCATATCTACAGCAGTTCCAAATTTTTGATTTTTAAATATTACCATTGTTTAGGCAAGTATTGGGTCAATGTATCCAACTCCTTAAAGTATAGCTTTGAAAATGTTATTATAAGAGAACCTTTCAAAAACTGGATCAAGATCGTGCATAGCATGTCCAATTTTATTTAGAGCAAGCTTTTTATCTTTTACCTTTAACTTTCCTTATTCATCAATCATGCCAACTTCTAATAAATACCCTATTTTAGATGCAGTATCTAAAAAGCTCATGCCTCTTGGAGCATTCTTAGTATCAAAAAACATCTAGGATAGTTATTTAACTATACTTGATTATTTACTAGATCAGCATTTTCAACTAATTCATGTGTTCTTTAAAGTAATTTATCAATTTCTTAATGACTAATAATATTTGGAAGTACTAGATATCCATTGGCATGATAGAAATCAGCTTAAGATTTAGCCATTTATCTGAAGTTGAATTTGCATAAAAAACGAAACATTAATATTAATCATTATTTTTTAAAGAAAAAGCTTATTAGATCATTCATCAAGTCTTTTTGAATAATTCTGATTATTTATGTTCTAAATCTTTGTTTATTAGAATACAAGATGATTATAACTCAAAGATCGTTAAAAATACTTAGATTTATTATAAATACAATAAAGATATTGTACACTCATATTAATTTTATTAATAATTATATATATAGAATAAAGATAAGCATTTTTATGAAGATCATTTAAGCTAATCTCAGTATAGATAATAAACAAATAAATATTTAATTGTCAATTTCAAATTTATTATAAAATATATTCAAATATCGAATTGATAAAATGCAAATTATTCATTCAATTAAGTAATTTGATTACATTATATATAAGTTTTCAATTTGATGCAAACATTTTAAATATTTTAATTAATAATCAATGTAGTTTATTTACAAAGTATTTTGATTTAAAAAATATCATAATCTTATGGAATTTCCAAAAATATTTTTGTATGATTAATGGAATTACAGTGTATTCACTTTAAAATAATCAAATGAATCTTCAATAATATTTGATTAAGTATTCTTTTGATAATTAAGCTAGTACTCTAAAACCTTGTAATTTTATTTTCTTTGATTAAGATTATTATTAAATTCTAGAGATTATAGATGATAGAAATTATTAAGGAGCTTGTTCCAATATTTTGCTTATATCTATAAAAAATTAATTTCTCCTTTAATTTTCAGAATAGAATCAATATTGTTTGTTTAAAAACTTTTAGGTGCAATTAACAATTCTGAAATTTGGGATATTGTATTTTACTTTTTTGATTCTTATTTATAAAATAATAATTCTAAAATCAAATAGCCGTATATATAAATATCATGATTTTTTATATTATTCAAGCTTTAATTAAGCTTCATCAACTTAAGCACTAATATGTTAAAGTTTGTCTTTGAGAGTTTAATTTTCCTTTCTGAGATTTATGTATAATGAATCCAATTACTCTTTAGTATTATTAGTTTTTGGACTTTCTTGGAATGGTCTTGTTTAACTTTGTATTGTGAAATATTAATTAGTAGAAGAGCGCTATTAACCTTGATGATTAAAATTACATATTGCTAGTTATTGTATGGGGTTTGTAATTAAATAACTGGAACGTTTCTTTAAGCAGAATTTGTATTTTAGAAATACATTAATAAGTTGATATAATTTATGTTAGTTAAATACATTTATATTCATTCTATTGACTTCTTTCAATTATAATATCTTTAAATAATATACTCATCTCCCATTTTTTATTTCTAATAATCATATTCATTCCTCATATCTATATATATAGATATAAAATTATTATTCTTCATATCATTTAATAATTTGATAGGATGAGTAATAGAACACTTATACAAAATGTTTAATCCAATATATTGATTAATGTATAATATAATTTTCAGAATATCTATTAATATAATAAATTATATATAAAAATGAAATGTAAGGCATTCCAAATATAAGCAAGAAATTATAAATGAGTTGAAATCACTAAAATTTTTAACTCTACTTTTATATAAATTTCAATGCAAACATTAAGACATTATGAGGCTATGGCTGAAGAAGTTAGAAAAATCATGTTATCAGGAAAACCAATTCCACCAGATTATTAAGAAGTAATTGAAGAGTTCTTACCAACAGAAGATAAATACCCATCAAGAAGAGTCATTACTTTATATGAATATCCAGACAGCAATCCAGCATTATTTTTAGAGAATAAAAGAGGATTTCGATTACAATTCATGTTTTTATTCCTATCAAATGAGTTAGCTGCTTAGTATAACTATTTAATATTTTAATAGATTTTATGAAGATGTTATGAACAATGGTCCACTTAAATGGTAGATTGCAAGGTTCTATTTAGAGGTAGCAGAAAATATGGTCTTTATTAAGACTAGAGGATAAAGGGCTCAAAATATGTTATAAAAAGTTCAGCATGGAATATAAACTCAACCTTTGTGTGTATTCCATTATAATTTGAAAATGAGAGTACTATTGTTTATTATATTTAAGACACTATTACACATTTTGGAATAGGGAAATTGGTGTATAAGAGTAGTATGGGGTCCTGCTGTTGATGTTCCTTTGCATGGAGGAGATGAAGAAAAAGTTGAGAATGTGATTGCAAAAACAGAACCAAAATTAGAAATACAAAAAAAGGAAGAGATGGAATAAGAAATTATTAAGAAAGTTCAAATTAATGAAGAAGAGGTTAAAAGTAAGACATCTTTATTCATTAAACCTATTGAATATTATAGTAGATTAGCATAGTAAACAGTGCAGAAATTGAGAGATTAAAATCAAAATAAGAAAGCATGAATAATTTAATAATCCTATTTATATTATAATAATATTAATAAATGTAAATTAAGGAAAATTTATACAATTGGCTTTGTTAATTAAAAGTCTTACCTTAAGATGGAAAGAAATACGCAGACAAAGTGGAGATAAGCAAAGCATCATTAATTCAATTGGAAAATGGCATAGCATTTGGATAATTGTTAAAGGAAATTGTGAAGTTACGAAATAGGTTTCTATTTTAATTATTTTTAAAAGACCTTCTACTCCTTTGGCTAAGTTAGATACACTAAAAGATAATTAATAGAAATCTTCAATCTTATATAATTGGAAGATTCTATGTGAAGAATATCAGAAGGTCGATATCTAGATTGATTAAGATACTAAGGCTTTAATACTTGGAGGTGATAAAGAAATGATACATCAATTATTGTTAGAGATTTATGATAAATATTATCGAGGTTAATAACAATCATCAGTGTTATAATAATCTTAAATGTTAGATGACTCTTTATTAAGTTTAGGTGGTAATACTAAAATTTTAGCAAATAGTAAAATTTCATAAGGTATATTATTGATTAAATGTAATTCTAGCTAATTAATAAGTTGATTTATCTAAATTAGATCCAAAAAAAGATCTAAATAAAACATCAAATTGTTTAGAATTTTTTATAGTTGCTTTGGCTAAGAACTTGTAACTGTCAATTAAATAGTCTGCATCTTTATTTACAAATAATAACAAATATCTTGCTCATATATTGGCAAAAGGAGTAAAGGGAGTATTTGAGCCTATAGTAGCTTTTTATAAAGAAACTTATGCAAATGGAAATTAATTAATTAAATTATTTAATGAAGATTCTACTAAGAAATCACTTATATTTGCATTTCAAGTATTTCTTTTATTTATAATTATAAGGCTCTTAAACCTGGTTTAATATCTAAATCATTTGATGTAGCTTATGAATCAGTTAGATTATTTACTAGATTAAGTTCAATGATACCTGTTTAGTTATTAAGAGAATGGTTCCTTGAAGATTAAGGAGGATTACACACAGCATTAATGGGTACTAGGAGACATCCAGAATTAGTTTCATTTCATGTTGAAATGATATAATAGTTTGCTAGAAATAATTTTGTTGAAGTATTTACAACAGGAATAAGAAATGTATTACCTGAGACAAAAGATTTCATAAATTCAGTTGAATTAATATATATACCTTTAAGTTAAAATTAAGAATTAGTTTCAACAGGTATTTTGAATGATTGGGTTACATAAGCTATTGGGATTGCAGAAAATGAATTTAAGAATACAATTGATACTAGAATATCTTCACTTAATTTTTTAAGTGAAGTACTTGGCAATACAGATTTAGATGAATCATTGACAAATACAATAATTGCACTTCTTAAAAAAGGGTCTAGAGATAAATCATAATCTCTTTCTTTAATGTGTCTTAATCATTTATTTAAGTTACTAAATCATTTCAGTCTATAAAAGAGCAATTTTGCTCCACTTATATATAAAAAGTATATTAATTATTAATTATATTTAGTTTAACATTATCATTGGTTGAGAATCATGATAATTAATAAATAAGAGAATATATTTTAAATAATTTCATTCATATATTTTCAATAATGGAAGCAGTACCAATAAATTTAGTACTTGAGAATTTAATTAAATAATTGTAAACATCAGAGGGAGTAACTTATATTTTGAATACTTTTGATATGCATTTCTTTATGTTCATATCAAATCTTAATATTGGAATAAAGAATGCTATTTAATTATTAGATTTTTTAGCTAAAATATTTTTAAATAATTTAGTTTATTAGAGTTTATCATCTGAAATCATAATTAATATATTATCAAAGAATGTAGAGAATTAGACAATGTAAGAATTTATTTTAAAATTTGTAAAAATAGCATTGGCTATGTTTTTTGCATCTGAAAAAAAGAGATAAGCAAAAGATCCAATTGGTGCATAAAAACGTAATTAAATAGTTGAAATTATTCGAACAATTATATAATTTTAATAATAATTATTGAATGAGAAAATAAAACCATTAATTGCACATACAAATATATAAATAAAATAATTTAGTAAAAGAAATTCAAAAGGAATGATGGCAATATTAGAATTATTTGGAAATGCAGAAAGAATATTAGAATAATATGAAATTGAATATCGTGAATAATAAGCAAGTAAATTATAAGGACCTCCTGAAGATGATGATTAATTAATTCCATTTAATTCTCGATCTATAGGATCTATTAAATTATCTAAAGAAGAATAATATTCTTTAGCTTCTTTAAAAACTACTAAAGCAGATCCTAAAGTATTAGAAAAATTGGAAACAATCAAGAAATAATTTGATGATAAAACAACTAATGAAGCATAAAAAATAGAATAAATGAAAGAAGCTTAACAAAAATAAAAAGTGAATTTAAGAAAATAATTAGAAAAAAGATCTATTGAATAAGGTGTATCAATTATTAAAGATAGAGAAACTAATTTAGTATTTAAGGATGGATCTAAAAGTGCAGCTTAACCAAATAAACATGGATTAACAGAATATGAAGTATGGGATTTATAATTAGAAGAAGATAGAGAACGTTATTTAGTTGAATAATTATTTAGAAAATATCATAAGATATTTAAATATGTTTTCTTTAAATATGCTAATTCAGGAAATAAAATTATAAAACCAAAAGATTTTGATGAATTAAAAGATTAATCAGATACTATTAATGAACCTGAATTATGGGCATTTCTTAAAGATTATGAATTAGTATTTAAAGTATCTAGAGAATAAGTACATGCTTTAATGAGATCTATTGCAATTTAACTTTTGAAATGTAAAAATGAATTGACAAATTTCAATTATGAAGGATTTAAACATATTATTACTTAATATGCTTGTATTCTATATACTAAGAAAACTAAATATATTTAACCACATACTTGTATTGAAATGATGATTCAAAGAATGAAATAAGTTACAGCAGCAAAAGGATAGAATACTTAACTTTATGATGATCCAGATAATATGTTTTTTGATTAAAAAGATGTTATTAAAGAATTCAATAAAAAATTAGCTGAAGATCCAAAATATGTATTACCAGAAGGTTATAAAACTTAGAAGGAAGAAATTATTAAATTTAATTATGCATTTGAATAATAAGATTCTAATACAATTGCATATTCAATTATGGATGATATTGTTTTCAAGATTTGTAATTGTCATTTAATTGAACCAATAACTTCAAAAGAATTCTAACTTGTATGTAGACCCAATATGTTAGGATATGTAGAATCTAAAGTTAAATAAAATTTAGAAAAAGATCATTATATGGAATAAAAGAATAAATCAATGAGGAAATCTGCTTCAGTTTCATAATCATTAACAAATGTACCAACATAACCAAAAAGAAATTTAGAAATAGAACCATTTAGATAATATAGTTTAGGTATTAAATTAGAATTGGCTAAAATACCATTTAATTAACCTAAATAAAGATTATTGGTAGAATAAGTAGCTGATGTTTTAGAAGATATGATATATGCAGTAGAAAATAATTAAAAAACTATTACTAGAAAATGGAATATAATTAATAAAGTTTAATAGGATAAATTAGAAGAAAAAAAGAAAGAAGATGAAGAAAATAAATTAAGAGATGAAAAAATATAAAAAAATCATGAATAAGCAAAAGCAAAATTGGAAAAATTGAAAAAAGAAAGATAATTAAAATAAAAAGAAGAAGAAGCAAAGGCTTCTTAAAAAGATCCTAAAAAAATTCGTTAAGAAGAAAAATAAAAAGAATAAGAAGCTTATTTAAAATAATAAAAAGATAAAATATCTTAAAAATAAAAGGAAGAAGAATAAGAAAGAATAAAAAGAGAATTATTAGAGAAAAAATAAAAAGCAGAAGAAATATAAAAAAAAAAGGAAGAATTTAAATTATTTAATCAAAAGAAAATTGAATAATATGGTGAAATATTTAAAGCTGAACAAATTAAAATTTAAATGGCTGCTGAAGAAAGAAAAAAAATTGAAATGGATCATTAAAAAATGCATGAAGTTTTATATAAAAATATAGAAAAGAAAGGTGAATAAATAAAAGTTAAAGAAAAGGCAACAAGTGAATTAATTGTCAAAATATTTAGAAATCCAATTTATTAAACTATTTTTACTAATAATAACTTTAAATTAAGTTATTTATATGAATTATTGTAATTAGAATATTATAAATCTATTGAAATGATTGATTTTAAATAAATACCTTTGAAATTATGGATGTGGTTTGGAGATAGATTCAGAATTTATCCAGATATTATATCACAAATTGAATTTATTAGAGTTTTTAATGCTATTACATATAGATCTAATGAAATACCAGCATCTTTAGATTATGTTGAATTTCTAGAAGCACTCTTTAGAATTAGTATAAAAGGATATGAATTCTTTAATAAATTGGCAAAAAGTATTAAAGAACCTAAGCCTTAAAAATAAGATAATTAAGAATTGCCATAAGATTAATCTCCTAAATCAATTAAAAGAACATAATAAACAAAGGAATTTATGCTCAATAGAATTAAAGAAGTATAATCAGAGTAAGAGAGAAGATTAGAAGCAGCAAAAAAGGAATTAGAAGAAAAAAAGAAAATGGATAAAGAAGCACTAATTCTAGATAATTATTAAGCATTAAATGATATAATTGGAACTGATAATGTCACTGGATAAAATTATAATGAATAGACTTTGGATGCATTAATTACTTATTTGGCATTACCAAATGATAAAACTGGAATAGAATTAAGATTCAGGTATTTGATAGAAGTTGAAGCTAAAAAGAAACCAAATAAAATGAGAAAATAAGGTATTAAATAAATTTAATATTTTAGAGGCAAACAAAAAATTAGAAGAGGATATAAATTAATGGAAAGAGATTAAAACAGTTGAATAAAATAGACAACCTATATTTCCAAGTATATATATATAATTTATATTACTAGAAAAATCAAATATTAAGTAAAGCCCTAATAAACCCATAGAATAATAAGATCCAATACTACCTCAAAATAATGAAGAAAATTAAGAATAATAATAAGAATAAGAATAATAAGATAATTGATTGGTATAAATTAGTATTAATTTTTTATTAAATATTATATTTAATTATAAGAATTTATTCATTTCTTATAATTTTCAAAAAATAAATAATTTTACTCTACAATCATGTATCAAAGAGATATTTTTATTCATAAATTCAAAAATTGACTTTTTTCTTCCTTAATAGATTGATTCTAATGTATTTATTTAAATTTTTACTTATTTAATAAATAAGTTAATTAAATTTAGCAAATCATATAGGAAATTTATGGGATGTATTCAACAGAAGGCTCCAAGTGCTGATATATCAATAATCATATTAAGTCCTCCTCTCACTAATTCGCCATCAAATGAATTTACACTGAAACCATATCATAATGACTAATACCCTGCTGCTCATTTGCCTACTAATATTTCAATCATTTCTTTAATGCCAAACTCATCTAACACAAAGGGTTAACTTGGTCTATGAATGGTATTAATTATTATAGTAATTTTTAGATCATAAGTAAAAGATCAACTATTTTCAACCATCTAATAGTTGCCCATCCTTTTGATATTGATTCAGTTATTTTTATATTGATATTTTTTTAAATATATATGATGCAATTGTAGTTATAACAAGATGAGGACAATTCTATTAATATTGATGAATTATTATTATTAAATACACTTATAAATAGCTAACTAAAGTTATCCAAATGAATATAAGAAAGACTTAAAGTTTTATAAACATAAATTGAATCATTACATCAAAAACTTAATAATTTGATTATATTAAATAATAATTGATATTATATATAATTTTTTTTGATTCTAAACATAAATAATAGAATTGAATTATCAATATAAAGTTTATAATTTCAATTTTTATGAGCCATATTTTATTTGGAATTATTTTAATTCATAAATACAATTTCTTAACATTATAAAGATTTTTAAGTTTTCTAATAAATTATAAGTTAATAATTTCTTATATATTAGATTGTTTAAATAATTAAACATATTAAACAAATTAATAAAAATAATAAATTTACTAATGGAAACTTATTTTGAAAAACAAATCAAAAAATATTAACATTTGATTCAGTTTTTATTAAAAATTAGTCCACTTTAACATAATTAATATAAATTTGATAAATAACACTATAATTTGATTCTCTTTTATTAAAATTCATCATAAGCTTATGTTACAGAAACTTCATTTATATTAAATAATAGTTAATAAAATTCTATAATTTATTTATTCTACTTATAGATTATTCTAAAAATATTAAAACACTGAAAGATGACTTCAATTTATTTTTTTATAATTATATTTAATTAGTCTTATTAAAAATAATTATTTTTATTTCAGATTTTAAGGCTCAGTACTATTGTTTTAATATAAATATTTAAAATAAATAATGGGCTGCATGAATTCTAAACCTTCTTAAAAATCTTAACCTCATTCATCTACAAAGACTTAGATATAAATCTAATTCAATAGTCAAGATGAAAGTCCTTATGTGATTAAAAAGAATCCAATATTCCAAAGACGAGCCTCTTAAAAGTCCATCGTTAGTCCTTTACAAACCGCCTCTTTTATCCAAAGAAATAAGTGAGTCTTAATTTAGAATGATCTTTCTTTTTATTTTATATACCCAAATCTATAAATACACAATTCTTTATTTCCTAACAACCAATATATATAAGAGAAAGTTCTAAAATTAGATTGTTCATCATAAAAGCTCGAATGAATTATACATAAAGAAAACTTTAGAGAATCAGTTATTAAAATTATAGAACTAACTAGAAAATGAATATTTGAGTGAGTTTTTAATAATGATTAACTTAAGTTGTTATCAATATAATTAGAATATCGATATTTATCAAAAGTAATAAGTATCAATCACTAGCTTTTTCTTTAATATTTCCTTATGATAATTAGCCTGCTTTTCGACCTATATATCCCCCTACTACAGCACCAATAGTAAGTCCAAATCCTTTAATCATTGAAAATGCTCCAATAACTCCTGAGAATGCAAGAGTCATTTTAGTGCTTCTTCTATTTAGAATTTTTAAATAAATAAATACAGATTTAATGTATCATCTAAGGCCTATTCTGTTGATTTTTTTATATTATTAACATTTGTGCTTGATTTTTGAGTTTAATCTGAAATTATATCTAATGGATCTTCATTTTTTGAAACAAGTAAATCGATTTCATTTTAAACATCCTTTAATAAATGCAACTCTTTTTAAATTTGAGTGAGTTTCTGTATATCTTCTTCATTTTAGAAATTCTTCATTTCTTCTAAGGAGTATTCCTTACAATCAGAAAAATCTGGTTATTGCATAATAAATACTTAAATAAAATAATGGAATATAAAATTATCTGTAGAATCTGCAATTTGCTAATTAAGATAGATTTTCTTAAATTACACAACGAAACATGCAAAACTCGTGCTGAATATCGAAGGAAAGAGATCAAATTAAATTTGTAAGTAGCCAAAGTTTGTGAAAATGCTTATAAAAAAAAGCACTAAATTCATTCAAGGGGTTAAAAATAGTATTGAAGTTATATCTAAAATAGTCTTAATAGTCTAAGATTGAAATGGGATTAGATGTCTGATGAATATACATAATAGATTTACTAAGAATATAAAATACTATAAGTCTTAATTTCATATGGAGAAAGAACACTAAATTCTGAAGTAGATGCAAAATGTAATTTATAACATTCATATTTTAGATCATCTTATATCTCAGAATGAATTCATGTAAGCCTAACAAATTATAAGTAACCCTTATATTTTGAATTTGATAGAAGAAATGAATAGTCTGATAAATTAGAGATTAGACTTATGTTATAAAAGTATTAAATATTCAAAGACTATAAGCTAAATTTTAAAGCATTCCTAGCATATCCTTTAGATTAAGTAAGTTCAGTAAAGACAGTCCTAAATCTAACAGCGAAACTCATAACAGAATAAACTCATTTTCTGATTATTTGAATTCCCCTAAGTATAAATTTATGACGTCAGTTAAGTTTTTCAGAAGATACACAATCAGATAAAAAAAGTAATTCTCGACCAGATACTCCAGTTAAATCGATATCTATTATTGATAATCTTAGATAACGAGGTAAACTGTCCAAATTCCCATAGAGATAGTCAACTTTTTCTTCAGAAGAAGAATAAAATTCAGATTAACCAAAACTTAGACAATAGATTAAAAAGAAAAGTTATTTTGCTAAAACAGGAAGTTCAGATAGTGAAACAGATGATATTATAAATACTATTGTAGTAGAAAATAATCCAATTTAAAGTAAGAATGATTTAAATTTTGAATCTACTTGTTTTTTTGAATTATAAAGAGGATATTTTTCAGACACTGAAATTATAAGATTAGATATTGAGAATAAGACAAAGGAAAGAAATATAGGATTGAAAGATTTTAATTTTATAAGGTAAATAGGATAAGGAGCATATGGAAGTGTCTTTTTAGTAAAAAGAATTATAACTGGAGACTTATATGCAATGAAAATAATTAATTGTTGTAATAAAAGATTCGAAAGATTATTGGAATAACTTAAATAAGAGAGAAATATATTTGAAATTTTAACAGGTGATTATGTAGTTAAAGCTTATTACTCTTTTTAACATGAATCATCTTTATGTTTTGCATAAGAATATATGATTGGTGGAGATTTCTCTAAAATTCTCATCAATGAAGGAGTAAATTATTAAATTTATTCTAGGCTTTTGATGAGAACATAGCTAAACATTATTTTTCTGAAATACTTATAGCTTTGGAATATTTACATAATAATAATATAATACATAGAGATTTAAAACCAGAAAATATATTATTAGATTAATATGGACATATAAAATTAGCTGATTTTGGTTTAAGTGAATTGGGTATCAATAAAATAATGATTAAAAAGTGTAGTTAATAGAATTTTACATAAAATGATTCATCTCCATAACCTATATATCAAATGATAAAGGGGAGATCTTTTAGAAAGTCTAATATTATTCCTGAAAATGCTGAAAGAAGAATTATAGGAACTCCAGATTATATAGCCCCTGAAATTATTAGGGGTCAATCATTTTCTCATAAATCTTAAGATTTTTGGTCTCTTGGAATTATATTGTATGAATTTTTAGTTGGCATTCCTCCTTTTAATGATGATTCTGTTGAGAAGATCTATCAGAATATATTAAATGGAGACATTGAATGGCCTGAAATTGGTAATGATCCAGAAGAATAAATATCATAATAAGCTTATGATTTATTAAAGAAATTATTAAATCCTGATTATACTCAAAGATTAGGATATGGATCAATAGATGAAATAAAAAATCATCCATTTTTATCATCTATTAATTGGAATGAATTGAGAAATTCTCCTGGTCCAATAATTCCTTAGATAAATTAGAATTTTTAACCTTTTGAGAATGTAACAGAAAAAGTTTAAAAATTTATTAAAAAAGGAGAATAAAAATAAATTCAAATTATCAATAAACTATAAGAGGAATTAGAATATTTGGAGAGAATTGATTTATTAGTGGCAAAGAATGAAAATGAAGCTTAATTGATTTAATAATAATTATAATTATTTTCATGAAATAAAACTAATTTGTAATTGGCATAATTGGTGAATTATTTGATTCACCTAAAATCTGCCTTTTATTAATGATTACAGAATTAATAAACAAAAATCATATAGAAGATAGTGTTTAAGTGCCATGTCTTAATCTATAAGATAAATCATAAACAGATGAATTTACAGATTCAAAATCATATAAATACTTTTAAGATAATTGGTGCCAACATATTTTATATGATAAAAAATGACGTATTAAATTGTCTAATCATTAGGATTAAGGGTCTAAAATTAATTATAGAGACCAATTTATTATTCTCTATAGAATTTCATTTTAAATCTATTCAACCGCAAATCTACCTTAAATTATATATGTATTAAATATTGAAATAACAAAAATCAAATTAAAATAAAGTTAAATAATTCTACAAATAAATATTTTTGTTGTTTAGGTAGATAAACATAATTTTTATTGTATTTTTTAATGAAATTTATTAATTTAATGAAGTATNGTGATTATGTAGTTAAAGCTTATTACTCTTTTTAACATGAATCATCTTTATGTTTTGCATAAGAATATATGATTGGTGGAGATTTCTCTAAAATTCTCATCAATGAAGGAGTAAATTATTAAATTTATTCTAGGCTTTTGATGAGAACATAGCTAAACATTATTTTTCTGAAATACTTATAGCTTTGGAATATTTACATAATAATAATATAATACATAGAGATTTAAAACCAGAAAATATATTATTAGATTAATATGGACATATAAAATTAGCTGATTTTGGTTTAAGTGAATTGGGTATCAATAAAATAATGATTAAAAAGTGTAGTTAATAGAATTTTACATAAAATGATTCATCTCCATAACCTATATATCAAATGATAAAGGGGAGATCTTTTAGAAAGTCTAATATTATTCCTGAAAATGCTGAAAGAAGAATTATAGGAACTCCAGATTATATAGCCCCTGAAATTATTAGGGGTCAATCATTTTCTCATAAATCTTAAGATTTTTGGTCTCTTGGAATTATATTGTATGAATTTTTAGTTGGCATTCCTCCTTTTAATGATGATTCTGTTGAGAAGATCTATCAGAATATATTAAATGGAGACATTGAATGGCCTGAAATTGGTAATGATCCAGAAGAATAAATATCATAATAAGCTTATGATTTATTAAAGAAATTATTAAATCCTGATTATACTCAAAGATTAGGATATGGATCAATAGATGAAATAAAAAATCATCCATTTTTATCATCTATTAATTGGAATGAATTGAGAAATTCTCCTGGTCCAATAATTCCTTAGATAAATTAGAATTTTTAACCTTTTGAGAATGTAACAGAAAAAGTTTAAAAATTTATTAAAAAAGGAGAATAAAAATAAATTCAAATTATCAATAAACTATAAGAGGAATTAGAATATTTGGAGAGAATTGATTTATTAGTGGCAAAGAATGAAAATGAAGCTTAATTGATTTAATAATAATTATAATTATTTTCATGAAATAAAACTAATTTGTAATTGGCATAATTGGTGAATTATTTGATTCACCTAAAATCTGCCTTTTATTAATGATTACAGAATTAATAAACAAAAATCATATAGAAGATAGTGTTTAAGTGCCATGTCTTAATCTATAAGATAAATCATAAACAGATGAATTTACAGATTCAAAATCATATAAATACTTTTAAGATAATTGGTGCCAACATATTTTATATGATAAAAAATGACGTATTAAATTGTCTAATCATTAGGATTAAGGGTCTAAAATTAATTATAGAGACCAATTTATTATTCTCTATAGAATTTCATTTTAAATCTATTCAACCGCAAATCTACCTTAAATTATATATGTATTAAATATTGAAATAACAAAAATCAAATTAAAATAAAGTTAAATAATTCTACAAATAAATATTTTTGTTGTTTAGGTAGATAAACATAATTTTTATTGTATTTTTTAATGAAATTTATTAATTTAATGAAGTATGATAAAATGAGATAGATTATTTATATAAACTTTATATAAAACAATCCTATTATCATTATTCAAACTTATTATTTTTTCAAAAGTATTTAATTTTTATTCAAAGTTTGTTAATTCTCTATTATATCAATTAAATAGAGTATTAAAGTGCTTCAATTTTTTATATTTAAATCATCAACAAAAGACTAAAAAGAAAATGAAATTACTTATCATTTTTCATATTTTTATTTATTAAAGGTGTTGTAAGTAATAATAGTTTCAAACCCTTCTTTAATATTTTTGAATTTGATTAAAACTAAATTAATAGTATTATTCAAGTCAATAGGATCTTTTATTTATAATTATGTGTTAGGTTTAAAGGGTTTAATTCAACTTTACCATAAAGAGGCTCTTCTGAAACCATTATATGATTCATTTGCTAATTCAGTTGGTTTATTATAGTTTGTTAATAGATCCAATAAGATTTTATTTCATCTATGTTTTAGATGTAAATTTAGGTAATTTATTTATGAAATTTTAGTATGTAAGTTATTCATAATTCTTGAGTTTCTTTGATTGTATTAACTGTTANATTCTAGGCTTTTGATGAGAACATAGCTAAACATTATTTTTCTGAAATACTTATAGCTTTGGAATATTTACATAATAATAATATAATACATAGAGATTTAAAACCAGAAAATATATTATTAGATTAATATGGACATATAAAATTAGCTGATTTTGGTTTAAGTGAATTGGGTATCAATAAAATAATGATTAAAAAGTGTAGTTAATAGAATTTTACATAAAATGATTCATCTCCATAACCTATATATCAAATGATAAAGGGGAGATCTTTTAGAAAGTCTAATATTATTCCTGAAAATGCTGAAAGAAGAATTATAGGAACTCCAGATTATATAGCCCCTGAAATTATTAGGGGTCAATCATTTTCTCATAAATCTTAAGATTTTTGGTCTCTTGGAATTATATTGTATGAATTTTTAGTTGGCATTCCTCCTTTTAATGATGATTCTGTTGAGAAGATCTATCAGAATATATTAAATGGAGACATTGAATGGCCTGAAATTGGTAATGATCCAGAAGAATAAATATCATAATAAGCTTATGATTTATTAAAGAAATTATTAAATCCTGATTATACTCAAAGATTAGGATATGGATCAATAGATGAAATAAAAAATCATCCATTTTTATCATCTATTAATTGGAATGAATTGAGAAATTCTCCTGGTCCAATAATTCCTTAGATAAATTAGAATTTTTAACCTTTTGAGAATGTAACAGAAAAAGTTTAAAAATTTATTAAAAAAGGAGAATAAAAATAAATTCAAATTATCAATAAACTATAAGAGGAATTAGAATATTTGGAGAGAATTGATTTATTAGTGGCAAAGAATGAAAATGAAGCTTAATTGATTTAATAATAATTATAATTATTTTCATGAAATAAAACTAATTTGTAATTGGCATAATTGGTGAATTATTTGATTCACCTAAAATCTGCCTTTTATTAATGATTACAGAATTAATAAACAAAAATCATATAGAAGATAGTGTTTAAGTGCCATGTCTTAATCTATAAGATAAATCATAAACAGATGAATTTACAGATTCAAAATCATATAAATACTTTTAAGATAATTGGTGCCAACATATTTTATATGATAAAAAATGACGTATTAAATTGTCTAATCATTAGGATTAAGGGTCTAAAATTAATTATAGAGACCAATTTATTATTCTCTATAGAATTTCATTTTAAATCTATTCAACCGCAAATCTACCTTAAATTATATATGTATTAAATATTGAAATAACAAAAATCAAATTAAAATAAAGTTAAATAATTCTACAAATAAATATTTTTGTTGTTTAGGTAGATAAACATAATTTTTATTGTATTTTTTAATGAAATTTATTAATTTAATGAAGTATGATAAAATGAGATAGATTATTTATATAAACTTTATATAAAACAATCCTATTATCATTATTCAAACTTATTATTTTTTCAAAAGTATTTAATTTTTATTCAAAGTTTGTTAATTCTCTATTATATCAATTAAATAGAGTATTAAAGTGCTTCAATTTTTTATATTTAAATCATCAACAAAAGACTAAAAAGAAAATGAAATTACTTATCATTTTTCATATTTTTATTTATTAAAGGTGTTGTAAGTAATAATAGTTTCAAACCCTTCTTTAATATTTTTGAATTTGATTAAAACTAAATTAATAGTATTATTCAAGTCAATAGGATCTTTTATTTATAATTATGTGTTAGGTTTAAAGGGTTTAATTCAACTTTACCATAAAGAGGCTCTTCTGAAACCATTATATGATTCATTTGCTAATTCAGTTGGTTTATTATAGTTTGTTAATAGATCCAATAAGATTTTATTTCATCTATGTTTTAGATGTAAATTTAGGTAATTTATTTATGAAATTTTAGTATGTAAGTTATTCATAATTCTTGAGTTTCTTTGATTGTATTAACTGTTATTGATGATCTAATTGTCTAATCTATACTAGAATAATTCATAAAATACAACTATATTATTGTAAATAATTGACACATTAAAATCTTAATTTATTTATTAATGAATTAAAAATAAATATCATGATAATTTATATATAAGATTCAATCCTTAAAATATTTTACTTTATATTCATTATTTAATGGACAGAAAGTCTTAAAAACAACTATCTTTAGATACTTCTAATGATGATTTTAATCTAAGAGATGAAGATGATTTCTCAGAAGATGATAAAGGAAAATCAAAAAAGTTAGATTTTAGAAGCAAATAAACAAAAAAACTAGAAAAATAGTTAACTAAATTAGATAAAGTATAAAACTCATAGTAACCTGTAAGTATGGAAATATATTATTTACTCAAATTCTAATAGAACTTAATTTATTAAGTGACAAGTCTTCACACAAGAATTATGAGGATTATTGAGAACTAATTTGATTATTCCACCTTATTATGATTTATATATAAATATTAAACATTAAACCATTTCAATATTATAATATTCTCTAAGAATTACTTATAAATAAATCATTAAATTTCTATTTATTAATATCTATTATTAGATTTATATAAATAGAAAAATAATAATCTAAATAGTTTTTATTAAATGTTGTTTTATAGAATTATTTACTAAACCTATTTAGAATTATGAATAGAGTTATTATTTTTTCTAGTATTTAAATTAGATTCATTTTTGGATAATATGTAATATATAAATGCAATTATCAACATTAGTTTATCTATTAATAATGATATTGAATAGAATTATGATTGCAACTCTTATTATTGATTTAGATCTAATGAATATTATGATTTATTAAGTAATTCAGTGAATTGAATTATTTATGAAACCATTAGAATATTTAATTGAGTATTTTTAAGTTTCATTCTGCAGCAAAGGAATTCAAACAAAGATATTTGTTAAATTATTACATAAAGGTTGTAGTGTTATCTGTGACTTTGTGATTAAATGCAAATATTCTTTTGGAAAGAGTTGATCCTAAAACTAATTCTAAGAATAGTGATTTCTTTTTTAAATCATCTATAGTTAGAATTTGGTTAGATTTGGCAAGGTGAAATTACCTTTGAAGAATGATGTAATTCTAGAATATACAAAACATTGATCCATTAATTATATTAATTAATATCAGTTTGAGTTACTACTATATTGAAATCTAAACTGATCAAGAACTTGACCAATTTTATCCTGATTCATCACCATGCCATGTTTGATCTTCATATGTTACATCAATGAACCCTCAGATCCATAGGATTTATTGCAATTAGAGATTGTACATACATGACTTCTAGGTATTTCAACTGCACTTCTCCTATTTCTTTTACGTTTATCCTCTAATGATATATCACTCTCTTAATCCTCTAAAACTTAGAATTTTTACAATTTAGACTTAATTTCATTTTTTTCTTAGTTCACTCTTTCCAACTAATACTAAATACTAAATATATACATAAGAATGTAAAACAATATTATAGTAATATAGCCTTATTGATTCCTTATAATAGTCAATTGGTCCCTAATCCTATTCAAAATTCTCGCTTTAGTCCATTCTAAAATACTTTTTTTTTTATTAATGAATCTAATTTATTTGTTTTTTTTAAAAGTTAAACAAATATTTGAATAAATAATTAATTGTATTGTTTGCCACAAAGTAAACTGAAAAAAATGTTGTTCTTATTTCTCATTGAAATAGTTCCTACCTCATTAATTTCCATTATACTACTAATACACACACATAATTTTGAGTAACCAATATTTTCCCACAATTAGAGTATCATAATTAAATGCAGAAAAACAAAATATCTCTACAAACTTACTTATACTTATAAATGAGTATAGTTAACTTTTATTCTATAACTAACTGTCAACATTAAGGTAAATCTAACTAAATTCATTTTATTCTCTAAATATTCTTATTTAAGATTAAATGGATTATATTGAATTGTTATCTATTAAATTTTTTATTTAAATGCTATATCAATCATATTTAGAGTTCCTATCCTTATCATATTCAAACATATTTTTTTAGAGTTTTATTTGAAAACTCATAAGGGGAAATATTTACCTCAAATTTATAATTATAAAATGTAAACATATTAAGTATTTTAACTATTTATAATTATACTTTAATAAATATCATAAAATATTTTTAAATAATTCATAATCTGACCAATCAATAATTTCAATTCCTTTTTAAAAAAAAACTAAAATAATTCTTATATTTTATAAGAACTATAGATCAATATAATTTATGATTCTAAATTTAAAAATATAATTATTAAATATGAATGCATATAAAATTCTCATTTTAACAATATAAAGGAAATAGTATTTTAGTATATATAATTTTAACTATTAAAGAAATCACTTCTACATTAAATCCTTATATTAACTTAATTACCTTTTAATTAAATTTTATTATTCTAAACTTAATACATCTAAAAATAATATTTATTTTATACTTAATTTTATTATGCTTAATACCATCTTTTCTTTATAAGTTTTTAGAAATCTAGATATAAAAGCTATGATTTAAGCATATGATTATGCACTATAAAATATTAATGAACTCTCAAATTAAATTGAACAATTAGAAAAAAGTGCTATTGATATAATAGTAGAAAAAGATTAAATTATAGAACAATTAGAATTATAATTATTACACTCTTCTAAAAGAACAAGCTTTAATAATTAAGAAGAAGTTGTTTAATATAAAAAGTAATCATTTTTAGTATTATTATAGTCATATTTAAGAATTATAAATAAGATTGGAACATTTACAGAATAAACATTTTGAATAATTATAAGAATAAGAAAAAATGTGGAACTAATATTTATTAGATTAAATTGCATAAAATGAATACACAATTGATTAAAAATTAAAGAGTCATTTAGAATAAATTTTTATTTTAGAAGATAAAATTAATAAACTTGAGAATGAAGTAAAAATTTTAATTTAAAGTAGTTAGAAATTAAAGAAAATATGCAAATCTCTTTGATTAATTAAAATAAAATATTTAAAGAAAACAATACTAAATTGGAAGAAGTTCAAATGACATTAAATAAATAATTACTCAAATATTAAATTGATATATAAGAATTACAATAAAACTATTTTAAAGAGAAAAATTAATACTTAGAATAAATTAATGTATTATTATAATTAATTAAAATAGNACTGTCAACATTAAGGTAAATCTAACTAAATTCATTTTATTCTCTAAATATTCTTATTTAAGATTAAATGGATTATATTGAATTGTTATCTATTAAATTTTTTATTTAAATGCTATATCAATCATATTTAGAGTTCCTATCCTTATCATATTCAAACATATTTTTTTAGAGTTTTATTTGAAAACTCATAAGGGGAAATATTTACCTCAAATTTATAATTATAAAATGTAAACATATTAAGTATTTTAACTATTTATAATTATACTTTAATAAATATCATAAAATATTTTTAAATAATTCATAATCTGACCAATCAATAATTTCAATTCCTTTTTAAAAAAAAACTAAAATAATTCTTATATTTTATAAGAACTATAGATCAATATAATTTATGATTCTAAATTTAAAAATATAATTATTAAATATGAATGCATATAAAATTCTCATTTTAACAATATAAAGGAAATAGTATTTTAGTATATATAATTTTAACTATTAAAGAAATCACTTCTACATTAAATCCTTATATTAACTTAATTACCTTTTAATTAAATTTTATTATTCTAAACTTAATACATCTAAAAATAATATTTATTTTATACTTAATTTTATTATGCTTAATACCATCTTTTCTTTATAAGTTTTTAGAAATCTAGATATAAAAGCTATGATTTAAGCATATGATTATGCACTATAAAATATTAATGAACTCTCAAATTAAATTGAACAATTAGAAAAAAGTGCTATTGATATAATAGTAGAAAAAGATTAAATTATAGAACAATTAGAATTATAATTATTACACTCTTCTAAAAGAACAAGCTTTAATAATTAAGAAGAAGTTGTTTAATATAAAAAGTAATCATTTTTAGTATTATTATAGTCATATTTAAGAATTATAAATAAGATTGGAACATTTACAGAATAAACATTTTGAATAATTATAAGAATAAGAAAAAATGTGGAACTAATATTTATTAGATTAAATTGCATAAAATGAATACACAATTGATTAAAAATTAAAGAGTCATTTAGAATAAATTTTTATTTTAGAAGATAAAATTAATAAACTTGAGAATGAAGTAAAAATTTTAATTTAAAGTAGTTAGAAATTAAAGAAAATATGCAAATCTCTTTGATTAATTAAAATAAAATATTTAAAGAAAACAATACTAAATTGGAAGAAGTTCAAATGACATTAAATAAATAATTACTCAAATATTAAATTGATATATAAGAATTACAATAAAACTATTTTAAAGAGAAAAATTAATACTTAGAATAAATTAATGTATTATTATAATTAATTAAAATAGTAAGTTAATTAAGAATTATAAGAATTATAATCACAAAGCTCAACATTTAAAATATAAAATTAAAAATTAAATAATCAAAATAAGATCTACACTAATACTATAAGTGATTTGATGGTCAAAAAAGCGGAGTTAGAATTACTTATCTAAACATAGAAATAAGATTCTATTGGAATAGATAAAATAGAGGCTTTTTATTCAATTGATCATTAAGGAGAAAATTATCATATTAGAGATGAAATTAACACTACTGCATTTGATATTAATGAAGATACTTCAGATATAAAATAAGAATTGGCATCTTTTTAATTTGATGAAAATAATGTGAATTTTAATCATCTAAAAAAAAGTCATTCTATTTATTCCTTTCATTCAGAAAAAAAAGAAAATATAGATTTAGATATTCATCTTAAAAATTCTATTTAAATTATTAAATAATTAAATGCTTAAGTTTAATTACTCACTTAATAAATTAAAGTGTTAAAAAGATAAAATATTAACTAAAACAATGCTAAAGAATATTTTAAAATTATGGAATAGAACTATTCTAATTCAGTCTAATTAAAATAATAATAAATATAAACTTTAGAAGAGAAATTGGCAATACAAAATTAAGAAATATTATATTTAAAATAAAAAGTTAAATAATATACTTAAAAACTCATAAAATATAATAAAAGATTAATTAACAATTAAATTCAATGAACTTTATTCATACTTAAACTTTAATATAATTATTATAATATATTGTTTTTGCATGATAATATTAATTTTTTAATTCATAAAGCCATAGATTCTATAGCCATCATCATCGATTCTAAGGAACTTACTAAATCTTGTCTTGCAGCTGGGTTCAATTCATCATATTTCTTTTTTGTATCTTTTAAATTCTAAATAAATTTTAATATAATTTACTTAAATTTATGGAAGTAATGCTTATGCTGCAACATAGTCATTATTACTAAATTTTGTTTTTATGATTTCTTCTAATTTTTTTGAAGCTGCTTAAAATCTATTTTCATCTATTTGTTTCAACACATTCTATTAAATATTTTAATTATATTCAGATTTATATTTACTGATTTCATTCACATATTTCTCCTTCAATAATTATAAATGTTGCTTATTTTAATTACATGTCCATATATTATTATCATTTCTAAGGTATTTTTCAAAATTTCTTGTAACTTTTACTACTGATGTATCAGATTTTTAGAAATATATCACAGCTAATTAAGGATCCTTATCTAATTTTCTAAATCCTTTTTTTATTGATAAAAATTCTGGATTCTAATTATCATTCTGAGAGGGAGCAGCTAATTGTGTAATTTTATCAATATTATCAAATGTTGTTGCTTATATTTATTATTGTAAATTAACACCAGCAATAGCTAAAAAATAATTAATTTCAATTTTTTATTTCTTATCTTATTTAAGTTCAGGAAATTCAACTTATTTTGCATCTCCTACAGTTTATCCTAAAATAATGTAATTTTAGATACTCTATTAATTTTTTGGAACAGGAAAGGATGCTTCTTGTGATTATTACTTTTGTTAACCTGGCACTGGGAAATACGTAACGTCACTTGTTTATTATGCTGACTGAGTAGGAGGTTAATATGAAGGAGCTTGGACTTATTATTGAACTGGTGGTGGAGGAGGTGGCATTAAATTTTATTAAGGAGGTGGAGGGGGTGGCATCACATTTTATTATGGTGGAGGAGGAGGTGGAAGGTTTTGCACAGGGGGAGGAGGCTAATAAGCTGGTTTTGGTGGAGGTGGATTAGTGGGGTTAGTTGTTGCTTTAGCAGCAGGAGGACCAGGAGGTTTTGGTGGTGGAGGTGGTGGCTTTAAAAATGATATAACATTAGTGTACTGCTCCTTTGGGAGGAGGAGGGGGTGGTGGAGGTGGTGGAGGAGGAGGAGCAGCTTTGTTTACTATAACTTTTGTGTTTGGAGGACCTGTTTATTATTATTATGCAGGTCCTGGCTCTTATTGATTTAACATTGCAAGTTTAGCTTGGAAATCTGCAGAATTAGTAGGAGGAGGAGGTTTATTCTTAGCTTCATAAGCAGCACGCTCTTCTGGAGTCATTTTTTGCAAGGCCAATTTGGCCTATCTTGCTTACAATTCTGCCATCATGGCTTTATAATAATATTAATTATGTAAATTCCATATTTTATTAAATCATGATAATGTAGTGGATTTTCATATTTTGGCAAAATCTAATTTAATTTTTGTAAATATTTCTTGCTCTTTAGTTAAATCAATGAGGGGTAGGTTATTGAGTTGAGCAAGTAATTTAGTTTTTCTATCATTATTTTAAGCCATTTATTGATTTTACTACATTCCTTCTGCTTCGAGAATTTCTAATCTAGCTTATACTACTTCAAGTAATTGAGAAATTTAGTCTAATTTCTTTTAATCTAAGAATAATGATAAATAGATATACTGGGAGTATCAAGAGAGATTTACATAGCCTATTTCAACTCAAGTTCTTCTTGAAGTTATTCATACTCCAATTTGATTTTAAGAATCTGCATCTTTTAATTTTATTCTGCTTCAGGGTCATCATCTTCATTTTCATTTTCTTATTATTCTAATTCATCTTCTTCATCATCAACTAATTATTGATATGCATCTAATTCTCTTCGTTTATTTTAAAAGGACATTTCTGCTTTGAAAACTTAAAAATCTCCTAAAGCTAATAATTATTGGATATCAATTTCTTCATCACCTTCACTATTAAGAATTTCTTTGATAATCTTTGAAAGGTATTTATTAAAGGAATAGTTACCTATATTTGTAATTCATCAGAATTATCTAAGCCTAGAGAACTGAAAAAAGAGTCATAGACAGCTGCCATTTCAGTTTGAAATTACTTGAAGAGATTATTTTATTGTATTGAATTTTCTTCATCATCATCAAAATATATGCAATACTCCTCAACAAAAGAATTATATTGATTTTTCCATGCAGGACTTGCCAACATTTAGAGGATGACTTCTTTTACAGTTGACTAAAATGAGATTGGGAATTTATACATAATCTGAAGACATGATTAATTATTTTATATATTTAGAATACATTCATTGATATCATTGACTAATAAGTTCTCTAATTTCCTCTTCTTCTTATTCAGCCTTTTATTCTGGGAATCTGACTTTATCTGGAACTTCAATGGGAATTCCTTTCTTGCCTATTAAAAAATTAATTATAATAAAATACCAGATGGATCATATGGTCTGTAGATCTTTACTTTGACTCCAATGATACCTTATTTGAAGAAGCAATGTCTGACAGCAACATCAATTAAATCTTTCTTTGGTTGACCTGTGGAGATGATGTAACCAGCTCTGTATTTCATAGATTTTGCTCTTTGTTGTCCCAATTTACCAGAAATGATACATTCGGCACCAATGGCACCATCAGCCATGATTTATTTCAAAACTGCATTAGCTGCAGTTCTGACAGGTACTTAAGCAAGTAATTTTGTTTTAAGTGATTCAGCTTAAGCTGGAGCACACAATCCCTTAGATTAAACTCTAGCAACAATTAATTGAAGAGCCTCTAAAGTAAATGATAGAAAATAATATAATACCTTTGGCATATCCAAATCTCTTTTGGATTAAGCTTGTAAGTTCTCTTAATTTTCTTCCTTCTGGTCCTGTGACTCCTGCAGTGTTTGCAGCCTTGATTTCAATATCTGTTTAGACTGGGGTTGTTCTGACAACAAATCCAGCATATCCAGCGTCAGTCAATGCTCTGCTTAAAAAGGAGTGTAATTCAGCTTAGAAGACACCATCGGCAACGAACTTCTTCTTTTTGTTCATTTATCTGGCTTTGCTCATGATTTTGTTTTTGATTTTAAAAAAAATTTTAATAAAGATTTTAGTTTACAAACAACAATGTATTTCTTTAACAAATTAAACATTATATATATTTGAAAAGAATTTATTGGAAAAATATTATACCTACAACATATGTAAATTATCTAGTTTATATGTCTTTAAAAGAAATTTTAGAAACAATATTACTGTTTTTTTGAATGTATATTAAAAACTCATTAAATCATTAACTCATTAATGGAAACGAGTTACAAGACCTTGAAATATCAATTAAAGATTCCTCTTAGTAAATATTATTATATGATATTGAATTCACATAATAAATATTTTAGAGTAATGGAATCCCTACAGAAAATTAGTCAATAATTATAAAGTTAAAAAAAAAAGAATTCTCAATTATTAAATAATCTATTAGTTAAAGATCTTTTTATGCTATACACATCATTTTAAAAGTGATAAATGAAGTTTTAATCAAATTATTCTGTGAATATAAAGATAGATAATTTAGAATTTGAGAATAAAGATTCTATTTAAAAATTAGAACTTTGATTCGAAAAATTGAGAGTAGAACATATTTCTGTTTGAAGTAGTGTATTAATAAGCATCGGAATAGAATAACTTGAAATATAGTGTTATTAAATTAAAATTGTTTTAATAATTGACTATTTAAAAATGGTTAAATTATATATGGATTATCGTTAGTAGAGGATTAGTTAATGAATAGAAACAGAGATAAATAAAATCAAACTTAGAATAAAGCAACTAAATAAAAATTATGATGAATTAAAAACATCTATTTAAAAAGTTTTATTTGGATAAATAAGAGAAAATCTCTTTATACCTATAAAATAAAATAAAATCTAATAAACATCAAGTACTATTACTCTCTTTTGAAATCCAAGAAAAATATCATTATACAAAATTCAAAAAAACAAAATTACTAAAATAATCAATGAGTTTTAATTATAATTTGATAGCATTATGCAAGATAATTAACTCTATTTGTTAAAGATATACTTGATTAAGGTATTAAATGAATGCTTTTTGATGGAAATGATTAAATAAAAGGATGAATTTTTGGAATAAGATCAATTCATTTAGGTTTTATGGTTAATAATTTTAAATCATCAGTTATTTTATTACTTTGGTAATAATGTTTATTATATAACCCAAACCTTTTCCCTTCTGGAATCTGAGAAGAATCCCTAGATATATTCTTATTGACCTTCTACAATAAACTATACTTCCCTAAGGTATTTCCTCAATCAAATCAGAATCTCTCCGACTTGGTCCTATATAAAGTACTTTCACGTCCTTTCAAGGTTACATAAATTGGTCACATTTAGTAGAAGAGTTTATTCTGCAGGGCACTTAAATTACAAAAAGATTCCCTTTAAAGTTATTGTATGATTCTTCAGTAACTATTTTTGTATTTCTTCTAAATTTTGGCCTCATATTAAGGGCAGTGATGAAGAGGCCTTAGTTGGTTTCTTATCTTTTTTTCCCATTATTATTCCATTTTATAATTCCAGAATCTCAAACCAAGACTAGAGTTTCCCAAATTATTTGGTAATTAATTTTATCCTAGATAAATACTTCTTAAGTGTTCTTTAAATACCCTTGATTCTACCTCTCCTTGCTACTTTGAGATTATTATGTAAAATTAATAAATACATTAATGAAGTAGATCAAATAAATTTGTGGTAGAACAAAACAAAGGAAAATCTAAGAAAAAAATGTAAATAATCAAATGAACATAATTATTCATTAAAATTCAAGAGTATTATTTTAGTAATCAATTATTGCATTTTTTAATTAAATATTTGGAATGAAAGTTCCCTTAATTTTTTATCTTGTCGTTGGATCATATGGTCCATTAACCCTGATGCACTCATTTATAGAGCGTCTTTCATAAGTGTGCCCACTTTTCAATAGGACAGGTTCACACATTATTTCTTATGTTATGATACATGTGTAGCATTCAACACAATTAGGTACATAATGTTCTTTCGTTCCTGGATATGACAATTTACTTAAATTAATTTTTTTACCATATAACTTATTTAGTTTCTCTTTCAATATTAAGAATTCTTAAAATAAAAGAATAAAAAAACCTTTAAAATTTTGTGACTTTTCTAACTTGCCCTTTAAAATAAGACCTTATGAATAATTGTAATTTATGCTATCTTTTAATTGTGGTTTTAACTCAATATGCTTTTATGCTTGGTTATTAATTATGTCATTACCTTATATCAAAAAGTTAACACCATCTGTTGCTTAAATTAAACATTTGTCTTTTTAACCTAAGATTAAATGAACAGTTCCCAATAAAAAATAAGCTCGAACATTTTTATTGTCTAATTATAATGCTTACATAGCATCTTTCTTAACATTTTCATAATCTTAGACAATTCTATAGGCAACAGCACGATTTGAATAATATATAGATTCTTTATTATATAAATTCTATCTTTCTATCAAATATAATACTATCGCCTATGTATATGCAATAATTGCTTCTTTAAATAACTTTTACTGCATATATTGGTTGCCTTCTTCCTTGTATCTCTATGATTATTCTATTATTTCATATTCTGACAGATTTTCGGATACTTAAAGCATTCTACTGATTTTTGGAGAATTATTCTTCTAACGAATATCACAGCAATTACCCATTACTTTTTATAATAAATATCAATATTCAATTTAATGCTATTATAAATATTCTTTATTATAAAATTTACTCAAATATCTTTATCCAGAATCACATAAGATTGTAACAAAAACTTTACATTCTGGATATTTCTAAACAGCTTTAAGAACTGCCACACAATTCATAGCACTAGATGCACCAACAAACAATCCCTCTTTTTCAATTAACAATTAAGCCATCTGTATAGATTCTGAAATTATTATTAATCTAATTTTACCTTTATCTTATATTGTAAAACCATAATCAATTTAGGCTTACATATAATTTTTTGTTAGTCTATTTAATCCACATCCTTCTATCACAGTATCAAAAGGGTTTTTCAGTCTATGACCCTCAGCTTCTTAATAAGTATAACACACTCCACTATTCACATGAGTTTTCAATGAAGATCCAGGAGGATCTGCTAGTATTACTTTGATATTTTTATTTTTTCTTTTTAGATATTAAGAAATTCCTGCAATAGATCCTCCTGTTCCTGAAGACATAATAAAACAATCTATTAATCCATTTGTTTATTCATATATCTCTTTACCTGTTTAAAAATGTGCTTATTAATTTGCCAAATTATGAAATTAATCAGCATAATATCCACCTTCAATTTTAGCTTATTTTTCTGCTTTCTTACAAAAATGTTCTGAATCAACAATAGAAACAGGTGGTACTTTTTCAATGATAGCACCACAAGTTTATAAAATGTTATATTTCTCTTAAGCCAAATCATTTTGTAAATATAACTTACATTTACATCCTAAACTATTTCCAATTAAAGTTAGACTCACTCCTGTACTTCCTGATGTACCTTCATAAATAGTCTTATTTTTTATTCCCAATTATCCTTACTAGAAACCATATTAAATCAATGCTAAAGCAGTTCTATCCTTCATACTACTCCCAGGATTCATAAATTCACATTTGGCCTAAATTATAAGAAAAAAGAATACATATATCTCTCTTCCTGTTTATTCTGAAAGACTCTTTAAATATATTAAAGGAGTATTGCCTATTATATCTACTAATCGTTTCTTTGGAATCTACTTTTTCTTTAAATAAGAATATGCTATTGCTAATGTCAGGATGGAAGTACCCATCAATAGTTTTAACCATAATTTTTTCATTAAATATTGATTTTAATAATATCATCATTTCTTTTATGTTCTGCAAAAGGTTTCTTCTTATTCTTAAATAATCTATCTATTATGAGTGTATCTTATTAATCAAATCTAACACATAGATATTCACCCAAAAATATGGTCAAAATACTTATAATAGTATTTATAATGAGCCATATTTTATTTAATTCAGAAGTACTCAAAACACAACAAATAAAGAAATGCCATAGTTATATAGAGAATACAAAATCTAGAACCTTACTTCCTTTAACTACAATAAAGATCTACAATTATAATCATAATACCAATCCACTTACAACCATTAAAATGTTGAATATATTACTCAATAGATTGACAATGAAATAAGTATCATATGTGTAGATTCCAAAGTCCCAAATTTATCCTAAATGAAACTAATTATTATTGATTCAATTAATACTTTACTTATAATCCCATAGCAAAATCCAAAAATAGACATACTATTATTAATCCACTATAATATGTGAATAATAGAGAAAAAAGTTGAATAAGAATCATCTTACTATTGAAATTGTCTTTCCTTTTAAAACGTTCTTTCATTAAATATATAAAATAACTATCATTAAACAAAATAAATTAATTTGTAATTCTATTCCAACTGTTTTATGATGTCTGTTGATAAGGAGGAACTTTAATAAATAAATAATAATTACTTAGAGATTTTAAATATAAGTGTGCAATAATGTTCTCCTTTTAATGATTAGATCTCTTTTAAAAATATATCAAATCCATTATTGATTCTTTGACAATCTCTTATATCTAAGGTTAATTTTTAAAGTTTTTATTTGCTTATCAAAATTGCTACCCAAGTCAGAATAGTTGTAAGCAAACTAGAAATATCAATTAATTTTTCTTAACTATACTAATAATAATTTATACTCATTAAATATGATTTAAGTCTAAGTTAATGATTATAGATTCTTCAATTCAGTAACAAGTTTCTTTGTAGATATTTATTTACTGCTTATATAAAATTTTTAAAGATAAGCTGCTTTATAATTTTTCAAAAAGAGTTATAAATCATCAAAAACAATTTGATTGCAATTTTTTAACTTTAAAATTTTCAAATGTTAAATTTTAGAAGAATAAATTAATTTTAAATCTTCACCATTAATTTTAGTATTTGATAAATTTATTGATATGATATTAGTAATAAATTAGGATTATAGAAAATGTTTCATTCCATAATGAGTAATATCCTGATTCTTTAAATTCAAATATTCTATATTCTATAACCCTTATGAATGAGCTATCCTTTTAAGAGTTTCATCTTTAATATAGTTATTCTCTTCCATATCATTTTAAGACATATAACCATACTTTTCTAAACTTCTAATATTCTCAAATAGACTATTTGCTGTATGTATAGATATCTTAAAATCTATTATTTGTTATTCCCATTATTTTGAAGTTTATGATATTAGATTCACTTTTTTACCTAAAGGTGTGTCTTAAAACTTTTTTAGATCTTTATCTTTTAATGAAGTCTTATTTAAATTTAATTGACTCAGATTGGGTAAATAGATAGGTGTAAATAATTTAAGAAGATCAGTATCAACCCACTTATTATTAGAGATATCTAATAGAATTAATTTTTAAGCTTTATCACAAATTATGAAATCTTCAAATTATTAACACCCTTAACATCCAGCCATTCTTAATTTATGAAGTTTATTTAGATTATCTGAATTTACTAAAGCAGTCACTGTTTATATGGATAATTAAGTATAAGACAAATCTAAATCTCTTACTTATGTAACAGATTAACTCATCAAAATCAATTTAAGTTAATAATCTTTGATTTATGAATTATTAAAACTTAATATTTCAATCTATTAATAAAAATGAGAAAAATACCTGAGAAATCATATCATCTGCAAATAACCATTCTAATGTTTGAGAAGATAAGGAAGTAGTCTATAGAATTAATTCATTTACATTTGATTTTTATTAATTAAGACATTCTAAAACAATTTATGATTCTAATAGATCTGATGATATTTCTATTTCCTTTTATTAATTTTGATTAACTTTCTTATTTTGTTTAACACAACAACCAGTTGTAGATTTTGTTTAAACAATTTGAGATTAGATAAGTTTTCTATTTTATACATCTTTTTATTCTTTTTATTGAACATCCTTAGAATTTTATCCATCAAATCTTATGTATATATAATTATTATGATTATCTTTAAGAAAAATCTATTTTTCTATTACATATCTTCTAATTTCGAAATGAGATATTTTATTTTTGAGATTCCTTATAAATCTATTAATTATTAGACAAATGATTTTTGTATCATTTAAATTCATTAAATCAATAACAGTAAAATCATAAGGTTATTAATATCCATAATATTTTTGAGTAATTGAATCAAATTCGAATTTATAATAATTCTTTTCAATTATGAATTATTCTTCAGCCAATCTTTCACTTATATTTAGAACAAATGAAGTTTCTATTCCATTAATAGTAGTTTTAGAATCTAATAAACCATAATAGAATTATGAATTAATTGTTAATTAATGTTCTTCATGATGATCATCTATTTTATATATAAGTTTGCCATAATCAATATTGACTTCCTTATAATTCAGATCACTTACTGTATTGTATATATGTAATTCTCCTTTTCCATGAGGTAAATTCTTAAGCCAATATCCAGAATAAAGTATTTACAATTAATTTTAGACTAAACTTTGTTTTGCACTATTAATTTATTTAGATTCTTATAATTATGTAACTTAACTCATTTCAAAATCTTAATCTTCATCAAGAATAGATTTCTTATCTTTCTTATGTCTTTAAATTTTAAATATTTAATCATTTTTAGGTGCCTTATACATAATTCCAAATCCTTCTCTTTCTTATTTATCCTTATTATATGAACCTTAATAAATTTGAGATTTAAAACTATAAGCTAATTAGAAATTATCTTATTCTGATTTCCAGATTGCAGGTACAAATTATTAAGTAAAAGAGGTTTGAATAGATGCAGAAATTTATGAATTCAATAAAGTTGCTAATTCAATAGTAGATATTCTTGTTTCTTCATTTTCATCTAAGAGTAATTTTAATAAAGGTTTAATTCTTTTTAATTTTTAATCAAATATAAAGAATTTTTCAGGATAAATATAAATTTCATATTTTTCAATTAAAGTAGGTAAATTTTATTATCTTTATTCATAAAAGAGACATTCAATTTATTTTCTTAAATTAATTTTATCATTATGAAGTAATAATTATAAAAGAACTAATCCTAAAGAATAGATATCTGATTTAAATGGATTATGTTTAAAATTATTAGAGATAGTATCAATAGTATGTGTTATATGAATATCAAGTTATTATTTTTAATTGGTTGATAGATAATGTTCAAATTTTAATGGAGACATATATAATATTGTACCAAATATTTAATTAATTTCAACTTAGTTTTAATCTTTTGGTACTTATCTAATTGCTCCAAAATCATGTAATATAAATTTACCATCTTGTATCAAAATGTTTTCTGGTTTAATATCATTATGTGATGATTCTAATATATATTAATGTAAATTACTTACATCTTCCAATATGCAGATTGTATAATTAATCAACAATATCTTTGATGATTTATAAGATTTCATAATTTGTGAAATTTTAATTCAAATTCTATTTTCTCCCAATCAAATCTTCTAATGTATTTTATGCCAATTCTTCTTCTATTATTAATATGTCTTCTACTTCTAAGATTTGATATTAAAATAAATAATTTCCTACTAAATTTTCTGCTACTTCTTAATTCAATTATCTTTACATTAATGCTGCAAATAGATTTTCTTATGTGTTTTAAGATATTTTCACAGCCACTTAATGATCTTATTAATTTAGAGCTTTAAATGCTTAAGATTATGCACCAGATCCAACTTTTTTAATATCTCTATAATTTAACAAAGTTAATAAATCAATAAAATCTCTAGTTGTTTTTAAATCACAAAATTTAGATGAATTTTCTAATATTATTTAAGTATATTATTTTTATTTAGATGTTACAGTATTTCTACTATGAGTTCTAGTTTCTTCAATACATGACATTTTTAATAATTAACTAAATGTTGAAAGACTTCTTTTTTTTTATTATTTTCTTTTTATCTAAATAGGTTTTGATTTAAAGAATTCAAGTATATTTGAATCATTATTTTTATATTTATTTACTTTACTGCATAATTCTAATAACCATTGAAATCTTTCATTACTCTCTTCTGGCATTTAAGTATTAAATACAATCAATCCAAATCTTTATATTTCTTCATATTTATGTTCAACCATCCAATATGTTTATAGATTTTTATTTTAAACCTTAAAATATATCTAATTTATTGAATCTTCACTTTAATCTAAATCTATTTCTACTTCAATATTATTTAATAAATAATCCATTAATTTATATAATCCATTTTGTTATAAACTAAAGGATTTATTAAATAAACAATTATTTTTGATAATATTTATAATATAAAATCAATCAAGGATACATTTTAGGATAATATCTTAAAGGAGGATTGGATATTATTGAACTTGATTCTCTCATTTATAAACTAATACCTTTAAACAATATTATTATTTTCTTAAGCAATCTAATCTGAATAAATAGCTTTATTCATAAATTAAGGTTTTGTAACTCCAATGTCTCTTCTAGGTTCATATTGAGTCTGAGGTTGATCAGGAATTATGTATGCTAACATACCATAGGATTCAGATTTCAATTCTATAGTGAATTCGTCACCATAAACAAAAGAAAACTCCATTTAAGAATCATTAGAATATAATATTATACTCCAACGATATTCTAACAATGATATTGATTATTTACTAAATCTTTATTCAATTTCAGATTTTATAGATTCAGCTCTTTTACTTAATAAATAGGGATCCTTTGTATCTGTAATAGAAAACAAATGAACTAATTCATCTCTTAATTGATTTGTGACTTAATTGCCTTGTTTCATAACTTCAATTTTATTCATTTCTAATACTTGTGTTTGATAAATAATAATTAATAAATAAAAGTGCAATAAAATCAAAATATCGTTAGATTTATTATATTATAACAGATTATTTATATTGAAATCTCAAAATTTCATATATATATTGAATACGTAATAACGATATGTCTAAATAAATTAATGTCAAAATCTATTGGTAAATATGTTTACGATGAAAAAAACTTAATTGGTTCTGGTGCATTTGGGAAGGTTTTTCGAGGTTTTGACACAGAAAAAAAGATTGATGTAGCAATTAAAGGTAATGATAAATAAAACGACTTTTAGTTTCATTAACAAAAAATGTTAGAAAAGAGATTGCTGCTATCATATAGAATGAGATTTAAGTAATGAAAAGATTGTAGCATCCAAATTTAATATAATTATATGATGTTTTTGAATAAGATGATAATAAAGTAATTGTGATGGAATTATGTAAAAGAGATTTAAAAGACTTAATCACAAAAAAAAGTCTTTAAGAGAATGAAGTTTTAAACATAGTACTTTAATTAGTTTCTGGATTAAAAGAATTAGTCAGATTAGGATTACTTCATAGAGATATTAAACCTGCAAATTGTTTTGAATGTGGAGGTATCTTTAAATTAGGTGATTTTGGATCTGTTGTTGAAGCAAATTATAATGAAAAGAAACTTATGAAATAACAATTTGGTACTTTAGCTTATGAAGCACCATAAATGATGATGAAAGAAAAGTATAGTGTTAAATGTGATGTTTGGTCTATGGGAATTTTGGTTTATGAATCTCTATTTGGATAACTTCCTTGGTAGTGTTAATCAGAAGTATAGTATTTAAGAGCAATCAAAACATGGGGTGTTCGTTTTCCTATAGGGAAAAGAATTTCAAATGAATGTAAGGATTTTATATTAAGATGCTTGGTTATTTAAGAAAATAATAGAATGGATTGGGATTAATTATTTGAACATAGATGGCTTAATATTAAAGAGAACGATAGAATATTTGTAATCATAATATTATTAATTATAGAATAATTCATTAGTCTTTGAATAAATAGAAAATTAATTATTAGATCATCTTAATGAACTTACTTCATAATAACATTTCCATCCTAATTAATCATTCTAAATATATGATTTCGATAATAAAGGTGTTTTAGATTATTTAAAATTTGAACGATTTTTGGTATAATTAGATCCAAGACTTACGAAAAAAGAGATTATGGCCATATTTTCACATTTAGATAAAGATAAAAAATACGTTATAGATCTTTCTTAATTCTAATAAATATTTAGATAATGAAATTTATTCTTAATATATATAATTGATTTTATAATAATAATAATATATTATATCAAAATAGATTTGTTATATATTAAGATTTCATTAAATATCAAAATAATTACATGTAATTATATTTATAAAAAATTTAACATAATTATTAATATAATATAATAACGAGATTATTATAAAATTTAGCAATTTTATTTAAATTTTAAATTATAAAATAATACAGATGAATGATTTGACAAGTTTAATAAATTTTAAAAGAGAATAGTTTCATGTACATATTAGGAAACAAAGAAATGAAAACTAATTTAAACAATCAAGAAAACATTATATTTCATCACTCTTTTCTCAGCAAACATAGATGTAATAAATAAGCGCCAAAATAAGAGATAAAATAGAAAGAGGGGAATAATTAAATGGTGAATTACTGATAATAATAGTGGAGAAGATTGAAGAAATCTTAGAGATAGAAAACAATCTTAAATTATTAGATGTAGTTCAATTTCATTATTTAGACTATTGATGCAGCTGTTTGGATGTTAAAGTCTGTAGATGTATAAACTTATGAAGATGAACTTAGTGATAACTATAAAATGCTAAAAATTATTGATATGATTATACCACTTTCTTAAGGATATTCTATCCATCATGAACATATGAACTAATAAATTATTATATATGCTGCAAAAGTATAATGTATCTATCATGTAGTTTCTTAAATATTGGACAATGATGGATGATAAATAGATATACAACTATTATGGTGAAGTGGCTGAAACAGTATATTTCTTATTAAATAAATAAGAACTCATTTTTATTAAAAGAGGTATTGAAATTATGTTCAATCTCTTTTAATGTGATGATGGAAAATTATTATTCAAATTGCATGAACTTCTTATTTGTGGTTAAAATTTAGTTAAACCTATATGCAATTTATTATAAACTTAGTAAAATTTTGATATTTAAACAACAATTTGGGAGATAGTTCTTTAAACATTTTTAATGTAAGATAGAAATGGAATGAATCAATACTTAAATTATACAAATCAAGAAATATCTTTCTTTGATATTTTAATTGAATTAGTCTAAAAATCTGAGAATAATAGTAGAAAACTTTTTCGTTATCAATTACATTTAATCCATTTAATTTTGGATTATTTGTAGAATGAAAGAGAATTATTATATGAAGATTTTAAATGGAAATTGAATTCTTCAGAAATTAAAATAAAACTTTAACATAATTGGGTATTTCATTAATGGAATTCCATTCAGAATATTGCCAATTAAATCCAAATTCATTTAGAAGAATGATTTAAATTATTTATTATTATATTATGATTCTATCCTTTTATTAATTGATTTTAAATTATTCAATTATAATATTCTATAAATTAATTAAAATATATTCATATTATATAAATATAAAACTCAAAAATCTAAATTGATATTTTAATAATAAATATATGAATTAATTAGCTAAGATATAGTATATTCTTGTTGTTGCTTAAATGGTCCCAAAAATAGTTAGGACTGTTTCAAATAAATTCAGATAATATGATGATTAAATAAAAGTGTAATAATCTTATGGAGATGAAAATATAGAGTTATCTACAATCTTCTAAGGTGATATGACATTAGAATAACATAAATAAACTATTTTTAAACATTTGTATTCTTAAATATAATTTTTAGAGATAAAATAAAAAATGAAGTAATTGAGTTTCTAAAAAATTATAATTTTCAGAAAATATATTGCACAGAAAAGATAAAATAAAAATACTATGATGAAAAAATGAATTTTTGTCTGATTAATTTAAAGGAGATTGCATAAAATAAATTTTCAATATTCACATATGAAATAGGAACAAAAAATGAAATAATTTGGCTTAATAAAGCACTTACAAAAATGAATTAAATATTAATTCTATATTTTCAAGTCAAGTTCAAATAGCTTAACTATTAAGAAGATTTTCTATTATATTTTGCTGAAATTCTTAAGTTTATTTAAAAACGTATTATAAAAAGAGTATTAAAATGTCTCCCCTAAGCCTATTATAATATATAAAATCTTCTTTAATATGTTTGTGAAAATAGTATTTCAAAAGATTTTTAATTGGAGAATTTAGAAAAATAATTCCAAACCAATTATAATTTGTAATTTTACTAGAAGAGTATCACAGAAACCTATAATCGAATTATTGAAATTTTTAATAAAGATGCATTAGAAGAGACATTAATTAAATTTTTAAATTAAGAAGATTAGTAAACTCGTGATAAATTTAGAGTTTCTGAGGTAATTGTCAATTAATTTCATAAAATCATAAGAAAAAGAATGAGATATAAAATATTAAATAGTCTTCAAAATTATAAACAAAGAGATGATAGTATTTTAAAAGACAAAATAACACAATTATTCTTAAAATAATTAAATTAAGTTTAATTTTTTGGAGGTATAGAAGATAAGTAAATCAATTAAAATATTTAACTAATAATATTTTCAATATTTTGGATAAAATTAGGATTTAATAAATTTAAGATAAATTTTTTGATAAAAGAATTAGGAAAATATCATGAATATGAAGATAATGATTTTTAATAAATAGATATATAAGATTTAGAATTACATTAAAAAATTGATTTTTATGATTAAATGAAAAATTTGGAAATATAGTTTAATAAAGCTATTGAATGGTATAATTAAAATGTTGATGAGGATACTAATTTATTAGTTATTTGTTAGATATATATGATATTAGCAAATATTAAATTTAAAAATTAGAAATTATATTTTGGAGATTATGATTCAGATGCTAGAAATATATTATTTATTATTATTTAGAATTTTAATGATTTGAAATTTGGTTATTTTAATCATGAGATTGTAAAAATATGTGAAAATTTGACTCATAATTTATAGATGAAATTATATGAAGATATAAATTTGAAGATTTAAAAGGAAGCATCTTAAGGATATACTTAAAGTGAATTATATAAATAAAGAAGTCAAATAATCTTTAATAATGAACCTTATCATTTCTTGTTATAGGATACATCTGTTAGTATTTTATAAAGTCCCTCTGTCATAGGAAAAGACTATCATTAAAAGCATAAATTATTTGATTTTATTTTGAAAACAAAAGAACCTATTGATGAATTTTACAAAAATTAATAGTTAAAATTACTAAAATAAAAATATTAAGAGATAAATGACAATATAAATCAAAAAAAATTATGTAAAGAGTATAAATTTATCAATATTTTGGAAGAACCAAAACTATTTCATTTTTAAACACTTTCTAAAGACGATAAAAATTCAAATGTAATTACTTTATTGATTTCTGGATTTCTTAGTAAGAATGAAGATAAATTAAGTAAGTGGAAGCCTTTATTAAATAATAGATATTCTGGTACATTAATTGCATTACATTGGGAATCATTAGAAATTTTGAATATAATAAAATAAATATCAGAATGGTTTACAAATAAGTAGAATGAGATTTATGATCAGATTGAAAATAATCAGTTTATAGAAACAACTAAAGAAGCAACAATAGTAGGTAAATGTTTAGCTCATTATTTGGATGAAGGTCATTTATTTGGAAATAGATAAATTAATATTCTATGTCATTCTTTAGGTACTGAAATATTACTATAATGTATACATGAATTAGATAGATTTTCTCAAAAGAAACTTATCAATGATATAATTTTATTTGGTGGAGTTGCTGATATATATGAATTATCAAAAAGAAAATGGAATTCAGTTTCAGGTTCAGTACATAATATGTATACAAACAATGATGATGTTCTTAAATATCTTTTTAAATTAAACTGTAATTTTAAACATCCTTGTGGTAAAGATTATATATTAATTAATTTTAGGTTTGAATCCTGTAAATTTTTTATATAAAAAGATTTATAATTATGATGTATCAGATATAGTAGGTGGACATTCAGGTTATTGGGAGAAATTAGATATAATCACGAATATTAGTGATTTCAATAGTGATTACAAAATTTTGGTAAAAGATGTAAAAGAAATATACTGATTGTTAATGTATTCAAAATAATTACATCAAAATAAAATATTTTAATATTTAATTATCATTCATAAGATTATTCTTCAGATATCTACATTTATAAATTAAATGTATAGAAGAAGTACCTGAAAAATTGTTGAGCATTCAAAACTGTTAAAGTTTAAAATTAAATAATTATCCTGACATTTTCATTAATCATAATTAAAGTAGATTATAAAATATTAAATAAGTCTAACTAATATTATATATTAAATCATAATAGAACAGTAAACCATTCCTAAATTTTATTTATTGATATAAATATATATATATATATTTTAACATAATTATAGTTAATTAATTCAAAAATGAAAACACTTAAAGAGAGAATGTTAAAGATAGACAAAGTATTATGCATACCTATACCAATAGATATGTTAAAAACTTAATATACCTGATTAAAGTAAAGGTCTTTTCAAAAAGAAGAAAAACAATTCATGTATAATGAAGGAACAAGACAAGAACATTAACAATGTAAGCATGATTAGTTCAAATGCAGGATGTATTATTAGTAGAACTTAATTGAAAAAGCAATAATCAATTTAGATGTTATAATGTGATACAGTTAGAAGTTAAACATTATCCTTGAAATAATTAAAGATGATTCATGAATAAGACTAGATATAATCTATGTAATCATAAAAAGAAGAATTACAGAATTAGATTAACTAATTAGTGTAAATGAAAAAATAAATATAAGAATAAGAATAAGATGAGAAAAAGAAAAAATAATTTATAACAAAAGACACATCTCTATTACCATAAATGCTTAAGTTATAATAGGAGAAGTTATCAATTGAAAATGAAATAACTTAGATTGATTCTAAAATTGAATAAGTTAGATATTGCAATATAAATAAATTACAAGTATTACAAAAAAGAAATTGGAAAGAAGAGAAAAAGGTAACTTTGAGTAAGATTCATATTTATAGTCTTTCGAATAAAAATGGTTAGACCTTGAATAAAATGAATCTAAAATCGATGACAAATTGTACAATCTTTTTATCCATGACTCTCCACCTTAAGAAGAACAAGTGGATTAAAAGACTATAGATACATTAACCAAAGAAGTAGAAGATCTATTATGTTTAAAATTACCAGACGAATAAGATGATTAATAATTATAACAAAGTCAAAGAAGTAAATTCAATTAGCAATATTAATCTCCATTATATATTATTGAAGAAGAACAATCAGTCGAATTATCTTTTTAAAAATTATGAATATAATTTATTAAAATAACTATGCATATCAATTAATACAAAATTAAATGATGATATATTTATTAAATTCAATTCACTATTAAATTGTGAAATATCATATTAGAATTAATAGATTACAATACTAAACATTAATTACTTATTTTATTTATTTAATTCTTAAACTACATTACTAGAACAGAGTAGTTTATTAACTTAATAATATTTTAACATAATTAATTCTAATACTCAATAATATTAATAATTTAATTGTTATTTCTAATATATCTAAACATTATTTATATTCTCTCTTCTTAAACATGAATTTTAAATTAAATCCATTGTACTAATAAGAATCAAATTTATTTGATGAAAAACATAATATTCCTTTCCAATTTTGATTAAATTATTAAAATTTAATATAATTATAGAAAATAATGAGCGATATAGGTGTTAAAATCGTTAAAGTTCTTAATGCAGGATCTGCGTAAATATTAATACATAAATTTATTTAGTATTGTATTAGCTTTTGCAGGATTTTGGATAGCCATAAGTCAATTAATAAATGGTCATTTTAATATTGCTTCATTTTTTGGACCATTCTTCTTTGTGTAAAATTTGATTTCTCAAATATTAGATTTTTTGGATTTTTATTGGTAGCAAATGAAATAAAATTCGGACATGTTTTAAATGAATATGGATTTTTGAAGACGTTTCTTGGAAGAGGATTATTTTATATTTTGTAATTTATTCCATACTATTATAATTTTAGTTTGTCAGGGGTTGTGTGTTATGGATATTATTCAATAGCAGATAATTATGTGTAAATAATGAATCAAATTAAAATAGAGCAGGCAATATATACGGAACAGTGTTTTTCGTGTTAGGAGTCTTTTATTTGCTAATGAATTTTTATGTAAGATTTTTAGAAATATCCTTAATAGCCAAAGGGATCATTAGGCAATATTTCAAGAGTATTATTAATATATATTTACTTAATTAGTCTTTATAGATTCAATGATCAATCATTAGACATATTTAAATTATAAACATATTAAAATAGTATAAATAATTTATGCAATAACTTAAAATTGATAAAAAAATAGTTATGGAATCACGTTTAGAGTTAAAACAACATCTTCAAAATTTTATATTATTAAAGAGAATCCAATAACTACTTCAGCAGATAATAAAATATTTATATGATTTGCGATGAATCAAGATTGCAACATAGATTAAAGGATAAGTTTTATATTGAAATAATTTAATTAATATCTTTAGTTGAAAAATAAAAGTATGATGCAACAACAAATGAAAATTGTAAATGGTAAAATTCAGCAAGAAAAAATATTCTTGAAGTAAGTTTAAAGAGAAAAGATATTAACTCTTAAATATAATAACCCTAGAGTCATTCAATAGGCTAAACTCTTGTGTAATCAAGATTGACTTAAGGATCAGCTGGACTTAATAGGGCATCTTAGAAATAAAATTAAGATCAATAAAGTTCAAATTCTATTTATTATGATGAGAATAAAAATTAATAATTGAAGTTAGAATCCTTAAAGTAGAAATATTAAGAATAAGCTAAATTAATTGTAAAAATAATAAATATTCTAGGAATAATATAAATGAACTTTAGATAGAAATGCTTTTATTTATGATTTGTTAAAGAAATAAAAGGAAAAGGAATGACCTGATTAAATCATTGCTTCTACATTAAGAGATAAAACAAGTATATAGGAATTATTTTTTTCATCAACAATAGCACATATTTTAGGAGCATTACTGAATAATAAATGAGTAACACTAAATCATTTTATAGATTTTTATCTTTTTGATTATTAACAATGCTAGACATTTTCTTTATGTCTATCAATCATTAACTATAAAAATTCTAATCCTTTTTATATAACCTATTTATTTAGTATTCCTGGAGTTTCATTAGGTTTTAAGATTTTAGGCATAATATCTTTAATACTCTAAATTCTATGTATTGAATTAGATTTTTGAATTTCTAAATTTTAATCAGTTTTCAAACGAGTTCTTTTAAACTGATTATTTGTTTTACTTTATTATTATCTATCAGTTATAGGATTAGTAGAATTAATTTCTTAGAGTGGTTAAAGTATTCTTTTGTTTTATTATTAACTATCTTAGAAAATAACAAATACTTTAATCTAATTTTAAACTATTCCTTTTTCTATTCAATAATTTATTAGATTTCTGGTTAAAATTTTGGATCATTCAAATTAAATATTCTATGGGTATCATATTTATATTGTTCATTGTGTTACAGAAATTCCATTACTTTTTTTAATTCTTAAATCTTGTTTTAATTTGTAGGAACTCTTGGTGGTTTTAGAATTTGACTTTTATTCCTGCTCTAATCAATTAAATCAAATAATTAAAAATTGAAATACTTGATTTATTTGGTTCTTATTCTTATCTTCTTTAACATAGACTCACACTTCTTTTCTATAATTATTGTTTCCTATTAACAATCTCTATAATTTTATTATAAACAAAATGGAATTACAATTAACTACTTGATGAATATGAGGTGAACTTTATTGATCATATTCATGAATCCATCCTGAAATAGATAATTATTGGTGTGATAATTGCATTTATAATATAATATATAGTTGTTAATAATAATAATAGTTATATTCAAAAAACTCTATCAGATTTAACAAAGTAATGAATTGTATTATACAAACTTAAATTTATATTAGAAGAATTAATATTATTTTGCTAATAATTCTTTTAATCTATTTTTTTATTGTTATCCTTTAAACTATTATAAAATAATTTTTAGGCCAATTAAAATCTATATATTTCTTTATCTTCTGTTGTAGAAGATTAATTTAATGATTCAATCCTTCTATTTGGTGATTTAATATTATTTTAAATCAATTACATTATCAAATCTTCACGTGATTTTTATCTAATTTAAATAATAATTATATTATTCTACATATTTCTAGGAGTAAGTAATATTTTGTTAGATTGAATTGATTCTAATGAGTTCTTAGACTTTTTAAACCAGTTTAATTAATTTCTATATTAAATAAGTTATTTCTTGAATCCTGGATTTGGATTTATTGTTAATCTTTTTTCTTTGACATAATAATATGTTTTTTCATATGACCATCCCTAAGATTACATCAAATAAGCAATAACACATGCACTAGATCTAGAAACACCTGCCACACAATGTACCAAAACTGAACCATTTTTTAATTCCTCCTCTATAACTTCATTAATTTACATAAAATAATCTATTATACGAAAAGAAGCACTATCTTCAATAGTAAAAATCTATTATATTATTTATATTTACATAATGCTTAAAATTTTCTAATTTGAGACTAATATTATTAGCTACTGTGATCACAGTCTTGATATTATTTTGTATCAAAAGTTAAGAATTCTTTGCTGCTTTCAAACTGCCTAACCAAAGATTGTTTCCAAAGAAAGAATGTACTTTATCCATATCATTGGATTAGATTGAGAATCTGTTCATTTGATAAATTAATACAAAATTAAAGATTCAATTGTTTATTTTAGTTTCTTATTTATAAACAAAATATTGTTAATAAACGCAATATATTTATATATTAAATTAAGAAATCAATAGATATTTTTGATTAAATAGAATGTATATTTTTGAAAAGTAAATTTTCTTAATATTAAATTTTTACAATTATATTTGAATTCAAAAGTATGGAAGAAATGAAATAAAATTATCTCGATAGGTATTACATAATAATTGTATAATTAGATTAAATAATCTTCATTAATTTCTGTATTGTGAATTACCATTAAAATTGATGAATCATAATGAGGATGAAGTAAATTGAAATTAAATATTAGACTTGTATTGATTTGTAAAATCGATTGTATACATTAATAGAAACTGGATATATAAAGGAAACAGAATAATAATTATAATAACTAATAGAAGAGAACTATAAATTGCATAATAAGGAGAATGATAAATAATTAATTAATGGTCTTTCTACTTCAGAAGCTAGATATGTTAAATAAATAGCTGAGTTATAACATCAAAGGGATCTTTTATAAGATGAATTAGATGAAAAAAACTTCATCTTAAATTAAATTCAATCTAAAATGGAAAAGTTTGAATTATTATCAGATAACTTAATTAAAGCTGAATAAGCAATTAAAGAATTATCAGATGAGAATATAGAAATAAGTTAATAATTATAATATGAATAAGAAATGAATTAACAATATAAAAATTAAATAGAAGAACTGTAATAAGTAGTAATGAATAAGGAAACACCAAAACATAGGAACATCTCGCCTTCTCAACTCTATTAATTGCATGAATAGATAGGATCATTAAGAATTGAATTATCAGGATTATAAGCTGAAGTTAAGATAAGAGTACAAATTTTAGAATAATTCAGAACTCAATTAATGAGTGATTTGGTCAAAGGATTTCATACTATGTTATCAAAAACTAAATAGGAATTATAAGCTGAAACTATTGAAGTGAAAAAGCAACATTAATAATTAAATGAAGTGAATACTTAATAGATTAATAAATTAAGGAAAGATGTGTAATTTTATAAAGTCTTAGAAGAAGAATATTAAAATAAAATTAAAGAAGTATTAAATTAGAAATCTGAATTAGAATCTAGTATTAAATTAAAAGATGAATAATTATAAGATATAGCAAGTAAATTGGATCTAATATAATAAAATATTGAATAAACTGAATAAAATTTTTAAAATTAATTGATTTAAGCAATCAATTCAAAAGAAAAATATAAAATTTAATTAAAAAATGCTAAATAGGGATTATAAACTTTAACAGATAAAGTTTAGTCTTTATTATAATTTAATTAAAAATAAATGAAGTTTATTGAGGATAATATCTCATTACTTGAATAAAGAATAAGAGAAGAAAATCAAGAACTTATTGATGGATTAAGTTAGGAATTAAATTTAAGTATAGAAACAATTAAAAAATAACATACTAGTATCAGATAACTAGAATTATAATGTTTAAAATCTAATTTTTAAAAAGTAGACCCAATAAATAAAGTAACAGAATAATATAGATAATCAGAAAATATTAACAAACATTTAGATATTGAGAATCTTAAAAATGATAGTTCATTTATTGGTGAAAGATATATGTATTAGAGAACAGGTAGATTGGATGAATAAAGAAAATATTTAGATGATTTAAAATAATTACACAGAACAACTAAATCTTAATTAAAATTGAATAGAAAATATTGAAATTATATAATTAATTTATATTATCAATTTAATCTATTTATTTTAATTTAAAAATACCTTAAAATAATCTTTTATATATTATATAATTCAAAAATCTTAAGCAACACTTCTATATTTAAATTTATATTTCGAACATAATTCTGCATTTGGTAATTCTTCCAAATATCTTTACACATTTGCTTCCAATAATCCAAATCTATCAGTCCCACTAATTGTAACCTTAGATTTCTTATGTTCCTATAATTCATTAATCCTATTGTAAATATGTACCTAATCAATAAAACTAGTTTTATACCCAACAACCAGTACAACTATTCTTAATTATAGGATTATCAACATCCTCTTCACTAGTTACTTTGAATAAAGGTTTACCATCACTCCCTTCTAAAATTTCACAAGTGTATTGACATCTCTTACCTTTAGTAAACATACTTGCATGTGTTCTAATACTTTTATATCCTACTGGAAATAAGTTATGTTCACTATGATAAGCAGGGCTTGGAATTATTTTACCAAGACTCAATAATTTTAAACTAGTACTGACTTGATAAGGTAATTAGATTTCATTCACTCCTCCTGTAGAATTAAGTTTAATTTTCTTTTATTAATCATCCTTTAATTCTGGTTTTCTTTTAATATTAGTTTGATCTCTAATTTTCTTAAAAAATGAACATAATTATTCAATTCTATTAAGTATTTATTCAGTAGTCATAATAGTATTAATATTACTTAGAGTAATAGGTTATAGTCCATTAAATCCTGTCTAAGAAAGTATAATAATAATTTATATATCATGAATCTTAGGATCATAATCAGGAATATTAATGAATAATTCCTTTTCAACTTATTAGATATGTTATTAAAATAGTGCTTAATTTTATGGTAATATATTTTTTCTAATAAAATGCAACATATTTGTCTATTTACTAAATTTTTAACTATCTGAATATGATATCTAAAATTCATCTCCTTATTCTTCTCTAATTTCTCCAATTGATGATGGTGGTAATTCAATTTCAAGATCACTAGAATCACTTTCTAAAAATTCTTTTTCTTTATGTTTCATAAGCATTTATTCACATCTTGTTCGTATTGTTTAAACCATTTTTTCTAATTAATTCAAATTTTTATCAAATTTATTAATCTTAAGTATCAATTTATCTTTTAATTCTTACCAATTTTATCTACCATCAACACCAATAGGTACACCATAATCACACAATAAATTAAATAAAGCCTATTTTTCAGCAATCGACCATGATTTCTCTTCTTCATCATCACTCTAAGCCAAATTGTCAAAATCATAAAATCCATCAAATTTTTATATTATCTAAACTAATTTTTTAACTCTTTTATTTAATGTTTCTGGAAATGGAAATTCTTAATAATTTTGAGCTAAAAGTAATAAAATAATCTCGTCTACATGTAGATAAATCTTTAAAACATAAATCATTAGCCTCTTTAATCATTAAATGATTTGTATATCCATATTAATACACTCCTCTAATTAGATCACTATCATGTTTTCTTGTCCACCAAATAGATGGTCTTTAAGAATAAAAAGAACTACTTGGAATGAATCCCAAAAGATAATCCCATTTTACTAATTTATTAACATTAATTATACATTATGATTTATCTTTGATTCCTAAATTTTTAAATTAGTGTTCTTTAAACTTTTTTATAAACTCTCTAATTTTTGCCAACATTAAAATTCTCTTACTTATAGATATAAGCTTTTATTTTAAATTCTGCAACTCCCAATCCTCTATAATATTGTTATGAATTATACTTTAATTAGTCTCAATATAAATATCATCAGGATTTTCTTCTATTAAATTCACTATTCCAGCGCCTAAATCATAATTTACTAATAGTTCAACTATTGATCTCAAAAGAGAATTTGCAAATGCTTTAATCTCTTGTTTACTCTTATTAACAAACTTTAGTTATTGCAATTTGTTCCATCTTCCATAACCAAATTATAATATCAATTTCTTTAGCATTTCTTTCTCTTCCTGTGTCCATTTTGAATATAAAACCTTATCATGAACTCTATTAAATTATGTTTAGGTTGCTCTTTATCCTTCATATTTTAATGGCTCTCTCAATGGAAGAATAAAAGTATAATAATGTTTAATATGACATTCCTTACATGGAATATATATTCTGCTAAAATTAGTCAAAATTGTTTCTTTTGTGACAACCTAATTTTCAACTTATAATTCTGTATGAGGAATTATTGAGAATTGATAAAGATCTTCCTAAAGTTTCAATTCTCCAATTATCAATGGATTATTTGGACATTTCATTATTCTAATTCCTCTTGTTGAAGGAAAGTTAGAAAGCTAAATAGGAAGTGTTTTAATTAGGAATTCTTCTCCTACATAAGATTGTAATTTTGCATACAACATTCAAATAATTTTTATTATTATTTTAAAATTATAGGAATAGAGAGATCATATTCATTGATATCAATAAATCATAATTATAATTATAACCCTTCAATATAATTTAATTAATAATAAAATAAATTCTATGCTAAATTGTATTAAATTATTATTAATATAATGTCAACTCCAAATATTATGAGTTGTTTATGGAAAGAATCTAAAGATGCTAAACCATATGTCATTAATGTTCCCATACCTACAGTACAAGAAGGTCAACTATTAATTAGAATGGATTATGCTCCAATCAATCCATCTGATATCAAATTTCTTTTAGGACAATCTTCTTCAAATAAACAATTTCCTTGTGTTCCAGGATTTGAAGGATCTGGAACAGTTGTACTTACAGGTGGAGGAATGACTAGTTGGGGAATGTCTGGCAAAAGAGTAGCATTTTACACAAATCATCAATTTGGAACATATGGAGAATATAGTATAGCTGAAGCAAATTTTTGTATAGAATTGGATAATGATATAAAATCAAATGAGGCTGCTTGTTCATTTGTTAATCCATTATCTGTAATAGGTATGTTGGATATTTGCAAGAAAAATAATGTAAAAGCTGTCATTAACAATCCAGGGGCATCTTAATTAGGAAAAATGATGAATAGACTATTTAAAGAGAAAAATATTAAAGTGATCAATATAATAAGGAGAGAAGAACAAAATTATGAATTAAGATATGAATGTGATGCTGAATTAATTATAAATTAAAATGATCCTGATTTCCTCAAATAATTAAAGATTATGTGTGAAGCCACTTAGGCATCTATATATTTTGATGCTGTTGGAGGAGAATAAAGTGGATAGATTTTAAATATTATGCCCAAAGGATCCATATTGATGATATATGGAACTCTTAATAGTTGGTAAATTGGAGGAATTTAAGCAAATGATTTATTGAAAGATAAAAAATCAATTTAAGGGTATTGAAAAAATCTAATATTCTAGATTCTTTCTGAATATATGGTTATAAGAGTAAAATAAATTAGAATTATTGATGACATTAAAAATGTTAAAAAGTTTTATAAAGTCTTCATTAAAAACTAAAATTGTAAAAGAAGTAAAATAATTAAAGATTATATTAGTTTCCATTAGATTAATTTTAAGAAGCAATAGATTATTATAAATCACATATGACAGATGGAAAAACTTTAATCAATTTAAAAAAAACAATTTAAACGAAAGATGAAAATTCAAATTAATAGAAAAGCTATTCTTAAAATGAATAATTCTAAAATTTAGAATAAAATATTAAAGTACATTAATAATAATAATAATAATAATAATAATAATAATAATAATAATAATAATAATAATAATAATAATAATCTAATAAAACATAAGAATATTAAGAAGATGATGATGATTCTGATTCTGATTCAGGATTTGGAGAAGGATTAAATGATGTATTGTCTAACTCAGAGTAAAAGTGAAATAATAAATCAGTCTAAAAATTTAGACTTATTTCGTTCTCCTTCTCTAAATGATTTAAATGATAGACCTATTTTAAGTTTAGGAGCACTAGGTTTCTTTACAGAATAAAATTTACTCTAAGAAATATCAAAAATTGATTCGTTTGTCAAGTTTTCTCTACTCTTAATAACTTTATTTTTCAGTTGTTTTATAATGATATCCATTGAAGATGTTTCATAATTTTATTAAGTCTTAAACAAATTTCCTTATAAACTCAAAAATTTTCTCATAGTTTTATTACTTTTATTTTAAGAATGTAATTAAGTTGGAGATAACAATTATAAATCTTTTGAATCCTTTTTATTATCTTATTCTAATTCTAAATCTTCAAAATTATTATTTGATAAGGAAACTTTGTATACTTGTCTTCCATCTTCCCTACTTTTTATATATTATTTATTGTTAGATGGAATTGGACTCTTACTAATATATTAAGTTTAGATTTCTGGTTTATTTAGCCATTTCTTACTAAATTTTTACTCAAAATAATCTCGAATCCAAGCATCCCTTTCATTTAATCTCATATTATCAATATATTGTGATATTGAGAGGGCTAAGACAACAGTTTTTACTCTAGCCTTAGCTTATGTTACTCTAGTCAAATATCTGCATTTCATATTTGTTTGATAGACTTCATAATCTCCAAAAATCTATCCAGTGGAATATAATCCTATGACTATGATATTTTTCTTCAAATAAATATCTCCTTCTTATGTAACTGATTATTATTTATCCCATTTCTCTATAAGTATTTCACCTTCCTTAATTATATATACTGTATCTCCTTTTTATCCCCTTTTATAAATAAAAGATCCAGCCTCAAAACTCATTTCTTAGCAACTATGCAATAATATCAATTAACCTGATTAACTCCAATTCTTGAAGGGCGGAGTACATTTAATGAATTATAACTTTTCTTATAAAATCTTTTCTTAATATTAACCTAAAACTTTTTAATATGAATCATAGCTCAATGTAGCAAAAACACATTCAGTCTTAGCTACTACTGAAGCCGTTCTTGGAATTCTCTATTCAATTGCAATCTCTCCAAAAAAATCATTTTTGCTTTTAATTGCAATTAATTTGTATTGTGCATACTTGTGTTTCAATAAATCATCAAATTTTTTGATTATCAATGATTCTTATAATTATTATGTATATATACTTCTTTAGTGGTGATGATTATCATGATGTTGCTATTCTTACATAGGAATAAGAATTGCCACTTCTCCATCAATAATAAAGTACATTTTCCTTCCAATATCTCCAATATTAAATACAACTTCAGCTGCATTACTCCTCTCTAACTATAAATCCTTAAAAATTCTAATATAAAGATCATCTGGCAATTATCCTCTAATTTTACTAGATTTATTTACAATCTTACGAAAAATATGCAAAATCTCTTTCAAAATATTTCTGAACATATTTAGCTTACATGATAGACCTTTTCTCTGGTTCTATTGTTAAAATCTGCAAACATCTCTGTCTAATCATATCAGCATCTTCATTAATTGTTTTTTAGAAAGTGTTTGTTACTTTATATAAAAGCTAATTTATTTTTTCCTTATTACGTTTGATTCCTTTATTTCACGTAAATTGCCAATAAATGATGCGAAACGATTATTACTTCTCATTAATTTTCTAATATTTTAAAAAGTATTATATTGATAATATTAAGACAAAATATTATCAAATATTTAAGTGTTTACTTAAGACCATTTTAGATATTTCTATAAATCTTATTAAAATTCTGATTTAGAATGCATAATTAAATTCTTCAATCCACCTTATCATTCTATACATTTTAGCTCACTTTTCAGTATTATTAAGGTTCTATGAATTAAAAAAAAATACCTAAAAATCTTAATAAGAAAAAATTTTAATTATCAAGATCTTCTTATATTCAGTATTTTTATTCAACTAATTTGAAGTGATTATTCATATTTGAACTTACAGCTTTGATATGCAATTAAAGAATTATTACAATATATTTTTGATTAAGAAATTGGTTTTAAAAATAAAATGATGATTCATTCTAAAATTTCTCGATTTTATAATATAAACAAACCATTTTTTATTAGATCAATGTGAAGCTATTATAACAATTTGATAAATATTCTAATTATTCTAACGTTTTTTTCTTGTAGCTAACTACTTTGATAAATATTAACAATTTAGCTTTATTCATTGTTTCTTAATATAAGATTGATATTAATGTTTTATGATACAAAAATATCACCAAAAAAATTATTGGAAAATTCTAATCTAACACTTGAAAGACACTATTTAATAAAATTTTCTATTTTTTTTTCATTTTTAAATACCTACAAATTTTGAAAAGTTGTGCTAATAAATGTTTCAGAAAAGCTGAATTAGGGCAAATCTTTGAACTTTTCCTTTGATTTTAAAAGAGATTTCTCGCTAACTATTAAAAGATTTAAGAAAAGGATTTGATTAAAGAGTTTGTCCGTTTATAAAGAGTTAAGGCTTCTTTGACAAATTTATTTAAGCCCTTGCTCTCTGAAGAGTCCATGCTGACTTTCCTCAGATAAAGAGAAAAAGATTTTCTGAAGGAAAAGCACAATAAAGAACTCAATCTCAAATTAACAAGGGTATGATGAGGCAAAGAAGAAGTAAATTTTAAGTTTAAATTATTTTGATTATTTTGATTATTTTTAGTCTAAAAATTATGCTATAAATTTCAACTATTAATTGCTCATTCTGTTTCATATTAATTATCAAAAATTATCTACAAAATAACAAAGAAATTAAATCTAAAACAGTTAAAGATGAATAATCATTAAGGGAAAATAGAAATAGAATTCATTCATTAAACTTCATAATTTCTAAAATGAATCATATAAAATTTTTCTTCTCCAAAAGATTTAATCCAAATTTATTTGAAGCAAATAATAAAAAAAATCTTGGAAGTTAAATTATAAGAATAGAATAAATTTTGATAGAAATATGTTTAGTAAACAAATCTAGAGATGAATAAAACCAAAAAAAAATAAGTGAATGATCATAATTAGAAAAAAAAATTTACAATATAAGTTTATTTTGTAAGAAAAAAAGAAAATTAAGTTAGCCAATTATATTATATCTGTTGACTGAAAATCAACAAATAGCTAGTAGTTGAGCAAAAGAATTTTTTTGAATAATAATAATTAAGATATGGAAAATTTAGAAATGAAAGTGTTCTTAAAAATATACTCTAAAATTCGTTAATAGAAATGAAAAAAGTAATTGATTAATGATATCAAAAAACAATATACCACAATTAATAAACTTTTAATATCAAGGAAAAGTTGAAGTTTGGATTCAATTCTGAAATCTTCATTCAATCTGAATGAAATCAAACCTAACCATTTCTAAGAAATAATTAAAATATCTTGAAATCTATTATGCAATTTTAACAAAAATTATTATGAATTAAAAAGGCTTATCCTGAATATACTAAAATTATAAGAATGAAAAGCATTTTGAATATTTAAGATAATAATTAGATTTGATTTGAATTATATATAACTACTATTGTTCCTCAACTTTACTCTGATATAAAAGAAAATAGTAATCTTTTTTAATTTTGTAATTTAACCCTACCTTATAAAAACAAGAGATCAAAGTAAATATCGTTGTCGGCCATACTAAGCCTAAAGCACCGGATCCCATTCGAACTCCGAAGTTAAGCGGCTTAAGGCGAGGTTAGTACTAAGGTGGGGGACCGCTTGGGAAGTCCTCGTGTTGACAACCCTTTTTTTAATTTTTTAATTATTAAATTAAAATATTGAATAAATTAAGAATTAATTAAATTCTTTAAGAATTCATTATAAGTTTTAAAATATCAAATTCATATATTATTATAATAGAACAATGATCATTCTTTTCTTGAAATAGTATTTGTATTTATAAATTAGATACTAGAAAATGAAGATAATGGGCTGAGTTTGATTCTTTTTGCAATATTTATGGAATAATTTTATAAAAGTTTTTCACTTTTCTCTTAATTNTCTACAAAATAACAAAGAAATTAAATCTAAAACAGTTAAAGATGAATAATCATTAAGGGAAAATAGAAATAGAATTCATTCATTAAACTTCATAATTTCTAAAATGAATCATATAAAATTTTTCTTCTCCAAAAGATTTAATCCAAATTTATTTGAAGCAAATAATAAAAAAAATCTTGGAAGTTAAATTATAAGAATAGAATAAATTTTGATAGAAATATGTTTAGTAAACAAATCTAGAGATGAATAAAACCAAAAAAAAATAAGTGAATGATCATAATTAGAAAAAAAAATTTACAATATAAGTTTATTTTGTAAGAAAAAAAGAAAATTAAGTTAGCCAATTATATTATATCTGTTGACTGAAAATCAACAAATAGCTAGTAGTTGAGCAAAAGAATTTTTTTGAATAATAATAATTAAGATATGGAAAATTTAGAAATGAAAGTGTTCTTAAAAATATACTCTAAAATTCGTTAATAGAAATGAAAAAAGTAATTGATTAATGATATCAAAAAACAATATACCACAATTAATAAACTTTTAATATCAAGGAAAAGTTGAAGTTTGGATTCAATTCTGAAATCTTCATTCAATCTGAATGAAATCAAACCTAACCATTTCTAAGAAATAATTAAAATATCTTGAAATCTATTATGCAATTTTAACAAAAATTATTATGAATTAAAAAGGCTTATCCTGAATATACTAAAATTATAAGAATGAAAAGCATTTTGAATATTTAAGATAATAATTAGATTTGATTTGAATTATATATAACTACTATTGTTCCTCAACTTTACTCTGATATAAAAGAAAATAGTAATCTTTTTTAATTTTGTAATTTAACCCTACCTTATAAAAACAAGAGATCAAAGTAAATATCGTTGTCGGCCATACTAAGCCTAAAGCACCGGATCCCATTCGAACTCCGAAGTTAAGCGGCTTAAGGCGAGGTTAGTACTAAGGTGGGGGACCGCTTGGGAAGTCCTCGTGTTGACAACCCTTTTTTTAATTTTTTAATTATTAAATTAAAATATTGAATAAATTAAGAATTAATTAAATTCTTTAAGAATTCATTATAAGTTTTAAAATATCAAATTCATATATTATTATAATAGAACAATGATCATTCTTTTCTTGAAATAGTATTTGTATTTATAAATTAGATACTAGAAAATGAAGATAATGGGCTGAGTTTGATTCTTTTTGCAATATTTATGGAATAATTTTATAAAAGTTTTTCACTTTTCTCTTAATTGTGTAAATTTACATCTTAAATCATACACGTGGGTTCATTTTAAAGTAGTTCATGCTTAATTAAAAAAGGATCTTTGTGAAAAAAGAACTTTCTTATTGATAAATACACACTTGTAAGTAATGAGAAAAATATATAAACGTTCTCCATAATCATAGCAGGTAAAAAGGATGAAGTTGATTAAGTAAAGGTAACTAGCCATTATAAGATGTGAACAAGGAATAATAATAAATAAAATAGATACTAAAGTAGTTTCCTATTGATTATGAACTGATAAATACTTAAATTTTTTCCAAGTTTTTTTTTTCAAAATTATCTTTATAATAGAATGAAAAAGGAATATAATTGCCACAACAGATATTATAAACCAATCTAAACAATTCAATATTAATAAACTATAATTTAGTGTAAATAGTTCACTGCGAGATTGACACAAAACAAAATCAAAAACATATAAAGGTAATGAAAGAACAATAAATATAGAACTAAAAAGTGTGCTATTTAATAATGGTATCTTATATTTGATTGATGAGGTATTAGTAAATTCTTAGTAATTCAAACTAAGAATACCTATTTTACCAAATACATAAAGCAATTAATTTAGATACACAAATAAATTATCCAGTCCTTCTAATTTACATATACTTGAAGAATATCTTATAACCTCCATTGTTTGTAAAATAACATTACTCAATATAATTAGAGTAAAATAGCTAAAGAGTAATTTCCAATTACAATCAATTCTTGGGTCTCTAAAATAAAGAGTAATATTCATGTTTTATTAATACTCCAATCCTTATATGGAATATAACTAGTGAGAATTATTGCTTTATTGTTTCTTTTTCTTCTTCTTTTTGGACTTCTTCTTTGATTTTTGTTACTAATTAGATTTGTATGAACCTAATTTTTGATTTTATTTTTCCATTTCATCTTCAAACTCACTTAATTTTTTAAATATTACATCATTTTGTTTACGATCATCTATTTGAGAAGAAATACTAATGGATTAGTCAGGCACTTCATTAATTGTAGACAATGATCTTTTGATAGTATTTGGAATACTTTTGGATATTCATCTATCATATATACTTAATAATCCTCTCCATTCTTTCTTTCTCTTTTAATTTCAATTACTCTTGATCCAATTATTAATCACTAATCTCAGAAAATGAGGTTTATTATGGTTGTATTTAATCTTATACACTTAAAACATCTTGAGGACTCTACTTACTGATATGACTTACTCTATATTCATGATCCTACTGTTAACCTATAATTTAATCATATCTAACAATAGCATCGTTTGAATTGATTTCAGTAGAAATCATAATATATTAATTAATTTGTGAATTACAAATAATATGAATACAATTATTCTTTAAAAAGATCAATTATATTAGATATATTTTATGTATTAACAATAGATTAATCAAACTAAGTTTCAAATCAGTTGACTTAAAGTTAAGATAATAATCTATGAAACATGTATAAGAGAAGTAGATTACAATAGCAGTTTTTTTTGATAGACAACTTAATCATGTCTTGTCAAAAAGAATTTGATTACATTACAATATTTTAAAATATTTCTTGCCATCTTTTGTTATTACTTGTCATATAATTACTAAAATGATGCTTTAGATTATAAAGCCTTGTTAAATTAGATTTACAAAATCAACCAGTTGTAGAATCTATATATGGAATTAATGAATTAAGATAAATGATTAATTGAAATTAAGAGCAGTTTTATTTCCTATTCCTTCAAAACATAGATATTGAATCTCGATAGAGATTGACATTTGGAAATTCTTAACATTTTAATAGAAATAAAGTATATATAAGATCAGGTTATTATGTCTTTTGTTAAAATCAAATTATATTTGTAAATGGTATGATTGAAATTTTAATTGGAAAGGATAAAAACTTCTCAATCAATTAAAATAATTACTATATTATAACTTTTATATTAAATAATATAACAAAAACTAAAGCTAATTAGATGACTATAATGATTATATGCATAAATCTAAAATCACAAACATGATAGCATAAGACACTATTTGATTTCCTTTGCCTTAGTATCACTAAAGGATTTAGAATCGAAACATTTCCTTGTGTTTTAGACATCATTCTTGCTTATGTGACTTTCACAATCAGAAATCATATTCAATTGTTCTTCGCATTATTATTTGCAATCTTTAGATTAAATCCAACATTTTGAAGAATCTAATAGAGCTTCTGAAAGACAATCAGAAATATTTGATTAAACTTTTATATGAGTTAGTTTCCCTTGCATTATATTACATTATCTGACTAAACAATCAAATAAATCTTGTATTATACTAATTCATATTACCTGACAACATCACATTACTAATTTAAATAAAACCCATATTGACACAATAACTTTCGTATGTAGAACTTCCCCCTGGAATAATGCAATTTCGAAAAAGGTCATCAAATTAATTATTGCAGTCAATATCATCAAAACATTTTGTATATTGATTTTTGCATTTTTATGTTGAAGACAATGATTGCATTATACAACTTCTGACCTCATCTTAAGTGTCTTTAGCATTAATGAATATGGAAATTACTGCTATTATAAAATAAATTTTCATTTTATTAATGATTTTAATAATTCTAATAATAAATGCTAGATTTAAAAAAAACATCTAAAAATTAAGTAATGATATGAATAAATAATAATAGTGTCAATTAAAAAAAAGTAGTTATCGAATAGTAATTAAAGATTAAAGCAACTAAGATTTTTGAATGCCTAGAAACTATATTTAACTCACAACTAATTTATAAGATTGTGCTATTTACTTATGTCTTCAAGGGTTAATCAAGTTTCTGTATAAAATAGGAGAACTTATTATAATAGCAGAGTAAATAAAAATCTAAAATAATATTCATTAAGATGTGATCTAATAAATTATGATATTCTACCCTAAATAATTAATTAAATGAAGTAAAATGTTTTAGAATACATGAATTATTATCTAAAGAATTAACATTTAAAATAAACACATTTAGGAAACAGTTATGTAATAAATTTAGGTTAGGAGTCAATAATAATAACTATAATTAGCAAGAATATTGAATAAAAGTCATTATAATATAGAATTTTATATTAAATAACAAGATGTTTCAGTTCATCTTTATTTTTTATAAACCTAAAATAGAAGACTTTTATGCTGGATAAAAGACTATAGGTTCATTTCCATTTTATATTTATGAAAAAAATGCTATTTAAAAACTGAAAATTGTGCCAAAAAAACAAATATCTTTAGGAATCGGAAATTTAATAGTAAATTTCATAAAATAACCAGAAGTTATAAGGAAGTTTTTTCATAAATTTAATATCATCAGACAAGAAAAAAATTAGTTAATAATTAATAAATCATATAAATTATCAATATTATTTTCTAAGAAAAATAACTCTTAATAATTTTTGAAAAAAATAAATGTGTGAATTAGGAAATTGCTGTAAAATTTATTAAAAGTAACCTTCAAGAATAAAGCTGGAGTAAGAATTCAAAATTAAAAAAAATATTAAAAATAAAAGAAATTTAAACTTCAAGAAAATTTAAAGAGAAATTCTGTATGAATTAATAAAAAGCTAATAAGTATTTTAAAATATATTAAGTATTTATTAACAGAATAAAATATAAACAAATAATAAAAATTTTATATTTGAATGCTAAAAAAAGAAAAATATATATAGATCTCATTATTTTTTTATAAGATAAAAAATGGAAAATAAATCATAGTCACTGAATTATAAATATTTTGTGAAACAAGAGCATATAAAATATAAAACTTATTTATAAATAATATTTTTATTAACATTTTTAATAGAAATTGAAAATATATGAATCAAAATCCTTAGATTCTTGATACAATTGTAATATATTAAATATACATTTCAGACTAACTAAGATGTCATGTAAAATACATAAAATCAATTTGTTAATCAACCAAAAATAAATGAGGAATAAGTTAATTAGTAAGGATTTTAAAGATTTCCAATTCCCAATTAGATTAACAACAATCAATTTAAAACACCTCCATTTGTAGCGCAATATAATTAATTATAGTTTGTATAAGGAATGCCACCTAATTTGCCATAAGGAATGCCACCTAATATGCCATAAGGAATGCCACCTAATATGCCATAAGGAATGCCACCTAATATGCCATAAGGAATGCCACCTAATATGCCATAAGGAATGCCACCTAATATGCCATAAGGAATGCCACCTAATATGCCATAAGGAATGCCACCTAATATGCCATAAGGAATGCCACCTAATATGCCATAAGGAATGCCACCTAATATGCCATAAGGAATGCCACCTAATATGCCATAAGGAATGCCACCTAATATGCCATAAGGAATGCCACCTAATATGCCATAAGGAATGCCACCTAATATGCCATAAGGAATGCCACCTAATATGCCATAAGGAATGCCACCTAATATGCCATAAGGAATGCCACCTAATATGCCATAAGGAATGCCACCTAATATGCCATAAGGAATGCCACCTAATATGCCATAAGGAATGCCACCTAATATGCCATAAGGAATGCCACCTAATATGCCATAAGGAATGCCACCTAATATGCCATAAGGAATGCCACCTAATATGCCATAAGGAATGCCACCTAATATGCCATAAGGAATGCCACCTAATATGCCATAAGGAATGCCACCTAATATGCCATAAGGAATGCCACCTAATATGCCATAAGGAATGCCACCTAATATGCCATAAGGAATGCCACCTAATATGCCATAAGGAATGCCACCTAATATGCCATAAGGAATGCCACCTAATATGCCATAAGGAATGCCACCTAATATGCCATAAGGAATGCCACCTAATATGCCATAAGGAATGCCACCTAATATGCCATAAGGAATGCCACCTAATATGCCATAAGGAATGCCACCTAATATGCCATAAGGAATGCCACCTAATATGCCATAAGGAATGCCACCTAATATACCATAAGGAATGCCACCTAATTTGCCATAAGGAATGCCAGGAATGCTACCAGGAATGCAATAAGGAATGCCAGGAATGCCAGGAATGCTACCAGGATTGCAATAAGGAATGCCAGGAATGATACCAGGAATGCAATAAGGAATGTAATAAGGAATGGTTCCTCCATAAATTTTTAATTCTATAAATTCTCTAAATTCAATTGGTTAATTTCCTCAACCTCAGTTCAATCAAAATTTAGCTAAAAATTAGGATGAAAACTAAAAATAATAATTAGATAAATTAAAGAAAGAAATAGAGAAATTAACAAATGAAATAGAGGGACTTAACGAGGAGAAATAAAAAATTGAAAATGATTCCAAAAAAAAGAATTCAGAAAATAATGATTTAAAATAATAACTAGAATAATTAACAAGCAAATTAGAAGATTCTTAAAGAAAGTACGATTAGAATGATAAATAATTAAAAGGAACTATAATTAATTTAGAATAAAAAATTAAGTATGAAATGGAATAGTAGGAGCATTATAAAAATCAATATAAGGATAGTGAAGTTACAATAAAAAAATTAAATACAGAGATATAAAATTTGAAGACGGAACTAAAAAATTTAAAAGAAACTAATGAAAATGCTACAAAAAAAATATATTAATATAACTAATAAAACGATGAAGCGCAAAATTAAAAAAAAAAAATTTAAGATTATTAAAATTAGATAAAACAAAAAGATGATAAAATTGCAGAACAAAATCTAACGATTGAAAATTTAAAATAAGTCAAAGCCCAATAAAATCAAGATTAATAGGTTGTATCAAGGTTATAGCAACAATTATCTGAACTTAATCAAAAAATAAATGATTTATCCTAAGAAAATAAGCATTTATAAGGCTAGAAAAATAATTTTGAAAATGATTACAAAAACATATAGAATGAGCTTGAAATTCTTTAAATTGAGATTAAAAAGTATTAAAGAAATGAAGAATTCTTAAAAGAATCTCTATAATAAGCTTACTTATAATTAGAAAATAATTCTAAAAATTTGTCAAAAGATTAGGCAAAAGAATATGAAGATTAATTACGTAAAATTAAAGAAAGTAGAGAAAATGATAATAAAATAGTTTTGGAAAATTTCGCCATAGAAAAAAACAGAATTTTATAAAAACAGCAAGAGGATATATAAAAATAAAAGTAATTAAATAATCTCGGTAAATAAAAAATGAATGAATTTGCAAGAAAGGCTAGTTCAATATAATGTTGCTTTTTGATAGATTTAATAAAGTAATATTAATTAATTTATATATTTAGATCAAGTGAGAAAATAGGAAATGCTATAATAAAAGCTGCAGAAACATGTTGTACATTAATTAAAAAGACAACAAATAGAGAATCATATTGGGGGGCAGTTTGCTATGGTTATAATAAAAAAGAGTTTAATCTTTAAAATCAATAATTTTCAAACTCACCTGATATTTTATCAGGGTTTTTAAAAAGATAAAAATTATTAAAGGATCCAAAAGATTAGCCAGAAGATTTAAAGTCGGCTTTATAAAATATGCTCACTTTAAATTGGTCTGAAAAATACAAACTCGCTATAGTTATAGCTAATTCACCCTGTCATGGAAAAAGATATCATAATCCTAAAAAATATTTTAAGTATTTTTTTTTTAAAAATGATTATGATATAAAGCCTAATGATGATATGGAAGAGATAATCAAGGAAATAATTAAAAGGGATATTATACTTTTAGTTATAAGATTTAATGATGAAACAAAAGTGATGTGCAATGAATTAGAAAAAACATATGCCAAACTTAAATATCCTTAGCTATTTTTTACTCTTTCAGTAAAAGGCCTTGATTAAAAAAATTCTGAATTCGAACTTATCTAACAAATTTAGAAAATGGCTGCCTTTATCATAGGAACTGATAACAAAACGACAAGAACTAAAATAAATTAATAGGTTAGAATGTAAAATTTTGAAGAAGGTTAAAAAGATATGAAAAATTTAAAAGAGGAAGTTTATAATTTAAATAATGAAATGCAAAAAGAAATTTAAAATAAAGGAGAGCAATAAGAAAAATAAATTTCAATAAATTTACTTCAGGATGCATAAGAAGATATAAAATAATATGAAGCAGGTGTTGAAAAATTAAGAGAATGTAGTGATGGTGCTTTATAAGCCCTATGTAAGAAAGGAGATATTTTCGATTTCGACAAAAAAGCAAAATGTTAAGAGTTTTCTTGCAAAGTTTATAAAGTTGAGCTCAAATAGGAATCATTTAAAAAAAAAATAGAGACAATTGAATAAATCTCATATAAATCAGATGATTTCGATTTAAAATTTGAAAGTGAATGGTAATGTATTAGAACTTATAGTCCTTTTGCATTTGGAATGATGAAAGCAGTCTATTTGATGAAAAAAAAAAATAATACAGATGAAATTTATGTTGTTAAAATTCCAATTCAATAAGGACCTTATAAATCTAAAGAATAGGCAGTTAATGATTGCCGATCACATTTAATTGCGAAAAGTTTAATGAAAGATTTTATGGAATAAGTCAGCAATAACAATAAAGGCATATAGATAGTTTAATATACAGATTTCTTATTATTAGAAGAGAATGAACGTATATAATTAATTATTTTTTAGATAAATATTGGATTGCAGAAAGATTCTTTAAAGGAACTTTTGAAAAATATAATAATAATGATGGTTATATAAGTGATGCTAAAACTGAGTTGAATGCTATTTCCTAGGCCTTCTCCTACTTTACTTATTAGAAGAGCTCATTTAACTACATAGTTAATGATATTTAGGGTGTTGGCAATTACTTTACTGATCCAGCTATTAATACAATTAAAGGTATAATATACGAAAAAGAATTTAGGTAATTTTGATGAAACTGATGTTGGAGAGGATGGAATTTCAAGTTATTTATCAACCCTATAAATGAGAAAAGGAATATGCGAATAATTATTAAAATCTATAGACATTGAAATCGATTGATAATGGTTTAATTGAGATTAATTCAAAATATTATAAGACATAATCTAAATGCAAGTAATGATTAATAAATCAAATCATTTTTCTGTAAGTTCTCTAAATCCTTTCCAATCATAAGGGGCTCTACCTCCAGCTGAATGTATAACTTCTAGCAATGTATTAGATGGACCATCTTTGTGTTCAGGTATCATAGTCTTAATTAATTTTAATTTTTACTAATGTTTTCATGAATATCTTTTGAGCTTCATCCCATTCTCCTCTGATATAAGAATTAAATCCAGAAATCCAAGTATCATAGAATTCCTATTAATAATAATTTTTATACTTAATGATATGGTTCTCTTGCTGTAATTAAATCTTCATCTTTTTCAAAAAGTTCTGCAATCTGTATTTTATCATCTTCCACACTCTTAATTAAAAGATTTCTTTTATATCTATTTACAACTCTAAATTGTTTTTATTCTTTTGGATTCATTCTACTAATATCAAAAATATCTCTGGGTTCCTTAAATTTATTTAATAGATTTTTTATAGAAAAGTCTACAGTGTATAATTCTACAGGTTCAACACTTCCCTTAACTGTTACTACATCAATTAATCTAATATGATTCTAACAAGTCTAAGTCAAATTTCTTTTTAAAATTCCACTAATTAGTATATTTGTACCAAATTATTTAGTTGCAGCTTCTAATCTAGATGCCATATTGACATTTGGACTTAAGTATGAAGCATCAATTTTAAATGAAGATCCTATTGCTCCTTCTATACCCCAACCTAAATGTAAACCAAATCCCATTCTAACAGAATAATCTTTAATTCTTGCATTAAGTCCTTCATGTCTTTTATATTTTTCCAATTTTTTTGACAAAGAGACATAAATTATGATTTTTAAGAATGATAATACTGCCATATCTCCTATTTATTTTACATTATTATCATCATGTAATATTAATTGCTTTGTTTAAGGATCCGCATGAAATTTCATATCAGGATATTTCCAAACTAAGAGAAATGCATCCCCAATATTTTTATTTGCTGATCCTCCATAACTATCAACTGTAAAATGAACAATTTCTGCAATTTCATTAACAAAAACCATAACATCTTCTTGTAATACTTCAGTAGCATCTGTGAAATTACGAATGTCACAAAAACCAAAAATGGCAAGCACTTTCTTTCCAGGTACCATAGGATCTACACTTCCACCTTTTTTAATATTTTCTGCTATAATTTCAGAACCTGCTTCTCCAAAACCAACAGCTAATAATGCTCCTATTTTCATTATAAGCTTTTGTAGCAAATATGTTTCAGACATCTATTCAATATGTCTTTATCTGATCTTTTTATAATCATTGTTTTTTTCTAATTCTTAAGTTATCAGATCTTCTTGTTCTTCAATATTTACAGCCTCAAGTGGATTATTGGCAATCAATTCTATCTTCTAAATCATAGTTTCAATGGGCTCTATAATTAATTCAGTTACATCCTTATTAAATAAAACAGCACTTAATGCCAAAACTATACAAACAAATACTGTTTAAAAAATTGATAATATAGCATTAATTTTATTATAATCGACCAAATCTGAAACAGAATATGTGATCAATTAATTATTAACATCAGTTGTTACAAAGTATTATTAATCTGAAAATCGATATTGACTTTTAAGCATTTCTGTTTCTTAAAACCAATCAGGGTTTGTAGTATAGTTATATTCTGTATATTTTTTATTTAAATCATCTTTGAGTACTTAGACAGATTGGATTGGGTAGATTTCATGATTATGGAATTAGACATATTGTTTGATTAACATATCAGTAAGAGGTTAATTCTTTCTAAATTAACTAATTCTAAATATTCCAGAGTCATAACTATTAATAATTTCAGAATAAGTATCCAAAGTAAGAATTGGTATACTTATTAAAATAGCTATAATAATTGTTATGGCTCTTCTCATCACTAGATCTTATAATTAGGATCCCACATTAGATTCTTTAATTTAATCACTTTAAGAAAGATTAGAGTATTTTTATTATTATTATTCATTATTACTACTGTTTTAATCATGCTGGGATTGTGATCTAGAATGTTAACTTTTATTAATATAAGGTAGTTATTCTTCAGATTTTACTTTCTTTTAACGATTCTATTATAAAATAGAAATTCTAATTAAATAATGTTATTTTTATTTGTTCTGTTATTACTATTAAGATGAATTTTATTTTTAATCATCTTTCAATAGCAAATCTTATAGTATTTTTTTTTGCTTTTCTTTTTCTAATTGAAGTCTTGCATGTTTATACAATTTTATCAATCTAACTAGTCTTATAATTCGTATGACCCTTGCTGCTTTTCTTGCTGTCCTTGATGCTTTGCCTAAAGCTTTGAGAGTAGCCGCATTTTAAACGTCTCCTTCATCGCCATACCAACGATCTGTTATCCAACCAATGTCTAAAATCATTGTTGCAGTAGAAATTAAATCAAGCCAAAAGTAAAACTATGATTATTAAAATCTGAATACATTAAAGAGATAAGTTGGATTAGCTATGCATGTTAATACAATCTCAACTGTAAAACATGCTATGCAAATTGTAGTCAAAATAAAGAAGATGTCATCCCCATCTTTATTCACAGATAATATTCTAATATCATCTCCGAATAGTGCATATATTGTCACAAACCCCATCAATAATGAAAAACCCCATCCATCTATAAATTATTATAATTGTCTTTATTTTAATTGATACTTAGTAAGTATCTAAGGTTTGGATAGACGTGCTCTAATTTTTTCAACTGCCTTAGTTTTATGTGGTTATTGACTTCGCACACTTTTAGGTGTTTGCAATGATATTGCTTCATGACTTGAAGGACTTCTCATTTTTCTGGCTTCTTCATCCTCTAATTCAATTATTTCTTTCTTAACAAGAGGTGTACTCTTAGGTTTTTCGGTAAACTGAATAATAGATTAAATGGTTATTTGTTACAAGTGGTGCATGACTATAATAATTGCCAGTGTCAGAGGATCTACTCTAATTCTCAACTGAACAATCTGGTTTTTTAGCATAGGATAAATATATAAAAATACTGGTTATGGCTCATTATGAAGCGAATTGTAATTTCTGATTACTTAACCTGGCATACGATAGTCATCACTTTCTAAATCCCAAGGATTATAATTTTCATCTAATTATGCCATACTATGTATAAATATATATATATATATAAAATTATGAGATTCATTTTACTTTTTTTGATGATGACATTTGTATTGTCTCATATCTAACCAGACATTCGATCAGGAAAAGTAAAGAGCAAAGGAGTTAATTTAGGTGGATGGCTTGTAGTTGAGCATTGGATGACATCAAGTTCAGTGATTTGGTAAGGAGTCCCAGAATATTATCATGGATATGGTGAATATGGATTGATGTCCTATTTGGGTCATAATGTTGGGGATGAAAGATTTGAAAAGCATAGATAAGAATGGATTACAGAATAAGATATTGTAGAAATGGCATCTTATGGTATTAATACTGTTAGAGTTTCTATCGGATTTTGGATAGCAGGATTTGATAAAACAGGTGGATCTGATTGGAAGGTATTTGCACCAAATGGTCTCAAATATTTAGACTTATTAATTAAAAATTGGGCTGTTAAACATAATGTTGCTGTCCTTGTTCAAATACATGCTGCAAAAGGATCATAAAATGGGTTGGATCATAGTGCCCCACCTGTTCCTGGTTAATCTTATTGGGCTTAATATCCTGAAAATGTCAGAAATACTGTTGATCTAGCAGTCTTTTTGGCTGAAAGATATAAATAAGAAATAGCTTTTTTAGGAGTGGGATTGCTAAATGAACCTTCAGGAACTACTGATGAAGCAACTCTTAAATAGTATTATCTTACTGCTATTTCAGAAATAAGAGCAACAGGTAATGATTGCATTCTCACTGTTGCTCCATTACTTTATTAATAGGATCCAGATCATTTCAATGATTTTGCTTTGAAAGAAACTCATGTCTGGTAAGAATGGCATAAATATTTAATCTGGGGTTATGAGGATATGAATGAAGATCAAATCCTCAATATTGGTATTCCAGGAGTTCAACATTAGCTTGATATTTGGAAAGGAAATCCATTATTTATTGGAGAATGGAGTATTGCAACTACTAATAATGCACCTTTTGCTAGTGAAGAAAGCTTTAAGTCTTTTGGAAATAAATATAGGGATACAATTACATCTGCAAAGGGAGGTTGGACTTATTGGACTTGGAAAACTTCGTATGATGAAACCTAAGACATAAGTAAAAGGAATTCTTGGTCTTTAAGATAACTCCTTAGAAATGGTTGGTTTACCATCTGATATAGGTGTTAATAAATTATTTAATCATTTTTCTTCCTCAATTCCATTTAGGGTTTTCTCAACTTATTCTTTTACTCTTCTATAATATTCGGCTCGGTCAGACATATATAACTATTATTCAGAATTTCTATTACTTTTGCAGCTTCTGGGTTTGCTGGTGAGTTTGGGTTTGGATCACACAATAGTGATCTGATAGAAGTTAAAATTGCCCAAACATCCAAAATTGGAGTCCATTATTCTTTTAAAATATCTAAACATATTCTTCCATCTGGATAGACATTAGGATGATAAATAGGAGGAGCGAATCTAACTTCAGGTGGTTTAGTTGGATAATCATTTGTAAAAGCCAATTTTAATTCAAAACATCCTCCTTCCCATGGTGTTTGTTCTGGTCTAAAATAATAATTCGATTAATTATAATACCCAAAAATCACAGCTTCCCAATGAAATATATCATTTTCTTATGGAGAGGCCATAAAGTCTTCCTAATTTTCTGATTAAATTTTCTTAAAATCCATCAATAATCTCTTTTAAGCAAGTCCTTATTACATTATTTTTAATTAAATTTATATATATATTTCACTCTCTTTAATTTTGTTTCTTTTTTTTATTTTTTTATTTCACAATCACAGGAAAGTCTAAATCACTTAATTTTACTAGTTCTTGATTGTTATTTTCTTTCTTAATCAACTACTCTACTTCAACTTTTTATTCTATTTTTGGTTATTATTAACCCCATGTTTTTGAATAAGGATTAACTTTAATTTAAGAACATTCTTAATTTAAACTTGGAAATTAGGATTCTAAATCTAGATTAACATCATCAAATAGTTTTTATTAAGGTTATTATGATTATTATTATTATTATTATTATTATTATTATTATTATTATTATTATTGTTATTATTATTATTTAGGTTAGTTTTAATCTATTTCTCTTTTGTCTTCTATATCATCTTATTATTAACTTGCATTTTTAACACATGGCAATTCTGGAAAATCTTGTTCATCAAATTAAAAATCTTCAATTTATTAATTTGAATAATAGTAATCACTTCCATTATCGACTGAATATTATTATTTTTAAATTAATTAAGCTTATAATTAATTATATTTTTCTTCTTATCTTAATTTTTCTTTTCTTTATCTATCCCTATAATCTTAAATCTAAAAATAAAATTATTATCTACTTCATGTAAATATTCTTTTAAATTGTCTTGATTTAAAATATTTTTTAAATCAATTTCATAAAAATAGATTTCTGTATGTAATGGTATATGAGAAAGAAATCTAATATTAAAATTATACTTATACTTATATCTAGCTAATGTCTAATCATTCTAAGTAAATTAATCTTTTGTTATTAAGTATGATTCAATTTACTATGGAAGATGATCATTGCCATATTAAAGTGCGATATATTTATTGCATAATGGATGTAAAAAGCCTAGAAGTCCATTTGAATCTTAGAAAAACTTATAAATAATTTAATTGGTTTTTTGAGGAAATGATTTGAGAGCAATTTCAGGTTAAAGATCAAGATTCCTTTTTGGTAATTTATCTTATCTTTCTAATAGAAATTAAATAGATTATTGAACTGGTTCCTAAATTTCAGTTTCGCATAATTCATAATAACTGAAATAGATATTTTCATTTACCTCTAAAGCTATAAAATTTCCTCCTCAAAAATTTTCATGATATATGATTCATTTGCAATTAAAGTTCTTGCATAGATAACTGATTCCTTTCCATTAACATATAATTCTGTTTCATTTTTATATCTTTAAATTTGATTTAAAAGTACAGTATCACCAGAGTTCTTGATTTTATGTTTAATTATTTTAACTGATTTCAATTCACTCATTACTGCCAATTCTCCACAAAGAGGGCATTTTTAATTAAATTTTGCTAAATTATTAAAGAATTATGATTTTACATTGAATTTTGTGTCTTTGATAACATGGAAGACAATAAATATGGCCACATGGTGTAATGTAAGGGATTATGATGTCATGATCGCTTATACAAATAGGACATGTAATATCTTGAGTTGTTGTGTAAATTACTTAATACACGTCATCCCACCTAACTTCTTCTTTGATAATATAGAATGTCTCTTTTTACTGATAGGTTGTGAAAGTAAGACGAATTAAAATTTGGATTTCATGTATAATTGTTGTCGATGTTGTACTTGCTATTATGTCAATTACTAAGGTTTTCTTCTTTGAGGTTCTGGTGCTATTTCACTTATGTCTTTTGCAACTTAGAACCCAGCAAATTCATGCAATTAATGAAATTAAATCTTCTGGACCTATTGCTTCTTTAACTTTTTTTTTAATTATTAATCCATTGATAATAAATTAATGTAATTACAAAAATTATCAATTCAACTAATTATTAATAAATAAATATCCAAAAAAAAACAAATGAATCATCAAGCATTCTTTGGAACAGTGATCAAAAGAAATTCTAAACAATTAAATTCAAAAAGAGGGGAAGAGTATTTCAATAATAAGTTATTTGCAAATGAAAATCTAAGAAAAATCTAATTACCAAAATAACTTACTTAACAATATTGTTTCCCATTAGAGTAAGGAGTACATGGTACAAGGTTGGAAACTAAATCTCCCTCAAAATAATTTAAAGAATCTAATAATTCTAAATAAAATATTGAAAATACACCATTTTTACCTGAAACTTTAAAGTTTTCCTATAATCAGCAATTCTTAGCTCAAGATTTATCTCCCTTGATAAAAATAAGAAGATGTTAAATTGATAAAGGTAGTTAGAATAAAAAATTATTAACACTAAATTAGNAATAGATTATTGAACTGGTTCCTAAATTTCAGTTTCGCATAATTCATAATAACTGAAATAGATATTTTCATTTACCTCTAAAGCTATAAAATTTCCTCCTCAAAAATTTTCATGATATATGATTCATTTGCAATTAAAGTTCTTGCATAGATAACTGATTCCTTTCCATTAACATATAATTCTGTTTCATTTTTATATCTTTAAATTTGATTTAAAAGTACAGTATCACCAGAGTTCTTGATTTTATGTTTAATTATTTTAACTGATTTCAATTCACTCATTACTGCCAATTCTCCACAAAGAGGGCATTTTTAATTAAATTTTGCTAAATTATTAAAGAATTATGATTTTACATTGAATTTTGTGTCTTTGATAACATGGAAGACAATAAATATGGCCACATGGTGTAATGTAAGGGATTATGATGTCATGATCGCTTATACAAATAGGACATGTAATATCTTGAGTTGTTGTGTAAATTACTTAATACACGTCATCCCACCTAACTTCTTCTTTGATAATATAGAATGTCTCTTTTTACTGATAGGTTGTGAAAGTAAGACGAATTAAAATTTGGATTTCATGTATAATTGTTGTCGATGTTGTACTTGCTATTATGTCAATTACTAAGGTTTTCTTCTTTGAGGTTCTGGTGCTATTTCACTTATGTCTTTTGCAACTTAGAACCCAGCAAATTCATGCAATTAATGAAATTAAATCTTCTGGACCTATTGCTTCTTTAACTTTTTTTTTAATTATTAATCCATTGATAATAAATTAATGTAATTACAAAAATTATCAATTCAACTAATTATTAATAAATAAATATCCAAAAAAAAACAAATGAATCATCAAGCATTCTTTGGAACAGTGATCAAAAGAAATTCTAAACAATTAAATTCAAAAAGAGGGGAAGAGTATTTCAATAATAAGTTATTTGCAAATGAAAATCTAAGAAAAATCTAATTACCAAAATAACTTACTTAACAATATTGTTTCCCATTAGAGTAAGGAGTACATGGTACAAGGTTGGAAACTAAATCTCCCTCAAAATAATTTAAAGAATCTAATAATTCTAAATAAAATATTGAAAATACACCATTTTTACCTGAAACTTTAAAGTTTTCCTATAATCAGCAATTCTTAGCTCAAGATTTATCTCCCTTGATAAAAATAAGAAGATGTTAAATTGATAAAGGTAGTTAGAATAAAAAATTATTAACACTAAATTAGTAGTGTTTTACATTTATAGCTAATAAAAGAATACGAGCATAATCATTTAATGAAGAAAAATGTTTCTCTCCAGATTAAAATAAGAAAAGAACTAGACTCAATTCAATAATTTATAAGAATCTATATAGTGAGTCATATAGATAATAAGATAATTAATCTGAAAACTACTGATTAATATTAGTTGAATTATTATATCATTACATTTGATACTTACTATAAATACTATATTTATATTTATATCTCATTAATATCAATAAATAACTAAGATTCAAAATAATCTTAAAATTAGGAAGATAGTTGTTGAAAAGTTTTTACATTATCATTTTAAGTTTATAAGTAATTATATATCGATATTAAACATTTTCTTGGATTTATGGTCTATTAAGACATATGAAGTATGCTATAAATTCGAAATTTATTTTTATTAATAAAAAGCTTTAATAATAATAAAATAATTTTTAATTTAAAGACCTCTTAATACATAATATGATTTCATTAATTGCTATTGAAAATCTCAAGAATTATAAGCATAAATTTCATTTTTATTGCTATGTTTTTATATTAAATTAAATAACTTGATTTCTTAAATATTTAATCAAATAAATAGACATTGTTGATCAACTATTATCATAAAACTTCTTTAATTAAAATTAAAAGTATTTATTCCAAATCATAAGTATTACTCATTAATTAAAAAATAAGCTAATATATCCTTTTCTATAATTAATTCCAATAAAATAAGGCTTATATCATGATAATGATGTCAATTTTAGTTACTTCTTAATTATAATATTTAATTCCATCACATTAATATGTCCCTAAAATCGTTCCTTCATTATATGTTCAATAAAAAATGATATCTCAAAAATCAAATTAACTTCCTTGATTTTATAAATAATCTTTTAAAAATCATATAGTTTAATAAAAATGTATCTAAATATATTTTTTCTATTTTAATTCTAAAATATTAGATAGTATAATTGAAATTATGAAATAGTATAATAACTTATTATAAATTATTATGTTTTATATATAGATTGCATAAAGATAATAAATATTTTATTAATTGATTTAAAATCATGAATTATAAGGCAATCACTTATGTACCAATAAATTTAAGACCAAGTTTAGCAAGAATGAATTAAGATCTGCAAAGATGTAAATTTGAAGCTATTCAATATGCTATTTGTGCAAGCTCTAAAGGATATGAAGTAAAAGAGAAATAATGCTAAAAGGAATTTGAAATATATTGTTCTTGTTTGAAAAAATGATGATTAAATATAAATAAATATTATTTTTTATGGAAGCAATTACACAACTCAAAAAATTTATGTAAGTCATTTCAAATTATATAATAAGTGGTCATCATTTTAATGTTAAGAACTTTCATAGGTATATGATTAACAATGACATCTCAGATGTTGAAACATTGATCAAATTTTGTTAATTAGATAATACTGGATAGAGATTTAATTTATGGAGATTGTTTTTTAAGTATTATGTAGTTTCATTATAGTATTTACTCCATAGAAGACACAGTCTTTGATAAAATAGGTAAGTTAACTAAAACAAGGGAAACATATAAATAATTAGAGTAAAAGTATTCGAGATCTTAAGAAGTGTCATCTACAACTAAGATTGAAGATTAACCAAAAAAAGGTCCTTTAGGTGGTCCCTTAGGTGGTCCATTAGGTGGTCCATTAGGAGGAGGATCTAAAATAAAGACAGCAACATAAAACCCAATGGAAGATGCTGAATTAAGAAATGAAATAAGAAAGGATGTTGAAAGAACATATTAAGAAATTTAATTTTTTGCTAATAAAAAAGTGTTACAGATATTGACTAGTGTATTGTTTATATGGAGCAAAGAAAATAGTGATATCTCATATAGACAAGGTATGAATGAGGTTGCAGCTTCCTTAATTCATGTATATTTTCAAGAAGCTCTTTATTAAGATGAGATTGATAAAATACAAGGAGTATACATTTTTATATGATAAAGGCCTCAGAGGATGATAAATAAATCTTATTATAATTCAATTCATGGGAACATGCTGAGGCTGACATCTATACTCTCTTTTAGAAATTGATGAATGATGCATAACATATGGAAATGTTCAGACCAAATTATACTGAAGCCTAAAAGATAAAATTATAAAGTAAAAAGCCTAGTGCAATTTTAACAAGAGTTTCTAAAATTTAAGATATACTTTTAAAATAAGTTGAAATGCCTTTATTTAGACATCTCAAATTATTACAAGTAGAATTTTAAATATTCTTATTAAAATGGATAAGGTATTTATAATATTATAAATAAAATAGATGTATGTTTACTAGAGAATTACATTTAATAGAATCATTTAAAGCATGGGATGCAATCTTCTTTGATTTTTATGAATAAAAAACAGAAACATTATTCTTTGTTGATTGTATAGCAATTGCAATGATATTATATGTGAAATAGCCAAGTATTAATTATAATTATTTAATAATAGTAATGGAAATGGAAGACTCTAGTTAATGTTATTAAAGATTCCTTAAATATCCACCAGTTTCTAATTTACCAGCTTTACTTGAGTCAGCCATTAATGTTAGAGCTATTTTATTGAATTAAAAATCAGCAACTAATCTAGATGATTAAAATGAATCAAATTTACCAGCTATATATTCAGATAAACAATTTAATCCTGTGTTTTTTGCTTAACCAACAGACAAAGTGGATGGAGTAGTAGATGCTAAGGTTGTAAAGATTACTTCTGAAAAACCATAATTTAGAATGAAAGGTGATGTAGATCTAGTCTACAAAGATGAAACTTCTCCAGATAAATCAAATTAAAATTAGCAATAATTTACAAATCCTTTATAACCAAGATAAATACCTCAATAATAAAAGCCTTAGTAATAATAGTAACAATATTAATAACCCTAACAATAATAATAATCAAATTCTTAAGTCACTCAGAATAATAATTAATCATCCATTACAACAAACTTTTTCGATTCAAGTTTATCAAATACAAATGTGAAAACAATAAAAACATAATTTTAAGTAGAGGAATAATCATAATAAGTTAAAAAAGATAAAGGATAAGTTCCATAAAAAAATTCTATTTAGATTCCTATTTAATAAGCTGAAGAAATGTTTAACACTTTGGAAGAGACCTTAAAGTTTATGAAATAATTTAAAGATAAGTATTATTAAATAATTATTATAGTTCAAACTATCAGGATCTTTTAATGAATTTGACAGAGATGAAAGATTATTTTGATACTTAGATTAAGTAAAATTTTAAATTAATATATTAGTGAAAATTCTTAATAAGTAAAATAATAATAATAATAAAATCAATAAGATGATAGTGGTATATCTAGTAAAGTAGTAGGATTCCTAAAGAAAAAATGGTGATATTATATGTTTTATTATTTAATATTTAAATATGTTGTGAATATTGATTATTAAATTTTGTAATCTACTTAAATTAGATTTATAATATGATAATATGCTTATAGTGAAATTAGTTGATTAACATTTTACTAATTATATTCTATATTCTAATATAAAAATATCTTAAGAACTTAATTATTGTTTTCTTGAAAGAATAGAAAGAATATTTATAATGATGATAATCAATATACTAATGAGAATTTAAATACAAATTATAAATTTCTTCATTATTTTCATTGTTTGAACTAGAATGGTTAAAATTACATAGGTATATGAATCATAGTTTCTGTATCTGTAACATTAGAAATTGAATTAGTATCTTAAAAGATTTCATTTTTTTTTAATTTATACTATCCAAATGAAATTTCATTAGAGGAAGAATTACAAAGTAATGGATTGATTTTATTTTAAGTACACAATTAAGATTTCTGGAATAGATTTGGCACTGTTTAACTATTTAGTCCTTAGTTTTAATTTTGTTCAACTTATTCAGGTATATATATTGATGATATTGAATTGTTTTCTCTTGTAATTGGTTCTAAATCATAATTTCTTTTAATTTTTCTTTCAGATAATTGTTTTTGTAATGATTATCTATATGAATAAAATTAATTATCTTCTTGCTAAGTATTTAAAGGGATTTTGGATTCAGCTTTAGATTCTTGCTCTGAGAAAGTTAACAAGCTAAGCATCATATTGTTAGAAACATAAAATTCATGAATTGATGTATTATTGGTTTCTGGAGGTTTTGAAATGATGGTACTAGTAGAAGAATGTTTTTGATGCTAAATATCTTTAGTTTTTGCATAAGTTCTTGAAACGCAATAGATCATTCAAGAGTATTTTTTATAATGAAAAAAATTAAATATGTTTGAAAATAAAATATTTGTATCTTTTCATTAGTTGATCTTCTAAATTCTTTTTTTACGTTTCTACTATTTTTATTTATTATAATATCTATCATCAGGAATTTAATTTTTATCATTTATAGATTGAAGATTTATGGATAGTTTATTTTTATTGTTTTATTTTATAATCTTGTTTTTTAAATTATAAATATATGATTAGATTATTGATTCTTTTATTTTAAACTATGAAAAATAATAATTGAAAGATATAAATGGATTAGTTTCTAAAGACCTTAATATATCATTATAAATTAAAATGTGTTTATGATAAATCAAAAATTGACAAAGATTTGATTAATAGTTAAATAATATTTCAAATAGTATAAATACATATCTTATCTATAAAGAATTAAATATAGTGTGATTCAATGTTTTTTAAAGGAAAAAGCTCCAATATTTTTAAATTAAATATTGATTTCATCATTTGCAATAAGATCTAAATTATCAAATGATCCATAAAATTGATTGACTTCTTGAATTTATTATTCTTCAATAATTTTACCAGCTTGTTTACAAAAAGATGTAAGTTTTAAGACTTAATTTTCTGTCATAACAGAAAAACTCTTTAGATCTTTTCTCTATTTTTTTGAATTAAGAAAAGGTATATGATTCTAATTGTCTCCATCATTTTGGTCTTCTTCAATTTAACTAAGATCATAATTCATCAACCTAGTAGTCCCTGCACTACCTCTACTTAGGTACTGAATGATTAATTATAAAATACCCCTCTGCTTTTTCTTTCAAGTCCTGTATCTGGAGATTAACTTTCTAGATCAGGCACATTGAGAAAGGAAACCTGACTTTTTTGTTGAGTTTATTAAATTATTTATAAAGAAGGTAATTAAATTTATTGTTTATGTTCTTGTATTATTGAATGTTCTTTAGAAATAGAAATTTTAGGTTTTTTTTCACTAGGTTTTTTTTATGAATTAGATTTTCTTGATTTTTTAGATTTTAATTCAGGTAACTTTTCCCAATCAAAAGAAATAGTATCAATTTATTCTAAATCACCTAATGCTTTTGAAAATTATTCTTTAATATATGCATAATTAGGTTATTCAGTATATTCTCTAGATTTAGCATGTTACAATAATAAATAATAACATTTAGGTAGATTATCACATAACTTTTCATGAGAGATTGTTTATTTTTATTCAAGTATTTTACTATATTTTATTGTTTTATCTTAGATAGGTAAATTCATCCATGGTAATTTCCCTTTATTCAGATATATGAGTACATATGCCAAAGATTCTAAGTCATCTTTTCTAGATTACTCTCTACCTAAAATTACATTCAATATTTATCACCTAAATGTGCTCCAATACTTGCATATCTGGCAGTACCAATGATTCCTTTCTTTTCTATCATTGGAATATGATTTCCTTGATTATCCTTATAAAATTTTGACAATCCAAAATCAATCAAATAAACAATATCAATATCCTACCATCCTATCACTATATTTTCTGGTTTCAAATCTCTATGAATTAAATTCTTCTAATGTAATTATTCCACTCTTTCCAGTAATTATAATCCTATTCTTAAACAATTAATCTATGAAAACTTCTTAGTTTTTCTAATCAAGTACTCTAAATTCTAACCCAAATATGTAATCATAAAGAAATTATAATTCTCATCTCTTCCATAATGTAAAATCTATGGAAAACCTTGCATAATAACTTTAAATACCTGTAATCCCTTTTAATACTAATAAAATCTTTATTTCTCTAATTAGTAAACTCATACTATTTTTTGCTGACTCTCTCTTTTCAAATTTAGTTGCACATATTTCACCTGTCTCTATGTTTTCAGTCTTAAAAATCGATCCAAAACTACCTTATCCGACTTTCTCAATTAATTTAAATCTTCCTGCTACAATCTATCCTGGATATAATAATTTCTATTGGAATTAATCTTATTGTAATGTAGGATTGTGAGTTTGATGTTTCTTTTCTTTACGAACAGGTGATTTCATAAATGTATAATTATTTATATTAATTTCTATATAATTAAATTTATTCATTTTCTATCCTTCTCCAATCCTTAAACTTCTTGTACAATATTTTAGTAAACTTAATTAGTAAGTTTTAACAAATATCCTAAAGCACAGATTCCCCCAAAAAAAATTATTAGTTATACTTACAAAGGCATTATATCTGATGATTTTCCAGTCTCTATAAATGTTTTTACATTTTTTGCCTAAACTCCAACATGAACCCAAAATCCAGTCCATAAAAAATTACTTATTGATGTCACCATTAAGTATTAAGGAGTGCTCACAGCAAACACTCCAACAACATAAGTCTTAAATGCTGTTGGAAGTGTTATCAATTATAAAATTGCTAAAATCTTTATTGGATTAATCTGTGCCGCTATATAAAAAGTCTTAAAAAAAATATTTCCTTTAAATGCTTAATAAATTTCTTCTCTAAAACAATATTTTACAAGGGCAAAACATAAAAATCTAAAATTCTTAATATTTTTACTTTCCAGCCATTTTAGTTGCAAATAATAAACTTAATGCTGTTAAATATGGTCGAATGAAAAATCCAAATAATATGTCCATTAAAAATATATCAAATCCTGTTATTATTAAAACAAATTCAAATGCTCCGATATATAACAAACCATAAGCATCTTTAGGATAATTAAAGGTATAAATTACCATTTTCATAGTTGTCATTAAAAAAGTCAAACAGAAATTGTCTGAAATGTTGTGATGTTCCCAATGCCACAAAAAATGCAATCACTACTATCAAATAAAATATAATAATGAGAAGTAGTAATCTAATTATATTGCTGAATCTCTTTACATGTCTGACAAACGAGACTACTTTTCCTTTGAATTGATCTCATGGATTTCAGATGAAGTAGGATATTCAGGCATGCTCAATGCTACCCCTGGCTATTCTAGAGGCTCATATTAATTGAGCATATTTATTACTTATCAAAAATATGAACTCATCCGTTTTAATAATAATTTATTCTAACAAATATATATGTTAATTCAATGCTTTTTTCTTCTATCTTCAGCAGTAGTGTTATAAGTTCTCTTTTTTGAATTTAAACCTAATTATTTTTCATATGTTTTCTATTATATTTCTTTAGTTGTTTATTTCTTTTATGATGCTTAATTCAATAACTTTTCTAATTATTATTTGCCCCTTTCTTCTTTATTATTTATTTTTGGCTAATCTTACTTTTTTTGATCAGATTTCCACTAAGGTTTATATGGTTTGAATTCTAACTCTGGTACTCCTTCACCCACATCAATTTTTTAATTTATCACTTTAACTTATGTTGCCTTATGATTACTTTCATTTCTTGGTTCTTGACGAGTATGATTTTAATCAAATGTTTTTGAATGTTTCTTTGTCTTTTCCTTCATTTTTTCACATTCTTAAATGAATTCTTGATAACTAATTTCTCCTCCTCTTTCAAAATGTTAAATTAATTTTATTTATTATGAAATTTTCATTTAGTATTTTTTATAAAATGACTTTATATCATGTTCAAATCTATGATCTTAAGTTAATTATCTTATCATAAAAATATTGTAATTATTTTTTTTAATTTCTTCTAAATTTAAGATTACTTTATCTAAAATAGATATAGAGGTTTTTCTCTAAAATCCATAACAACTAATTTTTGGGCTTAAAGTAAGAATATCGATATGATCTAATGAAATGATTGAAAACAATTTCTGGAATAAATATAAAAATTAAGTAAAGGCAGGATCAGCTAAATTTTTCATTTCAAAAACAAAGCATCCTCCATCATCAAGTTTTTAGTACATCATAGTTACAAAATGCCATAATTATTCACCAGTATTCTTTTTTTCATTCACTTTTAAGTAAAGAATTTATACAGTTTCTTCTTCACTCAAACTCTAGACAATCTTAACATTATTAAACTTACCCTTAAATTCATAATTATTTTCATCATTCATTAATTTAGAACAAACACGAATCATATTTGGAAGATAACACTTCTCTATAATACTTGCTATGCTTTTTAGATTTTTTAAATTAGAGAATTAACCAAATACTGTTATTGGTTGAACATAATTAGGTTAGTGAAGAAAAGGATTGATTCCTCGTTGTAAATGAAACTCTAATGAATATTCTTTATCTAATTCTTCAAATACTTTATAGAATTCTTTAGGATATTTGGGTTGTCTATTATTTCTTTCTAAAATTTTAGTTGATTTAAATTTTTTAACATCACTTAACAAATCAAATTCCCTTTGAGAATCTGATGTATTATACACAGATAGCATGCTATCATTAAATTTATCATGTCCACTTAAAATATAATCCTATTCATTTCTTTCAAGTATGCATGAGATAGGTTATAAGTATCCCCAATCAATAATTTTGTTTTATGATGAATTATTATAGGTAGTATAACGACTAAAAACAGGTTGGAATTGTGGCATAGACAAAGCTTATTTGTAATAAGGATTATTATCATCAAAGAGATCCATTAAATAAAAAATTTTATTAATTAAATTTAATTCTAAGTTCTTACCTAAAAATCATACAAAATTTGACAATACTATAAATTAATAACATAATAATGCAGTTTAATTATTTAACTATTTATCTTCAATGAATTCACATATTTATCTGACAACACATTAAATACATGAGATGTTTGTAGATTCCACATAAACATTAGGTTCACCTTCATTTGTTCAACCAAATTCTCCTCATTCAAAGGAAGTATATGATTTTTAAAGTAATAATTTAGAAAAGATATTTCTTTCATGAAGAAATTATAAGTCCTTCAAAGAAAGATGAAAAATCAACTGAAAATTATTCTAACAGAAAAATCAGTCATGATTCTATTTTTGATTCTAAAGTAGAATTGAAATTAAGTAATTATTACATTTTCACAAATTATAGCAAATAATGAATTATGTCTTAAGAATTTATTAGAACAATAAAATAAGAATAGAGATAGAGAAACAATCATAAAATTGTAATAAGAACTCTTACAATAATCTTAAATGATTTTAAGTCTACAAAGTAAATTTTGACATCATTTAGATCAAATATAAATTTTGAAAGAATAAAACAAGAAACATCAAACAAATATTACATAATTATTCAGTTAAATTAAAAAATTGGAATAAGAAAATTAATCATTTTAAGATTAACTTCTAAAATATAGATTGAGTTTCTAAGATTAAATTAAATAACAATAATAAATAAAAATAGATATGGAAAATATAAAAATCAAACTATTAAATAAGGATTAAATAATTGAATCTTTGAATTAGCAATTATTATCCTTTAGTCAAGATTTAAATAAAAATAAAGTTACTAGAAGTCCTAATAGAGTAGTAGAGTAAATATTGAATCACCATCATCCTTCAATTTCATATATCAATTATAGAATAACATAATAATAAAGATCACATTCTAATAATATAAAGAATTTTTGAATTAATCATTCATATGATTATTTAATAATAAATTTCACAATTTATAAAATTATAGGGCTTTTGTACTAGTCTTTTCTTCAACATCATCAAAAATCTTTCTCTTTTAATGTCCAGAACTTGTGTACATACTTTTATTATTTTGAATTTATTCTTCATGAAGACTCTTGCTTAAATGATGATGACTGAAATGTCTCACACTGACACTTTACAATTTACAAAACGATAGTTTTTTGGGTATTTATATTTTTTGAGATTTTTAGTTCTTTGACTATTTCTCTTTTAATATTTACTTATGTTTACATCATTTTATTTAAATCTGATATTTCTTATTCCAATTAATAAACATATTTTTATAGTTCTACACATTATGAACATTATTCAAATTAATTTTCAAATGCTAAACTTCCTTCTGAATTAATAAAAGACTAATAAATAGTGTCTTCTTTCTCATTCATCTTAAATAATTAAAATAATATTAATAAAAAACATTAAATATTATCATATTTTAGATTAACTTTTTTATCCTATACTAAAAAAAGAAAGTTATATCCTCATTCTTTTCAAACTTTTGTAATCTCCCTTAGATAATTCTTTAGATCATATAAATAAGGATTCTTAAAAGATTGAATAAAATTTATATTTCTATCAATACTTAGTTTAAAGTTAAAAGAAAAGGATGGATATGTTCATTTTTGTTATATTTCTTTAGATAAGTATCATAATATTATAATTATTTCATAGTATGATAAAAAGTATGGGTAAATTACTTATTATTATAAAAACAATAAATGAACTAAATAGTAAATACATTTGGATAAACTTTTGAATAGTTGTAGCAAATTTAATTGAAAAAAAAAATAGAATTAAATATGACTATAATCTTTCTTCTTACATTTAATTTTAATTTAACAAAATAGATTTGAAATTTCTTAATTGAAAATTATTTATGATCATAAAATAAAGTAAATTAAAAAATTATTATGAAATGATTATTATTTTATATGTGTATTGTGTGATTATAATATTCATCTTCCTTTAAGATAAATGATTATGGTTGTCATATTATCACAACCAATTCCAGCTATAATTATTTAATATTTATAAATACTTGATATATCTGGAGCTATTAAATGATCTAATATATCTTCAGCAACTTTCCCTAATATATATGGAGTAACTGGTTGATCATCAAGTTTTTAATTTATAAATTTGATTAAATCTTAATGACTAAGAGTTTCAAATATACCATCACATCCCATCAATAGAAATCTAAAAATAAGATAATTAATACTAGTCATTTAATGTTAATTCCACTTTCTCGATATCTGGATGAGCAATTAATAATTGTTCATTCAATTTTAATCTAATGTCTTTCTTATATTCTAAATCTCCTAATGCACGTGAGAGATTTAGGCTTCCTATAAATATTAAATATATATACCATTAATTCTTCCATCAGATACAAATCCTCTTGCTTTTTCAATCCTTTATTTCTCTAAGTAATTATCAGGCTTATGATCATGACTCATATCATAATTAGTATTATTTCGACATAATACAGATCTGGAATCACCTGTATTAGCAACATAGAGTATATTCTTATGAAAGAGAGCAACATTAGCTGTACACCCAGCAGTACTAACTTTTAAATTATTATTAATTAATAATTACCTTCTTCATCTCCACCTTTGATTTAATTAATTTCTTTTTAGCCTTCTGGTGTAAGTATTAACTCATCCATTTTTAAGAATGTCTCTTACAAGGCCTCCTGAAACTTTTGATCTTTAAAATTTTTATTCCTTTAAAGTTCTTCAATAAAGTGCCTTTCCACAAAAATGGCAATCTCCTTACCCCCATGTCCATCAAATATACCAAATACAGAAACATCTGGCACTAAATCACATACATGAATGTGAGCATCTTCCATTGATCTTCTCCATCCTATGTTATTATAAGATATGATTATACCCTGCATTCCTGAAGCTGCATAAATAAAGGTTTTACTTTCATCAACAATTGTAGCTTTACTTTTATTAGGACTAGATAAGTAAACTCCACCCATTTAAATATATTAAAATTAGAATTTGTAAGATCTTATTTGGACTTATAATAATCACGAATTCTATAATTATAATAAAAGACTTGATTATTATAATATCCTGGTGTTATTTAGCTGTTAATATTAAAATTTAAATTCAAAATTATTAAACTAAAACAAAAAACAAAATAGTTTTATTATAGTTTAATTTCTTAGTTAATCCTAAAGGTTTAATCTAATTAAATTTTCTTTAAGTATTTATGATAAATCCAACAAATTAGACAAATTATATTGTTTATTGTTAAATTTAAAAAAAGTTTGTATATATTTTTTATTACAATTGCAAAAAATGAAAAATTTTTGATTATAAAAATAAGTAACTTTGAAATTTAATATATCATTTTATATCTTTATTTTTACTAAATTTATTTATTAAAAGTGTTTTGTATTGATTGAAAGGAATTGATTTTTTGATTAACAGAAAGTTATAATTTGTTAGATAAAAATAATAAATGTTTATTTATTTCTTGAAATAAATAAAAACATTTAGCCAAAGGCTAATAAATTATAATTTATAATTGCAAATTTTTAATAAATGTAGATTATATCAGAAACTTATTAAGTTTTACTTTTAATCTATTGAAGAAATTTAAGAGAAATCAAAAACCAAAATAAAGTTATAAGATGTTCAAAAGATCAGATGAAGAATATTATTCATTAATTATTATATATATGTTTAAAATAAAAAATATAGAATTAAATAAGAAAATATTCATATCATTATTCAATATTATATTAATTGAATTGACATTTTATTTTTAACAATATTTAATAAGTGATAAGGAATATATATAACTATATTAAATGTTTATAAAATTAGTATATGATTAATTTGGATGTTAAAGAAATAAGAAATTAATAATAATATAAGTTATGAGTTTGAATTTATTTATATTTTGATGTAAACAACAAATATTTCCAAATTTTTTGAGAAACCATTTGTGTATCTCCTCTTATATCTATTTGAATAATTCAAACTAGAAAATTAAATAAGATAGTTTGAATTATTAAAAGTAGTCATTAAAATAATTACCAAAAGTATTTTATATTTCTAGTAATTAAAATTTATGGAATTGTTGATTATAGAGTTTTGTATATATAGATTGAACAAAATTTAAGATTTCATGGTTTTTTTAATTCAATTTATTGGGTTTAGACTTAATTGTAAGTTTGGGTTTGAGGATTCGAAATTTTGTTACCATCCTATAAAATGAGTTAACAGAATGATTGTTATTATCCAATGTTTGGATCATTTTTTTATCGTTCTTAGTTGTATTTTTTGAGTTTATCAAAATCAATAGGGATACATTGAAAGGCTCCACTTCTTTTAAGCTTTGATTTAGAATGGCATATTCCCATTTTAGATTATTTTAATATTAATTGTTTAATAAATTGATTTAGATTTTTCCATTTTATAATATGGCAATGTTTATTATCATAAGTGATATAAATTTTGCTAAAAAATTGTAATTTTAGAATACTTAATTTTTATTATTATACAGATCATTTTGACAATATTCCTAATAAATCTGTGTCTCTAAAAATGAGAAGTTCTTAACCACTTACATTAACTTTTTGTCCACCAAAATCAGGTAGTAAAACTGTGTCTCCTACTTTAACACTAATTTTAACAAAATCTCCTTTGTGGTCATAATAGCCTTAACCAGTCTTTTTGTTAATAATAATTAATATACTTCAATGACTACTCCTGCTGGATTCTTTGTATCTCCACTATTAAGAAGAATACCACTTTAAGTTTTATTTGGAACTTCTAACTTCTTAATAAGAACTCTGTTCATGAGTGGAACTAATCTTTTAAATTGCTACATCAATTAATTTTAATTAAATAAATAATATATTATGGATCCTAACTAATTTGTATACTAGTTATTTAATATATGATAGGGTATTGAAATAGCCAAGAAATTCCAACAATTCTTTGCTCATATGAACAAATTTTGTTAACAATTTTTAAAAGATTAGAATGTGGCAGAGATCCAAACACCTGAAAAAAAGAAAGAACGAGATCCAAATGCACCTAAAAAACCTTTGACACCATTCTTTTTATTTAATTAGAAGTACAGAGAGAAAGTAGTTGAACGAAATCCAGGTATTTATTAGTTAGTGAAATATTATAAGAGATTAAGCTTACTTAAATATCTTAAATGGCGGGAAATAAATGGTCATCTATGACAGAATAAGAAAAGAAGGTATCACTTTTAATTATTTATCATAGCCTTATCTTGACTAATACAATGCAGCAAAAGAAAAATATGAGTAAGAATTAAGAGATTACAATGAGAAAAATGGAATTGAAACAAATGATAAGAAGCGTAAGAAATCTGAAAAAGTAAATTAAATCTTTATATATATAGCTTGATGATAAATCAATGAAATCAGGTATAGATCATAATATTGATGATTTTGAATCTGAATCTATTCAACCTGCTGCTAAACATTAATAATAAATCAAATAATAACAAATAAAATAAAACAATAATGATGAATAGATTAAATAATAATAAGGAAAATAGACCAAGTAATAATAACAATAATAAAAATAAATACCTGTATAAACTAAAAAAGCTAAACATGTAGAAATAGATGATGATTTCTAAAAAGATATTGATTAAGCTATGAGTAATCCAAAATAAACATAAAAAAAATAGAAAAAATGAAAAACCATAAAAACAACCATTAAAATTAAAATTATTTTTTATAATATTTGTTATGTACTTAAATCATTCAATCTGAGTCAGAGATTTGCTATGTATCCATCTACATTAACTAACTCATTGAACAAATGACTTCCTTAAGTGAATCTAGCAACTTGCTTCTTATGCAATTCACAAGGACCATCCATTAATCGAAGTCCTCTGCATGCCTAAAAAGCAATTTACAAAATATAATCTGTAGTGATAGCTTATGCTCCAAATAATTAAATGCATTCATCAACAATACATTAACATTTATATGGTACAAATGCTTTAGTTTCACTTACAGTTTTAAGTGATTGCATATGTCTTCCACCTAAAGAGTCTAATACCATGGCGGCATTTAAAATCATAGTCTTGCATATTTAATAATCACATTCCATTCTTCCAATTTTCTCTTAAAATGCTGTGTCCTCTTTTTATTTTTTACCTCTATGAACTCTTCTCTATCCTCTTTCCAATAATACATCCATACTTCTACGAATTAACCCTAATAATCTAACACTATGATGTAATCTTCCTCCTAAAAGTCTTCCTTATGACATAGCAAATGCAGTTCCTTCTTTACCTAACATATTTTCTTTAGGAACATAAACATTATCGAATTCTACTTCTATTAGTCCATGTGGTGCTTCATCATATCCAAATACACTCAATGGATTTTTAAGTTTAATATTTGGATGAGGAGTATCAACTAAAAACATTGTTTATTCTGTGAAAGGTGATTTAGGATTGACTGTTGTTTTACCCATAACAATTCCAAATTTACATCTTTCATCTTAAATACCTGAAACCATCCATTTACTACCTTTAATAACATATCCATCTCCTTATTTTGTAATAATAGTCTCAAAATTAGTTGGATCAGATGATGCTACATTTCTTTCAGACATAGCAAAAAATGTTTTACATTCTCCTTCTAAAAGTGGTTTTAGATACTTTTCTTTTTAATAATCAGTAGCTGCCATAATCAATAATTTAATATTTCCAGTTTCTGGTGCATAACAATTAAATATTTCATGACCAAAGAATGCTGTTCCCATTAATTCTGATAAGAATGTATATTCTAAATTAGTTAATCCTTTTCCATAGATAGGATCACTTATAAAAAGATTCCATAATCCCATAGATTTGGCTCTTCTTTATAAATGTTCAATGCCTGGTAATGCTTTCCAATGATTATCTTTATTAAAAGAATAAACAATATCAAATTAAGATTTTTCCATAGGGAATACTTCATCTCTCATAAAATCCCTTATTCTATAATAATAACTTTTGCATCTTTAACTGACAGGATATTTAGCCCATTATAATTAATCAGTTTCAGCTCTTAATTTAATTTAGAATGGATCATCATTTGTTAATTCTAAAACCATATTCCAAGCAGATCTTGAAATGATTTCTAATTCTTATTAGAATAAATTGCTTTTCTCAGGATCTACTTTTGTTTTTATACATTATTATTTGAAGATAGCTTTTTATAACAAAACAATAATTGTGTTATAATTCAGATATTTAATTGTATCTAAATTTCTTTCAATACAATATTAATTAATAAGTTCTGGTTTGCTAGGTAATCCTAATAAATGATCAATCTTTTATAATCCATAATCTGTAACTTATTTTTCATATGGGATATCATAATTAGATAAGAATTTACTTAATTCTAAAAAGGGATTTCCAATATTAACAGAATTCCAATTTTATACATTTATTAGTTTAATTTCTTATTAATCAAAAATAAAATTATTTAGTTCTACATTACCTAAACAAAGAGATTCTTATATTGTCAATTCTGGAACATTCATAGGTAACCAATAAAGTAAATCTTCAATATTTGTTTGAATTCTTGTTTCATGTGTTTTGTATTAGATTCTTAAACTTTCAATTATTGCTTAATAATTGAAAACTTTTTCTTTTTAACCTAAATTATGGATACGACATAAAAAACTAATAATCTCTTTAAAAATAAGTCTTCTTTCATTGATAGCTAAACTTTAAAGAGCCAATTAATTAAATATTCTTCCATTACTTTATCCATAAGCATAGAATCCTTAACCAAGTATTCTTGAATCGTTACAAATATGAATCACATTCTATTAATGTTTTAATAATTCATTTTAAAGACTTAAATCATCATTTATAGATGTAATCTAGAAAAATAATAATAATAATATGCTACTCCTAATTTTCCAAATATTGGTGATTATCTTATTGTCAATTATTTTTAAGGGTTACTAATAATATAATAAATTGTATACATAGTAGATGCAATAATAACTTCTCCAGTCGGTAAATAGGTTACATGTTCAGTTTTCACTTATTCATTTTATCTATAATTCAAAATGCTTGATTGATTATTGAGATAAGAAATTAATTCATGTATTTGCACTTAGAGGCTCATTATATAAATTTTTTATACAAAAATTTTTAAAAAGTTTGACAAGATTTTTAGAAATTTGAAGGTTGGCATTTAATAATCATAATACGTAATAGAGATTTATAATACTTAATTTAAAATAATTTTAATAATTATTTTATTAATAAGAGAATAAGTTTATTTATTTTATTGGTTATACCTATAAATTAGATTGAAAACAACATCAGAATTATTGATTTCTTAAATATTATTTAATAATAAATGATAAGATAATAATAATTAATATATCATTTAAATAATTCTATTCCATTTTTATCTAATAATGTCTCCAAAGTACTTTACATTGTTTCCAACATATATTATCTTTCTATATTTAATTATAAAATAATAAAGAAAATTGCAAAACAATCATTTATCATTTCACCACTATATTCTAAAAAATGAGCTATCCTTTCATTTTAACCATTAGTAGGTATTACTCCACCAAAAACTAATAATTTTAAAAAAGACATTATGAATGCTAAAATAATTATACAAGATTCATAAAATCTATATTTATACATTAAGGATTATTTATCTTATTAAAAGATGAATAAAAAATCAGTTAATGTAAGTAATAATTGTACACTATATTCAATCCAATGAGATGTAACTTCAAAGAACTCTGGATCAAAAGTAAATAAAATTAATGCTACCAAAGTTCCTCCAATATTAACAATGATCAAATAGATTTTTATTGAATCAATTGTAACAATACCTGTTAATATTAATACACATCCTTCACTTAAAGCAAAGAAAAAAGATCCATAAAAATCTAACATATGGAATGGTAAATAATAATTATCTTCTATAACATCTTAAGGATGACAATTTGCTACTAACAAAGATAAGTTACAAAAAAAGTTAATAACTATCACTAAAATAAAGAATATAAGTATATTCTTTTTGAATTTGTGATCCTTGTAAATATGAGTATATATTAAATTCTTATTTTATTCTGTAAATCGATTAATTTTGTAAGTAGATAATTATGATGCCATTTCTGTAGGCATTTATATATCCATAGAATCTAATTTTTGGCTCATTTTTATTTCTTTATTTTTTTAATTAATGAATCACCATAAATAATGATTTATTAATGAATCACCATAATAGTATAAATATTTATATTAAATTTTATATTATTATTATTAATTTAGGTTATCTTATCAGAGATTGATCAACTATAGAATTTTAATATGTAATAATAGATTACTTTATTTACATTAAGGATAAATTAATTTAAATATAAAAGAATTTATATCCAAAATTTTGTAATCTTAAGTAGATTATCTAATTAAATTATTGGCTTAATATTATTAATTATATTTTTGAATATTATCAAAGTATTACATTCTTTTTTATTGAAATTGTATGTGATTATAAAATTTTACATAATAATTTTAGATATTTTTATTATAATCTATATATATATAATTTGTAATTGAATTACAAGATGAAATAAATGATTGTTATTAAAGTAGTCCAGGTACTCTATAATTCTTAATGATTAGAAATAAGATATTAATTTTGATTAATCATCTTAAAACTATATATATTTATTTATCTATAGAGAATATAAATTATTAATGTTTAATAAAACTAAAGTAATGATGTAATTAATTAATTCATGATTTATTTGTTTCTTTGTATAGCCCTTACTTTTGGAGCTGAAGTTGATGTTAATACTTTTAGTAATTACATAGAAGTGAGTTAAGAGCATGTACATATTGAATGGCTTCTTGATTTAGATGGACAATATATAAATGCTACAAGTCAATCTATTTTCAGAGTTAATAGCAATAAACTAAAACAAGTATTTAATTATTGTTTATTATTAAGATTGATTTAGATATATATCAATTAAATATAATTGCTGTGTATATGACATCTACAGGAAATGTTTTAAAACATAATATTATTAATAAAGGAGATTAATCACTTTTGTAAGGAGATGTTCTCTCAATTCAATTAGATCGAGTTTATACTAGAGGAGAATATATTAATTTAAATATAAAATATAATTTAGATTCAAAAGGAGCAAGAGCATTAGGATTTTTAACTAAGGAATAGACTTATAGTAAAACAGTTCCATATCTATTTTCATAATGTGAAGATAATAATTGTAGATCAATAATTCCTTTATAAGATACACCAAGTATCAAAATATACTTTACAGCAACTGTTTTGGTTAAAGATCCTAGAATAAATGTATTTATGACTGGAAATAAATTGTATAATATGAAATTCAAATTACTTAATAATTATGAAAATTTGTAAGCATTAACAATATATTAATTTGAATTGAATATAAAGATTCCAGCATATTTGATTGGAATAATTGCAGGAGAAGTAGTTGAAAAATCAACAGGAAATGGTACATATGTAATAGCTGAACCACATTTCATAGATGATTATGCATAAGAATTATCTGATTTACCAATGTATATGAAAGAGATGTAAGAATATATAGGACCATATATTTGGGGAGATTATAAAATTGTAATTTTACCAGCTTCATTTCCATTTGGAGGCATGGAACATCCATTATTAACATTTGCAAGTCCAACAATTATAGTAGGTGATAAAAGTGGAGTTGGTACTGCTATTCATGAAATTGCACATTCTTGGGTTGGAAATACAGTGACAGGTAGGAATTGGGCAAATTTTTGGATTAATGAAGGATTTTGTGTATTTTTAGAAAGAAAGATCTTATCTAAATTGAATGGATTAGATTCTGTTAAATTAGATGCAATTAATGGTAATTCAAGTGCATATACTTCTATGTAAACTTTTGGTTTAGATAATTCATTCTCTAGTATGCATCCTAATACTACAAATAGAAATCCTGATGAAGCAACTAGTCGTGTTCCATATGAAAAAGGTTATTAATTATTAACTTATTTGGAAACTTTAATTTAAGAAGATCCATTCTAAAAATTCTTAAGGGATTATATTGAAAATTTTAAATTTTAAAGTATTGATGAAGATTAACTTTATTAATTTTTATTGAATTGGGTTAGGAAAAATAAATAAGAAGATTCTTAAAAAATTATAACAGAAATATAAAAAGTATGGAAAAAATGGGTATATGAACCTGGTTTAGCACCAATTACTATAGATGTTACAACTCCATTATTTACTAATGCTAATAATTTAGCTAAAGCATGGATAGATGGCAAAGGGGAAATTCCAGAATAAGCAAATGATTTTCTATAATATAAACCTAATCAAAAGAGTGTTTTCCTATAATATTTAATTGATAATTATAAGGATGTTGAAACTGCAGTAATGACAAAAATAGATGAATAATATAAACTCACTTTTTATAAGGATTAGAAAACTGGATATAAATGGTATAGGTTAATTTTATTAGTGAAATATGATCAAGGTCTTGAAGGTGTTCATGATTTTGTATCAAAAGTTGGAGTATCAAGTTATTTAAAAGTATTATATGATTTGTTGGGTTAAAATTATAAGTAAATTAATATTATATATATAAAAGTAAATAAGCATATGATTGGTTTGATGAAAATAAGACCTTTTATCATCCAGTTGTAGTCTAAGCCATTGAAAAAATATTATAAAAGTACCCCAAGAAACTTATTGTTGAGTGAATATATATACAAAAGTATTTAATATTATAATGAAATTTTTTATAATTATTAATTCATATATTTCTAAATTTTGTTTGTTTTTAAATATAATTAACATTTACTCATCTCAGTTGGAAGATTAAGAAAAACTTTAAAATTCAATAAAATCTATGGTGTTCATCTATTTATAATAAATTATATAAGCAGAATATGAAAGGAATAAAAAGAATACAAATTAATTCATTAAAAACGTCTATATTTATTCAATATAAAATTAGTGCAGTTAATTCGATGCTTAATATTTTAAGTTATCATTATTATTTTTATAGAAATAATGGGTTGTACTATTTAGAAAAAAGGGAAAGGAAACTAATGTTAAATGATAAAACAATAATAGATTGGTGGTTAAGAAACTTAAATACAATCATAATCACCAAAAATTGAGAATTTGATTATTGAAACTCCTTCATAGATTAATTTAAGAGCATAGAGACTTAAACATGTCAGAGATATAATATTGAGTGGATATTCAAATTCTCCTAAAAATATACATAATAGTAGAAAATAATCATCACAGAATTTGTGGATTTGAATACATAAGAATTTGATTACTTAAATCTTCTTCATTTGTTTATTAACACTTATAATCATCAAAGTAGTTTATTTTTTTGAATCAGTTTATTCCTTTATTAATAATTATATTAACCATTATTTCTATAAACAGAGTCAAAATAATGATATTATTTGATTATAATAATATATCACTATATCAAAAGAAGTAATAATATAAGTAATAAAGCATTGATTTATAATTTTAGAAATACAATTTAATTTTGACGACAATTAAAATGAAATTAAAATTCATAAAAATACAAATCAATATATAATTAGACTATTGTAGCAATATGTCTAATCATTTATATATATATTATATAAGTATTTAATTCTTTTTATTGATTATGTATAAAATACCCTCTTTTTTTTTAAATATAAATTCATTTACTTAATTATGTATAAAGGATATATTGAAAAGATGTTCAAAGAATTTCAAGTTTAACCAATTTATTTACCTTTTGAATTTTAGTAGAATGGAGGTGAAGGCAATATAATAATGGATATGGATTTAGTCAAATAGGTAAGAATATGATATTTGAATAAAGTTAGACTATTTTATTAAGTAGAACATGAACTAAAATAATGAGCATACAATCCAATAATTTATAAGAATGTTTTCAGTTCAATTATTGTTACCTAACCATGTAATTGATGAATTATTAAGTAATACACAATAAACTTTTGAATAATAATTTGATGAAGAAGTAATTGATTCATGTCAAAAATAATCAATTAATAGAATTAGAGAATAATCTTAATTAGAAGAAATGAAATTCATATCTTAATTATAATTATAGAGTGAATAAAAAAATGAATAAGAAATATTTATTGATGAAATGAAAGAAGCAAAATTGATTGTGCCTATAGCAAATTTAAAATAATATCCATTAGGAAGAACTTAAATTACAGTAAGAGCTAAACTATTTAATAAACCAATTATAGAAAAAGAATAATTATAAATTATAGGAGATTATTGTCTTTAATTTAGAGATGAAAGTGGAATGTGTTAAGTATTCTTTACAAAGAATAGAATAAAGGATAAGTTTTAGTTTTATTATGAACATCTATAAGTCTAATGTATTTATGATATAAGTGAAATGGAAATACATCAATTTAAATAAACATATGAAATTAAAGTCACTTCAACAACATAATTTAAATTATATACTAAGATTCCTGTATTGTAATAATTATAAAGTGCATTAAATTATAATTTGAAGAATGGTGAAGAAATTATAGTAGCTGCTATGGTTGCAGAAATAGGTGAATTAAGATAATAAAATAAAAAATTAATATTATATACATTACCTATTGATAATAATACAGATTATTATAAAATACCATTAATTTTATGGGATTAATATAAATTATTAAATTTTAAAGTAGGTGATGTTTATGTATTTGAAGGTGTTTTATTAAAAATATATACTGATGTTATTGAATTAAAATCATTAAGAACTAGATTTAAAGTTTATACTGAAGAAGATGAAAAATATAAAGATATAATTAAATAAATAATAGATAAAAAACATAATTGGCTCTAAAATGATAATTAAGAGATTCAAATTGAATAAGTAGTATAATAACCTGTTTTTATTAGTGATATTCATTAATCTATTAATTGTTCTTATTTCAATACAGTTGTAAAAATATTAAAAGATAAACCAGCAATATTTTAGATGAAAATACAAAAATGTGTTAAATAATTAATTGTTACTAGTGATAATAATAATAGTTAAATTATTGAATTAATAGGTGATCGATTATGTTAAAAGGTTTATATATGTGAAGAAGCTATCATCTTTATTAGTTATTTAAAATTTATTAATAATAAAATTATTACAAATGAAAATAATACTTAAATTAGAGTTTTACCAGATGATGATATTGATTTTGTTGAACAAATATCATTATTAAAATAACCATTCTCTAAACCTATATCATTATCATAAAATGAATTAGAAAAAGATGTATTAATTAAAGATTAGAAAAGAAATTCAATAAAAATAAAAATTAATTAAAAACATTTAGATTAATAAAATTAAAAATAATTATCATCTGATAGTCTTAAAAAAGGAATAGATAGAAATGAATTAATAAATGATATTGTATCATTATTAGAAGGTAAAATGAATAAAAGTAGATTCAATATATTAGTTTAGATAGATGAATTGTTTGAAGTCAGATATTAAAAGGGAAATGTCAAATTATAAGATCTTAGAATATCAGATGAATCAGATTCAGGAAAAATAACATTATGGAATAATTAAATTTGTGATTATAAAATTGGATAAACAATTAGAATAGATCATGTCATTTATGATAATACTAAACAAGAATTTAAAACAACATTTCATAGTAAAGTTAATACAAATGTTCCAAATAAAAATCTAACTGGCAAACATAAAAAATAAAATCAAAAATAATTAGTTATTGATGGTGTTGAATATTAGAATTTTACATACAATTAAGAACTTAAATTAATTGCAGATATAATTAAATTATAATATAATCTATAAGAAGAATTACCTTATTAATATTGTAGAGCAATGATATCAGAAATTTTAATAGCTAGATTATCTTAATAGTGTCCTTAATGTACCTTTACTAAATTAATATAAAATAATGATGTTTATGAATGTTCTGGATAGAATGGAATTAAACATATTGTTACACTTCCAAAAGTATATTGTTATCTAAAATGTAAATTAACAGATTTCACTGCATCTATAGAAGTTGTATTTGGAGATGATATCTGTTAATAATATATCCCTTAAAATATTCTTAATGAATTATATAAAAATTAAATGACTGTAATACCATACTTTGATTGTTTGATGTACAAAGAATTTACATTCAAATTATGGTTATAAAAATAAAAAGATTAAGAAAACAAAAAGATTAAAATCATGAAATTATTTTAAACAAATTACTTAAAAATTATAGATTCATATTTATGAAATCTATAAAATTTTATCAAATTATCAATCATCATCATCATTTCTATTTTTTTTCAAATTTAATTTAACCATAGCTTTACCAACTGCTCCAATCCAACCTTCTTTATCTTAATTATTGCTTGCTTACAAGAAAAATGTTTAATCTGGAGTATCAATTTTCTTGATATATAGTTTAATCAATATTTACAAATGTATTTTCTTTATTCGTTTCTTCTTAACAACTTTTAATTGTACTAACTGTTGACAATTATATAATCTCTGTAGGATTTGAATATTGTTTTTCTGCCTTAAATGAATATAAGGTAGTAGTTGTTAATACAAACCATCGTCTAAGATAGAAGTGGGATTATACCTTCTCCATGATTTAAATACTCTAGACTCTTTTTCTAACCAACCTTCTTTCATTATGTTTTTTAGATCTTCTAACATTGGATTCTACATGTTTGAATTATTTTTTTATTTTAATTATCATTTAGAAATTTTCAAAATAGTTTATAAATTTTCACTTATTTTAAGTGAATTTAATACTAAATCTAATCATATCAATCAATGTCGAGAAATTAATGCAAAAATGTAAAATAAAATAATTAATTTGTGATGTAAAAGACTATGTATTAAAATATTTATATAATAGCAATCCTATTGTAAAGTGGGCTTAAAGAAAAGACAATATATTCTTGACAGTTGAAGCAAGAGACTTAAAAGATGAGAAAGTTGAATTAACATCAACATCATTAAAATTTAGTGCAAATGCTGAAGGTGTTAATTATGCATTTGAAATCAATTTCTATGCTGAAATTATTGTTGAAGTATAATATTACATAAAAATAAGGATAGTAAATGGACAAATTATGGTGTAAATGTAAGATTCATTTTATGCAAAAAAGATTAAGCTGCCTCATATTGGACTAGATTGATCAAAGAAACACATAAATTATAATTTATATAAGTATATATATAATTCTAATTCTAATAGGTTGATTGGACCAAATATATTGATGAAGATGATGAAGCTGAAGAAGGAGGCAAAGGATTAGATGATTGGAATGCTAATAATTTCTAAGGATTTGATGGTTAAGGTTAACCAGATTAAGATGATGAAGAATAAGAAGAAGAATAAGATTAATAAGATGAATAAGAAGAATAAGATTCATAAAAATAAGAATAATAATAATAAGAAGAAACATAAAAGGAAGCATAAAATTAATGAGTTATTTATTAAGTAAATAGTAATCGTTTTTATTAATTTGATGAATTAACTTATTTTGATAAGTGTATTAGCTATATCTCTAGTATAAGCTGATCTTCCTGTTCATTGCCTTAAACATTAGATTGTGGGTAAATGGAAAATGGAAGTTTCTGATGTGTAATTGAGAGGCATGGGTTCAGTGCCATGTGGACATCATGTTCCTGATACTTAGCATTCTTCATATAAGGCTGGCTGGGAAGATTTCCGTGCTTCAGATTCATTTGAATTAACATTAGGAAATGATTATACAGTTATAGATAATGACAGAAAATCAAGTGGATAATGGACAATGGTATATGATGAAGGATTTGAGGTAGAACATAAAGGAATTAAATATTTTGCATTTTCTAAATATGAACCAAATGGAGTTGATTATAAATCATTATGTGGTGAAACTTTAATTGGTTGGTATAATAATTTAAAGACTGGTGAAAAAGGATGCTACAGAGCAAAGAAAGCTGATGGAAATGTTGATGCAACAGATTCTTATAAACTTATTAGTGTTGTTCAACCAGAATTCATTTAAAAGAGTACAAGACACGGAGATAGAGTTAAATTAACAAAAGACTTTACAAATCATAAAGAAGCAGTAGATAAATTAAATAGTATTCCAAAATTATGGAAAGCTAAAGCATATGATCATTTTGAAGGTAAGAGTTTATTAGAATTGAATAAAATGGCTGGAAGAAGAAAACATTATTAAGGTAAAACTATAAAGAAAGCTTCATTTACTTAATTAAAGACTAGTGATGTTTCTGATCTACCAAAAACATATACTTTAGAAAGATATCTTGATCCTCCTAGATAATAAAAATAATGTGGATCATGTTATGCTATATCAACAATGGAAATGTTATCAGCTAGATTAAAGATGAAAGGTGAAAAAGTAACATTATCACCTTAATATTCAGTGGATTGTAATTACTATAATTAAGGATGTGATGGTGGATATCCATTTTTAGTTGAGAAATTTGCATCTGAATAATATTTAGTCACAGAGGAATAATATCCATATAAAGGAGATGTTGGAACATGCAAAAAGATTGATTTCTCTTAATCATCTAAAGTATATGGAGCTAAAAATTATAAATATATTGGAGGTGGTTATGGATTAAGTAATGAAAGAGATATAATGTTGGAATTGTTTAATAATGGTCCTGTAATTATGAATTTTGAACCAGGATAAGATTTTATGTATTATTAAAGTGGTATATATCATTCAGTTGCTTAACATGAATGGTCAAGTTCTGATCGTCCAGAATGGGTATTATAATATTATATATATATTAGGAAAAAGTAGATCATTCTGTTTTATGTTATGGTTGGGGTGAAGAGAATGGAGTAAAGTTTTGGTTACTATAGAATAGTTGGGGATAATAATGGGGAGAGAATGGAAATTTTAGGTAATTTATTAATTGAATATTTAATAGAATGAAAAGAGGTGTTGATGAATCTGCTATTGAGAGTATGGCTGAAGCTGCAGATCCAATTATTTATTCTAAATCTTCAGGAGAGTTTATTGAAATTAGTTAGTCTAATTTAAGAAAGTAATGACAAAATATATTTAATAAATCGAATCATTTGTTTTTTTATTTTTTAAGGATTGAAAAGAGAATGATTTCATTTCCTACGTTTTCAGCTTTATACTTGATATCTAATCTTGGATTTATTTTTGATTGATCTATAGCCATAGTGCAATTTGATAACGTGTCTTTTATTTATACTACTTCTTCGCTTGGATCAAAAACACAAACTGTTATAAAATTATCGAAATGAATTCCATATCCAGTTCCTTATTTAATTTATCTTCCTTTTGCATCAAATCGATCTTCTCTCATTGCTTTATATTTGATTTTCTTTTTCTCAACTATTATTGTTTCAAAATCTTCAGGTTCCTCAGGTATGTCTTCTGTGTCATCCACCTGGGCTCTACTAAGTATTAATTTTGGTCCCAAAGCAGAATTTTTCATATTTCTCAGTGAATAATTAATAGTTTATTATATTCATTTATCATCTTATCCTCTTTGTAAGTGAAATTTGAAAAATTTTAATATTTCCCAAGTTCATAAACAGGAGTATCTTAAATCGTGCTTTTTCTAACTAAATTTTGATCAAAAAATTGAAAAGGCTTATCATTATAAAAAGGTGGTTTTATTTCTTTTCTTTCTAATTTCACAAAATCTATATCCTTAAAAAAGTTATGTTCAAATATTTCTGCTGCATCCCTAATTGCTCCTAATCTTTCCTTAGGATTCTTTTTAAGTAATCTTTTAAGTAAATCTTGAGCTTCTTCAGAAAAATCATTTGGAATTTCAAATTCTTCAATTAAAATTGATTTCATAATTTCTTTTTTGTTATCATTTTAAAATGGCAATCTGCCACTTAACATTACATATAATAAAACACCATAAGTCCACCAATCACATACTTTAGAATACATATCACCAGAAATAATCTCTGGAGCTAAGTATTCCAAAGTTCCACAAAAACTTTTTGCATAATTATCACCCTATGAACATAATTTACATAATCCAAAATCACAAATTTTTATATGACCTTCATTATCTAATAATATATTTTCAGGTTTCAAATCTCTATAAATAATGTTTTATTTATGTAAATAATCCAACCCAAGCAAAATCTCTGCAGCATAAAATCTCACCTTTTTTTCTGACATCTTACCATTCATTTTTAGATGGTAAAACAATTCTCCACCAGATACAAAATCTATTATAAAATATAATTTAGTTTGTGTTTGAAAAGCATAATGTAACTTTGTAATAAAACTACAATCAGATATTTCTAAGATTTATCTTTCAGTTTTAATGTATTTTTTTTATTTAAGACTTTGTACTTTGTTTTTACATACTATCTTCATAGCATACTATTACTAAGTCTATTTATGTTACACTAACATAACCTTTCCATTGGTGCCTCTACCTAAGTTCTAGGCATCATCACTATAAATACTCTCAAAATTGCAAATTCATTCAATTATTGTCTTCCCTTATTATTTTCTTCCTCAGGAAACAGCTACTATGAATCTTTAATATCATTTTTCACTATAGCTTCTCCAGATTATTCCTCAGATTCTTTTATACATACAGATCCCATTTATTAAATATTTTTATAATTAAATATTATTGATTTAATCAAAAGGAATATTTTTTCTGATATTTTAATCCACTAGATTGCTACATATTTCAAACATCTTATCTTCTTAAATCAATATAATAGATATGAAATCAATATTGGATAAATTCCTAAAATAAAAATAATTAATTTACACTATAATCAATTGTAATTGCATAATTATTTATTAGAAAATATAAATTTGTTCACAAATCTCTAAGAATTCTTATTTAATTAAAATTCATATGAATAATTTTTGAAATCTAAAAATTATAAATTCTTAATTATATTTTAAAATTTGGTTAAAATAAATAAGAAGGTATAAAATTAAAATAACTAAGTGGACAATAGTGTTTTATTGATTAAAAAATTATCTAAAATAAGAAATATTACTTCATTATTTTAATAATAATTATTTTACTTTTATAAATTAATGATTTATATACTTCTAAAGATTTTAATAATTAAATTTCCTACAATTTTATTAGTAATGAGACAATAAGTTCTGTTTATATTTAAATTAGGAGTTTATCAAAATATATGTTATAGTGATATCTGTTTCCATTAAAAAATAAAGTATTAATTAAATGAAGGACTAAATCATGGCTTTAATTATTTATTTTTTATCTTGAAGTTTAATTATATTGTGAAATGATTGACAGAAATATTCTATAGTTCTAGTTTACTAATCCTTCCATTCAGCATTAATATTGTATATGTTCTTAAAAGTTGTGAATTTCTTACTTAGAAAACTTTTGCATTGATTAGATAGTTTAGATTTACTATTATAAAAATTTAAATTTTGAATATGTGTATTAAACACTACCTCTATCAATATTCATATTTAAATTAATTTTATTTGCATAAATTCTATTAAATAAATTTATTCATATTTAGTATGTATGAAGATAAAACAGCTATAGTTATCGATAATGGATCTTATGAATGTAAAGCAGGTATGGCAGGAGATGATGAACCAAGATGTTGTTTCCGTACGATTGTAGGAAGACCAAAATATAATTTCAAAATTAAGGACAAAGGAATCTACGTTGGAGATGAAGTTCTTAGTAGAATTAATGCTTTATAATTGAAGTAGCCAATTTAATGTGGGATAATTTAAGATTGGGAAGGTATAGAAAGTGTGTATAAACTATTAAGATATGGAAATAATTTGGAATCATTTGTATTTAAATGAGTTAAGAGTTAAACCAGAAGAACACCCAGTTTTATTGACTGAATCTCCAATGAATCCAACTGCAAACAGATAAAAAATGGCAGAAATCTTCTTCGAAAAATTCAAAGTGCCATCATTCTGCACAATTAATCAAGCAGTTCTCTCACTCAGTTTTTAAGGAAGAAGTACTGGTATAGTCTTAGATTCTGGAGATGGTGTTTCGAACATAGTTCCAATCGATGGATATTAGACAAATCGAGATGCTGTTCTAAGAATTGACTTGGCAGGAAGAGCCTGCACCCATAATTTGATTTCCATCTGTGACGAATTGGATAATTCAACATAATCTGATATAGAAATTGTTAGAGACATAAAAGAGAAATTATGCTATGTTGCTCTTGATTTTGAAGAGGAAATGAAGAAATACAAAGAAAGTGCTGCAAACAACAGACATTATGAATTACCAGATGGAAATATTCTTGTTGTATAAAATTAAAGATTCAGATGTACTGAATTGCTCTTTAATCCTTAACTCTTTAATATCCATTACTTGGGTATTAGTATCCCTGGTATTCATGAGTTATTAAAGAGTTCTATTGAGAAGTGCGATATTGATTTGAGAAAAGAATAGTAAGAATGTTGAATTATATCTTAGTTATGGAAATATTTTACTCTCTGGAGGTAATACAATGTTGCCAGGATTCCAAGAAAGATTGAGCAAAGAATTAACTTACTTTCACCATCAAATTAAAAAAAAAATTATTGCCCCACCATAAAGAAAATACTCAGCATTTATTGGAGGATCATACTTATCATTCTCATCTTCATTCTAAATGTTTTTAATATCAGGCTCTGAATATTAAGAAAGTGGTCCATCGATTCTTCACAAAAGCATTATGTGAAGGATTAGTATCTTGCAAAAAAAAAATGAGTTTTTAATTTATTTATTAATATTTAAAATAATTTTTTTAAGAATTTATTAAATAAATTAAATATTTAAAAAAAATAATCTAAAGATCATGCAAAAAACAGCATTAAAATTATTTTAAATATTAATAAAACATAAATGCCATTTTTTATTCTTAAGGAATTCTTTTTATCATGCTGATTCTANACCAAGATGTTGTTTCCGTACGATTGTAGGAAGACCAAAATATAATTTCAAAATTAAGGACAAAGGAATCTACGTTGGAGATGAAGTTCTTAGTAGAATTAATGCTTTATAATTGAAGTAGCCAATTTAATGTGGGATAATTTAAGATTGGGAAGGTATAGAAAGTGTGTATAAACTATTAAGATATGGAAATAATTTGGAATCATTTGTATTTAAATGAGTTAAGAGTTAAACCAGAAGAACACCCAGTTTTATTGACTGAATCTCCAATGAATCCAACTGCAAACAGATAAAAAATGGCAGAAATCTTCTTCGAAAAATTCAAAGTGCCATCATTCTGCACAATTAATCAAGCAGTTCTCTCACTCAGTTTTTAAGGAAGAAGTACTGGTATAGTCTTAGATTCTGGAGATGGTGTTTCGAACATAGTTCCAATCGATGGATATTAGACAAATCGAGATGCTGTTCTAAGAATTGACTTGGCAGGAAGAGCCTGCACCCATAATTTGATTTCCATCTGTGACGAATTGGATAATTCAACATAATCTGATATAGAAATTGTTAGAGACATAAAAGAGAAATTATGCTATGTTGCTCTTGATTTTGAAGAGGAAATGAAGAAATACAAAGAAAGTGCTGCAAACAACAGACATTATGAATTACCAGATGGAAATATTCTTGTTGTATAAAATTAAAGATTCAGATGTACTGAATTGCTCTTTAATCCTTAACTCTTTAATATCCATTACTTGGGTATTAGTATCCCTGGTATTCATGAGTTATTAAAGAGTTCTATTGAGAAGTGCGATATTGATTTGAGAAAAGAATAGTAAGAATGTTGAATTATATCTTAGTTATGGAAATATTTTACTCTCTGGAGGTAATACAATGTTGCCAGGATTCCAAGAAAGATTGAGCAAAGAATTAACTTACTTTCACCATCAAATTAAAAAAAAAATTATTGCCCCACCATAAAGAAAATACTCAGCATTTATTGGAGGATCATACTTATCATTCTCATCTTCATTCTAAATGTTTTTAATATCAGGCTCTGAATATTAAGAAAGTGGTCCATCGATTCTTCACAAAAGCATTATGTGAAGGATTAGTATCTTGCAAAAAAAAAATGAGTTTTTAATTTATTTATTAATATTTAAAATAATTTTTTTAAGAATTTATTAAATAAATTAAATATTTAAAAAAAATAATCTAAAGATCATGCAAAAAACAGCATTAAAATTATTTTAAATATTAATAAAACATAAATGCCATTTTTTATTCTTAAGGAATTCTTTTTATCATGCTGATTCTATTATCTTATAATTTATAATTTAATCTCTTCGTATTGGATATTGATATTTCTACACTTAAATTAATCTAGTAATCTTAAGTAAAATGCTTATGAAATAAGTAATCTATAAAGATTAGTGGTTATTATCTATTCAAACTATTTTTTTGGAAAAGTGGTATTTTGCTTAAATTATTTTAGTGTATTTAAATTTGAATGTAAATTTATTATTCATTTTATTAATATAAAAGAAGAGAATAATTGTTGGATAATTAATACAATTAAACTTCTCGATTAAAATTTCAACAATCTCTTAAGAAAACAAAAAATAATTAAAACAATAACATATTTATGTAGATATAAAATTAAACTATTAATCCGTTACACAAATACCCATAAAGCTCAATCAATTAGTAGCATTACTTTGATTGTAAATAACATCAACTGGAGCTCCTTCTCGTAAATTAGATTTTCTGTACAACTCGTCAAGATTTAATGGACCTGATTTTAACTCTTATTATGCGATTGGAGTTTCTTCAATTTATCTTTTGATAGAATATTCTTTGGTAAGGGATTGTCTTTTACCCTTTTCTCCCAAACATTCTTGAGATTTTTGATTTGAATAACAACATGCAAATCCCCAACCCAATACTTCATTCCAATAACTACCCCAAATTTAAGTATGTTCACCAATATATTTATCCTCTTCATATTTAGATTTAGGTGTTTATTTTGACATTTAAACAATTATTTCTTCTTCTTTTTTTTACAATTTCAATTCTTTTTTTTCTTTAGAATTCATTTTATCAGTTTAATTAGATAATTTAACAGTAGCAGGTACTTTTTTAGTTCTCTCATAACAAAATTTGGCTATATGATCTTTACCTCCACAATTACTACATTTTTATGAATTAGACATTTATAATAATTTATTTAATTAATATTATTTCATCCTTTTCCAAGTACATCATCTCTAAGAGATTCACAAACTTCTACTACTTCAGCAACAATATCTTCTGGAAGTGCTAAATTAACAAGAGTATCGCTTAAGTGTTTGACAACAAGATTAAAATGAGTATCATCAATTCCTAATCCTCTATGTGCTTCTAACATATCTCTTCCTGTATAATTAGAAGGTCTATATTTAATATTATTCATACCCTCCAAAAAGCATAGTAAGAAAAGCTTACATTTAAGAATTCAATTTTTTCATATCTGTTTTTACAAAGAAACTCTTTAATTTAGGATCATTCTATAATTTTTATAAAAGCTTATCAACTGTAAAATCAATAGCCATACTTTATCCCAGTCTTTCATAAATAGTTTTTTTCTAATTTATCATATATTAAATTGGATACTTAAATAACAACTCTTGGATTGAATACTGTTTCAATTGGAGCCTAATTTTTTTAATTTGTATTATTAGGGATTGATAATTTAATTTCACTATCTCCCATTAAATTCTTTTTAATTTATTCTTATTATTTATTAAATTATTCATTTCCCATAAGATTTCTTGCTATTTATTCAGTTTAATCTAAATCATTATCTGGATTTTAAACTCTTTAATATTTATTTTCTATGATCTTAGATTCTACAACTTATTTATCTTACACTTTCTCATCTATTTAATTAATAAAAGTATTTACTAATTTAAATAGTAATTGGAGGTTGATTTTCATCAGCATCATATTAATTAGCATTAACTTAAATAGTGATTTTACCATTATTATAAGTATTAGATTTTTATCCATTTATAGCCAAACACCAATCATACTAATAATCCCAATCATATCCATGTTTTTAGAATAGTTCTTTGAACATCTTTCTTAGGAAACTGTAATCAGGTTTATCTTCAAATCTTAATGATCGACAATAATTTAAATAAGTTGAGAATTCAACTAAAAGAATGATATTTGAACATACTTGGCAAAGTCTTACATAAAACTTCAACTGGAGTAGTCATCTTCTTTTCCATAATCTTATGATATTTTTCTTATTTATTATTTGCTTTGATTCCTTACCAAGGTAAATAACTTCTTAGTAAATAGACCATAACATAACCAATAGCTTCTAAATCATCTCTCCTAGATTATTCTATACCAAGATGTGCATTTATGCTAGCATATCTTGCTGTTCCTGTAAGATTTTTATTTTCTCTGTATGGGATATGTTAATGAGTTTTAGCATCTCTATATTTCTTACTCAAACCAAAATCGAGAATATACTAAATATACTAAATTGATTATATACCACTGTATTAGACTTCCTACCTAATCCTATAAGAAAATTGTCTGGTTTAATATCTCTATGTATAAAACTTTTGGAATGCATATATTCAACCCTTTAAATCATTTGATCTGCCAACATGATGACTGTTTTTAATGAAAACTTCCTTTGACATAAATTAAATAAGTCTTCTAAATTTGGCCCCAGTAAATCAATCACCATTACATTCAATCCTGCCTCTTATCCAAACCAATGTAAAACAGGAATACCAACTAATTTCATTTATTACAAAAAACTACTTCCTCCTTATAATGCTTTTGTCACCTTTGCTTCAAAAACTAATTAAGGATGCTTTGATTTTGCTTCTTCCTAAATATATTTAAAATCATATAATTACAAATTTTGCAGCCAATATTTCATTTGATTATGTTGTCACTAAATAGATCTCACCAAATGAACCACTACCCAGTCTCTATTATGTTGTATACTTTCCAGAATTTAATGGTATATTTTTTATCTCAGCTTGCATTCAATTTTTAAAAATATATATTAAATTTTTAAGCTTTAATTTATTTATTAATTAGATTATCATTATATATCACATTAACTCATGAGAAATCAACAACATCCTTAACATTCTTAAATATCACCAAAAACTGTCTTGCAACCAACAATCCATCAGAAAAAATAATAATTTAATCAATTTTTTACAGAATTGTTGTAAAAGAACTAAAGTTTAGTTTAAATATTCGAGCAATAAAGTTAAAGAACTTACGAATATCCATAAGTCAATGTTGAAAAGCTTAGATCTAATTCCTCATTTAGATAGTTCACTACTCGTGATTCTAATACAAATTCTAATAATTCAAAAAATGTTAATCCTATTGATGTAATTAAGTTAAAAGACATTCTAAATACAAACGGAAAACCTAAAAAAGAAATCAAAATTGACCCTCAATTATCATAAAAAGCATCACCTAAATATAATTCTACCCATCTAACTGACTTGTTGTCTGTTAATAACTAATAGTTATAGTAAAAAAATACAACAAAGCCATCTTCAAAAATATAATTATATAATCAATGTCAAGTACAAGAAAAAAATCTTCAATTAACAAATTAACTTATCAAAGAATTATAGAAAGAGAATAAAAATTTAGATATTGAGACACCAAGATTTTATGGAATGGCTTGACAGGGCTATTCAATTGATAATATATTTTACTTGTTTATAAAATTATTTATCATTCATAATTGACAACTAAAAATTATAAATTACATAAAATAATTATTTTTATCTTATAAACCATAATGAGTTTTTTCTTGTTATCTACAATTTTATCTACTCAACTCAAGTATTAATTTAATAATTAATACTTATAAAGCTTTTACTTTCGATTTAGTATAAAAATAAATCTCACTCTCAATAAAAAAAACAAATTAATGTTAATAAATTTTATTTATTTTGAATTTACTTTTATCTTAACATATAATCAAAATTATTTGAGAACATAATAAAACACTAATTAAACTGAGTTAATAAAGTTTAGACTTAATGAATAAACTAAAAAATAGATTAGAAAATAACAAACTTATTTCGATATAAAGGATAAATTATTAAATTTTGTTATTTCCAAAATGAAAAATAAGAAGTAAAGAAATATAAAAAAATACTGATTATCATGTAATCTTATGGAATATTAAATAATTTTTTTTATAGTAAGGAAATCTTTAATTAATTTTGCAATATGATTATAAAAATTTTTTATAATAATTTAGGCTCATCATAGATCATTTGATTTAATTTATAGAAATTAAAGCCTTTTTTCATCTAAATTGAAGATAATTAGATTCTAACCATTGCTTGATATGGTTCCAAAAATATTATCAGAAAGTTCAATGGCATTTTTAGCCAAATTAAGTTTTCCTTCTTCCACCTTAAACACATATAAATGCTTCTTATGTTTTACATAAGCAATATGATTGCTTTCATTATAAACGATTGGAAAATACATACAATCTGTAACATCAGATGAACTAGTTAATTCTATTTTTTTCTCGTTTTTTTCAACAAATCTTTCATCTTCAAGTTGAAACACACAAATATTTCCTTTAAGTTCATTTGCACTTACCCAAATAAAAATATTTTCACTTAAAAATGATACTCTATATCCAAAATCCTTTACTTAATTATCTACCAATTATTTGAATTTCCATTCATCCTTTTAATTTTCCCAAATTACAATTTTTTAATCAAAACTACAAGATACTAGATAAGTATTTGTTTAATTCAAGCTTAAGCTATAAATATCTTAAACATGATATTGTAATTTTTATTGGAAAACTATTTTTAGTTATTCAAAATCTATATTCCAAACACAGATTTAGGAATCACTACTGCCAGAAAATAGTTGATTTTCTTTAGAATTCAAAACTAAGCAAGAAATTCTTTCCTTATGTTGTTTTTATGCTTCAACAAAATTCCATTAATTTTATATATTTTCTTTCCATATTCTTATAGATGAATCTTCACATCCTGAAATAATACCATTACTACGATTATTAAATAGAACACAATTAATGTAATCATTATGACCACTCAATGTGGTTATCTTGGTTACTTCATTTTTATCAACACTCCATAATATTAAATCTGAATCATTACCAGTAATTAACTTAGTTCCCTACTTGTTAAATGCCATGCCTATACTAAGTGAGTCTTAATAAAAAGATTTTAATACAACAGTATCTTCTCTCTATTATTCTTCATTATTAAATTCCATAAAACAATTATTTAAATCAACCTTTAAATTTGAAATAGATTCGGTAATTTGTTATTATAAATCATCTTTTTTTGGTTCATCTTTTCTGCATAATTTTTCAGCCATATCATTTACTAAGCCCTCATTAACTAACACTTAAAGATTACTAGCTGTCTAAAATTGGTTTTTCAATCCTTTCAATAAAATTTCCCATAATTAATTAATTCCTTTTGAAAATTTATTTACAGCATCTAATCTTAATTTATTTAATAATTGTTTTTTATTTTCAATATCAATCTTTAATTAATCTAATTCTTATTTTAAAATATTATTCTAATTTTAATTATAATCTTTCCATTAATCAATAAAATCATCTAAAAATTCACCATCTCTTCTATTACATTATCTACAAGCAGATCTTAAATCTTTTTGTAAGTTTTCTTCCAAATTTACAAAAATAATTTCTTTTTTATGCACTCTACAGATTGCTTTTGATCTAAAAAATGCCTAAATTTATAATAGTATTTAATACATTATTTAAATTATTATCTTGAGATAATTGAATATTTGCTTGGGTGAAATCATTCAAATTAACGATTACATTAATTAATGATTATTGGCATTTTGAATATTCTTTAAATAGAAAGAAATTATTTAATTAAGAATCAATTTTATGGAAAAAAGCATTATTTACTTTATTAATAGTCTCTAAAATTTATATTTATTCTTCTGATGCTTATTGTTCATTTGAAGCAATCATTTTATCTAATACTTCATGTAAACTAAAAGTGGCACTTTATTCTCCAACTAAATGTAAACTTTCTTACCATTCTTTTGTTTTTTCTTAAAGACCATCCAATGTCTTACAAGCCATTGCCTTCAAATTTTGTATTTCTTCCTACAATTATTTCAAAAAGTTTTGATTAGCTTCTATTGTAGGAGATATTTATTCCATTAATTTCTTTTATTTTTCAAATGCTCTCTCATAAGCCACAGTAAAAGCTATTAGAGGTTTTGCTCTTGATTATTGCAGTTAACACTATTTACAAATCAATCTTTATTCTTTTTCTAAAGAAGTATCCCATATAACCATCTCAACTGGATCCTTGTGGTTTTCATTTGCACATTTAAATTCTTTTTCTATTAATTTAAGCTCAAACATATAAAAAATAAATTTATTAAAATTCAAATATAAATGCAAATTTTAATTTCAATTTTTTTACATTATGTAATGTGAGGCTATATAATTATCTTAGCAATATAATATAATTTGGGAAAATTTCATATTGTTATGAATGCAAATGAGAGAATAGTATCCTGAAATTTCTTATGTTCTATCAAATTTATTATTTGAACCAATTTAATAGATACATACCTATTTATCTAATCGAACAATCAATAATTTGGCTTCTTCACAATATTTCATTTATAAAAAAGATTGTTATATTAAAATATTATTATGGACTTCATAAAATTGGCTACCATTTTTCTGTTCAAATATATATATACTCCCAATATTGGATCCAATATAAAGTTAATTGTTCGCTGTGGTTATACAAGTTACATTTTAATTTTATAAAGATATCTTTTAAAATTAAGAAAACTAATCCTAGGAATTAATTAAAATATGTAATTTGCCATCCGCAATAACAAACAAATAATTAGATTCTTTATTTATTTAGATATCACATATATTTTTAATTGAATTTATTTCTTTATTTGAATACCTTATCTCTTAAGAACAGCAATAACCTTTAATAATATCATCATAACCAGTAGAAAATAACTCTGTATTTGATAAATTTATAATCAGAATATTCACTTAATCAGTGTGTGCCTTAAAGTTAGCTTTTCTATTCCAAACTTTTCCAGTAAATTAATAAGTTGTGATATAACCATTTGAATATCCAATAAATAATTAAGTTGTTAAATCATTTAATGCTAATGCAGTAACCTATACATCAAGATTATCATCTGATTCTTCTGTAATAGATTGATTTTTAATCTAAAAATTGTTATCAATTTATTTGATTTCTAAATTTTTATATGCTGAGAATGGATATTATCCCTAAAATAACATATCCCCATTTTTATTGAAAATTGCAGCTGTTACTACACTAGTCTAATATTCATTTTTCTTTACAAATACTAAATTTGATTTTTTAATAATTGTCGATTTCTATTCTAAAGGTTCTTTAGGAGGTTTTAATATTGGGTTGACTAAAAATTGAGGGTTTTAAAATGTATTTTAGCCATTTTGCTTTTAATTATAATCATATTAATTATTTGTTTTCACAAAAGAACTGTTTTATCGTTAATTAGATCCTTTTATCAATTAAATTATCCTATCAAAAAGTGCAATCAATTAATTTTTAAAACATTATTAGATTTCTTGTAATAATTTAATGGATTTATTAATTGGATTATCCTATGCCGCATCATTATAAATAAAATGTGAGATACTTTCTAAATCCTCTATGTTAAATTCTTTATAGTTTTTTCGATAATAAACATATTTCTCTATGCGTGTTATTTCAAATTCACTTTTTTTTATAGCTCCATCAATAAAAGAATAAACTTAATTGATTATATTCGTAATTTCTAATTTGAGAGTTGATAAATTGTCTTGAAGATTTTTGTATTATTGATGAATTGGTATTAAGCATGATGACAAAGAATCCAAAATCTGATAGACTGAAAATATAGATGCTCCTTCTCCTGGGCATTTATAACATAAAGCTCGTTTTGAAGTATTTATTGATTTCTATTAAATTATTCTATTAATTGAAAGATTATGCTAAGGGCAGCGGATATGGTTAAAATAATCGTGATCCATTATTTTATAGTATTCAAATATATAATAAATAATTATTCATTAAATCACTTATCCAAAAATATTTATATATGTATATCAATATATATATATTTTTATTTTATAAGTATATTTTGATTAAAGTTATTTACAATATATTATAACATTTATTATATTATTAAAATTGAGTTATTATATCATTTATTGATAAGTTAACTTTATGGTCTTTTAAAGAGAATAATAAATTAAATTTATTGAATAGTTTTCAAATATTTATGTGAAGATTATTAATAATTTATCTAATATATGATTATCAATATAATCTGCTCTCTAAATAACATTTTTGATTTTCCTTTGGTAACATTAAATAAAATTTCTAATTAAAATAAATAATAATTATTGATATTTTTTCTTTATTATTTGATATTTTATATAATATAATAAGAAATATATTATATTGGAAACAAATGATAATTAATACAAAATAGATTAAAAGAATTAAATATTTTAATTTATAGAATTATTTTGAAGCTGGTCTAATGCTGATTTTTAAACCTCATAAGCAATAATACAAGAATATAAACATGAAAAATTTAGAGATTAAATAAGAAATAGATTTTATAACAACTTTCTCAGTCACAATTTACAATTCTTTTGTAAATCTTTATTGAAACTTTTTCCCTGTATTTTACCCATCAAATAATTATACATTAACGTCCTCGTTTATTTTTAAATATTTATTTATTAAATCTTAAGAACTTGATCTTTTTTAGCGTTACCCACATATCTTTCTCCCTGAATAAATATCAGAAGGTATTTTTAAAGTGTTTTTTGAATTAATAATAATATCAATTAGGCCAAGATTTAGGAAGCTCCTGCATTCTTCGTAGTTGATTATGCTTTTCCAAACAAATATAACTTTAACTATTATTAAAAGCACTATTCGCATAGAGTATAACAGAATTTATATAAATTTTCCTTAATGTAATTTGTTATATAACAGCATTTGTTTTGATATCCATTTAATCTTAGATTCTTTAGATTTCCATTATTCACCAATATTTTTATTTTATTTTGCACTAAATCTCAACTAGAAATTGTAATTCCAATTTAAATAGAGGTTTTGAATGAAGTGCTACAAAGAAATCTATTTCATCAGTTTATAAATTAGATTTTTTCTAATAAATATGATAGGATTACATGAATGTTATAAAATTATAAAAAAAGTATAATTAATTCAGTAGATTATTATAAAATGCTTAATTTCTATATTAATATGATATGATTATTTATAATATTATGATTAAATCTTAATTTTGTAATAAATTAGTCAATGATTTTTATGAATTTATAAATAAAGTATAATTGATTCTTAACTATTATAAATAATTAAAAATATTAGAATTCAATCTAATTATTGAATCAAAATTTTATTAAGTCAAAAAATCTTTTAAAATTATGTTTAAAGTATATACAATTACTTAAGTAATGTAATAATAAAATTTTTTTTTAATTTTTATGTTATTCAAATATGTATATAATTTATACAATATATATATTAAATTTAATTTAAATTTACTTATATGAATACTTGTTCTTAATTTCGATTATTGGTAACTTTTATAAATTTTGTATTGATATATCTGTCTGTTTTTAACTCGAATCAAACTTACCATATTAATTTCAATCAAAAAAAGCTAGAATAATTAACAGCGTATATTTATCATATTCAAATCATTAATATGGCATTTCATAAGTATCTTAAAAATTTTCCTTATTTATTAGAGTATTAAATTGAACCTTATTAATATATTATATATTATCAATAATAAATGTTTTTTTATAGAAACAGAAAAGTTGATATTTGGAATAAATAAGACAATCCCATTTTGTCAAGGAATAAAAGATTTTTTAGATATACTCCCTATTTGTTATTTACTTATTTTTAAATCTAAATTAAAAATAATTCTTATATGATGTCAATAGGATTATCAATTAGATTTAAACTCCTCTTTAGTATAATTTTTTCTAGTATCTACTATTGTTTAGTTGAAATAATTTTAAATATAGAATGATGTTAATATTATATATTGATGAATTATTAAAATTATGAATAATAAAAATAATTTAATAATTCTAATGAAATTATTGTTATCCTTCACATTAATGTATGAAGTATTTATAATTTAGAGAATTGTTTTGTGGAAATATAATCAAAGGAACAGAAAATGAAAGTGAAGATAATTATTAAATGGATGAAGCTTTGTAAAAACAATGCAAAGACATTTAATGCAATAGTTATACAAGTGTATGAATAAGATATCAAATATATAGTGTAATTCTTGTGAGTTTAATAACTGTTGTTAATTTAATTTAGAAAAAAATTTATGTTTAAGACTTTTAAAGTTACCCTTTAATTATACAGAATTAATTGATCGAAGCAAAGGAGAATTAAAAAATTTATCTGAATATCCCGATCCATAGATGAATGTTACGTTCCCTAAATGTAATATCGTTAAGGAAGTTCCTCTATATAATGCTACAAATTATTTATATAAGCATCATGATATTTGTGGAGTACCAAAATATTGTCCAAATTAATCATATTATGTTTCTGCTGAGTCTAAAATTATATTTTAAAATGTTAAATAGTAAGTTGGTTAAGGAGAACTTTGTACAATTTATTTTTAAGGAAGAATGGGGCCTGAATTCTTATTGTAAATTGGAATAGAAAATTTATCATAAATTGAAGTTAATGCAGATTTAAGTATTTGTTTATCTGTTGGACTATTTGATGACTTTCCTTGTATAGATTCTCTTTAATAAATGTAAAATTATGTTAGAATTTGAGTTAATTAACCAAGAGTCTTTATTATAGAATAAGAGCAAATTAATTTAGAATTACTTTATAATTCAAAGATGATGCAGAGATAGATTTTTCACAAATTTTCTATTAAATTATTAGCATATAAAAATTGTAATGAATTATCTTAATATTTATAGAAGTTAATAAAATTAGCAATAATTATTTTAATTTATAATAATTGTCCTATTAACAATACTAGGGAGTTTTTTTATTATGGCTTTGATTAGAATTATCTTAATAAGAATTTTTGGAAGAAGGTTTGTTGAATGGCTTGATCCAGAACCAATCTTTCCTTAAAGAAGAAGAAATTTTAATGTTTAATTAGAATTTGAAAAATTAAAATCTCAGAATCTCATTCATTAGATAAAATAGAATGAAATGAAATTTGAATAAGATAGATGTGCTTATTGTTTAGAGTCATTTTAGACTGGAATAATCATAGAAATCTTTTGTGGACATTGTTTCCATGAGCTTTGTATATTAAATCATATGTAAATACAAAGAAATGTTGGAAGATGTTCTATTTGTTTGGTTGATATTAATAAGACTAATTATTAATTGTTGTAGTAATAATCAACTTAAGAATCTTTAAATATTCAAAGCCAAATATAAGAAAACTAAAGTATGATTGATAATAATTTATAATGATCTATTTTGTTAAATTTGTACTTGTTTTATAAATATTTTCAAAATAATTTAAATGTATCATAATAATCTTTAAAAAATTTGATTGATATATCTTTTTTCTGTTATTTTGATAATTTATTATAACTTGAACTAGAATTCATCAAATTATACAACAATCTTAATGGAATTAAAGTCTAAAAATGATTATAACAAAATATTTACTTTCGATTTTTGAATATACTAATCAATCTCTTCATATTATTAAGAATTAAAAACTTTCAAGTATTCTAATTACATTAGAGTGATTTTTGGATTAAGCACAACTTCTTTATTATTTTTTTAACTTGATTCTATTGATTAACAACAAGTAGTATATTCAAAAATCATTTAATCTCTTCCTATTGAATTTAACTATTATTTATTAAATATATTTTACTTTTTTTATTTTTCCATAAGTTTCTAATAATATATTTAAACAATGTTCTGCCAAAAACGAAAAAATATCCTTTTGAGCATTAGGTGGTATAACACCTCCTCCAATGCTTTTTAATCTTTCTTTTTAATCAAGTATAAATTAAATCAATCTATCCAAATAAATATTATTATTTTCATTATGTAAATCTTTAAGATCCCATCTTTATTGAGGTACATATTATACAATACCATCAATCTTAATATAAGTTTACACAAAATTTCTATAAATGAACTCTTTATATTGATTATAAACTTCTTTAAAAATATCAAAATTTTATGATGTTATTCCAATTAGGGAGAATACTGATTTAGTTTAATAAAGTAAATAGGCTAAAGATTCTGATGCTATGGCTCTTTCTGCAATATCAACAAATTATTTTTTTTCTTTTGATTAAAATATATCTATTTCTTTAAAATCAATTCCTTCTTTATAAAATTTTTAGATAAACCTTTTAAATTAACAAAATCTTTCTTAAATAACTAAACAATCACTAAATGAATCATATGTTTGGACATAAAAATCGATTTCTTTACTTTCATCAAACTTTATTATTTAAGCAAAATTTTCTAATAATTATTTTTATTAATTCATCCCAACTAATTAATTATAAGAAACAAACATATAGAGTTCAAGTAATTATAGAAAATTACTAATAATTTATTATTAACATGAAGGATGATAGAAGGAAAGTAATGCATATTATGGAAGTAATTCCAAAATTCTTATACTAGATGATGATAAAACTGATTCAATTTAATTCAAAATTCCAGTGGATTAAGTTGTATACTTTTTTATCCAAATAGCTTTAATAATTAGATCAAACTCCTCTTATTAAAGTACAAAAGGATTTTGGTATTCAAATAAATAAAATAATTGCATCTCTTTATCATTATTTATCAAATCTTAAAAATCAATTGTTTTCTTTATTTCTTATTAATAGTTTTCTTCCCTTTTTTCAATTAAATATTCAAAAAGCTTTTTATTTACTTAATTTAAATTTGTTAATTATTCTAATTATTAATTTAACTTAGAATCTTTAGTTAAAGGCAATCTTTAGTATAATTCATTTTATAAATATGTACTTATTGATTTTAGATTTGCTTTATGAAACTATTAAACAAAACTCATATAGATATCAATAATGCATTTAGTCAAACTAAATATTATTTATATGCATACTTTTATGAATCAGAATGACTAAAATCTTCAGCCCTTTTAATTAATAAGCAATTATAACCTAAAAAGTATATTAATTATTCAATAACTAAAGATTTAATATTTATTAAATGAGCAGTAATGATTTTAACAAGTTTCTTTTGAATTTATTACCATATTAATTATCTCATTTCTAAATATGATTATCTAATCTATTCAGTATATTCTTCAAATTTAAAATGACTTTCTTCCTCTTCAAGTTTAAATTCATTTTCTTAATGAAATCTATTGCAATAATGAAAATTTAGCATTTGTTCTATTAATTCACTATATAGTAATTTATAGAATTATAGTAAATCTTCATCTTAACAATTTTAATAGATTTTATTAGGAATATAAGATTATTCAAATAATTTTATTGCATTTTTAAATGTTACACTAATACTTTTCTTTGCTAATGCCCAGATTTAAGTTATATAAGATTACATTTGATAATGTTTTTCAATAAAATAATAACTTTTCAAAAGTGAATAGTATTTTTTTTCATCAAATTTCATAAAATTAGCTAAAATGCCTTATTTTATTCTTTCTTTTAAAGATTCTATTTTATTTTCAAAAAAATTATCACTAATGCATAATAATTTCAATTCATTCAATTTATATTTATTAATGTTGTTTTATGTTTCTTTCATGATAGGTATGATTTCATATGCATTATCATCATATTTATTCATTGTTTAAGCCAATTAACCAAAAGTCTATTTTAATATCATTAATTTTTCTAATGTATATTTAATTCTTTAAATGGATTTGTATTTCTCAACTATTTCCAATTATTTTTTTAATGATGAATTTCTACTTTATTACAATAGTTATCTAGTTTCAGTTACAGTCTAATGTAGAGTTGTACTTTTATCACACCATATTTTAATTTAATCTATTCCTTGAATATACTGTGGTGCTTTTAGAATACATTATTATGCATATTATGATTCAATAATTTATTCTGTATGATTTAAATTAGCAAGGTAGTTTAATATTTCTTTTAATCCATCACCATTTTAACGAATAGTAGCTTTGTATAATCGATAGATGTGCTATAGTTATTATTTAATTAAATCAGTTTGTGATATGTCATTATTAAACTAATTGATGTCTATAGGATACTAGTCTATGGATAAAAGTTAATTCTTTGATTTTATGGATTACTAAAATGATGATATGGATTAGTATATTTACTAAACTGGATTGCAGTTAGTTCAACAATAGATTGCCAAAATCAGTTGAAGAATTAATAAGGAAATCAGAATTGGTTGTCTGTAGTTTTTAATTAGATAATGATGAATTAATAATTGCTCTATTTCGCATATGTCATTTTACCTAAATATTCTATCATCATCCTTTTGTGATTCTAGTATTCTCTAAACCTATTCAACTGTCAATGTGTTTGATGAATCGCCAACAAGTTTACGTAATATATAATTTTTTACATTCATTATTAATTATTTATTTATTTTCAATTAGAATAAAGAAATAAAAGATGATTCAAAACTTAATAATAAATAATAATCTTTTTTTTAAGAAATCTAAGAATTATTAGATATATTTGAATTAAAATATTTTATTTTTTTGTAATTATTTTAGAATCTATTATAATGAAAATTTTAATATCTTATATTTCTAATTATTATTTAGTTTCAATTTTTCAAGATTGAATTAATATGTTTTCAATTTTAATATATATAGATAAAGTTAATTATGAAATAGATTAAAAAATAAGAAATTTTAATAGAATGATTACTAATATCAATATTATTTTATAATTTTGATAAATAATTTAAAATATATAATACATGTTATATCTAATATCAATTAATTAGATCTTAGAAAATACATGATATGTAATTTACTTTTAAAATAAATAATTATTTGAAGTTTATATAATTTTGAATGATTTATTTGATCAATATTATCCATAAGGGACTTGTCTATTTTAAGAAATATCATTTAGACCACTCTATTGTGGATTCTATAATGAACCATCTAAAATAAAGATTAGGATTACCAACTTAAGATTGATTTCCTCTATAAGAATTTATTGCTACAATAACACCAACCTATTAATAGAATTGATTACAATACTTTCAATAAGACATTTATAATGCTAATAAATATAACAAAAACATGAAGACCATGTAAGTGTCCCCAGACAGGATTGTTTTTCTCTGTTGCTGTCCAAATTGATCCAACTGATAGAAGCCAAATTAAATCTACTAAGATGAGGATTCCATTCAAAACCATTAACTATATTATTTAGATTATAAGGATTAATTACCATTAAAGAATTAGCTTTATCATCTCTTGATATCCATAGATAATAACAAAAAAAGGCAAAGGGGAAATTAAAATCAGTTCTAATTAAACAGGCCATTATTGATAACCACTTTATTATATTAAGTTATTATTTTTACAGCAATGGACAGAAAAACTAGTTCAATAATTTTACTCAGTTTTTTTTATTCCATCTTATTTATTTTTTTAGTAATGTAATTAATTATTATTCAATTATATTAGATATGTATAAATGATTAATTAAAATAATGGGATAGTTGTAATGCACTTAAGAAGAAAAAAATGATAATATTATTAACAGACTAGAATTGGATTTTGAAAAATAAGAAAATATTAAGTAAGATGAAAGAGCTAATTCTTTTTCTTATGTTCATGCTATTGGGAAATATTTAAATATTGGAGTAAATCCTAAATTGGATCAAATATGGGAAGAAAAATTGAATTCATTTAAAGTTTATGATGAACCACCTAGAACATAATCAAATTATAGAAATTCCCTTACAAAACCTAAGAATATTGAATAGTTTTTTGCAGAATGTCCTTTAATAACATAAGATTATGAATATTATATGTTAGTATTTTTCATTTAGGAGAAATATGAATTTAAATGCTATGGATTAATTGGTCTTCCATAAAAGTATAGATGGGCATATTGGAAAGTAATTACGTTATAAAAGGATATAATGCATAAAAATATGGAAAATCAAATTAATGATTCTTCTTATTACATTAAAAAAGACATTAACAGAACATTAATAAGTGAATTATTTAAAGAAGAGTAAGTTGTAGAAAAATTGGATTATGTGCTTACAAATTTAGCTAGTCTATATCCTAAAGTTGGATATTGTCAAGGTATGAATTACATTGCAGGTATAATACTAAATAATAAATAATATAGCCTTATTTTTGATGGTTTCAGGAGCTAAAGAATAAGAAACTGTTTGTGTTTTTGCTGAACTCCTTGATTCTTCTTTTTACATGTTCAATTTATTATTTAAGGAAGATCTTCCATTACTCTTCATTATTGAAGAAATAATTATGAAATTGATGTAAAAGAAGATGCCAAAAGTGTATAACCATTTTATTGAATGCAATATATCCCCTTCGATTTGGATAAGTAAAATTTTACTTAGTGGATTTGTATATTTGTTTGAATTATTGGATTGTGTTCTACTATGGGATTATATATTTATCAAAGGTACTGTACTAGGATACACAGATCTTATATTGGCTATGGTTACTATAAATTAAGATATATTATTGACTAAAGATGAAGCAGATCTTTCTATTTTTTTTAATTTTCAAGAATAAAAAATAAAATGTGCAGAGAAAATCATCAAATAAGCCCTAACATAACCAGTATAAGAAAAAGAAATAAGAGAGATTATGAAAAAAACAAATCAAAAATTAGAATTAGTTGAATTATTTAAATTATTTGGGAAAGAGGGATTTGAGAAACAATATAAGAAATATTCATAAGGGATTAAAAAATGATTTAAGTTATTATATATATATAGATATATATAGTGTTTTGTTAATTTTATTAAATTAAAATATAATAATAATTAAATTTATAATTCTAAATTGATTATTTAAAGAAGAAGTATGAAATTTAAGAATACATATGAATTATAATGCCTTTCATTTTTATTTTGTCTAACCGATATCAGAAATATTAGGCAATTTACAAATTGATCATGTATTATTACATAAAGATTTATTGTACATCAATGATGATAATAAATATTTAACAAAATGTTACGATTTATTAGAATAGAAATAAATCATTTTTTACAACTGTTATTCCTTCCATTTTTAATGTGCTAAGAATTTTTATTATCATTTCAGAAGATATTTTTTTTCAAGGATTGTTTTTAACGAATTATTCATGACAATTACTTCTGCTATAGCGATACGCCTAGTATATTCTTCACATCCTGAGGAATCATATATTGGGTTTAATGAAAAAAACTAGGCTTCTTGTGCTGTAATCGTTTATCAAATTCTTAGTAATCTTTGTGAAATGATTTCATTTAAAAAATCTATTACAAACTTGGTAGAGATACCTATATCTACCATTCATGCTAGCTGTATAAGTATGTAATCTACTAAAAACTCTATGACCTGGCATTGCTGCTTGAATAGCTGTTTTTGCAACTTTTTTATTTCTGATTTTGCCTAAAAAATAATATCAGGATCTAGATGCAGTAAAGAATATATTCCTTCTGAAAAAGAAAGTTCATTTTTACTTCTGTTTGAATAAAATTTTGTCTTTTATATTCAATAGGATCTTCAAGGGTCATAATATGATTCATGTTTAAATGGAGATAATATGCTATGAATTGTTGTTGGTTTTCTGGCTCCTGGTAGTCCGATTACAACAATCAGTCCTTCTGGACATTAGATTAATGATTGAATTTTATCTTTGTTGATAGGTTTTCCAAAGATACATGACAAGAATTTTGATATAAAACTCTTAAATCGAATTTTTCTTCATAGATTGTTGGATGACAAGAAACTCTAAAATCAATAATTTTTTTTGAAAAATTAAAGAAAAAGTGCCATCTTGAAAAATATTTTTTTTTACTAAAGGCAGCCATAATATTTTATGAATTAATTACAATATAAATTAAACCATGGCATCAAAAGCGTATTTTTATATTCAAATCATCTGGTTCAAAATGAATATCAGAAGTTTCTTACGACAGTGCATCTATTAATAATTTTTTAAAAAGGGTTTAATTCTTCAATTTTAATTAATCCGAAACAATCTCTGTTAACATTGTTGTTGTATTATTAAGTTTTTTAAAATATAGGATGTTGAAGAGATTTTTGTATCTATACGAATATGCAAAAAATCTTTTTTAGCTCATGATGTACTTGATATATGTCATAAAATAAGATGTCATTATTGTAAGAATTTCTGAGGATATATCATATGAAATTTGGAACAATGAATAATTTTTCTGCTTTTTCAACCATTATTTTGTTAAGTTTTCTCAGAAAACAAGTGAATGTCCCCTTATTTCACACAAAGAAGAATAATAATATCTTCAGCACCAAATTTTTCTAATAAAAGATACATATCATTGTCAGAAAATAGAGATTCTGAGCTATAATATCTTTTTGATCCACATTTAAATATTTTTTTCAACAAGCAAATTTATCAAATTTATAGATTCTTGTGAAACTGATTTTATCTTTTTGTTTATTTTTTTTCTTAAGATAAATATACTATTTTATTAAATATCTATTAAAACATAATATATGTCAAAAAAAATATCCGGTTGTATGATGTTTAATTATGTAAGAAAACCAATTTGTCGAATACATATATTAAAAATATTAACGTAATAAAAATTTTTAAAGATGGTAATTATAAAAATATTTATCATTTTTATAGAATATTTTTGATGTATTAAATGGCAATATAAATTGTTTAAAAAATATGCAAATAGGAAATGAAATATAAAGAACTTTTTTTACTTTTTAAAAATTTATATTCGCAATCAATTGTCATTAGGATTTTTCTTTTTTCATCCACTTTTCTATGATATCTTAGATTGGATTGCGTTCTCGCTTTAATGATTCTGGTGCCACAGGCTTTCGGCTTATTGAATGTTATCGCGTGCTTTCTGCCATCGTTGATAGAGGCCGCCTTCCTGAAAAGGATTCTGCTCTTCATCGGGTAGAAGAGGGGCCATTCCTGTCAAGCACCAGCCATAACGCTCTACATCTTTTTGAAGATTTTGAAGGCTTTCTAAGGAAGGGGCTTCTTTCATTTTGGGGGCCATCTTTTCTAACTGTTCTAAGGTATGGTAGATGACCATCCTAGTATAGCGGGCCTCTCTCGGATCCTGATCTGCGATCGGTTTGATGAAAGGGGGGCGTTTTTCTTTTTGCGCAATTTCTGCAAGCTTTGGGAGATTTTCTGTATACCAGGTTACCTCTTGCTCAAAAATATTGTGCTTGATCTTTGGCAGCTCTGTCGCGTAATCGATGTACCAATTTGTTTCTCGACACAAATCTACATATTCTTCGTAAAGCGGCGTGTTGAACTCTGGAAAGATGTTGAGGTAACAATTTAGTTCTTCTATCAAACCCAAAGAATGTAAAATGATCTTTTCTATGTCACGGCAGTATTGAACTCTATACCGTTGTAATTTCGCTTCACGCCACTCAACAAAATTATTGTAACAATCAAGAAAATTATCATATACTTCTTTTAATCTGCGAACCAAATCAACAAATTCATCAACTGAATAATGTCTCTCTGTTTTTGCGCAAGTTGAGGTAGAAGCAAGCGAATATAAATCCTCCTCGATCTCTTAAGATATATTTCGAGGATTCATTGTCCAGCCTATAAAAGACATCAAATAATAGAAAAGGAAATAATGTTTTATAAGATGATCTTATAAAGACAATTTTTTTATTCTTTCCAAAATTTTTTCTGATACACAACTCTCTTTTATAAAAAAAAATCTACTATAATATTATCAGTCTTTATGTTCTCTACTACACAAAGAATCATGGTGCATATGCTGTAAATGCGCTGCATGAGTAATCATAGAATCTTGGAGATCCTGAAAATCTCCTCATCTCCACTTGAATTATTAGAAGGTTTGCTATGATGTAAGACCAAAGAATTATTTGAAGGATTGTTATTCTGATTCTAAATTTGAGAAAAATTTTTCTTCATTTTCCTCATTCATAGACTCTTTCGATGTCTTACGAAAACGGTTTATGTCACTTGCATTCATACCTAGGATTCCCTCTATTATTCACAAACTGTTGGGGGACTTCTCTTAGGATTGATTGTTTTTTTCTGGATAATGGGTTTAACTAAATCTATTTTCTGTTTTGATGCTGCTGATTCTTTAGTATTTTTTTTCTGTCTTTATCGTAAACTGAAAGATAATTGAAAGGAAATAAATAACAAAAAAGTAAAGGGCAACTTTATGTAAGTAATTTTATTTAATTCTTGAATAGAATAAATAATAATAATCTATTTATTCTGTACCAAGTTCTTCAAATTTTCCAGGAAAAGGATAAAGTACTTGTTTTGCTTCAATCTTATTGAAATAATTATCAAAAAAGTCTATTGATAAGTCTCCAACAACATCAGGAAGATTAGGAATAAAGTAGAATCTTACAAAATTAATAAAATAACAGGAAAGATATATAGGATTTTATACCTAAACATGACAACAATTTATATTAATTACTTTATATAATTTTTGTTGTTATGTTATTATAATATCATTTAATTGGTAAAAACCATAATAGAATATTTGAACCCATAACTGATTTGAAATTTTACCATATTCCTTAATTATAATTTTATCTCTAGTATAATGATTAAGTAGTACATCTGGTTTATCTTCCAATTATTCCAAAGTAGTTTTATTTTGGGATATCAAATATAAGTGGAATATGAAAAAGCCATTTATAAGAACTGTAATCAAAAGAATGAAATAATAATGTAGTACAATTATAAACAGAATAAGATCTGGCATATCAGTTTCAATCACATTTATGTATATTCTATATTAAGAAATTGACACCCAAACCAAAAGACAACCTCTACTGTTAAAATAATGGAAAATTACTAGCATAAAAGATCATGCAAATGAATATTTTATAATTGTCTTTGGCTACACAATTATTAATCCATTAGCAATGATGATCCATTCTTTACCAACAACATCTGCATTAAGAACAATGATGAGTTCTTAAAGGTTTTGGAATACAACATTTTTTACAGAATCTCTTTTCTATTCCTTTTTGATTGATATCCTTTTTGATATTATAATCATCATCTAAATTTTCATCTGCATCCATATTAACAACACTTCTATCTTCATCATTTTCTGTTTTAAAAGTTTTTACTGATCTTTGACTTCTTCTTTGTCTTTATTCTGTTAACCTCTCTTTCTCTTATTATTAATATTCATCCCATTATTTCCATGTTTCATCTATAAGTTCCTCAATATATTTCAATAAAATTACTTAACATATTGCACCAGGCTCTAAAATCATTGCCCTTAATAATGATATAAGGAACATAAATATCATTAAATGTTATATTACAATTTCTAAATTGAATCCCTCAAAATTTGGTTAAATATTGAACTAATATTATAAAAGTTATAAATTACCACAAAATATATACTATATATGAATATTAAGATGCCTAATAGTATTATAGCAGGTATCCATGACATTAATCTATTCCAAAATATCATTAATATTCGTTTTTCAAAATAATATATTTATATAAATATAAATATATCATTCACCAATTAATAAAATACAACTTTTAAATTCATTCTAAAAATCCAATACTCAAATCAGGTATCTCTTCAAGTTGTATTTATTCTTCAGTAGAAAGTTGGAATGTAGGATAATAAAAGGTTTTACCACAATTAACAAATGCACTAACAGGTTTACTACAATCACAAGTTCTAGGTTTCATTGCTTAAGTAAAACATGTTCTGAGTTCAGCAATGTAAAATTTACCAGTATTTGCTAAATACTATTATTAAATAAATACAATCTTTTTAACAAGTATATGTCATAGCTGTTGAAATTCCTAAAGTTTTAGTAAATGGAGCTCTAAATTCAGTATCAGTTAATTCTCTATTATTATCAGGATATATTCCTGCTGATGCCAATATTTTATAGTAATTATATTGATTATTTAAATTGCCTACTTTAGACATATATCCATTTTGAGTTAAATTATCTGGATGACATGTACCATGCTTTTCCCATTCATGTCTAGTATAATTCATATTTATACTTTCTAAATGTGAAAGTGTCAGAATACATTCCATTCCAAGTAACATCTATCAATGTCTTGGTTGCTACTGTTAATTTATTTTCATCATATGTTTCATCTCTACAATTAGATATAAATCCACATGATGTAGCTAGCATAGTATTTGGCCATAGACCATGATTGTTCCATCTTGCATTGTCATAGTTACCCATGTATGTTTTAGTACACTTTTAAAATTTACATATAGATCCAGGCCATTCTTATGCAAATACATACATATATCCTTTAATATCTTCAGCATCTTATGCTTGAATTAAAAGGAGATGACTTATAAGTATAAGTACAATGATCTTCATATAATTGTTAATTTTTATAATAAATAGTAAGATAATAAATGAGGTTTTAAATGTGAATATGACATCATATGAGATCATGTTATAGTATTATTTTAAAGTAATTTATAAGTAATATATATATATATTAGAATGTAAATACATTAAATAATTATTTATGTATTATAAATCATGCTGTTGCTTTTTTAATGAAGGTACGTTATGCAGCTCTCCTTATTTTTCCAGCATATCTTCCTGCAACTGTATCTGCATCTTTTACATCTGCTTTATCAAATTGATCTACTTTTGCTTCTTTTCTATCAACAACATCTAATAAATTGATTTCGCAAGTGTTATCTCTATAATTAATGAATAATTATCTTACGGATTGACAAATACATATCCTCCCAAATGTAAGAAATCTCCTGTTACTCCTTTTACATCTTAAGTAAATTTAATTTTCAAAGGTCCAGGTGGTAAAATATAGACTGCAGCAGGTGTACGATTTTATATGATAAGTGCAGCCTAAATTTGATTGAGTGAATACTTCATTAGTCTTTGCTACAATTCTTGAGAAGCCATCAAACTTATCAATGATAGTTTTATATGGAGTTCTGACTGTCAATTCCATCTTTGCCTTTTTAGCTGTACTAAAGAAGAAGGAGTTTTTAAATGCTAATCCAATCACACCATTGTGAAGACGATTCATAATTAATTTAATTGGATTTATATATATATGTTGACTAATATTAAAATGCATTAGGAAAAAATAAGAAATCATTTAAAGACTCATTTGTTTGGCAAATAAGGATTCAAAATCAGAAGATCAGTTGATATTGAAAATGTAATTGTTTAATAGGAATAAGTGTAATCAGTTGAAAGATTTAAAGATGCATATGTATTATAAGAAAAGATAGGTATTACTAATAAAAATTAGTATAGGTGAGGGAGCACATTCAGTTGTTAGAAAATGTTATAAAATACCTAAATAAAGAAGTACAAAATCATTAATGCCTAAATCAATACAAATTTATGCTGTTAAATGTTTTAGAACTGATGATCCAGAAATTGTCAATACTATAATACATACATTCAATTTATAGAGATAATTATAAGATATCCCATAAGTATGTAGAACATATGATCTATTCATTGATCAATAAACAAAACATCATTATCAAGTGATAGAATTTTGTGATAGCCCTAATTTGGAATAAGTGTACCGTAATCTCACTCTAAGATAGAAACAAGCTACAATTAAATAGTTAGCATAAATTATTTCTTAAATTCATTCTAGAGGAATATCACATAGAGATTTAAAACCAGAAAATATTCTGATTTAAACTGAACCAAACCTTTAAATTAAATTAATTGATTTTGGAGTCTCCAAACGATTCAAATTTAGAGACACATTTACTGAAATGTGGACAGCCACTGGAACAATTTTATATTAGGCTCCAGAAGTATTTCTAGGAGGAGGCTATGATGAAAAAGGTATATTAATATTTTTTATATATTCAGTTGACATTTGGTCTATAGGGATAATACTTTATCAAATGTTATGTTAAACATTACCCTTTTATGCTGAGACAATAAGTGAAACAATAGAATAAATTACTTCACCAGAACCTTAATTTTAATATTCTTAAGAATTTTTATAATTGAATCAAGTTCAAAGAGATCTGATTAAGAGATTATTAAAACCATATCCTCATTAGAGATTATCTGCAGAAGGTATTAAATTTATTTATTAGAAATACCCTTACATCCATGGTTTGATTAAGAAAATTATGTAGATATAAGTTCAGATGATATGATTCTAGCATAAGATATGATACTAGGAGAGAGAACTATGTCTAATTAAATTGGTACTGAAATTACAGAATAGCAACTCTAAAATTTAATGGATAGTCTTGAATGGGGTAGAAGAATTCATTTTAACTAATGAATATTTGTATATATATATATGTGTTTTTATTATTATTTATTATATTTATATATATATATATAGATATAATATCATATGGGTAATTAAGAAGGAATGTGTTGTTTATCTAGAGACAAAGAATATCATATACTAAATAATGAATTAGTTATATTTCGAGAATATTTGAATGTCAAAATAATTGTAAAATTAGGAGATATATCAAAAGAATCAGGAGAGAGTGTAAGTAATTAATTTATCATATATTTAAGTTTGTTTATATACAAATCCTGAGAAAATACCATTACAAACATCTCATACATAATAAGTTTATGATAATCTATGTAAAAGTAAGAAGATTATAGTACATTTATAGTTGGTTTTGAAAATGTGTACTCATAAAATTTAGAAATGAGCAATTACAAATGTATTACTTATTATAGAGTGAGAGCATTTGAAGTATTGAATAATATAATTATATTAGTCAGAAAAAGATTTATTTTAATATTATAATGGATTTAAAGAGTGGTATTATATTTAAAGTATTAATAGTTTGACATAATTAAATGATGATCAATATAAGGACATTTTAATATGTGATTGTCCTATTAAATAAAGTAGATCATTTAGTTCTGAAGTATTAATAAGATCAGTTATTGAGTAAGTTATTATGAGATTATTATAGTTTCATTGAGGAATCTAATAATCGTTTACATATAAAGAGTATAACTATAATGAATTGTGATAAAAAGAGTGTAATATATGATAATTTAATAAAGAGTCTCGTTTCCTTAAATATGAACTAATCAAATAAATTGAAGAGTCTAAACAACCTGCATTGAGGAAAGATAGACAAAATAAGTTTATGAAATTTATAACATCAACTAAAAGTGTAACTTCAGAAATGGGAAGATAAAATAAATGTGATTTTAGTTTAAAAGATTTTGATTTAGGAGATGAATCTAAATTGATGAATTTGAAAGAAGAATAATGATATATAAATAATTTAATAAATAATAAAATAATTATAATATGAATAAAAAGAAAAATACAATTTCAGCTCCATCTTTACCTTAAAATAAAATAAATACATAATAATTAGTTTCACCTCCATAATAATTAAGTCCAACTAATTCACATTAATCATTTATACCACCTGAACCAAAATTTGATCCTAATGATTATATTACTGCTACAACTACAAAAAGAGATATAATTTTATATAAAGAAATCTTTGATTTTTTAGATTCAAATAATAATGGTGTTATATAACCTATGGATTTAAGAAAAGCATTTTTAATTGTTGGTAAATATCAACCTAAAAAATAAATCTTATATCAAATGATTGCAGATTTTGATTCTGATCAAAGTGGTATAATTGAATTTAGAGAATTTGTTAGAATGATGTCTACACATCCTGGTGAAAAAGATACAGATGAAGATTTTATAAATGTTTTCTATTAGATTGATTAAGATTATAAAGGTAATATTACTTTTATTTTAATAAGGTTATATAACAATAGATGATTTAAGAGAATTGTCTTCAGAATGTAATGAAAATCTAAAGGATGAACAATTATTAAGTATTATTTAAAGTTGTGATTCTGAGGGTAATGGAACCATAAGAGAAAAACAATTTGTTAGATATATGAAATCATTACAAAAGAGAAGATGATTATTATCATTATATATTAAAATGTAAAAAACACATTATAGTTCATTTAGCATTACTTCTAATTCAACTGATAATTCATAAAATAATGCTTCCTTAAAAGGTAAGGTATCATCATTAGAATCACTTATGTATGAAGTAGCTGATTCTGTTGAAATTCATAGAAAGGAATATTAATCATTAAAATTACTTAAAGATGAATTTGAATCCATCTTATCTAATAAAACTGAAGATATGCTTAAAACACTTTAAAATGAATTAATGTAATATCATATATATCTATAAGTCATTTAGATGATGAATTGAAAAGAGAAGTTGGATATTAATTAGCAGAAAATTCAAGAATTCAAACTTAACTAACACATCTCAAAGGTGAAAAAACTGCTCTAGCTATTAAATTAAATGAGCTTCATTTAAGAATTAGCAATCTAGAAGTACAAGTAGGAAATCATGAATAAAATTGATTATTATTATTAATGTTAATTTATAGGATTCAATTTAAAAATTACAAATACCCAATACTTATAATAATATCATAGTGATCTAAATTATATAATAATATTATTGTAATTGCAAATAATAGAGATAATAATTTTTGAATAAAAAAAAAGGTAGAACTTTATTAAATCTATATAATATTATATTTATTACTAAATAATAATATTCTATTTATAAATGTTGATTGTAATCTAAGTTCTATTCTAAATTTATTTTCACTATTTATTGTTTATAAAAATATATCAAGAAATAAAAATAAATAAATAATAATAAGATTTAAAAAGAATTAAATCAAATAAATGAATGTAATAGGATCATCTTTAGTATTATTGAAATATAAATGTATATTCTAAATATGATAAATTTTAATATTATAGAAATCTAATTCATAACATATTTATCTTAAAAGCAGATTAATCTTCAAATCATTTTATAATTATAGTTTTAAATTCAAAGCCTATATTAGTTAGATAATATTTTCTTTAGTCTGACTAAATTCAATCAAAGAATTTAATTCTTAATTAATACTATTAATTTAATTTATATATATTTAATAATATTTTTTATATTATCACACAAGATATTTTATAAAAATTTTCTTAAATAAATTTTATTTAAATTATTAAAAATGGTTTCAACTTCCACAATTAGGACTCTTGCAAATAATTATAAACAGTTATAAATTTAGTATCCTTACTTTATACATAAAAAAAATAGTTATATAATTATTTTACAGCTGAAAAGAGATATGAAATATGGTAATAATTGCAATAAATATCATCGATTCAACTTAAACCTAAATCAATTCCAAAATCTGATATAATATCACAATATTTAAGATAATTAATATCAAAGATTACAGATGAATATGATGGAATTATAAAAAATAATGTAAATCAATGTTGTAATTAATTGAATAATTCCAAACATGTTGAATAACTAAAATAAACTTAATCTATCATAGATAACATAATTAAATAGAAATGTTAAGATAATACTGAATGGTTAAAAAATTCCAGGATATCATTAAAAGGAAAAAAATTTTAGTAATTTTTAAAAGATTTTACAATATTGTTCACAACTATCTTATTAAATTGAAAAATATTCAGATGTTAATTCATCTATAAAAAGAACTTAAATATAATTCGAAACACTTTAAAAAAATCTAGAGGAGAAATTGTAAAATCAATAAGAAAAAATGAAATTAGAATAAAATATTACCAAACTTGAAACTTAAGGAGAATAAGTAAAATAAAAATTGAATTAATAAATTGCAAATAATTAAAATTTGGAATAAAGAATGAATAGAATAAATCAAGATAATAGTTATCTAAGAGTATAAATTGAAATTTAAAGAGAATAAAATGATAGATTAGAAAGATAATTTGATAGTAATTAGAATAAAATGAGAAATTATAAAAATAAATGGAAGAATAAAGAAAAGAAAATAATTAAATGTTGTGGGAAAAATTGACATAATAGAGAGAGAATAAAGAATATTTAGAACAAGTCTAATTACAAAGAGAATAAAACATCAGAAATTAAACAAAAATTGAAAGATTTGAAAAAGATTTGTAAGATTAAAAGGAAAAAGCGGAAAACCAAAGAAAATAAATGGAAGAAAGAATGAAATGTTTTAGAAAAAAACCAATAAGAAGAAAACGCTGAAAGAAAGAATACAAGTTTTTGTGATTTGATAATATATAAATAAAAATCAAATCATTATTTATATTATAAATAAATTATATATTTATTAAAAGATCATATCGTTTTATGAGTATTACCTTCTAAAAAAGAGAAATTAAATTTAATCAAAAATAAATTTATAGATTGAATCTAATAAAAAGTATGAAATTGAGTAAGAAAAGTTATATGATTGAATAGCATTGAACCATATTGAATGGGAGATTAAAAAATAAAGTATAAAATATATATTAATGTAAATAATTTAATTAATCACTTTTAAAAAAATAAGATATAGTGTGTAAATTAAAATAATAAAATCATCTTCATAGAAATGAAATATAAATAAATTATGAATATCAAAAAAACAAACATCTTTTTCTAATTTAAATTAATATATTATTTCATTAAATAATAATTATTGATATATAAATTGTTAATAATTATTTGATTCAAATAATTTTTATTAATTCTACTAAATCATGATCATGTAATTTATCTTTACCAAAATTCTCAAGACATTATTTACAAAAATGAAGCTCTGAACAATCAAGATTCAAACATTTGTATATATTTTTAATTTCTATTTATTCGGAACAATAATCACAAAAATAGGTATCTTCAAAATTATCATTTTATCGTTATGAGAGTATTGTATCTGAATTTGAATTATCATCTATCTTTAAATTTAAACCTTATTTATTTTCATTTTATAGATTATCTGGAATGTAGTTTTCATCTTATTATTTTTCCTTCCATTAAGGTGTCATCTTTTCTGTATTTTATCTAGATTAAATTTTTCTTGGATTTATTTAATCAATTTAACCAAACTATAATGAAGTATTTTACATATATTCTATTTAATCTTTTTCATTGTTATCATCCTAATCAAATTATAAACCTGGATATACTTCTTGCATAAATTTTAATGCAATTTATTAAAACTATTTTTATGTCTATTTTGAATCAAATATTATTTATTTACTGTCATTTTCATTACTAAATCTTCCATTAAATGTCATTTCTTTCTTTATTTGAGGATACCCTTATTCAATTTAATTACTGAATTATCCTTATTAAATATTAGATTATAACATAGATTGCTGGATTTATGATTATTGATCTTATTTTTGAATATTAAACTAAAAATTAGGTAGACATTCTTAGATATAAAGACGAAGTGTTTATTTTTATTTACTAGCAATATCAACACAATATTTTAGATCTTATGGTCTAATTATTCTTATCATTTCTTCATCCTAATCTTTCCATTTTAAAATGAATTAATATTAAGTAATATTTTTAATGAAATTGAAGATCGCTTATAATTCCAAATTTCCATGATAAAGATATGCGTATTCTCCTAAAATTAATTTAACTTTCATTTTTAATATTTATTTTTAATAATATCAATATTTAAGTTTTGAGATATTTATTAATTAAATACTTATTATTCATTCTATAGTATCATTAAATAAGAGAGTCTATGTGTTATTAATTTTAAATGTATTTTTAGAATATTGTAGAAGTAATATATATTATTTTCAATGTTCTTATAGTATATATAAGAGTGGCAAATAACTATTTATAAAAAGAGTACAAAGATAATAGACTAAAAAATTAAAATATAATAATAAATATATATGAACAATTTATATTTATTTATTATAAAGTATGAGATTTTCTTCACAAAAAATGTGTAAATAATAATATTTTCAATTTTAATTAATATGCAATTAATACGTAATAGGTCGATTAAGAATTGTATTCCAAGATTTGGATTTAAATATATGAGTGACAGTACATTTCTCAATGAAGAACATCTCTAAATATAGAAAGCAGCATTAGACTTTTCAAAAGAGAAAATGTTACCATATTCAGCTGAATGGGATAAGAAACATCATTTTCCAAAGGATGTCTTGAGAGAATTGGCAGCAATGGGATTCTCAACAATATATGTAAAATAGGAATCAGGTAAAGTATTAGAAAATGATGATAAGGTGGTGTTGGGTTAGATCGTTTGACAGCTAGTGTTATCTTTGAAGCACTTTCATATGGAGATGTAACAACAACAGCATATTTAACAATTTAAAATATGTGTGCTTATATGGTGGATTAATTTGGTAATGAAGAATAAAAAAAGACATGGATTCCTCGTTTTGGTACATTTGATGCATTTGCTTCATATTGTTTAACTGAACCTAATAGTGGTAGTGATAGTAAAAATATGAAAACATTTGCAAAGAAAGTATTATATATATATCTAATTATAGGATGGAAATGATTATGTTATTAATGGATCTAAATGTTTTATTTCTGGAGGTTCTGTTAGTGATGTATATTTATTAATGTGTAAAACATCAGAAAAAGATGTATCATGCATTATAGTTGAAAAAGGAACTCCAGGATTATCATTTGGTAAATTAGAAGATAAAATGGGATGGAATGCTTCACCTACATCTATGGTATTATTTGATAATGTACGTGTTCCTTAATCAAATTTACTTGGTAAAGAAGGTAATGGATTTAAAATGGCTATGAGTGCATTGGATGGTGGTAGAATTAATATTGCATCATGTTCTCTTGGTGGTGCATCATTTGCATTTGATTTATCTAAAGATTATTTACATGGTATTAATTAATTATTTATTATATTAAAGATCGTAAATAATTTGGATAACCACTTGCTTCATTTTAAGGATTATAATTTAAATTTGCAGATATGGCTACTAATCTTGTTACATCTAGATTAATTGTTAGATAAGCTGCTTAAATGATTGACAATAATCATCCTGATAAAACATTATATTCTGCTATGGCAAAGAGATATTCAACAGATAGTTGTTTCAATGTTGCTAATGAAGCATTATAACTTCATGGAGGTTATGGATATTTAAGTGAATATTAAATAGAAAGGTAATTATTTTATATTATATTAATAGAATTGTAAGAGATTTAAGAGTTCATTAAATATTAGAAGGTACCAATGAAATAATGAAAGTCATTATCTCTAGGAATCTATTAAAATGATTTAATAATAAAAATAATTATTAATTAATTAGTAAAATCATTCATCTGCATCATATCTTTATTTTCTATTCAAAATATCATTCCTTTTTAAATTATTTAATCAATCCCTAAATAACTTGTTAAGAACTTGAGGAATTATTGAAGTTTAGAAGGGACTATTACCTAAATTTAAAATTAAATATAAGAAATCCATAAGATAATTTACTGCTTTTTCTAGATTTTAAATTTAATTAAGAATTATGAATTTGGTTATTTTTTATAGTTATTCCTTCTATATCGATTATATAAATTTAATAGAAATAAAATAAAATTCGATGCAATAATCATCAAATATTTACCACTAAAAGAAATTTACATAGATTAAGAATACCAATATTCAAGACATTATTGTAATTATTCATAACAGCTTAATAATTTAATGTATTATAAATTATTAAAGATTGGATTGCGAAAACTAATAAAATGTTGATTCTCTCCTTCGTTTAATACTTTTGTAAATTGAAACATTGCATAACATATTTATGATATATTGAGGGTTAAATTAACGATATCTAATAAACAATTTAATCTAATTTAACATTAAATGAAATTGTCTTTGAAAGATGATAATTTATGCATACTTTCTAATTGATTATAATAGACAATTATTATCATTTATATTATATATTCATAATAATTAATATGAAATTAGATAATGTTTAGAATATAGTTTTATAATAATTTATAAAGACAAATTAAAAATATGGAATAGTTTAATACTTCAATTTTATATATTTGATTATTTATCAAATTTTTAATATTTTTTTCATTCTTTACGATTAAATGAACAATAACTTGAACTAAGATAATTATTTGTTAAATTAGAATACTTAACAATAATATCTCAATATATAATCATATGAAACATAAGGAGGATAAACTTAAAAAATATTTGGATTTGAATGTATCTATGTTATTATGTTGTTTAGACTCTAATGAATTTTAAGATCCTTAAAGAAGAGTTGATTTTGTCAAGAATATGTATAATTTCTTGACTCTTGAGTTCTTTATTACGTCTTTAATTATTGCATTGGGAATGGAAACAGGAGTAATGGGTTGGCTTGGTTATGAATTCGAAGAATGTCACAATTACAACGAAAATGATTGGGAATGTATTATTTATATTTGGTTATCTCCTTTATTCTACGTTTCTTTAGCTATATCAATATTATTGCAATTCAGTCTATATTTTGTAGTAAACACTTTAAGAAAGGTAATAACTTTATTTCTATTTTAGGATCCTTTTCCATACACGATTTTAATTCTGTAATTATTTTTTTATGGATTTCTCGTCACTACAATATGCATAATAGCGCGTTTTAATATTGGAAGAGCAAGTATTTTGATTTCAATGGGAATTATTTTTCTAGCAATAATTTCTTAAACGTTTTACTTAAATTTAAACATAAGAGATGTATCTTTCATAAGTATAAATCATTCCATATTTTATAGTCTGTGCAATTATAATTGCAGGCATAACTATTCTGATGCTAATCATACTACCTTTTGTTAGAGACATTGGTTTTTTAAAGTGCTTTTTATGTTCATTATTATTAAAAATATCATTAGACAATATAATTGTAATCTAGTGACTCCTTGACTGGATCTTTATTCCTAAATGCACTTATGGTACAATCTTTAGTAAGAGTGTGGGATTTGATATACATTGCTTGTGGAAGGTGATAAAAATAATAATTATAATTATAAATTAAATAAATTTATAATATTTATCATATTTATACTCTTTCCTTATTATTATTTAAGGAAATATTCAATTCTTATTAGAGAGTACTTATATGATATAAAAAATAATCAAAATAAATTGTAATATTTGAGAAGGTAACAATCATGGTATATAAATTCAGAATCAAAATGATTTTGCATATAAGATCTATTAAATAAATGATGTCTCTTTTATACATGATTACTTTTGATAAATTCTTATAGACTGATTGAAATTAATGGATTTACAAGGGTTTAAATTCTTACTTATTTATCTAATTAGCTATACTTTTGGCATTAAATGTGCATTAAATGTTATAATATTAAATTCGTGGTTTCTTGTTTACATTTACCGATATTTATATGAATTTAAAAAAGATTTCAATAAAATCAATATTTTTAGATGGGCAAATTATAAACTAAATTGTAAAAATAAATCAATGAAAGTAGTATATGAAAATAAAATAAAATGAAAATTTCATAAAAATTGATTAATTGAGGGTAAAATTAAAAATCTCTAATTATAGCACTTTCGTGATTTATCAGCAATAATATAATGATTTTATGAATGTTGTGGCTATAACTTAAGTATATCTATTATAAGTAATTTCTAATCTCTAATAAATTATAGAATACAATATATTAAATTAAATAATTGATCAATTAAATCGATTTATTTAATGAAATGTTCAAATATTTATAGATTAGTATTTATATTTATTTAATCAAAAGATTTGTATTGAAATATTAATCCAAAATAGTATAATGAAATTATTCCTTAATCAAATTTGATTAAATTAAAAAAATTTTTTTTTATTAATTAACAAGATAACAATCATAATAATCAAATACTTATAGCCATATTAGTCAATGTAAGAACACTAAATGATAATTTGTGAATATAAGTATTATATATAATATTACTAAATTATAAAAATAAAAATTTTATACTAATTTTTCTTTTGAAAAACTATTAACGATAATAATTTAATAGTTTTAATCAACTCTTAATTCACTAGGCCTTGTACATCAACTAATAATTCAAACAGTTATTAAAAGCAAAGAAATATCTGAGAAGAATGATCTTTGATTCAGATGAAATTTAGATATATAGAATCTAATGAAGTTAAAATTAAAGACTTCATTTTATAAGTATACTCAAATTCAATACTATTAAATAGAATAAAATTTGTAAACTTGAGGTGTCACCCTCCTTATAAAATCTAATCATTTTTTTGAATATTTGATAAATAAATTCTCATATAGATATTATTATGAGGTATTGTTATTGTCAACCTATAAGTTTCTGCTTCTATAACTAGGCTAAACTGATGTATCTATTCCACCTAAGAAGAATATTGATTTAAAATAAAGATTAATATTGATCTCAAGATTTATAAATAGTACTCTTTATTATATTCATTTTAATTAAAATAATAAATTACTAATGAAATGATAGTTAACTATTATTAATTATTTAATATTGAAAATTTGATTAAACTTTACATTTATTAAATCATCTTAAGTAATTACTAAGATTTTTCGATTAAAACCACTAATATTTATTAAATTCTAAAATAGATAAAACTAGGGGTACGATAAGAGATCATTTAAAATAAAAGATTAGAATACTTATTAATAAATTTTAATATCAAAATTGAAAATAATTATCTGAATTACAAAATATAGAACTGCAAAGTGAATAATTGTTTATTTGTAAAGGACAAAATATTTGAAGATTTCCTATCTAAGACAAAACAGTTTAATATTTTTATTTGGCTTTTTATTATTAGTGGAACTTATCCAAAATATCTTTAAAAAACTAATAATGTTATTTTATGTTTTTCTGGTAAGAAATTTTCTAATAACATACTGTTTGAATAAATAGGGATGAATTAGAATAATCTAAGAATTGTAAATAATAATCTAGATAAATCTTCTCAAAATTTATTTTACTATGCCCTTTTTAAGATAAATTAATTTTATTTAATAAATTGTATATTATTTGTTAATAAAAATACATTTTATCAAAATATTTTAGAATATCAGTTAATTTTTTATGAATTTAATTCTACACTAGTAATCGATATTTATTTTCCTCTATGTGTATTGTTTAATAGTGAACTATATTTTGGTCTTAATATAATTATATATATATTACGACATACAATGCATAGTAGTTGAGAATAGCCATTATTTCAATTTTAAGATATTAGTTTTACTCTTCTCTTTTCTCTATCTCATTAAATTTAATCTGTTTCCTATAAACTTAGTTACTATGAAATTAGGTCTTATTTTATTAAATGTATAAAATAGCAATGATAATATTTACAACTTGTATTTTTTATAATAAACATTGAGAATATTAATAATAAATGGATAACTTAAAATAATGCTGTCCAAAAAGATGAAGGTTTAAATGATAAATGAAATATTTAATTTCTCTTATTATTCACATATGTATTTGACAGTAGCTAAAAATATTGCCATTTAACATAATTGCCCACTCTAAATATCTAATAAATTAAATTTCTATAGTATATAAGGTTTAGAATTTAATGCAATAAATTAGTAAATCAATAACCAAAGTCCTAATAATGATGCTCTTAAAAATATATCAGTTTCAAAATAGACTAGAATAACTATAATAATTGTTTTCTTCCATAATTTGATGATCTCCCAAAAATAACTTTTCTATGTATATTCATTAAATAAATATCCTAAATGTCTTCTAAACTTAATTTTGTTATGCTAATCTCTATTGATGTACAATAGTAAAAATAATAATATGGGTAATATTAAGCCAATAAAAAATGATCCAGGTATTACAAATCCATAAATCCAAGAGACATGACTTTATGAACCATAAATCAATGAAACATCACCTTATATATAATTTAAATTTGAGATCTTTCTGATTGATAAAATTGAAAAAAACCTTTAAAATAATAATAAAAATTTACTAATTTATCAAGGAAGCATAATTTTAGATGTATAAATATAAAACAGTAATTGAGATTATTCTATTTTAAAATTTATATCTTTTTATAATTGATAATAGTAAAAATCCAATAAAGATTATTAATGTCTAACAGACCATAAGTAATAACATTACTAAAATTCTGCTATAAATTAATTCTATCCCTTATATTTCAGCTAAAAAACAATCAAAATAATTTGCCATAAAATATGAAGTATCATTTGATTGTTTTACAAAATTAAAAGAGATTGAGAAATTTATATTGAATGTAAAAATGAGGGAAAAAATCCATAAATAATTAAGAAATAATTTAAGTAAAATACTTTAATGATCTATTAGTTATTTATTTAAATTACCTTATTATAGTTTGAATAAAATTTCAGCATATTTTTAATTTTATCTAAGCTTTAATTATGTGTATAATTAATTTGTTTTTTCAATACTTCTGATTGTTAGTAGTGTAGAAAGAATAGCCCTAGTAAAATATAAATTAAATTTACCATATTGATATAAAAAAAAAGGCTATCAATCTCTTTGAAAGCTATTAACATTATTAACAATCCAAATTTTACTAATCTTTAAAGAATTATCCATCTCCTCTCAAATTAAATCTATCACATTCTTCACATAATCCTCCTATATGTCCCATAAAACAAAGGTCATCACCAACACTCCAACCTCCTAAGCAATGATATGGATTTTTATAGCAAAATTCTACATTGTCTGTTATATAACTTGGCCTCCAAAATCCAGGCTTTAATTAAATTTTATTAGATGTAATGGCTTCAAATTTATTTTTATCAAAAATAGAACATTTTGTAGTATTATAAGTAACAGAATAAAACCCTTATTCTGATTAACATTTTTAGCATCCAAAGAAAATATAGAATTCACCTAATTGACATAATAAACTATTAACTTATAATCTATAGGCTAAGCTCTCTTCTTGATATTCTGTTTAGCAGTATATTAAAATTTCTTAAATTTTACCTTCCTATTTATATGGATCAATATTAAAAACTAATTGACCTAGATTAAATCTATTAATTTATTGATCAAAACTTATTGTTGATATATTAGTTGATTCAATTATATTTTATGTTTAAATATCAACAATTAATTATTTTACATTGCAAGTAGAATTTAAAAAGTTTATTTATTGTTCATTCAAACTATTCTTTAGCTTTATTGTGAATTCAGTAATATAGGATAAATATTTCTTAAGTTTAGAATTATAAATTTCATATTTCTATATTTATTAACCACTTGGAATAAGTAAATAATTAGCTAATGTTGAATGATCTTAAGATATAATTTTATATGGTTTTAATTCTAATACTTAAAATGAATGGTTTCCAATTATTTTTTTTTGAGATTACATTTCTTTCTAATTTATTGATAGAGACAAAAGTTATGGTAATTCATTAATATTATTTGAAGACAAATTAGCAAAATTAAATAAAATTAAAGATTTAATAAAATTATTTTTATTTAAACTGCTATTTCCACTTAAATATATGCCACCTCCTTCTTCTGCTTAATTATTAATTATTATTGTTGATTTAATAATTAATCTCTAAGATCCTTCTTCAAAATATAAACCACCTCCCCTATAAGAAGCAGTATTATTAATTATTTTTGAATTTAATAATTTAAATCTTAAATTTTAGACTAAAATCCCTGATCCTTACCTTCCCTTATTAGAAATGAAATTGGAATCCTCTATCAATAATTAACTTTAAATCATATTATCTGATTTAGCCCATATACAACCATAATCTTTAATAGAATTCTAAATACATTATAATTCTGAGATTTGAACTTACTTAATTTCAATCAATTCAAAATAAAGTAAACCATTTCGACACATTTAACAGTTGTTATTTAATAATAATACCTTAGTTAAGAATACTCTAGTTTAATTTGAAGTACTTTTAAATTTGAACAAAGATCCATCATAATTTGAGTTAAAAACTATTTCATCAAAAAAGGTATCCACATATTCTTTTTTGTGAGTCTTTAAGACTATATAATTACTTTTTAAGCTACATTTAGTAAAATCTAATCCAATATGATTGTATTCAAAATATGCTAAATTCTATTTAATTAATGTAAAATCATTAAAATTGTACATAGTGACATTATTAATATAAATATTTGATTTCAATATATTGTTCTATTATATTTCCACTAAATGTAAAGGATAAAAAGTTGAAATATCAATAAATTGTGAATTTATTAATGTAATCAAATTTGAATCAAGAATTTTTATTATTGATGATAAAATGATTCCTTCAATCTGAATTCCATTTATAAATAATTCACATCCTTAGAAATTCATAATTGAATTATCACTAATAACTTTTTGCATTTCTATTAGACTTATTTTTCCAATTGATTAAAGAAAAGTTTTTAAACCTTATTCAGTCTAAATTATTTTTAAATTTTATATTAAAACTTTATTTTATTAAGCATTCTAAAAATCAGCTTCGAAATTTATAATTTAATGAACAAGTGAAAAGCAATTATTAGCAATTATATTTTTTAATTAAAAATTATTTTATGTAAATGAGGGATATATTGAAAAAATTGATGATGATAATTTATTTTAAACATCTATTAAAGTAATATTATCAAAATTAATTTATAATAAACTATTTTTGCCATTAATTGTAAAAGCACCATCATTTTGATGATTAGACATTAATTAAGTATAAGCATGAGTAAGACTACAGTTTTTTATAATAACTATTCCATCTCCTTATAAAATAATAATGAAAGCTTGACTACTTTATGCTATAATATGATTAAATACTCCATTATAAAGTGTAAATTTAGTAACTGTTGTTGATAAAATTCCTCCAATATTATCAATTTTAAATGATTTAGAAATTACATAAGAAATTTCATTTTAGTTATAATATTATTAAAAATGAATTTCATAATATTTGGTCCAGATTTCATTGTCAACATAATTATGATTTTAAACTTTAAAATTATTAATAAAAATTTCCATTATAAATAAAGAAAAATAGGATTAAGATGAATTTGTCAAAGTATTATTTGAACAAATAATATTATTAAGGATCATGAGACTTTAAGCTGAATTAACATACAAAAGACTAGCTGAGGTTTTGGAGGGATCTTTATTATATTAATGAAATATATTTTCTTCAAATATTATATCTGTTATTTCTATAATTTAAGGCTTTTCAGAATATAATTCTATTAAAGAAAAAATAATTCCTAAATGTTATTTTAATATAATATTTCCCATAACTTTCAAATTTTTAATAAAAATATACTCATTTGTATTTACCATAAATAAAGGATTTGATTAAATGGAAATAATTGATTAATCTATGCTAAATGAATTTTTTATGGTTATTTAATTTAAAGTAATATTTGTAAATCCAGAAACTTAGAGTAACTAAGAATGGGAAATACAATTTTTGAAACAATCTATTTATAGTTTAACTTTATGTTCCTGATATTAATTCTCATAAATGATGTTTTCAATTCTTATAAAAGGAACAGCTAATACTGATATGAAACGATAATTTGTTGTATTTTTAAGAAAGACATTTTTAATAATTAAACTAAAACAATTAATTGTAATAAGAAAATATTCTTAATTACAAGAAATAATATTATCTTCAAATTAAAGATTTTGTAACAAATAGCTAACTTAAGTAGTCGATTATTTTTATTCAGTAATAAATAAAGAAAAATTTTATATAATATTTCCAATAATCTTGATTTCATTCATCTTAATTGTTGAATTTATTAGTTATGTTGATATTTATGAAATAAAGAAAAGTGAGATTAAGTGATTTTCCATAATAATAAAATTATTGCAATAAAAGTCATAATTAAAAATGATAAATTTTGAATTAATAATCTTGTTTTAAATTATTGAAATATTATTGATAGTTAACATAGTTTTGTCAATACTATAAATAAAATATGTATTTTGAAATATAGATTTTCCTATTTAGATACCATTAAAAATAGTTTTTGATAATTGATTCTGAATTTGATTGAAATTAATTATTGATGAATTATAAAATTCACAGGAATCAATAGTAAAATTTTAGATATAAATATTTCTGTTAAAGTTTTAAAATAAAAATAAAGTAGAATTAATGAAAACACAATTTCTAAGTTGAATGTTATTAATTTTAATGTCATCATTTAAATCAGTAGAAAAAATGTTAAAAATAACTTAATTTTCTATTCTTATATTAAAAATTAAAAGATTATCCATATTTACATTAACAAAACTATATCCTTAAATAGAAATCAATACAGAAGTATTAGTAGTTGAGTAAAATTCAGTATCATGTATCTTTAAATCAATTAAATAGTCTCTAATTCCAAATATTAAAACCAATTCATTTTATATTTGAAATTTAGTATTTCTAAATACAATCTAATCAAATTAAAAAATGGATAATTTAAAATTTTCTGTTTACAATTATATAGGATTTGGAGTTCCCTGAATAATTAATCTTGTTAATTACATAGAAAATATATTTTCTTTATAAGAGTTATCAATAAAATATTCAGAATTATATATGCTACAATCTTGTTATAATTAAAGTGTTAGAGTAATTTATTTAAGCCCAATTTCATTGAAATATTGATAGTTATAGTATTTTTCAAGGTAAAGATATAAATAATTTAAATCATTACATTCAATTGCATCCTAAATTAAATATATATATACATAATAAAGTTCGAAATTGTAATTGCAATTATTTTAATAACAAAATTATGCAATTTTTAGATTTGGATCTATATAGACTTATTATAAAGGTATTTTCTAGATGCATTTAAAAGTATATTTTAAATTATCAGGAGTTATCTTAAAATATGGATTTATTATCTATTTAATTTAAATTTTTACATATATTTCTTCATTTGATCTATCTTAGCATACTTGACATAAAGAAGAGCATTGAATACATTTACCATCAACTTATACTCTAATAGGTTCTTTGTAGTAATTTAATTTGCATTTAGTACAAGAAAATTTTACTTAATTATAAATTGGTTCACAATTTAAACACATCTAATTACAATATCTTTAACATAAATTCATAATTTATTGATATCCTTCTATGCATTTAGTGACTAAAAATCTTGGTCTAAATACAAAATTATTATAAATTGGTGTATTTGGTAAAAATTGTATTACAAAACCTTAAACTAACCATTTCCAAGGTTCTAATGTATTCTCTTCAAAACATTATTTTGTGTTAAGAATATGACATTTTATACAAACTCCAGTATTGGATGAAACTAAATATCCATCTTCGCAAATTAAACATTTCAAAGTTTATTACATAGTTTAAATACATTGTTTACAATTTAAAATATGATTTTAACAATTTATGATTTCAACAGCAATACTGAAATCATCAACAGAAGATAAAGTGCATATTTCTTAATTTTCTAAATTAATAAAAGATCTCAAACAATTTATCAAAGATGGCTTTTAATAGATACATAATCCTGTTTTGAATTCATATATAAAACCATCAATACATTAAGCACAACCTACTTTAATTTCTTCATCAATAAGAGAATAGCTTTCATAAAAACCTAAAGTTGTTTTAGTTGGATCACTGACTAAATAATTGAAACAATATAAACAATGTTGAATTTTACAAATAACACATTTTTGATAAAAATCTATAAAATTTGGAGTTTCACATATTTATTTATTTGATATAAACTATAATTAAAGCATAATATCTTCATCTAAACACTGTAATGTTGTTGCTGTAATTTAACATTTATGACATTCATCACTACAAAAATAACAATCATTTTGTATTGATTCAGTATTTTGACATAATTTTTTAAATTTAAATATTGATTCAATATGATCAAACTAATTATATGATTGATTTATTGAATTACAATCAGGACAATATTCTAAATCATTTCCTATTAAAATATATTATAATTTTATATCATCAAAATACTTTGATGTGTTTCCATTTTAATCTGTATATAATGTTGTTTAACATAAAAGAGTTTTAGCCCATAATTTTGGATTTTATACACATTCTAAACATGTTATGACATTACTATTAATTATTGATGGACTTATATATTATGTTAATAATACCATTTATAGCATTCATCATTTAATTCAAAAAAACCATATTAACATTCTTCTTTAAATGATTTTTCTTAAATTAAATTAAGTTATAAAGTTTAATAATTTATACATTAATTGTTCTAATCAAATGTTCCATATTCACAAATACATTCCTTAAAATCTGGTAAATAAATTCTATTTGAAGATTCAAAACAGGATAAACAATCTTCTTTTGTTGGACCATCACATTCTTTACAAGTTGGATGACAATTTATTTAAGGTTAATTATTCTCTGGACAATTGATTAGTTTTAAACCAATAATTTAGATACTCAATTAATTAGATTTAGATTATAAAATATTTCCATATAATAATTTAAATTGTACCATATTAAATTGATTTACTTCAAAATTTGTATTAAATTATTATTAATCAAAACCTTAATAAAATGTTATTGTAATTGAAATTGAAGTGTCTCTTTTTTCAACTAATATATAATGCCATAATTAAATATTGCAGAAAATATTGAATTTTTCTGTTTTTAAAAAGGGATTATTTGAAAAATCAATATTTACAGTTGGAAAAGTATAACTATAAGATTTAGTAATTATTTAATTTCCTAATTATGAAATCTTATAGATTAATTAAAATGCACACAAATTTTCTTGAGTCAATTATGGATTTTGAAAATTACCTGATAATTTAAACAATTAATAATAAAATTCATCTTCAAATGAAATTATTTCTTTAATTCTAATCCAACCAGATAATAAAAACTATTAACAATTAGGTTTTTAAGCCACAAATTCAAATTAATCTTATTTTTCTATTGTAACATCTGCTATTTCACTTATATTACTAAATTCACAAAGACAGCTATTTTCATTATTTGATTCAATAATCCAAATGAAAAATTCAGGTTCATATTAATAGCAATCAACAAGATAATATATTTATCCAGGGAAATAAGAAAGTAATTTATTTTCAACTGTTTAAAATTGTGAATTCTTATTAATAATCTAATTATGTTATTAAAGTATACTTTGAGATCCCCTCCAATAATTAAATCATAATTTGTTTCTTCAAAAAGGAATTAAACTTAGATTTATTTTTAAATAATTAAAGTCATCTGTTCATATAAGTAAATCGAAACCATATTTTATGAAGGAATTGTAAAGAATCCCTAAAAGTACCAAATATTTTCATAAGATGCATTATTAATTATAATTTCTTCTTTACAATCATTACCATCATTGCTAAAAAATAAAAAATATTTCTTAATAGTATGCTCCTAAAAATTGACACATTCATATTAAATAAAATGCAATTCATTATTTTTACTATCCTATATTCTAAACAAATGAAAACAACTACTATCAAGTATTCCAACTTCTCCTATTTATATAACGGTACTTAATGGAACATATTTACTCCAAACTCCAAATCCAGCACTATGCATATCATTTACTATTTTTTCAATTGCTAGAGGATAAATTGAAGGTAAATTTAGTATACTCCATGATTATGAAGTTTACAAAACTAACATAACTAGTAAGTAAAATGAGCATAAACTCATTAATTATAATTTGTAATTTAATAAATATGAGACATTCTTAGAAATTCAAATGAATATAAATCATATAATATATAAACTTCATTATTATTAAAATTATCTAGTCTTTAATCAATTATTATTGCTAGTTAATATATTAAAATAATCATTAATTTCTCTAAACTTCATATTCATTAAATATAAAAACTTTAGTAAAATTAAATTTAAGATCTATTTTCAATTTTGTCCAATAAAAATTATTTGTAGAAGCATATAATTCTATTCTTGTGCAAAATTATTAACTTGTAAATAATATGATATTAAATATAATTTCTAAATTAAAGATTAAATTATGATAAACAACAAAAATTTGATCTTCATTTTTTTATTTGAATAACAAAGATATAATTATAAAATAATACTGAGATTGAAATATAATTTAAAATTCAAAAAAAAACACCATCCATTTATTTAATTGTTTACTACTTAATTAGGAATAAATTTTAATCTCTTATTATTAATCAAGAAAATTAGACATACAAATTATTTAATATAAAATACATAATTGTTGTATATTTATATATATATATTTAATAAAATTAATTTAATTAAAATATTACTAAAAATCCAATTTAATGCCTAATTTTTTTTAATTTATTTTACCTTCTCCTTTTTAATTCAAAATATTATTAATTTTAATCATCTAATTTTCTTAAGCCATAATGTAAATTTTGATGTTTAAACTACCTGAAATTCCATTAAAAATATTAGGGTTTTCTAATTATGGTTTCTGGAGATTGAGAAAAATTAACAAATAGTAAAGATATTTACAGATATATATTACTATAAAATCCATTTCTCAATAGAAGCTCAAGATGAATACATTAATAAGAAAAATTGAATAATAACATTAATTACATTATAAATATTATGTAAAATATTTTATAAAATAACCATTCAACTAAATTTTACATAAATACAAGACAAGATATATCTTAATAACAATATAATTTTTTTTCAAATATCAAGAATGAAAATACTTTTTTGGTAGGTATAAATTTAGTAAGATTCTATTTGAGTGGATAAGAATTTAAGTATGTAGATATTTGGGATGAATTTAAATGGAGCTTAACTATTTAATATTTAATGGAAAAGTAGAAAAATACATAAGCTGAACAAATTAAATGTCTGTAGGTATAAATCTCTTCTATTTTCATACCTTAGCATCAAACTCTACTATATTAATCTGATTTATATTTTTGAGATTCAATAGTTTAGTTCGATAGTAGCTGTCAAATCAATATATCATTTTGTAAATCTAAAATAACAATAATAAAATTATTAAAATTTTAGTTAATAGTTTGATATTCTGATTTTTAATTTATTTATCCAAAGTTTTTTTGAAATTTTATTTACAAATTATCTAAATTGTTTTTAACGTACTTATTTATTTTATATCTATTGATTTTATTAAAAAATTTGATGTCGAACTAGTAGTAACATTATAAAAGATTAAGAAATTTGTGAATCTAATTAATATCATATTGAAGAGTTCTCAAAAAACTTAAATTTAATATAATTCTATTAATTTTTATGATGAACTATTATTCTTCATATAATTAATATAATTTTTATAATTAAAATAATATAAAATAATTTCATATGGATTCTTAGGTCACTAGATTATCCAAAATTTTTAAAGCATTCTCATAAATTGTTTCATTAGGATGGCTTTATAACTAGATTACTTTTGCAATTATTTTTTAGTCTTCAATCAATTATTTATACATTGCAAATTTTCCTTCGAATTAAACTTTAATTAATGATATTATTTACGCTTCTAAATTAATTTACAAATTCCCTCTAAGGTTGCTTAAATTATTTATTCATCATTCTTGTCTAATAACCAAGACAGCTTTTGAATAAATTCATAATTAACTATTAGATATTCTAAATCTATTAATTCTGCATAAATAGCAGAATTAGATACAAAAAAAGCTATATATTTTGTAATTTAAAGATCACTTAATTTTAGTTATTTAAATAAAGACTTAAGAAGTTAATCATTTCTGATAATTTATTTTATTTAAGGTATAGTACCAGCAACAATATTAGACAGAGACCAATAAACCTTAAACTACAATTAATAATTACTTCTCTTCTTATTGATTTACGTTTATGCTAAAGCAATATTTCAAAAGACTACAAAACTCCAGCTTATAAAACTTGATTTGTTTACTCATCATTACCACTTAAAATATTTCCGATATTCTTTAGTGCTGGAATTATAAGAGTATGTTTAGTAGAATTTAGTAATAATTTTAATTTTTTAATAAGTCTCTTATCTATTTACATATCTATTTCATAAATATTTTGAATTAAATAGCTCAAACTCCAGCTACTATCTATCAATTGTTCTTCATCATTGGTGCTAATTATAATTTCAGACAATATCTATATTAATTCTCTTATTCTCTATTTATATAAATCAATAATAATATACAAATTTTGTAGTTGGTTTCCCTTTGGCCAAATTACTTAAAGCCCAAACTATTGTTTTGATGAGTTCAGATTTTGTATTTTTGTACTGCTTCCATATTCTTTTTAAGTGAAACAATATTCCTTACTAAAGTAACATATCCCTAAATTTAATATTATCTGCAGCTATATTAGCTAAAGACCATATTCCTAATTCAATAAGTTCATCATATTAAGATTCAAGCGCCAGAAATAGAATATTGATTCCATCATTATCTAATATGATTTATATTTATTCTTAGGTTCCAAATACAATATTACTAATAATCCAAAGTGCTTCATATTTTAACAATGGAATACTATTCAATTTAACTATAGAAAATAAATTATATTGAATATTTGTTTACAAAACCTTTTAAATTAATGACTCTATTGGCTATGCTACAATAGTATCACTTAATAATTTTCGACATCGATTAAGTCCATAATATTAAGAAATGATATCATCCGAATTAATTTTTGAAACATATTCTTCAATTTTTTCTAAATCAGCATCTTATTAAGCCAAAGTTTCAACATATTATTTAAGTTCTTGTTTTATATCATTAGCCAATGATTCAGGTATTAATTTGAATGATATTTAAATTTTATCATCCTTAATTGAATTGGTATCTTTTTTTTAATCATTCATTGAAAAAATTATTAAATTGATATTATTTTTGGAATAATTTTTATATTATAGTAATTTAATTATACGAAATAGCATATCTTGATAAATTCTGAGGATCTTTTGAATTAATTATAAAATCATATAATAATATTATGTTAATTTTACTATCATTATAAAAATATTTTATAGATTATTACAAATATAGTATACATTTTAAATAAAGATAATTTTACATCATTCCTTTAATTTAATGGATAATTAATACATTAATGAAACAATTAAATAAATACTTATAATAAAGACCTTATTAAAGTAACAAAGGTTTCTTAACAATAACTTTTAATATATTAAGTATTTATTTAATAATTTGATAAAGAAGACATTTATTTTAATTTTGGATATAAATATCAATAACTCAAAAATCAATTATAATATAGATAACTTTTGAGCAATATTAAAAATAGCATTAAAATTAAAAAGAATGGTTAAATATTAATTTTAATTAAATTCTTAAAAATTAACATATTTAATGAATATTTTATAATTATATATATCATAATTAGCATGTTTAAAAGTAATTAGCTTATTAGTTAGTTTTATTTTAATACTTCAAAACCTTTAAATTTATCAAAATATCTCGAAAACTGTCAAGATTCATTTTATAGATTAGCATTTTAATAAATTAATAGGTGGATAAATGTTCTTAAAATCACTCTTCAAAAATATTAAGAAATGTTGAGAAGATATATGAATAGGGATGTTGATATACACTCATTTAAAGAAGAAAGATTATTTTCAATCTAATCAATATCACAAGTAATTAAGTATAAATGAAACCTAAATTTTATTTCTAATTTAAATTAATAGAAAATTAGTTTGATTTCAAAGCAGAATATTGTTAATTTTTTGTAAAATTTTTCAATATTACTAAATAAAAATAAAAATCAATACATAATAATAGATTTTTACTTTATTACATTTAAAAAATTAAAGATTCATTCTTATAAATTTTTTTATAATTGTTATTATAAGAATAAATGCTAATTTTCTAAAATGAAATTTTAGATCAAATTTGAAGGATTATAAATTAGGTTCATTTTAATATTTTTATAAAAATCAATGTTCTAATTTTTGATAATAAAAATAATAATAATAAAATGAATACAAATTTTCAACAACTGAATTGCAAATTTAGCATTACATCAAATCCATACAATATAGAATTGATAATAATTAGAGCTAAGATAGAAAATACATTAATAGACACTTAAATGATGTCAACTATTAAAATAATATATCCAACTTTGAATCTTTACATCAAAATATATGATGGTTTAGTGATAATTATTACGGCTATAATCTAAATAGTTATAAAATAATTTACTCCTAAAATGAAAAAAATAATCATTTGTTCATTGCTTATTGTTTTTTATAAAATAAATAAGATAAGACTGTTAAGAGAAATCATAAATGATCCAAAGGCAGCAGTGGCAGCTGCTTCTCTTGCNAAATCAATTATAATATAGATAACTTTTGAGCAATATTAAAAATAGCATTAAAATTAAAAAGAATGGTTAAATATTAATTTTAATTAAATTCTTAAAAATTAACATATTTAATGAATATTTTATAATTATATATATCATAATTAGCATGTTTAAAAGTAATTAGCTTATTAGTTAGTTTTATTTTAATACTTCAAAACCTTTAAATTTATCAAAATATCTCGAAAACTGTCAAGATTCATTTTATAGATTAGCATTTTAATAAATTAATAGGTGGATAAATGTTCTTAAAATCACTCTTCAAAAATATTAAGAAATGTTGAGAAGATATATGAATAGGGATGTTGATATACACTCATTTAAAGAAGAAAGATTATTTTCAATCTAATCAATATCACAAGTAATTAAGTATAAATGAAACCTAAATTTTATTTCTAATTTAAATTAATAGAAAATTAGTTTGATTTCAAAGCAGAATATTGTTAATTTTTTGTAAAATTTTTCAATATTACTAAATAAAAATAAAAATCAATACATAATAATAGATTTTTACTTTATTACATTTAAAAAATTAAAGATTCATTCTTATAAATTTTTTTATAATTGTTATTATAAGAATAAATGCTAATTTTCTAAAATGAAATTTTAGATCAAATTTGAAGGATTATAAATTAGGTTCATTTTAATATTTTTATAAAAATCAATGTTCTAATTTTTGATAATAAAAATAATAATAATAAAATGAATACAAATTTTCAACAACTGAATTGCAAATTTAGCATTACATCAAATCCATACAATATAGAATTGATAATAATTAGAGCTAAGATAGAAAATACATTAATAGACACTTAAATGATGTCAACTATTAAAATAATATATCCAACTTTGAATCTTTACATCAAAATATATGATGGTTTAGTGATAATTATTACGGCTATAATCTAAATAGTTATAAAATAATTTACTCCTAAAATGAAAAAAATAATCATTTGTTCATTGCTTATTGTTTTTTATAAAATAAATAAGATAAGACTGTTAAGAGAAATCATAAATGATCCAAAGGCAGCAGTGGCAGCTGCTTCTCTTGCAATTATATTTTTTGATAATAATAAAGTTACCATAATTAACCCACCTCCCATACCTAAAAATCCTGTACTAAATCCAGCTAAGAAACCTCCAAAATAATAAAAAAAGAATTATTTCTTCTCCTTAAAGAATCTCTAATTTGGTCTATATTATACTATATCTTTATGATATTCTTCATTTCGTTTACTTCGATATACAAAAAATGTATAAGTAATGTTAATACCTACAATTGCTAATAGAATCAGATTATTTTCAAGGGTACATTTATCTATACCAATTATTGAATTATTATATTTATTAGATCTCATAAGTATTATTGTTTGATTAACAAAAAAGGATCCAAAAATAAAACATAGATTCTTTATCTAAAATATTTTATGATCATTTATATAAAATTTCTAATACTAATTAAGCAACTTTTCATCGAAATTTGTTTCAATGGACATATCTTCCTAAGTCTTGATTTTTTAATCGACCAATACAATATTTTCTCTCTTGTCTTATTCCAGTCTCTTCTACTAATGTTCTAAAATAATAACATTTTGTTACTGAATTTCCATAAAAATGGTATGGCACCTAATAAATAACACAATTATATTAGGTATATAATAAATAATGGGGATCTTTATTATAAAAATGCACCAGCACTCCATGCCAATGGAATTGTTTAATTTAAAATTATGCTTATATCAAAATTTATTAAAGGTAAATTAGGATGATCAGGATGCCTATTATTTTTTGATATCTTATATACTTTTCAAAAAATAAAAAAAATGAATTCAATGTTGATGTTGTGAATAAGAAACAATATGCTACTTGACTTGAAATATTTGGTGGATAATTCAATAACAGATTTAAAATAGGCCTTTTAATCATACCACTTCCTAAACCACCCATAATACTAGTCCCCAATAAAATAGGGATTAAGAAATAAACAAAACCTGTATAAGGAGTCAATTCTAAAATAGGATCATGAACACATTAGTAGCTTATATCATCACTTACACAAGTACTTAAAAGCCAACATCCTTTATCAGGATCACATTCTTGATTATTCATTTATTTAAAAAATAATATTATTTTTTCTTTTTAATTAAGTATCAAAAAATCTCTAACAATTGGAATTCTATTAGTTTTGACAAATATTCATTTCAAAATACTCTATCAAGGTTCAAAGCTTAGCAAATATCCTCAAAAATGCCTTAAAATTATAAGACATAATTTAAAAAAAAATATTTAAAAAAGTATCATTAACATAAATATATTGAAACACAGAATATTCCAATACTTTCATGAAATGGTTTATTATTATAAATAAAAGGATATAATCAATTTTGAAAATAAAACATTATCAAATCAATAAGCATTTCAAAGACTTTCATTCAACTTACTAGAATAGGTTAAAATCATTAAGTATTTAATATAAATGTATACAAGACTTTGAGCCTAATTATATAAATAAATCATAAAAAAAGAAAATAATTAATATTTTACAATTCATTTTATTTTATGAAATTATCTAAATACATCATTTAAAAAAAAATGAAAATTCATGTTGATTTTAATAACTTTAATAATCATATCATCTTATAAATCCATTTTTCTATGCTTTATTAATCTAAATTGATTTAAAGTTTTTTAAATATAAATTTGTTTACAAAAGTATTAAAATAAAATTTACTAATTCTTATATTGTTACATTATATTAAAATTAGTTTTGAATTGAAAATAAACAGAAAACATAAACCAAAATAACAAACAATAATTATACTTTAATATTTATATTTAATTAATCTATGTTAATAAATATCATGCTGCTGCTTTTTCTATTTAATCTTCTTCAATTATCTCTTAATCTGCTTCCTCATAATCCTTTTATAAATTTTCTAAAGCTTCTCTTGCTTCTATGAATTATGTTTCCTCCATACCCTCTTTTATATACCAATGCACAAAGGCTCTTTTTGCAAACATTAAATCATATTTATTGCATAAATTTGAGAAGAATTATGATGTAGCAGTTGTATTTGAAAGAGTGCATACAGATCGCTAAGCTTTACAAATATCATCTTCTGGTAAGGTTTATTGTGGTTGATAATTTATTCCTACTTTACAACCTGATGGAGACCAATCAACGAATCTAATGGTTTTTTGAGTTTTTAATTATGAGTATGAAGAGCCAACATCTTTAGGAATGACATTTCCTCTATATATTATTGCACTTGATATATATTTCCCCTATCTTGGATCGCATTTTGCCAACAGATTTGATGTTTCAAAAGCAAGTTTTGAAATTTCAACAGTTGAAAGTTATTCATAGTTCATCTTTTAATGTGATATAATAGGAGCATATGAACAAATCAAAAATTTGAAGAATGGATAAGGAACTAGAGAAGTTTAAATTTCATTCATATCAGGAAATAAAGCTCCATCAAATCTCATCGATGCAGTTATTGATGAAATTACCTGAGCTATAATTCTATTCAAATTAGAATATTTAGGTGTTTCAATTTAAAGACTATTCTTACAAATATCATAAATAGCTTAATTATCCATAATGATGCAAACATCAGCATGTTATAATAAAGATTAAGTTGCAAAAATAGAATTATAGGGTTCAACCATAGAAACAGATGTTTCTGGTGATGGATACATATTTATACTCATTCTAGATTTTTTACAATAATCAACTGATAATTTTTCTAATAACAAAGTACCTAAACCTGAACCCGTCCCTCCACCGACTGAATTGAACATCATAAATCCTTATAATGAAGAGCAATTATCAGCAAGTTTTCTGATTCTATCCAAACATATATCAACATAATCTTTCCCAATTGAATAATGACCTCTTCCAAAATTATTAGCACCACTCTCTTTCCCAGAAACAAATTATTCTGGGCTAAACATTTCCTTAAATTTACCAGTTTTCACTTAGTCTAGTTATGTAGGTTCTAAATCCACAAATAAAGATCTGGGAACTAGTTTCTAATGATCAGATTCAGAAAAAAATGTTCTTAATGCATCATCTTTCTCTATAACTTATTCATTGATCATCTATCCATTATGTTAAATCTAATGCTCTAAACAGTACAATTCCCAACATGCATTTCCAACTTATATTCCTGCCTATCCAACTTAAATTGTTATTATTTCTCTCATTTTAAAGTGTCTTTTGATGTAAACTCTTTAATTTATAGTTTTTCATCAGCTTCTATTCACTTTATATTTCAAAAATAGAATGTAGAGGGGGTGATTATTTAATAAAAGAAATATTTTAAAACAGAATATAATTATTATAAACTTATATTTATTAAATAATATAATAGATATCAATACCTAATACTTCTAAATTATACAGTAAACAAAAAAATTTATTTTCTCATTTAATGAATGAAGATTGAAGATAGGATTATAGGAAAATGTACATATGCATCAAAACTTATTAAAAAAAGACAAAAGTAAAAAATTTTTGTATTAAAGTGTTTAAATTTAATTTTCACACTTAAGAATTTGAATCCATCGTTGATTTTATAGAATAGAGAATTGTCTAAAATAATTGTACATTCTTCATTTTAATAAAATGTTTTTTTTAGCAGATAAATTATCTTCGATTAATAGTATATAGACACTAGAATGTCTTATTCTAATTACTACTTTATTCATTATGTATATTATAAGGACAATTAAAATATAATGATCTCCATCTAATTTTAATTGTCTTTATTTTCATAATTCATTCAACCTTCAGTTGATTAATAAATTTTTAAGTCTTAAACTTTACTATTTGCTTTTTTTATAATCATTTACTGGAATATGAGTATGTTGTAGGAACAAATTCATCTATAGGGTGTATTAAACCAAAAAAGTTATAGGAATAAGATAGAATTAAATTGTATTTATATTTACAATTATTATTCCTTGATTTTCTAATTAAAATAAAATATATAACATGTAGGCACCCTCTATAAATACTAGAATTTTTTATTTGAATTAATTTGATTAAAATTTACATAAATTTTGATTTTAAATATTGTTAAAAAACAAATAGTTAGAAAATTCTATTAATCTTATATGAATTTGATTATTCATGATATTCTACTTGCACTAAGAAAGCAGTTTCTGAAAATTAAGTAGGTTTAATTATCTTGTTAATTATTAATTAATTAAAATATTTAAATAATCAAATAATCAAATACCAATTAAAATCATTTGATACGTGTTATTTTTTTATTATGTAATTAAAACAGGCTTAATGTTCTCATGGCTTTCCAAAACAATACGTCTTAATGAATTCTCAATTAAATATGGAAGAAAGACTGCTTTGTGAAATTTGTGTAAAGTAAGAGAAGATGGGTTCTAATGATTGCATTTCATTGGAAGATGCAAACTATGTTATTAATAATTATAGTAAAAAAATTGAAAGCAATTTACATCCCTATTTGAATGAGATTTAAAGAAAAATCTAATCTATTGAATAGTATATTGATTAATAAAAGAGTAATTTAAATAATCTTTTAAATTCAATTCTGAAAAATGTTTAGTAATGGCATTAAAACTTAGAAGAAGTGATTAAGATAAATAAAAATGAAAAAGAGTTTTTAAATATATTAGATAACATAAAAAGGAATGAAGAGGATTGGTTATAAGATTGTGAATTAAAAATAACTTATGAAATTTAATAATTAGGATATACTTATTACCATAAAATTGATAAAAAATTAAAAAAATATGCTGATTAATTAATGGATTTTAAATTAACTGAAAAAGTTATCGATATAGCAAGAATAAGCTAAGAAAAGTGTTGGAATGTTTATATTGATACCTCAACTATTAAAAAAAATTAATTAGTTGTATTAATATTATTTAAATTAAGTAAAAATTTAAGTTAATCTAATGCCCTGAACATAAGAGAATAGCAGAAAAAATTAATATAGAAAAGAATGTTCCAAAAAATAAAAGAATTTTATGCCAAGAGTGTTAATTAAATGGATTAGATATAGAATCATTCATAAAGACATGGGATAAAATTCAATATGAGAAAATAGACTAATAATAAAAGGCATAGAAATATTTGTAAGAATGTTATACAAATTCTCTTTCAAAATTAGAATAGCTAAGAAATGCTTAATACAAAAATTTAACTGGTATGATCAATTCAGTCCATCTCAAAATTGTAGATGGATCAAAATGTTTTTAGCAAATATATTTATAATCTTATGATTTTAGTATAGATAAGTTTCAGGAACTTGCTGAAATGTGTTGTTAAGAATAGGAAAAATTTGAACTTCAAACAATCTCTTAATTTCTAATACTCCTATATTAATAAGGAAAAGCTATGGTATAAGATGTTAAATAAATTTTGATCAAATCAAGGTACGAAAATGGAATTCAACGTAATATTATTTAAGATTCTATAAAAGAAGAAGAAGTAACCAATAATAATTAAGTTTAATTATTATAGCCTGAAAGTTTATCTAAAACATTTTAAATTTAATTAATGTTACCATCTTATTAGGTTGATCAATAAGAAATATATTCAATGGCATTTAATAGAAATGGATCTTTGTTATTAACAGGAGGAGATGATGAAATTAAGATATTTTCATTCTAAGAAGGAAAAATAGAGCCATTAAAGAAAATGTCTTGTTAAAGTAGTGTTAGTGCTTTATCATTTAGTTAACAATCCAATAATTTTATCTCTGGTCATATTGATGGAAGTCTTTAAATATGGAATCAAAAAAATCGATTTGATTATCAAAATCTAATTTATGAAAATTTACATATGGAAATAATAAGATGTTTAATTATAAATAAATAAGAAAACGAATTGATATCAAGTGCTGATGATTCAATTATTAGAGTTCATTCCTTAAACTTATCTAAGAGTTAATTATAATTTAAATAATCATTAAAAAAACATTAAAAAAATGTTACATCAATTTGTTTAAATCAATCTGAAACTACTTTATTATCTTGTAGTGAAGATGGTTAAATAATTGTTTGGAAATAAAATGCATATCAAGATTGGGAATTCAAAAATTTTATTAATCATTCTATTAAATATTATGGAAAGAAAATAATTTTCATTAGAGATAATTAGTTTATTTGGACTTAATTTAATGAAAAAAACATTCTTTTATTTGAGGAAATAGATAATATATTTATTTAAAGATCTCAAAAAAGCATAATAAATAAAAATTAGTAAAGTGTTAAATTTCCGTTTATCTATAATTCATAATTTAATTTAATTATTTGTAATCATGGTAAAACCATATAGTTGGTAACATAATAATCGAGTGGATCATTTCAGATAGTGTCAAGTTTTTAGAATTAATCTAATGGATAATAGATAGGAGTTGCTACAAATGATTCTAAATATATGGTCATTTGGAACGCAAAGCAGTCAGAATTTAAGATATTTAAATTGTATTCTTGATAAAATTAACAATAAACATGTTAATTTACATTATTTTTCATAATTATATATATATATATATGAGTATATTTAAAATTGTATTTCTTTTTGAGATTTTTATTAATTTTTTCATATTATTTATATATATATATACATATATTGAATATCTAAGACATTCTAAATAATATATCCTGTAACAATTAAAATGTCTTCAAACTGAATACAACAATCTATAATCTAAATTTTATTCAAATTTTTCAAGCAAATAAATATTGTTATATTATTATAATAAAAAATTAATGTTTTACGATGATCAAATATAGAAACAGGCAAATATTTAAATAAATAAAAGAGAGAATTAATCTCTACTAAAGACACTCAAAATAAACATTTAATAATAAGAGATTTAAGTTTTTCTTCCTTTTTATTTATTAATTTGGGATAGTTTCCTGTTAAGATTTTGATTTTTTAATTCATATTTAAGAGTATTCAACATCATAAGTAAGAGCTTTGTGGTTATTAGAGTTTTGAATGGCATTGAAAAATAATTTGGAAACTTTAAGTTATAATTATTTATAATAAATCAATATGAATTGTTCATAACAAAGAAGCTTTGAATTCAGTATTTAAATTTCAGATATCAAGACTCACTTTTCATTTAATTAGGTAAGGGAGTATGATTCATAGAAGGATACCTGTTTGATTATAAAGTTTGATTTATTTTTATCATCCCCTCTTAGAAAATTTATCAAAAATTGATTATGAAGGGTTAAGTAAATTATTTTGTTTATTCAAATAAAATATTGCCTATTTGTTCTCATAAAATTTTCACTTAATATTAAAGTATTTTAAGTCTGCTANTCTATTAAATATTATGGAAAGAAAATAATTTTCATTAGAGATAATTAGTTTATTTGGACTTAATTTAATGAAAAAAACATTCTTTTATTTGAGGAAATAGATAATATATTTATTTAAAGATCTCAAAAAAGCATAATAAATAAAAATTAGTAAAGTGTTAAATTTCCGTTTATCTATAATTCATAATTTAATTTAATTATTTGTAATCATGGTAAAACCATATAGTTGGTAACATAATAATCGAGTGGATCATTTCAGATAGTGTCAAGTTTTTAGAATTAATCTAATGGATAATAGATAGGAGTTGCTACAAATGATTCTAAATATATGGTCATTTGGAACGCAAAGCAGTCAGAATTTAAGATATTTAAATTGTATTCTTGATAAAATTAACAATAAACATGTTAATTTACATTATTTTTCATAATTATATATATATATATATGAGTATATTTAAAATTGTATTTCTTTTTGAGATTTTTATTAATTTTTTCATATTATTTATATATATATATACATATATTGAATATCTAAGACATTCTAAATAATATATCCTGTAACAATTAAAATGTCTTCAAACTGAATACAACAATCTATAATCTAAATTTTATTCAAATTTTTCAAGCAAATAAATATTGTTATATTATTATAATAAAAAATTAATGTTTTACGATGATCAAATATAGAAACAGGCAAATATTTAAATAAATAAAAGAGAGAATTAATCTCTACTAAAGACACTCAAAATAAACATTTAATAATAAGAGATTTAAGTTTTTCTTCCTTTTTATTTATTAATTTGGGATAGTTTCCTGTTAAGATTTTGATTTTTTAATTCATATTTAAGAGTATTCAACATCATAAGTAAGAGCTTTGTGGTTATTAGAGTTTTGAATGGCATTGAAAAATAATTTGGAAACTTTAAGTTATAATTATTTATAATAAATCAATATGAATTGTTCATAACAAAGAAGCTTTGAATTCAGTATTTAAATTTCAGATATCAAGACTCACTTTTCATTTAATTAGGTAAGGGAGTATGATTCATAGAAGGATACCTGTTTGATTATAAAGTTTGATTTATTTTTATCATCCCCTCTTAGAAAATTTATCAAAAATTGATTATGAAGGGTTAAGTAAATTATTTTGTTTATTCAAATAAAATATTGCCTATTTGTTCTCATAAAATTTTCACTTAATATTAAAGTATTTTAAGTCTGCTATATTAATAAATTCCATCTGTTTTCTATATGATGTATCTTATTTTTAAGAGAATTTTTATTACATTAAAGGTCTAATTCAATCATAATGGTAAGTCACAAATTTGTAATAAAGAAATAAATAAATCTCCAATTAAGGATTATGGTTTTAGGAGCTAATAAATGATTTAATATGCTGAGTGTTTATATAAAATAGAAAAGAAATTTTGAAATTCAAAATGTAAGATAAATTAGAGATTCCTGGATTTTATATCTTAAAAACTGTATAAAGAAATTAAATTTAAATTATTTCTATTAATTAATTTTTTTATTTCCAATTCAATAGTTCTCAAGTTTCCCCTCATAAAATTTGAAAACTATTCTAACATGGTAATTTATATAATCAAATTTTTACCAGAAAAACATATGTAAATTTTACAAATAAAAGATATAGTCATTTAAAAGTATGCAGGACATAGACATGAGGATCCTGATTAATTAGTTGGATCCTTGAATGATTATATAGAAGGTCTAAAAGTTAGTTTATAATTATCACATGGAAATTGGCATAAATCAGAGATGAAACTTTCTTTATTCGCTATATAGTCTTTTGTACATTTATATTGAAAAGGACTACTTAGATCACCATTATTCCAATAACTATTGTATAATTAACTATATAGATTCTATTTAAAAGTTTGAGATATAAATTAATCGACTTTTTATTATTACACATTAAAAAATAATGATATCAATAATAATTGATATAACCTTATAAAAAAATTTCATTTAAACTTTAATAAAATTTTTGATGTCTCATGGTTTCTTCATATTTAAATATTATAATAGTCACTTTTACCATATAAGTAATAATATTAGAATTATTAGATTCTAAAATTGTTAATTTCTGATTATCCCTTTCTATTTAAATACATCACTATTAGAATTTTCTATTGATTAAATTATTTAAAATTTGATTTAAAAAAAATGGGAAATATTTTCTCTAATTCTTGCATAGATTGTTCTAGAAGAAATTAACATGATTAGAGAATCGATTAAACATTTGAAGGGATTTTAGAATAGGAATGTATACACTGGGATACTATTTAAAAAAGATTTCTGAGAACCAAATTCTTTGTCACAAGACCTAAGAATAACAAAATCTATTATATATCTGATAGTGGATCAATTATGAGGATGTAATAGCATATATAACATCAAAATTAGTGAGCAAATCAGTGATCAATAACTCTAATAATTTGAAATATTTACTAATATAGAACAAATAAAATACCTTAAATGGGTAGGTTAATATGGAAATAATTAATTAAAAAATGGACAGTGGAAAGCTTTTTGGCAAGGTGAAGCTTTAATCGGTATAGGAGGGGCATACTCTGAAGATGGAAAAAAATAAGGATAATGGAATTAACCATTCTAAAATTTTTCAAAGTAAACATATTGTTTATTTAAAAGGTAATTTTAGGTGTGTGAAAATGGAAAATATTTAAATGATTAGAAAATACAATTATGGAAATACACCCTTGGGCATGAAGAAATGTTAATTATTTTAGTATATTAGTGGCGGTGGATTATATGACAATTAATTAAAGCAAGGATAATGGATTGAATTGGTCAATAACTTTTCAGAGTATATAATAAAATAATATTATTAATTAGTCATAGTTAAATAACTTTATAGGGTGAATATAATAATGGTAACAAAGTGGGTAGATGGGGTTTCTATCATAGGAAGAAAATTTATTAGCACTTTGAAATTATGTATAATACTATTTGAATAAAACATTTATTTTTAGTGGGGGTGGATCATATGATGATTAAGAAGGAAGAGATTCATTTAAAATAGGAAAATGGTAAGAGCCCAGTGATGGATTTCATAAGTAAATTTTTCACATAAATTAAATGTTTTAGTGATAACTAAGTAATGTATGAAGGTGAATATTAAAATGGTATCAAAGTTGGGAAATGGAAAATTTATATGATTTGTAAAGATGGACAAAGTATTACAATGTAATTCTATTTTCTTAAATTAATATTTCTTAATAAGTGGTGACGAACAATATGGCAATTAGTAAGAAGCTGAAAATCTACTTGGTATTAAATAGGGTAAATAGTGTGAATTGATGGATTTACTTCAAAAGTACATTGAACATTTAATAACTATTATGTTTAGTTCGAGTCAGATCACTTATTTTGGTGAATATAGAAAGGGCATAAAAGTTGGCAGATGGGAAATTTACTGGAACTAAAATAATGATAAATCTTTTAAATTGATGTAAAATTATTATTTAAATTATTTTATTATAATATAGTGGCGGGGGATTATATTAAGACAAATTAGAGGGTTAATTTTAAAATGAACTTAAATAAGGTAGATGGGTTGAGTTGAGTGAGGAATTTAGGGAGTATTTTGAATTATTCATAATTTTAATTAGTTCAAGTTAAATCACTTGGAAGGGTGATTATCAGAACAATAATAAAGTTGGTAGATGGAATATCAGGTTTTATTGGAAAAATATGTAAAAAATATTTATTTTAACACTTATCTATTTTAGTGGTGGGGGATTATATGATGTAGTTGATGTTGGTTTGACAACAAAAGTTGGGAAATGGATAGAAATTAGCGATAGGTTTGATAGGTAAATAAATTATAATGCACACTAATTTTTAGAGAGAATTAAATCATTTATAAAGGAACATATAAGTATGGTAAAAAAGTTGGTAGATGGCATATTTAGATTAGAAATATACAATCAAAGAAAGGCAATGAAGAAATGTAAAATTAATATTTATTTCTATAATCTTTCATTTAGTGGTGGGGGGTGCTATGATGAAGAAGGTCAGGCCCTTAAGATTGGGAAGTGGATTGATGTGGATGATGGATTTTCTTAGCAGAAATCAATAACTTATCATGGTGAATATAAAAATGGTAAAAAAGTAAGGAGATGGGATACTTATCAGACTTCAGGGGAATAAATGTATAATATAGATTATATAAATATTTTTAGTGGCGGGGGATGCTATGATGAAAAAGGTGATGGGATAAAGATTGGTAAGTGGATTGATTTGGATGATGCATTTGATTGTGAAAACAAAGTGACTTATCACGGTGAATACTATAATGGTAAAAAAGTAGGTAAATGGAATACATATTGGACCAGAGAATAAAGGTATAATTAAAATTTGAATAAACTTTTTTAGAGGAGGTGGATCTTATGATGAATAAGGTGATGGCATTAAGAATGGTAAGTGGATTGATTTAAGTGATAAATATCAGATGATTACTAAAGTAATTTTTGCTGGAGAATATAAAAATGGTAAAAAGGTTGGTATGTGGATGACTTTACTTTGGAATGATATGGTTAAATATTATTAATAAATGTAAAATATTTGAAATATCATCATAATAATTTTTAGTGGTGGAGGATGTTATGATGGACAAGGTCATGGCACAAAAAATGGGAAATGGATTGAATTGGATGAAAATAATAATAAACAAAAATCAATTTTATATTATGGTGAGTATAAATAGGGTAAAAAGATAGGGAGATGGGATATTATGAAAAAAAGAAGAGGCTAACCAAGTAAATATATGTAAAAATTAATTTAATATGGTTTATAAAAAATTTTAGTGGTGGTGGATCCTATGATGAAAAAGGTAATGGCGTTAAGATTGGAGAGTGGATTGATTTGGATGAATATGGAAAAGAAAGTCGTTAAATAACCCTACATGGTAAGTATTAAAATGGGGAAAAAGTTGGTATCTGGAAAGTATTTTTAAAACATTAGTAAATTGCTAAAATTTAATATCTAATTTGAATAACTAAAGTATTTGTTATTTTTTAATTGTATTATTTTTCTGCCGTTTTTATCTTATTTTTATTTTATTGAATTGATTTAGTTTAGTATAAATAATTTTTATGTTAAAATTTTCAATTTAAATTTAATACTTCTTTGTTAATATTTTTCTTTTTACTATTCATTCTTGGATTTTTATATGTGTATTTTTCTTAATTCTAGTTCTCTAAGTTGGATAGTCTCATCTAATCAAAATTCTAAAAAAAATTAAAGAATAATATAATTTTTGACTAAAAAAACAATTGAAAGTTTTGATATATTATATCAATACTTAAGAAATAGTAAACAAAAATTTTAAAGCATGGATAATGCTTAACTTTTTAATTAACTTAAAAAACGAATCTAATTCAATAGAATTATAACAATTAATATCTTAATTGTTTTTGTAATTCACATTAATTTAATTAATTAGTTTAAGTGATATAGTTAGAGTATTAATCGGTCTTATATTTTTTATTGAGAAAATCTAAATAATATTTACAGTATTTATCAAGATTACAATTGTCTTTGAAACCAAAAGATAAAATTATTTTTGCTTTTTAACTAAATCTAATATTTAAAGATTAAATCTATTAATTAAAGAACTTAAAATATTATACTTTTCATCATAAATATTATGTTTTTTTGAAAATATATGGATCCTACTAAAGTTTCTAGAAAAAAAGGTAAAATTGATTTATCTTTTCTTCTTTAAAAAATGTTGTTTATCTTGAAAGATTATCAAAAAAGCAAATCAAAACTTATAAATATATATAATCTAATTTTAATTTTATGATTTGATTCATATCATACAGTCAATTTGTAATAATATTGAATAGAACGCTTTCATAGGAATATGAATTATATTTCTCAATTTAAGTTATTGATAATGTCTTTATCACTAAATTAAAATAAAACAAGTTGGATGAGATATCAAAATTAATTAAATAGAAAATAAGTCCTTACTTAATCGCTTTTTTCAGCATCTTTTCAGCTATTTTTAAACTTTAAAAAACTTAATTAACTATTAAATAGACATGTATCCACCAAGAAAGAAGTTGAACTTGGATGAAAAGTTGATCAAGGATTAAACAGGTAAATGCGATTTGAAGATTTTACTCAATTTTCTTAATTCTCTTTATAAATGAATTAAATTCTTATTAAATTTTTAGAATTATATTTTTTTTTTATGATAATATTTAATAATTATTTGCCCAATTATATTTTTTTAAAGTATGACTAATTTAGAAGATATATAATTTTAAGGTAACATTTAGAATTTAACCAACTATATATTAATACATAATCAGAAAAGCTATGACTTTAATTTCTAATAGTATTGTTATTGTTATTAATTGACACAGCAAAAATAAAACTCTCATTAATTATTCTGTCTGTCTATAATGTCCAGTTACATTTCATTTAACATCTAAATAATGAAAGTTAAAATAATAAATTATTTATTTTCAAATCTAAAACACACTTTAAAATACTATTATTTTTAGAAGTATATAAAAAGATATTTTTATTAGAAAACAATTAATTTATTTCTTTCTTTTGTTAATTTTGATTATATGATTTATATAATGTAATTTTTTTTGGAAATTAGACAAACTACTCATTCTTATTTATACACATCTGCTCTTATTTACTAAATTAAATTTCTCTTAAACAGTTTCTATCAAAGTGTAAAACCCTTTTCAATTTTTAAATATCAAGCATTATTTTGATGTTCTTAACAATATACATATATTACAAGTTCTATATATTGTATTCTTTCATATATTGTCTTCATTACGGAAAATTTCATGATCTCCTTAAATTTAATGGTAATATAATTATTGATAATATACTTTAATGGAACATCTCTATCTCATGTTATTTTCAATTTTTATATTCATTTTATTTAAGGTAGGTTTAATTTAAATTATATGATTGATTATTTATAAATGATAAAAAATTATGATATTTAAGCATAAAGTTGATTATAGTTCATAAAAATTGTTAATTATTAATATTAATACATCTTGGTTAAATTATGAATTTAATATTGATAAATTTAGGTAATTAATAGAATTAAAAATGCTTATTAACTTAATTTATTTATTATTAATAATATTGAAAATAATAATAAGTGATAGAAAATGAAATAAATTCCTTGTTTGAAACATAAAGAATCCTTTCTACTTTTTATCTAAATTGGAAATGACAAATCCTAGTATATTTGTGATGAATGTTGTTTAAATCTAATATAAAAAAATATTAATTATAAATCTTTCTATTATTTTATTTGATTAGATTAATATATTTAATGAAATTATTGCTTTTGTTTTTCTTCTTAGGTTTCTCAGATTTTTCTACATTACCAGCTTCTGATGCCAACGCAAAATTTTCTTAAAATGATCTTTATGTTTTAAGAGAAAAATCTATTATTAGGGGACATTACAAAGATGTAGCTTCGCAGTTCAATGGTGCTTTACTATCCTCAGCAAGAACTAACTTCATTTTGGGAATCAGGAATTGATAATAGTCCTTTAAGAAATTTGCTCTATTATTCACCCAATTATTTAGTAATTGGGCATGTTGTTGCCAGACTTAGTGAATCAATAATTGTGTAATTTTTATAAGCATATGAAATAAATACTGTAAAATTTTGGATGTGGGATGGTGATACTAGATAAACAGACATTCAAGTATTCACAATAGCAAAAGATGGGTAGACTGAAAACATTATTTTTGATGGTTTTACCTAACCAACTATAATGGTTGTAAAATTTTCTGATTAATTGGCATCAGGTTTGAGATTTTACAACCGAGGAGGGAATACTAAAGGCACATAATATATGTCAATCATAAAAATATAAGCCTTCTACGCTTTTTGATTATAAATATCCATAAAAATAACAATAACTTCATCATCTGAATAACAAAAGATTTATATAGTGTATTTGTTTGGTTCAATCAGATTCAATATATAATATTGTTTAACTTTATTAATATTTTTTATTGACATTATAATAATTCTATTAATGAAAACCATTCATAATAGTAATTTTTATAATTTTTAGTATATTTAATCTAATTCTAAGATTAGTTTTATGAATAATTATATATAAAATTTATCATCTTATAGATTTAATACAAAAACTTTAGTATAATATTTTAACAGTAAATAATTATAAGATAAGAATATTTGAATTTGTATCCTAACATTAGGAATTTTAGCGGTTGTAGTTTATATTTTTTTGAAGAATTAGATTGAGTTATTCAATTATAATTTCAAATTTAGATTTTTTTTGCCTTTTAGATATTGACTGAGTATCGAACTAACTAATTTATTAAAAGAATCCATATTAGGGAGTTTATCATTTTATACCTATTTAATTGCAAATTTAGTTCAAGTTGATTTTTTAGTGAGATATTTTTGATTAATATAAAAAATAATTTTGTTGTAAATTATATTCAACCAATCTTGAAATGATTTCGAAATTTATTTCTATAAAGTAAAAATAATTTACCTACTGCATCTAGTTTTGTCAAAGAGCCCAAAAATTCCGTATAAATTTAATAAATCAATTTACAAAAATTTAGGGAGTTAAAATATCACTTTGAAATTCATTTCGCCTTAGAATATGGTCATATATAGGATGAAACCTACAAAGTGAAAGTTGATAATTTAATTCATATTAAAAAAGTAGAATTTCGAAATATTTTATAAATAGGCATGCAAGAACCCTGAACATTTAATATCAAAACTGAATTTGTCTCCTTCCCTTAAAGACTTTTTCACAGAATTAGATAAATTTAATGATAAAACACTGGATGTTATTTTTATGAATTTCAAAACGCNAATTGTGTAATTTTTATAAGCATATGAAATAAATACTGTAAAATTTTGGATGTGGGATGGTGATACTAGATAAACAGACATTCAAGTATTCACAATAGCAAAAGATGGGTAGACTGAAAACATTATTTTTGATGGTTTTACCTAACCAACTATAATGGTTGTAAAATTTTCTGATTAATTGGCATCAGGTTTGAGATTTTACAACCGAGGAGGGAATACTAAAGGCACATAATATATGTCAATCATAAAAATATAAGCCTTCTACGCTTTTTGATTATAAATATCCATAAAAATAACAATAACTTCATCATCTGAATAACAAAAGATTTATATAGTGTATTTGTTTGGTTCAATCAGATTCAATATATAATATTGTTTAACTTTATTAATATTTTTTATTGACATTATAATAATTCTATTAATGAAAACCATTCATAATAGTAATTTTTATAATTTTTAGTATATTTAATCTAATTCTAAGATTAGTTTTATGAATAATTATATATAAAATTTATCATCTTATAGATTTAATACAAAAACTTTAGTATAATATTTTAACAGTAAATAATTATAAGATAAGAATATTTGAATTTGTATCCTAACATTAGGAATTTTAGCGGTTGTAGTTTATATTTTTTTGAAGAATTAGATTGAGTTATTCAATTATAATTTCAAATTTAGATTTTTTTTGCCTTTTAGATATTGACTGAGTATCGAACTAACTAATTTATTAAAAGAATCCATATTAGGGAGTTTATCATTTTATACCTATTTAATTGCAAATTTAGTTCAAGTTGATTTTTTAGTGAGATATTTTTGATTAATATAAAAAATAATTTTGTTGTAAATTATATTCAACCAATCTTGAAATGATTTCGAAATTTATTTCTATAAAGTAAAAATAATTTACCTACTGCATCTAGTTTTGTCAAAGAGCCCAAAAATTCCGTATAAATTTAATAAATCAATTTACAAAAATTTAGGGAGTTAAAATATCACTTTGAAATTCATTTCGCCTTAGAATATGGTCATATATAGGATGAAACCTACAAAGTGAAAGTTGATAATTTAATTCATATTAAAAAAGTAGAATTTCGAAATATTTTATAAATAGGCATGCAAGAACCCTGAACATTTAATATCAAAACTGAATTTGTCTCCTTCCCTTAAAGACTTTTTCACAGAATTAGATAAATTTAATGATAAAACACTGGATGTTATTTTTATGAATTTCAAAACGCAAATTGCTAATATATAAAATGCTCTCTTGGCAGTGTAAAGAGAAGTAGAATAAGATGTAAAATATATTCTGAATACAAAATAGAAAATCAGGGAAGAATTGCTCAAAGTAATTAATGATAAAAAATATTAGATTATTAAATTTGATTAATTTCAATAGTAATTAGAGAATTTTTCATAATTAGAAGATTAAAATAATTTTCAAGCTATTGAATAAAATGAAAAGATAATTCATGATTATATAAAAGATCTTACTAAAAATGATGCCAAAGAACTGAATTAAAGTTTGATCGATTTATTAAATGGAATATAATTATAGATCAAAGATTCAAATGAAGAAAAATTTTCTTAATGTAAAAAATTTCAAGAATAATTTCAATATTTTAATGCTAGTAAATAAGAACTCATAAAATAAATTAATCTAAATTATTTATAATAGTCAATTTTATCATATTATTAATAATTGAAAATTATGAAAACTATTTAATTTAAATTAAATAAAATACCAGCAAGATTTTAAAGAATATTTTTAGGTTCAAAAGATGGTTTAAATGCTAATGCTTTTTGGAATAAAGTAGAAGGTAAATCAAATTTATTAATGATATTCTAATCTAAAAGCGGATACATTTTTGGTGGGTTTTCTCCTTGTTTATGGTTAGGAGTTTAGAATAGCTATGTTGATGATAAAACATAGTCTTCATTTTTATTTTCATAGACCCATGATGAAATATATCCTTTGTAAACATGTCATCAATCAAAAGCTATTTATTCTTTTTTTGGCAATGGACCTACTTTTGGTGATGGTCATGATATTTATATTGATATCGATTTTCAAAATGGTTATTCTAACTTAGGATATGCTTACCAGTGGGATAAATATAAATATGCTAAAAGTACATATTTATTTGGATAATCAACTCCAAATATAGCAGAATGTGAGATTTATTAATTAATATTTGATTGATTTAAAAAAAATCTTCATAATCTTGCAATTCTTGACATTTTCTTTAAAATATAAATCATTATTTATCAGTTCATTTACTCATTTAAATAATCTTAAAATCCAATAATTAGTCTAATTTTGATAATGAATAATAACTCCAGTCTTAAATTTTCAACTTTCTAAGCGTTTTCTAATCTTGCAATATTCTCATGAAAAAACCCTTAAGTATATTTGAAATTGATAAAATTATCGAGAAAGATTTATTGCTAATATAATTAAATTTTGATGAAAAAATTAATTAGGGAGTTAAGAATTTTAGCCTTATAGATCAGTCATATTCCATCTTCAGCAATATTAAAATATTGAACAACTTAACCTTATTTTTTCAATTTAGTTTAATTATGAATTTCAAATTGAATCTTTTAATAGATTTAAATTGAAAATGCTTTTTACTGAAGTTAATTAAAATAAGGAAAATTGAAAATAATCTTATTTTTTTTTATTTTTAAAAGTTAATTATAAATAGTTGATTAGATATAATGATCTAATATTAGGAATTATTAAATTTTAATAAGAGTTTTTAGAAATTGTGTTGACTTTTCTTGAAAAATCTAATTAAAAAATTTCTATTCTATACTCAATTTTCATTTTGTAAAACATCTGAATAATATCAGAATCAATTTTCACTAAATTCTAATAAAATAATGATCTTGAAGTTTAATCTAGAGTTTAACCAAACTTATTTTAGATTTAAAAGTGAGTTTAATAATTGAAAAATTTGCATTTTGTAATTTAGATTTTTGATAAAGAAAATGAATTATGTCATAATAATTACAAAATTGTATATTTATTTTCCAAACCCTTAATAAAATATCGATGACTGGACATTAAATACTTAAATGTATTTCTGTTATAATAAAATTCTAAATTTGTCTTCTTATTCAAAAATTATTTTTATTTATTATAGTTAATTAAGTTGATATTGATAACTAGAAAAATCCATAAAATCAGTAGTATATCTTTGAGCAATTCATTCATTTCATACAAATTGAATGATAAATAGGCAATAAGGATTTTCAATTTTAAATAAAAAAAGCGTTACTTCTATGTACAATTATTTTTACCATTAATATAAGAAATAATCAGTATATTAAAATTGCAGTCTTAATAGACTCTAAAAGGAATAGAACTAGTGTTATTAGTATATAAAGTAATGATATGCTTCTTAATTTTTAGATTCTCAAAAACTTTGTGTTTGTTTAATGAAATAATTTATTTTATGATAGAAATATATGTATACAAGATCTTATGCTACAAAATTAACAATTTAATATCCCTATCAAATGTATTGTTTAAAATAAATATTTGTGTACCTACAACTGTATTCAAAATTTTACTTTTAAAAAGGTTAAGATGAGTAAATAAAGAGAGTATTGTATTTTGGTAACATTGATAAAAAGATTAAATTAAATTGAATTTATTAGGAAAATAACTTAAAAATTCTGAAATCTGTTTTTAATTAATTCAAACAAAATTTTATTAACATAATCCTCATAAATTTAAAAAATGAGTTATTTACCTTCAACTTCTAAAATTATTTCTTCTTGGGAAAAGAAATATGATCATTTAAAAAAAAATTGTTGATTAATCATTATGATTATTTATATATTTTCGTTTTTATATTTTTTGAAAGAAGAGATGAAACACTAGAATTAAAAGATAATTCAATAAAAAAAAGACAACATTTAAAGTAAAATTTATTTCAACTCTTAAAATTATAACCTGTTTTTACTTTAGATACAATTTTAAGAATTCCTAAAAAAGTACAATAAATTTACAATATTACATATAACTTTTGATCCATTCAATAAGAAATATCCAAACTAGATTAACAATTTTAAGTCTATCAAAGCATAAACTCTTAGGTAATTAAAGGTGGCTTAACAAATTTTTAAGTCTATATTTTCTATTGATTAGTAAATGAAAGTTAGAGTTATTTTAGGACTTTATATTGATTAAAGAAAAACAAAATAAATTATAGTAGATGATAAAGAAATAATTATATAAAATTTAATTCATTCTTATAAATCAGCATAATTTCTTGATTATTCCAAAAAAAATCAAATTAGCCATTTTTTGATTTCGCTTCTTTTGCTTCAACTTAAATCCACAAAAGATCTAAAAGTCTAAAACTTTGGTCCTCATTTAAAGAAATCCAAAAAATAAAATGCTTTTAATTAGTGATATAATAATGAAAAAAGTAATAGAAATTCAATATTAATTAAAAAAAAAACAAATGAACTGCCCTATTCAATAGAGAGAAGATTTATATGAGTTGTTGGCTTTATCAAAAGATATTGATGAATATATATTCAGTGATATAATGAAAATGTTTAAAAAAGAGAAAATAAAAGATGTATTAGGATTTCTCACAAATGATGAAAATCAGAAAAATTTTGAAGTTTATCTATTCCAAGTAGAGAATAGTGCACTAGTTGATAAAGAATAAAAGTAGGATGTCATTAATATTATAACTAATATTATGAAATAAATTAAAGATCACGACTTTAATAAGAATAATTATTCCGATAAAGCCTATTTTGAAATTAGATAAGATTTAATATAAAAATTAAAAAGTGAAAAAAAAATTATATCCTTTTTAAAATTTTTAGTTTTACTTACAGCCATAGAAGGCAGATTAGTCTAGTGTGGATCAAATTCACTAAATTTATTAATTATGATGTAGGTTGATTTAACTAATTAATAATTTGAAAGCATTAAGATTAAAAATACCTCTTTAGCTGGAGCTAATTTTAGAGGATGCAATTTAAGTAGATCAGAATTTGAAAATGTAAATATAAGTGGAATGAATTTAAGTTAAGCTAAATTATTATATTGTAATTGGATAAATTTAAGAATATAGGAATTGCATCAATTAAATGGCCATTGTGATGGAGTTTAATAAGTTTGCTTCTCTCCTGATGGTAACACATTAGCTTCTGGAAGCGATGATTAATCTATCTGTTTATGGGATTTGTAGAGAGGAATAATAAAATGTGAATTATATGGTCATAATGAAACTGTCACATCGATTTGTTTCTCTCCTGAAGGTTATATATTAGCAACTTGTAGTATAGATAGATCAATCTGCTTATGGGATGTTAAAACTACATAATAAATATCTAGACTGTATGGCCATCATAGTAACATCCTTTCAATATGTTTTTCTCCTATAGATTCTACATTAGCATCTTGTAGCAAAGACAACTCTATCCTTATATGGGATATTAAAACAAGAAAAAAGAAATTAAAATTAGAAGGTCATAGTAGTGGAATCCTATCAATATGCTTTTCTCCTGATGGCACTATAATAGCCTCTGGTAGCGAGGATAACTCTATCCGTATATGGAATGTTAAATCAGGACAATAAAAATAAAAATTGGATGGTCATACTGGTTTTGTTTATTCAGTATGCTTCTCTCCTAATGGCTACCTATTAGCATCTGGTAGTAAAGATAAGTCTATCCGTTTATGGGAANAAACTTTGGTCCTCATTTAAAGAAATCCAAAAAATAAAATGCTTTTAATTAGTGATATAATAATGAAAAAAGTAATAGAAATTCAATATTAATTAAAAAAAAAACAAATGAACTGCCCTATTCAATAGAGAGAAGATTTATATGAGTTGTTGGCTTTATCAAAAGATATTGATGAATATATATTCAGTGATATAATGAAAATGTTTAAAAAAGAGAAAATAAAAGATGTATTAGGATTTCTCACAAATGATGAAAATCAGAAAAATTTTGAAGTTTATCTATTCCAAGTAGAGAATAGTGCACTAGTTGATAAAGAATAAAAGTAGGATGTCATTAATATTATAACTAATATTATGAAATAAATTAAAGATCACGACTTTAATAAGAATAATTATTCCGATAAAGCCTATTTTGAAATTAGATAAGATTTAATATAAAAATTAAAAAGTGAAAAAAAAATTATATCCTTTTTAAAATTTTTAGTTTTACTTACAGCCATAGAAGGCAGATTAGTCTAGTGTGGATCAAATTCACTAAATTTATTAATTATGATGTAGGTTGATTTAACTAATTAATAATTTGAAAGCATTAAGATTAAAAATACCTCTTTAGCTGGAGCTAATTTTAGAGGATGCAATTTAAGTAGATCAGAATTTGAAAATGTAAATATAAGTGGAATGAATTTAAGTTAAGCTAAATTATTATATTGTAATTGGATAAATTTAAGAATATAGGAATTGCATCAATTAAATGGCCATTGTGATGGAGTTTAATAAGTTTGCTTCTCTCCTGATGGTAACACATTAGCTTCTGGAAGCGATGATTAATCTATCTGTTTATGGGATTTGTAGAGAGGAATAATAAAATGTGAATTATATGGTCATAATGAAACTGTCACATCGATTTGTTTCTCTCCTGAAGGTTATATATTAGCAACTTGTAGTATAGATAGATCAATCTGCTTATGGGATGTTAAAACTACATAATAAATATCTAGACTGTATGGCCATCATAGTAACATCCTTTCAATATGTTTTTCTCCTATAGATTCTACATTAGCATCTTGTAGCAAAGACAACTCTATCCTTATATGGGATATTAAAACAAGAAAAAAGAAATTAAAATTAGAAGGTCATAGTAGTGGAATCCTATCAATATGCTTTTCTCCTGATGGCACTATAATAGCCTCTGGTAGCGAGGATAACTCTATCCGTATATGGAATGTTAAATCAGGACAATAAAAATAAAAATTGGATGGTCATACTGGTTTTGTTTATTCAGTATGCTTCTCTCCTAATGGCTACCTATTAGCATCTGGTAGTAAAGATAAGTCTATCCGTTTATGGGAAGTAAAGACAGGATAATAAAAATCAAAATTAGAGGGTCATTCTAATTATGTTTATTCAGTATGCTTCTCTCCTAATGGCTACCTATTAGCATCTGGTAGTAAAGATAAGTCTATCCGTTTATGGAAAGTAAAGACAGGATAATAAAAATCAAAATTAGAGGGTCATTCTAATTATGTTCATTCAGTATGCTTCTCTCCTAATGGCAACACATTAGCATCTTGTAGTAAAGATAAGTCTATCCGTCTATGGGATGTTGAGATGGATAGACAAAAATCCACATCGAAAGGCCATAGTTAGGATGTTTTCTAGGTAAGTTTCTCTCCTGATGGTATCACATTGGCTTCTTGTAGTCAAGATTAGTCTATACGTTTATGGGATGTTAGGACAGGATCTTAAAAATAAAAATTGCTTGGGCATTGTTGTAGTGTTTTTTCAGTTAGCTTTTCACCTGATGGTACTATATTAGCTTCTGGAGATAGAAATAAATGTATCTATCTATGGAATGCTGAGACAGGTGAACAAATATGTATATTGAAAGGCCATAGTAGTCGTGTTTATTCAGTATGCTTCTCGCCTGATAGTACTTTAATAGCATCTTGTAGTGCAGATAATTCTATCTATTTGTGGGATGTAGAGACAAGAAAATAGAAATCAAAATTAGATGGTCATAATGATCATGTAATATCAATTTGTTTCTCTCCTGATGGTACCGCATTAGCATCAGGTAGTAGTGATAACTCTATCCGTTTATGGGATGTAAAGACAGGTTTATAAAAATAACTATTGGCTGGACATGATACAATAGTCTTATCAGTATGCTTCTCTCCTGATGGTAACTCTTTAGCCTCTGGCAGTAGTGATAAATCTATCTGTTTATGGAATGTTAAGACAGGTGAATAACGATATAGATTGAAAGGTCATAGTAGCGATGTTCTATCAGTTTGCTTTTCCCCTGATGGTACTTCAATAGCATCTGGCAGCGCAGATAATTCTATCTATTTGTGGGATGTAGAGACAAGAAAATAGATAACAAAATTAGTTGGTCACTGTAGTGAAATTCAATCAGTATGTTTCTCTCCTGACAGTAATACATTAGCATCTTGTAGTCGTGATAACACTATCCGCCTATGGGATGTAAGAACAGGAGAACAAAAGTTAAAAGGGCATACTAATTATGTTTATTCAGTATGCTTCTCTCCTGATGGTACTTCAATAGCATCAGGTGGTGCGGATAAGTCTATCCGTTTATGGGATGCTAAAACAAGAAGATAGAAATCAAAGCTCGAGGGTCATAATGATTATGTAATATCAATATGCTTCTCTCCAGATGGTAGTTTATTGGCATCTGCTAGTATAGATAAGACTATTCGTATATGGGATATTAAGATTGGTAAATAAAAATTGATGTTGGAAGGTCATACCAATTTTGTTTGCTCAGTATGTTTCTCTCCTAACAGTATTTTCATAGCCTCTGGCAGTGCAGATTGCTCTGTCCGTTTTTGGGATGTTGAATCAGGACTATAAAAATTGAAATTGGATGGTCATAGTGATTATGTACAATCAGTATGCTTTTCACCTGATGGTATTTTATTAGCTTCTGGCAGCAATGACAAAACAATTCGTATTTGGGATGTTAAGACAGGAACATAAAAATTTTAATTAGAAAGTCATACTAATTATATCTATTAGGTATGCTTCAATTTTGACGGTTCTATATTAGCCTCTGGCAGTGCAGATTGCTCTGTTTGTTTGTGGGATGTTAAATCAGGACTATAAAAATTTTAATTTTATGGTCATAGTAATTATGTACGATCAGTAAGCTTTTCTCCTGATAGTATTTTATTGGCATCTGGTAGTGATGATAAATCTATTTATTTATGGGATGTTCAAACAGGGCGATTCAAATGGAAATTGGATAGCCATAGCGATTACGTACAATCAGTTTGCTTCTCTCCAGATGGTACTCTATTAGCATCTGCTAGTGCCGATTACTCAATTCGTTTGTGGAATATTTAGATGATACAATAAAGCATTCACTCTGTATGTTAATCACCCTTATAAACCAGTTACTAATCTTAATGTAGTATATTTTTAATAATATTTAGCTATTGTTTCTTTTCTTGTTATATCCAAATATCTAAACTTTGAAGCAGAAGGAGCCTTAACTTTTTAAGGAAAATTTATAAATCATTTAGGCATTAATATGAAACAATTATTTTAAGAAAGAGGCTTGATATCAAGTAAAATGGATATTTGAAAATTATAAATAATATTATTAATGAATTATAAATTTTTGCATTTTATTAGGCATTATTTTGAAATCCTTATTTTTATTGATATAAGGAAAATTTTGATCTTAAATTTTTTTAATTTTGATATCTACAATTTACTCTACTATCAATATTTAGATGGGAATAAATAAGGAAACCATCAAAACTTTGGTAAGTTGTTTAAAATGATAATTCCATCATATTTTGAAAACTTTTTATTGTTCGAATAGTGATTTTTTATTTTGAAAAACAAAGGAAAGTATTATATTTGGTTTTATTTTTAGCTAAAATGAAAATAAAATTTCTTCAATTATCATTTGAGAATAATAATATAACAGCTTGCAATATATTCGAGCAATTTTTTTATTTCCTAAAAACAATAGCCTTTTTTTCTAATTCAAAAATATTTAATGGGATACAAAAAATGAAGAAATTTGAATCGAGAAAAAAAACAATTGTTTTTAAACACATTCCTAATATCGCTTTCATATGATATTTTCATTTAAAATTGAAATTAATTCTTAATCTCTTTAGTATTTTAAAATGCAAATAGTATCCATCTTTCATTCATAAAGTAAATCCATTCAATAACTTGATGAAATATAACCATATTTCAGATTATAGGTCTTAATTTTAAAGGGATTAACTTACTATTCTTGGGTCTATTTTTGCAAATAATAAATTATATATCAAGTAATAGATGATATCCATTTTTATATTCCTATTCAATGTTGGTTAATTATTAAAAATCTTGTATTATAAGTGATGAGTAAGCTCAAATAAAAACTCAGTTCAATTTTCAACAGTAGATTTTTGCAATAAAAAAATCGATAAAACATCTTGAAGATTATAAGTTTTCTTTGAATAATCTAAATGAATTCCTGTAAATAAGAATGATTTGAATGCGAGTTTAATAAGGAATTCATTTACATATTTATCAATTTAATTAAATATAGTGCTTCAATTATCAGATTTAAATAATTTTTAGTCAGAGTTAAAGTATAATTTTAATAGTCAATTTATTTATCAATGCTTGTGATCAATTATTTTCAACAAACTTAAATTTCTTTTAGTATCATTTACTAGAAAGTTGGAGATCATTTAGTGGGTATATCTAAAATATTTATACTTTTAAGAGTATTAATCTGTTCTCCATAATTATTTTATTATATCGAAAAATTCGAATCGATCGTATACTAGAAATTTTTCTCAAATAATTAAGAATTTTTAAAAAAGCCTAAATTTGAAATGAAAAATAAGTCAGAGATTGCATCTATGTAATTAAAATAAAAATATTGAACAATAAGTTTTTAGCTTATATCAGAGGAATATCATTTAAGTTTAAAGATTAATTCATTCTTTTGTTTTCCTTTGAAATTATGTTTTTATTTGTTAATGAACTATTTTAGTTTTTTTAGTTAGTGCTTATTATTTTATGATTTTTGAACATTAGAAAAAGTTCTTTATTTTATTCTCTATAAAGTCTCACTTAAGTCTATTTAAGGATCCAATTATTTTTATTTTAAAAGAATTTTTCATCATAATCTATATTAATATTAATAATTATTGAAATTATTTACGGTTAATTATCGGCCTAAAGGAATTTTTAAAGTTAAGAAGTTAGCTATTTAAAATCTGGAAACGGATAACAAATCTATACGATTAAGATCTGCAAAAGCACATGTGATGATTTCATTAAATATATAATCGGATGATACAAGATATTATAAACCTTTAAAGAAAAAAACAAATATTGTAAATTTTGAACAGATTGCTTTTTACTATTAAAATTGTTTTTATGTGAAAAGCTTGATAATATTATAAAGCAATTACATGAAAATCATATATGAATTACTAAAAAATGAGAAATGATAATGAAAAAATAATAGTCAGATAATAATTCAAATGGTTTTATTTATTTGTTTCTCTAAATCATCAATATATTCAGTCCTTTTGTGATGACAAGCCTAAAGTAAACCTTTAAATTAAAATAAATATTTTATAAATGAAAAGCTCTTCTTTAATATTTTTAACAAACGTTTTTTATAAAATCATATATAAAAATATGTTAATTAAAATGATAGCTATTTACTAGGAACAAATATCTCATTCTTATATTTTTTGAGCAAAACTAACTTAATACTTTAAAATGATTTTCTTAAATTCACAACGAGAATAGTATATTACTACAAATTTTTCCGAAATTTTGTACATAACATATCCAATGATTCCCTTCATTAATATTAAAGTTTTTCATATTTAAAATCCTCGAATAGATCAATAAAATTCATAAATAAAAATATTGAAATACAATGATCATTTTTTTCTTGTTAATTCAAAAGATCACTATGTTCAAACCTGAGTTAAAAGAAATGGAATTTACCTTGTACCCAACTTAAGGAGAGTACTTTAAATTCTATATCAATGAAATTCTATATTTAACTGGTTCCCTATCATCATTGACATGTAATATGAATTCTTAAGTTCCCTATGTAGATTTAATCAATTCATTATAAGAGACTTACAAAGCAGATGGCAAAAGTAAAAATCCATCAATATTAATATAGATTTTAAATCAATATCTTCAAATAATACTCATTTTGCTGGTCTGACATATACAAACGAAGTTATTGTGTATGAATGGAAGAATTAAATCTTGCAATAAGCTGGATAACTACTTTAGATTGATTCTTCAATTAATTGTTTTAGCATCAATTTATTTTTAGATTCTTAAATTTTAGTTGATTGCTATAATTATGAATAATTTTCCTTAATAAATGTAATAGAAGAATAATCAAATTTTGTTTATTAATCTTAATCCTATATGCCTAATTCAACTGAAATATAATCAATTGTAAATGGAACAAAAACTTTTATAATTTATATCTAATATCTTCAGGATTATTCTATTATCTCACTATTTTCAGACTAATTTTCTAATTTAAGTAGCTTTAACTCTACATTTATTGATTATGATATTCCTAATAGAATAAATCCTTCAATTTATGCAATCAATTAGCAAGAGATTTTCTAATTTTCTATATCAACGGATTACCATTTTTCCAAACGTCTAATTACATTATTTTTGAGTGTTTGAACTCTACAATTATTAATGCTTATTATAATTCAAATTTTTTTTCTTAATGAGATCTAAAATAGGTATTATGTGAAGTGACTGAATATAATAATGGGCCTAAACTGGATTTTTTTTGGGATGTGAAAACTCAATAATCTAGTCATATATAAGAGATATTGGTTTTTCTTTTCAAAAAATATTCAAAAATAACTAATTTGTCATTTATTAAAATTACTAAAATAACAATATAACAAATCATAACTATCAAGAGCTTTTATGTTATTAGAAAGAAAATATTTAAAATACCTCTTAATTATTTTTGAATGCAAATAGTGAATTATTTTCATTTAACAAAAAATAATTATCTATAAAATATTATAGCCAGCTTTAGTAATAAACCTAATAGATTAAGAAATAGTAAATAACAATTTAAATTTTAAAATAAAATGCCATAGCAGTGATTTTGAAAATCAATTTCTCTTCAATGTAAGTGTTTAGGTTGTGTCTTAAAATGACACCAATATATATGTATACAAAATACCATGCTATTTCTATAATGTTTTAATAAAATTTCCCTTAGTATTACTTTATCTCTTCCTTATAAAGTATTAAAATAACTTTTCTAAGTTTTTCAGGTTAATTATTAAATTATTCACTAAACTCAAATAATTTACCTTTAAATTTATAGCCAATTACATTTTAAAATGTTGGTGGAATGCAATAGCAATATTATTTAGTGTAAATTTTTTCATAATACAATTAATTTGGAGATTTTTATTTAGCAGGATATAATAATTAAACCCTTGATATTTACTTTTGCCAAATATATTAGGGTTAAAATTAAAGAGACTTCTTTTTAGAAAATTCGATTGAGATTTCTGTAAATGCATATTCTATCTAAATTGCCTTTAGTATTGATCCTTCTATGATTAAAGTTGGACTCAGCGATAATAAGACAATTTATTTGTTTAAATAAAGTGAAAAAGCCCTTCATTCTATTGATTAATTAAATCATACTTTTGAAAAATATTTAAAGCATTTGTATCTTTATTCTAATTAGACAAATTTTCAGTCTCTTTTGATACTTAAAATTTAATTAAAATTCTATTTTCAAATTATTTTCTATTTAATCTAAAAAGTTTGAAAAGTTTGTTCCTTTTTGTTTTAAAATTTACTATAAAGATCTAAATTTCTCTTATAGTTCACACGTTTAAGTGGCTATAATACTTCTATTCTTTTTATTTTAATTTTTTAAGGATTTTATAAAGAAGTTAGAAATCAACTTTTTCTTGCTCAACAACCATATTGTTTTCAATTTTTCATAATCATTTAATCTTAACAACATAATTGATTATATGAGTGATATAATTGATCTAATGTTTGGACAGTTCCATATAATTCAAATCATTTTGCCCTTCCTTTGATTCCAAAATTTTTTAATATCTCTGTAAGGTATTATTCACATCATTAATAAAAAGGAGATTGAAAATTTACCCTAAAGGATCTAATTATACTATTTCGCTTATTAATTGTAATGAAGCTTGTATAAAAATTTTTGTTAAAATATTTGAAAGATGAATAACTACACTTTTAGTGAAATTTTTCCATAAATTATTTGTTATTTAATTTTAATTGAATTTATCATTATTGATATATTTTTTCAAATTATGAAAATAGACATATTAAAAATTAAAGCTGCAATTATTTCACTTATAACTGTTATTTAAAATTAAATTTATATAATTCAAAAAAATACTGCTTTGAATGAATTAATTTTTAGCGTAACAATCTATGCCCAACACTTATTGTTTAACCCTTTTTTAACTAAATTTATTATAATTTCAATGAAATTTAAACTAGTTATAAACTCGTAATAATATTACCTTACTTTTTTACCTATTTATTAATATTAATTTCATCACAAGCTAGCTAAAATTAAAACCAAAAAAGTAAAATATTAATGATATCTAAACTAGATAGGATATTCAAAATTCTAAAAAGATAAATATTATTATGAATATAAGCATCTAAAAGAGATCACTATTTAGTTTGATTTGATAATTTAAACCCTCTTTAACAGCTTAAAAATTTAGAAGTAGTAACATCAAAAAGCATGCATTATTAATTCTTAGAGCTTAATCTAGATATGCAATTTATCAGGATTGTATTACACTATAGAAGATGGATTTTATATAAATAAATCAAGTGCTCATAACGCCAAAATTTAATATAATAAAGGGATAAAATAGAAAATTATATGATATAAATTTGAGAAAAAAATGCAATTTGTAAATTATAAAGGATATCATAGAAAGTTAAAAGAGGCCCCAAAAAATTATTTAGATAAAAGTAATTACAAAGTAGAGATTAGTTTAAAACCGGCAACATTTTACAAATTTTGATTAGAAAGAAGAATTATTATTTCAAAATGGAGATGAGCTAGATTATTGATATTTTAGATGAGAAATAGTGTCAAGTTACTTTTCTGATTAATAATATAAAATCCAAAGTATATTCATAGAAATTCAATAGTATTAATAAAAAAGAAATGAATTGTTTTAAAAAATAAAATGAAGATTTGTATGCAGTTTTGGATTTTCCCAAAGAATTTGATGAATCATTTTTCTAAACCTTCATTTAGATCCTCAAAAGAGAAAAAATTTAAGACTGTCTAGAATTTCTTTCATAAGATAACAATGAATGGCAATTCAAATAGGATATTCAATAGGTAGTACGTTTATCATTTTATAATTTGGAATAAATGGTGAATGCTGGAAATAATTAATTTAAGTAAATAGCTAATGTTCTTAAAATATTAAGGATCATGATTTTAATATCCAAAATTACTCTTCAGAAAAATATGAATATGCTAGGAAGAATTTAATGAAAAAAAAAACTCAGGATAATAAGCATATGATTGAATTGTTGAGATTTGTTCTTCTGACAGCAATTGATGAAAGATTTATCTAATGCGGATCTTAATGTATTAGTAGGGTTGAAGGTTGATATGAGAGAACATAATTTTGAGAACATTAGGATTAGAGACACCTCTTTAATTTGTGCTAATTTTTTACGATGCAATTTTAATGGATCTAATTTTGATAATGTTGATACTAGTGGGATGAATTTAAACTAAGCTTAATTGTTCAAATGTAAATGGAAAAATATTAAAATCCATGAGCTACATTAATTAGATGGTCATACTTGTTGTGTTCAATCAATATATTTCTCTCCTAATGGTACCATATTAGCATCTGGTGGTAGAGATAACTCCATACGTTTATTGAATATTAAGACAGGATAAGAAAATGCTAAATTAGATGGCCATACAAGCAATGTTTATTCAGTTTGTTTCTCTCCTGATAGTACTACATTAGCGTCAAGTAGCGCAGATAATACTATCCGTTTATGGGATGCTATGACAGGATTAGAAAATGCTAAATTAGATGACCATACAAGTGATGTTTAATCAGTTTGCTTCTCTCCTGATAGTACTATATCAGGGAGTGCAGATAATTCTATCAGTTTATTGGATGTTAAGACAAAATAACAAGAAGAAAAATTAAATGCTCATACTAGCATTGTTTATTCAGTCTGTTTTTCACCTGATGGGAGTACATTAGCATCTGGTAGTTATGATATTCTATCCGTTTTTGGGATGTTAAAATAGCATAATCCAAAACCAATTTAGATCGTTCTACTAGTCTTATTAATTAAGTCTGCATTTCTACTGATAGAACTATATTAGCATCTTGTAAAGTTGATAACTTGATTTAGTTATGGGATTTTAATACCGAAGAATAAATTTCTACTTCTGATAAAAGATATAAAGATTTTCTTACCGATATACAACATAGCCTTAAATGATTTAATTGTTCTAAGGTTGTAATTATTAGTCATTTATAGTTAACTCCATAGCTACATCTCTTGTTATTGCTCAACATCTTCATTTTGAGGCAAATGGTGCTCTGATATTTAAAGGAGAATTTTTTATTCAATCAAATATAGATTTAAAGATGTTGTTAAAATAAAGAGGAAGTTTCATTTTAGAGGACTAAATATTGTTAAGATATAATTGATTAAATTAAATATATGTGATACAAATGTACGATATCAATTTATTATACTATTTTAGTTTTTGACAGCAATTTATATTATGAAATCGAAGTATGATATTGAAGATATTTGATTTCAAAAATAGTTTTTGAAGTTTTAAAGTCCTCAATATTTTATTCAAAGGAGTGTTAACCTTGAAGGAGAATTTGTAAATTTTGAGATTTGTTATAATTATTTATAACTGAAAGGAGTTTAATTTTAATAAAACTTCCTCTCTTCATATATCAAATATTTTGGCTTATGATTGCACATGGTTTTATTAAATGTATTTTTTATTATGATATAAAATAATTGTAAATATTTGGTTAAGTTTGGTCTGGAAAAATATACTAGAAACTTCAAATGGAACTATTCTTATTTATTTATGGTTCGTTAGATAATAAAGTAATGGAGTTAGGTGTAGGATATTTTTTAGGGTTAGCTTAGTAGTGACTATTTGAAAATTATCAATGTATAGAAACCTCTTGATGTGATGAAATATTAAATCAATTAGATAGATATCAGCCTAACTTGCCGTTATTGAGGACAATATGACATTTAAATTTATAACAAAATTGTGGAGAGTGTTTGCTTAAATTTTAATGAAGTATCGCTAAGGAATTATCGTAAGAGTATAATTAGAAGATTAGTAAATTAAAAATGAAACTTATTTATGAAGGTAAAATGAATGGCTAGAAATTCATAAGTTCTGCAGAATAATTAGTTTGCAATTTGTTAATATTTTTTTAATTTACTAATAAGACATCTATTTTTTCACTAAACAACTCAAATACTTATAGTAATTACTAATTTAAACAAAAATTTTACTTCAAATTCTGATAATCTTTATTTGTGAGATAGATTTTCCTATTAATTGAGAATAAGCTATTTATACTCTTCAAACTTATGGCTTTACCTTGTGTCTGATTTTTTAATTCTTAATTTCAGATATCCTTAAATTAGAGAATATTAATTTAATATTTAAAATTGGATTCAAATTATTTATTGATATTCTCCTTAAAAATAATTGTTATCTAATCTTATCAATCCAAAAGAAATAATATTAAAATAGGGAAAAAGGATAAATTTAAAAATAAGGAAAATTAAAGATTATTATTTTAGAAAGTAGATTAATTCCAATGGAATATAGTTAGTTAAAATATACTTAAACTAAAAGTGTTTTTTTTTTTGACAAAATTTTTAAATATTCTTACTTTAACAAATTTTAGTTATCAGATCAAATGCTTTAGAAAATGTATTATGTGAGGATTATAATTTGAGATCCAAGCGTGTAGATAACAAGCTTAAGGAATATCATAAATTTTTAAGTTAAATATCTATTTAAATTGAAAACGGCACTTAACCTATTTTTCTGAAAATATTATTGATAATCTTGCTATTTAATATGAATAATATGATATTTGATCAAGATATATATTTTTTGTATCAATTTCAATAAGGGAAATCATAAAATTCTAAGTTACAAAATTTTAACTAACCCTCTTAACGATAATACTTAAAGAATCCATTCTATTGAGTATGATATTCAATTGACATATTATGATTACTTAATTTGAAATTTTTTGCTAATTAATTAGGAAATTATGATTACAAAATTGTAAACCTAAAAAATTAATTTAGAGATTAGTGATGTTATTTATTATAAAAATATATTCAAAATTATAAACCTAATAATATAATTGCTAAATTCAATCATTTTTGAATGGTGAAATAATAAATCATTGTTTTTGTCGAAAAATTCCATATATGAAAATGATCTATCAAAATAATTAAAAAAAATTTTTCTTATAACTTTTTGACCCATATTCATAAGATTATTGAATCTTTTATTATTAACATATCAATGAGATCAATAAATTGTGATGTTAAATTTATTTAAGAGCAAATGTAATATCTATTTGATAGTTTCAATCATATGATTTTGTTTCTATAATGGAGAAGAGGATTAGTAACTCACTTTTAAAATCTAAATATAAGAACTCTAAAATAAGATAAATCTTGTTTATAATATATGATTTAATTCTATAGAGCGAAATTTTTAGGAAAGCCTAATAGCTTTTTCAAATACAATAAGTGAATTTTTGAAAAACTGATCAAAATGTGCACTTTACTATACTATAAATAATGATGATGATTTACCCATTTCTGGAAGATGAAAATTATATTGTATCAATATTTGGTTAGTTTGAATTTTTTTTAAGGTGGATCATTTTCATTTTTTTCTTTACGCTTTTATGAATTTTGGATTTGGATTTTATTAAATTAGGTCTTATTTCAGTTTATCTAGTATATTTT